GGGAACTTCAGGGACGTTTGGGAGAACGCCCGGAAAACCATGGTGGGCCCCGTCTCCGCAGCGGAAGCCGCAGAAATTCTTGCCCAGAAGTCCGATGAGGGGGTGAGTGCCACCGCAGCTAGCCCGAACGCCGCCGCGCGAAAGGACAGTGAAACCGTAGAGAAAAAACCGTCGCCGAAGACTTCTCCGGTCGTCGAGGCCTCGAAACCGCCCACCAACCTCTTTGGCGGTGCAGCGGCGTCCGCCTCGTCAACTGGCGCGGCGAACTCTATTTTCGGCACCGCGGCAGTACCAAGTGGCGGCGGTCTCTTCGGAGCCAAGCCACCGGGTGGAAGTCTCTTCGGAAACTCCGAGCCCGCGGCACCGGCTGCCACGGGCAGTCTCTTTGGCGGCGGCGTTACGGCGTCCCCGGCAGCGGGGGGTGGCTTGTTCGGGGGAGGCTTGTTTGGAGGCAACAAGACGGAGAGTCCCTCGCCAAAACCCTTCGACTCAAAGACTGCGGAAAAGAAAACCATCGCGTTTGGCGCCACCCCGCCGCTCTCGCCAGATAAGAAGCCGGCAGCGGAGAAAACGGAGGTAAGGCTAGTAGTAGTTTCATCTTACTTCCTCGCCCAGTACTGTTGTACCGCTTTTGGTTGCATATTTAGATTTTTTTGCTTCTCAGCGATTGCGTCGTCCGCTATAGTTTCTACTGCTTTTAAACCTACTACTACAACAAGTACAAGCAAAACGACGATGGCTGAAGCATGCGCATCATAGATAATCTTATACGAACTTCATCAAACAGGAGGAGAAGGAGCGCGAGGAGGCAGAGCGCGAGGTTTGGGAGGGCAACTACGACGTGAAGGTGCACTTGGAAGCCAAGTCTGTCGCCTCGGGCTTCGAGGGCGAGGAGAAACTTTATGAGTCAACCGCAAAAGTCTACCGTTTCAGCGACGGCCAAATGAAGGACCGGGGCACTGGGGAATCCTTCCTCCTCCGCGACGAGAAGACGAACCAGACCCGGTTTGTCCTGCGCCAGAAACAGACCGGCAAGATCCGCATGAACTTCATCCTGACCAAGGAAGGCGGTCTGTGCGCTCTGTCCCGCACCCCAAACAAGACGACCACGGACTTCGAGCCAAACGTGTGGTACCTGACCGTCTTCGACTGCAGTGAAGACGCGCCCTCCACGGAACGAATCGCGATCAAGCACAAAACCGCAGAGATGTCTGAGGAGTTTGCGCAGGCTTTTAACGCGGCACTGGAGAAAGAAGGTATTGACGGACTTTTGACTTTGTGACAAGTAAGTTTAAGGCTTGAGATTTTTGGCAGCAAGGCGGTCACGACCCCGGCTGCAAATTTTCGCCGTGAAAAATTCATTGACTTGCGTTCGAGCGACAACATAAAAATAGCACCCATAATTTCCAATCGCTTTTTAATATCGCCGACACGGAAGATATTATGAAACCTTTTCAGGTACAAAATCCACCACTGCGTCGTCTGGCGAGAAGAAGGATGCCCTCAGCCTGCTTCCAGGCGTGTACATGAACCCGTCCGATCAGGTCGTGGGGCACATTGACGACCAGCTGAACCTCACCTACGCAGGCTTCGATGGTATTTTAGCTTGAAGAGGAGGCTTTTATATTTTCTCGACATTTGCATATGCTTATGCATTTGATCTCCTGGAGGCTTGAACGTAAAGCTATACAACTTTCGTCATCTGAGATTGCTACGGGTAATGGAGTCATCATCCGTAAAAGAACTTTCTGGATTGGATCGCAAATTAAGCCATTGAAAAAACCACCACAGCCATGGATTACATGCTGAAGGAAGTAGTGCGGGATAAGACCTACATGCTTGTCGACGAGGAAGGCGAGCAATGGTCTTTCAACTGCGATTTGGCAGCCGGGACGCTTCGCTGGAGCGATGGCGACTTCTGGATTAAGGACGTCAGCAAAGGTACTACAGCCACGGATTCTATGAAAATTTTGTTCGACTTGGATCGAAAAAAGAAGAGACTACACATCGACCGGCCACTTTCACTCTTCAACAGGACCTTTGCGGGTAAAAATCCGAATGAAAAAAACAAAAAAATCAACAGAACCTTCGCCTGTAACCGCACCGCCTGCGCCAACGACCACCTCTCCGCCGGTGGACGCCCAACAGGCCCCGAAGCAGTTTTCCATCGCAACGCCCCCGTTGGCATTGAATCAGTTGAAGCCGCAGGACAAGGACAAGTGGAGCTGCGACACCTGCATGCTGAAGTGGGACCAGAACGTGAACCAGTGCGGTGCCTGCGAGAGTTACAAGCCGGGCGTCGACGTGGCAGCGATCCAGAAGGAGCAAGAAGCGAAGAAAAAGGAGACTCTGGCAAAACTGGGCGTCTCCAGCGGCGGAGACCAAGGAAGCAGTTCGGGAAGCGCTCTTGGTGCCGCGGCCGCAAGTGCGTCAGTCTTCGCTTTCGGAGCCGGAACCAGCAGTGCGACAGCAGCTGCGCCCATCACTTTGTATTGCATACCACGCTTTTCTGATTCATTTAGAATTCTTGTTTCGAAAAAGGAATAAAAGCAAAAACGAGCCAGAAACAAGCATATGTCATCATGAAGAATGTTCTCCGCGATGGTTTTGTTTTTGGTTTGTTCGTATTGCTCTTAAGTGACTTCTCGCTCCTCTGCAGCAATTCCTTTTACTTCATCTTGTGATTCTCCCTTTAACTATTTCAAATTTTTCACAACAGTGGAGCACCCGTCTCTGGATCCAACGCGACACCCTTGGGTACTGGTAGTCTCTTCGGAGGTTTCGGGCAAACCGCAGCCCCCGCTGCACCTGCGACCACCAGCGTCTTTGCGCCGGCAGCAAGAGAGGAGCAGTCGCCCGCAGCGCATCACAAGTTGCCCTTGACATCGTCCCCAGCAGTGCCGCCCTCCCCGGCGGTCAACGCTGCTTCTTCCACCGAGGTCAGACAACTTTCCCAGCGAGTACGCGAAGCTGCCGATTCCCAGGCGGCTTTCCGAATGACAGTGAATCAGGAGATCGACGGGCTGCGAAGACAAGTGGAAGACGTAACAAGGACTTTTTTGCTCTTTTCCGTTCTTGAAAAAATGTTTCTCTTTCTATCTGTTTCTGTTTTGGTCATCTTGATCTTCTTTTTTAGTTGCTTCAGATGGATGCATAGTAACATCCATTCAACTTCTACAACGTACACGTTTTTCGAAAAAACGTTCAACAGGCACTGGCGATGGCGCAGGACGCTAGCGCGCGCGCCCCGACCATGGATCACACCTCCAGTTCCGCTCTCGCGGAGCAGCAGGCTCGGGACGCAGTGCGGAAAATCGAGGCACTGACCACGCGACTGCAGAAAGCGGAGGAGGGCAACAACAAACAGTTTTCGTACCTCGCGGAAAAGATCGACAATCTCGCCACGCAGCACGAAACCGCGGCGGTCGAGGTGGACTCCAGAATGGTGGAGTTGGAGCGGTCCCTGAACAATCAGGTAAATAGGGCATATCGTAATATCGTTTTCATGCCCTGCATGAAGATCTCTGTCGAGGAGGAAAACAAATGAAATTCAACGATATGTAGTTTAGGGTAGCAAGTTTGTTACTAGTTTCTGTTCTAGTACTCCCAGCTGCACCACCACAAGAACTTCGTTTATCTTTTATCAACCTGAAACAAAAAAAACAGACGACCGACAAGATCCAGAGTTTACGTACGAAACTGACGGCGGAGATGAACGCGGTAAAGACCAGCGCCCGCAGTCCGGCGGTGATGTCGACCAGCAGCCAGATGGAGTCCAGCCGGGTGTACGAACTTCTGAACGAGCAGCAGGAGACCATCCTGGAATCCGTGAACCGCCAGCGTGACGAGACCGAGGGCGCCTTCCAGGCGGAACTGACGGAGATGCAGAAGAACTTTGAGCGTATGCTCGCCGACGCGCGGGATCAGATCCGGTCGGAAACCGACACGAAGATCGACAAGATGCGCACGCAGCAGGCCTACAACCCCGCCAGCGCCCACTCCAGCTTCAGTTCCCGGTTGTCGAACTTGCGCGCGCAGCGGGGCATCTCCGTCGGGACGCCGGAGACCGTCACGGTGTTCGGCACGCGGCGCGCAGAGACCAACGCGTCGAACAAAAGCGGCGTGTTCACACCAACGCAAATGACGCCGAGTCGGGAACAGCACAACAGCCGGGCGTAGAAGATGCATTTTCGGAAAGATAGAAGTATCCTGGGCAAACTTTGATAGACGAAGAACACAAGATGTTTGTTCTGGAGGGGCTTCTACTGCGTGCAACCGTTTACTTTTTGAAAAACACACGTAAGCTACTGCTGTAATGCGAAGCGGCGGTCGCGATGGCGCACAGACCGAGATGAAAGAGAAAGAATGTAATACCATCTAAAAAAATCGGAGAATGCAAGCACTGTTGATGTTCCCACCAGACACAAAGACGTATGCGCTGCCGTTCATTTGCTACCAAGCATACAAACTGGCAGCTTGGCGGCATCGGTCACAAGAGGATTTGTTCCTCTCATTATCTTTGCCATTTCAAGACAACGACTATAAATACAGAAAAAACTCCCAAATTCGGGCTCGAAGAAGTAAGAAACTTCGAATTCGGAGCGCTTCTCGTATTCTTGCTTGCGAGCGTCCATGGTGAAATTGGTCAACGTTGTGTTCCATGATTTTGGGTCGACAAGATGCGGCAATCAAGATCAACTCTTGCAAGCAAGCGATCGGATCCGCACCGTGCGCTATATCAAATTATCGGCGTATTTCAGTAGTTTTATCCCTCAGAACCACAGCCATATCCGGAAAATATCAACAAGATAGAAGACGCGAAGTAGCCCCTGTTCCGGTTGCCTTTATCCCGCTTGATGACTCCTCTAGCTCTTTAATGCTACTTCGTTCTAAACATTATGATCTTCCTCTGTTCTTGTGTGACCGATGTCGCCGGCGCTTTTCGTGTTTGTGGTGGAGCAACAGGATTCTTTTGTTTTTGCTGCGGCTCCTTCACCTTTGCCACATACTCTGTGCAGCAGAAAAGGGCATTGTAGAATATTGGAAGACGAAGGCATCGAGCTTCCGCTGGTTGCCGAAGGCCTATGAATACGGAGCGTCGCCAGCTGCCTTGCTACACCATGGAGACCAGTATCAGAAGAGACAAGAAGACTTACACACGGTTTCTTCTCGTCGCAAGAAAAATGGAAATGGAAATGCAGAGCGAGAAGGAGCAGCGCCGGAAGATGCCAATGCGTCTTGGATGTCACAGCCGCGGGCTGCTCGGCGTTTCTATCACAAGAAACTTGACTACCTGCGCGTCTTCATGTACGCGCACCCAGGCGTGTTTTCCGGCCACGAGATGTGCCCCCCGACCGGCGGGTGGTACCACGCGATCGAGAGCGTATACTGGTTTGTTGTGAACAGGACGCAGTCCATCCTCACGACCGTCCTGGATGACGAAAGGGACGCGCTGCTGCGGAGCCATGTGCGGCAAGATCATGAGCTACGTGAGGAACAGGAAGAACAGCTTGCATCGCCGGGCAGCACCATCGGCGTGCCACCGGCTAAGCATTCCTCATCACCACGGCGACGAACCCCCGCCGGCGCACTCACAGAGGGCAAACTACTGGACAAAATTCAAGAGGCATGGATGCATGTGGCCTCTCGAGATCGAACGAAGAATGAAGCCTTCGAGTCAGGACTGCGGCAAACAGAAGGCATGTCGCCGGCAACGTCGGAAGAGGCAAATAAACTATCGGAGGTGCCTCGTGATGTTGAGGAAAAGGCTCTCCAGAAGGTTCCACTTGGAAACTACACGTCGCACGGTGCCCGATTGATGCGCGCTAGTGTGAGTGGGGCTGAGGTTCCGATCCTGCCCGCGGACGAGGCTGAGGCGCAAGATCGGGTGCTGCTATTATCGGACAACATGGCGCTAGTTGACAACCCAGCAAGATCTGGATATGGATACGGCGAACGACCTCCTGTCTCAGAAGATGAACAGGTGTCTACTGCACGAAGATCTGCGTCCAACGCTCCGAAGCAGCGCATCAGGCCTCCCCGCGCACCGATCTACGCCGTACGCGATATCCAAAGGGCAGACGCTATTTGGGTTCTGCAGTGCTGGAACTTGGCGATTGATGACATTTGCGGTAGTACGACGCTGAATTGGCTCACGCCCAGGCGACGGAAAATATTTCGCGCGGTGTTGGAGGATGTGTATCTAAATTTCAACGGTTCTGCAAGGACCAGCTCGCGCAAAGAGGTACTCGATGTCTTCGGCGGGAACAAAAGCAACTCATTGGAGCTGCAGAAGAACTGTGAGAAACAGCACGGCACTTGTCGGCGCAGTTCTACTACTAGTTCTCACTTACTTGGTGCTGGTAAACAAAAAATAAAAGCGGAGCTACCATTCCTATTTGGCCGGAAAGACGATCACTACAAAGGAAACGGCCTGGGCGTTCTATGGCCAGAACTCGCTCCGGAGAAGCGGATTCGTGTCTGTCAGGATGCACTGCAGCAGTCCCAGGTGATGCGACGGATGCAGAAAGCGACGCTCTTAGAAATGGCGCATGTGTTGAACACACACACAAAGTACGCAAACAAGCCAAAAATCATCGCGTCTCCGCGGGAGAACGGTCGCGCGGACTGGTTGTGGGGCGATCCGGAAGTTTTGGAAGTGACCAAGGATTGGATTCTGATGGGCCACATGGGCTTGACCGCTGCCGAGTGGGGCGGGGTGGATCCGAAGGAAGTGCAGCAGGCCGCGTTGCGCGTGGCTTGGAACCACACTGACTCGACGTCGCAGCAGCTCCGACAGAAAGACTCGGCGGCGACAAAGTACCTGCGCGAGTTTTTCGCTCCGAGTAGAGCAGGAGACGACGGCACGAGGAAGCCTGCACGGAGCGAGGAGCGTCGTGATCTTGGGAGCACCAAGCAGGGCCCGGAAGATGAACAAGTTGGCAATGAAATCGCGAACACAATAGAATCTTCCTCAAAGCAGGTGCATTATCAAGCAGGCTCGACACTGCTGACAAGAACAGCATCTGAGAGAATTGATAATGATGGCGAGGACGAGCGCGAGCCCCGGCCCCCTACATTTTGTTTTGTGCCGCCTGTTGCAGCGCAGCACGTTCGCTGGGGAGAGTTTGTCTACAAAGTACCTGAGAAAGAAGTACTAGAGTTCGGCTCCAACCACACCGGAGCAGTAGACAAGAAAGCAACAATTCCCGTCAAGCGCATCGCTATTTTCCAAGCTGCGGTGAATGAGACACGGTATAGTTTTTCCACGCCGTCGACGATGTCATCGGGACTAAAGTTGAACCGCCCCACAGACGAGGGTGTGGCAAGCGCACTATCTGTCTGTCAGAGCGACTGCATTGGGACGGCCGTCGAGAACCACAAGTGTCTGCTGGTCGAACTTCGCAGAGATGGCTGTATTCCCTTCAAAAAAATCGGACACGTGGAAGTGCCTGCAGCGGGGGAAGTAGATGCGAGCAGGCGTGGCGACAGAAAGTTCTTGGATACTACAACGGGGACAACACGTCCTCTTGAGCTCCTCGATGCGCTGGTAGCGAAGATCCGGCAGAATTTCTACACAAGGACAGCATTCGGAGAATTGTCCCCGCACCTTGCCTGGGTTCAGCGGTGGCCAAGTGGGACGCTTGCGATTGGAATTATGCAATCGACTCAGAAGCGGGAGGAGGAGGAGGAGGAGGACAAAGACAGAGACAAACCACAGAAGGGTCCTCATTATACTAGTATTTTCGGCAGCTGGCGCCAGTTCGCAGCATACGTACAGCAGGAGGCTTCGGACAGGAACCGTCGAGCGCTAGTGTGGATGTCCGGGAACGCGGCCAGCAGCACGGAAAAATCGGATTCAAATTATAAAGTCGAAGTAGACCACACCACGACCGCAGCGAGGACCGCGGAGCCTAATGTTTCATCTCCGCGAGGAGCGGCAATTTTGTTTGGTGAAGAAATCCCCGCAACGGTAACCAACGTACATTTGAAGCAACCGCCAATACTTTTGATGACTCAGGAGTTGGAACAGGAGGAGCTCTTTTGGCAAGGCAAGCGAAGTCGAAGGGGAAAGAGTGAAGAGCGCGATCTTCTGGTGGGTGGTGAAAAGAACTACAACCCGAACGATCAACAACAACAAACTTACGAAGAAGATGATCTTGATCCACCCAGCACCAGCAGCAACAAAAACCTGTCTATTTCTGGAGATGTTGGGACGAAGGAAAATGAAATCACGACTTGGACGCTTCACTTGGGGAAGATGTTTTCTGCAATCGGCGACCGTTCCTCGGGAGGAGCGAGGACGGTCCTCTACAGCATGTACATGAATCAGCTGTACCGGTTAGCCGACTGGTGGAGGCAACTGATCGGGTCGGAAGACGACAGCTTTATTAGGCAGGAAGCGAATGCAGCGAACCACAACCAAAAAGAAAAACAAAAACTTCAGCACCACCTTTTGTTCAACAGCAAAGACGCGCTCCGTGGGCCCGCCACGGCTGCGCGGATGTTTGCTCAGGACGTGATCATTCCACCGATGATAAGTCTGGCAAACGTCGGCAGCCGCGACTACGTGCGCAATCCCTGGACGAGAATCTTCCGAAACCAGTACGAGAACGAGTGGGGCTTCCTGTGGGAGGAGGGCGATACGCCCGCGTGGTGGGATTATGTCAGCGGAAGGCTGGACTTGAGGAAAAATTATGGAACAAATGGGCAGAAAAACAAAAAAAGCGATAGCAAGAAGTTTTACACTGTGTACTCAGCCGCGACCGAGTATCACCGCCGCGAGCGTGCGGTTTTCTTCGCGGGCGGATGCAACAGCGTTCGGAGACAGGAATTGTTTCTGTATCTGTTTTTGAAGAAGTTCAGGAACAACATCGAGGCTGGCGGAGGACCTGTCGCAAACCCAAACATCACGACCGGTGCTCCAACTAAGAGTACTTCTAGCGCGGATGATTTATTTCTGCATCATCTCGCGTCGTCGGACCATCTGTTGCCGGAGGACTTAATCAGCGAGGAAAGGTACTTCAATACGACTCGGCGAGACCGCATTTCCAACCAGTTCAACAACTACATGCACACCTCGAAGTTTTGCCTCGTGGTTCCGGGGTCCGGCCTCTTCACGACAAGGTTCGCAGAGTCCATCGTGTCGGGCTGCATTCCCCTGATCAAAATTTCCTCCGTTCCCTTACCGTTTTCCAAAACCCTAGATTGGTGCAATCCGTTGATGGCGAGGATTTTTGCTGGGGAGAATTTTTTCGAGCAATCTAGTAAAGCTGCAGGAGACCTTGATGAACGTAAACATACCACAACCGTACCGACAGAGGAACTCATTGCATACAATTGGGAAGTCTGCACGGACGTTCCGGCGGTGTTCTTTTCCCATTACTCCCAGATCGAACCTCTCACGGCTGACGCAACGGTGGTCACGGTGGAGAAATACACTCGAAAGCTGCTCAACCTGCGTTGGCTGACCCATGTGGACGCCAGCATCGGGAATCACCACATGCATTTGCTGCACGCGGAATTAGTAGGGTCCGTTGCGATCTGGCGTGCAAAGAGACTTATTCGGGAAGAAAGAGAGACAGAGAACAAAGAAGCCGCAATGCGGCCAGCAGGAAAGGTTTTGTCATGAGGCTGTCTTGGGCCTGGAAGCTCGAGGACGCGGGCAGGCCGTGAGTTGGGCGTAAGACTGTAGCAGAGTTTCGACATGATAAAACCAGCTGCAGAAAGAAGCGCCAGCGGAAACAAACGCAAGGATTGTTCTCTACACCAAATGCGGAAATGTAAAAAATCTAAGTACACAGATGCGCACGCGCTGTTGGAACAAATCAATCGCGAGTTACTTACAAAAAGCTTTTTATGCTGTTTTTTCACGCAGGTTCGTGTATCTATGTATACGGTATCTCCTTATCTTTATCATTTTTCTGCTTCGACGATCTGTAAAATCAAGCACCTTGTTGATGTTTTTGTATGTGTAAGTACGAAGTCAAAGACTTTTCGGTTCGTTTCTGTCCCAGGTTCTCTCGGTATTTTCCATCTGCGTTATCATGAACAACGCTAACCAACCGTCCAGCCGTCTTCATAGCAGCCAGAGCGACGAGATGCTGCCCACTCGTGATCTCATCTCGGTTCCTGATTATGTCGCATTTGAAAGAAGAATGGGCTTCACACCTTATTTCTGTTTGCTTTGATGAAGCCGAAGACCTGAGCTGAGTTATCGGCTTTGCTGGCGAGTGGGGCAGAACTGGTGACAACATCGACGTCGGTCGGTTAGCACTCGGTCTCGTCTTTGCAGCGCGCAAATGCTTAGAGTACTTCTAGTGTATCTTCGTTTTGCCTGGTGCATACCATCGAATCCACGAAATCGCTCCAGTACTTTTCTCCTCTCTACAACCCCAACCTTTGTAAAGGAGCTATGAAAGAAAAAGATCAGAGCTAAAGTTTTCCTATTATCTCCCAGCATAGCACAATCTTAATACCCATGACCCGTAGGCGCCGTGGCCGCGTGCTCTGGCGCCCAAAGCAAGACGCGACTTTGGTTCCTGCTTCCGCAGCAGGTTGCGACCAACCGACCAGCCTTGCTGATGGTGAGAAGACAACCTCCTCTTCAGACTCATTTCGCCTTTCGATTCGCAATGCGGTAACCGGCGACTACTTGGAAGCGCTCGGGGGCGAAGCCGGAAAAGAGTGGGACAAAAGACACACGACACTTCGAGGGATTCGGGAGGCCATTGCAGCCACAGTGGCGGAGATTTGGACAAACCAAATCGCTTCCGAGGAAGTTCTAGATGGTGAGCCCGGCGGGGCTATGGCGTCTACTCGTCGTGATCCGAGCCGGTTGTTTTGGGAGAATGTGCACCTCTTCGCAGCTGATCCGGGTGGTGCGCATGGACCACAGAGCCAGCTGCAGAAGTCGGAGGAGGGGGGTAATCCATGTCAAAGTTGTCATGATAACCACGACAACCCCGATGCTATTAATCCAGCATCTACTTGTTCAGCGGAAAGCTCGATTCTTTCCGGAGACCGGCATGAAGATGGTGTGGAGCCAATTGCACTTCACGACGCAACGGACGACGAGATCGGTGAGAAACCGAAGGAACGCCTCTTCGACGCGTTAACGTCCCTATTTTCATCGATGCGCAACAGTGTCGAAGCAGACGGAGAGGTCGTCGTGGTGCCGGCAGGTAGTACGAAAGCCCCGGGTCAATGTCAAAGAGCAATAAGGTTTAAGATTTTTTATTTCATTCGCATTTTCGACGCTTTCCCGAACCGCGCCGAGTTGGACCTTGCGCTGCGCCTTTGGCGGGAGTGGCACCTCCACCGCCGCAAGGTCGATAGAATAAACGCCGGACAGCCGACCAGAACGCCACTCTTCGACCTAAATTCAATACGCGGCAAGCGACGCGCAAAGCGCCTCGAACGTGTGAGAAAAAACTTCGAAACCTACGGCCCAATACGAATCTGGGACTTGTCGAACATTCGCGACTTGAGCAACCTTATGTCTCAGATCTTCAGACTGGCGGAGGACTTTAGACGAAACACATGGCACCCGCAATCGTGGGAACGCTACCCGCAGACACATGCTTTATTGAAATCTAAACTCGACGTCTCGCAGTGGAACGTGAAAGGGGTCAAAAACTTTTCTTACCTATTTCAGGAGCACTCGGTCTGTTATGGTCGTCGCATGCTAGAGCTCGGGTTCGACCAGGATTTGGGTGCGTGGGATGTGAGCAGTGCGGAGACCTTCCGAGGAATGTTTGAGGACTGCACTCACTTTCAGGGCAGAAACCTCCACCGGTGGAACGTGAAGAACGCCACAGACTTCAGCTCGATGTTCCGTAAGTGCGGGCGCTTCAACGAGAACATAGGCGAATGGGATCTGGGCAGTGCAACTAGGCTCGACGACATGTTTTCTGGTTGCAAGTCGTTCAACCAAGATTTATCGAAGTGGGACGTGTCCAACGTGATCAGCTTTTCACGCATGTTCTTCGGTTGCGTGCGATTCGATCAGGATTTACGCGACTGGAAGGTTGGTGGAGGCACGAAGAACATGGTTCTCCCTTGCCGTGATGACAAATTGAATAATGTATTCATCACCATTGACGGAGCAGCTTATCAGAACTTCCGAGCCGTCTCAGTTTTCGAAATGTTCAGTGGTTGCACGAGCTTCGATGGCGACCTGTCCAACTGGAACGTATCCGTGGTACGAAAGTTTGGTAGGATGTTCGTCCCCTGTAACTCCCCGAGTCTGGCGGTACAGGCTCAGAAGGGTAGTGTTTCGTCAGGCTCTGGCGCGATCGGTTGAGACGCTAGGCGCCAGCTACTTGATCTTGAAAGCACGAACATCATTAAAGTAGATACTAGTACGCTGTTAAACAGCTGCTACTCGCTCGCCTGAAGAAGCGAGCACCCCGCGACTAATTTCACCATCGTGTTCATCATCATATGCAGAGGCCGCCGTAAGTTGATGTCCTTTGTTGTGTGAGTACAAAGTCAAAGACTTCTCGGTTCGTTTCTGTTCAAGGCTCTCTCGGTATCTTCCATCTTCGTATATGAACACTGCTAACCAACCGTCAAGCCGTCTGCATAGCAGCCGGAGCAACGAGATGCTGCTCGCTTGTGATCTCTCGGTTCCTGATTATGTCGCATTTCAAGGAATGGGCTTCACAACTTATTTCTGTTTGCTTTAAAGACCTGAATCCAGAACTGAGTCATCGGCTTTGCTGGCGAGTGGGGCAGAAATGGTGACAACATCGACGTCGGTCGGTTAGCACTCGGTCTTGTCTTTGCAGCGCGCAAATGCCTACAGTGCTCTTCGTGTATCTTCGTTTTGCCTGGTGCATACGATCGAATCCACGAAATCGCTCCAGTACTTTTCCCCTCTCTACAACCCCAACCTTTGTAAAGGAGCTATGAGAGAAAAAGATCAGAGCTAATAAAGTTTTCCTAGTATTACTTCCCAGCATAACATAATCTTAATCCCCATGACCCGGAGGCGGCGTGGCCGCGTGTCCTGGCGCCCAAAGCAAGACGCGACTTTGGTTCCTGCTTCCGCAGCAGGTTGCGACCAACCGACCAGCCTTGTTGATGGTGAGCAGACCACCTCCTCTTCAGACTCATTTCGCCTTTCGATTTGCAATGCGGTAACCGGCGACTACTTGGAAGCGCTCGGGGGCGAAGCCGGAAAAGAGTGGGACAAAGGACACACGACCCTTCGAGGGATTCGGGAGGCCATTGCAGCCACAGTGGCGGAGATTTGGACAAACCAAATCGCTTCCGAGGAAATTCTAGTTGGTGAACCCGGGCGTGCTCTGGCGTCTGCTCGTGATCCGAGCCGGTTGTTTTGGGAGAACGTGCACCTCTTCGCAGCTGATCCGGGTGGTGCGCATGGACCACAGAGCCAGCTGCAGAAGTCGAAGGAGGTGGGTAGTCCATGTCAAGAAAGTCATACCCACGACAACCCCGATCATGCTAGAAGTAATCCAGCGTCTTCTACTTCAGCGGAAAGTTCGATTCTTTCGGGAGACCGGCATGAAGATGGTGTAGAGCCAATTGCGCTTCACGACGCAACGGACGACGAGATCGGTGAGAAACCGAAGGAATGCCTCTTCGACGCGTTAACGTCCCTATTTTCATCGATGCGCAACAGTGTCGAAGGAGACCGAGAGGGCTTCGTGGTGCCTGCAGGTAGTACGGAAGCCCCGGGTCAATGTCAAGGAGCAATAAGGTTTAAGATAAAGATTTTTTATTTCATCCGCATTTTCGACGCTTTCCCGAACCGCGCCGAGTTGGACCTTGCGCTGCGCCTTTGGTGGGAGTGGCACCTCCACCGCCGGGAGGTCGGAAGAGTAAACGCAGGAGAGCCGACCAGAACGCCGCTCTTCGACCCAAATTCAAGACGCGGCAAGCGACGCGCAAAGCGGCTCGAACGTGCGAGAAAAAACTTCGAAACCTACGGCCCAATGCGAATCTGGGACTTGTCGAACATTCGCGACTTGAGCGACCTTATGTCTGACATTTTCAGACTGGCGGAGGATGAACGAGAAACCTTGGGCCTGCAAACGTTGGAACGCTACCCGCAGACACATGCTTTATTGAAATCTAAACTCGACGTCTCGCAGTGGAACGTGAAAGGGGTCAAAAACTTTTCTTACCTATTTCAGTTGCGCGCGGGCACGTACCATGGCCGCGATCGCGTCCTTCTAGAGTTCGGGCTCGACCAAGATTTGGGTGCGTGGGATGTGAGCAGTGCGGAGACCTTCCGAGGAATGTTTGAGGGCTGCATTCACTTTCAGGGCAGAAACCTCCGCCGGTGGAACGTGAAGAACGCAACGGATTTCCGCTCGATGTTCCGTGAGTGCGAGCGCTTCAACGAGAACATAGGCGAATGGGATCTGGGCAGTGCAACTAGGCTCGACGACATGTTTTCTGGTTGCGTGGCGTTCAACCAAGATTTATCAAAGTGGGACGTGTCCAACGTGATCAGCTTTTCGCGCATGTTCTTCGGGTGCGAGCGCTTCAACGAGAACATAGGCGAATGGGATCTGGGCAGTGCAACTAGCCTTGACGACATGTTTTCTGGTTGCGTGGAGTTCAACCAAGATTTATCAAAGTGGCGCGTGTCCAACGTGATCAGCTTTTCACGCATGTTCTTTGGGTGCGAGTGCTTCAACGAGAACATAGGCGAATGGGATCTGGCCAGTGCAACTAGGCTCGACGACATGTTTTCTGGTTGCGTGGCGTTCAACCAAGATTTATCGAAGTGGGACGTGTCCAACGTGATCAGCTTTTCACGCATGTTCTTCGGGTGCGAGTGCTTCGATCAGGATTTACGCGACTGGAAGGTTCGTGGAGGCACGAAGAACATGGTTCTTCCTTGCCGTTATGACAAATTGAAAAATTTATTCATCAGCATTTTTGATGACGGAGAAGCTCATCATAACTTCCGAGCCGTCTCAGTTTTCGAAATGTTCAGTGGCTGCACGAGCTTCAATGGCGACCTGTCCAACTGGAACGTATCCGTGGTACGAAAGTTTGGTACGATGTTCGTCCCCGACAATAACTCCCCGAGTCTGGCGGTACAGGCTCCTAAGAAGGGTGGTGTTTCGTCAGGCTCTGGCGCGATCGGTTGAGACGCTAGGCGCCAGCTACTTAAAAGCACGAACATCATAAAGTAGATACTAGTACGCTATTAAACAGCTGCTACTCGCTCGCCTGAAGAAGCGAGCACCTCCCGGCGACTAATTTCACCATCGTGTTCATATGCAGAGGCAGCCGTAAGTCTTTAGGCCGCGAACAATCTCAAAGTCAAACTGTTTTCGCCCCTGATCGGTTCGTGCGACAGCTGCTCATCGGTTCGTGCAATGCTACTGTAGTTGTCTACCTTGAGAAGAAAGATATTGAACTGTCAACATCGAAAACGAATAACGATTCGGTTCGTGCAACTGCGACTGCAAGTTTTACTACAACAATCATCTCGCAGAAATACGCCATCGGTAATCTTTCGTGAACTCCTCAGTTGTACTCGTTTTCGTCCAGCTTAGATGTCGTTCCCGCAATGATCAACGGTAGAGATATTAGAAACACAAACATGTATTAGTTGATGCATGATGGTCGTTTAGATAGTCGGATATCAACCACTCCCGAACAAAACACAAGGTGACACAGAGGAGGTGACACTCAAAACCATTCCCCCGCTACAAAATCAAAACCACTTTTTTACCTTCCCTGTCATGATATTCATCGGATTTTTCTTTTTGTGAGTCACTCGTAATAACTTTTACCCTTAGTTAAATGTCCTTCTTAGGATCATGATGCCCATGCCATATTTCCTACTTTTCTCCTCGACTGCTTAAAAATCAAATTCGAAGAGAAGCACCCACCTGTGCTTATACTTTAAGAATATCGTGATAAGTACGTAAAGGATCATGGGTGGTGGTTGCTCTGCGTGTTGCCAGCCGAAGCACCCGGTACTGACCGAAGTGGAGGATTTGGTCGCGGAGTGGCAGGAGCTGAAAGACATCAGATACGAAAAAGAGATTCTGCGCAAATGCCTCCGCATCCGCTCCGTGCGGGAGGGGGAGCTCATTGTCCGGAAGCTACAGGACAAGCGAAATCTGATGCAGGCCCGAAAAATGGCCTCCAGCAGGGGAGAAGAGTCCCCCCCGCAAACCACCGCGGGCGTGATGGGGGCGATTAGGGAAGAAGCGGCAGAGGCGGATCGGGCGACCGCGGTCAACAATCTTCACGACGAGGCCGACAACATTAGCGTCGAGGAGATGGTGGCGGAAATGAACTCGCTCGACCCAACCAGACAAAAAATCCTGGAAGACGAATTTCCCGCGCTCTCCGGGACGGGCTACACAAGCACAGTGGTACTGATTCGGCTTTTGATTTCAGTTTTAAATGGTGCTTGTTCTACGTGAGTGATCTTTGTTCACTTCTACGTCCAGCTCCAGCGCACACACAAATCCAAATGTAACTGTGACTGTGTTCCTCTTGCCTCAGCTGATTCGTCACGTAGTTGATAGTGCCGCTTAATTAGATCACGGTCGTCGAAAACGAATCGCTGGTCGTCGTCGGCCGAGGCTTAGCACAATAATAAAGGGTCACAGATGATGAAATCAACACTTTAAACTCACACGCCGATGAAATAATTTATTTCAGCTTTCCGCCAGTACCCTGTCCCCGCAGTCCAAGTTTGTCGGCGAGGTGCAGCGGCGCCAGGAGACGATGAAGCAGAGATTTGTGGAGCGCGAGGCGATATGGATTGTAAAAATGTCTGGGTCTGGAAGGTTGGAACTTGTAATGCTAGCTTCCCATACGTAGAAAATCTGTATTGCATAACCAGCAAAAGTCGCAGCCTCGTTTGTCATACAAAAACGCAGTTTCTCATGCGGATTGCCTATGAGAAAGCGTTTTGGGAAGTTGTCATGCCGGACTGCATTCGAAAGTGTTTTCATCATGCATTTTTAGCATCACAAGTTTCCAGACCCAGACATTTTTGCATTTCATAGGCGAGTCTGCTGCCCCGGTACGGAGCGGTGAACATTCACGACTCCCCGTGCGGGCGGGAGTGCAACCCGCGGATCCCGACCACGGCGCTGATCCAGCGTATCCGCATCGAAAAATTGGAGCGCGACGTGCGCGACTGGGAGCTCGCGACGGACCGGTTGGAACTGAAGTCGCAGGCGGAACTCCTGCGCCTGCAGTGTGGGGACGAGGACGAACCCCAACACACCACGGCCGAGCTCGTCGGTCAGGCCAACGCGGCAGAGCACAAGCCGAAGGGCGGCTTGAAAATGGGCTGGGAGTACTTCAAGGGGAACCTGCTCAAGTCAAACGAAGAAGAACCAGAACGATTCCTGACGCAGAAAGCAGGTAAAGAGAGAGTTGTTTTATTGAATGCTGCCAGCATAGTTAGTCTGGTTTCGGTTTGCTTTTTTGCATTTTCTATGCTTGTGTGCTGTGTGTAACAAACAGACAGCACACAAGCCAAGGTAGTGGTAGAGCCCTAGGAACACGCCGTGTGTTCCTACGGCTCTACCACTGCCTCCAGCGCTGCTGCGAAATGATAAAAGTTTAGTGACACTTGCATTGTTCTAAAGTACGAATAGAAAGAAAGCGTGTCAGGTGGTGGATTACGCGCATGCGCACTAGTACATAAGGGGAAAATTATAAGTTGATCATTCCATTATTATAAAAATGAACAGGCAAAGGGCCGTCGTTGACGCAGCTGCTAGTGGAGAACCATGTCGAATACGGACTGATACCCAAAACCGATGAAGCTCGGATGCTAAAGAAGCGGCGATCTATGGACTATGTCATCAAAAATTTCGTCGTGCACGATGGGCAGAACACACAAGAGGTACTTATATATCATATGTTTTTCTCGTTCTTCTTCTTGCTCGTGCGCTATAGTATACATTCATCAATGTGCTATAGCGCTTAAAGGAGCGTGAGCGACAAACCGTCTTGAATAAGCGCTGCCGCTCCACGCGAAAGAGCAACCTGAACCTTGACCTTCATGTGAGTGGTACTGCATTCATCTTGTCGAAAAGTAGAGGAAATAAGTACTGTATCGAAGTGTTTTCTTTCAAAATGAAAACAGCTTGCAGTGATTCGGGAGGAACTCGCAGCACTGCAGCACGACATCGAAGAAATCGTCACGGAGCTCCGTGCCAAGCTCCGCCTGCTCACGAAAGAAACCATCTTGGAGCGAAAAGACAAGCTCCGCATCATTCAAAAGCGGGAGCTGCGACGGTGGAAGAGCTTAGCACTTGCAGACCGAGCCGCCTACGAAGGCCCGGTATGAATAGCAATAGCTTACTTACACCATTTTCCCATGATGATCATGATTTGTAATTGCATGTACTTATGATCTCCTGTGTGTAGAAGTACTTTTATTCTAGTACAACTCTCCGGCAGCAGCACGACGAAGATTCTAATAATTCGTGCTCTCTTCATCCCACCACAGGTCCTTGCACCGACAAACGACGTGATATTGCACCCCGACAACAAATCGGAGTACGAAGCGGTACGGCGAGTCACGGTTATCTACAAAAACTGGGACCTCCTGCTGAAGCTCAAGTACGAGGACGACTACTTCGAGAGGCGAAGGGAAGCGCGACTCACTCCCGAAGAGATGGCCCCGCAAGAAGACGACGACGACGAGCCGAATGACGACGACTAAGTGTACTGTTAAACACACCAATAAAAATGAAGTTTGAGCGTACACTGTTCGTTGTGCTGCTGTTGTTTCAAGAACATTCGTGCATTTTTTTTCTTTACAGCACGGCGACGGCCTCGGTACTATTCCTCACTTTTTCTCATTATGTTTTTTTTTCAATTTTTCTCTTTTTATTTTTTTTCGCGTATTAATTTCACCAATATGAGTCTCTGTTTTTCCCCTATTAAGTAGATAACGCATATATTTATCATGTTTTTCTGTCCCGACGCCTTCCCTGCTTTTCGGTTTTTTATATCACTAGTACATGACTGAGTTTCAAGTTAGTTGTACGTAGAGGTAGAGGACTTATCATGCGACCCAAAAGTATTTTGTTTCGCGCCAGTCAGGAGGAGGTGCTTTCTTTTTCACGTGCTGCCTGTCGACCATAGATTTCCCTTAGTGTTAGTCGACTGCGCCCGCCAGCAGCATTCTGGACACGCACACACGACAGACAAGCGCCATCCGACTTCTTGTTCGGAGTAGATGACAAGGTGCATTCATCTCATAATTGCTGACCTGACTTTATTACAGCTAGGTGCAAATAATTCTCTTGTCTACTACTTCTTCTTTGATGTTGGTGTGCTGGTGCAAAATCATCACAATGCAACACTGCTAGTAGCAGTAGCACGAACGAGTCTGCTGGAAACTTCTGCAGGGTTCACCAACAAGCAATCGGATTTTCGTACCTTTCGCACATTGCGGTGAAGTAGTAAGATGAAAAGTTTCCGCTTTATTTCCTCGCAGGTGTGAATCGCATGCGCATCATCATGTTCGTACTAAGCAGGGATGTCCTCTCTGTGTTCTTGCCTTAATCAGTGCTTTTCTACTTAAGGAGCCTGAGCGATAGTTCCACTTGAACGATTGTCGCAGCGGGGGCTTCGTCCTCTAGGTGGGGTGGAGAAATCGTACTCGATTGGTTTTGGTACTATCTGACCTGGGTCGTCGTGGGGGTGCCCCTTTTTACTGCATGACTATGATAAGTATGTATCACGCATGATGTTAGACCTAGCAATCCTACTAGTAACCACGTCGGTTTGATGCAATAATCGATGGAAAAAGAAAAAATTAGACATGACCATGGTCGGCCGAAACTACCGCTACGTAGGCACTCGTTGTCTAGCCTCGGACGAGAGACCCATGAACTATGTAAAATCAAAGTATAAATCGTCAGCATCGCTTTCTAGTTCTACGGGCAGCAGTATTCGTTGGTCTTGGCGACGCGATGAATTCAGATTTTCGTCGGGTTGAGGAGGGTGGTGGAGCATGATGAGCATATTTTCGCAGGCTCGGTTGTCCTATGTGTGAGCAAGGTTGAGCGAGTCCATGTGACATTCGATTTATTTTTCGGTTTACATATTAGAAGTCGTGTACTAGTACTGTGTGTGTGCTGCGTGCCAGCAGTAGCTTGAATCTTCAAAGGACGTCGGAAAAATGATCGTGGTCGTGCCAACTACAGATCCCTCTACTCCTCTCTGAGGTACCCGAATACAGATAGAAGATTTCACCTCGTCTGGTTCATGTGGGTGAATCACAACATGCCCGAAGCGATTATGTTACCCGATTTTGTTTATCCCTCCCATCAAGTTTAAGTTAGGTGTTTATTTTACACTTGAAGCGCATGCGCACCTACATGCATGAAAAGTAGAAAATCCAAATTTTTTGATAAGACTTCTTGAGGCGAAAGATTCGAGGATCAACTCGAAGACTTACTCGTCAGATAGCGTGCTATTCATTATGTAGCCGAGCTCGGCTGATGAGAATGAGAAGCACAAATCACCCCTGTGGAACAATACAAATACTAGCGAGAGAGCTTTTTTCTCATGCGAGACGAGGGACTACGAACCGAAATTAATCTTAATGGCAATTCTTGAACTGTCCCCTATGAAATTTGGAGCTAATTACGACTCACTTTGGCTTTCGTCGTGTAACACTACAAGTACTTCTATTGCTTTGACGCAGCGACCGGATAGCGAGCAAGCTGAATAATCAATGTTAATGATGACACAGGGCTTCCTACACCATGATACTGTAGCTAGTCCACCTCCTGGCCGATAGTACTCTACGTCGTCAGCAGCAATCAGATATCGATATGGAAATAAAAGTACTTCATTACGATTGGCCACACCTCATTAATAAATGATCTTGTAGATCTGTCAGTCTCTGTGGTCTCCACTGGTGCAAATAAATTCCTCGCATATCATGGATACAACATCTAGAGAGGACTTTTTAGGAACTACACAAGCAGTACAACACACAGTACTACTACAAATACTAAGTTTGGCAAAGTGACGTCTGGTCAAGAAGGTAAATCATGTGAAGAGCAAGGAAGAGAAGATGAAGATGACGTCGTCCTCGAGTAGCATTTTTGTAGATAAGAATTGTGAGGAGCCAAGAAGAGTAGAAATACGCACCACCACGGTAGAAGAAATCGTGGAGTCCATAATTCAGAACGTACATCATACCTTCCTGCGATCTTCTACGTCCGAGTAAAACTTCATTCGTCTCCTACGAAGCTAGCAGGACGGAACCGCGAAAATTTGATGACAAGCAGTAGTTTTGGACTTAGGAATTCGTGCACAGCAAGCAGTCGATATTTTTAGTTGTTTACTCAGTGATGAAGTGCAAGTAGAACGGACGCCAAGTAACGATAGAAAGAACAGTATGAAAGCAACGAACTCCGCGGAGGCGACGAGTGTCAGCGGTGAGCGCCGAGAGGACCCACCGGCTGCACAAGTGGAACTTCATATTGACCAACGGTCGGACAACAGTCGAGATTCGAGTCCGCGGCCGTCCCCGGACCTGTTGCCGATAGCGATAGGGCAGCACGACCACATATCGTCGAACAGCGCGCCTGCGTTTTTGAGCCTGGACGAACACAACAAGAGCAAGATGTTGAATAGACCTATTATGGGAAGACAAGCAGGAGGTCCTCCTTCCAAGGAACAAGTTCAAGTAGACAATCAACACGAAATAAGCAGCTACACAACGAACGCGGGGGCGCGGCAGCAGCTGCACCACCAAGTTGTACCCCTGCTGCATGAGGAGCACGATGTTGATCACAACCAGCTGCAAGAAGTCCCACATCAATCTTCTGTGGTAGCATCCAAGGGCGAGGCGAGCGTGCAAACGGACGGACCGGGCGGCGGCGTGAATTTGGTCGTGAACAGCAACCCGCACAAGGTGGTGGTCGATTTGCTCCAGGACGAGAATTTTCTCCATCGCCGCGCCATGGACGAGGACGCGGAGGACCAGTCTTTGACCCCCCCGCCGCGAGGGCGCCCCAGCACCTACTCGAGTCAGAGCTCGCTTCCGATGCTGGTGGGCAACGGGTTCTGCTCGGAGCAGGAGGAGGACGCCGTGAGCCACAGTTGCCCCACCACGAAGTCCGCGAACATCGTGGGGGGCGGCGCTAGTGACCACGACAACCACCTCCCGACGAGCCCCACGGCCTCCGAGGACATCACGGGAACCACGACCGCGACGAAGACGGCCTTTTCCGGCCGCAGCAACCACGGGAGTTCTACTTCCCGCCGGGGCCGCCGGGATTTGGTCATCGCGATTGTGGACTTCGAGGCAAACTGCGTGCCGAACCCCGGGCGCGATGGGCCGGAGTGGGCGGACCCGAAACACCAGATCGAGGGATTCGTCAACGAAATCATCGAGTTTCCGACCGTCATCTTGACCTGCCAAGAAGAGCCGCTAGTCAGCACGCCCCTGTCTTCGGCAACATCCGAATTAATATCTCGCGCCGTTATTTCATCGGGCGGGGAGCTGCAAATAACGGAACAGGGTTCATCTTTAGTAGGGAAGAGCAGTAGTAGACCTGGTTCAACAGCACCAGCAGCGGGAGCCCCCCAAGAACTACCCGTAGTGGCAACAGGAGGAGGTGATGGAGCTCTTTCGACTAGCAAAAAGAGCGAAGAGCCAGCCATACCAGTAGTCCATCATGACGAAGACAAAGCCGTCGTGGAGACAGCTAGCCTCGCGCTTGATGTTACCTCAAAAAACAAAGGGATAATAAAGCAAGAGGAAACTTCCGCTTCGCTACCCGTGAGCAGCACCGCGAGCTGCTCCTCGGGTCCGACCCCCGCCTCCCCCAGCACCTCGAAGGACCTTCCAGCTGCGCCCAGCGTCGACGGTGCAGCGCCTGCTGCAGGGGAGGAAGAAAAAAGTTGTAACGATATCGATACGCCGTCCACCGCGACTCGCGCCGCCGCGGGAACAGCAGTTGTAACGGGACCACAGCACGCCAGTGTTGAAGTGAGGTTGGGCGAGCTGGAACATCAAAATCGCAGGGAAGATGCTGAACCAGGTAGCAAGCCCAACAGCGGATTTGATTCCTCGTCCTCGGTACCCACACCCACGACGAAGCGCTCCTCGTTTCACCCGCCCCGGTGGGCGGTAACGGAGGAGTTCAACTCCTTTGTGCGTCCCGTCCGCTTTCCGATACTGACGCCTTTCTGCAAGTCACTGACCAGCATCACGCAGGACCAGGTCGAGACTGCAGACACCTTCCATCCCGTCTGGGAACGATGGCAGCAGTTTATGAGTACTGATGTAGTTCAGACTCACGTTTTTTTTATAGTTGCTCTCGCCGCTCACGCTCAGTTCGAATTCTTGTTCTAGTTCTTCTGCTTGCGTGATATCAACATCAAGGCTTTGATTTTGAATACCACCGGATTTACGCTGTCTTGGCTTGTGCTAAAAGTGCAGTTGAAGTTGTTAGTTCTCTTTGTCAACATGTGAAAGAAGATGAAGATGATTTGATGAGACAACAAGAAGCGCAAAAATGATTTGCCAAAAAATTGGTTCTCAACAGGTAAATACCCCGCGGAGAAGGTTCTGTTCATCACTTGCGGAGACTGGGACTTTCGGCAATGCTTGCCGAAACAGCTCGCCGTCGCCGACCCGGAGCGGCGCAGCAACACGTACTGGGGCAAGAACACGCCGATCAAGCGCTGGTGCAATTTGAAACAGGTGTTTACCGCCTTGACCGGGGAGATTGTCACGCGCGACATCCCGCAGATGCTCGAGTACTTCGACCTGGACTTTGACGGTTGGGAGCACCGCGGCATCGACGACTGCAAAAACATTGCGCGCGTGGTCCAGGAGATCATCCGCCACTTCGGGGTGGAGGCATTGCAAGTGACGTCCACCGGGCACTACAACTACGCCGCGATTGCCCGGGCATACCAGGAGTACTGGAGCCGCGAGGCCGCGGCCCGTCGCGCCCGGGCGCGCGCCTTAGAGCAGGGCGTGGAGCACGCGCATCGCCTGTACGACACGACTTCCCTCTACGACTCGTCCACGTCCAGATCGGGTGCAAACACCACCACGGCTGCGATGAGCTACAACAACGGAGGGGGAGGGACGACGTCCAATATTAACAGTTCTTACAACCGGGCGGAAGACTTGTACAAAACGAGTAGCTTCTGGCCCAGTCCGGGAGCGCGGGAGCGGGAAAGGGAGCAGTACCGGCGGAACAACTACAACACGCGGGTAGGGTCGTATTACCACTACTACCGCTACGATTACCACGACGACTGGTACTACGGCCACGACAGCCGGGCTGCGAAGGGCGCAGGTCACCATGGCGGAGTGGGAACAAACGGGGGTGGCATGATGTTGAATAACAGCGGCCGGGGAGGTGGGGGCGGCCCGTACAACAGCAACAGCAACAAGAATTACCACGGCAGCAATTATGTTAACAACACGGCCACGGGGGGCGGCTGGGAAACGACCAGTAGCTCGGTGACCAGCAGCACGAACTGCACGCCAAACAGCACGCCGAACAGCCGCATGCAACAGCACCACAGCGCGTCACCCTCGCTTCGTCGCTGGGGCGCGAACGGATCTACTGCAACAGGTAATATGATGAACGGGGGCTACAATGGTGCAGGCGGAGCGCATCATGCACAGTACAACAACAATCTGCAGCACAGTTTCCATCAGGCTGGTGCGCCACAACATAGTAACAGTGGAGGTCCTCTTGGTCATCACCACATTAGTTTGAATCAACTGCCGCACCAACACGGCGCAACAGGAACAACAGGAGCACCGACTAGTACAACAACATCTTGGACGTCGACGCCCTCGCAGCATGGTGCGAATAATTCCACCGGAGCAATAAATACAAGTTCGCGCACAGTGCCATTGGCGCCGGGCGGGCGAAGTTACTTGTATCCGATGCAGACAGGGGCAGGAGGCGGGGCACCAGGGCAACAGACGCATGGTGGAAACAACAATTCGTGGAACAACAGCACGAGCAGTCGCGGCGGGTACAGCTACCCCGCACCGATATCAGCCACGTATAATTCCAGTCCGCGGTGCGACCAGAAGCACCTGGCGCAGCAGCAGGGCTACATCAACAACCACGCCTATCAGCAGCAGCAGGCCCGCATCGCGGCGCGCACGCTGACTGACCCCGTGCCCGGCGCCGCGGCTTCGCGCCGGGCCGCCAGCGGAGACCACGGTGGAGGCAGCTCACAGCAGCAGCAGACGAGCCGCGAAAGCAGTATTGCGTCGCCGCCGTGGCAGAGCAAGCGACCTCCCCGTCCGCCCACGCAATCGTGGTCGAAAACGCTACAACCGCCCACCACTCACAGCGCACCCAATAACCCATCCTCCACCGGCGACCCAGCGAGCAATTACGCGTCGCGACAGTACCAATGATGTACAAACGACATCATCTGCATCGATCCTCGGTACTGCTCACCAGAAGTTCAGAAGCCCTGTAGTTTGCCTTTCCCAACAAGAACAACTACGCTAAACTGCCCTCATTACGAGAATCTTGTTCCGGACCCAAACGCGCACGACCTCCTGTTGCCACACTCACGACGTTTGTTCACCGCGACCGCCGACAAGAACGGTGTCACCAAATAACGCAATCCTAGTACTGTATCTTTCGCGACGATAGAGCGAGTAATTTGTCCTCCCGCGCCCGCAGTAGTTGAAGCGGTAGAAGGATGAGCTAATTGCTCGTCCTTCGGCCGAGCGGCACCAGAAGGCCCTGTGGCCACCAAGACTTAGACTACACTTTGGACTCTCTACCGCGGTGCGGGAGAAGATACATGCCGCTTGCACCAAATCAATGTCAATCGATGCAGCGCCGCACTATTAAATAAAGTATCACCACAGTACAAGTACTACTTCCACCTTTGCGACTCTGCGACGTACGAAACTACTTTCCTTACAGCCAGCAAGGACCACCAGCAACCGGCTTTTCTCTCATGAGGATTCCGAGAAGTAGGGAAATCAAATTGATGGTAGATACAAGTTGTTGTGGACGTCCTAAAAGAATGCCGCAGGTGCATGCACGATTGAGCGTGAGTTCCGGAATGAGTAAACCTAAACCGCCGAAAAAGGTTGCTGCACCCTCCCAGGCCTATGTTGTATCAAAATCAAATGATTGTCGTAGAACTGTTTGTCTGTTGTAGCGCCGTCATCAAGCAAGTACGAGCATGCTTTATTATGAAGGTCACCAAGGTTTTTCAGATACTAGTCAGAAAACATAACAAAAGACAAAGAGCAAATACTATTATTTCTAGTTTGGATGTAAGTATGTTTAAAACTAAAAGAGATGCGTTAGGATCCCGATTTGAACTCACTGCTTGTGAATTCCTGGTACCTAGCAGCACACCAAAACAGAGGTCTGCTCGCAGAATGATTTTTTTATCTTTCTGTGGAGCATGGCTTTTGATGATTTTTTTACCTGTTTATGCTTTTACTCGTTTTACAACAAATTTTTCGTTCGACGTATTTAGAAGTCTATCAACATTCGCGACGCCACGAAACATTTTACATCTTTCAGCAAATAATCGAGATCAACAATATGCAGCTGCTTTTTAAGACGACCTTCCATTCTTGCCTGTTTAAGTTTTGTTTTCGACCTCGCAGATAAAAGCTACGATCACGATTGTAAAAATTCTCCTTGCTACTCATGTTCGCGAGTGGGAAGCAAAAATTATCGAAGAAAATCCTCAGTCCGTGGTTATGCATCTCGGCGGAAAAGAACGCCACTCAACAAGACCGATCGAAAAACAAATACTTCTGCTTGTCTCTACTTTTTAATCGACTGAAAAGATCTAAAATTGGCTTCTCCACTGCTAGGTCCTTGGACTGAAAATGCTTGTCAATTTTTATACGACGAGTGCAGCTACAATAAACGTAAAGTGGTGGTGGAGAGGGACCATAGCGGGCGTAGTTTATGGAACTCTTTTTATTCGTGCAAAAGAGGAAGACAGAAGCAGAACAGAAACACAAAGTAGTCGAGATGGTTTTCGCGGCTGAGACGATTTTATTTCGTGTAGAAGGCACGGAAGCCACCCTCACATTCGAAAAACGCGAAGAATGTCTGGATGGCCTCCTGTGCCCAGAATATTATTCATCTTCTATTTGTTTATTTGCCACTTTACAACTTCATCACAAGAAAAATCTGAGCTAGTATCCATTTTTATCGACGCAGCGTTGCATAATTCCATTTTACAGATAAATAGTTCGGCTTGCAGGAGACGAGAACGAGGGGTCAAGACTTTTTTAGCAGACGAGATACAGCTTCGTTGTCACAACTGAAATCTTAGGGGACAAGAGCTACAGCATAATATCTAAACAGTGCTCCTTCCTCGACAGGCCTACGGCTGTGTACCTGGATCGTGCAAAGGTGTTGAGCAGGAGATTCTTACTTCAATATGTGATACGCCCTAGGCGGGCACTACAAAAACCAGGACAGGAACCGCCTCCAGCTGTGCACCGATCTCGGTGTGCAGCCGCTAGAAGTAGAAATCGCCACCAGGCGTCTTGGGTGGGTTGCCCATGCGTGCAGAGGCGATGAGGCGGAGGGCTCTGTCTCCCGCATAGAGAAAGAGCTCAGCAACAAATCTGTATGGGGTCGGCAGCTCGAAGACGACTTTTATGCGTTCGGCCTCTCAATGCAGGCACTCAAAGAAGCAAAACCAACAGCAGCAGCATTGCGGGCAACACTGTCGAAAAAGAAACCGATACAGCCGATAAAGAAGCAGAGAGGAATAGTAGCGGGGCGCCCGAAAACAGAAAAACGGACAGCAATGGAAGAGGAGAGGCAGAGGCGATTGGAGCAGCAACGACGAGAGACTGAGGAAGCAAATAAAAAATTGCTATTACAAATCGACGGGAAAGTGTGGGGAAAGCAGTCGCGGTCTAAGTACAATTTCTCTGTCTTGGCGGAAAGCGGCGAACACATTAGTTTTCGGGTAACAGGCTTCTTCTTCTGCGAAAATTCCGGGATGGAGGAGGCAACAGTACTGGGGCACACATTCCAGCAGAACAACGCCACGAAGATCTGGACTGCAGCCACCCCCGTCGTGTGATGAGTTTGAGGGGTCCCACAGGGCCAGGAGATAGCAAAAGCACTGCACATCCATGAAAGAACTTAATCGCGAAGCTACACAGAAACACCACGGATTAAAGCAGTTGATGATGATGATGATGACTTTCGACTTTTACAAGAGCAACAAGCTTCAAATCAATCTAAATGCCAAGGCTGAATGAAATAGAACGATGCGTGACGCTACTAGGAAATTGTGACAAAAGCAACTGTAGCCTCTTTTTTTGTAGGGCCGCAAGAACCCACTACTTGCTTCTAACTAAACGTCGCAACGTCTAGGCTGAATATTTAGATGTGCTTGCGGCCTACGCTCCCAGGTCTTGGAGCTGTAGGAGCAAGTAGTCGAAGTATTCGCACCGAAGAAAGGCACTACAGAGTGATACCTACTTAAACTTACCAGCGCGGAGCTAGAAAACAAGCTCGGTGGAGCAGGCCGCGTATATTCACCGCTTCTGGGACAGGCGAGGAAAAAAATTGAGGCCAAGAATATGAAGATTGCAACACGCCGTCGTTGTATGTCCTCAAGGTAAGCGCAAGCAGGACGGAGTTGCACTGACGGGGAGCGGTAAAAATAAAGATAACCGCTGCGCAATAAACGTAGACAATTTCTTATGCCAGGTTCTTCACCCTACTAGACTTACTTGCTGGGCAAGGCCGCACCGCGAAAGCGGAGCTATTGCGGCCTGGCCAGGGCAACGACTTATCGGATAATTCTTGCGTTGAAGTTGCGGGAGACCAAACAATAGCACCAGCGCGCGTCGTTTGGAGGCAGCGACGATTGCGAACCAGAGGTGCACACCTAAGTCTGGATCTGGTGAGGGGTTGCCCCCCCTCACCACAAACATATAAAAATTAGACGCCTATAATGGCGCGTCTTTCAATTTGCTACAACCGGAGCACTACAACTCCCTTGCCTACCCGTACGCGGACCACCAAAAAGTTCATCAAAACAGTTAACCAGTATTCCGATTTCATCGACCACACCTCTTTTATCTGATCGAAGAACATGCACGGCAAGACGCATGCCACGCCATGCCATTGCAATAAAACAATTTGTTTATGCGGGAGCTGCGTTCTTTGACGCTCCTCTTGTGGAAGAAGTGTAGCTCCATCGGCCGATGCGAGTGCCGTCGATGCAGAGTATGTGTTCGTGATTTTCGTCGGACGACGAGTTTTCTTCACACAATGAGGAGTACTACTTACTCTTGGTGCTGTCCATCAGTACGCCAAGAGATGTACGACATCAGCGCCGCTTTCTTTGCTGCTTGACTAAGTCGTTGTCGCTGCAGCAGGCCACCGACAGAAATGTAGATAAAACTACATCGCGGGTCATTCTGAAGTCGCTCTCAAGCTGTTAATTTGAAGCCTGCACATCTAGCTATTATCCCAGAGAGAGAAAATATTTTTTCCGCGAGGGCTATCAAATAGCCACCCTTCTTGACAGTGAAAGAAGGTAGCCATAGTTCCACCATCTTCAAAGATCGTCTTTTAGAAATTGCGCCCAGCGCAAGACGAAGTTTACTTCTTCTTCTTTTCGAGTGTAGTTTGGCGTACTTCTATCAGAGTCGCCCGTAGTAAAAGACGCGCACGCGTCGCCGTGGTGGTGTGTAGTTGTAAGTACATATAATAACAAACTGGAGGAATAAACAAAGGCACTTCAATTGCAAGTCAAGATGCGTGATGCCTCGATGGTAGCCGCCTTTCCACCCGTCGTGTCGTCTTCTGCAAGAACCGCTACAACGGCAAGCGTGCTGTTAGGCGGCAATGACCTCCTGAATTCGGCAACCGTGCTGACCTCGTACTCTCCGGGGTTGTTCAACCTCGGGAGTGTTGTCTTGTTCGTGCTGCTGGTCCTGTATCCACCCGTGAAAATATACCATCTTGTTCTCCATCCACTTTTTATATGAAAAAGAAACAAAAAAATCTAGATCTACGTACTCCGAGAAGATGCTTTGCATGACAAGTTCAAGTTGGTTCAAACGGATGGTACTAAATTTTCAGGGAATATCCTGTGGGCGGCGAAAATTGCGCACACGTGGGCACAGTATCTGGAAACTCACAAGGCGTTGGAACTTGGGGACGTGAGGGTGCTGCAACTTGCGGGCATGAGTACTTATCTTCATATACATCGACAGTCGCGTGGTCATGGACGTTGTTGATGGATTTCTTGCTGATTTTTTGGTTTGTAGTTCTCCGCGGTTCGCTGCGATGAGGAACCCGCCGACGAGGACAGTGCAGTAAAAGTAGCTGATACGTCCAAAAGAACTACACGTGTTGTGATCATTCATTTTCGTGGAAATAAATCGTGATCGTAAATGTAAAATTGTACTTCTAGGTCCGTACCAGTGGGACATGCGGCAGCTGGAGAAAATGCATATGAAGCAGATTCTCCGCATGCGCTACCGGCAGCCGAGCGTTCCCATCCAGCGGTGCGTGGTGCCGTGCCACGCGATCACCGAGAGTGTGCGGCTCACGTTGCTGTCATCTACTTCCACGACTGCTCCTGTTAGTAGCAATGCTTCCTCGGCAGCGACCACGTCAACTTCGGCTACCTCTCCACAGAACGCATCGCCTGCCAGCAAGCGTGGTCGCGCCACGGGCGGCAGTGAAGGTTTCGAAAATACAGGAACAGCAGGCCTCGCAGCTACAGCAAAAAGTAAAACCAACACTGGTTCATCTTCTTCTGCCTCCTCCACAACTGTTCAGTTCGAAATAGATCTGGCGGTGTCCCCGGCACAAGTCAGGCTGGTCCGCGCGGAGTTGCTATTAGGCGTGCGCGCAGAGGATAGTCAGACCCTGATTTCGATGGCCAGCAGTCGGAGCCGCGTTGTCTCAACTTCCAGCAGTACCGGACGAACAGACTACGAGCCAGATGAGGACGATGATCTGTTTCCCGGGGAAAATGTGGACGCGCGGTACCGGTCCGGCATGCACGAGTTCTTGGTTGATGAACTTGAAGAAGCACCAATTACGAATGATATTACCAGGAGCACGAGAACAGCATCATCCGGAGGTCCAACAAGTCGTACTACAGCAGGTGACCAGGAGGTTGTGGAGCAGCAGGTTGTCTCTCAGCACGTTTCGCTGTCCGTGCCAAACATCGACCTGGACCTGGTGCGGCAGCGACGGGTGCCCATGCTTTTCCTCCTTCAAACAGTTTCCCCGGCGGATTACGAAAGACATTCAACAAGAAGAAGTTCAGTGACAGTGTCACCCTCCTCGTCGACCACGACCGCGTCGTCCAAAAATGCCAACTATCGCAATGATCCGCAACACGCGTCGTCGAGAGCGAAGACCATCAATCCCAGCAGGCGCGGCGGGCCACGGGCGCGGATAGGCGGGAAACCAGTGGTGACTGCCGACGTCGAAGCGTCTCTGTGGAAGATCAACAGCGTGCCGCCTCCACGCGGAGGTGCTGGCCAACAAGCGGCGGCAAAGACTACGTCCACCAGCACCTCCCAGCTCCTGCCACTGGAGCTCATCCGGCAAGTGGCCATTGCCGGCGAAGATGCGGTGGAGCTCGCTGCAATCTACGGGTTCGAAGACGCCGAGCCGGAGGACCCAGCCAGCGCGGAGTGCATGATTTGCTACGAGCGCACGAAAAACTGCATGCTGCTCCCCTGCCGCCACTGCAGCACCTGCTCGGTCTGTCTGCGGTCGCTCCGCGAAGAAAAGTGCCCGCTGTGCCTATCAAAGTGGACAATCTTATAGTTTTCACCCGCTTTGCTCCCCGCATTTGTACGTAGTAGAACACGAACAGCAGCAGAGGCTACATTAGCAGAAATTGATAGATTTCAAACCATACACGACGAAAGCTCGCCCATGGATCTTCGTCGTGCTAATTGGTGCAGCTGCAGTGCTCCTGCAGGTTGTAGTGACGGAAGGAGGTGCTCAGTGTCGTTTGCGTTTCATTGAAGATTATTTTGCATGTATAATTTTTTTCATCGTTGGCGTTAGGTCCTTCTGTGGAACCAAGAAGTTGTCCACATTCATAGTTCCGCTCCCAGTTCGACAAGCACGTCAGCTTCCCTCGGCTGCGGCGGACGTCCTCGCGCAACCGTCGTGGAAGTTCGGGCGAGGGGAGGTCAACATCGTCGTCAAGTTCGTCTGACGACGACACAGGGATGGACGACGCCAACGGAAAGTCACCACAACGGAAGAAGCGCAGGGAAAGTAAGTCGCCACCCGGAGGTGGTGCCGCGTCTGAGGATTCGGATGTCGAAGACACTGAGGGAGGAGACACGACGAGCACAACTACGCTGCCGGGCCCTGGCGAGACAACTTCTAACAGTACGACCCGCGGGGGACGAAAAAGAAAAAGTTGCAGAAACAAGAAGAACGCAACAGGATCAACATCGGCAGATTACGACACAAGCGAGAGTACTTCTACTTCATCGGACGAAGGCATCCAGATCGACGACGGCGTGGAGTCGGAAATAAAGTTTTCGTCCTCCGGGAGGAGAACATCAGTTGGAAAGTACAAAAGAGGCGCCGTTGAAGTTGTGGTTCAGGATTCGTCCGGAAGCACAGAAGTGGGCTCTACGTCGCGGCGAAGCAGGTCGAAGAAGACCAAGTACCGAGCGTTACAAGTGACGGAAGAAGTAGAGGAGGAAGGAGTAGGCACATCGCGTGGAACAGCGATGAACAAGACCGGGACAAGCATGTCGACGCGCGGTAGTACTCGTACCAGTAGTTCTTCCAGTGATCGCTATAATGGTGCGAAAAGTAGTACCGGAACCGGCGGACTAAAGAAGCAGAAGAACAAGATTCGGGCGCGGACGTCTCCACAGGAATTGCTGCGACAGTCGTCGGCAACAGCTGCTGCAATGAGACCACTACTCGGCGGTCATTCTGTGCCCGGTGAAGATTTCAGTACTAGACTGGCCGGAAGCACTAGTAGAGGACCAATTTCTGCCGCCCCCGCATCGTCTTCTACCTCTGCGAGATCTACTACCGGTAATATTGCACTTCCCGCCACCTCCGCGCGTTCTGACGGGCGCGAGCTGACGGATTTTGCCGCGCTTGGCGAGTTGGAGTCACCGATGTCGACCGGCAGCGGCATGATCCGGACTCTCTTCAGTTCCTGGACTGGCGGACTGTCCTTTCCCGGCAGCGCGGGTCGTGCCGCTTCACGAAGGGAGGGAACAAACATTCGCTCGCAGGAACCGCTTTTGGACCGTGATTCTTCAGACACGGAATTAAACCAAAGCAGGACAAGAACCGCAAACTTGTCCCTTGCACCTGAGTAGATACAGCTGGTTGTTTCATGTGGTTCATGAACAAAAAGAAAAAGCTGTGTTGGCTCTAGCAGGGTCGATGTCGAAGTCGAAGGACAGCCTCTTGAAAAAAAGTAAATGCGAGCACCCACCTCCACCTGCATGGAACTCAGCAGCTGCGTTAGTGTTTGCCCAGATTTCCATACGCTCGTTCGAAACGTGGAAACAAAATCAAAATCGAAATGTTCTACTGTCAGTACTAGATCTTCTAGTCTGAGCGATCGGTCTCCTTATTTGATCTCTTCAAAATAAGTAACGCCGACCCAGCTAATAGATGGGTCGGCGTTACTTATTGAAGCCAAGAGTGATAGCTGGCAGCTATCAGTCTTGGCGATGTGACTCGCGTGGAACCGATGGATCCTGTCGTCTCAACAAGAAGAAAGGCAGTTGATGTAGTAGTTGACACCACGTTTGTGAATGTGATGGAACAAGTACAAGTGTGACGATCTTCATGGCGATGCGTGAAGCTGTATATTTCAATGATTGCCGTTCGCACTTCTGCTACTGGGTGACCATGATGGAAAGCGCAAGACTGGTACTATCTTCCTCGTCGTTGTCTTCGTGTTGTAGAACCTCAACCTTTTGCGTATCTGCGGTTGTGATAATTGTAGGGTTGATCTCAAGCGCCGTAACCTAGCCGCATTTTGTCCGCTTCAGGCCGTTGCCGTTTTGGTCGTCCAACGTATATCATCATTGTGAAAATTATTGTGGTCGTCGCTTTTTGTCCGACTCCGATAGAGTGATGGAACCGGAACAATAAAAAGACAGCGACTAGTAGTACAACTGGCGATTATAATGGATGCGAATCATATGCAAATTCAAATAGCTCCCTCTTTACTGTTGTCCTTGTCGTGATTCTTCCTCTACTTGGTACAATTTGAATTTGTTGCAATTCAATCTCCACCATTTTTCCAAGTCTCTAGAAGTACAGGTCACTTCGGCGCTGCGTCGTGTAAGTGGTAAGTGTATAGTGGGAAAAGCATCAATTGTTTCTCAACTACAGAACTACACCACGAATCAATCTAGCACAAATTATATCTTTACGTAGTGAACAAGAGTTGTTTCTTGACACCAGTCTGTCACAGAAAATGGTCGTCGTGGATTTCTACTTTTCAACGAAGAACTAGAACTGTAACTCGTCGTGGCAGTAAGCAGGTGAAATGGACCAGTGGGAGGTGGTCGACGACCGGGAAAATAACGCAAAACGAGCGGGTGCATGCTCTCCTCCGTTTCCATTCGGCGCGAAATAAGTAAACCCTCGAAGAAGATTTTCTCGAACCATGACCTCCACGCCGTGCTGTCCCGCGCTGGGTCTGCGCGTTCTAGTTCTTGACTACTACGATTCCTACACGTACAACCTGGTGGACCTGATTCATTGCCTCACCGGCGAGAAACCCGTCTGTGTGTACCACGATCAGTTTCGGTTTATTGTAGAAAAATCGTCGTCGAGGTTCACGACAGACCAGAGGAGCACGAAAGAGAACTACGAATATGCTCGGAACCAAGGGGAGATAGACCAAGGAGGGCAAGCGCCGGGTGTAGTTCGAAATGAAGAGGGCGACGCGGAAGACTACAAAACCTACTCCTTGGGAGATTTTGATGCGGTTGTGCTTTCTCCGGGACCAGGACATCCCGATGAGTATGTTTCAGCTGCTGTTTCGACCAGAGCAACACGCGAGAAACGATCTGGCCCTGCACCGGCGGGGACAACTACTTCTGAGGGAGAGGACGGAGTAGATGCAGACGTCTTTTTTCAGAGTGAAGATTCCGCAGGACAAGCCACGCCGACGGATCGCCTGCTACACACTGCTCGAGCATCGCAAATTCCAGTCCTTGGCGTCTGTCTGGGTTTGCAGATTCTGTGTCGTTCGCAAGGGGTGGCTGTTGTGAAGGCGACGCCGGCGCACGGGCTCGTCGACGAGATAATATGCATAAGACAGCAGGAGGACGACACATCATGCTTTGGGGGAGGTGAAGATAACTACATTCCGCTACTTTCCAGCACGTCAGGAGCTATATCCACCAGCAGACCAAACGGCATAGTACCTTCAGCAAAAAGTTCAACATGTCGTGAAGCTGAACATCGAGTACACGAGGATCCATCGATATGGATGGACACTCATCCGTTGCGGTACCATCGCGAGTTCGATCATGATCGAAAAGTGGGCTCGTTCAGTAGTGCCGGGAGCCGCGCGCAATCACGATGCCACAGCCACCGACATCGAGCTAGATCCGTGGGGGCAGCACATGGCGCCGAACGGTTTCGCACACCGGGCGAGTAAGTCCCACGCCGCCGGACCGGCCCCACAAGCCCAGGCAATTCGCAATGCGGGCTGGCTGTTGCGTCTAACTAATCGCACCTGGGTGGGGTGGGGACACGGCCACGCAAGCTAGGCGCAATCCCCAAACGCTGCGCCCCCAATCTCAAAACTAGCTACCAGAACCAGCGAAGCCACCACCACAGGCACACCCATGGAGACCGCTCATTGCCGCATCGCAGGCAAGGGGCCGACTACACCTACGCCTCGCGGTGCTGCTGCAACGCCCACGCCGCTGCGAAGCTGCACGCGTGGCCAGCGCAACAGCTCCGGCGCCCTCGGCCCCGTTCGAGAATGCTGCCCGTGTGTGGTGAGCGCGGGCGGCCGGCACAAGGTACAGAAAAAGGCAGGCGGGCGCTGCGCCCCTGTGTGTGGTCTGCCGCTGGCTGGATGCGGCCGGCCTGGAAAGCCGCTGCGGTGGCAGCCCGATTCATGGCGCGGACTGCTCGTCGCGCGGGCATGGGCCTGCGGGATAAAGGGGGGGCGGCAAAATGGCTGTGGTCCCGCCCCCTTCCGGCGATGGAGGGCGGGCTCTGTGGCGCTGGCTGCACACAGCAACGGCTCTGTGGCCGCTGGCTGCATACCAAAAAATCGCACAGGCCGGCACACAGGCCAACGGCGCCGGCGCTTCGCAGAGGGTCGCGGTGTGTGCGCGGGGCTCTGCAGCGCGTGCGTGGACGCACAATCAAATTTCCGCGGCCGGCCGAGCCGGCGCTGGCAGCACAGGCTTCACCCTTCTTTCAAGAGAAACAGGGCCACTACGCTCCGGCTTGCTGAGGCCCGCTAGCGATGCACCGCCCAACGGTTCCAGGCATTTTAGAAACGCCCGCCAGTACTTGGGCTGCCGGACTGCGCCCTTCCGGGGCGGAAGGGCGCCAACGCTGCGAGCCGGGCTCACCTTTATCCGCGTGTCTGGGGGCAAGACGCGCAACGCCTGTCTCACCACGCAAAAGCGGCGGCCTGTCAGCTACTGAAAGTGCGCCACTGGTGGCCGCGCGATGATACCAAAACCCACAAACAGAGCACCACCGTCGCGATTCGTCGCCCTTTTTTGCTATGTTTTTCGCTCATGATCGCAACATTTTTTCGATCATGAGCGAAGTCGCGATGGTACCGCAGCGGTATTGTGTCCGTCCATAAACATGTCGTGAAGCTGAACATCGAGTACACGAGGACGAGCGGTTTTCGGTGGTCCGGTACCACAGTCTGGCCGCGCGAGTCGCGGATGCGCAAGCTGACCGCAGGATCCAAGTTTTGGCGACCACCGTCGACCGGCAGCTTGTCATGGCTGCCAAGATTCCGGACCAGCCGCATTACGGAGTGCAGTTTCACCCGGAATCGATCTCGACGGAGCGTGGCGTCAGCATTGTCGGAAACTTCTTGCGCATAGCGCGACATTGCAGGAGCGCAAGAAGTACAAGCACTGCGGCAGGTAGAAGTTTTGTTCCGAGAACAAACAACGATGCGATAATCTTTTCCCACCAGGATAATGACGATGAGAAAGCACTTGTTGTTGTTCCGCCAAGCGCAGATGTAGCCGGGGATTGCAGACCGGACATCATATCCCTCTCTGCTACAACCGGTACTGCGGCCGGCGCTTCTGGCAAGAATGTTGTGGACGAATACAAACCGCAAGCTCTTGTGCTGGGCTCTAGTGCTGACCAGATGCAGCAGAAAGAAAACTCCTGTGATTTTTATTCTGTTGATGGTCAACGCGCTCGGCTTGCGGCGGTGCCACTGTCCCCTGCTCCCTCGGCCTCGCTCACAACAAGTACTTCGTGCAGTGACAACGAACAACTGCTGGACGCGGTCGATGAAGTGAAGAACGGCGCAGCAGCAGGAGGGGATGCATTACAAAGATCACAGTCACACGAAAACAAGATGAAGATTCTTTGTGAAGAACACAATCAGATTCCGGCAAGCCCGAGCCGCACGGACAGAGAAACCGCACCCCCTGCTCGACCACACCTCTACGTACAGAAAATGGCAACGCCGGCGGACCTGGATACAGAGCAATTTTTTGACTACATCACGAGAAGCAGAACCCATTCTGCTGTAGTTCCCGGTGGTCGTTCATCGCCGCAAGAAACCTTGGCTGGACGAAACGAAACCAACTCTAGTAGTCGTCCCAACGACTACCTGCAGGAGGACTCTGCAGGTCGTGATGTGCTGACAGAAGTAGAAACTTCGGATGATGATCCGCTGCCCTCCACGCCCTGGCCACGGTTCTGGCTCGACAATGCGCTTGCCGAGAAAGGATCTGGATCGACGTCAACAGCGAACATTTATAATTTCTCGACCTCGTCGTCGTTCAGGTGTGCACCGGCTCGTGGCTTTTCCTACATGGGAGGAGGTTACTTTGCGGAGCTTCTGGACGAATGCATAAGCAAGGAGCCTTGTTGGATAAGAGGGAGTTGTACAACTATTGCACCAGAGGGGGCGGACCACGAATTGGGGCCGCCGCGGGCCGCGGATAATCCAGTGCCTGCTTCAGAGGAATACCTAGTTTGGTATCATCGGAACCCCGAGCAGCTGCTTCCTGCAAGAGGCGCGATGACCAAAAGCCGCTGCTGCAAAAGTAGCACCGGGACAGCTTATGTCCAGCGGCGGACAGACCACGAAAGATGTGTCGCAGACGTATACACTGTCGGCGCAAGAGCCGATTCAAGCGATGCGCCAGGAAATAAAACCGTGCCGGACGTTGAAACTAGATCTACCACAAACTCGAGTAGAAAGGTGGAACCTGTCGACGATGGTTTTCTCCCATGGTTTGAGGACTTTACTCATCGCCTCGGACACCTCACTGAGCCGGAAATTGTTGGCGCAGGAAGTGCTGAAAGCAACGAGCGTCTTCCGTTTGACTTCAGATGTGGTTTCGTGGGCTACTTTGGCTATGGGTTGCGAACTGAGACACTTGCAGGCTACGACTTTAGCAACATACGAAAGATGGCCGCTCAACAAGCTCAAGGAGAGGCTAAATTTTCATCCGAACAGCCGGGGGCGGAAAGCGAAAATCATCGCACCGCATCTACGCGGGGATCGCACATCAAGAATGCGGGACGAGAGGAGCCGGACGCTTTCTGGTCCTACGTGACACGCTGTGTGGTGCTCGATCATGCCAGTGGAGAGATGTATTTGCTTTCGCTCGGAAAAGCTTATCCAGCTGGGACCCTCGAGAAACTTGTGGAGCGCGGCCGTGCGTCGATCATGAGCAACAACAAACTCGACGACGAACAACAGGAGGGCCAAAGTCTTCCAGCAACGGTTCATCTGGATCTGGCCTCACAAAAACCGGCAGAGAAAAACGCAGAAAACGTGACCACCAATTCTACTTGCGACATGTGGAAGATCTCCCCGGTGGTCGAGAGAGCAGTTTACCAGGAAAGGGTTGATATCAAATGTAAAAATGTCTGGGTCTGGAAGATTGCCAGGTTTGTCATGTATATTTTGCATGACTCCTGATACCTGTGACGCATGCCCTAGCATCACAGATTTTGTGAGAGCTTCCTGATGCCTATACCGCATGACAAATGCTCTTTCCGTGTAGCAAAACTTGGACTCTCTTTGCTGCTCATGCAACACTGATTTTTTTAGAATCCAAAATTAGCATGACAAGTTGGATTCTTCCAGACCCAGACATTTTTACAGTTGATAGTTGAGGCCTGCCGACAACATCTGCTCGCCGGAGACTCCTACGAACTCTGCCTCACCTACGGCGTTCTCAAACGTTACATTCTCAACTGTTACATGGATTTGTGATGCAAGAATGGGAAAAATGAAAGGGGGGGCATTGCGCGTCTTGCATGACAGATTTGGCACAGATTGTCAGCCTGTTTGGCCCTTCCAGAATTTGTCATGCAGAACAGCTTGATCGTGTAGATGATAATGGTAGTTTTGCATGACAAATCATGTAACAGTTGAGAATGTAATTGTAACATTTGAGAACTCCATATCACCACACCGTGGTCGTGTGCTGGAGTAGCTTCTCCCGAAAATCAGGCGTGCTGCACGACTCAGGAGCAACATCCACATAATTCTAGTAACAATGGTGACCACGACCAGCAGCAGCATGATCTTCCAGTGGGTGGTTCTCTTGATCATGATCCCTTCGCTCTGTACAGCCGACTGCGCCGCAAGAACCCCGCCCCCTACGGCTGCTATCTCGAAGTTCCTTTGCTAGGGCTTAAAAGTCATCTCCGGCAACATGAGCAAGAGAGGCACGACCTCTTCCACTACGGAAGAGCTCCATCAAAGCCTAGTACGACCTCATCCTCATCTAGCGCCAAAGAGTGCCGCCTCACCAGTGTGAGAATTGAGACCAGTGGTGTGTTGCACGTTTTGTCCTCCTCGCCGGAGTATGAAATGCAAATATGTCTGGGTCTGGAAGAATGCAACTTGTGATGCTGAATTTGGATTCCAAAAAAATTTGTATTGCAGCATGAGCAGCAAAGGGCGTGTAATTTTTGCTACGCGGAGAGGGCATTTGTCATGCGGAATAGGCATCGCGAGGCCCTCAAAAAATCTGTGATGCTAGGGCATGCATTACAGACATGATGGCCCAGGCAAAACATGCATGACAAGTCTCAGAATCTTCCAGACCCAGACATTTTTACATTTGATACGGAGCGTTTTCTCAAGGTGGACCTTGCCGGCTGGGCGGAGATGAAGCCGATCAAGGGCACTGCGCGGCGGGGCGACTCTGCGGAGGAGGACGAGGCGCTGCGGCACTGGCTGCAGCATGATCGGAAGAACCGGGCAGAGAACTTGATGATTGCCGATCTGGTGCGGAACGACCTGGCCAAGGTCTGCGAACCGGGGTCAGTGCACTGCCCCAACCTGATGCACGTCGAGTCCTACCAGACCGTGCACCAGTTGGTGTCCACGGTGCGCGGCAAGTGCGCAGGACAAAGACGAAGCACAACTAGTTGTACATCAGATGAGCGGAACACGACCTCTAGAAGCGTGCTGCCGACTGTGGCGGCCTGCTTCCCGCCGGGCAGCATGACCGGGGCCCCCAAGAAGCGCAGTTGCGAGCTCCTGGATGCGCTCGAGGGCGGGCGGGAGCGCGGACTCTACAGCGGCTGTCTCGGCTTCATTGGGCTCGGGGAGTGCTGCGAGCTCAGCGTCGTCATCCGAACTTTGATGGTCGAGACGAGCATTGATCATTGTACTGCTGCGCCGCGGCCGCCCCCGAAATCTGCCGGTACAGTTTGTAGTTCCTCCTTCTCTTCAAAACTTGTGTCAAGCAAAGTAAAGAGTGAACAAGATGATGAGGATCTTCATGCAGTAGAAGCCCAGCATCAACGACAACTCTTCCCTCCTTCACCACGAGATCGTCGTGGCCCAGACGCGGTGCAGCACAGGCGCCAGGATGTCGTGGTCTTCACCGTCCGAGCCAACGCTGGGGGAGCGGTCACCGTGCTGTCAGATGCCAGTGACGAGTACGATGAAATGTTGCTCAAAGGGCGCGTACTGCAGCAGGTGACTTCGTTGTGGGCGAGCACGATGAAAATGAAATGCGAGGACGACCCGCCTTCGTTTCCGTGTGGAACTACAAACGGAAGAACTACAAGTAATCATCATCAAGGCCATGGTCGACTCAAGCTCAAATACGTGGACTGCCGCCATCAACGAGAAGTACGAGGACGAGAGGAAGGAGAGGGCATGCATTCCCATTTCTCCAGCGGGACGAGGACGAAGCGGGAAGATGAAGTAGATGAGGTGCAGACCACCAAACAAGAATTATGCCCACGACCAGTTGTATCGTCCCCATGTTGCGGTATTTTCACCACACTGTTGTTTCTGTACTTTCCGCAAAATGCCTCGTCTTTCGTCCCTTTTCTTCGCGACCACTGGGCGCGCCTCTGCGAGGGGGCCCGCGGAACGCTTCCCGATCCACTCCGCACGCCGGAAGCACTCTTGGACGCAATCAAGAAGACAGCCCTCTCTCAGATTGAAGAAGATCGTAGGAGAAAAATCGCCCCCCAACGGGCAGTCGTTGGCGATGATAACGACGACATGACAAAAACGAAAAGAAAACCTGATGAGGAACAGTCAGTTGCATTGCTCCCGCAAGTGCGTGCTTTTCGAGTAAAGGTATCGGTCTTGGGGTCTTCGTTTCTTCAATCGGACTCAGTCGCAGGTGCGGAAAACAAGGATGCTGGAACAAGGGTTGTTCTACGAAGTGATGCATCTGCGGGCGTGGTCGACGTGGAAACTGATGGATCTAGTGCAAGAAACATCGCGATGAGAGGACATCAGCATGCGGTGACATCAAACGGGATGAAAATCGAAGCTTTCCCAGTACCGCAGTCCGGTCTGCCGTCCGCATGGGATGTCACCGCGATTTTTCAACTGATGTGCTTTGCAGCATCGCAGAACAAGTCTTCTGATTTTTCTTGTGCTGATAATATAGATGCTCTACTTTTGGAGATGTGGTATAGATGTACAGAACCTTCGACCAGCGGTAACGGAAGAGTGAGTCAAAGGCGCCGAGAAAACTGCTTTGAACCTGAAAATAAACGCTCTCCCCAAGAACCTCGTACTGGGTTTATGAGGGTAGCGCTCGACGTGAGTCCAACACGGACCGATCGGTATGAAATGTACAGCAAGGCACTAGAAGGCAGGCCGCTCTACGACCGGAGTCTGCAGCGAGTGCGAGATGAAATACTGAATCAGCTCCCTCGTCGTCGACACGAGAAAGAATGCAGAACCGGTGGAAATGATAATAACGATGACGCAAATGGTCTGCGTGGTAGTGGGAATGATAGTTCAAGTAGTTCGAAAGCCGAAGGAGCCAAAACAAGCGGAAGCCAGCCTGAAGGGGCTATGGAGGATGTCGATGATCAGGCCACAAATGCAACGCTAAGCGCTTCTCAAGAAATAGAATCTGCTCTCCTGTACAACTTACGTGGCGAGGTGACGGAACTTACCATTGCCAACGTGGCTTTTGAGATTCGTCCCGGTCTCTGGATAACGCCGCCATTGCGTAGTGGTCTCCTGCCTGGAATATCGCCGGATAAATTGCCATTTTCAGCGTCACTGCTTTCCCATGGCAATGTCTGCATGCCATAATGAACCAAGAGCAAGAACAACTACATAAAGAAATTGCCGTTCTATGTCTGATATGAAGACAGCGAGTACCTCTTCATGATATGGTATGCATTTGTTTGTACTTATATTATTGTTTACTTTTACATGCTTTTAGATTCTCGTCCCTCTCGCTCTAGCGCATGCATGATACTGAAAAATTGCGAATTGCTGACGATGGAAATGATTTTACCTAGGATGGTGGGTTGTTCGATCCCATTTGCTGCGGTTACAACTTATTCGAGAACAGGTTCTTACCGTCGGCGACCTGTGCAGGAGCGCAGGTTGGGATGGGAACGCGGAAAGAACTGCTGGAGGAAACCGAAACTGCGATACAGCTAGGCCACGGCAGTTGCGCTGCGTTGCCTTCAACGCCTTTCGTGGCATTTTTCCCGTGAGACTAGACGTACAAGTGCACATGAACAAACGCCAGGCTTTGGCTTGAAAGGAATTTGCGGCTCCTGCGTAGTTTTTTGTTGAGCTTTTATTTTCGCAGTTTTCCGCATCCACTAAGGGATGCGAATTGATGATGTTCATTCTTCTTCATCTTCTGACCTGCGCTTTTTTTGAATCGCTATATCGACTCGGTCATCTCTAATTAACATGAAGTAGATGCTCGGTCTGCGTCTCTCATTTGCTAGTACAACTCCAGCGACAATATTAGCTGTTATCGTTGTGTACTAGCTAGCGTCACAACGAGATGTATTAACTCGGTCTTTTACTTTTCTCTCTAGCGTACAACCGTCGGTCAGTGGTTTAAGAAAAATTGGTGTCACGAACTCTCGGTGTCGTAGCGTCCTTCCCATTGCCGCAGGAGTAGAGAACGAAGTGCCTCTATGTGCAAAATTTTTGTGGACAAACTGCAATTCGTACCGCCTACAACGGCTTCAAGAATCTAAATCTTCGGTTCCTTCGTGCAATGCCAATTTGATCGGGTGCTGAAAATAAAGAACAGATGGAGCAGAAGATACTACTCGTGCTAGTTCGTCCGAAGACACGACGTTCACGTATGTTAAATGCAAAGAAAGTCCCACGGCCCACACTTTTAAGAGGCTGCAATCTGTGTAGTTCGAATTATCTTAGGTGGAGCTTCTCTGTGCTACTTAATCGCGTCGGTTGGTCGTGCTGCGGTCGGTGCGTATGCTTAATCGCGTCGGTTGCTCGTGCTGCGGTCGGCGCGTATCGTTCTGTGCCCAGGCTTGTCTCCAAGCATGGATGTCGTTTGTCGTGCAAAAATTGCGGTGCAACAACTGATACGTCCTCGGCTTTTTGCAACTTAAATCTTTTTTGTGCCTTTGGTGCGATGAAAGCTCCGGTTGTACAACGAACTAGAAGAAACTTAACAAGGTTTGCGATCATTTTGCCTTCCAGGTTGAATGTGGTGTGCATGACTCCCCGTCTTGTGCACGTTTACACTCAACAACTTCCTCAGTTTTAATCTGCTGTCGAATTAAACTTAAAGAAGATTTTTGCAAAACTTCTACCTTCAGTATTCACAACAACGTCCACTCAACAAAGCAGAAGAAGTCTGACTGATTCGTCTTGTTGAACAAATCAAGACTCGTAAGGTTTACTACATCTGAAGAGAAGCGCTCGTAGTACACCTCTTCTACTATTCTTGGATCTCGTCTTGTGAAGGAGACACTTACGACGACTAAAGCAACTTGTTGGCAACGCTAATATTGCCAACAAGACACAACAAAGGAACTCAGTGCAGACGTTCATCTAAACTACAACAAGAAGCCAACGTTCACAAATAACTTTCAGCATCATCTTGAAAATGCTTTTCTCACTGTTGTATTTCTTGGAGCAGGCTCGCAACGAGGAGGCGAAGAAAAAGAAGGACTGAAGACATCTCGGTGCTTAAGTAACTTCTTGTGAGGACGAGCAGTACAACCAGTGCCTGTGTGGAGGTCTTTTAGAAGCACTTCTACGCTACAACTACACTTACGTCGAACAGCAACAAGCATCTGCAACTGCAACTGCACAGCACACCGCGTAATTCGCTTTCCGACAAGAAAGGCTGCAACAAAAGGACCACGAGAAGCATCGACGCGAAATAAGGCGTTGCGAAAACAAATCGGAAACAAGAACGTGAACGAGAGCAACTTCAATCCGACGAGAAGCTCTTTCAACAAGCGAAAAACATCTCGAAAAACTTGTGTTTTGGAAACAAAACGTCCTCTACTTTATTCCGTGGACGAGCAGCAGCAGAACGAAGTAGAACAACTCGCACGAGGAACAACACAACTACATCCTGCATCATGGTGGGCTGTAAAAAGTTCATCGCGGGGTCGCTCTACTGGGCGACGACGGCCGCGGCCGAGCTCGTGGACCACCAGCAGGCCGCGCCCGGGGCCGTGGTCGCGGTATCAGCGGAGGGCGAGACCGAAACCACTCCGGGAGCTGCCCTCCCCCCGGCGGAGGGGACGACGACGGAGAAGGTCGTGGACGAAGTGGGCGGCCAGGATGTGTTAAACAAGAACGACGCCGAGACGATCGCTGCCGCTGCGCCCACCACCTCCGCTACTGCGGGCTTCATGGCGCCTCGTGGGGCCGCGAACAAGAACGTCGCTGGAGGCTTGCTGGACAACTTGTTCGAGGGACTCAAGGACCACATGGCCCCCTCCTCGTCCTCTCCCGGCGGGGGCTTCCTGCAGCGCAAGCAAGTCGTCGACGAAGTCGATCGTGTTCAACATGATGTGGTCGAAGATGCGGCTAAAGAGCCTGCGGATTCATCCTCCGTCAACATGGGCGACGAGGTTGCGACTCCTGCTGCATCCTCGGACGAACATCAATCGGGTGAAGCCGGCATCATGCTGCAGACGGAGCAGGCTGCTCCTGTTCAAGAACATCTTCCCGCCACCGACGGTGCCGGCGGTGATCCTCTGCCGACAACTTCTCCCACGATGATCCCGGGCGGCGGGGCTCTCGGTGCTGGAATTCATCCACCCGGAGGTGAGCTGCAAGATGATCAAAACCCGACCTCCGCGGGTGCTCCTCCTACGCAGTTGTTCTCTGCGCTGGAGGTGAAGGAAGGACGCGTGGGAACGGGAACCAAAGAAGGGGTTGCCGTTGCGACGAAAGAACGGAAGACGGTCCGGGGGACGACCTCCAACAAGCGTGGTCGTCGCGGCAGTCGGAACAAGAAGAACCGGCGCGCGGGGGCCTCCTGCGGGGCCGGCGGCTGCACGACGGGCAAGAAGAAGCGTGGGGGCCGCGCGAAGCGGGCCGCGGCCTCCGCGACCGCCTCCGCGTCTGCCGAAAACTTCTCCTCGGTCTCCGACGGCGACGAAGTGCTGCCTGCGCTGACCAGCGGCGGCGGCGATTCGGTGCTCGGCCCGCTGCCCGCATCCGCCTCGGAAAATGGAGGTGAAGAACACACCGGCGCCGGCGGAGGTAGTACCAGCAGCGCGGCGGCTGAAGCCGAGGCAGCGTCCTCGAGTACTACCTCCCGTCTTGGCTGCCTCGGGGGCTCCTGTGGCGGAAGCAGCACCAGCGTCAGTGCCGAAGCTGCCGCGAAGGCTATCGATCGCAAACGTGTCTGGGTCTGGAAGAATACGAGGACTTGCGCTGCTGCATTTGGATTCCAAAAAAATGAAAATCTGTACTGCATGAGCAGCAAAAGGAATCTAATTTGTGCTACGCGGAGGAGAAGGCATTTATTTTCATGCGGAGTAGGCATCAAGAAGCCCTCGAAAAATCTGTGATGCTCGAGCATGCATCGCAGACGAGACATCATGGCTCATGCAAAACGTGCATGACTAGTCTCAGAATCACCCAGACCCAGACATGTTTGCGATTGATAAAAGCGACGGCGGAACAAGACGATGAAGATCATGACCTGCGGATGACTTCGGAAACCTTCCCAACGCTGTCCTCAGTCTCCACGGTGTATCACAGACAAATTTCTTCTGTAAAAATATCCGTTTCTCTGTTGAGGGAGCGGTAGCGGAGCGTCGTCTGCAGAATATATTAAAGATGCTAAAATTTTTAAAATGTACTTACAAACCTCGATACTTTTAATACGTGCCGAAAGATGAAAATGTTCGTTGTACTACATTGAAGATGCGTCAGCTCTTGTAATGAAGCAGCTAAATGACCCTGTGCGTCAGGTCCTGATAGTAAAAAAATACCTCCTTTAGTTTACCTCCTAGTTGTTGAGCACGACGCAGCTCAACATGATTATTATATTTCTTTGTTTTTTGCTGTTTCTTTGCAGTGTTGTAGATGACAACCACCCCAGTTATAGGCAGAGCAAATGGAAGTTTTTTACATTGCATACACGTGGGCCGACGTCTTCTCTGTCTGGAATTCCGGGACCGTCCTTCGGGATGGGGGCACCAGGCACCACCGGGAAAAAACCGCGGACTCGGCGTGGACAATCCAGCCATGAAACTGGACCTGATGGATCTTGGCGCCCTGCAACTACTGGACCTGGTGGTCAACGTTGGCGCCGTGGTGAAACTACTGGACCTGGTGGTCAACATTGGGACCGTGAACAAACTGGACCTGGTGGTTATTGGCGCCGTACAACTGGACCCCATGGCGAGGAACAATGGCTGTGGCACGACTACGCCTCCGGTGAAGATCATGTCTACGAACAAGATGAATACGAGGACTGGAACTGGGACAACTAGTATGACGGTTCATTTATTGTCTTTGTCACGATCTTCATCAGAAGAACCATTGCAAGCTTCACGTAAGTAGATACCGTTAACGGAAGTTGTGATGCAGTGACGCATCAGAAAAGGTGCCCAAATTTGTATTGCCATTGCGTAGGAGCATGCACGAGCACGAGCACGGAAGGCAAAATTTGTAATGCATGACTGCCATCTGGATCTGATGTGAAAACCCAAACCGTTAACGTTAACAGCACTTTTTTGTTTGATAGTAGAACAAGTAGAAGAGATATCAGTAAAATAATTTTTGGTCGCTCGCCCCTTGAGAGTCATGTATCTGTGGTCTCTATGCAAAGCACCAGGCAAGACGTGCTGGCTGTGCTAGAGCAATAGTTGCCGCGATGATTATCGTGATGGTCTTTTTTTCTTGGATAAGAACGGGGACTACGACGACTGGTGGGACTACGACGAAGACGATGTCGATCATGGCGAGGGTTGGGACGGTTCCTGGGGCTGGTGGAAAAAAAACAACTGGGACGAGAACTACGGCGACGAACACGATGTCGATGGCAAAGGGCGGGACAGAAGTTCCTGGGGCGGGGGAGGTTCCTATCCAGTGCAAATAAGTCTGGGTCTGGAACATAGCAACTTGTCATGCTACATCTGAATCATGCAAGAATCTGTGTTGCATGAGTTTGAGTACCAAGAGCCGTCCATTTTTGACCAGGGAGGTGCGGGGGAGTTTCTCATGCAGAATAGACATGATAGAGATCCCATAGAAGCTGTCATGCTAGGTCCTGCATTCCAGACCTCATGGGTCATGGAAAACCTGCATTACATAGATACAAATCGCGTATTCTTGTTCCAGACCCAGACATATTCGCATTTGATAGTTCCTGGGGCTGGTGGGGACCGGCAACTTCTGATCATCCACCAGATCCATCCCGGGCAACTTCGTCGTTGATCACACCCGAATTCCCGTTCACAACTGCGACGGACAGCGACGGCGGCTTACGAACGGAATTCCTGCAAAAAGTCTCCTCCGAGAGCGGGAAAAAAAGCCAGCCGTTCTACATCGTTTCTTATGCGGACCAGCAGAGCGTGGTTCTGGCAGTTCACGAAGAACGCTACAAAAACGACGTCCAAGCTGGCCATCCAGGGGCTGCACTTTGGTTCCAAGAAATCCTTACCTCGGGGTCCGAGCAGGACATGCCGTTCGAAGATCTCAGTCCTGCAAACAGCGTCCAATTCGAATTCCGGCGTACCACTAATGACCATTTTCCCTGTGGAAAGTTCGTGAGTGTTCGTACGCTGGAACTCGATTTCGTGTACAAGAATCGAAATGGGCAAGCGGAGACTCTGGTGCGGAACTACAACCAACAGCGGATGAACAAGTACAAACGAGCCGTGGGGGATCCCTGGCTGAACGAAGAAGCCTTGCGGGCAGCCGAAGTAAACTCGAACCTTGCCGCTTCATCTCATCTGCCTGCCTCCCGTATTCGTTGCAAAAGTAATATCGTACTAGAACTGGTATGTATTCTTGCACGACAAATTTTTATTTTATCAAGAAGAATAAGTGCAATTCGAATTCCTAATGGTGATTCATGTAAGAAACTTACTAGAAGATGTGTCATGCATAGCTGCAAATTGTACGAGTGCGATACTTTTGCGCAGCATACGCCTTTGTTTGACGCGAGTGTCGGAGGAGCTAGATGGAGATGATGAAGGAGAAACCGGGCCTCTGTGTATCCATGGTTTTTCTTCACACGCCCATGGCCGATCTTTCGCTTTGCTTGTTTTCTTTGGCATCTCTACTTTACATTTACAATCGATTCGTGCATGATGAAGAATGACAATGAGTGTGATGTGTTTTATTATTGTTTTACGTAAGGGTAAGTTGTACTTGTAGAAGTTGATGAAGATGATGATGATGCTGATGATGATGTTAATGAGAGATTGAGATACATCAACGACAGAGTTTGCGGAGCGAAAATCGCAACGGGGCGTGATATGTTAGGTCCCCATAGTGCTCCTAGATGACTGCCTTGGCCCGAACAAACCGCAGGCTAACGACTACGAGGAGCAGGATCAAGTTTTTTGCATGCTTCCAGATTCTCGCCAGAAGAATGTCGCAGTCTTCCAAAACCTCGAGGTGCAGCACCCAGATGGAGCAGAAGCCGAGTACGCGATTGAATTCGTGGACTTTCCAAATGGTATGAATCTACTTAGATTTTCTATTTCTCGTATTGGGTGACAGAAATATGAGCACCACCACCAGCGCCATACTCCATAGATATGAAGATTCATCCACATCGAAGTGACAGAGCAAAGTAAATCACTGTTGCTGGATCTGCGTTCTAATTTAGATTCGTAGCAGGCTGGTCAAACCAACGCAAGAAAGAACGGGTAAGGTAAAAAAACAACAACAAACTCTTGCTGCCGCACTACATAAAAATATATATTTATAATGCTCATACATTCTTCGGTTGAGAATGAGAATATTCATATTGCATTACGGTCGCGTAGCGTTCTCGCTGCGCGACCAGAACGCAGTTTCAGAGTTTCTCGGTGCTTTATTATTTTTTCAGAGTTCTTCTTCTTTTCCTATTTCAATTTCAATTTGAATTTCTATATTCATCTTATGCCACGACCACGAGCGATCGGTGTGATCCCATCGGTGAGGGTTGTTTCTGTTTGTGCAGTTCTGAGACATTTTCTTGTTGTTGCTTCCTTCCATCTTCAAACTTGACCTGATTTCATGCAAAATTGCGCTTTTTATGCCAAAATTTTATAGAAATGCCTTCAACCAATACTGTACAGAGATCCCGCCCAAAACGGACGGGCAGCGACCGCCGCCAGAAGGCTCGCCGCGGCATTGGTCCGCAGAAACCCTGGATTTGAATCTGCTGCACGCGCCCTACTTCGCATTGCAGTGGGTGAAAAACACGAATGACAACAACAACAACAACAACAACAACTGGGGCGGCCGTCGTGGTGGCAATCGTGGCCAATCTGGAAGCACGTGGTGGCGGGATGAAAACAATCGCGGTCAGCACTATGGGAGTGTCAGGATCGAAATCGATAACTGGTATAATGCATAAACTGCGATGCAAAAAGTGACTCTATTGCTGAGGATGCAAGGGAGGCAGAAGATTGTACAACCGTCCTGCTAAGGGTCTTGCTGAATAGCATGACAGAGGGGAGGAGCTCCTTTGCCGTAAACGGCATGACAGATTCACTATCACTTCCGGCACGGGGGAAATTTGTCATGCGACGACTACAAACTCTGGGTCCAGCTGGTATCGATGTATTTGTCATGACGACCTGGTGGCCTGACCTTCTGCGGAAAGGTGCCAACGTTTACGTGTTGTGTAGCGGTTTCGGTGGTCGGTTTAGCGTTATATCAAAGCATTTCAACTTTGTCGATTTCGAGCCTGACAGTTTCATAAGTGCGGAGGAGGAAGTGGAAACGGTCGCGGGTGGAACAACTGGAACAATGGAAACGACCGCAACCGGCCCGAGACGTACCACTGGGACCCGACACTGAATCGCAACGTCAAATACGAGCAAAATTCCGATGGCAAGTGGTACGCTTGGGCTACGGACAATGGCGGCAACCAGTACTGGAAGGACTGGGACGGCAGAAACGGCAACTGGAACCTGTGGACGGAAGACCCACGGAACCAACGAGTGCAGCAGACTCAGCCAGCACTGCAGCAGCAGCAGCCATCTTCGGCTGTTGCAGCTTCGCCACCGGTTTCTGCTGTTCCGTCCTCCACCTCCTGGCGGTTGGGCTCGCCAGCATCGGTCGTGTGGCCATCTTCAATGTCTGGGACTCCCCCGCCGGGAACACCGCTCGGTGGGGCGGCTGCGCTCTGGACAGTTCCGCGCACGGGCATCGCGGCCACCAATGCGTTTCGTGGTGCGGGTGCAGCTCGTAGTGCGATTTCAGCTTCATTCATGGAAACCTCCCACCACCGGGACGAAAGCAATGAAGCAGAACAACAAGAAGAAGAACAAGCTGCCGGAGCCAAACACGAAGAACAAGATGCAGGCACTGCAACTGCTCCTGCGCAGGCCGGGAGCCGGTAAGAGAAGGAAGTGGAACTACCGCTGAGACGAGGAAGGCAGGTATGCATTGCAAATGTGTCTGGGTCTGGAAACTTGTGATGCAAGGAGGGGACGAACAGCCCGTAGACCTCCGATGTGATGCAAGGAGGGGCATTATAGTGAGCACAATGCAAAAATTATGCGCTCCCCAGCATGACAAGTCTTTCCGTGGTTCAGAGACAGAGTTGCGCACTCCGCATGAGAAGCTCCTGCGTTTTTGCATGACAGACAAGAGGAGCTTTTCGTGGGCACGCAAGTAGACAGAGCTCAGAGTCATGCCAGACTAGCATGATAGAGTAGACAGAGTCATGCCAGACTCCGTAGCCATTTTGGCTCAAGACTTTGTCTTGTTGCCTGAGATCCATCAATGTAGAACAGGGGGAGCTATGCCGTAGAGTAGGACCATCTCTTGCTTTTCTCATCAATTGTTTACCTACCACTGACGCCACGTCGGTACCTCCCCCGACTCCCTGCAGTGGAGTTTCGAAATGAAATTACATAAACACCCGTACGTGGCGGGTCCTCTGTGCCCCTTTTACAGTAGTGCTAGCTAGAGCATCGACGCCCCGAGCGTCCGTGCGCACACTTCAAATGAACATGACCTCTCCTCCGGAGACAGCCTTCGACTCACCGACTTGCCCACGCCTAGAAGCACGGGAAAAGACCGCCACACAGACAAAGACCGCTCCTCCGCCGGTGGATTTGGCAGGCGCCAAGGCAAGCACAGCATGGGCCTCAGGTCAACGCACAACACGAGCGGACTCGGAAGACTTTACACACAGCAAACTCCTGGCGTGAGCCCGCCGAGTCGGGACGCCTCGGGCATCGTCTCGATGAAGCCATGCCTCGCCCGTTCGGCGGTCCGTCCAGTTCCGGTAGCGTCCGCGAGGCAGCTGCAAAAGCCAGCTTAGACGGTATTTTAGTCCCGGGAATGCTGCAGAATTTGCTTTTTTTTTTTTTCGAATGTTTTGCATGCTTAGAATTAAAAATTAAAAATTGCCCCTGTTTTTACTGTCTAATTACGAGTGGATATTATATATACGAATATGGCGGCGTGTTGCGGGTGCTCGGGGGCGGAGCACGTCCGTCCCCGCCTTTGCTCCAAAAATGTACCTCAGGTTCCAGTCGGACCCGGCTCTCCCCAACTAGAGTCGAGAAGCTGCCAGCTCCTCCGCAGAATCCGCTCGTACTGTGCATCACCGGACGGCGCACTGATGGCCCAGTCCCCGGCGGCAGAACATGCAATGGACTTGGACTCGAGTGTGGCGATGGCGAACGCGCGATAGTACGGTCCTGCGGCCCGCGGGACAAGGTTGAAGGTACAGTGCGGCCCACCGCGGCGGTTCCGGACTGGCCTGCGCCCCCACCGCATCTTCCCCCCCAGAATCCAGGGCAGACCTGATAGTCTGTGCGCGTAAAGTCCCTGCTGTGACTCTAGCGGCACCCCTGATAGAGTGTGTTTGGATTCTGGGCTCTCGCCTTAGCGCGTAGGCGCCCGCGTCCCCCCCGGTTCTTGATTCCGGCCTACGACCGGGCAGCACGCCAAGCCTGTCGACCCCAGGTCGTCTCTCGCCTACATTATCGTATAGCCCCCGATGCGTCACTGTGAGAATTCAATCATGAACAATCAGACTAGTCTAGCTCAGTTATTGGACCCTGGAGGGCGAGCCGCAGGACAAAAAGTGAAAAAAGTCAGACGGAACGCGAAAGGCAGAGGAGCGGTGTATTCCCTGCTAGCATCAATTGGACAAGGATCATCCGCAGCGTAAAATAAGATCTCTCAGGCCGATAAGCCGTGGAATTGTCTCTGGTAGACGAGCAGAAATTTGATAAATTGCAAGACAAAACAGGACTTGAATCGGCAGGCAGGTATCCTTAGTTCCAACGGAGAAAGCATTGCTAGTCTGCTAGCGAGTAATTTATGTTGCACAAGCTCGGCCAACTAGCCTCATCAATTGTCAACTAACACTTCGAACCTATTAAGACTGTCACTGTCGAAGTCAATCTGTGCCATTGAACGCTGTTTAACCTTCATCGGGCTCTCAGTTATCATCGAGGTAGTGCGCACAGGTTTTTGGCACGGAGGTGCCTGCAGCGCATCATCAAATTTAATCTGAAGCGCTTTGAATTAATAAAGACAAGCACTATAATCCACAAGGAGACTCGCCGGCGATGTCGTGGACCCGCGCCACGGAGGAGGACGCGGCACTGCAGTCCTCGCTGGAAGCTCTAACCCACACTGTGGGTCACATCGAAAACCGCTTCAAGGTCTGCATTCGCTGCCCGGCGATCTTCGCAGACAGCGAGGACATCCGGCAGAACGTCAACCTGCCAGACAAAGCAGGGATTGCGAAGCGCCTAGCTGACGTCGCCCAAGCCGCGACAATGGACGAAAGCAAGCAGTGGAGCAAGGTCGAGGAGAAGCACTTCAAGGACGGAATTGCAAAGCTGGCCGAAGTCCTGCTGGTCATATCCAAGGAGCCGCAAACGATCAAGCACATTCGTAAAACAGGTGACAACTGGGGCGAGATCAAAATGTCCCCGACCTCCACCCTGAACTTCTTGAACGACTACGCCTGCCGCGACGTGCTGAACGTCACCAAAGTTTACAACTCGCCAGACCTGCACATCCGTCCGCCGCGGCCACCGCAAACGAAGCAGAAGCAGCTGAAAGGAAAGGGGAAAGGGGGTGGCAAGGCGTTACACAACCACGGCATCCCCCTGAGCGGCCCAAACAGCCTTCCGGTATCCGCTCTGGATAACCAGGCGGGCGTGGAGGTCGTGCTTACGAGCCGTCGAGACGCAGAGCGCCGCGCCAAGCGAGATAGTCGCACTCGCCATGGCCGGGACATTTCTACTATTAGCGAGGGATGTACCGACAACGTCACCACCTACGGGGGGGTCTCTGGATCGGGACGCGGAGGTGCAGGGAGAATCCAGCTCAAGCGGCGACGCTCGGCGAGCCGGGACGGACGCCAAACTGGGCGTACACACGATTCGCGCCCCCGCCGCGACTCGCGGTACAGGGCCAAGCGCCGGAAGCGGTCGGGGTACGAGGCTGGCGGACAAGGACGGGGTACATCGGCGCGAGATGAGTCTCCGCACGACCAAAAGCCGAGCCGCAACAGCTCGCTACGGGCTCCCGCTGAGACCAATGCGCAAGCAGCCGTTCCGGTGCCTGCCCCCAGGCTCACCACGGAGGACGTGACCAGACTGATCAAGCGATTCACGCAGGAGGAGGACGGCTTCGTGGACTCGTTGCAGCTGGCCATACAACTGCAGCGAAAGCTGAGGAAGACCGGATGCAGCGAGAAGCGTTGCAGCTTAGCCTGCACGGCGATCAGTATGGGCCTAGCGAACAACAGAAAAGATCTTGACCGGTGCATTGAGTTATGCATAGAGAATGCATACAAAGAGGAGTCATCTTCCTCTGCCAACCAGACTTCCTCCGCTACCAAGTCACAGCAAAGCGCGTGCGGTTCGAGCCAGCCCGTGGCGGCGTCCGGATCAGAGCAAACCTCCCAGCGAAGCGAGTCCACCGGCGCGAATGCCGGGCTAGGTGGCGCAGCCGAAAACCCGACCCCCGTTGCAGGCTCCTCCTCGAGCTCCAACTATGGCGTCGCGGAGAGCTCAGGTGAGGGGGAAGCGGACGACGGGACGGCGAAGTCCACGGGCATGCCCGAGGAGGGCACGGTCGGGGTGAAGGAGGAGCTCGTAGCCGCGGAGAGGAACGTGACCAACGAGCGCAGCGCGGACGGGCGCAGCTCGGACGCAGCGGCACCCAGTGCCGTCTTCCCGTCTTCCACAGCTGCTACTGCCAACCAGGTCCCGCTCTCAGGCTCTGGCGGCCAAGTCGTCCGCAGCAAGCCCCCCCAAGAAACAATCGCCCACGCTCGGCAGGGCACAGGGCCTGGCGGCGCCGTTCGGGTCGAGGACGTACAAAAGGTTTTCGACGACCTAGCGGGGCGTGACAACGCACTGATTACTGTGCCTCTGGCCAACCTGCTCTGGTCAAGAGAAATGCTAAGCTTCGGCGACGCGCTGAAGATCGCAGCGGAGGTGGAAAAAGCCAGCGCGTCGAAGGTCGGCTGCCGGGAGTGGATCGAAGCGGCCGTGGATGTGGCAAACGGAGATAAGATCTTCACCAAGGACGGGCACATAGCTGATCGGCCGGCAGAGGCCGGTTTCCAACGGAGTAGCGAAGAGGCACCGCCGCACGTCCCGATGCTTAACCCCTTCCAGGCCACGCAGGCAACGGCAATGGCAGTTGCGATAGAAGAAGCGCGGACCTCATCTCGCACTGGCACGGGGCCGGGCGGGGTGTACACCAGGGCGGACCTGCAGGCTGTCGTCGACAATTGCGGCGGTCGGCCGTGCACAAGCGAGGTGTTGGGATTCCTTCGATCAACCGGCAAAGTGGCAGAGGCGGACGCTGCCGTCTTCGCCGGGGCCATTTGCAGAGCGGCAGCGAGCAACATCGGCTTGGCTGACCTCATCAGCAAAGCCGTGGATCTGGCAAACGGCACAGGAGTTAGTGACACGGCCCCCGCGGCGGTCAACGCAGAGCCGGACCTGCACCAATGCGGCGAGCGCCACAACCCATCCTCTGCGAGCCAAGTAGCAATGCCCCCCCCGAAACTTAAGCACGCAGCTGGCAACCAATACGCGCAGCCAGGCCCCGCCGCGTCTCCTTCTCCAGCCACCACCCTGGAGGCCCAGGGGCACGAGGAGGCATTTCCGCAATCGCCAAGGGCTCCTGATGATCCGGTATCTGCCCAAGCACCAACGGGGGGTCACAAAGACATCGTGCCGGAGCGCGGGAGCTCTTCTTCGGGGGAGTCAGATGATTCCGACTCCGACTCGGGAGACAGCGAAAGCAAGGACGCGGTGCAGACGAAGCAATGCTCCAGCGTGGTAGGCGTTCGCAGCAGCGACGACCGCGGAAACCTGGCGCGTTCGTCGGAAGTAAAGCCGCGCTCTCCACAAGCACGCAACCCGAAGTCAAGCCGGTGCCGATCGCGCAGTCGCCGCTCCGCCACGAGTAGGCGGAAGGGCGACCACATCAAGCGGCAGTCCTCGCGGAAGCGAACAAACGGGCACCAGGGTGATGACAACGACAACCGTGGCAAGAGCCGGCACTCTCGCAGCCGAGACCCCAGCGAGAGGCGGAAACCCTCGCGCGCTCGAATCAGGAGTCCGCATGGCAGTCGTCGTTCTGGCAGCAATGACTCGCGCCGCAAGGAGAAGTCCGTCAGTCGCCAGGGCAGGCGCTACAACGGGCGAAGGAACCGCCGTAATCAAAATTGGGGCAACAGAAACTGGCACAACCGAAGCGCGGACTTCGGCAGAGCGGGAAATCGAAACAGAAGTCACCATGGGGTCTGGCGTAAATGATCCACATCAAAATCGGGGCAGTTGGCACTACCAACGCTAGTATGCGACGTCGTCAGCGCTGACGACAAGTTACATCGGGAGCGTGGCAATCGGGCGCGACACACTGTGATCGCCGTCGAGGCAAGCTAAACTTAAAGGTGGTTGTGGTGCCTGCAAGAACTAGCAGGTGTAGCGAGTTAGAAGATGAACAGTTTTCGAAGGTCAAAGAAAAGCTGCTGGCCACAAGAAAGCAGCTCAGTGAGAACTTGGCACTATACTCGCAACAAGGCTGCGCGTTACATTGTTTCTTGACCTTGAGCCCTGCACACGAGATGCTGCTGTCAAAGGGGTGAAAAATACGCTCGCACTAAAAGAGTGCGTCTCTTCGTAATCGTAATAGCGAGAGGTCCATGCGTGCGGCCAGTCTCGGGTCATCCAGAAAGCTTGAACAGTCCTAATCTCGTGCATCTGAGTTCGCGCTGTGCCTCGGGCTGCTGCTTTGCGCCCCTTGCTGCTGCGCCGTTATCTCCGCTTTCCCCTGCCGTCGGGGTTTTTCCCCGCCTCTGCCTCGCGCTGCGCCGCTGGGTTTCTCCCCCCCTCCTGCCCGTGGAGTGCTCCTCCTCCTCGGCTGCAGCCTCTCGCCCATTGTCCTCGCCGCGCCCCCTCGCGCATTGGGACTCCCCCGCTGCTAGGGTTCTCCCCATGCGCGAATGCCGTCGCGCTTCGCGACTCAGCTGCACTGACGACAAAAGCCTATGATAGAAGTACAAATGAACATCAAACAATACAACTTCGGCCGGGTCAGTGTGTGTGGACTTGCGACCTCACGCGATCCAGTAGAACCAGTCAGAAGGTGGTCGGAACGAACAGACCAACTAATGCGCGAGCCGTGCCATCAGAACAGCATAAATTTAGACTGGATGAACGAAGATCGCGGTAGTCAGACGCGCTGCAAATTGGACCTGAGTAAGGCTCTAAACCATCCGAATTTCGGAACAGGAAGTGGGAGTCGTGCTGGGTTTCGGGCCGCAGCCTGCGCCCCCTTCGCGCTGCGCCCTGGTCTCCTTTTCCTGTCCCTAGGGGTCTCTTCCCCTCTTTGCCTCGCGCTGCGCCGCTGGGTTTTTGCCCGTCCCCGTCCATGGAGTGGGCCTCCTCCATGGTCGCCGCTCTTTGCCCCCGGCTCCCTGCTGCGCCCCCTCCCGCATCAGGTCGTGTCTCTGCCGTGGCTCTCCTCATGCGCGAGTGCCGACACGTAGCGCGACTTCTCCCTCCCCCACCCTACGAGCCAGATCTCTCTGTACTCGCAGTGCGTCCACACTCTCTTCGTATGCGCATCGTGCGACGCGTAACTAAAGAAGTCAGCTGCTCTCAGCACAGGTAGGCGCGAGTTGATTCCTGACAATGTCTCTGCACGAAGCACGCAAGAAAAATAAACGCTTACACGAAAGAACCTAAGTTACAGCCTGACTATAAGCACGTGCACGCGGGTGAAGCGTTAACTTAAGTAAGAATGAACCCACACCACAACCACCAAAACTCGACCCTAAGCAACCCACCGAGTAGCAAGTCCTGCTACTGATCTAACTGAAATCGCGACCGCTGCAAGCCGAGGCCTTGCTATCCCACATCCCTAAAACGGGCGTGAAACGCGATGTGGACCACAGTGACTGGCAGCCATCAACTCCGCCGCTGGATACTAGCTTTTGCAGCCCTGCCGACAGCTGCGCTGGCAAGCGTCGCAACGGGAGCGCGTGCACACATGACGACGTCCAGCGGGACGGGAACTGGCGGCGCATCGTCGAACGGGGTCGCCCGTCCTCTAACGGCGGAGCAATGGCACGAGCTGTGCCTCAAGTTCAATGGTGCCGCTGGGCTCTTCAACGAGGAGGATGTAGTGAAACGGGCGAAGGATGCAACGCTCCGGGACTATGAACAGCAACAAGCAGCAAGTGAGCTGCTACTTTCCCGCCTCGCCGATCACCAGCTGTCTTTGGTCCCCGTAGGCGACGATGGGAACTGCATGTTCCGCGCAATCGCGCACGCTGTGCTAGGGAGCGAAGAGAGGCACGGCGAATCACGAGCAGCGGCCGTAGCGCAGCTACGACAAAGCCCGGAGACCTACCGGCGCTTCCTGTCCGGCCCGGACGTCGATTGGAACTCCTACACCGCGAAAATGGAACAAGACAAAACCTGGGGTGACCAAGTCTGCCTGGCCGCGGCAGCTACGCACTACGACTGCGTCTTCACCCTCATCACGAATTACGACGACCCGGCGCCGATAGCAGTGCCCTCCCCGGTGCGAGGACTGGGAGCACAGCGCAAGGTCACCCTTGCCTACTGGGCGGGCGTCCATTATGGGTGCACAGCGAAGCTGCCGTCTCCGGGGCAGCATGTAGGAGCTCCTGCAGGAGGCAGGGGAGACTCGGGGGGCAGCCAGCCCCGTCCGGGTGGCCTCGCGAGCATTACACTTTCTGGCGAGAAGGAGACACAGCCCGCTGCTCCCGAGCGACCGGCAAACGGACAAGTGCTGTCGCAAGCGGGGAACACCACCAAACGGCGGCGGAGAAACGGTCCGGCGAAGCCCTCCCAGGCTACGCTCTCGCAGGGTGGAGAGCAGCAGGCAGAAGTATATCGGGGCGCCAGCAACGACCCAGTGTACCCCGACGGATCCGGGGCGTCGTTAGGCACGCAAGAAGGCCTCGCTCCACTGGGGCCATCTCAAGACCCGGCGTCGGTCGCCGCCAGCAGTGCGGACACATTCCTCAACCCCCCAAAGCCCTTGCCTCCCAAGGACGCCCCGTGGAGCAACGACCTCTTCGAGCTGGAGGGGGCTCGCGTTCGCGACAGACTAGTGCACGCGCTGGCATCTCAACTTCCCTCCTTCTGTGAGCCAATCCATGACGCTGCGGTGGAGAGCATGGAAAAACCGGCGCCGCAGGAGTGGGCGACGAAAAGCACTGCACTGCTTACCGAAGTTATGCCCGCGATATGGCCCTCCGGCCAAAAGGCCGTGCGCGTCCCCGTCTGCAGCAACCTGTCGTCGAATCATCGTCGCCTGTTCGCAGCAGCCCATGACAAGAGCCTGCTTCTGGAAATGGGCGTCCACTGCTTGCGCCAGCTGGCGCGTCCCAACTCCTCGTTCAAGGGTATTCGCTTGGGGCTAGACAAAGTGGAGCCGGGGACGCACGCGAAGTCGCACGAAACGCAGATACAGGAAGCCGCCGATAGAGCTCTGGGGACCCCATCGTTCAACTACTCCGCGAAGGCCCTCACCAGCCGCGCAAGATGCGACGTCATGTCGTTGCGCCCCGTGCGACACCTCGAGGACCCCGACACAACCTCGCGCATTAAGAAAAACCAGGATGTAATAAAAGGCAACTTCGGCTTCACCCGGATGACTAATCCGCCGCCACCATGGACGAAGGCAGCGAGGTACGAGGATATGGGCTGCGAAACCCTCAGCAGTTTCCCGGTCATTTTTGTAGCCGACGCAGCAGGAGTGCAAAAGCTGAAGGTGCGGGGAAATCTGAAGTCACTGACAAATCTAACATTGCCGGAAGAGGACATGATCTGCGCGCCGACCAGGAAGGCGGGGCGGGGCGGCATAGACGACACTCCCAGCAGCTGGCGCTGCCCAACCTGCCTGCAGCAGTCGAGATTCCAGCTGGAAGCAATTGCCCGGAGCAACGATGGCAGCCGCCGGGCTCCGCCCCTTGTCCACCCCTTTGCGGCGGGCTTCCTCAAGGTCACGACCGCCCCCAAAGACCTGGCCACCGCTACCACACGCCGCCCACTGGTGGCGACGCTGCCAGCAAGCATACCGGAGGACCCTACCGCGGTGTTGTGGACGTGCACAAGATGCGACCACGCGGCCTGCTTCCAGGACATGCTAGCACATATGGCGCTGTGCTACGCCGGCGGGCGGCTCGATCCAGTCTCGAGAACAATTATCGCGTCCTCGCTCCCGGCCAACCTGCTCTCCCCACTTAACATCACCATTCCAGAAGACGCGGGCTACGGGCTGGCTGCGCCATTCTCTGTGCTGCTCCTGAACCTCGACGGACGGCTGTTATCCATCTGGCAGGCGGTAGCAGCGGAAATAATGAGACGGGCGCCGCTAGTAGTGGTGTTGTCCGAAATCTTCAAGGCGAACGCCAGTGGGGGATTCGACCCGGCAGATACGAAATGGAGGAAAATCGAGAAGGAGCTCGCTTTAGGTACTCTGGGGCGGTACCATCTGTACATGGCCTTCAACTCGCTCACCCTGGTGGCGCGAGGTGTCTCGCCACCAGGCACGCGCTTCTCCGCTGTCAAGAATTCCGGGCCGCTGGCAGGCCTCGTCCAGGGGACCATCGCTCACAATCACATACGAGGAAGAGCGGTCCTGGGATACTTATCGCCGTCAGTTCAGGCGCAGGCCTTGCACGACTTGCGAGATGTCTTGTTCTCGCAAAAGAAGTCGCTCGCACTGGTTGCGGGCGACCTCAACTTCAGTCGGGGAAACGTCGCGAATGTAATCCAGGGGAACTTCTGCCGCCACCACTCTGTCAAGCAAAGCATAATGGCCGAACTTGCAAAAGAGCGGGTAGGGCCCGCTTTCCCGCCACACGTTGCAACATATCCGCTGCATAACTCCCAGCCCGACATGATGCTAATAAAGCCATGGAGCAAGCAACTGCGGGTGGTTCACTCAATCAGCCCCCCGGTCCAGTTCGCCCAGGGAGGTACCGGGCATCACGCCATCACAGCAGAGATTACAGAGCACCCGTCGAAAAGGACCCCAAGCTCCCCACCTCCCCCGGCGGTCTCGTCACACCTCAAAAAGCGCCGGGTGTTCCAGTGGCACGCAGCCACCGAGGAGGTGAAGGCGAAAGTGCGCGAGGACCTTCGCGGATCACTCCGAAAAACTCCAGACGAGTTTGCGGTCCCTATGGTGGCCGAAGCATTCGAGCGGCACGGGGTTCCGAAGAAATGTCCCAGAAATGCGGGCATGGTTTCGGTTCTGGACGCCCAGGCACAGCTGACGCTCACGCCAGAGGAGACCATCGCGGCCTTCGAGGAGCGGGTAACCTCGGTGGCACTAGGGGGCTGCGACACCTCTGAAGCGGAGCAGAAACGCCAAGAGGAAGAGGCGCAGAAGATCTTCCGTGACGCCCCAAGCACGCCCATCATCTGTGGCGAAAATACGCTGGAACAAGCAGCGAAGCACATCAACGGGCGCGCCTCCCCGGGCGAAGATGGCGTGCCGGGCAGTTTCCTACAACAAGAACCAGAACTACGAAACGAGATAGGCAGGAACTTCATGAAGCGCGTCTGCGACGGGGCTGCGAACTTAGGCCTTCGGCGCTTATCTCTCATTATCTTCCTCTTCAAGTCCGCAAAGAGCGGCGCGAGTCCTTTCTTAAGGAAATATTCCAGGCCGATCGCGATAGGGGACTCGGTTGAAAAATGGATGGAGGCCATCCTGGATGCAATGATGAAGCCCTACCTCTCGGACATTGCCTGCGACTTCGCCTACCGCCCGGGCTTCTCCTGCCTGACGGGATGCATCCGGGGGATCTTGTTCTGTTACAGCGGAGCGGAGCACTTGTACGCGGGAGTACTTATACTGGACATCAAGGGAGGCTTCGAAAACGTCAAAAAGCTGCATGTGCTCCGTATGCTCCACGCGGCGGGCCTCCCTCGCTACCTACTCTGCGCTCTATGGGTGTGGCTCACCGCTCGCCAGGCGGTGATTTGCATTGCTGGCCTCATCGGCAAGGCGTTCGGGCTTCCAGAAAGTTTAGGGCAGGGGACGTTAATATCACCGCTGTTCTTCCGCCGCTGCGTGGAAGCGGCCACACGGGCAAGCGGCGTGCAGGACATTCCGCACCTATCCGTGAACGAGTATTCAGACGACATCAAGCTGTTCGGTACGGGTGCGACTTTGGAAGACTTAACGACCCGGCTGGAGTTGGCGGGCAACACGATGATCGACCACTTCAATTACCCCTGCGCAGACTACCGATTTTGCCTCTTGCGCTACCCGGACGCCATTCCGGCGCCAGGCGACGAGGCGGCGAAAAGGCGAAAGAGTCGCCTTCTCCTCTCAGCGGTCGCGCGGCTAAAAACGGGTGATGCACTGCGGCCCCCAGAGGTCCAACGCAGCAAGGACGAGACAGGCAGCTCATACCATGGGCGCACGAACTTCAGCAGCTACGCGACGGCTCTCGGTCTCCCCCTCACGATCAATAGCGAAGCCTGGCAATGTTGGCTAAAGGCCAAAACCAATGAGCTGCAAATCGCCCAGGCTCAGGCGTTCCAGATTCTGGAGCAGTCGACGGACCCGGAGGCTAAGCATCCGCTGAGCATCGGCAGAGTCTTCCACGCGGATGTGCTTTCAAAAGTGCAATATGCCCTTCCCGTCGCCGCCCTCCTGCACCGCCCTGCCCTTGCCCACGTAGACGCGGTTGCCGAGACGGAGCTGCGATCCCTCCTGGGAATGACGAAGTACGGCCCGTGCTACGGCGCCTTCGAATCAATCGGAGCAGTTGTTCCGAGCGTGTTGGCCTTGCAGCAGCTCAGCCTCATCGCACACCAGGCCTACGATGTAACGGGCTCGCGGACGATCAAGGCCGAGCGGATCCTGGGGAAATTCGTAACGGACAAAAGGTGGGCGAGCCTCCCGGTGGAGTTTGATTTCTCTCCGGGCACGCCACTACCGGAGGGCGTGTCCTTCAGAGACTCCTCAGCTACCTTCAAACGCTATGGCCTACCCACGTCGCGAGAGAGCGCGATCACCGCGGCGAAGCGGCTGCGAAAGGACATAGCAAGGCTGGAGGACAACCTGCGCACGAAGTTAGTAATCGTAGCCACCGATAGCGGCGAAGGACAGGCGAAGGCCTCGGAGGTGGAGGAGGAGCAAGAAGACCAGCCGGCTGATGCCGCAGCAGCGCAGGCCGGCTTTCGCGGCGCAGGTCTACCTCCCAAGGCGGCGGCCACAGCAGGCGGACCAGCAGCGGGCCCTCCAGCAAAGATTCCCGATGTGGCCTCTGTGATCATCTCGCGGGCGGGGGCCGCGACACTGAAATCCGCAATAGCGGTCCGCCTCGAGCACAACCTCACAGTATTCCTGGGGGAGTTCGGGGCACTATCCACTGCAATGACACTGCTAGAGGAAGCAGCCGCCAGGCCGGAGAGCTGGTTGCACAAGCACCCCACCCGAATGATACTACTGCTAGCGGATGCCAGCGGCGTCATCTCAGTAATTAAAAACAACCGCCCGCGCACAGCGGTGCGCAATATCCGGCGTCAACTTGCCTTCATCAAAAGCAAGCTCCCCGGCGTGCGGATTCTTTTGCAGTGGGTGCCAAGCCACTCCGATGTGTCGCTAAGTCGGGAGGTGGATCTGGCGCAATCGCTTTCCAAGAACCTCGTGGGGGCCCTGCCCGCAATTTCCCTGGACAGGTGGTTTTCCGCGACGGTGCCGGTGCATGTGGTGGCGAACGAGCTCCGCCACCTGATGCGCGAAGCCCTCCGTGAAGACCTCAAAGAGCGTGCGGAATCGCACCCGTCATCCTCCATGCGCTCCACCCTAATTGCGGAGTGGGGGTGTGCCCGTGACCTCCTAAAATCTCTCGATGCCGCCCGGGCACGCACGGCGTTCAGTCTACTGCCAGGGGACGGCAGCGACCTAATAGCCGGATTGGGTTGCTGGTGGCACATGGGTCGCTTGTATTGCGGAAAGTGTAGGTGTAAAATAGACGCGCTAAAAACGAGCAACAAGCGGAAGCGCAAGGGGGACGAGGACGAGTTCGAGACGCTAGAAGAAAGCGAGGCCGACGTGGGGTGGACGGCCATAGTGCATCACCTCGTGAGTTTCCGCTGCGCCGCCATGGTGAAGCTCCTAAAGGGCGACGAGATACAGCCGCCGAACTTCCAGCACGGGTTGGCGGACAAAGTAGGAGTGGCGCGAAAAGTGTTGACCCTCGTTCATGGGCCAGAAGGCCTGGGGGAAGACGAATGGCCTCCACCCTCCCCGGCCCGCCAAGAGCGGGAAGAGCGGCCAGTTGACGACGAAGAAGCGCGGGCTCTCGCGGCATTAATCACGAGATCCCACGAAGGGTTCCGGGACGAGGTGGGAGCCAGTACAAGCGATGACGGCCTACACGAGTTGATCGACATCAGTCGCATCGATGCGCTGCTATCGGATCCGCAGAACGTTGCTCCGAACCCCTTCGATGCTCCCTCGCAGGCAATTAGTGAGTTCCTATGTCACGTCGCGACGCAGGACAGCGAGATCGACGAAATGAACACGCAACGCGCCTCCCATAACGAGCCTAGCCTCCCGCCTGTGCAGGGAGCGCCACCGGAATCAATAGAAGTCGTCGTGGTGCCGATGGAGGAGTACGACGTCGAAGGGGCCGCGACGCAGGGTGGTGACGGCAGCCCGCTAACCAGCCCCCGGCCTTCTGCAGTCGGGTCATGAAAAGATGGTCGTGGACGTAAATCCGCGAGACGCGGCTAGCCGGGCTCCCTTCTGGCGGTGCTCTCGGTCTCTGATAATTAGAGCCGCTTACGACCTCAAAGCACTGAGCACGACCTCAAGGCACTGAGTAGGTTCGATTAAGCGATGTCTCTTTCCCTTGTACTTAAGTTGACTGCGTCTGCTACTATACATCTTCACCTGGGCGAGCCGCCTACGACCTAAAGTTGAACGCTTGCTGTGAACTGGGAACAAGTCGCCGTGTTCCTAGTTAGGCGGCGCCTCCCCTTGCCATTTCGCGCCTATTTCTGTGCTATTTATCCTACGGTTTTCGTGTTTGGTTTTTTGCCTATTTCCTTGCTAATTCTTTGTCTAATTCCTTGTCTAATTTTGTATCTATTTTTTTGCCTAATTTCCTGTCTATTTTTTTGTCTGATTCCCCGGCCGTGCTTGCCTATTTTTTGTCTAATTTCGGCGACTTTTTTTTTTCGCTGCGAAAACCAATAGCCCGGGAATTAGGCGCGAAATAGGCAAAAAAATAGGCGCGATGCCTCTGTGCCTGGGGGGCCTGGGCTGTTGGCCTTGCGCGTTTGCGCCTTCCTTTTTTTGTTTTTTTCTTTGCCTCCCTGGCGCGGCGGTCATTTGGGTCGCCGGGTTGCGCATGGGCTTCGACGGTTCAAAAATTAGCACCGAGATAGCCAGTGCCCCGCAAGGGGCGGCGCAGGCCAATCCTAGGTCCTGCCACGTACGGAAGCCGGGTCAGACTCTTCGCAGGCGCAAGCCCGGTGGCCGCAAGCGGAGCTGTCTTGGTCTCCGCGTGAGAGACTTCAATGTAACCCCACTGGCAACACATCTGGTTCTTGAAATGAGGACAAGATGACAGCCGACGCATCCAGACCGAGCCCAAGAGCTGAGCGCAATCACGAGCGGACAAGGAGCGATTTAAAAGCGGACGCGCCCGTCGGCGACTCCTCGCAGTGAAAAAATGAAGACGTGTCTATCCCGTTGCTACGGCAAACGTGTCTATGCTAGTGTACAGCTGCAGGACGGGAGGCGCCCTCCTTTTGGGTGCAATTGGTAGTGCAACGCGGAGAACCGATACACATCCTCCGCGTCGTCAACTGGGGCAAGATATGTCTGCTCAAAGCTGCTGGTGAGGTCCGTGCACATGTCGCTTTCCACTTGCGTATTGGGTTTCCGTTTTCTTATTTCTCGGTTGTGTCTTGTTCGGCCTTGCCTCCCTGTGCTTGGCGTGTTTCTGTCATGCGTTTTTCAGATCGGCGATCTGCATAACATGAACGTATATCTCCTCAGTAAACAGACCTCACTACGCGCCAGCTTTCCTATCCCGAGCGCGACCATAAGATTATCCAGCAACAAGCGCGGCCTTGATGGACATCGACTGCCAGCCCCACAGCAAGGCCCTCTTCTAATGCTAAATCGCGTCCCCCGTCCTCGCCCGGGGTGCGAGTCAAGTTCCCAGGCTGTCCTCGAGTCCGGCGCAGTGGTTTTCCACTTTCAGCTCGTGTCTGAAGACAAACAGACACTCACTACTGGCGGCTCCGCGCCTAGTTTCTGCTCGCCCTCGCCAGGGGTGCGAGCTAAGTTCCCAGGTAGTCCTCGAGTCCGGCGCAGTGGTTTTCCATTTTCAGCTCGTGTCTGAAGACAAACATGCGTGCGTCACTTGCGGCCCCACGCCTAGTTTTCGCGGCGGGTTACGTTCCCGGGCTTACCTCGCACTCGAGCTCAGCGAAGCAGTTTTCCAGTTTCAGGTCGTGTCTGAAGACAAACAGACACTCACTACTTGCGGCTCCGCGCCTAGTTTCTGCCGCTGTACACGAGAAGTGTCGATGTGGGAATGGCTTACGAGGTTGCGGCGCGAAGACTTTCTGACCTTGCTGTCGCGCGGCCACACCTAGGCGGAGCCATGCGGCGGATGCGAGCGGAGGCCAGTGCCGTCGAGAGCGAGCGGCGACGGATCCGGGAGATGAGATAAGTGTTGCTCGCAGCTATCGACGCTGACGACGAGCATGAGCGCAGGAGCCCAACGTATATCACTTCGAATTGTGTGGGCCGGCGCACTAAGTTCTTGTAGTGTTGAAACAGGGTGGAGGGGGCAAGCTTCCACCACGGCATCGCCGGATGGATCCAACAAAATATCTGAGGCGTAAGTCAAGGCAGAAGCTCGGTCTTTCTCTAGCTTCCTCTTCCTTCTGTTTTCTTGGATGTCAAGTGATGCGTTATAGAAAATCAAACTACAAAAACATCGGTTTGTCATGCTGACATCTCATGTATTGCGGAAGATGTAGTGAAAGTCGTGTCATGCTCAGCCATGGCCGCTCTAATTCCAGCCTTCTCGCATCAGGATCAAGCACATTTCTGCCTTGCCTTTTACAGTTCCATACTTACTACAAACCTATCTGCTACGAGCGAAAGACGACACGCAGCAACTTCGGAAACCTTAGCCGCGTACACAAGCGACGCCCGGTATGCGATTGACAGACAGAAGCCTCTGCCATGGCCGAGGGCTAGACGGCTTCCCCGAGCAGAAGTGATGCCAGCTACCGCGACGGGGGGCGGTCGGGGGCGACAACAAAACTCGCCCAAATAGGACAATCGGGCAGCCTGGTGCTCCTTAAAGCTTCCCTCTCCAGACGCGACTCAGCACAGCCACTCCTAACCCTGCTGTGCTATGTTGTCGCGATGTCTGGCCTTCCATCGAAGTGGAGTGGGAGTGTGTCTAGCGGACGAGTGACAATGCCTCGAGGCAGAGCGGCGTGCACGACGTGAAATTTTGACGATGGATCCGGTGAACATAATGACGAGAGATGCTCGTCGTCCTCGGTGGTGTAGACGGGGCTGAATGCGGGGTGCCTTAGATTATCCCCTCTCGTGGCCGTCCTGGTGCGCCTTCTCATGTGAGGTCGTTGACATGGCTCGGTGGGAAATTCCCGTTGCGCGAGGCTCTTGCCTTGCCCTCTGTCTTCGTCCCCAGTGGTGTTGCGACAGTAGAAGCGTCTGTTGTGGCCGTCGGAGCTTGCTCCGGGTCTTGCGGCTCCTCTCGTCTTCGGTGGAGTACCTGAGTGGCTTCTGCTGCTGCCTCCGTTGACTTTTGGCTGCTGCTTGACTGGCGGTTGGGAACACTTCAGGCGTCTTTGTGCTGCGCTTCTGCCGCGTGGTCCCCAGTGTTCCCCGGGTCCGGAACTCTGGGTTACCTTGGTCGAGTTGGTGTCACTGTCGGTTCACCTATGTCCCTGCCTTTCTGTTCTTGCCACTGGGAACAGTCTGTGCGTTTCTTTCGTCAGCGGCTTCCTGGCGCTGGAGCTCGTTGACGGTTGTTTCGGGAGGTTCCTAACGGCCCCTGAGGACATTGCCTCGTTGCCGACCAGGCCGAACTTAGAGGTCGGCTTCGGGAAGATTCTCCGGAGTTGAGTCTGCCTTGGCAGGTCTCTTGTGAATGCGAGGGCAGTGGTTGGCTGAGGTTGTTGGAGCGTTCCATAGTGTCGCTCATGATCATCTAGGATCCTTCTCCAACTTCCTCATTTCCTGTGTGGTCTAATGCAGATTGCAGATCACAATACAGGGCCACCCTCGCATCTCACCTCCAGGGGGGGCGCGCGGACCTCGCTTGCCATCTCGTTTGGTCTCGCGAAAGTTCCAGTCCCCCCGAGTGTGAATCGGGAATATCAAGGTGCCAGACTAGCATGACAAATCTCGCCATCTCCCGGACCCAGACATATTTGCAGTTCATAGCAGCAGGAGCGCTGCAACGATGGAGGATTCCAGAGGACGGGATGGTGATGGTTCTCTGTCTTGATGCGGGGTGTAATAGAAGTAGATTACACCTTCATTCGATTCAAATCCCATGTGTATCAAATTCAAATATCTTCTGCACACACAAATAAATCGAAAGACATGAGAGGACCACAATTGAGCGTCAGATAAGGACAAGGAGCGCTCATTTTTTTTGTGGAGGATGAAGTCAGATTTGAAAACTCTCGTTGATGAATGTAGCTTCACCAGACCGACGTTGATCATGATTGAAACAGTGCTTTGAGGACGACTTTTGTAAAAAAAACGCAGATTATACTACATTCATATGTTTATCACTATCATCGAGCTCTATCACAATTTTACGTTTAGTTTTACAGTTTAACATTACGCATTCTGCTCTTTATTTTTAACGACCCTCACATTTCTCATGTATGTACATTATCGATCCTAGATTTCTGTCCAAATTTCGCTTGTTTTCTACAAATTAAAATTTCGCTTGTCTCAGTTTCTTCTTCAATCTATTCCCCCCAGTAAGTATGAACGACCTAGTGACCGCACTAATTTTTGTTTACTTTCTCCTTCATTTTTATTCCCCTGCTCTATACTCCGTGTGTTGTGGACGTGCTTTCTTATCCTATATTGACAGACGAGGGTGGTGGATGACTTATTCCAGGGTTCCAGGAGCTGCAGAAGTAGCATGCATATTAAGCAGAAGTGGCACCATGATCGACAGAAAAGCGGCAAAAACCGTGCCACAGAACTACGAAGTATGTAAAGTTTTTGTTACTCATAAGTCGTCGAACCAGTACCTCCAGAATCCAGCAAATTTGTAGCACACGGAATTATACGCTAAATATATTAATGTCCCGCTCGCATGAACATGAAGATCGCTTGTAGTACTAAAATAAAATAAACAATCTGCACGTCAAACGAACAAGAAGAAGAAGAAGAGGTATCGGGTGCGCGAATTTAAGGTTTGAGAAGCGCTCGCGTAAAGCAAAACTGCACTGCTGCAACAGCGGTAAATAAATGTCAGCAGGAACAAATCGCTTCAATAACCGAAAAACAACTACTCGAAAAATTATTTGGGGCAGCACCCCTCGCCCGTTTGTATGCAGGTGGCCGTCCGACGTGTGAGAATTTCCACAAAATTTTTACTTCCTCTTCAACTTTTGAACGTACAGAAAATTCTTTGTTGCAGGCGTGTGCAGCAGCGTGATGGTTATGTCCGCCATTGCTTGCTGTGTTGATTCGAGAAACTCTTTTGTTCATCTTGTTCAAATTATCTGTGAACAAGACGAGGACGACAGAGCTGAGCAGCCGTGGAATGTATCGTGGAGGTATTGGATCCGAAACGAAAACGAAATTTGGTGGAAAAGAAGTGACGACTCTTCCGCGTCCTGTCGATTGTCTACTACGTAATTTCATGTTGTCATCTTCTCGTGGTCCTTCTAGCTGCTTCTCGTGATGACTTACAAGGGAAAAGGGGTAATTGAAACGGGATAGCGACTTTTCCAAAACTTTTACTTTGACTTTTGGCAAAATCGCTATTTTGATCGTCGGCAATCCATGCTTTGCGAAAATTGTTTGGACCGTGCTGCCTGTTGCTGGTAAGTCCGCACTTTGGGAGTGGCAGAGCATGAAAGGGCGGCACCTCTTCGCCGCGGCGTGTGCCCGCCAGCTGCCTGCCATTTTGATCGACGCCTCCAAGCAGGCTGCGGGAAATGCCACCCGCCGCGCATCGGACGGGCAGCGCCTCCGTGGTCGGTTGTTCGCGATTATTCGCGAGCGCTGTGGGGCCCTGTGCGCATTTTGTGCACCTTTTGAAGTGGTGCGCGGGCGCTGGCCTTTGGCCTTTCAGTATTCGCCCGGATGTTGATCGCCGCCTCGCGCTTCGGAAATGCCGGGGCGCGTCGGCCCTCTTCGCCCTGAGCGCCTTTTAAATAAGCAATGGCACTGGCTGCCAGGGCCCGAATGGGCGCGCCGCCCCGCCGCGGTGCCTTGGATGGCACGCCGGCCGCGCGCGGTCCTACGTACCTTTAGCCCCCTACATTCTGGCCCGCCGCTTGGCCATTCTTACTTACAAAATAGAGGCCGTCGCGCCCCGGAATTCTGTATCCTGCCCGCCTTTCCGCGGTTACGCGACGCGACCGAAGCGCGCGCCAAAGGCGCCCCCCTTTTGCAACCAACGGGCAGAGGCGGCTCCTCCGCTCGACTCGCTAGCGGTGGCAGAAGTGTCAAGGGCCTGCGGTCGGGGGGCCACCCCGATGGCCGGCGCGTGATATGGGTCTGTGGCGCGTTGTGGTGGCGCCACCTGTCTATTTCTGTTGCCCGTCTATTCTGCTTCGACTGTTTGAACGAGAGAAGCAGAGAGGCAGCATACCATGCGGTCCGACGTCGGACCGCATGGTATGGCGCGCGATGGTGGGCCGACCTCTCGCGCCAGGCCGTCCGTGCGTGCGGCGGGCGTCGCGATGTGTGGCCGACCTCTCCCGGTTGGGTGGGCTTCCCCGGTGGGGTGTTCTTTGGTTCAGGAAATGGATAACGCAACTCCCCCGGGTGGCCCGCCCCACAAGCGAGCCGGCGGGCGGGGGCCCCGTGGCCCCTCTGGTATGTTGCTCTCCAGCACGAGCCTGTGTGCCTGGGTGGTTTGCCTTCTCTTGTAAGATGTACTGTAGCGACCCCGTGGGCCGGCTCTATCTCTGCAGCTTTCCTGACAAGAACCGCCAAAAACGGCCGGGGGCTTGGGGCGTTGGCTCGCGTTTTTTCGCATGTTGAAGATGAAAAAAACCCAAGCGCGCCCGCCTGTTTGCTTTTGTCTTCAATGAATGCAGTCGCCGGCGGGCTCAGTCGGCCGCCGGTAGAAAGACTGAAAAAATGACGTAGGGGGGACGGCAAACGTGGCACCCTTCTCAGGCGCCGGCCGCGTGGGATTCTGGCGTGTGACTTGGGGCGCCCAAAAGGGCGCCCCAAAAAACTCGCCCGAAGCCAGAACAGCGAAGCCGTATGGCAGGGCCGCGAAACCGGGCGCGAATCGAAAGCGGCCGCCCTTATGCCGGGTTCTCAGCGGGGGGCGCTAGCTTTGCAAAAGGCGCGGGCGCGAAAAATAACACACAACGCAAAAAAGAAGAAACGCGCCAAGCGCGCGAAGCCAGCCCGCATCCTATGGGCCCGCTTTTCCTTCGGTTTTTGGGCGCCCCCCGCGGTGCCCGGGACGGCCCGATAGCGTCGGGGTTGGCTTTCGGGAAGGCGTTTTGGCAAGTTGCCCAACGACTGCCATTTTCCCCAACCGGCCGCCATACCGTGCGGCATAACCTTACCCGCCCCGGCACGGCGGGCCCAGAAAAAGCAAAAACGTGGCGCGGGCAGAGGTCGGCGGGCAAAGAAGCGGCGCCGGCCTCATTATCTCCGCCCCGGCGGCTATGTTTGGCGCATTGAAGTAGGGGCGCAGCACGCCGCGCGGCCCGGCCTCGCAAGTTCCTGCGGGCCGCATGGCGTGGCGCGCTTCGTTGGAGCTGCTTGCGCCTCACGTTTTGGCGTGGCGCCCTTCTTTTGGCGCTAGCTAGAGGCCGTCCGGCCTGCCCCTTTCTCTTTCATATTCGCCGCCCCCCCGCATTTACATACAAAGCGCCGAGACCATGCCGCCGCACGCTCCAGAGTGCCCCGCCTCGGTCGCGGCGGCCTTGCGCGGCCGGCTTTTCGCGAGTAGAAAGGGCGCCGGCGCAGCAGGGGCACGCGCGGGGCGCCCCTCACATCTTGCTGCGCCGGCGCGCGCAATAAGTTCGCCCAGGAGGCTCTGTCCCCATTTTCGGGGAGACCGCCTCAGCCATGTAAAAAAGGGGGGGGGCAGCAGGATTCTTCGCAAGCCTGGCGGATGCGCAGCCTGCCACGCCTTCAGGCTTTTCGGCTTTTGAGGGGGCGGCGAAATCTTCTGTCTGAGTGCCGAAAATCTGCCGAGAACTTGCCGAAAACTTTCCCCCGAACTTTCCCGAAACTTTCCCGCTTCGGGATCATTTTCGGACCCGAAAACTTTTGGTTGACTTTTCAAATCCCGGTCTGTAACTTTTGGTCGACTTTTAAACGGGAGAATTTTTGGGGAAGGTTTCGCGGAAGGTTTTCGCCGACTTTTCGGGAAAGTCCGGGGGAAAGTTTTCGGCAAGTTCTCGGCAAAGTTTCCGGCAGAGTTTTCGGTAGAGGGTCGGAAAAGTTTCGCCGCCCGGCGCCTGCCCTTTGTTCCTGCCCGCCAGCCGGGCCGCCCTCGGGCGGCTGCCTTGCGCCCGAAAAGAGGCACAGCCTCCCGGCAGGCACGCCTTCAGGCGAACAGGCCCGGGCCATTTTTCGGGGGAATAATGTGGCAAATTTTCGGGAATTTTGAAGATTGGCCGACATTTTGCTGGTTCACCTGGGTCGGGCTCTGGTGTTTTGTCGGGTTCATGTGTGGGGCCGATCGGTGTTCCGGCTTTTGTTGCTCATATTCTTCCCTTTTTTCGAGGCTGTGGTTGGTTGGATGTTTTCCATTTGGAATGTTCCAAATTGAAAGCAACCGCGGGAGCCGGCGTCGTCGGTCGGTGGCGGAGACGGGGAGTTGAGGGACATCGAGTTGGATCATTCGCCGCGAATGATCCAATTCGATGTCCAATTGGGCATCCAATTATGCGCCAATTAGTGTGATTTCCCGAAACCGGGATGCTGCAATTGGGCATGCAATTGGGCATGCAATTTTTCGCCAATTCGATGTCCAATTGCGAAAGCAAAGGATTTGTTCCCGTTTTCGCACCCCCCCTGGGGTTGGGCATCAATTGGCGAAAAATTGGACGCCCAATTGGACGTCCAATTGGAGCATCCATTTTAGAAAAGCGGCACACAATTGGACACGCAATTGGACCAAAATTGGACACCCAATTGGAGCAAAATTGGACACCAATTGGACACCTTTGCGCAGCCAGGAAAACACAACAACACCCACCGAGGGTCTTGGCGGTTTTGCATCTACGGCGCCGGGGGTTGGTTTCGCCTTTGGGGTTTTTTTGCTGCAAATGTGTGGGGTGTGGTTTGTCTGGGTTTTCTATAGGGCGTGGGGGCATGTCGGGCACGTGGTCTCGCCAACAATTTTTTTTTATCCCCGACCCCCCACCCCGATCCGGCGCGATCTTCAAAATTGGCAATTTTTTGGCTGGGAGTTAGCGCCTTTGTTGGCCCGGGCCCGTTCGCCTGAACGCCTGCGGCTATTGCGCACGTAGCCAGGCAAGCGGCCGGCCCCGCCCCGGCGGGCCGGGCGGCCGGCGCTACGTTGTCGCATGCGCCACCGGGCAGCGGATTCACGCCCCGGGGGCGCCGGTGCGCGTGTAGCTTGCTTGCTGCGAACCAAGAGAGGGCGCCCGGGCTTCGGCGGTTGCTACCGACCCCCTGAACTTAGCGCGTTGCGCCGTTCGGGGCGCGTGCGGGGCATGCGCTCCGCGTACTCCACACTTGCGGCGGCGGGCTCTTGGGGGCCCGGGCGCCGCTGGAGTTGGCGATGGTTTGCCCAAACCCATAGACGGAAGGAACACCCGGCCCGGCCGCGCCAGTCCTTCGCCCCCCCGCCCGCGACCGACCTAGACCGGGGCCGGCCACAGTGTGCCGGCCGGCAACAGCCGCGCGGGCGTGGCGCCTGTGCACCGCCGGGCCCGGGCGGGGGGGGGAGGCGGGTTTTTGGGTTGCCGATGCGATTCCGCCGCATCCGCCAGGCGCCCGCCGGCCGGAGCCGGCCTGCCTGGGGGCCTCCCACCCTCTGAGTGGGGGGGGCGCCTGCATGTTGGGCCCCGCCGGCCTGCCTGCGCGCCCGCCTGGAATACCGGGCGGCGCCGCCGCGGGTCTACTTTATACGTGCCGGCGGCCCGATTGCCACCCATCGTTCGTCTCGCCCTTCGCTCGCCCTGCGCCCCACCCTGTCGGCCGGGATTGGGCGATCTGTTTCGTCTCTATCTGGTCAGTCAGGGCCTGTGCCTTTGCTGTTTTGTTTTCCGACAAGCATACCGTGCGGTCCGACGTCGGACCGCATGGCACGCTCGACACCGTTTCGGGCGGGGCGAGCCATATTGGGGCGCCGGGCGATGTGGTTGGTGCACGGGCGGAACTGCGCCCCTGCGTGCGACGTAGGGGAGGGGACGTCGTGGGGGCTTACTTACCCTCGGGGCCTGTTTGCTTGCTACGTGTGGGGCTGTCGGACGGTAAGCCGCTGCTGAGTGTGCCCAGCGTGCCAAATATAGCCTCCGTGGCGGGGGTGGTGAGGTCGGTGCCGCTGGCTGCCTTGCCCGCCGACCGTTGCCCTGGCCAGCCACTGCGTGCTTTTTCTGGGCCCACCGTGCCGCTTTTGGTATGGCCATGCCGCGTGGCTTGGCCGTCTTTTGGAAAGCATGGCAGCTCTTTGCCAAATTTTCAGAACCCCTGCCCGAAAGCCAGCCCCGGCGGTATGGGGCCGATCCGGGCGCCGCGGTGGAGCGCCCTAAAACCGAAGGCAAACCGGGCCCATGGCATGGGGATTGGCCTCGCGCGCTTGGCGCGCTTTTGCTTTTCTGTGTTTTTTCTTTGCGCGCCGGCACCCTTTGCAAAGCTTCCGCCGCATAGAAACCGGCGAAAAGGTGGCGGCCGCTTTCGTGGCCGGCCAAATGCTCCGAACGAAGCCCCGGCCCTGTCGTGCGGCTTCGCTTTTCTGATTTGCCGCGAGTTTTTTGGGGCGCTCTTCTGCGCGCCCCAAATCGCCAGAACCCCACGCGGCCGGCGCCTCAGGGGGGCGCCCCTTTTCTTTGTCGGTCCTCCTGCGTCGTTAGTATTATCAGTCGGCGGCCGATAGAGCCCGGCGCCGGCGGTTCGTTGAAGTCAAACAAAGCCCAACAGGCTGGCGCGCTTTGATCTTCTTCATGTGGAAGAGCGCGAAACAGCAGCACACACCGCCGGCAGCTTTTGGCCGGTGGTTGCTTTGCATTAAGAAAGCTGCCAGGGTCGGGCCGTTTCGCGGTGGCGGCCCGCCGGCGGCAGGAGGCGCGGGCGGGCGCCGCGGTTCCGGGTGTTTGTGAGGCTTGGGCGCGCGCGTTTTTTGGCGAGGGCGCGTGCTGCCCGGTGCCCGGTTGCGTCAGGTTTAGGGTCTGGCGGACCGGCCCCCTTCCCTGTGTCGGTAGCCCTCCTCCTAGTCCGTTCCCGGGTAGGCCTTCCGGGCCTGGGGGGCGGGTGGGAGGGTGGGTGTGATGGGCGGTCATGGCCTTTTTCTTTAGGGCGCCCGCGTCGGCAGCCGTTGGCTGCGTGCGGTCGGCGGGTACCCGGCGCGCGCGCACGCTTCGGCGGGTGGAAAGGCGGTCGCTCGGGTTTCGCCGATCACCCGCGGGACAAGAGGAGGCGTCGGCGCCCAAGACCTCGCAGGCGCCCCTGTTCTGTCGCTTGGAGTATCTTCACTGCGTTTTTTCGTTCTGACTCGCTTTATCAAATCGTTTTCAATACCCTGAAATCCTGAAAAGTCAAATGAAAAGTTTTGGAAAAGTTCGAATCGCCCGCCAATTAATCCGTTTCCCTTGTAAATGACATACAAATTCACAAAATAGAGATTCAAATTTCAAAATGTGGCGAAGGAAAATATCCAAGCGACAAAACGCAAGAGGTGACAAACTGAGCAAAAGCAAAATCCAATCGTCAGAGTGAGAATCGGTATCATGCGCCGAAAAATTGGTTCGTATCGATCTTTATGTGGAATATTGTATCGCCTCGTGGTCTCGAGAGTACTTACGTGAGCAAAGGAAAACGAAAAATATTCTCATGTTTCATCATCAAACATGAGATTATTGTATTATCGTGTGAAAAGATAGTACCATAGCCATTGAGAAGCTCGAATGTATAGGTGAGATCTTCACCTGTTGTTCGCAATAATCGTCGTGCGCAAAGAACACGTAGAATTACAGGAAAAGCGCATGTCGCAGTTCTGCCTTTCCATCTTCTAGCAAGTGGATGTAAGCACTTTAGAACAAAAAGCTGAATAAGCGACGACCAAGGAAAAAAGTCAAAATGTGGGTGGATCAGCTAGCTTTACAAAACCCTGGTCCAAGAGCCGCGTCAGCAACACGTCTTGGAGAAACGTCCTCCTCGAGCAGCACCAGCTTTCTGTGGGGCGCCGACCATAGCAATGCAAGTGCTACTGCAACCCTAACTGCCTCCTCGTCCTCCTTGCCGGGTTTGTCATCTCCAAACGTTCTGACCACTTCCTCTTCGACGTCGCACTACGACGATGGCGGGCCACATCACAGCAGTCTGGGGACACCTTCTACCGTAGTTTCCGGAGGAGCAGCTGCAGCTCAACATCTGGGGAAGAACAATCATCTTCCGTCCTCGCATCAAGCCACGTCATTTCTGTTCGGCGGCGACCACGACATTCACGAGCGCGTCGGCAGCTCGTTTCATGACATCGGAAGTGCTAGTAATCCGTCTGCATCCAGTTCCTCCTCTTCCTCGAGTGCCTGGAATCATATTTTCAACGGAAGTACTAGATATTCAGATACACTTTCCGCGATGAAACACGATGCTCATCACACGACAGCGAGTAGTAGTCCTCGCGGTGGTGGAATACTTCTAGTCGCCCCGAACGACCACAAGTCCTCGACATCGTTCTTGCACAATGGAATAAATCAAGGATCTACAACTCGTCCCGAACTGTCTAGCGGGGGCTCGACGTTTTCTATAACGCAGGAAAACATGCTGCCAAACTACAACTTTGACCACATCAGTCGGCAGAACCCGCACGGACATCTTCATTTGCATGACTCCAGCCGTGGACCGATGGCAGCAGGAGGAGACGGAGGTGCTTCAATAATTCCATCGGTCGTCGCACACGGAGGAGGTGCTAGCAACCTGAAGACTTCGTTCATGCTTTTTAGCAGCGGCGCGGCGGGGAACTTGATATCGGGGGCAGCGCAATCGGGAACGCTGACAACCGGCACGATCGATCCCTTCAACCTGCACGATCTGTTTCACGTCGCGAAGACCGGCTTCTTGCTCTTCGGCGGCCTGTGCTCGAAAATGTATAAAGCTCAAGCTGTTTGTTGCATGTCATGTCGTGGTCATTCTTGTGTGATGTGAATGTGATAAATCAAGCGAAAAATAACAAAACGATACGCTCTGAACCAAAAACGAAAATAACACAGGTTCGGGATGGGCTTGATTGGCTTTCTAGCGTTTCAGTCCATGACGGCGCCAAAGTCGGAACTATATCGAGTTGAAAACACCTGCATCAAAACAACTGGCCATAACTTGGTACAGTCGCAGATTGCTGAAATTCGATCGTGGCGTCAAGCATTACAATTTTAATTATCGTACGTAGTCGACACTATCCTATGGGACTCCTCTTTGTGATTGCCGTTCCCGGGACCTGCAAATCTATCATGGAGATAGGCCCGAGGACTTGATGATGCTTCCAGTTTGCTTCATCTCATGTACAAATACAGAACTTGGCATCTACTGCCTACTGAGTATGCGTAAGTATGTGCGGTGTGACATTCATCTCCTCGTTGTATCGATGCAGAAAGATGTTTTCAACCCGATGCGCTACCGAGAAGCTACATCTCGCAGTACCAGCAACCCATGTTTTATGGAGAGAAAAAAGTTTGTCACAGTCACTAACTTGCAGGTTTTGCATTACAAATTTTCTCAGCATCACAAACTTTCCTTGTATTGCAGAAACACTAGGGGAATCCCTAATGAAGTTTGGTTGTGATGCATTTTTGCGCATGACAAACAATTTTGTATTGCAAGAATGCGCATGAGTGATCGTGACGAACTTTTTTTCTTTGATATGTTTTACCCGTATGGATCCAGTGGCGAAGAGGATGACGATGAGGATTTCGAGCTGGATATCCTGAGTAAAAATGTACCCACACCAGAGTTGTAATGCAGATTTGCAAAGACAGGAAGACTTGTAATGCGCATCCCCATGAGAGCCATTTTCAGTCGTGTTTTGGAATTTGTGATGCTGTGAACAGGATGAGCAGATGAATCTGTGACGCGGCTGCACTTGCTAACCTGCACTACACTGCAGAGTGCAACTTGTCATGCGTGACTCACAAAACTCGTAGGTTTGTGTTGCAAAATCCCCATCCTGACTCTGGTGTGGGTACGTTTTTACTCAGGATACTGGATTACCTTTCGCCCGTCAAGCCGCAGGCAGGCGTAGGCAAGAAAAGCCCGGCCCCAACAGCAGCGACGAAAAAACAAGAATGACGGAACAGTGGACGAGGTAAAACTGTTGTGCCGAAGGCCGATCTTCGAAAAGAAAGTAGATGTAGATGAAAATAGCATGATCCTGTAGTTACTCAGGTCGTGGAGAAGAAGAATTGCCTCCTTGGCAGCTGCTCCGTCACTTATTCAGTAACGATGACCGCGCCGGTGCTCTCACTGTGTGTTCTGCGCACGGTTACTACACATGATATCAAGCTGAGCTTTTTTTTGTCAAGATGCAAAGGATATGGAATAGAACGAGAAACTCTTGGTTGTAATATTTACTTTTGCCCGAACATACCAGTTACAGTTTTGACTTCGACAGAGCTTCATTATCAGATACAGAGGTGCTTGGAACTATTCAGAACTAGCGTAGGCATGTTGAGGACGATGGCAAACTAGGGCACCGCTTCCGTCTAGTACTGTAATACTTCCACCGCAAAGAGAGCTGAACTTCCTCATCAAATTTATACTTTTCACTTATCGTTATTCCTATAAAAACCTATCTATGGTGGCTTACTCGCAGGAAGTAGCGATACTGCCATCGTGGTATTGAGCCGCGTGTAAATAGTTTCAGACAATTTTGCCTTCTTCCTGAGCAATTAGTTGACCTCATGGCAGCTCATGACGTTGAGAACTGTTTATCCACTCGTAGGCAGCTGATCGTTGTGTCAAAGATGATGCGAGTTCTGTTGATATTTCGTGTGAGCTCCTTTTCCGAAATTTATACGGGTGCAGATTCATCAAGCGCCTTTCGAAGAAAATACAACCAGATTCACAACTAAGTACGCAGGCAGATTATTTGATCGCAGGCAAAGGTGGAAATATTCAAAAGTTTTCTGGCTCCAGATTCAGCAATTGACTGAGTGGATCCTCTCATCGACGTATCTATCTCCATCCGTTCTTGTGACAAGCGCTTTGTGTATTGGTTTGTGTTGCAGTTTGGCGGTCAAAATGCCGGCGAAGATCTGCTCGATGTGCCACTTATGCGATTTGATAAGGATATCGTCTCCGTCCTCTGGTCGAGATAAAATCTTGCGATGTTTGAAGATTAGATCGGTGGTCCTGAGGTTAAAACAACAACAAGAAGTGGATCTTATATACTTTTTTTGTCTTGTCGTAAATGCAGTGATCGTCATCGTAATATGTCGAAAATGAATAACGTACAGAAAGAAGTTGGATTTTGTATGTTTGCCTTTCTCTGAGTGACCCGTCGTCTGCTTCTTGGTGTCGTGCTGTGTGGGTGTGCTTTTCATTGTATGTTTTCGTCATTGGTTGTTTACTACCAGACATAGATAACCGCCCATAACCATACTGATACTGCATCATAGCAGCGTCAGATTTGGTTTGCTCTAGTACAACTAGTTTCCTTACTTCTTGTTCTGTCGCTCATCTTCCTGGCTACCTCTCGTGTGGATTTTCATTTTTCACCTTCTGGTTCGAGTTCTGGAACGTATTATATAAATTGATGATGACGGCGAATTGGAAGTGGACCAAGTGGCTCACGAACAAAAATTATTGCCTGGGAGCGGTGCCGCGGAAAAATAAAGATATCAATGTCATTTCCAGCCGCAGAAGTAGTGGGAGTGGCACACAACGTCGGAAGATGCACGGCCTTTTTCTAGTTGTGATGTCATGTGTTGTCGCCAGCCGGTTCCTGCTGATTCCATCCGAAAGAGTTCATCCTGCTGGGCACACTGAAACTGAACATGTGACGCAGTGGCAGGTTCTCGCAGACGCACCACACAGAAGTTTTATTCTGGAGCACCACGCAGCTGCGAAAGCTGCTGAGGTTTTTTTTCGACAACAAGGCGATCATGGCGAATCAGCCACCACGACATCATCGTTTCACAGAGATGAAACCAACACTAAAGCAGAGCCTGGAGGCGCGAGACATGCACGACATAAATCTGGAGCAGATGGTCAGGAGGACGATCCCGAAGGCATCGCGTTTCTGGAGTCCATTTCGTTCCCTATGGCGTGCTTATCAGCGCCGACGTCAGAGAAGGTGCAGCACGGAACAGTCACAGACACGATCACCAGAACGGAGCCGGAACAAATTTTTGAACAACGTCCGCAACTACGAAAGAGCGACGAGAAGTCACACCGCGGAAGAACGAATAAACTTCTGTCGGACGTGACATTTTTCGGGGCGCTTTCCTTATCTAATGATGGACCTGGAGAAGGTGAAGGAGGAGCTTTTCCGAGTAGATCAGTAGACAGTGACAGAAACATTTTATCACAAGAACCAGTGGCACAACAAGAAGTACATGATGAACAACGACGAGGACAAAACGATATTGCATCAACCTCCCCTTTGTTATCCACGGGTCAGGGTCACCGTCTGCAGTTACGAAAGCTTTTCGAAACGGTTCTGGACCAGGCACTACGTGTTTCTTCATCGACCACGACGGACGACGAGGATGAAAATAAGATAAGAAGGTCCTCAAGCGACGGTGCCGATGCAGATCCTCCGCAGCAGATCCGGCCCTTTTCCACGGCACAATTTTACCGCGATGCCGCCCTCAGCGATATCCTGAGTAAAAACATACCCACGCCAGAGTTGTAATGCAGATTTGCAAAGACAGGAAGACTTGTAATGCGCATCCGCATGAGAGCCATTTCCAATCGTGTTTTGGAATTTGTGATGCTGTGAACAGGATGAGCAGATGAATTTGTGACGCGGCTGCACTTGCTAACCTGCACTACACTGCGGAGTGCAACTTGTCATGCGTGACTCGCAAAACTGTAGGCTTGTGTTGCAAAATCCCCATCCTGACTCTGGTGTGGGTACGTTTTTACTCAGGATAAGCGACCGGAAAGCGTTAGCGGAAGCGGCGCTTCAAGTTCAGCAAGCGCGGCTCGCGCTGATCCGCGCACTATCCTGAGCAAGAACGTCCCCACCCCAGAGTTGTCATGCAGATTTGCAATGACAGGAACATTTGTAACGCGCATCTACATCAGAGGCATTTCCAGTCGTGTTTTGGCAGTTGTAATCCTGTAAACAGGATGAGGAGATGAGTTTGTCATGCGACTGTCCTTCCTAACCTGCACTACACTACAAAGACGAACTTGTCATGCACGGCTTCCAAAACTCCTAGATTTGTGTTGCAGAGTTCACAACTTGACTATGGGGTGGGGACGTTTTTACTCAGGATACGCACTGGCCGGGACGTACGAGTCAGCCGCCGCTTTTTTTATCGCAGGAAAAAAATGTGTCACTGTTAATGTTATGATTTTGCAAGATCTGCATCACAAGTGTGTTACACATGGCACAGAAAATTTGCCATGCGCACTTCCCAAGGGGAAACACCCTCAAAAATCCAATATCTTGCATGTGTAGCACGACAAATAGAAATAGTTTTGTGTTCCATTCCATGCATCACAAGTTCACAGTGAAACAGTTTTTTCGTGGGATATTTTTCGCCGACAGAAGGTTGATGGGAAAACTGCATCTGCTGGTCGATACAAGAGATGCTGAGGTACTACTTATGCGCGAGCTAAACTTTGTTGACGAGAGTGCTTCATTCGGACAGGAAGGCGATGACGATCATACAGGAGCAACAGCACGTGAACGAAAAGCGGTGGAATCAGTCGAATTGTCAGCGCTCAATGATGACGATGGTGATGCAGATGCGACAGGGAAGATTGGGCGGAAAAAGAAAAGCGCTGCAACTTCCACCAGCATGTCGTACTATCCCTTATCCGTTCTGCGGACCGACCTCGTTACTGGTGGTGCCAACGGTGCTGCGGTATGTCGAACCATGCCGGCATTCTGTCCCATAGCCGTTAGCACCGCTTTGCTGACCGCTATTTCATCTCTGGACGATCAGAGTCAACAAGGTCAATCGCGACAACGACGACGTAGAAGGTCATTTCATGGAAGTGGTGCAGCCGGGACCAAGCCCGGTGTGTTCTCACGCGTCGTCGTGGAGATCGGCGAGGGGCAGACCACCACATTTGACTGCACGCGAGCGCTCACCGCCGGCCTGCTCGAAATTATTGCGCCCAGCAGCAGTGACATCAAGCTTGTCAGTGTGGTACTGGGGTCGCCGGAGCGCGAACGGCTACTCGAGCAAGACCTGCTCGGGGCCGACTTGCCGTGGCGGCTCATTTCTCGCCGAGATGGCAAATTGGCCGACGTCGATATCGTCGGAGAGATACTTGCGCCAGTTTTGTTTGGCGGCGACAGTACTAAAAGGGAGCTGGAAATGAACAGGGCGGTGCGACAGCCTCGCCATGACGTACGATCCCACACTAAAGATCTGTATGATCTAAGCGAGAAGATGCCCGACAGCGTGGACCTCGTTGTGCACGCACCACTGGCAGACACGGTAAATTGGTTCGTGAGGTTTCTCCAGCCGCTCTGTGCAGCAGCAGACACTACAAGAACAGCTACTTCCGGGGGCGATACAACAGACGATTATAGGCGCCGCCTGGGCGTAGATGAGCGGGAAGTCAACATAGCACGCACGATAAAGGAGCGCCACCTTCGCATTTTTATTCTCTTCCCAAACCGTGAAAATGAAGATGTACTAGATGAGTCAAGAACCGGTGGAGGCCGAGGCGGCGGCGCCTTTGAGCAAAACCACGAATTCGAGATCGAGGACCAGGTGCTGCAGACTTTGCAGTCAACGGAGCTGGGTGCCGCTTGTGCTCCGCAGTTCGTCTTTCGCCCGCTGGATGCAAAAACGCTTGTACTCGAATCCAAGGAAAGCGGTAAAAATACGGATCAAGACGGCACTGTAGTCTCGTCCGGACGAGATGACATCGATCCAGCCTGGCTGGACAGGAGGACAGGCTCGAGCTGGGACCAGCTGCAGGCTTTGCACGCTCCGGAGCATCTCTACAACTCCTGGATCGAGGTTCCAGCCACGGCCCTCATGCGGAATCTCGCCCTACTAAAGGCACATCTGCGAAAGGTAGTGCAAGCAGTACACGACAGCGCCGAAGCCGATAGAAGTGGCTATTCTGTGCATAATTCATCAATTTCAGACGAAGATCATGCACTGCTCGAAGAGCACCCGGCAGCATCTTCAGCGCGAGCGGTCCGCCAAGCAGTTCCGTTATTCGGCGCAGTTCTGAAGATAAATGCGTACAGCTATGGGTTGGCCGAGGCCGCAGAAATTTTGTACCAGAACGCCGGCAAGCAGGACGGCGTGGACTATTTTATGGTGGAAAAGCCGGAGGAGGCGCTGGCACTTCGCTTGCAGTCGAAGATCCCGGAAAGCGTCCCGATTTTGATACTGTACCGCACCGTGATGGCGCCCAGCCTGCTCTGTAAGCTCGCTTTGCTGCACATCCGTGTCTCGGCGTTGGCGATCGAATGGCTTCTGTCCTTGAACCTGAACGACTTTTGTATCGCCAGAAAGAGCTTCTGTTTCACTGCATTACAACATAAGATGAAAAGCGTTTTTCATATTCATGCCAGAAATGCATATGCAGCAAGACAGTTGATGCATTGCAGATCATGTTCGTTCTCGTGTATGGGTGTGGCGAACCTGTGATGCAAATGTTACAGAATGAGAATCATCGCTTCGCATCGCTCACAACGCTCGGATCATCGATCGATTACAGTGAAAGAAGAACATTTTTCGCGCGATATTTCGCCCCCCGTCCACGCCGGCCCTGAAATTTCACGCGATGCTGGACACGGGACTGTCGCGGGAGGGGCTTCGCTTAGAGGAAACGGTTTCCCATTTGGCTGATCACTTCTACCCGCTAGAAAAGGGCATCCGCGAGAGGAAGCTGCAGTATTGTGGGGAAAAATCCCCCCTCCCCATATCGAAAAGGTACGTAGCAGAAAATTTGCAATGCTGATTTGCGACCACAAATCATCTCTGTCTTGCAAGAAGGCAACTCCACAGGCTCCGCCGCTTTATGCAGGCGCTTTGTAATGCTGTTGGGCCTACAGCGCAGACGTTTCTCATGCTAAGAGCCCAGCCCAAAACCTCTCTGATCAGGCTTGATATGGGCCTGCAGTCCTCTCCAGCAAGACCAATCTGATTTGTGTACGCAAATCCAGCATCACAGACTTCGTTTTGATATGGGGTGGGGGGATTTTTCATTTTGATACGCAGTGGGAGGGATTTTACACGCACTGGTGTTGCCCCTACGACCCGAATGCCATGGCGTTTTCCAAAAACTTGTTCGACGAAGCAATTCAGGTGTTGGAACGCGAATTATGAGAGTGCACAACTCCCCTGCCCGCATCATTTGTATTTTTGTATGAACAGCAATACGAGCGTCCACAAGAATACAGGTCTCGCATGACAAATTTGAACAGGAGTGTAGTGCTATGTGGGCACCCAGATGAACTTGTCATGCAAATAGTGCCAAGAGGCAAGGCGTAAACTACGCATTTTGCATGACAAACGAGGGGGAGGGGGAGTTGTGCACTCTCATACGAATTTGCCGTCGAGTTCGGGAACGGACCGGGCAAGATTCTCCGCCACGCGTCCTCGTCGACGAACATGTTTCGGCCCGACACCATGTACGAAATGGTCCGTGTGTATGGAAGCGTCAGGATTGAAATTCTCAAAGTTGAAATAGTTTGTGATGCATAAACTCGATACCTGTTGGAAGCCCAATTTCCAAGCGGCGCATGACAAATTTGGGTAGAGCCGAAATCCAGTCTGTAACGCTGCTTGGGTAAGAAAGGCGCTTTATGTCATGCTACTTGTTTGGCAGCTCTACTTCTACCCCGCAACAGGCTTACAATCTGCCCCCCTCGCCTACTCTGCAAGACAGGCACTACCTGGGTTGCATTTTATGCATCGGTTCTGACCCTATGCCGCTCCGGCCCCTGCGGAGGCTTGCCTCCCCAGCTACGCCGGACAATGGCAATGTCGGTGCGGTTGTTTTAGCATCACAAATTATTATTATTTCACGTAGTGGCTTCGGTCGGTTTAGCATCACAAATTATTTCAACTTTGACGATTTCAATCGTGACGCTTCCATAGTGTGGGCGGGCTTTTGTTCGGCACCAACCACCCGATCGACCTGGTACTGCAAGAAAGCGTGTTCTGGAAAATGGTGGCGCGGGAGCTGTTGCAGCTACGAATACATGACGAGGAAGTAAACCGGCGCCAAGAAAGTAAGCAAATCGTAGCACAAGATGAACATCAACACGACAAGGAAATAGCTCGAACTTCTACTTCTGAAAGAACTAGAACGACAGCACGTACTACAACGAGTCCATTCGCCCATTACGATGCGCTACACGCACGTCTAATCGCAAAATACGGGGCGCAGCGAGCAGCGCTGGACTTGCGGCGGTCCACCGTCGAGGAGGCGCACAAAGTGCACAGTGACCTGTTCGTTTTGGCGAGCGACAGGTATTTCCACCTGTTCAACCTCGAAGAAGATCCGAAAGGGATAGAAAAGGAAGGAGAAACAAGAACAGCTGGGACACCGAGTACTGGTGCGACCGACTTAGATCGCGTTCGTGTTGTGGACGAAAGCGGCGATGCCGTGTCCCGTGACACCCGTTCGCACCAAGAAATAGGAGGGCCGCAAAAAGAAGAGTCGGAGTTTCAGCACCAGCCAATTTTACGCGAGGCACTGTCACACGAGGAAAAGAACAAGGTTCTTTTTGCTAGTAACGCAAACGGAGCAGGTCCTGTACTCCACCAAGGTGGATCGACACCAACACGAACACGCTTCGCCGGTGTGCCGTTGAATGTTTTGTCTTGGAAAACGACGTTGAGCCACGTGCGCAAATCTACGAAGGAGGAGCTTCGCTACGGCCCGTGCTTGCAAATGCAAAACTGCTTGAAATTTCCCAGTCTTCCAGCAAACGCCACAATCGGAACAGTTCCGGCTGGGTATGACGTTTTCGCGAGCGACCTCGCTTTGGATTGCAACTCGGGAGCAGGAGGGACGACGTCCTCTGTAACAACTGCGTGGACGGATCATCTAGATCTACTGAAAAATTTCCCGACCACAAGCGAGGAGGCGAAGATGCGAAGGCGTGAAGATCTCACACGGGCGATGGCCGACAACCGCTGTGCCAGCTATGAGTTTCTGTACAACACCGCAATCTCTGGCACTTTTGCAGTAAATCCAAGTGGTCCCGATGCGCCAGAGAACCGAAAAGGCATCGCAACCAACGAGGGCAACGTCGTTTATCTGTGCCAGCTATCGAGTGTAAAAGTGTCTGGGTCTGGAAACTTGTGATGCTGTGTGGCGTATCATGAGGAGGCGACAATTGCTGGCTCAGCATGACAAGTTTCTGAGCTTCTAGGTGTTGCCTATTCTGCATGACAAACTACGTTTCTGCATGACAGAAAAGTGGGGCTCTTTGCTAATGTGCATGACAGACTTAAGAGTCATGCCAGACAAGCATGACAAACTTGCATTCTTCCAGACCCAGACATTTTTACATTTGATACCAGCACCCGCACACCTGCATTCCCGAGCTTTTGAATGTCGCGCCAGAAGTGCCACGCGTTGTCGTTTGACCTTGAACCGCATCAATATTCTAGTGCAGAAAAAGGAATCAATGAACAAAATAGTAGAAAGGCGAGCACGGCGTCTTGCGTGTTGACCTTACTAGGGACTTGTTACTTACCCAGGTACAGGTTGGTTTATGTTCCTGTTGGAGTCCTTTCAACTTGGAGTGGTAGGTTGTGGTTTTGCTTGTTTAGTTTCGACCGAGTGCAGCAGGCAAATGAGCTCAAAAAAAAGCTTGACGTGGTCGCCGTCAAGGTCTTCAAATGTGCGAGAGAAGATTCAAACCTGGAACTGGATCATTATCGACCAGTAATATAGCGGGCAGTTTCCTCAGAATCGGGAGCGCCACCAGCTGCAATAAATGCATATGCAAATCTTGATCTTAGTGATAGTGTTGAAACTTCTGAAAGAGAGAAGTGGTGCTTAGTTATTGACATACTCAAAGGGTTTTGCTCCTGTAGTTCCCTCATCCATTCCAACAACTCGAAAACCTCCCAGTACTAGTGCCATCACCTGAAAATAAAAAAAGCCATGTGTGCGCGTCCTGGCGAGGACATGGCTGTTGTTCCGGAACAACATCACACGGCGACCGCGGTGTTCCGGTCAGAGTGGTTTTGGACCACCCTCCTGCCGTACTGCTCCTGGGAGGAACGCTTTGGCAGTCTGTTGATGTGCAAGTGGGACGCCGACACCGTTGAGGACTTCTGGTCCCTCCTCTGCATGCGCCTCGCGTCGGAACGCCATCTGACCCTGATGCCGCGCAGGTTCTTTGGCAAGATCAAGGTTGGCAACGCGAAGGAGTACTTCTGGCAGCTGTGGAGCTTGCGGAACCGCTTCTTTCTGCACGAAGAAAGTATGATCTTCGTCGACGTCGAACGCGTTGCGCCCTACGGACTTCGCTACAGTACGGAAAATAAGTCCAGGTGGTCGAAAAAATCTTTCGTGCTTTGCTCGCAGTCCGCCGCTGTGGCTGGGGAGGGCAGCGAAACCCTGCTGCCGAAAGAGGAGGAGGATCATGAGGTGAAGGCTCTTGGAACCAAGCCAGTTTCGTTGAACATCAGTACTTGTCAAGCTGTGAAAGAACAAGAGACGATGAAAAAACAGCAGACAATCGCCACAGAAAATGCGAAAGTGGAAGATGAAGACGCCTCCAGCCCCGTGGTCGTCGTCCCACAGGTGCTCCAGACAGTGTGTCGCTTTCGCCCTAGTTCCTGTTTCAAGGAGACCGCGGAAAACACGGCAACAAGCAACAAGGTGACCATTCCGCTGCACCAGCGCGTGGCGCTGCTCCGCGAAAAGGGCTACTCCAAATTGCAAGCGCAACAAAAAGCGCTCGAATTTGAGCGCGCATTGCACGCAGCGAGGAAGCAGGAGAACGCCGATCTCGAGGCGCTTTCCGCCGCTTCCACAACTGCATCGAGCGGGGACAGTTATGAACTGCAAAAGTATGGTACTCGTACTCATTGCAAATATGCATGATGACAAATCTTCTTTCTAAAGTAAAACAGCATTACAAATTGCATTTGTCATGCTGAGAAAATCTGTAATGCAATTTGTACTAGTACGATGCTTTTGCACAGGATAACAGTGAGTATGATAACAAGCCCTCCTGCCCTGCTTCTGCATCAACCGCGGCGAGCAAGTACCAGCTGCGCGCGTCGGTCCTGAACTACACGAAAAGTGAAGTTTTTACGCTGTGTCCGGGCGTGGTATCCTGAGTAAAAACGTACCCACACCAGAGTCAGGATGGGGATTTTGCAACACAAACCTAGGAGTTTTGTGAGTCACGCATGACAAAATGCACTCTGCAGTGTAGTGCAGGTTAGCAAGTGCAGCCGCATCACAGATTCATCTGCTCATCCTGTTCACAGCATCACAAATTCCAAAACACGATTGGAAATGGCTCTCATGGGGATGCGCATTACAAGTCTTCCACTTCCTGTCTTTGCAAATCTGCATTACAGCTCTGGTGTGGGTACGTTTTTACTCAGGATGCGTAGGCGCGAAGCGCTACGAGTTCGACACTGTGTTTGGGGACAAGAGCGCCACGGGGGAATTGTTTGAGCTGGCGCTGTATGCCTTGCAAATATGTCTGGGTCTGGAAGCGTGCAAACTAGTGATGCGCATTTCACAACACACACAAACTTTCTCATGCATAAATAGGCAACAAAAGTTTCCCACTTTCTGTCACCAAAATGGAGGACTTGTCATGCGGATTAGGCATTGCGGAACCTTTCTCGAGACCTCTCCCTCTGATAGTACTCGGGCTCCCATGCCAGACCGTGCGTGTCATGCAAAAACAGCATGTGTCTTCCAGATCCAGGAGACATATTTGCATGGAATGCGTTTCCCTTGATCAATTCCTTTCTGAACGGGGAAGACAGCTGCATTTTTTCCTACGGCCAGACGGGCAGCGGCAAAACCTTCACGATGTTCGGCAAGTATCCTGTGCAAAAGTATCGTACTCGTATAGAAATAAATGCAAGTCTTGCATTACAAATCTTGTTCCCAAGGCAAATCTGCATTACAAATTTTATTTCTCACGCTGAGGAAATTTGTATTGCAATTACTACTAGTGCGATGCTTTTGCAATGCATAGCAAGGACGAGGAAACCACGTTGGAAAACCTGCGTTCGCTGGCCCTCGCCGCCTTTCCCGCGCCCACCGGCGTCGTCAATGTCTACGGGCGAGGGCCGAAGATGGTGAACAACGCAGGTACTGTTGTCCTGGAGGACGAGGGCGGGAACATCAACGATACTTGTAAAACCCCTAGTGAACAAGTAAAACGGGAACACCAGCACGACCAAAAAACAGCAGAAGACGCTCTTGTTCGTGTCCCCGTCTATCCTGTGCAAAAGTATCGTAGTAATTGCAATTATTATGCATGACAAATCTCTTCCTCAAGGTAAATCAGCATCATAAGTTTCATTTCTCATGCTGATTAAATTTGTCATGCAATCACTACTAGTACGATACTTTTGCAATGCATACCGTCGTCCCGCTACACGACGGGCCAGAGCGGTCGGAGCAGATGGAGATTTTGTCTGCAACCACCGGTTTGATTCCGCAGACGCTGCTGTACTTGCTGCGCCGCAAGCCGCACGCGCTTTCCCTGACGCTTTCGTTCGTCGAAGTGTTCGGGAACACGGTCCGCGACTTGCTCACCGGCGAGGTGGTCCATTCCCTCGTCTCCGACCCACCGACCGAGCGGGATTTGAATAGCGTCGCAGACATTTACCACTTTCTGCACGACGGCGCACAGCACAAGCGCGCCGCGGCCACCGCCATGAACGCGAAGTCCACCCGCGCGCACGCAGTGGTGCTCGTAAAGCTGCGCACGCCGGAAGATTATGGTGCACTTGCTGAGGCGGAACGATACTGCCCAATAAACAAGTCCTCACCCTTTTATGTGCAGCAAGAACTTCTAGGACATCAAGTCGATCAGAGCCAGAGTTCCTCCTCTGCGTCCTCCTCTCGTCGCCCGGCACCCGGAGTTGTTGAGGACAATTATCTGCGGAAACCAAAAAATAAACCGCCGCGGGGGCCGGTGTGCTCGCAACTGATTCTGCTGGATCTCGGCGGGAGCGAGAAGCTGGAGCGGAGCCGCGTGCATGAGGACGTCCGTGCGCCTGGTGGCTTCGTGAGCGGCGACCAGGTGCACGCGGAGACTATATCGCGAGAAAAAAGTGTTACAACAGTTACACATTGTGTTGCAGACAAAAAAAAGACAGACAAGCTCTGTCATGCAGGATAATATGCGTAGGAGCCTCGTTTCATAGGTGTTTTCCCGTAGGATTTCTGCATTGCAAGTTTTCTCTCTCATGCAGAGAAATTTGTGTTGCTGATTTGACAGCAAATGTATAACTGTAACACTTTTTTCGTGGGATAGACTACCTGGAAGGAGTACTACAAGTCCAGGACCCGCTATCAAACAAAAAAAGGTCGTCGCGATCACTCATGCGCATTTTTGCAATACAAAACTTCCTGCCATGCGTAAAAATGCATCACAGCCAAACTTCCTTAGGGATTTCCCTAGTGTTTCTGCAATACAAAGAAACGCTGTGATGCTGAAAAAATTGTATATGCAAAACCTGAAAGGTAGTGAGAGTGACTGTGACAAACTTTTCGAGAAAGTGACGCTGTGAAACCTAGAAATCAATAGATTCCGCTCGGGCAAGGTCGTTTAAGGTTTCCCGGGAAACCTTAAACGACCTTGCCCGAGCGGAATCTATTGATTTCTAGGTTTCACAGCGTCACTTTCTCGAAAAGTTTGTCACAGTCNTGCTGGCTCAGCATGACAAGTTTCTGAGCTTCTAGGTGTTGCCTATTCTGCATGACAAACTACGTTTCTGCATGACAGAAAAGTGGGGCTCTTTGCTAATGTGCATGACAGACTTAAGAGTCATGCCAGACAAGCATGACAAACTTGCATTCTTCCAGACCCAGACATTTTTACATTTGATACCAGCACCCGCACACCTGCATTCCCGAGCTTTTGAATGTCGCGCCAGAAGTGCCACGCGTTGTCGTTTGACCTTGAACCGCATCAATATTCTAGTGCAGAAAAAGGAATCAATGAACAAAATAGTAGAAAGGCGAGCACGGCGTCTTGCGTGTTGACCTTACTAGGGACTTGTTACTTACCCAGGTACAGGTTGGTTTATGTTCCTGTTGGAGTCCTTTCAACTTGGAGTGGTAGGTTGTGGTTTTGCTTGTTTAGTTTCGACCGAGTGCAGCAGGCAAATGAGCTCAAAAAAAAGCTTGACGTGGTCGCCGTCAAGGTCTTCAAATGTGCGAGAGAAGATTCAAACCTGGAACTGGATCATTATCGACCAGTAATATAGCGGGCAGTTTCCTCAGAATCGGGAGCGCCACCAGCTGCAATAAATGCATATGCAAATCTTGATCTTAGTGATAGTGTTGAAACTTCTGAAAGAGAGAAGTGGTGCTTAGTTATTGACATACTCAAAGGGTTTTGCTCCTGTAGTTCCCTCATCCATTCCAACAACTCGAAAACCTCCCAGTACTAGTGCCATCACCTGAAAATAAAAAAAGCCATGTGTGCGCGTCCTGGCGAGGACATGGCTGTTGTTCCGGAACAACATCACACGGCGACCGCGGTGTTCCGGTCAGAGTGGTTTTGGACCACCCTCCTGCCGTACTGCTCCTGGGAGGAACGCTTTGGCAGTCTGTTGATGTGCAAGTGGGACGCCGACACCGTTGAGGACTTCTGGTCCCTCCTCTGCATGCGCCTCGCGTCGGAACGCCATCTGACCCTGATGCCGCGCAGGTTCTTTGGCAAGATCAAGGTTGGCAACGCGAAGGAGTACTTCTGGCAGCTGTGGAGCTTGCGGAACCGCTTCTTTCTGCACGAAGAAAGTATGATCTTCGTCGACGTCGAACGCGTTGCGCCCTACGGACTTCGCTACAGTACGGAAAATAAGTCCAGGTGGTCGAAAAAATCTTTCGTGCTTTGCTCGCAGTCCGCCGCTGTGGCTGGGGAGGGCAGCGAAACCCTGCTGCCGAAAGAGGAGGAGGATCATGAGGTGAAGGCTCTTGGAACCAAGCCAGTTTCGTTGAACATCAGTACTTGTCAAGCTGTGAAAGAACAAGAGACGATGAAAAAACAGCAGACAATCGCCACAGAAAATGCGAAAGTGGAAGATGAAGACGCCTCCAGCCCCGTGGTCGTCGTCCCACAGGTGCTCCAGACAGTGTGTCGCTTTCGCCCTAGTTCCTGTTTCAAGGAGACCGCGGAAAACACGGCAACAAGCAACAAGGTGACCATTCCGCTGCACCAGCGCGTGGCGCTGCTCCGCGAAAAGGGCTACTCCAAATTGCAAGCGCAACAAAAAGCGCTCGAATTTGAGCGCGCATTGCACGCAGCGAGGAAGCAGGAGAACGCCGATCTCGAGGCGCTTTCCGCCGCTTCCACAACTGCATCGAGCGGGGACAGTTATGAACTGCAAAAGTATGGTACTCGTACTCATTGCAAATATGCATGATGACAAATCTTCTTTCTAAAGTAAAACAGCATTACAAATTGCATTTGTCATGCTGAGAAAATCTGTAATGCAATTTGTACTAGTACGATGCTTTTGCACAGGATAACAGTGAGTATGATAACAAGCCCTCCTGCCCTGCTTCTGCATCAACCGCGGCGAGCAAGTACCAGCTGCGCGCGTCGGTCCTGAACTACACGAAAAGTGAAGTTTTTACGCTGTGTCCGGGCGTGGTATCCTGAGTAAAAACGTACCCACACCAGAGTCAGGATGGGGATTTTGCAACACAAACCTAGGAGTTTTGTGAGTCACGCATGACAAAATGCACTCTGCAGTGTAGTGCAGGTTAGCAAGTGCAGCCGCATCACAGATTCATCTGCTCATCCTGTTCACAGCATCACAAATTCCAAAACACGATTGGAAATGGCTCTCATGGGGATGCGCATTACAAGTCTTCCACTTCCTGTCTTTGCAAATCTGCATTACAGCTCTGGTGTGGGTACGTTTTTACTCAGGATGCGTAGGCGCGAAGCGCTACGAGTTCGACACTGTGTTTGGGGACAAGAGCGCCACGGGGGAATTGTTTGAGCTGGCGCTGTATGCCTTGCAAATATGTCTGGGTCTGGAAGCGTGCAAACTAGTGATGCGCATTTCACAACACACACAAACTTTCTCATGCATAAATAGGCAACAAAAGTTTCCCACTTTCTGTCACCAAAATGGAGGACTTGTCATGCGGATTAGGCATTGCGGAACCTTTCTCGAGACCTCTCCCTCTGATAGTACTCGGGCTCCCATGCCAGACCGTGCGTGTCATGCAAAAACAGCATGTGTCTTCCAGATCCAGGAGACATATTTGCATGGAATGCGTTTCCCTTGATCAATTCCTTTCTGAACGGGGAAGACAGCTGCATTTTTTCCTACGGCCAGACGGGCAGCGGCAAAACCTTCACGATGTTCGGCAAGTATCCTGTGCAAAAGTATCGTACTCGTATAGAAATAAATGCAAGTCTTGCATTACAAATCTTGTTCCCAAGGCAAATCTGCATTACAAATTTTATTTCTCACGCTGAGGAAATTTGTATTGCAATTACTACTAGTGCGATGCTTTTGCAATGCATAGCAAGGACGAGGAAACCACGTTGGAAAACCTGCGTTCGCTGGCCCTCGCCGCCTTTCCCGCGCCCACCGGCGTCGTCAATGTCTACGGGCGAGGGCCGAAGATGGTGAACAACGCAGGTACTGTTGTCCTGGAGGACGAGGGCGGGAACATCAACGATACTTGTAAAACCCCTAGTGAACAAGTAAAACGGGAACACCAGCACGACCAAAAAACAGCAGAAGACGCTCTTGTTCGTGTCCCCGTCTATCCTGTGCAAAAGTATCGTAGTAATTGCAATTATTATGCATGACAAATCTCTTCCTCAAGGTAAATCAGCATCATAAGTTTCATTTCTCATGCTGATTAAATTTGTCATGCAATCACTACTAGTACGATACTTTTGCAATGCATACCGTCGTCCCGCTACACGACGGGCCAGAGCGGTCGGAGCAGATGGAGATTTTGTCTGCAACCACCGGTTTGATTCCGCAGACGCTGCTGTACTTGCTGCGCCGCAAGCCGCACGCGCTTTCCCTGACGCTTTCGTTCGTCGAAGTGTTCGGGAACACGGTCCGCGACTTGCTCACCGGCGAGGTGGTCCATTCCCTCGTCTCCGACCCACCGACCGAGCGGGATTTGAATAGCGTCGCAGACATTTACCACTTTCTGCACGACGGCGCACAGCACAAGCGCGCCGCGGCCACCGCCATGAACGCGAAGTCCACCCGCGCGCACGCAGTGGTGCTCGTAAAGCTGCGCACGCCGGAAGATTATGGTGCACTTGCTGAGGCGGAACGATACTGCCCAATAAACAAGTCCTCACCCTTTTATGTGCAGCAAGAACTTCTAGGACATCAAGTCGATCAGAGCCAGAGTTCCTCCTCTGCGTCCTCCTCTCGTCGCCCGGCACCCGGAGTTGTTGAGGACAATTATCTGCGGAAACCAAAAAATAAACCGCCGCGGGGGCCGGTGTGCTCGCAACTGATTCTGCTGGATCTCGGCGGGAGCGAGAAGCTGGAGCGGAGCCGCGTGCATGAGGACGTCCGTGCGCCTGGTGGCTTCGTGAGCGGCGACCAGGTGCACGCGGAGACTATATCGCGAGAAAAAAGTGTTACAACAGTTACACATTGTGTTGCAGACAAAAAAAAGACAGACAAGCTCTGTCATGCAGGATAATATGCGTAGGAGCCTCGTTTCATAGGTGTTTTCCCGTAGGATTTCTGCATTGCAAGTTTTCTCTCTCATGCAGAGAAATTTGTGTTGCTGATTTGACAGCAAATGTATAACTGTAACACTTTTTTCGTGGGATAGACTACCTGGAAGGAGTACTACAAGTCCAGGACCCGCTATCAAACAAAAAAAGGTCGTCGCGATCACTCATGCGCATTTTTGCAATACAAAACTTCCTGCCATGCGTAAAAATGCATCACAGCCAAACTTCCTTAGGGATTTCCCTAGTGTTTCTGCAATACAAAGAAACGCTGTGATGCTGAAAAAATTGTATATGCAAAACCTGAAAGGTAGTGAGAGTGACTGTGACAAACTTTTCGAGAAAGTGACGCTGTGAAACCTAGAAATCAATAGATTCCGCTCGGGCAAGGTCGTTTAAGGTTTCCCGGGAAACCTTCGGCTCAGCTCGTGCTAAAGTGTGTTGCAATGCAACCGAAAACGCGGCGCGCGCATGGACTCCGCTGCTGTTTGTGTACACAACCGCGCCGCGTCTGTGTTGGCGTCTCGTGTGCTTATTTAAATCGCCACAGCCGGCTGCGGATTGCGAGCAACCTGGCGGCCCCGGCAAACCGGCGCACATTTCCCGCGGAATTTGCCTCGCGGATTTCGTTTCTGGCCCAATTTGGTCCGCCTCGGAGGGCCTTCCCCCGATGTTGTGGCCTCGATTTCGGGAGAGGATTCCACAGAGGATTCCGGAGAGGATTCCAAAATCCTCTCCGGAATCCTCTGGCCCAAGTTGGGCCGCCTTTCGCGCCCTTTCCCCGACGGCACTGCCTCGATTTCGGGGGAGGATTCCACAGAGGTTTCTGGAGAGGATTCCAAAATCCCCTCCGGAATCCTCTGGCCCAAGTTGAGCCGTCTTTCGCGCCCTTCCCCCGACGGCACTACCTCGATTTCGAGAGAGGATTCCACAGAGGATTCCGGAGAGGATTCCAAAATCCTCCCCGGAATCCTCTGGCCCAAGTTGAGCCGTCTTTCGCGGCCTTTCCCCGACGGCACTACCTCGATTTCGGGGGAGGATTCCACAGAGGATTCCGGAGAGGATTCCAAAATTCTCTCCGGAATCCTCTGGCCCAAGTTGAGCCCTCTTTCGCGCCCTTTCCCCGACGGCATTGCCTCGATTTCGGGAGAGGATTCCCCAGAGGATTCCGCAGAGGATTCCAAAATCCTCTCCGGAGTCCTCGGACCGGATTCGCGCCGTCCCTGCTTCGCGGTCTTTCCCCGGCGGCACAGCGTCGATTTCGGGAGGGGATTCCGGAGGGGATTCCTCCGGGGACTCCAAAATCCTCTCCGGAATCCCCTGGCCCAATTTGTGTCGTCTGTCGTGCCCTTTCCCCCGTGGTACGCACTACCTCAGCCGGGCGGATTTCCCCGGGAACAGGGCGGATCCCCCGGAAAGCAGGCGGATCCCCGGGGGGCGTGCGGATCCCCCGGAGAACAGGTGGATCCCGCGGGAAGCCGGCGGACCCCCTGGGCGAAGGCGGATCCCGGGGGAACGGGCGGATCCCCGGGTAGCAGGCGGATCCCCGGGAAGCGGACGGATCCCCTGGGCGAAGGCGGATCCCCGGGAAGCGGACGGACCCCCGGGGCGCGGGCGGATCCCCTGGGCGAAGGCGGATCCCCGGAAAGCGTGCGGATCCCCGGGAAGCGGATGGACCCCCGGGGCGCGGGCGGATCCCCGGGGCGAAGGCGGATCCCCGGGGAGCGTGGGTGCGGACCCCCGGGGAGCGGGCGGATCACCGAGTAACAGGCGGATCCCCGGGGAACGGGTGGGCTCCTGGGCGAAGGCGGATCCCCGGGGAGCGTGCGGATCCCCGGGGAACGGGTGGATCCCCTGGGCGAAGGCGGATCCCCGGGGGGCGGGTGGATCCCCTGGCCGAAGGCGGATCCCCGGGGAGCGGGCGGATCCCCGGGCACCGGGCGGATCCCCGGAGAACAGGCGGATCCCCGGGGAATGGGCGGATCGATCCCCGGGGAGCGGGCGGATCCCCCAAAAAAGTCCAGAAATCGAAATCGCGACGCTATGCTTATTTTTTTTCCCTCATTCTCAACACAAGAAAACCACGCTGCCGTCGTGATTCGTTGGCTTAGGTCTCAGAGCGTCAGGGTCTCAACTTTTTTCTCTCCATACCCGCGTGCAGGAGACGGCTTTCATCAACTTGGGGCTCCTTTCCTTGAAGCGCTGCATCGCGGCACTGCTAGAAACGAACGAGAATGGTCGTGTCCAGACCGAACATATCAAATGCAAAAATGTCTGGGTCTGGAAACTTGTGATGCTGGTTGGCGTATCATGAGGCGGCCACAAGTGCTGGCTCAGCATGACAAGTTTCTGAGCTTCGAGGTGTTGCCTGGTCTGCATGACAAACTGCGTTTCTGCATGACAGAAAAACGAGGCTCTTGGGTAACGTGCATGACAGACTTTGGGGTCATGCTGGCAGAGCATGACAGACCTTCCATTCTTCCAGACCCAGACATTTTTACAATCCATAGCACAAGACCTTCCCCGCATCCCGTTTTACGACAGCAAGCTGACCCAGATCATTATCGCAAGAAAAAAGTGTTACAGTTACACACATAGTCTATGCAAGACCGGCAACACAGACAACCTTTCTCATGCTGGAAATGCTTACGAGCCGCGCCTCCTTCCTGTTTTCCCTTATGATCTTCGCATTACAAGTTTTCTGTGTCACACAGAGAAAATTTGTGATGCAGAAACTCCAACAAATGTGTAACTGTAACACTTTTTTCGTGGGATAATCATGCGCCCGAGCTTGCTGTCCCGCAACCTGCTGTGCGTGATCTGCGCCGGCGCCGAGGACGCGAACGCGGTCGAGAGCATCGCCAGTCTGCGGTTCGGCGAGAACTGCCGCCAATTGGGCGGGTTCGCCACCTACCTGGACAAGACCAAGCAGCAAAGCGGCAACGCGCTGTCGGAGAGCGTGCGGGTGTTGGATCTCCGCATCCAGGAGGTGCAGAAGGAGATCAAGAAGAAGGAGCGGTGGGATATGACTTGCTCAAACGTTACAATCTCAAACGTTACAATAGAATCTGGAATTTGTGTTGCATGATGAGCATGGCAGACTCGCACAGCGTTCCACCTTTCGCAATACAAGTTTCGCCAGCTCGTCGTCAGGTTTGGGGCTCCGGAACTTGTCATGCGCAATCCTATGAGACTTGGCTAGGTCATGCACTCCTGCATCACAGATTTGCATATTCTATTGCAACGCTTGAGACTGTACCACCTGAGCGGGTTATATGGGAGTGGCGAGAGATAAAACGCAGCGATGTAGTGGACGCCATGGACACGAACCCGACGCAGCTGAACACGGACGAGGAAATGGAGCTCGGGGGCAAGGGCGCGGTGGAAATTTTTGCGGACGACGGAAATTCCAAGAAGGAAACCATCACGCACACGGTGCAGGGACAGGTCTTGGTGGGCGCGGAACAGGAGAACGAACTCCTGGCCAAGCTGCTCGACCAACGACGGATGCTGCTTGGGGAAGAGTAGTGAATGAAATAAAGGGATGGTACCAACATTGGGAATCGATACTTTTTGATAAATACCAAAATGAAAATTTCCAAAAAGCAGCCTTGATGTGCTTTGCATCGAAAAATAGAGTTGCTGGTTGCTCGTGCAGCTGTCTGTGTGAAGGATGGTACGATAAGAACTGCAAAAGAAGGAAAATGCTAAAGTCACGACTGTAAAGGAGACTCAATACCTACCGTTTTCGCAATGGAATCGAATTTAGCAAGAACGCGCAGAACTTTTTCAATTGAGAAACGAAGGCATGACGAAGGAGTTGTATGCCTCGATGGAGGGTCAGGTGGTGCTTGTGTTATCTTTGTCGATGGCGGAGGTGATACTAGAAAAGTAAGATGACTTGCAACGCATCGATCGTCCATGAAGGATCAAATTTGACGACTCCATCTTCATTTCTTGATCTCAATGTTTGTCGTTATTTCCATCTCACCTCTAATATCGCGGCCTCTCTCCATCTCATTGTAATTGTCGAAATTTTCGCTCGTGGTGAACGAACAAGGAAGTAAGTAGCTCCGCTGTAATTGAGTATCACATCAGTACCCGATTGTGATTATCAGTTGTTATTCAGCCTTCTCGAATTAATTCGTAGTTTTCATGGGAGCCGGGTCGTATTCGTCAACCAAGCGGTCTTGATTTTTGGTCGTCTCATCTTCGTGGTATTATATATTCTCGTTTACAAAAAACAGAAGTACATCGTGCCCGTGGTCTTATCGTGAAAGAAATTTCGCACTAGTTGAAGTCCTCTGGGTGCAGACACCCCCGGAAAACTTCAAATAGGTGATTCCTATGATCATCATACCTGTAGCCGGCGCCTTTTTTTTAAAATTTTCACTTGTGTGGAAGGATAGCTTGATATGCTTGTCAAGAATTTCAAGGAAATTCTAACACCAAAGTACCAGTACCCATCTGCCGATCCATGACCAAGGGCAAGAACAGGAAGATGACGAGGGCCCGAATTTTTCTTTCGTTTCTTCTGGTTGGTCTGCATTTAGTACCGGCTATTTCCGGGAGGAAGCTCGCACAAACTGAAACCGGGGAGAGCAACAGCAAGACCACAATCTTCGAGTTGTTACCGAAGAAATGCAATCACACCAATGAATTTGCTCCGGAATGGGCGAAGGACAAGATTCCAGTGGTTCTTTCTTTTTTTTCCTGGTGTTTCTTTCGATTCTGTCCCTTGTTTTCGCCGCTGCTACTCTAGCTGCAGCCAGGATAAGCATGAGATCATAAAGAAATATGAAAATGCTGGCACCTATTAAATTAAAGGGTCAAACACAATCAATGAATGAAAAATCATCTCACTTCAACTTGTACACAGTTTGCTCTGAAGCATATCCTGGCGGCGCGAAGGAATCAGGAATCCCTGGATGAGACACCGACGCTGGTGTGGGTCCGTCGAATCTGCACCTTTTCGAGCATCTTCTTCCTCATGCTTTTGTGGTGCATTGCAGCTCCCGAGCGGTTCTCCACGGGGCTCTACAAATTCGTCCTGGACTACGAGAGAGAAAAAATGAACATCACTTTTGATAGTGAAAGACGCGTCCATCATTTCCATGCATTTATTGATTTGACAATGAAGCAGCCCCGAGCTCGAGGGCGACGTGGTAGAGATCGGGCGACGTCGAGAACAGCACCATAGGCATAGCTCATGCAGATCATGTGACCACATTGCTCATCTATCATCATCACGATGAAATCCTCTGTACTAGATGAGACACCCAAAAATACCGACGTGGAATCTTGTTCATCAATGGCATTGAACAAGATTCCACGAGGTGTTGATGACATGATGGAAGTCACTATCGATAATATTTTTCCATTTGACACGCATAACGAGAAGACCAAGGTGGACCTGACAATCCTGGCGCCGCTGGAGACCCGCAAGGAACGGGCCATCAAGAGCCGTCCCGTGGCGCATCTGTCCGGTAGCCGAGTGCAGCCCAGGAGCGAGGATGGAGAAGAAGAAGCCATTTCGCGGAGCAGGGCGTCGAAAAAGCGGGCTGCAAACGACGGTAAGTCCAATTTAAGTTTTTCTCTAGTCCTATTCGCTTTTTCAGGAACGGTTTGCGTATTGTCAGCGTATTATTTCCGGAAAGAAAAAAATGTTGAAAAAGAAAAACCGGATAATTGTAATTCATCAAATAATTCAACAAAACTTTCTTTAGAAAAAAATGAAAAATCAAAACTCAATAACAGACGCCATCTCGTCGAAAAGCGTCGACTAATCTCGGAGCAATGTCGACTGTGACCGATCCTTGGCAGTTTGTTAATTTCTATTTATTTCATGGATTATTTGTACAATGTTTGTTTATTGTTGCAAATTTGAGGAACATCATGAGGATGTTGACGATGAGCGTGAAAGAAATGTAGAATATCGTTGCCGCGTTTCGTCTGATAGACATGGAATAGATTTTATAATTGATTCATCTCTAGTTGTTGAGCCATTTTTCCCTGCAAGGTCCTATGGTTTGTCTTCAGAGGTGCGTCGAAATTAGCTTGTTTTCTCAGAGTTGACTGAGTTGGATGTTGTTAGTTCACCTGGTGTGCACGACCCTTGAATAATACTGCTACATTAAGGAACCAAGTGCGCGAAGCAGGTCCGCACATCAATGCGCCCGCTTTCCTTCATGCACGTTGTTCTCCTTCTGCTTCTCTACTTGACGTTGTGTGTTGCTGGTACGTCTGGCTCCCACAACTGCGTTGACAGGCGGATCATTGCAAGTACAGCCTGGCCGAAGAGCGAGCGCCGCGTCTGTTGGAAACAAGAAGCGGATCAAATACAATACAAGAATACTGAGTTGGATATGGATCTATGAACAATCAATCGCTCGGCCCAACGCAAGATTCATACTCGAAACAGTAAAACCTTCTTCTTGAGCACAAGACAACAAGCTACACGACAAATTTTATTCATTGACGTTGTTCAAAGCAGATACCGACCTTGCGAAACCGACGGAACTGCGTTTGTTTATGTAAATCTAGCCGCATCCAAGTCCAACAGTTTTTGTTTTTCTTAACTTTGATGTACTACAATTGTTTTTCTTAACTTTGATGTACTACAGCCTCTACACCCGCGTGGCTACTAGTGATAGCGATTTCTTGCCATATCTTTGCCTACAGTCGCCTGTTCTTTCACTCCGGTGCCTACTTGATAGACTTAGCGGAGCGTCAAGTTCCGTCGATGCCCCAGACTACTCGAAGAAAATTCAAAATTGCGACTTCAACACAATGCTCGCGGAATTTAGCCCCGTCATGTAGTTTGAAACTACAACGCTGTGCCCGCTCATAAATTCGTGGTGAGGGCGGCATCCATCACCTGTGGCGCGGACAAGACTACTTACAAGCAAGAACATCTTCCCAGCTTTGTACTGGCAAGGCTAGGTTCGCGCTCACGACCGACCTTTAGACGACATCGCTTCGAGCAGGCTTCGGCTGTCTCCTCCATTTAGGACATCCTCTCCCACACTGCACTACAGGTGGAAAAAAATCAAACAAAATGGGAGAGGGGCAAAAAAGTACGAAAAGCTGCAGTGGGTGCAGCTGCACGAAAAGAGTTGACGTTTTCCGTGGGGTGCTCAACTCGTCTCCGCAGCGACGGAGAAGCGGAAGTAGGCCTCCAGCTGCTTCAGTGTCGAAGACGACAGGTCTAGCGTTGCTTTTGTTGCTGACACAGCAAGCTGCGCAGCTGGCGGGGATGAAGACGCAGAAGAAGTTCTTGGCGACATCGCAGCCGTCACAAGCGGAAACGCCTTCGAAGAGCCCGTCGGATTTGTTTGGCACTACTAGAACATCAGGCTCCTTGGGTGCCGTGCCTGAGTCCGCGATGGGCTCGGGGGCAGCAATTATGGTGAGCGATGGCAGTGACGAGCGAGAACGAGATGCGGAGACCACTACCGGAACCAGCCCTCTGGCACCTCCGCATGATGCGACACAAGACACGAAGAATCGTGCGCCGTGCGCTCCTGCCGCCCACACGGTACCTAATTCATTCTGAATCTAAGCAACGCATTACAGACATCACATTCTACTTCTAGGCATCACGACAAATGGGACTAGGTCGCACAGTTTCAGCGCGAACCCCGTGCGGGCCGGAATGGGCTAACCACCTCTGTGGGCCCCATTTTTGTACACAGAATTCCGATGCAACAACATCGGAATTTGCCCGGGACCGTACGAACATACGAAGTAAAGCCGTCAGCCCGTCGAGGGGCGCCAGCGCTCTGCGGATTTGGGGAGAAGTTTCATTTTGTGTTCGCCCCACGATATCATATAGCAAATACTACCCAAATTTAATTACATCATGGATCAGGTACTAGAAGGGCGGAAGAGGGAGATAGAGTTGATAAACGAGGCAAACGAGGAGGAGGAGCGACATTCCTGCTTCGATGCTGCCGGTACCCGAATCTACGGCGTAGGGCTCCCGGATAATGAGCAGGATCGCTTGCGGTACCTCTACAGTCTCCTCCTTGACGACTTGCCGGACTTGGAGATTGACGAAGTTACAAGAGTGGTCAAAGGATTGTTTCGGGTGCCCATCGTTCTGACGACCATCATCGACGAAAAGCGCCAGTGGTTCAAGTCCAACATCGGGCTCTCCGGCAGCGCTTGTGGAATGACCCGGCAGAAGTCTTTCTGCGCACACACGCTGCTCAGCGACGTCCCTGAAATTCTGTATGTCCCCGATGCTCGACTGGATCCGCGTTTCAAGAACAACCCGATAGTGCAATCAGATATAGAGATCCGCTTCTACTGCGGCTGCCCCATCATCGTGGAGGGGGTCCGACTCGGGGCACTCTGCGTGATCGACTACGTCCCGCGCGTCGACATCACCTACGAAGCGGCGCTGTTGTTGTGTAATTTCGCGGATATCGTTGCCGCGTCGCTCGGACGCGCCACGGTCCGCGACGAAAAGCATCTGGACATGCTGCGCAATGCATGCTTTCTGATCGACCTGCGACAGGGCAACGAGCTGGAAAAGCAGCTCTACGATCACGATGTCGAACTCGACCATAATGGTCTGGGTGACGCAGGTGCCACAAACAACGGCACGCGGGCGGGGCACATTGGATTGTCCTCCTACAGTACTACGGGAGCGGAAGGACTGGGAGGAGAAAAGGATCAGAGAAGCATCAGTTCGGCTGTTCGTCTTCCGGATGAGTTTGGAAAGGTTTTGTACTGCAACCGCGTGGCGAAGAAACTGCTTGCCTCGACGCGCGTTGTAGGAGCGCAAGAACGGACAGGAAGCGCTGACGAACAAATGAAGGCCAAGCACAAGCTCAAGCTGCAGATGGACCCCCGCGAGATGCGTGCGCTTGACGAGGAGGCAGCTAAACGGCGCGCTGGGGCTAGTGCAGCAGCCTCATCAAGTGGAAGTGCTAGCGCTGTCGCTGCGGAGGAGGCTGCAAAAGAACAAGAAGATGAAGAACCACTTCCAGCATCACAAAAGTTGCATTTGTCCGATATATTGGACGAGGTGCAGAACTGGAAAGCGACCCGCCAGGCCATCTTTAGCATTTCGCGACCCTCCGCAGAACAAGGGCGCGCACTCGTGTTTTCGGCAACACTAAGAGACGGCAGCCCAATTTTTTGCTGCTGGCACCCAGCCGCATGCCAGACTCGCCCGCACCGAAAAGAGGAGAATCTGAGCAGTGTGGTCCACTTTCCCTACACGTTCAACGAGACCGAAAAAAAGACGCGGGACCACGCCGCCGCTATCGACACGCAGTTACAGCTAGAAAACCAAATCAGGAGCGATCACGGTGAAGCGGAGTTCGCGACTAAGGTGACGGGGATGGAGGAGGAATTGGACTTCTTTGCAGAGCAAAATTTCATTCCGGGCACAAAGAAAACAGCGAGAGGGTTCTGCGTTGTGAAGAGATACGATCCGGACGCCGCTGCGTCGGCCGCTTCGGAAAAACAAGCTGAGGGCGTGGTGCCAAAAATCAAATTGAATTTGAACGATGAAGGCAGCATTATTGAAATCAGTTCGCTTCGCCAGTTAGAGGACATCATCATTTATGGCCGCCGGCGTTTTGGTGACGCAGCTGCCGCCGCAGAAGGAGGATCCGTGTCAGCTGTGGGGTCCCCGTCCTCGTCGAGTGTGCCCACCCAGGGGCCGCAGCCGGAGGGAAATACGTCTTCACCGCGCCACGCTTTGAACGCCAACCTCCCACAAGTTGCTCTTCCGATAGACCACGTAGAGGAATCCCCGACGACTGCAGATGGCGGGTTTGACGCGCACCAGCTACTTGGCATTGTGCTCGACAAGCGCGGCGACCAGGGCCAAGATTCCGGCGCTGCGCTGGACCGATCACAGGATGCAGCTTGCGCCATTAGTAGCAAGGCAGACCTCCGAAATTTCCTCGGCGCTTCATCCAGCAGCGCTGCGTGCTCATCTACCCGAGGGCAATGCGCGGCGAACTGCAAGTCGGGGTACAAGAACCGCCACACTGGAGATGTTGGCATCCATTACGACGACAATCCGGCTCCACCACCGAAGGGGCCACTTCATGCGCCGGCTCCGCCGACGACTCCTTTCAATGGAGGTATAACTTCGGAAGCGGGACCGCCAATAATCAAGGCGGTGCTGTTTTGCAACAACTTGTGTCAGGCGTGCGCCATGTTTCACGAATTCTATTATGCCGTGAGCCTCGCTTATCATCGTCGGCGAGTGGTTTTTGCGGAGGTAGATGTGGATCGTAACTTCGCGCTCGCGAAGAGGGTGCTCGGACCCACTTTCTTTCTGCCAGCTGTCCTGTTTTACGATCGGCACGGTAACAAGATCTTGGGCCCCAGCGTGAATCAGGGGAAGTTGTGTGCTTCCGGAATGAAATTTCGCGAACTTCTGCTGGCTCTTCTGAATGCAGAAGAGGAGTCTGAGAAGGCGGAGCTGGCAGAATTAGCTTCGGCCCGAAAGGATAGGGAAACTGTAGTTGACATGGGGCAGGAATCCACTCCCCTTGCAAGGGCACCGGTTGCCGACGAAGACACGGACTCGGAGAAGGACAGCACAGAAGCCCTTCAGAGAAAATGGGGGCACCACATGCCGTTGCTGCGCAAAAAATAAAAATGCCAAGAAAACCAGCGGGGTCGGCAGCGCTGCAGGTGCAGGCGTTGTAGCCAGTGACATTGATGGTTCTCAGCCTTTTCCAATCGTCCCGGCAAGCACGTCCACCGCCTCGTCGTCGTCCTCTGGAAGTGCAGTGATAGGGCACTTGAAACGCTCATCCTCGCAGTCGTCTTCCCCCGGGCAAGACGAGACGCCGAAACAAGGCAGCAGGAAGCAGCGTGGCGCCGGCATGTCGAGTTTGATGCCGAAGGCGCTTTCCAGCATGAAGATGCCTGGGATGAAAGTGCCTTCTTGCTTTCGCAGTACTAATGGCCGAAATACTACTTCTGACGCATTCGCATCCGGTCTCGGCAAAAAAGCGGGACTTCTCTGCTTTCGTAGCGGCCGCCAAGAAGGACACGACCCAACCCCTCTCGAAGATTTTGGTCCAGATCAGCAAGGCGATCACTCTTGTTCAAAAAGTGATCTTCATAGCATGGGAGATGACGAGCAGGAAAAAATAAACCGGGACTGCGGGATCGTGATGCTCAACAGCGGGGACTGCGAGAAGACTTTTTCTCTTATGAACGAAAACGCTTTTGTAGAGGAACTCGCCAACATGGTCGGGCCGCGGGACGATTTGCTGGGCCACTTTGAGCAGGTCATAGTCTCGTCCGCGAGCTCTTGCGGCACCAGCCCGTCGCAAGCTATCTGGACGTCGTCCCTGGATCGGAAGGACACAAGCTCGCAAGGCAGCAAGAAGCCAGATTCTGCGATATCCCTGCCGAAATCGGAATCGCCGGAAAAGTGCATCTACGAAAGGGAGGTCCGGCTTTTGCAGATGATGCAGCGGCTTTCGCGCCGCGATCGGCACGAGCTCGGGCGTTTCGTTCACACGAATTTTTCTCCATTCATCCGCACAGGCAAGCTGTATCAAATGTAAAAATGTCTGGGTCTGGAAGGGTTGGAACTTGTCATGCTGTCTTTGAAAGGTAAAAAAAATCTGTATTGCATGACCAGCAAGAGGAGTTCAGTTTGTGCTACGCGGAGAGCGCGTTTCTCATGCGGAATACGCATCAGAAGGCCCCTGAAAAATCTGTGATGGTCGGCCAGGAGGCATTACAGACATCATGGGTTATGCAAAATATGCATGGGCAGTGGTTGGCAGAGGTTGTGCGGGATATTCAGTTTTTGTTATCCCGGGACATTTGTGTTCCTTACCCACTTCCTCATTTCCTGGTTGACCAGTTGGTATGGTCGACTATATTTGCCACCCTCGTTTCTCACCTCCAGGGGCCCTGGGCACCTCACCATTGATGTTTCACTTGGTGGAAGATGACAGGGTTCTACGAGCTATTATGGGTGTCTATTGTCTATTGCAAAATATGCATGACAAACCTGGCAATCTTCCAGACCCAGACATTTTTACACTTGATAAGCTGCCAGCGTCGAGTACGACGGCGCAGGATGGAGGTTCTTCACCTGGCGACACTGCGGAAGCGGAACGCGAAGGCCATACTAAATTCAAGGAAATGTTGCGGAAAGCCGTACTTTTTGACCCGCCGCCAAGGCCGGACTCCGAAGGGGATGATCACGACGAGGACACGACCAGAGCGCTGAGCTGCAACACGTTCATGACTCAGTCCGACGAGATATTATTATCAAAAGTCTCCAGGAACGGCAGCAAATCGCAGAAAGATGAACATAATGCGACAGATGAACTGGATGGCGGTGGGCTGATCACGATGTGCGTTGACACGTGGAGGCAGTGTCTCTTGATGCTGCGCGCGGAACACAACCAGCGTGAAGCCCTGCAGGGAGCGATCACAAAAATCCAGTCTCTCCATCAGATTCAGGACAAGAGCTGCGCGTGCCCGGATGAAACGGAGTGGAACCAGCTAGAGCGTGCTGTGGTAGATTTGCCACAGGAGCGACGCGAGACGCTTCTCTTCCGGAACAGGCCGCCGAAGAAAAAGGGAGGGCGACACAAAGTTGACCTGTTCGTGCCGCAGTTTGAGAACATCGATGAGAACGCTCGCTTCCCCCACCTATCAAGTCTAAAAATGTCTGGGTCTGGAAGATTGCAACTTGTCATGCTAAATCTGAATCATGTGAAAATCTGTGTTGCATGATTACCAAAAGCTGCCCACTTTTGACCTAATCGAGAGGCAGTTTCTCATGCAGAATAGGCATGATAGAACTCTCGCAGAATCTGTCATGCTATGTCCTACATACCAGACCTCATGGGTCATGGGAAACCTGCATGACAAGTCTGGCACTCTTCCAGATCCAGACACTTTTACAGTTGATATCACCGACCTGAGAACGACACAGACCTCGCGTCCACTGGTCTCGATCGCCGGAAGCCCGCCTACGCCTATCAAATGTAAAAATGTCTGGGTCTGGGAGATTGCAAGACTTGTCATGCTTGTCTGGCATGACTCTGAACTCTGTGTTGCATGGCCGCGAAGAGCTCCTCCTCCCTGTCATACAAAAACGCAGTTTCTCATGCGGAGTACGCAACTCAGAGCCGTGGAAAAAACTTGTCATGCTTGGCAGCGCATTATAGTGAGTTCACTATTCGCTTTCTTGCATCACAAGGTTCCAGACCCAGAAATTTTTACATTGGATAACGCCTTCGGCGGTACCATTTTCCGCGTTTTGCAGCCGGAACTGGCCGGTCGCATGGTCCACGTTTTCGGCGGATATCGGTCTTCGGAGCTGGTGCCGCAGATGCGGGAGCGGGGATTTGATGTCAGGCGGGGAATCACCACGCGGGTCTTCGAGGACGGGCTGTTGCCCGCACTAGCGCGGAAGGAGCAGGAGAGAAAGGCCATCATCCAGGCGCGTGAGGACCGCGAAAAGAATGGGAAGCGACACGGCCAGTCTGCCCCAGCCGGAAAGCAGGGGGCGGCTTCGTCACCGGCTCGGGCTACTTCAGCGGCGGCATCGTCCGCTAGCGCGGATCTTCGGGGCCGGCGCAGGAGCCCCGGGGACCCGAATGCCTTTTCAACGGGGACAAAATCCTTGATGCTCCCAGTGCTGGAGCTGGAGGGTAGATGCGGACGGGCGGTGGTGATCATAGATGTAGTGGAGCACGCACGCACCCTCCCGGCGCAAGTGGAGTGGTTCGTGCGGGTCTGCGACCACATCGGGAATCTACCGGGATCGTTGTATGTAATGATCTGCGAAAACCAGCAAACCATCGAGGTGGCGGACCTTCTCGGGGAGCTCTGCGGTTGGGAGCGCAATGTCATTGACGGGGCCAAGAGAAAATGCTCAATGCTCTGCATGCGACCACCTGAGGCCACTGAGGACACCGAGGAGAATTTACGAAGCAGCATTCAGGAGATGATAAAAATGCTAGGCCAGGACAAGGAGTTGGACGCTGAATCGTCCGCGGAGCAGACGAAGAAAATGCCGGAAGGGATGACAGCTGAACACGACGAGGACGACGAGAGGCTGGCCGCGCAGCGAGTCGAAGACCGCGAGCGCAACGCGGGCGCGTCCGGGGATGACACTGAAAGTGTGCCAATCCCAGGAGTTGTTGACTTCCTGTGCGACGATTTCAGGGGGCTGAGCGTGCAACATCACAACGACCGCGAAGATGACGAGATGAGCGAGTCGAGCTGCTCCCTGTGGGACGGAGAGGCACCGGGAGACCTTGATGAGTCGGAAGATGATGGCAGTGAAGTGGAACCGACTGCACAGCCCTTTGCGAGCTTCGTTAACGTGGAGGCGCGGCGCGAAGCGAGGGACAGGCGCACTACGTCCTCGTCGGGAGCGAACACGTCGGAAGATCGCGGCCCGTCCCTCGCCTCGACCTTCGACCCCTACCTGGTGTTGCGCAATAGTTAGAGGAGCGTATGCTAACGCTGCAAGAAGGTGATCACGACGTGCAATTTTTGATGGAGCGCGCCCTGCAGTCCTCGCGGCTACAATGCAGGACGAGTGTACCGCCTGATCTGTAAATCGTATTTCTGCTCTAAAAGCAAAAGGTAAAGGCTGAGGCGTTAATTCGAGTATAGGTACGAAATTGCCCAATAGCCTTACGCGTTGTGCCACATTCATAATGAAGAAATAACCTGTATTTTCGCAGCGCGATGTACATATGATCGTCGGTCGGATCGAGGTGTTTTAGGCCAGCTCGCCCCTCTTGTTTAGCAGTATCATCTTCAAATATCTTCAAACTAAGGCTTTCTTTATGTGGTCCAATTCCCATGATGATATAACTGATATAACGGAATTTGAAAATTTTCGCCCATTGGAGGGCACCGCGCGAGGCCCATCGTTGCCCTGGTCTGTCTGCCCGGGGATTCGTCGGCATAGCGTAAACCTCTCGGCCGTTCTGCGCCATGCCTCCGCAGCGGCTGGTCGACTCAGCGTCATGAAATTCGCGAGAGATGGCACGGCCAAAGAGCTGCCCGCGGTTCTCTCTGAAGCCTTTCGGCTTGACCGCGCCGGTGCAGCGGCGCTCTGTAACTGCAACCAGGGGCGCTGCGTAAAATTTTCGAAGCGGCCGCCGCGCGACGTTGTAGAAGTAGCAGCCCGGGATTGGCGATATCGGTCGTGAACGCCGGCGGCCTCGACGGCTGGGAAAGCCGGCGCCCCCCCGCGGGCCCTGCTACGATCTCGCATTGGGACGACGCGAGTGCGGTCGATATCAAAGCGATCGGTATCGCATGATCTCCACCTGATCTCCCCCGCGATCTCGTTTATTTCGTGCCCAATCTCGCTGATCTCGCTGGCGGAAATTCATGATCTCCCGCCTGATCTCCCCCGCGATCTCGTTGATCTCGTGCCCGATCTCGTTGATCTCGCGAGCGGAAATTCATTCTACAGCGAAAATGGGAAGGAATTTTCGACCTGCGGGCGCTGGCCAGTAAGATCAATTTCGGCCGTGAGTTATATCGCAGCGAGATCGGCGGGAGGGGGTGCGAGATCGGCCGGAGATCGCCGCGAGATCGGCCGGAGATCGGCACGAGATCAGCGAGATCGGGAGGCCGCTTTCGTGGATCTCGCTATGTTGCCGGGACGAGGTTGGGGGCTTTTGCTCGTAAAATCGGGAGCCCCCGATCCTGCAAGCTTATTTATCTGTGCCCGCGCTCTGAGTGAGCGCGGGTTCGAAGCTGGGTCACGACTTCGGGCTTCGGGGGCACCATGACCGAGAGCGCCCAGTGTTGTTCCGATTGGCTGCGGCTGCGCGAGAAGTTTTCTGAGCTTCTGGCGCGGGTGTGGCACTGTGTGGGGCTGCTGGGGGCCCGGCCCCTGTGAATTTGCGTGCGCACCTGTGGCCAACAGAAAGTGGCCGGGCGTCGCACTTGTACCATTGCGACGGACGCATCCGCTTCGGCGCACTATGTCAAGGCGCGAGGAAAGCAGCGCTAGAACCTGCCTACGCGCTTTGTCACATTTGCGCCAACCCGGGGCGCGAAATTTTTAAAATCGGTTACATGCGTAAGATCATCTTGGGAACTTGGACCACTTGACTTTCTATTGCGATTCTACTTACTTATCTAGGAACGCGAAGAGAGAGGGCTACCTTGCGCACTGTAAGTTGTTTGTTTACCTTCGATATCGATGGATTCGTGGTCTCTGGTTCAAGGGTTTTCCTTCTACTCACGATTCGTATAAAACTAAAAATAGAATGTTTTTGATACAGTGTAGTTGTACAACCGTGGAAACTCCCTCCCGCCAAACCAGAGGCAAGAAAGGAGAGAAAACCGGCTATGGCTCGGGTTTTCAGGAACAGAAAATGCTGTTCGAGATCACAAGAAAGACATCAGACTTTCGGTCGTACATGAGAACTGGCGAAAACAGGGCAAAATCGGACTCGCAATCGTACAAAATCGTGATGAAGTCGTTCACTTTTTCAGATCGGCAAATCGTAGAGAGGAAGAAACTCGGTGAGAGAAGGGGACCAGAAAGTAGGAGTGACTATTTCTGCTTTAACTGGGGGCTCCGGACTCTGCGGAGGTACCGGTTTAGAACGAGGGGCATCGCGAGCGAGAGACGTAGGGGGGAGAGGGGCAATCAAACCTCTCTGTCATATCTCTGCCAGCAAGTAGCATCACATATCCACATGTTGGCGCGCGCAGTTCTCTCTCCGCGAACCCAGAAATCCCCCGACCTTCGCTTACTTCCTTCCGAGGAACCAATATAGAGCTTGAGCAGCAACCTTCTGATTTACAACTGGCAAGTAGCAGCAGTGACTTTCACAAGCACTACCTTGAATTAACGACTTTGGTGGAGCCGCAGCAACATCCGCAGATGGATTTCGCGCAGCAACAGGATTTGGTCGCGCGGGCGATCCAGGTGATCCAGGACCTGGCACAACAGCAGCCACACTGTGTGTCAGCATCGGGAACCCGCACGCAACGCCGGCCAACAAACTCTACCACACCACACCAACATTACCAACCCCCCAATTTTGCATCGGACCTATGGCGCCACCACCAGCACCCAACTACAAACCCGCTCTTCGTACCTCAACTCCACCCCTACTCCTACCCGATCCTCGCGCCGGGAGAAGTACAAACCGACATTGACAGACGTCACAGGAGCAGAAAGCTGGAACTTTCTCGGGCTCGGGATACCACTGCAAGATCCCGCTCCCGATCACGCGAGACTCGCCGAATATCCCGACGTCGCTCCACCTCTCGAGACCGCACTCCGTCTGGGCGGGGGAAAGACAAGCAACAGCAGCGGGAGCAGGAAAGCGGTCGTCGCGAGACAACATCCAGTAGCACTGCGCCCAAGCATTCCGGAAGTAACTGGGTCGCGGAATGGGAGTTGCGGCACTTTCTACAGCGCCGAGCAAAAACGGTCTGGATGGCAAATCGCAACGACATGGGGCGTTTCCTATGCGCGGAAGCTTTCCACAAATACGGAGTTCGCCATAAGGATATGAAAAATATCTTGAGGAAAAACGTGTCCAAGTTCATCTACGACCACGTCCCCAAGGAACGGTACGGAGAAACGCGGAAGCCCTCCCGAGTGGCCGAGCGCGCTCGGAGCAGGAGTAGGCGCAGGACAGAAAAATCGGCGCCGAGGACCACAAAAAGGAAAAGCAGCAAAACGCCCGAAAAGCCTGCGGCCCGGGCAAATACTGCTAAGCTCCGGGTGGAGAAAACGCCCGGCAAGGAGGGTAAGAAGAAGAAACAGGAGGTGATCGAGTTGTCGTCTTCTTCAAGCTCATCATCTTCTTCCAGCTCAAGCAGCGAGTCGGAAAAGGCCGCGCCGCCAACTAAGAACAAGCGCAAAACTGCTCCGGTGTCGGAACAAGAGAGGCCTGCCAGGGGTGACCAGCGACCCCCTGGGACGGAGCGGACACGAGCAGCAACCGAGAAGGCGCATATCAAGGGTGTCACGAAGGAAGACTTAGAGCGCGCAATGTGCGAAGTCTCCATCTGGGTCGATGCGCAGGCCATGGGGGCGCACATTAAGAAGAAACTACGGCTACAGGGAGGCGAGGCCAAGCAGCTCCTGGGGGAAACAGTAGCAAAATGGCAAGAGCGGGCCCGGATAGCCCACCCACCCTCCGATGCAGAAATCCGGGATGTCCGCACGAAACTCCAGACAAACAGGGCGCGAATAGCAGAAATTGCTACTATCAACGAATTTACGAACTACCTCGAAGATAGTCTGGGGATCCCGTGGCGCCTCCTCGAGGCGGCGATGAGCCGCCGGGCAACGTGGGTGCTGCGAGACATCAGGGACGGGCTATTTGAAGAAGGCTCGCGCATCGAGATTCGCGAGTGCGGCAGCAACGGGAATTGCCTCTACAACAGTCTCTGCTGGCAGCTTAGCGTGGAGACGAACGGACAAACCACCTGGACACCGGACGGACTTCGAAATGCGGTGGTAGACTTCCTCGCCGGCAACCAAGACACTACCCATATCGGGGGGAGAACCTTCGAGCAAATCCTCCTAAACGAAGAAAAGCCAGACAATGTCCCCTTCGGCGCAGCGTATGCATACGCCATCGAGAAACTGCGGGAGCGCCGCAGCTGGGCAGGGGAACTCGAGCTGACTATTGCGTCGCAAATTCTGAAAAAAGATGTCAAGGTGTGGACGCGATGGCACAACGCAGAAGCCGAACAGCAGTCCACCCCCACGGAAGAGCATCAGTGCGCCGGGTTTACTACGCTGCCGACGACCGAACTCCGGGCGTCGCGGTATGGGGCCCATGGGGGGGAGGCGCTGGGGCTGTTCTATGAAGCCGAGCATTGGCGGGCCGCAACATTAAATTGACTCTTCAAGGAGAAGGTGAGAGAAGACGCAAACAAGAAGACGGGGCCCACGGGGGCCCAGGAAAAGAAGGGAAGAGGAGGTGGTGACGAGAAGTGCATTTTTCTGCATCTGAACATCAACTCGCTGCAGACGAAGGGAAGATACTTGAGGGAGTACCTCCGGGACCAACGCGCCGGCGCAGTACTGCTTACCGAGGTGCGTATGGGGTTGCCTGAGCTAAAGAAGCTGATTGCGAGGTCCCTCCCAGAATACCGCCTGGTGTCGAGCTCCCAAAGGGCGGGCGACGAAGCAGATAGGGGGGGGGGATGCGCGATACTCATCCGCATGGGGCTTGGGGCAGATGTGCGCCCCCTCCCGGACGAGAACTTGGCCCAGGCACGCAAGCCTCCCGGCAAAAACCGGCCTGCAGTGGAGGTCTGTGGATGTCAATTTTGGAATGGAGGAAAAGTGGTCCTGGAGGTGCTGTGTGTTTATGTGCCACCCAGGTCCCGGCCAACGTACACACAGCTCAAGCAACTTACCGCCGCAGAACACCGCGGCCCGGCACCGGCCTCGCGCCTCCTGTTGGGGGACTTCAATGTTGGCACATGGAGGAAGGGGTTCTGCGACTGGGTAGCAAAAGACGACCTCTGGAACCTCCTCCACCCGGACGAGGTTACCTTCCCGCTCGCCAGGACGCAACCTGATAAAGTTCTCTTCGCACCGGGCGAAGAGATTCCGGACAATCTTGTTGAGCTGTTTCTAGAGGAGGGATTCGCAGAGGCGCCTGAAGAAGGGGCGCGGTACCCGGGAAAGGCCGTCGACTCGGATGGCCTCTCCAATCATGCCGCAGTAGCGATCCCGATATGCAGCAAAATCTTCGCTGACAGGGCGGTGCCCGAGAACACGCAGTGGGAGCGCGAACATTTTGGGGAGAAGTTTTTTCTGAAAAAGATGGCGAAAGCAGACTGGGCCCGAGTCAATGACGAAATTGCTGCAAAATTGACAGCCAGACAGGCGGAGTGGGAAGACGCCAAGAAAAACAAGCAAGGGGACAGACTCTGGGGCATATTACTACAAGAACTCCAGATGGCGTTTCGCGCGTACCGAGCCCCCCTCAGTGGCAGGCTGGCGCACCCGGACACGGAGAAAACTTTTGCCGAGCACAACGTCTGGCACCCGGATATCAAGCGGTGGGAGGAACTCCGCACGACAAACAGCCAGGCAGCACGGGTATTGCGCCGGCAGATTGAAGGGGACGCATGGAGACGGTATATCGCGGATCATAAGGTAACGACGTCATCGCTATGGCGGTACCTTGCAAGAGAAGAAGGCAGAAGGCCCCGGCGCAAGCGCCCGCCAGAGGAGCCGCTAAAGCTGTTCGGGTCCAGCTTTGTGACAGACCGCGAAAAAGCCCAAGCTTGGGCGACTTGGTTTAATCGCAAGTACCTAGGGGAGGACGAAAAAAGTGCCGAAAACGGGGTGGACACAAAGCCGACCAAAAGGGCGGACATAGCGCCCGAGCTAACTCCAGAAGTGCGCAACTGGCTCCGGGAAGAAGAGCCGCCGGACCCGGTCACAACGGGGGAGGTGCAGCGCGCGCTAAAGGTGGCCAAGCGTAACAAGACGCCGGGCGAGGACGGGGTGACAAACGAGATGCTGCTGCACTCCCCGGCAACGCACGCGCCCCTGGCTGACCTCTTCTCGGTCATCCTCGGGGGGGCCAAGATCCCGCCGATGCTGTGCCGCGCGATGGTCATCTTGCTTGAGAAGCCAGGAAAGGATGGGTCTAAGGCCACTGGGTACCGGCCGATATCACTCCTGCCCGTGGCGGTCAAAACCCTTGAGAGAGTGGTCCTCTGGCGGATGCAGAAAACCATGCGCACGCAAGATGCGGCAGGGGAGGAACTCTTCTCAAAAAGCCAGCATGCATTCCGGCCGCATGTGGGGTGCGACCAGCAAATCGCCGAGATCCTTCATTGGACTTCCACCCGGCTGGCAAGGGGCAAGCATGTCGGGTGGATTAGTACTGACATAACAGGCGCATACGATAGTGTCCGGGCCGGGAAGTTGTTGGAAGAATGCAGGGCCATGGGCGTCACACCGGGGTGCGGCCGTTTCATCCATGCGTGGATGATTCACAGAAGCTTCCGGGTCCGCTTCGGGGAGGACGTATCCACATACCGGGAATGTGTTTCCGGTCTCCCCCAAGGGGGGATCGCATCCCCCACCCTGTGGAACGTCCTCATTGACCGGCTCCCAAAAAGGTTGAGGGAGAAGAACCTGGGACGGGATACAGATGCGGAAGTCCATTTTTATGCCGATGACGGTGTGTTGATGGTCGCGGCGGACAGCAGGGGCAAACTAGCCAAAGCGCTGCGGAGACTAGCGGCCGCGCTCCGGGAGGAGCTCCGCGCCCTCGGGCTGAGCCTCGACGCCGACAAAACAAAATGCCTGATATTCGATGGCACCCTGGTGGGGAAGGAGATGCAGCACAGGGAAACGCGCCGCAAGGAATTCGCACAAGCGCCAACGCCATCCGGGGCCAGCTGCGTCGACCTTCCGCGGGAGGCGACACCGCTCGACGGCCTTCCGTTCGAACAAGTTTCGGTCCACCGGGTGTTGGGGGTCCAGGTCGACCATCTTTTGCACTTTGGGCCGCACGTCAAGGCGGTCACAGAGAAGGTGCGGCGGCGGCTGCCCATCCTCAAGCGCCTCTCCAGCTACTCGTGGGGGCTCGAGCCGTACGTCTTCACGCAGACCATCCGGGCCCTCATCACCCAGTCGGTGACATGGGGCGTGGCGGGGTGGGGAACGTATGCCCCGGCGCCAGTCCTCAAACGGCTGAACACAGACGCGCTAAACATTGCGCAGCGGCTCGCGATAGGCGGGGTCCGGACAATGCGGCTGGAGGCGCTGCGGATGCTTTCCCTCTCGACCTCCATCCAAAACGCGTACACGCGAGGGGTGGCGTCCCTCATCGACGCAAGCCTCCGGGGCCCCGAGACACACCTCAGAAATACCCTGGCGGCGCGGCTGAGTAGAACAGGGAGGGCGAAGGGGGGTGCCGGGGGGGGGAAGTGGGTCGAAGCCGCGTCCCCGCTACAGATCCCAGTCGCCAAAATGGATGGGGCGGAGGAAAACCAAATCCTCTCCGCAATGGGGGGCGATACAACCTTCGCCGGGTACTACTACCACAAAGAAGGGGAGGGCACAGGCCTGAGACCGGCCGTGGACACAAGTGCGCCGCCATGCTTCAACTCGTACGCCCCCGAACTCGGGGACGAATTTGGAAAGTTCAGCGAGGCGGGCTGGATATCCCATGGCGTTCGACTATTGCGCAAAACCGGATGGTGCTATGACGCAGTGGCACCATTCCGGGCTGTGCCAATGATCGAAGCAGACAACATAGAATTCGAAACCCGTGACCCGGACCCGACCGAAATTGGAAACCGGGGGCGGAAGCACGTGGCGGCAGGGGGAGTGCTCTTGGCCACAGACGGAAGCTTTTCGAGCAAGACCAAGCAAGGGGCTGCGGCCACAGTGGTGGCAACACTAGGGCGGACAAAGTGCAGCGCCTACAGGCGAGCAAAAACCAGCAGCGCGTACGCTATGGAGCGCCTGGGGCTAGAGCGCGGCCTCGCAGAACTCCTCTGGGGGGCAAGCTGGGAAGACAAACGAAACAAGCAAACGGAGGTCCTCGTGCTGGTGGACAGCCTGAGCCTCGTGGAGCGGCTTGCGAATATGCTTGGCACGACGCTTGATGGAGCCGACCAGGACGTCAGGCTTGCGGAAATGCTGGGCCAAGTGGCGGCCCGGTATAAAAGTGTGCGGCTGGTATTTGTGCCGGCGCACTGCGGCAACGACGCCAACGAACTGGCGGACACCATCTGCACGCACGCGTGCGCGGGAGAACCGACGCCACAGGAGGTTCGGGAAATGGATCCGCCATGCCATGTAGAAATCAAGGCCGCTCTGGTCGCGCAACTAGAGGAGGAGGAGGCGGAGGCAATGCGCCGCCTGGCGGAAGAGGGCTCGCGATCCGGCGAAATATTCCACGACCTACAGCTGACCCGCGCAAAGATCAGGGATATCTACCGAGCGGCGCGAGGGGAGGGCCGCTGGCTCCAAAAGACGCTCGGGGATGTTGCCGGGGCAACCAGGTTTAAGAAAATTACCGAGGAAGGAATACGCGCGACAAATTGCCCCCGGTGCAAAGATACAATGGACTCGTGGCAGCACATCAGGCTTTGCCATGAGTATCGCCATCTGGGGGGGCTCCAATCGGCGGACGAGATCCTGGATTTCCTCCGGACGGTCCGGGACGCGGAATTTCCAATCTCCGAACACGGCTCCACTACCGAGGAAGAGGAGGGAGGGCAAGAAGTCTAGTCGAGTGGGGACGACCTACAATCATGAGCCCGGAGAAATACGACAATTGCGGTGGGGTGTAGTAGAATTAATGATGTCAGGCACGACAAATTCAGATGTCACACTGGCCGCCATATTAAGGTGTGTGGAAACTTGCAATTGCCGCGCCCACCCACAGGCCGGCCAGGGCGGTCCCAGCCATAGGACTGCTCTGAAAAACCTATACATAAGTTTTGTTGCACTGGTCCGAGAAAAGAGTTCGTGAGTCCTTGGAGAGAGAGTTATCTCCTCCGCGTGCTGGCTGTCTGGTGTTCGAGAGACGGATGCGATGGCGTCCCACATGCTCGTGATAGCGAACACATGATCATCACCGAGGTGACACACAATGATCCGATGCTGTGCGTTTCGATCTTGCGTTCGCGTCGATGTCTGTTGCTGTGTCTCATCTCTCGTTGCGCGGACGAAAACCGCATGCAGCAGCCGCAAACCGAGTAAGGATCACGACAAATGCGCCTCACCATGGGCGTTGGGGGTCGCCCGCACGGAGCGGGTGACCTCGGGAAGCACCTGCGCACGTACGCTCAGGAACCCACGACTGTAGGATAGGATACGGCACTGCTGTGTCGTCCTGCACCCCCCCCGTGTATGCAGGTCCCAAGCCCGGCGATCCTGGGGCGGAAACCGGGGAAATGCCTAGGGGAACTTGGTCTGGCAGCAATCATACTGTAACACCATAAACCTAGAGTAGTAACCGTGGAAACTTGCCCTTCATGTCGTTTTCAAACGTATTAATACTTTTTGAGACTGCATAAAAGCAAACAAAAAAGCTGCGAATAAACATATATATGGATGTCGACCTTAATCTTTGCATTTCCTTGTGAAAGTTGAGCAAATTTTTATACATCGAACGAAATGCATGGAACCACCTCCCAAAACCAAAACCTTCGAGATACTCTATCTATGGATTCTGATTGGCAGCCTCGCTGAGAGGGCCAAGCGTGACACGGAGCACCACAATCGGGCCCCGACCTGCTGCGCGAGGGCTGCCCGCTACCACACGGGTGGTCCTCAAGGCGTGGCCGGTCGCCCAAAAATATGCTTGGTGCCCCCATCGCCCTATAGTCGATTGGGCTGGGCGCAAGATTTTGCATTCCTCTCGCGGCAGAAGCGCCGGCGCCACCATGCCGGGCCGCGCGCTGTATCTACGTACAGCTCCCGCGCGAGCGCGTTAGTGCTTCGGACATCGCTGCTCCACCAAACGCGTCGGAATCCACCGCACGAGATTGTCATCCATGATAATGATTTCAGTTCGATAATATTAAGATAGAGTCTTCGGTGTGTTGCTCGTGTGGATTGAGGTCGAAGTGGCGCAGCGACAGTCGAGAGTCCTCTGAGGGCTCGCCCAGGCTTGGTCCAAGAGAGTATTGAGTGAGAGAAGATTCAGAGGGCGCTCCTTCAACCAGAGGCAGTATAGAGACGGCAGCTACTGCTAGTGCGATTCGTCAACCTCGTGTTTCGTAGGAGGACGAATTTATTTGATTTCCTTCGTTTTCGTATACTGATTATGTTGGTGTCGATATTACCGTATCTCTAAATTTAATGCACCCCGGAAAGCAGAAGCACGCACTTTCAGATGTTGACTTGAAGACAGGTAGAGAGGTACAACTATAATAGCAAGGATGCGTCTGACTCTCTCTCGACCTCGAGAATCTGATGGTAACCTCAGCACTGCGTTCTATTTCGAGAGGTAATATTATGAGGATACCATGGGGAGACGAGATCGGCCGGAGCAGGTATTCGGCGGACAGTTCGGCGATAAGGCAGATCAGGTAGTAACAATAAAACCGGGCTATCCACAGATGATGTGAGAATGAGAAAGAAAAACAAGAAAAATAAACATCCGTCCACTGCGACATCACACTCTCACTCTGACGGCGATCTTTCTAGTAGTTCCAGCGACGAGATTATCAAATGTAAAAATGTCTGGGTCTGGAAACTTGTGATGCTGAGTGGCGTAGCATGAGGAGGCCACAAGTGCTGGCTCAGCATGATAAATTTCTGAGCTTGTAGGTGTTGCCTATTATGCATGACAAACTTCGTCTCCGCATGACAGAAAAAAAACGTCTCTTGGGCAATGTGCATGACAGATTTAAGAGTCATGCCAGACAAGCATGACAAACATGCACTCTCTCAGACCCAGACACTTTTACATTTGATACCTCGAAATCCGGTGAAGCTGCAAACGAAAACATGAGCACGACGACCACGAACCAGCATCTTCCTAGTTGTACTTCGTCTTCGCCTATCAAATGTAAAAATGTCTGGGTCTGGAAGATTGCCAGGTTTGTCATGCACATTTTGCATGACTTCTGATGTCTGTGATGCATGCCCTAGCATCACAGATTTTGTGAGGGCTTCCTGATGCCTTTACCGCATGAGAAATGCTCTTTCTGTGTAGCAAAACTTGGACTTTCTTTGCTGCTCATGCAATACAGATATTTTTAGAATCCAAAATCAGCCTGACAAGTTGCATTCTTCCAGACCCAGACATTTTTACACTTGATATCGCCACCCGATGGTCCTCGTGTGTTGAGAAGCCAGGTCGCACCTTCCTTTTCAGACGCTTTCCTAGTCTTCGGATCGCTCTTTTCTTCTACTATCGAAAACAGAAATTATACCACGGGACGAGATGAAGAAGATGAAGAGCAGCAGAAACGACCCGGCGCAGGCAGTGGAGGTGATCCGGGTGTTGCTGCTAGCGCCGCTGGTCCACTTACTACACGAGCCGCCTCACAGGAGCAAGCTCGAATAGATTCGTCCGTCTCGACCGACATTACAACTAGTGAAGAAGAAGAGCACGTGGATGTTGACATGGAAGTAGAAAGTACAAGTGAGACGAATGAGTGCCGACCCTCCTCGGGAACCACCGCGGCATTCGCATCGTCGCCAAGCAGTGCCAATGGACAAAGTAAGAAGCGTAAGGAAGTAAAGAAAAAAGTTGTCAGATTTCAGGACGAAGTAAAAGATGACTCGTCGTGTTTCTCCTCCACCTCGGACAAAAAGCACGAACACGAACATCAAGCTAGTGTTGAGCCCGATTTAACAGATGAGTATGAAATAAATTCCCAAGAATTACTAGACCAGCACACTGCTGGGCCGCAAGTAGAAGAACCTGCTGCCACGACGACCAGGGCCACCAACGAGAAAAATGATGATGCAGCTACGACTGCCAGTACTACATGCTCATCATCACCACTCCTGCACCTGCTAACCACCGGAGTACAAAAAGTACGTGACACAAGAACGAGTACTAGCAAAGCTTTCCTAGAGCGACGGAATAGAAAAAGGCTAACTACAGATGAAGTAGAGACAAGAACTGCTAGTGCTAACAACAAAACAGCAGCACCAACTCCTCGGCCGAGTAGCACGATGTTAGTAGAACAAGACACGACAGCAACGCAAGATGAACGAGGAGAAATTATCCTAAAGAACTCGGGTGAAGATGGTGCTGTTTCACCTTGCTCGTCCTCGGCACGACAGGACAACGGCTCAAGGAGTTCGTCAGAACTGCCTTCTAGTACTTCTACCGCTGCTGAGACGACCGCCGCCGACGACTTTTCCGACTTTGCCCTCGCCCTGCCGAACTTAACCAGCCGCGCGTTCTGGGCGATGATGGGTTGTGGTACGGCCGTGCGAAACGCGAATACCGTCGTCCGCAGCTGCGCCCCGGCGTCCGTGCGCGACTATTTCTTCGCGTCAGATGAGGAGCTGACGCGGCTGCATCTGTTTCTGGTCGACAGGACATTCATCCCGATCGACGCCCGCACGGGGGAGCAAATCCAGATTCCCCGAAGAGCGGAGTATGGTCGGCCCGGACGAGACGAGTTGCTGGCTGCCGTCGACCTGACCCAGGTGAACATGGCACCGCGGCACAGCCTCGAGGAGTGCTCGCACTTTGTCACGAATTTCGTGCTGAATTCGATCTCCGGCAAGATCGTTTTGGACCACATGGCGTTTTTCCACCCGGCCAAGATCCCAGCGTACTTCCGCCGGTTGTGCACGAGCGAAAAGACCTATCAAATGTAAAAATGTATGGGTCTGGAAGATTCCGAGATTTGTCATTCAGTTTTTCCAAGCTCCGCCAAGATTGAAATGCAGAACCGAGCATCACAGGTTGTGCAGCCCCTTAGTGATGCCCATTCCGCATGAGAAATGCCCTCTCAGAATGGTCAGAAATAGGCGCCTTTTGCAAGCCATGCAACACAAATTTTTGCAGGATGCGCACCACGCATCACAAGTTCGCAGCCTTCCAGACCCAGACATTTTTGCAATGCATAAGACCATCCGGCTGCTGATTCCGAACTCCATGCTGAACGACGGCGGTGGTTCTTCGACCTCGTCTGCTGCTGGTTCATCCTCTTCGAACGGGATGAACAGCGAACCGCCCGAGCCGCCGGTGGAAGAATCCCACTACGAGGTCTTGAACGTCAGCCAGGACGCGAGTCTCGCGGAAATCCGGAAGGCGTATCGAAAAAGAGCGCTGGAAACCCACCCGGACAAGGCCGCGGACAGCAACGAAGCGTTTCTGCGCGTCAGAAAAGCCTATGACGTGTTGCAAGACGAGCAGCAGCGCCGGCAGTACGACGCGGAGTTGGCGATGGAGCGCGCGAAGCGGGTGTTTCGCACCAGCGGCTCGCTGGACCGGGCGAGCAAGCGGATTCCAAGAGTGGACCCGTTGCGGAAAATGTACGTCAATGTCAAGGAAAAGAAGAAAACGGGGGGAACTTCCAAGGGAAACAGGACGAAGCGAAGTAGACAAGAGCACGAAAGCGGGAAAAGTAGTTCTACCAGCAGTAATTTAGCGGGGGCAGGAGAACGAGAACGTCGACAAGAATCATCTACATCTTCTTCATCTTCACGAAGAAGCGAGGATTGCACCGCATCGCCACCGACGCACGAGGAAAGCACGACGATGCCTGGTCAAAGCAAGGACTGCTCTAGAAGTAGTACAACGCCACAACCCAATTCTGATCACGAGAACAACGGCGAGCAGGGTGGAAATACTACTCCCACCGCTGCAACAAACACCGGAGCAGGTGGACGACCACAGAGGCAAGACCGTGAGAAAACGGGAACAAGTCCACCCCCGACGTCAGCCGGAAGTTCCTCCAAGAACGAGCACCACGAAAGCCGCCATGATCAAAACGCAGGCACCTCGTCACCTTCTTGTCAGCAGCAGCAGCAGGACCACGAGGAGGAGAACCGACAGCATCAAGAAGATGAGCAAGAAGATCAGGAAGAGAATACGTTGGTGACCATCACCGTTCGCGACTGGAAACCGGCGCGCGAGGTCATTACCGATGCGTTAGCGGACCTTGTGGGGATGACGCTGAACTTGGCCATGTTGATGACAAGTCCGCCGCCCCCCGGTATGGAGGACAAAGTTAAATTTTGCAGCGATACCACAACCTTCTTGTTTCCGGACGACGAGCGCCAATTTGTCTGACCAAGGGGCACTCGCGGCGTCCGAAACACGCTTGATGGTCGTCCTCGTCCCCAAAGGCAAGTAGGATCATTACTGTGCCCGGAGGGTCGTGCATGCATCTTCTGCCCCTTGCAAAGAACATCGGGTCTTTCCAAGAAAATCGGAGATGCCAATGTCTTCAAGGAGATTTGAGTTTGAACTGGAAAGCTGCATGTGGTTCTTGAGCAGAAGAGAAAGATAATTTTCCAAACTGCAGCTAGCTGCACATGCACTCTGCTCTCTCTGTGTTTCAATTTCTGTTGACATCGCACACGCTCTTCTTGAGGACAGTCGCAGTTCCACACGCACCATCAGAAGTGCGCGGAAATGCGTAGGTGTGATTTTTCCTGCACAGAGTTTGTAAGTTCTAATTCTAAACGCATCCTTTTTGCAGCGACTAAGAGCTTTTATTTTGATTTACCCTTTTTTTCAATGAGTTTGACTTACCTTGAAATATGCGATCTTCTTATTCTTTACCCTTGTTTCGTTTTGTGAGTACTTCGGGAACTGGGTGGCGCTGAAGTACAGTTCTTCTTTAAGCTGGTAGTTGTACCGCATGGCGAGCAGGCCACCAACGAGAATCTGTTACTTTTTCTTTTCTATCTAATTCTTATTGCAGCGTTTCTTCTTGTCGTGCTGTGCCATAAGTGCGCAACCACGTCATCAGTAACAGTAGCACCTTCTCCTTTGTCGTTTCTATTTCGCGCAGCACACTGGCAAGCCCGGATATCGATAGCCCTGGCGTTTTCATGACAGAACTTTCGCTTTCTACTTGTGCTAGTACGACCCGGTCGTGGCTTGTCAACGATCACCTCATCCGCGGAAATAACGAGTTTCTACTGCATCCACAGTGCGGACGAGTACGCTGCGCGCTTTGTAACGGCTCCCAGCGATGATGAGTCAAGACCTGCTTACGGTTCGTTACCTACTCTTTCTTTGTTCTTGTTCGTCTTATGTTTTCTTGCAGATCGTTGGTCAGCGACTGCGTTTATCTCTACTCTCGTCATTAAATCTTCGCAGTCGGTCCCAGTCGTGTGTCTTCTACAGGATTTATTCATATCCTGCCACCATATTGATTTGTTCGTTCCTGTTTCTCTTTGTTTCTTTTTGTTTTCATTGTGCTTTTCAGTCGGAAAGAGTAAGAGAGCAAAAGCCAGAATGATTAAGTAAGAACGTGTTCGCGCGACCGCGATCGCTAATTTTTTGGATCCAATAAATTTGAATTTGTACCTAACCTGACCCGCCTCTTGTCGTGATCGATGGCACAGGATATTTTCAGCAACCGAGACATGTTGATTCTGTCGAGTATGTAATGTATTTTTCATCTTTTCTTTTCGTCAAGGTCAAGAACATGTCTGTGTAGTAAGTGTCCCTTTGTCGCAGTATATGTATAAGTCACACGACATTTTGCACCGTGTCTTCCGCTACAGCACGAGGACGCAACGTGGCAGCATGTACCTCTAAATCACCACCAGCGACACTAGAGAGTCGACATCTATGAATACGTATTGTGTGCCTATGCGCATAAGAATCAGCATTTGTATTTCTCGTCATCAACATAATTGACAGTATTACAATTTTGAAAAATGCACCATCAGCATATCTGCTCCAACATCGTTCTTCCAACGTTGTCAGTCGTAGCCGTAGCGAAAAATTCCTAAGAGACAGTTGTTCAGTACCAGCATGATGCCCGGGCATCAGCCACCCTACCCGGGTTTGCCGGGTGTGCAGTTCAGTCCCTATAATCCGTCGAACCCGCAATACCATGGCGCAGCTCCTGATGGGCGGGCGTCCACTCTGATGAATACACAACTCTGGCAGCAGCAACAGCAGATCCTCGGGATAGGCGCTAGTATAATTCATCCGCCGAAAGTGATGCCAAAACCGCAACCACCCGTGAACCTTCCGCCAGTTCCTTTATCGTCTCACGGAGGTGCGAACAAGAAGAAAAGGACCACCGGCGTTCGCGTTTTTATCGGGAACGTCCCCTTCGAGATGACGCAGGAGGAACTGTGGGGAATCTGCAGCAGCGCCGCGGGCGCGGTGGAGCTGCGGATGGTACTCGACAAGGAACGTAACGAGAAAAACAAAATCGCTGGAGCCACTGGAAATGGGCAGTACGACCCGAACATGCGGCACAAGGGGCGCGCGTTCTGCGAATACACAGACGTGGAGAGTGCCGCGAACGCGATAAAGGCGCTGCACCAGTACAATGTTCCGTGCGCCAAGGGCGGCAGACAGACCCGCACATTGATCTTTGATTGGGCCGATCGGGACTTGGAACAGGGCTTGCAAGTTCCAGACGACGTAAAGCCACAGATTCGCTCCTCAACCTACGATCCCACGAAACATCAAAAGGCTACAACTTCGCAGTTGCTGCCGATGCAACTACAGAGTAAAAATCATGGCGGCAAAAATAGTAGTAAACCTCCGACGGGCGTGCCTTTATCTTCCCCTAAGCTGCAAACGACCGCAAAGACCGCCATTACTTTCAGTTTCAATACGCTGTTAGAAGCAGCTCAGGGTGGAGCAGCAGGGGGCTCTGCTTCGTCCAGTAGTTCGGTTAAAGGCTTAAAGGCGATGCCTGTCATGCCGCCTCCCCCGAAATACCGACCCGTGGAACAAATGGATGGCGCTGTGGCTGAAAGAGACCGCCAGAAAAAGGCGAACAGCGTCGCCTATTACCATAAGCTAGTGGAAATTCGAAACCATTTAGAGACGGCAAAGGGCGGCACCAGCACGGGAGGAGTAGTAGAGACGCCCCACGAGCCAATACCAGACGCAGAGTTGCTGGTGGAAGCAGGTACTTGTGTAGTTTTGATAAAACAGTTCAAGTTCTTATCGCGGTCTAGGACGTACTAAGATAGAACAAGAAGGATCGATGAGCAACAGGAACTACAGCATTCAGTACAAAAAATACAACATGATACAACACGAAACGTTGAGATTTAGCGTTATGAGAGATACAGTGCCATGCATAATATTACGTCAGCCTTAACCTCCACAGCGAACACGAAGGATGAAATGAAGGGTGAGGGTCGTGGTCACTGACTCTGTCTACTGATCATCTACTGCCCAGAATCTGCTTTCAAAGATTTCAATTTGGCAAATACCAGAACCTTTTTCGGAGCGAAGTTCCTTTTTAGGATAGATTTAGATGATGATGATCGAAGTTCCGCGGATCATTGTACGACGCAAATTTCTTGAACGACGAAGAGACTGAGATGCGACTCCAACTATCATCATGTTCGTCTCGATAAAAAAGCTACGACAGACGCAATTTTCTGTTGGTCTTTTCTTCCGATGCGTGCAGGACGTTTCATCTTTCTTGATATTGCATACTGGTGAAAGAGTGGATAGTTGTCAAAGGCCCGACCGACTCAGAGTCAGACAAGGACGACCTTGTAAGATCCTCGATTTCAAAAATATTTATTGATTTCCATTTTCCAAGATGGCAAGAAAAGTACTCGACTGTTAAAAACTATGTCTATGTACCTTTACCTGATCACGATTTCAAAAATCTGCGAAAAAAGATTCGGGCCCGGTGACGAACCAGAACATGCCGAAAAATAAGAGGGTGAAGAATCTAAGGGCGATGAAGAGAGCACTTGCGCAGCAGAACGGCCAGAACGATCCGACAGGAGGAGGTGCAGCTCCAAACAACAACAAGAAAAATCAGAACGCGACCAATAAAACGAAGAACACCTCGGACGACGGTGCGCAGCAGGCTTTCAACCCGTTTTCCGCGGACGCCGAACTAGAAGACGATCTTACAGAAGAGGAAGATGAGCTGGAGCAAGAACTGTTGCAGCATGAGTTGCACGATTGGTTAAATGAAGACCTTGATAACCTCGGAGCAGGTCAAGACCTCCGTCAAGAGAGCGAGGTGGAAGAGGAGCTGCACGAGGACCAGCCGGCGGCGTCTGCGTCTGCATCTTCCTCGACCGCACAGCAACAGCAGGCCGCGAAAAATAAGCGAACTCTGGCCGATGTGAATGCCAGTGAGTACTACCGGCAAGAGGCACAAAAGGAGCTAGAATTGTCCATATTGGAAGCGCAGCAGAACAAGGCACTGCAAAACCAAAACGTGGCGCCACCTGGCCAGAATTACAACCAAGCGGGAGCAGGATTGAATGGAGAAGCAGCGAGCAAGCGGCTTCGCACGAATACCACGGTGTCATCGTCCAGTGGCGGCGTTGGAGGAGGTGGGCCCGCTGCTCCTGCAGCAAAAGGGTCCTCGAAGGCGCAGGCTCATGGTAGGTTGTTGTCTCATCTGTGAATGATCTTGTCTCATACTACGAAGATGAATGTCCATGTGTTTCGTTTCCTTTGCTACCCCCGTTTTTGTTACAGAACGAAGATGAACATATGCTGTTGATGAAATGAATAAAAATGCCTTCTAAAAAACAGGTGACCAAATGCTTCGCGCTAAGGGCGGCGGCCCCGCCCAACGGGGACATCAGACGCCAAACGTGATGCCGGTACCCTCGCCGACTAGCGCTGCCGTGAACAAGAGTACAAAGCAAGTGCAAGACGACGACAGCCTGTACGACAACTTTTCGCTCAAGGAAGCCAAAGAAGCCCTGAAATTCATCAAGGAGGCCAATTTGGTGGACCGCTTTTATGCATGGAAGCGTGACCGGGGAAGTTAAGATTTTTTCTGTCTTGATGTCCTTCCCAGCAAAGGCAGTAAGAATTATGTGAGCTCCTCATTTTTCAGCGCACGATTCCTCTTCGACTTGTACAAGTTAGTGCCCATTTATTTGAATTACAGACAGTGCTCATCAATATTGAACCACCAGCGACACGCACCACAAATGAAACGAAAGTCGCGCTACCTTGTTTCTGGGCTCAGGCGTCGAAACTATTTGTGCGACTGCCTAGTATGAGCACGGAGGCAACTTCAAACTCGATGCCTTAATTACCGTGTTCTATGAGAGAGGAGAGAGACCGTCTAGAGGGTACTAGCGTGATCATCCACGGCGACAAGATGGTTCCTTCGTGAAGGTTCGGTTGAAAACATTGGCTGTACAAACATGTCTAAACAGATGAAGGTAATTACAAAAGATAAAGATTATGCAGCACAGTGTAGAAGTTTGGATGGAGTCATTTCTTGCCAAGTTTTTCACTTCTTTTCCCGATCGTCGTGTTCCTGGGAAAAGTAGGTTGGCTCCTTTTCATAAGAGACTGTTCTTGCGAGCATTAATTTCACACGCAGGCCTCACCTTTTTGTGTGTTACCCGCCCTTGTTCTCCGATTTGGAACAATTAGATCAGCTACAATTTGTTTTTGCACGTCCTCTTTTCCCGGCATTGGTTGAGTCCCGCATAGGATTCCCTTTGCAGTTCAAGCATCGTAGTTTTTTCGCGTCTAGTACCTTTTATTCGCTGCTCCTTCGCTCATCTGTCACCCTTTTCTGATTCCTTTACCTTCGTCTTTTGAAGATCCATGTGATGAATTTGCTTTTTTTTTCGATAGAAATGTCAAACAGCCTCGTTGGAAATAAGTTGGTTTGTGTTTCAGATGATATATTAATATTGACAGATAGAATTGATCACAATGTAGTTTGTAGTGAGTTTCAGAAATGATCCAAATCTTCACGCCTCTCTATATCAAACAAGTTCTTATCCGCCTATCGCGAGCGAGTTTTCTGTCTCGTGTCGTGTATAATTAATTGTAGAAAAGTTGTCCAAGAAGATCAAGATGCCGTTTTTTGAATCCCTACAGCGTGTCCATGGCAAGTATGCCGATTGCTCCCTCGCAACGAAAACCGGAGAGTCCGTGCCCGCTACTCGGTGTTTGCTCGCCGTGGCAAGTCCGGCCTTGGAACGACGAATAGCAGTACGGAATGATTTTTGTGATCAAGAAGAAGAAGTTTTGATTGAGGCAGTTGCACGTGGATGTAGTTCCGGTTCCGGGTGTTTTTCTCCACCAGAGCCTAGAACAAGCTTTCTCACAACTTCATCAGGCTGTTGGCTTTCTCTTTTCCAACATGCTTTTGCTTGACACGACACCTCATCTAGTACATGAATACCAAAAACTTTGCATATGTTTTACCGAGGATTTGACTTGTTCGCTGAAAATCCCAGGACCTTCCTCCCGGTGGACGTATCGTGCTTTCCGAGATAGAAACGACGACCCAGCTGCAGGAGTTGGTTCGTTACAGCTTGGGGCAAAAACCAATCGACTACGTCGCCGCACAGCGGATCGGTCATCTGTACCAAATCACGGCCCTGGCGAGCCTCCCGGTTCCGCAAATAACGAGTCCCGCGACCCAATCCTCGTCCACCGGAGCTGGACCACCCCGGAACGGAACGATCGCCGGCAGCAAGCAGGGCGGCGCGCCGGGGAGCGGCAGACGAAGCGAGACTAGCGGGAGCTCGTCGAAATCTGCCAGCTCCCGAATCGGTGAGCTCACCGCAAAACTAAACCACTGGCTCTCCGTCGCCAGCGACACGCTGGAGCAGTACGGAATTAGCAGCTCCGCCATGCTCAACAACGGCCGGGGTGCCGCGGGCGGAGGCTCCGGGAGCAGCGGCTCCAGGAGCTCGCGCAGTAAACAAACCGCCCCAGGTGCCCCGCCGCCGCACAAGTACAAATCCCCCGCCACGGTGTTACAACAGCAGGCCACCGGCGAAGTGGACCCCAGCTACAACGACGACAGCAAGATCCTTTCGAAAGCCACGCAAAAGAAGATCAACAGCTACGGCTGGAACCCGGACGAGCCACGGAGCTTTGTCAGTAGCTACTGGTTCCTGCAAGCGCTGGCCTTTGTTCTCGGAATCAGCTGCTGGTACCACGCCTGGTACTATAATCTAGAAAGGGGCGGCCTGTTCATGGACGACGTCATGATAAAACGAAACCTGAACGTCGTCGACCCGCAGTTCGATTGGGACCGCCTGATTCGAACCGACTACTGGGGCCTGGAAATGTTCGATCCGCAGGTATGATTGAAGAAGTGCTAGCATTTGGTGATGTTTTCAGTGTGATGACTGTTGTACTATTGTGGCTAAGCCTAGCACAGAGACATGATCATTACACAGCAGGCACTAGTACAGGAGTATACTTAAACTTAATCTCATCATGTAGATACGTTAAGGTCCTAAAAACCTGCGTCGAGGAACCAACTGCTGATAAAATGAAACTTTCTCAGGTTTGGACGCACAAATCTTTCCGTCCAGTGACTGTATACAGTTTCCGGTTTGACTACCAGAACTTCGGGTTCGACAGTTACGCGTTCCATCGCCACAACATCGTGCTTCACGCGATCGCGGGCGTGCTCCTCGGCTACTTGGCGCACTTCATCCTCCGGATGTCGCCCGCGTGGTCCTCGCTGTTGTCGTTCCTTTTTCTCACCTATCAATTGCAAAGATGTCTGAATCTGGAAGAACGCAGGGTTTGTCATGCACAACTTGCATGGCTCTCAAGTCTGTCATGCGCGCCACACAAAAGCCACATTTCTCTGTCATGCAGAAACGCAGTCTGCCATGCAGATAGGCAACACTATAGCAACTCCAAGACTTGTCATGCTTGGCTGGCAATGTTGAAGGCGTCCACATGAGTCGCCAAATAGCATCACAAGTTTCCAGACCCAGACACTTTTGCAGTGCATATCACCCACCCGGTCCACACGGAGTCGCTCCTCTACATCGTCGGGCGGGCCGACCCCCAGTGCACGGACGTGTTTCTGTTCGCGCTCGTGATCTATGAAAAGATGATCCGGGCGTCCGACCGGGAGATCGCCGACGAGCGGAAAATTTCGCCCAAGAGCCTGGTGAAAACTGTTGTGTATTTAGCTCTATCGCTCGTCCTCGTCATGATTTCCGGGTTGTGCAAGGAGATTGGGTTCACCGTGTTCGGCTTGCAGGTCATCCTGGAGGGCTACTACCTCATGGATTACGGGTCCCAGCGGTTCCTCTGCGCGTGCCGCGCCGGAGCAGTCATCCTGATCGGAACCGTCGTCATCATCTGGCGGTTTCAGTACACACAAGGTAAATCATTCTTCTGCATTCGTGTTGCTTTTTTTTCCAAAAATCGACCTAAAGGAGGCACAGACTACTACATGCAAGGACGGTCCTTTGCAGCTCTGCTGAATGATCGTGGCGAGGATGCTGTCCCGTCGACATGAATGCATGCTAGCTAGTCGTGGTGCCTGCAACTCGAACAGTTGAGTTGAACGAAGATGTGAAAGCTTTCTCTCTACTACAGGCACGAAAATTGCGCGGATGGACCCGTATTCCAATCCGATTGCGGCACACGACGATGTTTGGCAGCAGATTATCTCCTACTGGTACGTCCACGGCCGGTACGCCGAGCTGCTTGTCTGGCCCAGATTTTTGAATTACGATTACTCGATGAACGCCGTGCCCCTGATTCTGTCGGCAAAGGACATGCGATTGCTGTTGCCGGCCGCAGCCTACGTGCTCCTCTGCATTGGTAAAAATCTTGTGGTTTTCGTGTTGCTGTTGCATGGAGTGTTTGTTTTCTTGCAGCTGCTCTTGCAAAAGTTAGAATAAGCTTAAGTCTTTTTTTAGGCTGAAGATAAAAATGGCAATAGAGAAGAAACGAAAAATGATCGAGAGCGTATACAAATGTGAATTGAACCCTAGGGCTATGAAACCTCTCAGGTGTCCACTTCACGATGCACCAGTTTCACACGTTTCTTGGGCGAGCCTCGGGTTTCGGGCTTGCCACCTTCGCCGTGTCGTTTCTGCCGATGTCAAACATCCTGTTCCCGGTCGGGACGCTGATCGCTGAACGTCTACTCTACATCCCGAGCGTGGGCTACCTCCTCGTCTTAGTCGCCTGTCTCAACATGTTGTGGCTGCGTTTGAAACAATCGAACCGACTATTTTTGCAGCTCTGCCTCGTCTTGGGAATACTAGCTCTGAGTACTGCGTTAAGTTATGATGCTGTTTCTTTCTCTTCCGATCTTTTCCTTTTTCTGAAAAAATTCAGTGGAGTTCATAAATGTGCTTTTCGCACAATAATCCGACCATGCAAAATGTTAATGCCACACGGTACGACCATCAAAGACGAAATGCCTATAGTTGTCTTGTTTCTGTATCTGTTTGGAGTTCTCGAGCTTGATAAAGGAAAAAAAAAATTGTCAGGCGGATTCTATTGGGTGCGTTGCTACCTACGAATCTTCGACTGGAAGGATAGTGAAACCATTACGGAGGTGGATGGGTTGTCCCAGCCCTGGAGCGGGCGAACGAGTTTCAACATCGCAAACCTGTATCTGTCTCGGAAGGACTACGACCGAGCACTCGAGGCCTACATCCGATCCATCAAATCCGACCCGGAAGAGCGCGACAGCATGCCTTTGTACCACGCCGGACAGATCTTCATCTACCGGGGCGACTGGGTTTCTGCGGAGCAGTATCTCAAGAAGGCGGTGGGCGGCTACTTCTCACCTCTCACCCTGGCCGAAGAGGAAGTGTTTCACGACTACGGGATGGCGTTGTGGCACGTAAACAAGGCACCCGAAAGCATCTACAATTTGCAGGCGTCGATCATAACGAATCCTAACTTCGCCAAAGGCTACAACAACTTGGCGTGCGCGCAGGTAGACAAATTTTGCTTCTCCGTGATGTGACGCAAACTGGCATGGAGATGAGAATTATGAGGAAGCGGCCTCAATATACTTACCTATTCGAAGTATAGCTGCTTCGTCATGATCTTCGATGCCACTCACGTACATGTCGCAAACACATGCAGATGGTCGATTGAAGACTTCTGACAGCACGAGATGATGCATAGATGTCTTTTCGCAATCGTTGACAAACCAAGAACATGTTGAAGTCTCTAAAAAAAGAAAAACTGAAAACGAAAACAGGTTCTGTACGGCCTAGACTTGAAGAACCAGGAGATGATAAACCAGGGCTTGGGGTCGTTGGAAAAGGCCCTATCCATCGCGCCGGATATGGCACTCTACTGGCGCAACGCCGCGGTCCTGCTCGGGTTCATTGGCGATCAAGCGGCCAGCCAGAACGCCTGGAACAAGTTTGCGCTCTACGACCCAAGTGCCGCAGTGCAGCAAATACCGGACAACTGTGTCTGGGAATTCTACTTTCGATAAGCCTACTCGAGAGCGAGAGGATAGCCATAGTATATAAGTAGTGAGGTGGTCACCAAACGGTACTCATGTTCACGTGGAGAAATTAAGAATACAGTCACTCAAGAACGACCCATGATGAAGGGAAAAATACTTCAAAGCCGCGGCTGGACCTGGAAATACCAATCTCAAGCTAGTGAATTACGCTGAAAGTAAAACGCAAGTAGAGCGGCAGATGAACTGGCACTGTTGCTGTTGCGCAGTCACTTACTCCCGAGTGAGCCCATTTTCTCCTGCTCCGGTGTTCGTGTTCGGGTGATCAACATTGATCGCCTCTTCCGATGTTCGATCTCGATCGACGCCGCCGGGTCCTACCCTGGTGCTGGCTTAGAGGCAGTACTTTTTTTTTTCGGTCGGTTGCGCTGACATCGAATGCGTCGACCTGAAAAACCAAAACGGGCGCGCTTCTGGAGAAGGAAAGAGGGCCGCGGGCGCCCGGCGCGACGCCCGCGCTGGCTTTGCCTTTGTGCCCCGTGCCGCTTTAGGCCTGTGGCCCGACGGTTTCCAGCCCGAAAGCCAGACCTGCAGCGGTGGTTTTCGCATGGATTTGCTACGCCCCCGCGTTTGGGGTTGCGCCGCGGCTTTGTGCGATGCGGTTGGGGCATTGGCCCCGAAACGACTGCGCCGCAGGTAGCTGACACTCAGCACGCCAAGGGGGCGCCACCGCAGGGCGCCCCCCCCCCCCGGGGGCCGGGAGTCCGCCGCAGCGCCCCCAGAATGAATCTCTCTGGGGGCTTAGGGCGTGGCGAAGCGTGCCTCGCCGCGGCGGAGCCAAGCCGGCTGGCGACGTTTTGGGCCGACGCTTTTTGTCTTGGTGGTGCGAGCTTAACCGGCCCGCCTCGAGCGGCGGCAGGCGGGGGCCAGCAAATGCCCGACGTCCATCCTTCGATTTTCTGGCGGCTGCAGTGTGAAGCTGCCGCAGAATTTTGGCGCAAGCATTGGGCAAGCACACGCCCGGCGAGGTGGCCCGGTTGCGTCCGAAATCTGTCGGGGTCCGCCACTGCCTTCAGCCTATGTCTATGTTGCCAACGAACAGGCTGAAGCGAATTACTCACCCGGCCAACCAGGCGGAAGCGAATTATTTATCCGGAGGCGGCATGGGAAACGCATCGGCTCCGTCTAATATTCGCCCGGCGGAGCTCATCCATATTTATTCAGTTGGGGTGGGCCGAACGATTCGCCTGCTTCGCGCGCGGGCGCGTGGTTAGTTTGTGCAGCGCGAATTCCGCGCGTGGTTGATGTGGTTGGCTACGACGGCGTGGCGGCCCAATATCCGCACAGCGTGGCCTTTGCGGAAGCAATCCACCCAACTCAGGGAAGAACGGCGAAGAGGTTGGCCCTGCTCGTGCGCCATATTCTTCGGGCATGGGGTGGCCTACGTCGTGCGCGCCGCATATTTCGCCTGCGCTTAGCAAGGCCGGCGGGCGGGCCTTCACCGCATAACGCCGGCCGCAGGGAATGCCGCCGCTGGCTGCTCCGGCTCCACGCTATTGAATTGAACGCGCGAAGCCCCCGCCTGGGCGCGCTTTTGTTGGCTGGGGCGACTAGGGCGGGAGCGTCGTGCCGGAAAGGGAAACGCGAGGGCGGGCCTACGCGTCAGGCTTGTGGCGATCACCGGGCAGAATACCCAGCGAGTGGAGTTTTACACAGGCGGCGCGGCTTGTCGGGAAGCGCCTGCCAGACTTGGGAAGCATTTTGCTTCCCGCCCGGGCTATGGGCTTCGGGCGCTGGCAAGGGGGCCGCATTGGTGGAGGCGGGCGCGAGTTGCGTTTTGCGCTTTGTTTTTCGCGCTTTGTGCTTTGCGCTGCGGGCCCGCGGGGTGCGTCCTGCCGCGAGTCTGCGGGCGGACTCCGTTCCGCCGCGCTTGCTAGGCGGCGGGCGCAGGCGCTTCGACTTTTCATTCGCCCGCGAACGAAGTATCGCCGCCTTGCGCCGTCCGCCCCGCCCCTGACTGTCGTGCGTGATGCGCCCCGGAGTGCCCGGGCGAATTCAGCGGACCGGGCCCCCATGTTTGCCCGCCGTCGCGCCCCGGCCCGGGGCGGGAATTCGCTCAAAAGGGCCCGGGCCCCGGCCCCCGGCTGCCTCGCTGTGCCCCCCCGGCCGAAAAGTAAACCGAGGCGCCGGCCCGGTGGGTGCCGCCTCGGCATCCCCCAGCCACGCAATCAATCACGCAGCCGCGCGCCGCCGGCTTCTTTCCCGTTGGCGCGCCGCGTGTTTTCCGAATTGTATATCGCGCCCGCCGGGGCGCACTGACAAATTGACCTCGCCGGCCCGGCCCCGCGTAAGTATCAGTTGATGGGGCGTGCCATGCTATGAGGCTATCCGCTGGGCGCAAGGCCACTTACAGACTGCCGCCGCAGATCATGTTCATGTAGGTAGCACGCATCGAAATCAATACGGCCGTCGCGACAGTGTCTGCCTCGGGGTGTGCTCCGGGGCGTTGTCTGTCTAGTGAAATGAAAATAGACCCCACCTCACTAAACTAGACCCAGGAAGAGTCCGTGTGACATCGAGGGGTCGCATCTTGCGCAGAGTTCTCTTGCGTGTATATCGAATCGCCCTCGTCGCCATTTTTTCGTGGTCATAGATCCGCGCCCCTGTGTGTTCGCACGCCTGTGATCTCTTTTTTGTTGTTCGCACACCTGTGATCTCTTTTTTGCTGTTCCGATTGGATCGCGCTCCTTAATTTCCCCTGCCTTCGGATATGGACGATCTGATCCAAACCAGGAGGTCTGCGCTGTATTTTTTTCCCGCCGAGGATCAAGTTGCTCCGAAGCAGGAAAGCAGAGCGCGGCTCCCATCGATCTTGGCTTCTTCTACGAGTAGGTAAGTATTTTGGTTGTGCATCTCTGCCTCTCTCTGGTTTTTTTCTATTTCCGCACCTGCAACTATTTGCTTTTTTGAGTATCAATATCAAAGTCTTTACGTTTACTTTGTTTCTGCAGAGCGCCAAGACATAGCCGGCAACAAAAGACGCGGAAAGAAAACAGAAAGACTGTCTGAAAAGGGTATATCTATATCGTAATCTAGATGATATCTACCCCGCAGCATCAAGCCTCCAGAAACTAAAACATAAGATCGAAACATAAAAGATATTAAAAAACGCAAAGCAATGTATAGAGATGAGCTTTTTATGTCCTGGATAATTTGACTAGAAAAGAGTACCACAACCCCTCCAAAAGCCCTCGCTTATTGTCCGTGTTTCTTAGTCACATTCTGAATTTTGTCGACTTTTAGGCCAGCGCCCCATTTTTCCAGCACGATCGATATCAGTAGGATGACTCTCCATCGTAAGCATTCCGCGCTCCCCTCGCCCGTCGCTCGTAGTCTCGTTGTAGCAGCATCCCTTTTCTTTCGCACGGGCTACGATGGTGCAGTGTTGGGCCGAAGTATATCTTCCACTCCGCGCCAGGCACCTGGTGCCGAGCAAAACTCAGCAACCACAAGGGGAAGGCAACGCGAACACCTCATTGCTACCACCAGGCCATCAGCTGTCGAATTTCAAGTACTCCCATCGACCGACGCTGCGGCTGCAACATCAACATCGGACACAGAAACGTCCGCTCGATCCGCAGAGGAGTCGCGAAGAACCGCAGATCAAGCCGGAGGAGCAAATAGAAATATACAATCCGACAGGAGAGAAGGAGCTCCGCAGGCACCTTCAGAGCCAACAAACGCAGGAATCTCCCAAGGAGAAATTTTCCCGCATTCCCGCTTGCCGCCTGCTTTAGCATTAGCCTCGTCAGCAACTACAACTCAACCGGCGGCGCACGGGCGTGGCCGGGCTTCCTTTCCGCTTCCGCGAGCGGGAAGGTTTTTTACTCGCTCCGCGTCGCCGCCCTCCGTTGCAGCAAAAGGCCCTGCCGCGCTTGATGTAGTTGTACACCCTAATTCTTCTAGATCAACGGGCGAGAAAGCCCGAGCCAAAACCGTTCCGGTGCGAGGAAAAAAAGAGTTCAAGCGAGGAAATAACCATGCACGGAGAAAGCCGTCGGGCGATATTAAGGCCGCGGACCCGACGACCAGAGGTTCCACTGCCTCAGGAACAACCACGACGGATGTTGGTCCGCAGAGCAGCCCCATTCGCAGGGCCAGAGGTTTGGCTTCAGTGGAACACGGGCTCGTCTCACAACCAGGAGCGCTTCGGCACACAGCACCAGCAGAATCGACGGAGACTCTGAAACAGCATGGCGCATCAAGTTCAAGAGGTGGACCGGGACAGGTGGATCAGGATCCTCAGCGCCAACGTATCAGCGGTGATGACGAGGAAGAAGGATCAGCGTCTCACTTCGTTGCACAGACTGAGCAAGATGAAAACGAAGGGCCGCCCCTCGCGCCGCGCCGCCCGGCCTTCAGTAGACAAAACTCGCCGCAAGGAGCAGCAACCTCCATGGTGGAGGTGTCGCCGGACGTAAGCGACGTGCCGCGCACACAGCTGCAACAAGCACCTCCTGCAGCTTCGTCTCCACCTACAACAGCGACCGCAACAGCGACCACCAGCACGTTGCTCTCTGCAGAAGCAGTGCGACTTCTGTCGCCCTACCTTTCCACACCCGAGTTCAGTCGGCTCACCGCGGCGGGCAAGAGCGTCAACCCGGACGTCGTAAAGACGAAAGTGCAGCAGTGGCGGCGTTTCTTGGACTTTGACGACCCGGAGGGTGGCGCGCTGTTCCGGCAGTTGGAAAGAAACTTGTTCAAAGTCGCGCATCTAGTCGAGCTGTACTTTCCGCACCAAAATCCTGATCTCCTGTCAAACATGGACCGGGGGGCCGTGCTGGCACAAGTCTTTGAACACTTAGCGCCCGAATACCACTACAGCAAGACAGCGAAAAGAAGCAGTACTAGTACAACGCTCGGAGAGCAGAATTTTAAGGCGCCCGAGGAACGACGAGATGACGTGCGCCCGGGAACTGCGCGATCAAAAACAAAATCGCCCACGGGAGCAGGGACAACGGGCAGCAGACCCGGGACCCTTTCATCAGCATCCGCACATCATGGAACCTCCGGGGAGAGTGAGCCGCAAGATCTGGCGTTTCAAACTCATGAAGGGATGAACGCAGCACACGTACAACCGGCTGGGAATGCGATTTCTACGGCCTCTTCGTCGGCGCACCCGAACAATCGCCCCGGTCCTCCACTAACGGTCGACACGTCGACACAAACCTCCATGGACGTCGACGCGGATGGAAATCAGGGAATAAATCAGGCATCCATTTTTGTACCTGGAGCGGGTCAAGCTCTTTCAGCACCTGCCTACTTCCCGCCTTCTCGACACAGCGACAGCGAAGACCTTTCCCCGTATCCACAAATAAGTAGTCCTCCGCACCATCAAACATCGAGAGGGCATGACCCTCCTGCCGTTCCCCTGGACACAGGGGGAGAAGCGACCCGCACGGAGACCTTCGTCCTTCCGGAGCAAGTGCCCGGCGTCACCGCGCGCGTTGTGCAACTGCAACAGCAAAACCGGTGGCGGAGGCGCTACGTACCGATTGGGACGGGCGCCAGCATACGAATCCGGAGACAAGCAAAAAGCCGAGCGCCACGAACTTTACCCGGGTACGGCAACAACATCGTAAATAAAACGGACACCGGGAAGTGGGCGGAGGAAGTTGAGCAGTTGTGTCTACACGCATCTGCATCCGGCTCCTTACAAAAACTGGAAGGAGCGGCAGGTCGAGCAGCCGAACAGGAAAAGGGTTGTGCCATCGGTAGTCAAGTATTTGACGCCAACGATGTTGATTGGAAATATCTAGTCCGCGCTGCTCCTCCTGATGATCGAAGCCAAAGCTCAACGCAGGACCGGCTCTTGAAAATGGGTTCCGATGCGCAAAAGAGACAGGCCGAAATCAAGTCTAAAGCGAGAGATGAAGTGAAGCAAGCTAAAGATAGATTCCCCGATAGCAGCACGAAAGCGACCACTAGTAGAGACGAGCATCAAGACCTCGAGCCCCGTGTAAAGCTTTTGCCGAATATCATTCCGGCCAAGAGCCTTGGTGTGATCAAGGAGTATGTGCGCGAGCACTGGTATGAGCGCACTATGGACCAACGCACGCGGGTCTTGAGCTGGAAGCCGCGGATACTCGCGGCAGATCAAGAGACCGCGGTGATTCCACTAGAGCCCTTCGAGCAAATCGTGTTGACGAAAACAGCACAGTCGCCCGGAAGACGGATTTATCTCACCAGTAGAGACGAGTATGCAGCAGGTGGTGACTTCTACGAGACGAGAAATCCCGGCGGTTCGCAAAGCAGTGGTCGACGTCAATCTGGTCCTCGAGAGGGCAATGCTGATCTCCATGCTGCTTCATCAACGTACGTCGATTATGGCCATCATCTCCGGGATAAAGATTTTTTTGACAGAGACGATTTTGAAGTGGAAGAGCCACCAATCAGTTATGACAATGGCGATTTTGCGATTGGTACAACATCAAGTGATGACGAAGATATCGAAGAGAACCAGGGCCTCTATCCATCGCCAAGTTGTAGCCAAAGCCACCATGATCGAGCAAGCAGTGGCAGAAAAAGCCGAATGCACTACACAACTATGCGGCCGCGCCGAACAAGAAACCGAACCGACGAGGGTGCTGAGTCCTCGGGAGCAGCTGTGGGACCGTCGACATTGCCCGAAGTAGACAGGAAAACAAGCGAAACCCGTGCCAAGAAAGACCGACTTAGAAAGGCCAAAGCTAGCCGGCTGAGGCTGTATCATCAGATTTTGGGTCGCAAACTGGAGAAGCAATATAGGGATGTGATCCGAAAAATGTACCACTTGTCAGACATCGACACACCCAACGTCCACCCGCCGGAGCAACGCCATTTTGTGCATTTCGAACTTGCCGCGATGAAGTCGTCCGGCTCTTTCGAGTTGCGCACCGTCCGCACCTATCCAGCCACGCCGCGGTCGGAAGATGCCACCGTCGACGTGGAGGATCTGCATACTGCTACCGACGCCGACGACTTGCTCGATTACTTCAATTTTCAGGAAGTGGTGCAACACGAATTTGACTTCCTCGAAGACCAAGGCATCGCGCATCAAGCGGCAGGTGGTACTGGCGGAGGCGGGCGGGGGCAGCAACGGGGTGTACAAGAGATACTGGAGCCATTCCTCGCGTACTACTACATCAGGGAAAACTTGGTTTTGCTTCTGTAGTTTGTTCAGGTTGGCTTTGTCTTTATTGACATCATTTTCTATGCAAATATAAGTGAGCCTATGCTATGTGTGCTAAAAAGACGACTGTCTGTAGTTTTCGTGTACTTTTTGTTTTTCCCTTGGTATCATATACAAATGGGAACATTTTTGAACATCAGCATGCGAATTGGGCTTGCACCCCAAGCGGCCGCTGCAGAAGACGGCAATTACAACCCCCGTCCGGCCTTGCCAATGCCGATGGAGAGACGGGAACAAGTAGATTCGATGCAGAGGACGAGCAGTGGAACAAGCAGACCGCTGACCGCCATCACGGAAAGCGCCCTCACGGACCACTACACCCGGGAACTGTGGACGGACAAGACCACTGCTGCCTCCGGAAAGGACGCGTTTCAGCTGTGGCTGGGCCACGGCTTTGTGTCGCTGGCGGAACGCGACCTCTGGGTCGGTTTGACCCCGGGGTCGGTGAAGGAGGGCGTGTTCGTGTGGCTCACCGAACTGCTCCCCCCGCTGGTCGACCGCATTGCGTATCGCGAGGAAAAATACCCCCACCCCCAAAGTTGCAAAAATTTGTGATGCAAAGTTTCCAAATGAAAACTTTTTGTCATGTATGAAAGGAGTGCGAACCTTTCTGATGCAGAGTCTCGGTGTGTTTCGCAACGCTTGCATGACAAGTGCCGCTCTTGCTGGGATCTTTTGCAACACAAATGTTTGCTATTCACGATCGGAAATCTGTGATGCTGATAGATGCAAGCGGGCGAATGTTTCACTTGGAAAGGTTTGCAATGCAAATGCTCCCAAGTTCGGGGGTGGGGGCATTTTTCATTGTAATATTGCGAAGAAGTTGTTCGGGCGCGCGGTCTTCAGCGATGATAATCCGTTTTATCACACGAAGACCGGGTTCCTGAAAGCAGAAAGCGGGTTCAGCTACGTGGAAAAGATGCGGGCGCACGCGGCAGATCGGAAGAGTCATTCCTGGCACCCCGAAACGGCAGACGAAAACGATCCCTGGCGGCAAAAGTATTGGACAACCCAGTGCCGGTCCCGGTTTGATAAAGTAGATCACAATCTTCGTGCGCCGGGGGCAGATCAGGATCACCAACACGGCAATTGTGCAATGAAAAAAGACAAACCAGCTGGTCCACCAGAACGAGGTCCGACGAACGCCTCACGGCAGAAGCCGATCTTTCCGCTGTTGCGCGGGCACCAAAACATCGACTTTGAAAACCAGGTAAAAGAGCAGGAGTTGGTGAAGATGATGGAAAACCTACGAATTTCATCGAGTCCCTCTGGTCCTTCTTCTTCACCTCAGAACAAGGGTAAGGAGGAACAGAAAAGGAAAACAAAGAAGAAAGCGCCTGCATCGGTTTATCGTGCGGGCCAAGAAGAGAAACCTGTAGATGACCACGGAGCAGGAGCTTCATCTCCTGGTGTTGGAACTAGCAGCACGAGGACAACATTAAAATACGATGGCACCAGTGCGACGTCCGCCTTTGTCGGGGACCACAACTCGGGTACTAAAAAACAATCAGCCCTCGCAGTGCAGATCGACAAGCGCCGTCTTCATGCGGAGCAGCGGAACCGAGTCTCTGCGGTCACGGGCGGGCCACCCCTGGTCCCCGGCGACGAGCCGGATTTCCTCAAAATCGGCATCCGCGCGTTGACGGAGACGAAGAATCCGCAGAGTGTTTCTGCTTTGTTCCAGCCCATGTGGATCAACAAGTACGCCAACGGCGTGGAGCTGCTGCAAAGCTACCGCGTCCTCAGTCCGGACGCCGCACAGCGCCCCGACCTGCCCAACGTACTCAACACCGCGGTTTGCGGCGCCGCGAGTCGGATGAGCTTCCAACCCTCGAACCCCTTCGCGTCGCAGAGTGCCGCTTTGATGCGACGCTGGCGGCCGCCATCGGAAGAAGTGCTACTCGCCTCGCCTCCGGTGCTGGACCGGGTAAGAGATATCATTTATCGACTGTGCAAAGCACGGCACGTTGTCGATGGAGGTGAAAGAAAACGGAAAACCTATATTGATACAGAGTTTCTTGTAAGCGGCCTATACGAACTGAACTTGAAGTACTACGTACACTTAGGCTAATACTTCTATGTTCCAAACCAATATAAATTCAGCAGGGCCTGGGCGAGATCGTGCTCTCCATTCCGAGGTGGCGAGACGAGATTCGACTATCAAATGTAAAAATGTCTGGGTCTGGAAGAATGCAACTTGTCATGCTAAATCTGAAGCATGCATAAAGCTGTGTTGCATGATTACCAAAAGTCGTCCAGTTTTGACCAAGTCGGGAGGGTGTTTCTCATGCAGGATAGGCATGAGAGAGATCGCACAGAATCTGTCATGCTCGGTCCTGCATTCCAGACCTCATGGGTCATGGAAAAGCTGCATCACAAATCGCGAATTCTTCCAGACCCAGACATTTTTACATTTCATATCGACACCGAATAGGCAACGTGCGGAAGCACGACACGAATACGAATCCCGCCTGGGTGACCGTTGACCTTCCGCCGTTGCCTTTCAGCGTCATTGGCTGCAATTGTCCAGAATCGAGGGGAGGAAAGGCGTGGCTGGTACAACTACGCATAGTACGCTACTGGACCACTTCTTGCGAAATTCAATATTGTGACTACATGCTTACTGAGCCAAAGAATGTGCTAACGAAGATTATCGCAGGCATACTAATTCAAAACTAGTGCAGTACTGTAAAACAACAATGTTCGAGCGCGAAAATTTGTAAAAAAATACAGGACCAGTTGGGAAGCAGCCCGGGCGCTGCGGGGCTGACGTGTGAGTTTCTCGACGGCGACATGCGAGTGTTGACTGCCCGGCACCTGACCGCCCTGGAACACATAAATTTTCTACAGCGCTACAACGACAACAGCCAGGAAAAATGCGTCGGGAACGTTTTCAACACCCATGCGCGAGAGGTCGAGCAGCCGACCCCAACAGCACTAGACAGCACAAGGAGAAGCAGTTCCTCTCGTCCAGGTGGTGGCTCGCATGATCAAGACGGAGATCTCCATCGTCGATTTCAGATTGAAGACGGCTCGTTTGAGGTCACGCAGCGCACACCAAAAGTCTACCCGCGCGTTTTTGATACCACCATGCTGACGGCCTCCAGCGAGCCGAACGGCGCGGCATACCACCAGCACTGTCGCGAATGGCAGCGGATGCACTGCCAAACCGCGAAGCGGGAGCTCTTTCGCCGTACGGTGCAGCGGCAGCAGCTTCTCCGGTTTTTGTTTCTTCACACAGCTGAGAAGAGCAATCACGCAGAAGCAGAAATCAATAACGTCGCAGCGAGTGGGCGAGATAATTGTTCAAACTCTGCCGGTGTCTCACTTTCAACATGCGCGGCGAAAAACTGTCTTGCAAATGCGTCGTCACCAGCACAGGGCGTAGGCGGTGACAGATCTTCTGCGGAAACAACCAACAGCAGTGCAGCGGCAAGAAAGCTGGTCCACCGGAAGCAGACCTACAGCGAACAAGCCCAGCTTGGAAGTAGTAGTGCACCAACAGCATCCTCTTCAACCGCACCAGCGTCAACCTGCACGGTGTTCAACGCTAAGCCCGCACAGCGGTCGAGCAGCCTGCCTTCCGCGAAAAAGCCAGCCTACTGTGGCTGCACGTGTAAAGATAGAAACAAGAAGAATAAGGCTACAACCGCGAAAACGGTTGAAGTTGGCGCCTCCCCACCCATTGTGCTTTCTCCACACCTCTCCGTGCAAGAGTTGGACCTTGTGGGAGATATGATGCTGCGTGCCCGCGTCAAGTTTTACGAACACGTCAAGGTCCTGGGCGACCTCTACGCCCTGGCACTGCTGGACTTCTACTGGCCGAAGGGACCGCTGAAAGAGCGGCGGGTTAACCTGTTGGTTCAAAATTTGAAATCTATTGTGGATTTCCTACATCTGTTCCACGAGGAGACGGCGGAATTCCCATGATGCACTTTACGCTCTTTCTCGTGTATCTGGGTGGTACCTATCATTATACATAATGATAATTTTCCAAAACCTCCAACATGCTCTTCTGCTTCAGCAAATATGCACCGTGGAGAATAAAGTTAGTTTAAGTGGATTTGTGCTTGGTCCCTTAGTGCTTGTTTTACTTACCGCTCCGCACTTCTCCAGGATCCAGCCACGCCGACGCCGATAGGGTTTTTGGCTTTGCTCGCGTTTCAGGGTTAGGGTCCCTCTTTTGCTTTATAATTTCGAGAATACAGATTCAGCTTGTCTTGTGTTCCCCCCGCAACATTCGCGATTTCTATAAATTGTTTTTCGCCTCGTCCGCAGCTGTGTCATCAATATGTTGTCTGACAAGATCGAGCTCGGCGCTTGCCCATTCAGCCTAGATTGCTGTCAATAGCTTCCACCTTAAGTAGGTAATTCCATCATGTTTTCTACAGCGCTGTGTTGACATCACACGCTAGCGATGGACTACCACCTTCATGCTGCTACAGTCTTTCGATTACTGCCTTTTTGTACTGATTCTGCTGGCCGTGAGGAGCAGTGAAGACATGATTTCTTTGGAAAAACAAGCAGCTACAGCCTGATTCCGCTCGGAACGAAAGGGAAGTACGATTGTGGTTAAACCACCATCACGTAGCCGCGGATAGTATTTGAGCAAAACGCAGAGCCTCTTTCTTCATTAAACCCGAGATTGTCGCAATACATTAGATAGATTAACATTTGTTGATGACTATCACGTTCACGCAGTTGGGAGAAAAACAAATTCTGAAATAGATCGGATCGATAGAAGTAGAACAGTAGCATCGGTTCTGCATTTTGCAGCGCTGTTTGCTTGGTAGAGCCTGTTGTATCCCATGTGCCTCTCCTGCTGGAGACCCAGTGACGGTCTGTTCAGTTTTTGTTCATTTCTCCATGTACTGGCCCAAATTGGTTCTGTGATTTTTGTGTCTATGATGCTGCTCGACGACAAGCAAAAAGTCTACTCGACTCTCTTTGCCAAGAAAGTAACAGTCGGTGTTTTTCATTCTCGGTGAGCGCGTCCGGAGGATACTGTAGCTGTGAAACCCTGCAATCGGTGAAGATCACGATACTAGTTCTTGAGGGTATAGTTAGTAATTCCAATTCGTGATGCTGATGGATCCCCAGGAAACCATATCACAGGTCTTTATTCTTGTGATGATTTATTCCCGTGGTGCCTACAAGCAAGGATGATGATCACAATATGCAAGTCGCGGCACATTCGCTATTTTCTTCATTACCACTAGCCATTCTCATCATCGTGCATGCTTCGTGATCGAAAGACAATGTGGGATTGCAATTTTTTTGCGCAAAGTAGATGTAGAGCCTTAAATCATGGCGTCGGAGGAGGTCTTCCTGATTATGTGCACTTCGACTTCTCCGAAGCCGAGTTCAAAAATCAAAGGTTTCATAAATGTTCCAGGATCTTCTAGAGAGTTTCTTCTGAGATGGAGATGAACAGCATCCATCTCGATACAACATAGTCATCGAGCCCCAGCAGATCTACTCGATCATGCAACGCATAGGGAGTAAGGAAGCGACGACGATCCTCGCCCAGGAGGGGCTTCAATGCCCGATCTGCTTGGACTTTCTTTGCGAGCCCCTGACCCTGCAGTGCAACCACAGCTTTTGCCGGCTCTGTTTGTTGCAAAGTACCACCCTCGCGCCCGACGGGCGCAGCTGCCCGCAGTGCCGGAAAACGATCGAGGACATACAAGATCCCGCGACGCACGCCGTCGATACGCGATTGAAGAACAAGGTTTTGCTGCTGAAAGTGCCGGTAGACACGGGAGATGAGCAAGTTGACGTCGTCCCGGTGGACGTTTACGAAGCGCGCAAGAAGGAGCACCTTGAGCAGCTGCAGGAATGGCGCGACCGGGAAGCGCAGAAGTTGCCGGTGTTCGTGTACGGTGGTACCGAGGACTACAATCCGGGGAGCCAGGTGCAGCTGCACTTTTTCGAGCCGCGCTACCGCGTGCTGATCCGGCGCGCGTGGGAGGGGAACCGCCGGTTTTTGTGCTGCAAGAAGGAGCCCTTGACCGCGGGCGACCGGGCTGTGGTCGTGGAGATCGGAATGGCCCAGTTTCTACCGGACGGGCGCGCGAACATCGTCGGGAAGGCGCTGGAGCGGGTCCAGCTCCAGACCTGTTGGGTAGAGCAGAACAGCGAGGGGCTGTGGTACGCAAAAGTCGCGGTCTCCACCCCGGAGGAAGCCGGGCCGCGCGGTACGACGGTGATTCGCATGGCGAACCCCGGCGGCGGAGCGGATGGCGAGGCCGGCGGTGCGACGACCATCATCCACCGCAGCGCCAATCCGCAGGGCGGCGGTGGCGGTGGGTTTTTCAACACGTCCTCGGGGGGGAGCCCGGGGGACAGTAATAGCGCCAGCGCCCGGAATCTGTCCGCGGTGCAATTCTTGCTGCAGGAGGCCATCCACCGCGGCGCGCCGCTGTACAACAGAGGAGACATTCCGGCGTGCTTCCAACTCTACTTCACGGTGGGCCGGACCATTGTCTCCATGTACGCGCGCGACGCCCCCTCGCCGGACCAGCAGACCACCGAAATCCGCATGTTGACCAACGTCGTGCGGAAATTTTCGGACCAGCCCCCCCGATCGGGTCGCGCCTTCGACGCAGCAGCGTGGGAGCTGCGGCACTGCTTCGACGCGATTCTAGCCATGTCGGCAGGAGACGGGAGAAACAGAAACAGCTCGTCAGGGGGTAGCATCATTTCTCTCAGTCCGGTGGGCGCTGCTGGAGGTAGAGGCAGCGCCGGTCAAGGACGTGGCAGCTCCACATTCGCGGGAAATAGCACAAATGCGCAATACATTCGCGAGCTGCCCGTCCTGCACATCCCCCGGGAATACGTCACCCTTCCGCGACCCGGCAACACCGCCACACTGCGCTTGGTGGAACCCCGGTACTGTACACATCTGATTCGCGTAGTAGCGGTGGAGGGCGAGTTTCTGTCGACACAGGAGTATCCGCGCCCTGGCGGACGGGCAACCTTGGTGAAACTGGACAACGTCGGCGTGCCCAGTGCTGCGGGCGACGTACGCGTCACGATTCGTGGGCTGCGCTACGTGCGTTTCCAGGGCGTGCGGACCGACGCGGCGCAGGACGGGCTCTCCTACGGTACCTTTGACCCGACCGGCAGGCGAAGGTGGCTGTTCAGTTGTCTGTTTCCCTGCTTTGGACGGTCGTCGAACGCCGTGTCGGTATCTACCAGCAGTGGAGCGATTACAAACCACGGCGCAACGTAAAAAATAAGTTCGCATACGAAAGGGAAAAATATACTCCTCATGGTTTTTTCCTCCCACCAGACCACCCAGACCTTCTGCTTCTCCAAAGAATCAATCTTAGGGTTACCAGCGCAGCTACCCATGAAAACTAAAACATAGCTTAAGATTGAGATATCACTTCACCATAGAGATACCCAGTCATGCAGAGCAGACATAGGACAACATGTAGTCACACAGTCATTCTACTTGCGCCCGACCAGCGATTGCGAAAATCATCAATGGCCTGTCGCACCATGCTGATACAGTGCGAAGATGACACCTAAGTAAACTTCTTCTTCGTCTTCCACCTACAGTGTGTTGGTGCGCTATTTGTTCGGTTCGAATCTACATTTTGTACTCCCTGGTAATATGCCACGAAAGCGAGGAACACGAACACCAACACGGGAGGACGAGTAGTAAGTAGGGTCGGTTTTCTACTAGACCTCTGCCTGATAGGACGAGGCGAGCGTTGAGGGAAAGGAATGCGCGGAGCACACACGTAAAAACGAGAACGTCGACGTCCACAACTCTTTCTTGTTCGTGTAGAGTACATTTCTTCTGGAATTATTGCGCTCTGTTTCGCTGATCATTCGAGGATCTAAAACAACTAAGTACTCAAATAGAAATAGATAGTACTGGTACTCTTGTACATATAGAGCGGACAATCCGCGTTGTAATAAAGCTGCATCGACGACGTAAGGCGCACTAGTCACGTGGTTTTTGCTATTACTCTTCCGCACCTCATATTTATTGCCAGGTCATGTCTTGTTTCGGCGCACCGTGCACTGCACAGCATGTCATCAGAATGGATGCATCGTCCGCAGAAGATCGATGACTCTGTGAGTACGACGGCCTTGCTATTTAATCACACGATTATATCGCTCGCGTATCTCGAACGAAATCGAAAATCGTCACTAGTAGAAATAAGCTGAAGCTGTACTTAGATAGCATAGGTCAATACAATGGCTTCTTTCGACAACTCGACCATCCGCAAGCTCGGGGTAATCGCCGACATTCAGTATGCGGACGTGGAGGATGGCAGTGATTTTGCCAAAACCGAGACGCGGTATTACCGCAACGCGCTGGACGTGAGCAGGAGAACGGATTTTTCTTCTTGCCACGCGATCATCCAGCTTGGCGACATTATCGACGGAAAGGCAGTGGACCACACGGAAACAGCAACAAAACGCGTCATAGACGCGCTGGACGCTGGGTTTACGAGTTCAATTCCACCAGAAAACAACAATGACGAAGATAAGAGGAAGCAGGACGACGTTGCAAGTAGAACCACTAATAATCTGAAACGTCCCTACCGTTTTGACATCGTTGGCAACCACGAGCTCTACTGCGGGTCCCGTTCCTGGTGGCGGGAGAATGTCTGGCATCATGGGGCGGACACTAACACGCCCGACGCAGCGCACGGCTCACTCTACTACAGCTGTGAAGTTGCGGACAGAAAATGGCGGTTAATCATGCTGGACAGCTACGTCGTTTCGAGTCTCGGCTACGGCGACGTGCACAAGACTAGTACCACCAACGAAATAAATTCCCCACCAACGCACCCGAAGCTGTTGGAGGCCAAAGAGTTGCTGCGAAGGGAAAACCCGATGATGGTGGAGGCACTGGAGCACCCGGAGAAGAAGATCGACTACTTTAAGGGCGTCCCTCTGGAAAAGCAGCGGTTTTGCCTGTACAACGGCGCGTTTGGGGCAACGCAGCTGCAGTGGCTGGAGGCGGAATTGGGAAAAGCGAGGGAAAACCAGCAGTTCGTCGTCGTATTCTATTGAGAGGAAAAATCCCCCCTCCCCATATCGAAAAGGTATGTTTCCAAAAATTTGTGTTGCGGATTTGAGGTCACAAATCGCCTCGTCTGTCTTGCAAGAAGGCAAGCCCAAAGAATACGCCGCCTTATGGAGGCGATTTGTAATGCTGTTTCACCTACATGGCAGGCCTCTCTTATGCCAAGCGCCTACAACAAAACACCCCTACGCAGGCTGAGGCTTTGCCTGTAGTGCCTCGCTGCAAGACAGGGCTGATTTGTGTACACAAATCCAGCAACAGAGGTTTCCGTTTCAATATGGGGAGGGGGGATTTTTCATTTTGATATATTCACGCACGTGCCCATCATGCACAACCCGGACCGGAAAGACGGCGGCTGGCGCACCCTGGCCTGGGACAGCGACAGGGCCAGGCAAATTTTAGCCGGATTCAAGCAAATCGTGGTGGCCGTCTATGGCGGACATCGTATGAACTGCAAAAGTATCGTACTCGTATAAATGCATTACAAATTTACTCAGCGTGAGAGCTGGAATTTGTCATGCTGTTTTACCTTAAGGACATATGCATAAAAGCAATTAGTACAAGTACGATACTTTTGCACAGGATACATCGCCATCGGTACCAACATTTGCCGGACGAAGCGACCGGAATTCAGCACGTTGTCGTGGCTAGTCCGATGTTGCAGACGCCCGCAGACGACATGCAGTGCTCCCTGGTTTTGGAATTTCGGGACAACGGCCGGATTACGCAAACCGCGCCAGCAGGCTGTACAAGCATGCCTGCATCCCTGGAAATTGCCAATCCGCACGTTTCTCTGTAATTGTACCTATTATGTAATATACGAGGAAAACGAATAAAAGCTGTGTGTCTAGACGAGAAGTTTCCACAATGATCGAAAATAGATACCGATGTCAAGCAAATGTACAAAGCGACCGATGCTCTTCGGGGCAGCAGAACACACCGGCTCTCCCACACCCACTACGCCTGCAGATACAATATTCACACGTCGTTCTTCATGGTCTTGCACTTGCTTCAAAGATCGATTGCGGGAGTGCGTGCTACATGTAGTTGCAACAAATGTCGTAAATGAGAATCGGTCATCTATTTTCCTACCCTCCTCTCGTCATCTGAATTTTATGTGAAACATTTCGCTCTAGGTCGTGGGCGGAAATGATGTCGTGGTTCGTCAAAGACTCGTTTGATCGTTCTACGTCGGTGACATAAGCCACTACACACGGCGCAAAATAAGTCTGTCTTCTTTTAACCTTCGCAGAGATGATAAGTATATGAATCAGCTCGTGTCCTGATTTCAGTTTCAAAGAATAAGTAGGGACAGGCCGGGCTTTTTGGATTTTTTTGAAGTTGGAAAAGCATCTACATACGTATTTGGAATTTTTCTTGTACACTAACACTATCTAAGTATGATTTTTGAAGATCACGGCGCAGATGATAACAAACCAGTCAGTCAGGGCTCCGTTAACGGACCAGGAGACGTTTCGCTCGGAGACACGTCGATGCCCTCCATGCTGTACGGAAGCCCTACGGTCAATTGTGTGGAGCAGAAGATGCGAAGTGTTGCAGCTGAGGATGTTGATTGTACTAGCGCACCAGAAGCCGGTGGATGTTCCACCGCCGTCGTGCTAACCCAGAAGAAGTTCTGCCTCTCGGACAAGCGTATGGCTGAACAAACTCGCCTCCAACACGCAGCGGAAGCGCTGCAGCGAAGCAGTGCGTCCTTCGTCAACTCTGGCGGCTTGGCACGGGCGCGCCAACGACGGAACGCTGGAAGTAGAAGATATGTAGAGGAAAGAGGTGAAGGACCTACCAAAAGTACGACCTCTCCACCCGATTTTGAAAAGAACGGCAAGAAGACTGACGCGATTGAAGATAACGACGAGGATCACGAAGGGTGGATGGGCGAGCATGAGGATCCGAACGAGAAGTATTTCTACCAACTACAGCACCCAAAGCGCATGCCGTTCCTGTTTTACTCGGATAGCCCAGTCTATGCCAGCAGTACTTCGCCACGACCACATGGAGGTGGAAAAAAATCTGACACAAAAACGGCTGCAAAAAACGTTGAAGTTGAAGGTGCAGCGTCGTCCTCCCCAATACCGAAGAAAGTTGCAGAGGAGGAAGCGGTTCCTGTCAATGACGAGCTACACACGAACTTTTTCAAGCAAACCCTTCGTGCAGGAAACAAAACAGAGTCCGAGCAAGACCGCAGCAAGAACCGCACCATATCCCCTGAAGCTGCAGTCGTGACAGACCGCTTCGACCCGATCGGCGTGCGCTTGATGCAGAGCCCCACCAGCAGTAGCAAGCACCGCGAAAAAATTGCCCACGACCTCTACCTGGTGCCAACCAACGATGATTACGTCACCAGCGTGTCCAGTCCGAACCTGCACCCGGACCACAGTCGAAAAGTGGATCCCGACAAACAGCACCGGCTGCCCATTCACCACCACGCATGGGCGGCGCACTGGACCGGCAATTTGCGACTGAACACCGAGTCGGAGGATCCGGAGTATTGGCACCGCCAACGCTTCCGTAGCTGGCACAATCGAACGAGGGTGGGGGCAGGTGTGATTTCCGGACCGAGAGCGGCAAACCCGATACCTTTACGCGTGCACCCGGACAAAATAAGAACGAGCTCAACGTCACCAAAGAGAATATTACGAGGCGGTTCTGAAGTTGGCGGTCTTGGCGCTGCGCATTCGTATCTCCATAAGGACACAGTTTCATCGGCGAAGAGGAAGACCTGGAAACGGATTGACGACAAATTGGCGACTCGGCTACTCGTCGGTATTGCGAACGGCGCTGGCGGAAGGCGAACTTCCTTGGGACTACGAGAGCAGCGAGTGTGCCGCTTGTACGGGCATCGCTCCGGAATTCTAGGAGGCGCATTGCCACCGCGCGGCGGGAAAACGAAAAAGCTCCGGACATTAAAACGGGGTGGTCTTGTTCCCGGTGCACCTACGACGAAGAACTACGCTATTTACTCAAGGCCAGGCGGTCCTGCGATGAGATCATCGAGAGCAGATGGTGACAATGTGTTCTCCGGCCGTAGGATGAACAAGAAGAGGAAGACCAAGAAAATCATCAAAAGCAAGGCTCGAAGATTCCCAGCCTCCGTGAACGCGTTTCCCGCTTGGCTGCACAGCAAGTTTCACAAGCGCAGTGAGGTAATCGCGAACTGGGGCCGGCTCGCGAAGCAGATCTCATTTCTCTGGAACTACCGCTATGCGTGGATGCACTGGAAGTTTCATCCAGATATCAAGACCCCGTCATCTGCGTCCGTGTCCGAAGAGGAGATATACAACGAGGACAAAGAATTGTTCAGCGATCGAGCTCGGCCAAAGGGAAAATTGCACAGCACAAGCAGACCCTCTCCCTCTTTAACATTCAAGAAAATAAACAAGCTCGATCTTTTGAAACGACCCGATGAACAGCCCGTCCATTGGTCTGCTCTCGACTCCGAATTTCAGCAGCGACAGTGGCGCGACGCATTCCGGACCGTTCCAGACCACGCAAGGTCGCCGAAGACGAGGAACAGGAAAACCCCGCGCTCGTCGAGACCTGCTTCACCCTTTCGCAACGAAGACAGGTCTCGTTCGCCGGCGCTGCGCAGCTCGTCCCCCGATCGTTATCAGGGTCTGCAATCACTCCATGCTGACCGCGGCCACCCACACAGGCAGCAGAGAAAGCAAAAACTTGAAGAGACTTTGCGCCAGGGAGCAGGAGGTGCACCGGAGCCGAGCAAGAATGGTAGAAGTTCTGGCAGCACTTCTAAGGCGGAAAATCAAGACCGTGCTATGGCTTCCAGTGGTCGTGTTGCTTCTCGTGCAATAAACGGAAGCACAGTCAACAGAGAATTCCACGAGGCCATGACAGACGTTTTGCAGCAAAATTTGGATTTTCTAGAGGACCAGAGAGCGGCAAACTCGTCGTCTCCGACATCACAGAAAAAAGCCGGAGCCTCGTCTGCAACAAAGCAAGGCTCTTTTACTTTCACCACGACACCGTTGGGCGGCGGGGGCAATATTGAATCCGGCGAAGAAATGAATGGAAAAAAATATGCTTCATCTCCCACTTCCCAGCCCGAGCGGACCATGTCCTCTGTTTTGCGACACAATGTCTCTTTCTTCGACAATATGTCGGCGATTCTCGAGAGCGAAAATCCTTCACCCGTGGCCGTGGAGGATGCTGTGGGCCGACAGAAGACTTCCACAACTTCGTCCCCAATGGTGAAAAAGGAAGAAGATAAAGAAAAGTTTTCGGCAGCGACAGGACATATCGTGATTGAGAAAGTTGTCAAGGACGCGGATTTCTTCGATGCCATGTCGCTGTCATTGAGCAAGGATGAAGAAGATGCTCAGCGACATACGGTGGATATTATCGCTGTACAAAGAGACGGAGGCAGCACGCCAAATACGCCATCGCCCGTGTCGCCACTCGGAGGTGGTCGTGCCGCTGCTTCATCATCTGTTTTTGACAAAGACTTCGTCGAGTCACCGCCCTTGAACTCTGTTAGTGTGGAGAAAACCTCTCCCTCTCCTGTCGGCCCGATCCCGGCGCTTTTCTTCCCTGAGACAAAAAGGGTACTGTTCGCGGCGGAGCCAAGTCCAAGTGCGAGGAATAAAGGACGACGTACTAAGGAACCTAAATCAGGTGCTACTGGTAGTCCTGGAGGTTCGACCTCCGATAGTGCTAGAGGGGTTTCACCTCTTGTGCCCCGAAGGCCGCCCCCGACGAAGCGAGAGCAACGGGACAAAATTTTAGCGGACGAACAGGAGGCAGCAAGTCGAAGTCTTTCGCCGCAGCCACTTGCGGCGGCCGTTTCGGACGCGCATAATATGTTGAAACACGCAGGAGCTGACAACGCGAAGCAAAAACACCCCGATGATCAGCCGAAAATCAGAAGAGAGGACCCCGCAACAATGGCGCCATGTATGCGCGGAGGACACCATCAACTGCAGCACAGTGCGGCAACAAAACACAAGTTTTCCACTCGCCAGCCCCAGCACCGAGAACAGACGGGGCAGCCTCGGCCTTGCTTGCTTGATTTCGCCTCGAACATGTCGATGGCAGCGAAGCACCAGGTCAAAGCCACTGCGGCATACGATCGAAGTCGAGGGAGGCTAAGACGAGCAAACAACGCGGCTGCAGGCAATAACGAGGACCATCAGCATCAGAAAAGCATGGGAACCAAAAAGGACAAAAACGCAGTATACGACCGTCTTGCACACGCCGTTACCAGTTCGAGTCATGCCAAAAAGACCGATCCATTGCCAAATGAGAGCGACACCACCAGGAGCAAAGGCCTAGTAGGATCTTCGCTCCAAGATGATGTGTTCGCACAGTGGCAGGCGGACAACCATCGGACGGGAAATAAATCTCGTCACAAGGAGCAAACCGGCAAGAACACACTGTGGACCGCTGCTACCGGCGGACTCTGGTCCGCAGGGCTCCGGAGCAGGGCGACAGCAGGGCAAGCTGAAGACAAATCGGCAAGCAAGCAGCTTTCGAAGACAGTTCCCAGCAGCGCGCTTTACGATCGTCACATCGCGGAGCGCATGCGGAAAAATCAGGAAGAACACCGGGAGTACTACATTCCTCTTTCCCAGACCGGGTGGACGATTGGTAGCAACGTTCGGGGACAGGAGCGGGATCACGCGCACGTGAAGCCTTACGAAGGGAGAGCGGACTTCAAGAGCCGGTATGCTTACGCAGCAGCTTCGACGCCAGCAGTGACGGCGCGGCCGAGATCGCGATCATCTCCAATGGAAGAAAAGCCCAGCATGATTCTTCTCGGCAAATCGGGCGTGACGCCCACGCCGAAGAAAAAACACGTCCAGGTCAATAAATCTCCAATTGTCACTGCCAGTCCACCGGGCGTGTCCCCATCACGAGAAAAAAAACAGCCTCAAGTACGTCCGACCGCGAAAACGCCCTCAGGTACGTCGCCCAAGAAAGAAGATGCTAAGGACGCTAGAACTAGTGATAATGTAGGAATCACGAGCCCAGTTGCGTCCCCGCTTGGAGTCGCATCGCCGTTCTTGAACGGGGGTGATACTAATATGAAGAGTCCAGCCAAGAAATCCGTTGCTGAGGACGATTCTGACGCTGACGCACCCGAGCCACGACGAGATGGTTCCAAACAAGGAAACCCGCTCGCAGATATGCCTGCCCCAGCCGTTCCAGAGCGCGTGTCGATGCCGATCAGGCCTCCGGTCATGCAAGCACGAGAGCCCTTTGCAGTCAGCAAGAAACAACTTGATGCGGGTAGAACGAGCTCGAGCTCGATGACAGGAAATCAAGGAGGGAGAAAGTTTTCTTCTTCAACTTCAGCCACAACTGCCGCGAAGAACGCCAAGGATTTACATCTGCTCTCCGAAGTCAGCGAGCGCGTGCACTTGCTCTACCAGGAAACACAGAAGGTTCTCGCCCGACGCACGCCGACGAGCAGAGACTGGCAAAAGTGTGTGGTATTGGAGAAGCATACCAATGCGCAGAAGAGGATGATTGACATGACCTCCAAGTTGCCCGTGAAGCTGGGCAGCATCCGCATTGGGAACGACGTGCAAGCGGTTTCCGCGCACAAATCTGGCGGCTTCTTTCCGGCGACGAAGTGGTTTTCGCCGGATGAAATCTTGACCTTGTTGAAGCCCGACGACCCCGAGCAGCCGTTTGCGCCACCGCAAAGGGTCACTCCCAGTGCGCAAGCGGTACCCACGTTGGCACAGCAAACGAGAATGAAAACAACTCCAGCAACCTCCAACAATGCTGCAGCAGGGAAAGTCATAATTCCCACCTCCGTTGCGCGAGCTACCGCCCCTGCTGTAATTGAATCTGCTGCAGCGTCCTCGGTTTCGGCCGTCGGTCCTGTAAAAGTGGGCGGGGCTACGTCGACAACATCGACAGCTGGAATCTCTCCTCTACAATCGGCGCAAGGTCTTAGTAGACCTGCCGCAAGGGCCACCACGACAACTACATCTACAGGAGCTGCACGAGCAAGATTTGACATTGGAGCGGACGAAGACCACACGACAGGCGACGAAGAGAACCACCTATCACGCTGGCTGGACTTCCACCATGCCACCGAGCAAGCCGTCGCGGTGACCCGGGTTGCGATGCACTGGCGACGCAAGGTTGCGCAGAGACGGCTCGAAGTACAGAGGAGAACCAAAGCGGTGAAAAAGGTGCAGTCCTTCTTTCGGATGTGGATCATCTGGCGCTTCGTGGACAGGGTGAGAAAACAGAAAAAAGCGACGAAGAGACTGCAGAAGTTCTGGCGCTTCTGCCGGCTGCTAAAGGTCGCGACGAAGATGGTGAAGCTGCTCCGCCTCCAGAAGTGGTGGCGCGGAACCCGTGCGCGGCTGCGTTTTCGCGAAATTGTGGCCGCTGCGAGACTGCAGCGGAAGTGGCGGAAGAAGAAATTGACCGAACTGTTAACCATTCGGCATGCGGCGCGCAAAATCTACCGATTTTGGGCGGACAAACGGCAGAAGCGCTTGGAGAAATTCCTATATGTCATCGTCAGGTTGCAAGCGAGGTTCCGAGCAAGACAAAAGCGGAAGCAAGTTGCGGAGCTCAAGAGTGCTGCAAAGATTCAGAAGAGCTTCCGTGTGCTGCAGAAAAAGCGAACCAAGGCCATAACGAAGCTGCAGTCGCTCGTCCGGATGATGTTGGTCAAACGCGCCCTCCGCATGTTTGCAAATGAGGTTGCGAGCACCATCAAGATCCAAGCAAATTGGCGCGGAACGAAAACCAGACGGCATTTTGCACAGCTCGGCTGTGCGGTGCGGCTGCAGTCTTTCTGGCGGCAGAAGATGGCCGAGCGGTATTTGTACTCATTGAAGTTGATCCGTGCGAAGACGGTGGTGGTGCGCCAGTTGAAGTATTACTGGGTGCGTTGTCGTTTCTTGGAAACAATGAGGCGGTATCACGCGGGAAGGAAAATTCAACGTCAGCTGCGGTATTTTTTGGTGAGACGCAAGTGGATCGCCGCAGCGGGGTATCTGAGGCAGATTTTTCACTATGGCACAACTCAGGGCGAAAGATCCGAAGCTGGTTTGGAAACAAATGGAAAAAATCCAAATACGACGTCGCCTTCTATCTTCACGGTTCCCTCCTCGTCGCCCAGCGTCGTCGCTAGATCTCCTGATGATGGGTAGCACAACGATGAAGGTGCATCGATCTAGTAGAAGAAGATCGATCCTGGAGTTTTTCTATATCGGGGACAACTCTCCGTAAAAGAGAGCGAGAGACAGACTAACTTGGTTCACTTCTTTGGCTCGGAAACTTGAGTACGTGTTTGTACGAATCGCGTTCATACAAAAAGCCACTGTTGACTGATGGTGTTCTTCAAACCAGGCACGAAAAAAGCGCTCAAGCTGCCAGCTCTTAGCAAGGTTCTTGTATCACAAGGTAGTAGAAGATAGCTCTTGAAACCAAAACCAAAAGTCACCTTCGGTAGTACGAAAGCATTTGTAGATGAGGCACCACGCTAGAAGTCCAAGTCGCACCTGAGCTGTCGAAAGTTCGTCAGATCGGTCAACCCCTCGGCTTTGAATTCGTTATTTGTCGATCATATCGCAAGAAAAATCGTTCACTGTTCGCAGTCGGAGTCGCATTCGCAGGGTTGTTCCCTTCGATCCTCAGCGTCAGCTGCCCCACACTAGAGCTAAAAAAGAAGAGATCCCTACTCCACCCGCGCTGACTCTTTTTGAAAGAATGCTGGATGGCCATACGAATCCTTGCGACAAGTAGATTGATTAGTGGGCCACGGTGTCGTATTAAGATCATCATCATAGTTCTAGTTGATTTCTAACTACTTGTGTTGCTTTCCAGATCCGGCCCCAAATGACTACTTCTCGCAGTGAAGACTTCTCTGATCGAAACGTGGGTCCGGTAAGTTCTTGGACGCCGTCCCCGAGAGACGAGGAGTCACGAGAGGACGCAGACCACGATACCAGCCCGTCCGGCGTTTTTGACATTATGGCCTTGCCCTTCGCCTCCCTGGCTCGATTGTTCAGCCGCGGCATCTACAAAACCGGGCTTTTCGGCCGAAGACTGCGCGTGTACGCCGTTGCCTGGTACGTGAAACGGCAGTACACGAACGCGGAAGAGGAGTCCAAGAAGTTCGAAGACTACAGCCCGGAGCATATCGTATTGAAAAATGTCCCCACACCATAGTTGTACTTGTAATGCAAGTCTGCATGCTGAAAAGGTTTCTAATGCGGCGCCCCATGAGAAGCATTTTCTAGTCGTGTTGTGGAGTTTGTCATGCTCCAAGCAGCATGATATACTAGATCTGTGATGCTACTGAACTACGTCAAACAGCACTACGCTACGAGTCCAAATTTGTCATGCAAAACAGCCAAAGCTTGTGGATTTGTCTAGCCGATTCCCCATCTTGACTATGGGTGTGGGGACGTTTTTACATAGGATAGAGCAGAACGCGATCTGGGAAGACGTGCACACGCGCTGTGCCACGCTGGTGTACGAGCAGATGATCAAGCTCGAGGGGCTGTGGGTGAAACTGGGGCAGATGATGAGCACGCGGGCGGACGTGCTCCCGCTCCCCTGGATCCGGGTGCTGAAAAATCTGCAGGACTCATTACCACCGAAGCCCTACTCGGAAGTGGAGGAAACGCTCCGCGCCGCTTTCCCGCACCAGTGGCCGTTTCGGTCTATAACGGAAAAACCGCTCGCGACGGCCAGCATCGCGCAGGTGCACACCGCGGTTCTGCTCAACTTCCAGAAAGTCGTCGTCAAGGTGCAGCACCAAAACATCGAGGCAGTGATCGAGCAGGATCTGGATAACGCGAAATACCTCGTGGAGTCGCTGGCCGAGGAGAAGCCCCAGTACGATTTTCGCGTTCTGTATGAGGAGTGGGCGGCAGAAACGCGGAAAGAAGTGGACTTCTACCAGGAAGCGGTGAACACCGAGACGGTCGGCCGGAACCTCCAGAACAGCAAAGTCGCGCACTTGACCGGCGTGCCGGAAGTCATTCGCAGATTCTCGGTGCCGAGGAAACACTTGGTCGGGCTAGAAGGCTTTCTCGACAACGGCGCGGCCGGTCTGACGCAGCAGCAGTGGAGAAGAAGGAGGAAATCTACGACGACCTCCTCCTGCTTTGGTCCGGGTCCGCGGGCCGTGGTGTCTTCCACATTTTCAAGGGATGTCTTGAAGGTGAGACGGTCGAGTAAAATAACATCCTCGTCGTCCTTAATATCCAATGGAGGTGGAGCTGGTCATGATGCCAGGAGAAGCTCGCGGACCAGTGCGGCGTCCAGCTATGCCACTGCACTGGACGAAGACACAACAACTACACAAACACCCGCCACCACGTCGTCCTCTTCGGCGGCGTCCTCGCGCACAACGTCCGGCGACGCGGAGGTGCAGCTTGACGACTTCCTACGCGGAGTACAGGACGAGACTGACATCTCAACACAACAACAGCACGAAGAAGAGGACCACATTGTTGAAATCTCAACCGAACCCACGCGATCCGTGATCCTCCTCGAATACATTGAGGGCGTCAAGCCGACGGAGAAAGAGACGCTGGAAGTATCAAATGCAAATATGTCTCGGTCTGGAAGCTTGTAATGCTGCGTTGGGAATAGTGCATGCTCTGTAATGCACAGCCAAGCATGAGAAATATCTGCGCTTCTGTGTGTTGCGTTTTTCGCATAACAAACTGCGTCTTTGCATGACAGGCAAAAGGGTCTCTTCTTGGACACGAATCACAAACTTTTTGGTCATGCCAGACAAGCATGACAAATTTCGCAATCCCAATCTTCCAGTCCCAGACAATTTTGCATTTGATACGAAGCCTGGAACGTGGACTGTCACAAGCTCGTGGAAGACATTTCGGCGGCGTTCGCGCAGCAAATCTTTGTCGACGGAATTTTCAACGGCGACCCGCACCCGGGAAACCTGCTCGTGGAAAAGGGAACGAAAAAACCGATTCTGCTGGATTTCGGATTGGTAAAACGCGTTTCCCCCGAGCACCGGCGCGCGTTTTGCAAGCTTTTGGTCTCCGCCCACGAAATGGACCTGAGCGGGATCATTTGTGCACTCGGGGAGCTTGGCGTCGGCCACGAATCCTCTCTCGCAAAGCCCGGCCGCGCCTTGAAATTTGTGCGGTTTGCCTTCCGCGACGCCGAGCCTGGCCAGACGTGGAACGACCAGAAAAAGAAGTGGAAGCCGGAGGAAGAAAAAAAGGACGAGAACGGCGAGGTCATCATCGAGGACGAGGAAGAGATTTCAGACTTGGAAGAACCTGAACAGGTCCGATCGTCTCCTTGTGTTGTTGCCGGTGTTGAAGATCTTCGTTCCAAGGACGCAACCGATTTCTTGTGCACGATTGAAGGTAATGGGGGTGATACAAGCAAAAATGGCAAGTCGTCCAAGACAGCTGCTGTACTGGAGAAGAAAAAAGCTGCCCCCGATCCCGATGCTGGTAAAAATACGAAAGAGAAGAAAGAAGAAAATGCGGCTGAAAAGAAAAAGATCTCTGACGAAGCCATGGCGTCCGCAGGCAGTGTGATTTTCCTTCTCCGCGTCATCGCCTGTCTTCGCGGGATAGCGGTCTCTCTCGGAATCGGCCACAGCTACCTGAAGAGCATGGCGCCCTACGCTAAAGCAGCCCTTCGCGCACACGCAGATAGTGTGATGCTGCAGAGCCTGCCACTTGGTCACGTGCAGCAGGAGAAGTTCTTGCAGAGGCAAATTCTGACCCAAGGAACAAGCATACTCTCGAAGATGAACACGACGACGACGACGACCACTCGAATTATAGATAACGATTTGGGAAAAATTATGTCAGTTGACAAAGCAACAAGTCTGCAGGCCTGTGTGTCCGAATTGAACAAAAAGCTAGAAGAGCTCTACCAGCGGGGCGTGATCTGCGGCGTGCAGGTGTGCGTTTTTGAAAATGGGAGGAAGTTGATCGATATCAAATGTAAAAATGTCTGGGTCTGGAAGAATGCAACTTGTCATGCTAAATCTGAAGCATGCAAAAATCTGTGTTGCATGATTACCAAAAGTCGTCCAGTTTTGACCAAGTCGAGAGGGAGTTTCTCATGCAGGATAGGCATGAGAGAGGTCGCACAGAATCTGTCATGCTAGGTCCTGCATTCCAGACCTCATGGGTCATGGAAAAGCTGCATGACAGATCGCGCATTCTTCCAGACCCAGACACTTTTACATTTGATAATCGACGTGGCGTGCGGAGAGAAGAGCTCCACGGACACGGACTTGATCTCACCGAGCTCCGTCATCAATTCTTTTTCCTGCTCCAAAATTCTTCCCGTGCTCTTGGTGCACATCTTTGTCGACAAGGGCTGGATACGCTCTCTGAGCGACCGGGTCTCCGAGTACTGGCCCAGTTTCGCGAGAAACGGCAAACAAAACCTGACGATCCGCGACGTGCTGGAGCACCGGTCTGGGCTCTCGCAAGCCATGCCCTCCAAGTTCGCGCACATGAAGCAGGGGCAACCGCTGCGTGCGATGTGTGATTTTCAGCTGATGAAGAGGTGGATTGCATCTGCTTGTCCGGATAAACAACAGTTGGGCAACGAGCACTACCACGCTATCACCTACGGATGGCTCATTGCAGGCTTGTGCGAAGAAGTGTACAACAGTCAAGTTGTCGCAAAACAAGCATCAATGGCTACAACTCAAAGAGAACCGCAAGGCAATAAGAGCCGAGGTTCGTCTTCTGGTCGGCAAGCGTTTAAGACCTATGACGAGCTGGTGAAAATTTTCATTCTCGAGCCACTTGGGTTAGTATCCAGGTCCTCCGAAGATGAAAACTCGTCCGAGGTGTTTGTTCACTTGCCAAAGGAGGCCGCCGTTCCGCCGTCGAAGGCTAGCTCGCAAAACGAATCGTCCTGGGACGCCGGTATTAAAAAGGAGTCGAAACAGCGGCGACCAATCGACATCGCCAGCATCGGTGTGGACCCGACGCTCCTTGCCATGACAGCAGCGCTCGGTGGCGATTTGTTTGGCTCGCTTTCCGGCGGAGATGGAGACGAGAAGGCGAAAGTAGATGAAAACAAGCAAAATCAAAAAGCATCAACAAGCTCGACTACGACTGCAACGACCCCTGTCGCTGCTCCACACGACCCTCGTCCTGCAGCTGGTGCCAGCAGCGGCGAGGGCGAGAGCCCCACAAGGAGCACCACTGCAGAGGCAGCTAGACCTGCGGCGGCTGCAGGAGCACCTCCAAGATTCTCCGGTGGTTTTCAGCAAGGCATGTGGATGGACCCTCGGGCTTTCAACGACCCCTCCGTCCGTCAAGCCATCGTCCCTGCAGCAAACACGCACTTCTCCGCGCGGGCGCTCGCGGCCGTATACAATGCCATGCTCCCCGTAGTGGACGTCGAGGGCGAGGAAAATAAACAAAAAGAGCAGGAAAGCGGGCGCATCATTAGCACGGCATACCTTGAAAAACTCTACAGCGCTCTCGGAGACGAGCCAACCGACGAGTCGCCGAGCCCAGGGACTGCGGAAAGCGCCTTAAAAGCCGCGAGAAAGAGAGGGTCGATATTGGGTTCGACAGTAGTTGGCCTCGCTCAGTTTTTGACATCGTCCACAAAACAAAAATCGGTCAAAAGCGGTAAAAACAACAACGCAAATGAATTTTTGACGAGCAGCAGAAAAAGCAGCTTCGCCACATCTGCAGAGGTCGTGGACGAGGACAAGTCAAGTGCGAATTCTGAAGAAGGTTTCACTTCGGGAGGAGGTCTTGAACAGCAGCGCCGCCCGGCCGGTGATGTGTATCCCCTTGGGTTGCGCAGACTTTCTCCGCAAACAACAATCGAGAATCAAGAAAGGAAGAAGCAGAAGCTCATTTTTGGCTACCCCGGCCTGTTCAGCAACGTCGCCGTGTGTTGTCCCCAGGACCGTGTCTGTATCGCCATTTTGGTGAACCAGATCGATTTGCAGGGGGCCGCAAGTCAAGAAATTCTGCGGCTTCTGGCAACTCGGTTCCCAGCGGCCGCGTGTGGACGAGGATAAGACTTTATGTCTCTTTTTCGTAAAACTACGTACGCCTGCCTGGATGGACTGCTTCCAGGTTTTTCGCGTGAAGATGATTTTTCTGTGCAGGAAGTTATCAGTTGAGGACAACATAGTCGAAAGGCGTATGAAACGTCGTGTGAAGATCGTGTACATTCTCATGCCTAGCGACATGAAAGTAAGTCCACCATCAAGGTGAGACCAATAAAATGAGCAGTTTGGGCTTGAAGAAGCTGTCTCCAACCAATTTTCGAAAGCGGAATCCCCTGGTGACAGATTGTTGTTCTACGTAAGAGCACTTACGAAGATACGACGGACTCAGGAATCTGCGCACTGCTTTTGTTCTCAACCTCTTCTCATAGTCGTTGCTCTCAGTCACGGTCGTGCTCCAAGTAGTTCCCGTTCATTGCGTGGTTCCGTACTATTCGTTGATTGGTGCGACCGTTGAAGTGGTTGTAGGGGGTCGATGAAGTAAGTAGTCGAAAGAAAATTGTTTTTGCATCCAAGATGACATCACTTGTATCAGCAGCCCCAAGAACTACTTTGCCACCATCATGCCCCGGCCGCCCCTTGTTGCGCACGACCCACCTGCTCCGGAGTGTGATCGCGTCTTGCGGCGCCGGGTCGTTCTTGGTGATCACTGTGCTTGGCAACGGGTTCCGCACGACACTGGACCTCATCCAGGAGAGAACCTACCATGACTGCGGGGAACTGTGTTGGAGCATGATGCAGAACAAGGGCGCCGAGTACTTTTCGCCCGAGTTTGTCGAAGAGATGGACGACGAGGAAGGGTCCCTAAAAAACAAAACCGACGAGCTGCAGGCCCCCCGCGCAACCAACGGCCCGCGGTACCGTCGCATACCCGCGCACGAGCTGCAGTGGCGTTTCCCGGAGTACCGCGAGTTCGAGCACAGCCCCGGCCCGTTCTGGAACCACACCCGCGGACATTTCCAATGCGAAAAGCTGCTGAACAACGCAGACCTGGATGTCGCCGCGGGCTACGGCGAAATCGACCACGGGCTCAGCTACGCAACCTTCGTCCCGGGGCGCTTTTTGCCGTACTTCACGATGAACGGGCAGATGCCGGTAGTCTTTGCGAATTTTTTGAAACAGTGGGACGCACCGGTGTTCACACGGTTGTCCTCCGCGAACCAGATCACGGAAGACAATAAGGTGATGGACATTCACAGCACCACGGCCGCCGCCACGGACGGGCTCAGCGTCTTCCGCGAGGACATTGACGTGGGGAAGATGCTGTGGGAGGAATGGACCGAGCCCTACGTCGAGGGCTGGGTGGCCGTGATGCGGTGCGCAGTCTCCTTCGCGCAGGCGGCGGTGGAGGCTGCGAAGAAGAACCCGAGGGGTTCAGGCTCGTCTTCTGATAGAGTGCTGCCCCGAAGAAGTTCCAACCGCGACTACAAAATCCTCGACGTGCTATGAGAGTGAGCAACTGACTCCCGCCTCCTCAGTTGTCCTGCAAAATCCCGGATCCAAGTGCTGCTTTGCGGCACTGTTAGTTGCGTGACAGGTTCTGCAAGCCCAAACAGTATCAGTACTACTTGTACTTCTTAAAAGACTAGGCGCATCCACTTGTCATGCAAAGCCTCCACGACGTGTGCTGCTGCTGTGCAGTGCTGCCGTTTGTATTGCTGTTCAAGAAATGAAGGGGAGTTGATGAAGTTGTGCACTTTCATACGCACGCGACGTAGACTACGAACAGCGGCTGTCCGTATGCAGCGAACAGGACCCGCGCATTATTACAGTGAAAAGTGCCCCCCACCCCTGAAATTGCAAAAATTTGTGATGCGAAGTCTCCACATGAAAACTTTTGGTCATGCATGGAAGGAGTAGGAATCTTTCTGATGCGGAATCTAGGCGTGCGCGTGTATCGCATCGCTTGCATGACAAGCGCCGCTCTTGCTGGGGTTTTCTGCAATACAAATTTTTGCTATTCACGATTGAAAATCTGTGATGCTGATACATGCAAGAGGGCAGATGTTTCATTTGGAAAGGTTTGCAATACAAATGCTCCCAAGTACTGGGGTGGGTGCATTTTTCATTGTAATACGCATCCGCGCCGCCGCGGTGGACTACGCGCGCCGGCGCCCGCACAAACTGTATCCTGAGTAAAAACGTACCCACGCCAGAGTTGTCATGCAGATTTGCAATGACAGGAACGTTTGTAATGCGCATCGCCAGGAGAGGCATTTTTAGTCGTGTTTTGGAATTTGTAATGCTGTAAACAGGATGATCAGATCGATTTCTGACGCAGCTGGCCTTGCGAACCTGCACTACACTACGGACTGCAATTTGTGATGCGTGACCCCCAAAAGTTCTAGGTTTGTGTTGCAAAGTCCCCATCTTGACTCTGGTGTGGGTACGTTTTTCCTCAGGATAAACTGGACAAGGTTCTCACCGAAGAGGAGCTGCTGGACAAGAAGGGCGAGCTGCTTGGGGTGTACAACCAGATGTTCACCTCTGGCTACGGAGACGCCTCGCGGGTCGCGCTGTACCGGGGCCTGGAGCACTACCGCGACTACATCTTGGGCCGCGAGGAAGACGCGGAGGCGGGGATCCGGGCCTTGGTGGTCGGCAGTAGCTACCCGTGGGTGGAGGCGCTGTTGCTGCTCGTGTTCGGCGACGAGATCCACGTGACCACCATCGAATACCTACTCTGAGTAAAAACGTTCCCACCCCAGATTTGTCATGCAAATCTGCATGCCAAAAAAGTTTATCATGCGACGCCCCATAAGAAGCATTTTCTAGTTGTGTTTTGGAATTTGTGATGCTAGCTTCAGCATGATATGCTAGATCTGTGATGCTTCGGAACTACCTAAACAGGATTACACTACGACGACAAACTTGTCATGCGAAGCAGCCATAGCTGGTGGATTTGTCTAGGAGATTTTCCATCTTGTCTCGGTTGTGTGGACATTTTTCCTCACAATAATACCGCCCGATGAAGTCCTCGCACCCGCAAGTCACGTGCTACACGCCCGCAGAGTTCTTTCACGGTCGCACGCTGTTCAAGGAGTATGACGAGGAACAGGATAGTAGAGAACATCGCAGCGCAGATCGAGCTTCTGGTGCGCAGGCACGATATGATAGAAACAGCAGGATGAACTCAAAGACGCAAAGCCAAAGTAGAACTCAGCAAAATCAAAAAGCAAAACGTAAACAAGATCACACCCGCGGCCCCTTCGACATTGTGATTTCCCTTTCCAGCCTGGAGCACGCAGGCCTCGGGCGCTACGGGGACGTCATCTCGCCCTGGGCGGACGTGTTCACCACGGCACGCGCGCACTGCTTGACGCGCGACAACGGCCTGCTGTTCCTCAGTGTCATGGCGCACCTACCCGTGGCGGCGAGAAAAGGCATCGCCACCTCGTTTCACCCCGACGACCCGGTTGCGTGGCGCAACGCAAAGTGTGGGCAGGATCGGTTGATGAAAAACGCGCCGCCCGGGGATATTGTCCTTTTCAACCTGCTATCGACTGCAAATAATATGCCTGGGTCTGGAAGGTTGCAGTTGCACCTGAATCTGTGCGCAGTAGTTTTCGCAGGAGGGGGGCCCAGAAGATGAAGATCTGCAATGCCGGTCCGTCGTGGCACCACAAGTTTTGAGAGGGGTCCGCAATGCCTGTCCTGCATGGAATAACATGCCATCCTTGGGTGCCCAATAAAATTGGTTGTCATTGGCTTTTACTGCTCCCGCAAAACATATTTATTTTTCTGCCACCCGAATCAATCTCGCACGTTGGCAAAGTCGAACACTTCCAGACACAGACATATTTGCAATGCATACCTGCATCGCATCTACGGCGAAAAGCGATTGCCATACCTAACCGCAAACTGGCAGCAAATCGACGTCATCCCGCCGTCGGTAGAGGAAACTTTCGACGAATGCATCTTCGTGCTAAGGAAAAATGCAAACCCACCACGGAGAATTGAAAATGAGGCCTTGCTATGACGAAAAAATGCTACGCAATTGATAGTTGATTTTGGATTTTTTCTGCCGACACATCAAGAAAGATCCTCACAACAACTCTCTTATCCGCCACACTCATTATGACATCTGGAGAATGTACTATATCGCATTTTTTGGTTCAAATGAACGTGGCCTCGATTTTCGGAGGGCGGTGCAGTTAGCTCATCACGACAAGGGCGCAGGAACAAGATCATGAGCACACGCCCACCTAGCGCCATCAAGCGCCCGCCTGCTCAGTGGAGCAGTGGTACGAAGAAGATGGATGCGGGCACGGGGTTCTTCCGTTCCCATATCTTTATCGATTATGATCACAACGCAGACGCACGCGTAAACGACGCATGATCGACGTCTCGAAGACGACCATGATGGAGATCTTCTTTATCTTTCTTGCTCATGATGATGATAAGGCTAGCATGCCATTGCCATACTTCCATCAATCTTCCATCCGTTGCCTTCATAATAAAATGAAAATTTAAATTCCTAGTCATGACATATCAATCTTTATCTACTTAATTTTATCAGAGAGTCGGGTCCCCTCATGATTATTCTTATCATTCTCATCTCAAATTCTGAAGAATTCGAATGAAATCTAAAATCATTCTTCATTTTCTTTTCTTTCTGATGATGATCATGTTTGGTTGTAATAACAATTTGATCAGAGGTTAGAGCTGGGAGGGTCGTTAATTTGAAGCCTTCCGGCTTTCGGGCGGGTTTGGCAAAGAGCACGAAAGTTATAATTTCGCGGCGATCATGTTGGTTGCGGCTCACCAACGGCGAGCCGCAGCATCCGGCTCACCAACCCGCTGCCCTTGGGCGATCTCCGTGCGCTGTGCGCCGCGCGCGGAAGCGCGTTGCAGGCCCGGCGTCCGCCCCCAGAGACCCCAACAAGGGGGGCCCAACCCCTGCGCCCCCCCCCCCCCCGGGGCCCAGCCCCTGCCCCGTCCTGGGCCCAACCCCTGCCCCTCCGCCCCTCGGCCCAACCCCAAGCCTTTGGCCAAGCCCCGGCCCCTGGGCCGCGCGGGCGCGGGGGCGCCGGCCGGCCGGAAGGGGGACGGCTTTTCGGCCTACCCGAGGAAGCTATCCCGCATGCTATGGTGGCGCGGAGGCTGCCCCAAAACGCCCCCATGTGGAAGATAGGGGGGGTCCAGCGGGTTTGGCCGCGGGTTTAGAAAGTTGGTCGCTTTTGCGCTCCAGAAATCGACCGACTCAGCCGCGGGGGGGGCTTTCCGAAAGGATGCGGCCTTGCTAATCCCGCGGCAAACCCGCTGGACCCCCCCTATCTTCCACATGGGGGCGTTTTGGGGCAGCCTCCGGGCCACCATAGCACGCGGGATAGCCTCCTCGGGGAGGCCGAAAAGCCCTCCCGGCCGGCGCCCCAGCGCGCGACCCAGGGGCAGGGGTTGGGCCACGGGAGGGGCAGGGGTTGGGCCCAGAAAGAGGGCAGGGGATGGGCCCATGGAGGGGCAGGGTTTGGGCCCAGGGGGATGGGGGGGCAGGGGTTGGGCCCAGGAAGGGGCAGGGGTTGGGCCAAGGAAGGGGCAGGGGTTGGGCCCAGGGATGGGCAGGGGCTGGGTCCAGGAGGGGGCAGACTTTGGGCCCAGGAAGGGGCAGGGCATGGGCCCAGGGAGGGGTAGGGCAAGCATGGGTCCTCTGAGTGTTTTCCTCCCCGAAAGCCGCACGAAAGCCGGAGGCAATTTTGTTAACGACTCTTCCAGCTATAAATCAGAGGATTCTTTCGAGAGAAAACATTGTCTGATCCGAGAGAAATCTTCATATAATCATGTCAATATTCTTTCCCATAGAAAAAAATTGAGGAATGAAAATGATATATCGAATTCGAGATGGAGATCTGAAATTCGAATTACAGAGGATTCTTTAGAAATAAAGAAAATATTGTCTGATCCGAGATAAATCTTCAGGGTCTTGAATATTAATTTGACACCATACCCAGGAACGAAAAGTAAGAAAGAAAGAATCATATATCTCGATAGATTTTCGTTTAATCCAGGATCTAGATTGATATCGGAAATGAAATATTTTTGGAAATGTTTTATTTCTTTAAAAAAATTTCGAAAAAAATGGATGAAAAAGAAATTCTCCGAAAAAATCGGATCGATGAACAAGAATATACACAAGCTTTATTATTTTTATTAAAAAAATTTTCGATCGAATATCATACCTGTTTCAAAATTTTTCGATCGAGAATTTTTGAAAAATCAAATTTCCGAATCATTGAAAAAACAGAAAACACAAACAAGAAATCCGATCGGATATATCCTACACAATACTCATCCATGGACCAAATTTTTCAGAAAATTTTCGAAATCTGCAATCGACCAAATTTTTCAGAAAATTCTCAAAATTACGAAGGATCTCGATAATTGAATAGAACAATATTGGAATAATGAATCTCTTCTGTGTTTCATCTGGTGACTCTTATCATTACATACATTCATCACAGAACCCTATTGGCCTTTCTTACACCTCGATATTATTCGATCGACTTTGATTCATACATTCCCAAAACCCAAAACGAATGTAATGAATCAATAATCGCAAAAATACGTAACACATCCATACCGACATCATCAACAAGATTATGAATTTATCATGATAAATAAGGGCGGAGGGATGATGTTTGTGTGTGATTTGCCATGACGGCTGATACAACTGAAACAACTGTTTAATTGCGTCACACCAGACTGCTCCTGTCATGTCTCCATGAAGATTGGAGTCATCCATTTCATTGTGTATCATTATGCGTTGATTTTGACATTTTCGCAAACAGAGAAAGAAAGTCGGACAGTGAAGATATACGTGGCATGTCCAAAAAAAAAAACGCAAAGCGCCTCGATGGTTTTTTTATTTTTCGCAGCAGTTTTTAATTTCCTGTGCTCATTCCTTTTCCTCGTCGCGATATTAAAGCAGAAGGAGTCGGAGAAAAGGCTTTAACACAAAAAATAAACACAAAAGCAGTTGTTTATGCATATTCATCTTCATACGAGATAGATTAAGATTATAACAATAGTCAAAAAAGTGCCTCTTTTTGGTAAAATTTATCAGACTAATTTACGCAGTCGCTCTCATAAATTAACGCTCCTTTTCACGTTTGGGAAAATGCCTAGAAGTACTACATACGCTACAACTACTGGATCAATGAATATGGTTATGGAGTTCGCATCCTTCACAAGAAAACTAACTGTAACTAAAGTAAAGTCGTTCGTCACTTCTTCACCAATAATTAAAGTTGTTGCTGCCGCACTCAACACTGAAGCGCCCAGCCACGTTCTCACTGGTCACGCATGTGTAGATACTTGTCTTCACCATATCTTCAGTGAGAACCAGCACGCGATCGCTCAGATCAGATTAAAGTTCGCAGAAAAAAACTGTGGCGCCCCGCGTTTCTTCTCTCCAGGTAGGCGGGTTGCATGCTGCTGTGGCTGGGAATGAAGATGAAGAGCCACTATATAATAGAAAAGGCGAAGTAATCATCGATAAAAAAGGGAAAGGGTAGTAATCGTCTGAGGCTACATCGAAACCACACGCAACCACGTGTCGGATGATGTAGATGTGTAATCATTTAGTGGGCCTCCGAATTATTGAATTAATCGTTCGAGACTGCTGAATAAGGCGAGCGCAAGACTAATCACTAACGTTTGCGTTTAGCTTCACTGAAATTATGTACAGAATTTTTACGTACCGCCTCTTGTTCCGTCGAGCCCGCTCTACTGGCCCTACCGGAAGGAACATACTAGTATGGTTTGCCGAGAACAGTGAATTTGAATTACTGACCAAATTATAGTGGAAAAAGCAAAACAAAGCGTTCCTGCACCGGCATCGCTCAATGTTAACATCTCACCCCATTAGGAATTCGGTAAGTAGAACTTCAAGTGCGTTTCGCTGGTACAACAATATCCATATCGATCATAGGTAATATACCGCAAAAAATAGATCGGGCTGTATTGCCAGAAGTAAGATGAGTACATGTAGAATATTTATAAGTAAAAGCTAGTGAACAAAATCAAGCAAAATCTGAAGGAGACAAGAGGAAAAATCGAAAAGCGCTACAGCTCAACCTCAAAGCTGTTTCTTTGTGAGATTTGCCTGGTTCCCCTCACCCTCCCGGGCGTTCCAGGTTGAAACAGCGCGCAAGCAGCTCTGCTTATCCAAAGAAAAAACAGTGCTAGTGTAAAGGAACTTTCTTAGGCTGACAGCATGACAGCGTTGTTTTGCGTCACGAGTCACACAGTGCTCTGAAAAGATGACTGTCGTGATTTGATGTCGTGGCCCTGGTCTGGCAACATGGCAAGTGACAAGTGTAACAAACTGGCCCGCATTTTCTGCATCTTCACAGACCTACACTAGCAATTTTTTTTTCCTTGAGTACTCCTTGAAATTTCTGCTCTCCGCTGGAAACCGATTCACTGTCGGTGCTGATTTCCGAACCCGAGTTTTCGTGTATCAAAGTGAGAAACGTCCCCCGACAGCAGAAAGGCGCAGCGTGCGTGTTTCTTGCAGCTCCAGTGATTCTGATTTTTGCTTATTTGTATTTCATTCAGGGATGCATGAAATTGGAAGTGCTATTCCATCATGCCGGGGTCGCTTTGCGCTGCGTGATAGGATTCGCTTCACATGACCGTGGTCACACCTTGGAGTTTTTAAATAACCGACCGCAGCTACAAAGACAACGACACACGGGTTGCGTCGGCCAGCACATTTTGCAGAGTAGCAAGCGCAGGCCGCGCAGAAGCGACATTGTGAGTGCGGTAATAGTACAAGGTGGCCACAAAGACCAAGGAGTATCCGTTGGCTTAGCTGCAATACAAACATTTTCTGAGTCGGGAGGTGGAAAGGTGGTTTTCAGTTTGATAGCAGTTCCCATCCCATCGTTACACGGAATATCCCTGAACGACGCGAAAAATATCCCATTGGAAAAAAAGAGCTAGCGCGCTGTACTTGTTATCTCCAAAAACACTAGGGATGCAAGGGCAAAGATGATTTTCTTATGCGTACTATTTGATGTTTTAGTTTTTTTTCGTGTAGTTACAAATGTGGCACGGTAGTTTTCTTCATGTTTTTCGCTGGGATATAAGACCGGTCGTCATTGTCCTCACTGTCTGCAGCATCAACGCCGGAGAGGAAGTTCCGCACCTTCGGGTGGCCGCCAGAGTTGTTGCCTAGAAGCTTCAGGTTTGCGCTTGTGAGATCACCTCGCACAGTTTGCTGGGCCCCAACTTGACTCGTTTCGGTGGAAGGCTCCAGCTTATCCAAGAAAAAATGAAAAATATCATCACAATCGCTCTTCGGCATCGTCGTCGATTTTATGGAGGGGAGATTGGCGCCCGCCCCTCCCCTCGGCGCGCTCGCTAAAGTGAGCGGCCAGCGTCGCTATAGCGAAAGAGTGGCCCGAATTTAGCCCGGGGCCACGGATAACTTCGAACCCCCCCCCAGCTGCGCCATTTCGTGCTGACGGGCGCCCACATGAACCACGCTGGCGCTTGCTTTTCAGTTTTCTTGCCCTTCAAATATTGCACGAGCTTCTCCACCCATGGATGTCGGTCGGAGCCCTCTCTGCAACGTATTTGCCCGGCCCCGGCTGGGGCTGCTTGGTGCGACACTGTTACCCCGTGTCGGTGCCCCCCTGCGCGCACCTCTCGCACTGGCTGCAGCCAGCGCGCGGCGACAGCTAATCCCTCGCGCGCTTGATATCACGATGAAGGGCAGCGCCGGGACGTAAATGACAAGCGCCGCCCCTGTTGGCCCCGCGGCCGAGTGCTGTTCCTATGCGCGGACGTTGCCCAATGCTCGTGGCAGGCCTCATGCATCTACAGCAGGGCCACGCCAATTTTCATCGTACTGCTGCAAGTTGAGAACCAACCGGGGTCCCTTATGGCAGTGACCTCAAGTCTGCATCGCAGCGCCTTTGGCTCACGGTAAGTACAAAGCCGGGACAAGGCACGGCGTTGTGCCTTCCGCCAAAGTCGTTCAGTGGCAGAATGCAGGGCACTGCGCCTTGGAGCCACAGGTCTTAATATGCAACGCGCCCGAGCTCAAGCGCATGCCCACTGACCTGTTGCACATTGAGACTTGTGGATCTAAGTGGCAGTGACGTGACGTCTGCATCAAGACGCTTTTGGCTCAAGGTAGAACGCCGTGACTTGCTACCCTCAGTCCCTTTTCACCCCTCGCGCGCGCGAAAGGTGAAAATGGCCTGGGAGTAGGAAGTCATGACGCAGTCACAATCGCTCTTCGGCATCGTCGTCGATTTCGGTTTTTCTCTTTGCAATACAAGACGCGCTGTCGTGTGCAAAAATGCATCTGCAGGGCTGAAGTACCTGATTTTCCTCGTGTTTCTGCATTGAAAAGTTGTTACGTCTACTCATACATATATGCGGGTTTGCGTGTCCTCCGTCTTCGTTCCCATGATGCTGGATATAGGCACTTTCGCCTTTCGGGGTCCCGTCTGGGCGGCTAGAAAAAACTATCTTTCTTGGAAAGAACTTGCTGCAAAGGTAATACTTACTTTTACGTGCCATTTTTGTGGGGATATTGGTATAGTTTTCTTGTAGCATATAGCCGCAGTTTCGTCTCGAGTTCCTGGGCCAGCTCGGCGTCAACATCACCGCATTTCGCCCGCTCGGAAAGCGGCTCTCGTTGCGCCGCTTGACGTTGCCTGACACCTTCATGGTCAGGGCGCTGCCAAGTATCGCCACAAAAAATTTGGGAGAGAACACAACACCAGTCAAATGGTCTGCAAATAATTTTGACATCAAGTATGATACTTCTTCTTTGATCGAAGTCATCTGCAGGTCGGTCCGACTCGAAAAAGAAGAAAGCACGATCGTCCCATCTGCATTGATTCTTCATGAACTACACGTAAGAAGATGCAAAGCCGAAACTGAGACTGGCATCACTTCATGCATTCGTACTTAAATCACATGTGTTAGTGTTTGGTCGTGCCCCAGATTTTTCTACGATAACCTCGCGTGGTGTCGTCGTTGTCGTCGTTATCACCCTCACCAATGCGGCGGCGCCCTGGTGAATGTAGTCACATTTCTTGTTCCAGTTGTTTATCTTTCATAGTACCTGCTCTCATCAGTCGGTCCAACTCCAACATGCTGTCGTCCCTGCCTTATACCAGCAAAAAGTTGAAGCCTCTACTTCAACAACAAAGTGCGTCAGAGGTGTGGTCCTCGGGGTTCTTACTCAAAGCAGAGCTCCGACGGAACAAATGCTCTCAGGCCTACTGTTTGCCTGTCCCGCGAGGCAGATCCGACGAGCACAGCCGCACATGATCGAAGCAGGCTGAAAGCCCCAAACGGAGACGAGAGATGCAAATACATGCACATGTAGTTACTGCTCAGAAGGCTACTTAGTTGTGCTTAAAAGAAGTAAGTAGTACCTGCTTGTCGATCTTGCGCCGGAGATGCTTTCCTAGCGTCGCCTCTAGATCCTTTGTCGTTCTCGTCTGTGATTTCGATTTGTATTTGTTTTGATGCTGGGCATAAGTAACTCTTCTTGCAAGTGCAACTGCTCTCGAAGTTCGCTACTTTCATTTGCTCTTCGTCTTCTTAGTATTGTACGTTGCAGCAGGTTTCCTACGGACGAGAAGATAGAGTAATATATACACTAGAAGACTATGATAAGTGCATGCCTCTCGTGGCGGGGGGAGACGGGTCGTCGTCGTCGTCATCGTCGTCCTCCTCCTCTATCCTGAGCAAAACGTCCCCACCCCGTAGTCAAGATGGGGAATCGGCTAGATAAATCCACAAGCTGTGGCTGTTTCGCGTGATAAATCTGGACTCGTAGTGTAGTGCTGCTTGAGCTAGTTTCTCGGCCATGCTGATTGGAGCATGACGAACTCCGAAACACTACTAGAAAATGCTTCCCATGGAGCTTCGGATTTTTTTCAGCATGCAGATTTGCACTACAACTATGGGGTAGGGACGTTTTAAAATACGATATCCTCCTCGTCCTCGTCTCCTTCCTCAAAATGTTCCTGGATCGCTTTGGCCTGGTCCTGGGGGTCGCGGTCGAGGCAGAAGCAGATGGAAATGATGTTCGTAAGCCGTTCGCGAAGCATGGCGTCACCCAGTGGCGCCGGGGGCGGGCGCATGCACAGCAACCTGTAGTCCCCCCGTTATGAAATGAAGATGATATATCTGGGTGCGGAACTGGATGCCGCGGGTCTGTGAATTATCATATACTACGATGCCTGGCGCCTTGCAATTGCGATTTACTTATTTGCAGCCGGCGCGCATGACAGCCACAGCTTTATGCGCGCTTGCCCTTACGTATTCAGTTTCCTCTTGACATATTACTTACCCCTGACAGGCAAGCAGCACAGATCCTCTCGTCACGATGCATCTTCACGCAGTGGGAGACATTTCAGACAACCAGCATTCTACTTAAGTACTCTTGCATTGTGTCAGACTCAGACCCAGACATATTATAATTTCCAATGCATACGCGTGCGCCGTCAAAGATCTCGCGTTCCCAGCTCAAGATTTCCCCGACGAGTATCCAGAAAAAAATAAACAGCTGCGTTGGTTAGATAGTGCACGCTTTCTTGTTGAGGTGGTAACATGGCAGACAAATCCTGCCCTGCTGTCATACCTAGGGAATACGTGCGAAAATTGCATAATGAGAAGGGGGCTCCGTGACTGTCTGGCAGGGCAAGTGCCGTCAAGAAAATACTTATTTGCATTGCATGTCATCTATTCATCGCATCATAGATTCACACTTAAGTACACATTTTTTTGCTTGGATAATCAGGTTCGCCAGGTCAGTGGTGTGCCGGTGCTCACACAGCATCACGTACATCGAGCTTTTCGACTTCCCGATGTGGTCGCAGATGCGAACGAACCACTCGACTTGGCAGACTACAGTGCGGCGTTTTTCGACAACATCGATGATGGCTATGGGGCGTCCGCATCGCCCATCCGGATGCATCTATCCTCAGGAACAACGCCCCCAGCCCAGAGTCAAGCTGTGCATTTTGATTATTCTCTACACTCCAACAAAAACATGCTCTGTGTGTTTCGCATGACATCGCTGATCTACGGGCAGGACGTCTCGGTATGACAAGTTAAAGTTTGGGCTCGTAGTATAATTCCGGTCACGTCAGCCTGTGAAGCCACTAAATCACAAATCCAGCGTCTTATCCTGATTCCATTTCCAGCATGACAACCCCCCGGAGAGCATTGGAAAGCCCTGCTAATGGGGCTACGCATCATCATCTCGTAGTGGACACCATCACCCCCGCGCCACAGCCCAAGGATTCCCTTCCCGGGGGTGGGTGAGGAAGCCGAAGCGTACGATAAACATTTTTTACTCTTTCAGGATTGCAGATTTGCAAACTAAGCATAACATCTCCGGGGCGGGGACGTTTTTACACAGGATAGCATGACGGGCAGCACCATGGACTTTTCCTTCAGAATATCAGACAGCAAAAAGGTGGCCGGCGCCGGGCATGTTTGGAACGCAGCAAAATGAAATAGAAATAGTCGACGCTGACATGATGTCTCAAGCAGCATGTGAGAGGCTCGTCCAACATGGCAGTTGTCTATTTTTGCATTTATCGATCCAAATTAAAAAATGCCCTGCGGGGAACTTTTTTCTGTAGGATATAGCAAGGCTTTCTTTTGTTCCTCCTGTTCCGAACTCAACGTGGCTGGCTTGAAGCGGTCGCTGCTGGAAGCAGCTCCGCCCGGGCAGCAGCGTGCTCGCGCCCCGGTACTACCGTCGGCGTCCGGTGATGTCTCCCCTGGCACTTCCGGGTCGTGGTTCGCATTCAGGCCCGGCCAGATGTCGCGCAATAGCTGATCTGCGTACACGCGGCGAGTCTTTGCCTGCCGAGCATCCAAGCCGCGGTCGCGCATCTGCGACGCCAGGACGGAGGACCGGTTGCCGCCATAGACGTGAATCTGACTGTCTTTGATTTGCGTTTCCAGGGTGCGACGGATGGTTCCGCTAAACGCGTAGGGCGGCTTCTTCTCCTTTTTCTTTTTCTCCTCCGCGCCATCTGTTTCCGGACGTATCCTGAGCAAAAAAGTGTCCGCCCCGGAGTCAACAAGGTGGAAACAACTTAGCAGCACAAGCTCAAAAGAAAAAGTTTTGGAGGAAATCATGTTGGCTCGTCTCTGTATTTTAGTGCAGTTTAGCAAGGATAGCTGCACCTTCAAAAATTCATTGCCTTAAAAATTAGATACCCTGCTCATTACAATAAATGCCAAAACACGATTGAAAGTTCCTCTAATAGTACTAGTAGTGTAGAGGGATGCGCATTAGCATTACAACGGGCGTTCCTGTAAAAATAAAATTGCAGATCTGCATGAAGAGAACTCTGGTCGGGTGTTCTTTTATGTACTTTCTGACAGCTCTGGGGACGTCAACGCTTTTACACAGGATATGAAAGTCGACGTCCCCGTCATCGGTGTTGTTTTCAAAGTTGCGGGCAAGCTATGCAAGAAAAAAACTGTCTAACTGTAATATCTGTAAAAGTTTGTCAAAATGTCAAGCTGCATGCAACACAGCTACTTTTAGTACAGTTGAAGTTGTGAAGCTGGCTAGCCATGCATGATCTCCCAGCTTCATACATGTATTCTGTTTATTTCACGAACTGGAACTCGCTGCACATGACAAGATGATTTCTCTGACATGCAGAACAAATTTGTCAACATTCTGCTACCAACTAGACAGCCACACTCGCACAGTTTTTTTCTTGGATACAAGCGTCACCGTGCAACCCTTTTTGTTTGTTTTCCTTTTGTTTCCACACTTCCCCTTCTTTTTGTCCGCGCCCTTGTTGCGGCACTGACGTTCCAGCAACTGCACTTTCGCCATCAATATCTGCCGCTTGTCGACGGCCGAAAGTGCATTTTTGCGCAACGAATCGTGATCGAATGACGTCAGCAGCAGCTGGAGAGCTTTGCGGTAGACATTTTCGGCAAACAGAACATGCACGCAGTTGGCCCAGGTTTCTCTCCGCAGAGAGAGCGTGTCGGCGGGCCCGGCTTCGGGAACGTCCGTTGTGCAGCCCGGAGAGATGAACATGAGCCTGCGCGTGTTTGTTCCCGCGCCCTCGTCTACCTCCATTTTGCCCTCGGGACACGCTTGGGCTGGGCAGGCTAGAACAGTCCGCACGTGCCTCTCGCCGTTCTCGTCGATGCGAAAGGACTCCAGGTCCTGCTCCAAAAAGACTCTTGCGGAGACCGGCCCGTCCGTGCTCCGCTTTTTCGACTGGAGCAGCCTTTGCTCGACCTGCCTTTCGAGAAACTGTGCAGCCGTCTCGCGGTCCTCGGCTCGCAACCGGTGGATTGTAGTCATGGTTTGGCACGCGTTGGCTTCGTCACAAGCGTCTATCCGCGCAATGAATTTTGTAAACTGGCAGGCTTTCTTGGGCGAGGTCCCCGACAGCACAGTAGAGCAGCCCTTTCCCGTGTTCGCGGACTTAGAAGCATATCCTGAACTTTTCTTATCGCGACACGGTTTCTTGCCGCCCACCATACCGGGACCGGACCCGCAACTCTCTTCTCGTCCTGACATCAAGGCAAAACATGCCGCCCCACCAGAAAAACAAAGTCAGGGCTATTAAGTACTGTAACGTTCGCAGCTGAAGATTCGAAGTGGATGTGGAAACAATTGTGATTGCGCGAGTACATATCCGCAGCACAAATTCTCGACCCAGAGAAGCGCAAAGCTGTATCGCTGCTGCTGAGTACGTCTGACTTCATGCTGCGCGACCGCGAGGACCAGCTGGCTCTGAGTTATAAATATACGCTAAATATATTATTTTGTGTGTATCTTCATGCGGCTGAATTCTCCACTGACCAAACCCACTACTACTGTGCATCGTAGAACAAGCTTTCTTGCAGTGCAAACCGCTCGCTTTTCTGGGGGCGGGCCATTTTTCAGTAAAGTATCAGACGAGGATCGCGAGAGGAAGAGCCTTGGATGGGAGGACGTCCGCGGTGTTCCCCGAACGGACGAGGTGGACGAATGTCGCATGATCCGGGCGGGAACCAAGGAGGTGATGCTGCGAAGGAAGGCTCCAGACAGGGTTTTCTTTTCGGGTTTTGTTGTCGTGCGGTTCTCGTCCGGCTGTGATGTCGGAGACGGAGTTGTCTGGCTGGACGGACTTATTATACTAGGGAGCTGCATTGTTCCTCCTGCAGCTGCTGCTCGTCCTGCTGTCCCTGCAGCACCTTGACCTTGTGGAGGTCGAACATAATTTGTGCCGGACGCAGTGGAGCCGGTGCCAGTCGCTGCACCCACACTATTTTTGCTGTTAACCGTAGATGAGGAGGAACTGCTCGGAACCCCCGAAGTAGCCAGGGGAGGAGGTTCTCCATGAGCAACGGCCTCTCGCAGGCCCAGTTGCTGGCCCCGTGGTTCACTTGTTGCAGTGCCAGTGTCCTCTGTACGTCCTGGCTGCTGTAGTTCCTCGCTCGGACCCAAAAAAGCCTGTCTCGCAGGTGTAGGGCGAGTGGCCCGCCAGAGACCTCCGCTCGGCGTCGGCCCTCGTGCCCCTGCGTTGCCGGGGGGTCCACTCAGGCCCTGGCTTTCCCTTTCGAAGCTATCAAATGCAAAACATATCTGGGAGGTCTGGATGAGTGTAGATGTTTGTCATGCTCATGCAGCTTTTCCAGCATGCCCTTTGAGGTCTGGAAAATAAATGCAGGGCGCAGCATTACACCAGACTCTTCGCGCAATGGAAACCTTTACAATTACAATGCCTATCCGGCATGAGAGACGTTGCCTCAAATCGACCAAAACAAAGTGGGCAAGCGAAGCATCTTTTGGCAGTGATGCACGACAGATTTTTGTGTGACGCGCAGGGCGGATCACATCAAATTTGCATGTCTCCAGACCCAGCCATGTTTGCAATGCGTAGAAGCGAGCCGATTCGTCGTCCTCGTCCTCGTCATCTGACTCGTCGCTGTCGGGCACCACCTTTCGGGGGGGCAACTTGCCATTGGCCTCCTGCTCCTTCTCGAAGGTCTCCCGTTCTTCGGCATCCTGGATGTGGTCCGACAACTGGCCCCGGAATTCCGAGGCAGTGGTGACGTCGAGGTGCCTGCTCCGATGATCCCCCAGCAGAGTACCGTGCCGGTCGAAGTACAGCAGCATCGGAAGCACAAGTGGTTTTCCTCCGACTAGGGAGGGCGCCAGGCCGTAGGAAGGGCCCACGTCCACTTCCGCGAAGCTGACGCGGTGGCTGTTGTACGGCACGCTCGCGGTGCAGTAGAATTCGCGAAACAGCGTGCAGGCCTGGCAGAATTTGCTGGACACCAGCAGCACATACAGTATCGGCTTCTCGCCCTCCGCCAGGTGCTCGTCTTTCGTTCGGTTTTCCTTTTGTTCCCGCAAAACCCCCTTGCCCTTCACCATTTTCGAGGCATCAAGAAGAGGAGTAGCGTTGTTTCTCTCCGTCGTAGAACTAGTCCCAGCTTCGCGCCGCACCTCTGCGTTCTCCGTCCCCAATAGGTCGCCGGCATCTCCGTCCTTGATTATCGGGGCAATGGAGAATCTGTCGTCCACCACGCTTGGTTGTTGCTCAGGAGAGGCATCCAAGTCTTCTATCACAGTAAGATCGTGGGCGGGCTTGCCTCTTTTGCGCCCTCTGTGACTGGTCTTGCGTTTCTCCTTGTGCTTAATGTTCAGGAACCAGTCCAGGTCCCCGCGGGTCCTGATTGGCGTGATGTTGGGCCCTGCACCTGGAAACAGTGGTCTCGCCTCTTGTTCGTTTTCTTCATATTTGCGTCGTGCCCGCTCGAAGCTAAGGCTGGGATCGTTGTTGGGGTCGTAGTCCTTTATCACTACAAACCCTCTTACTTTTTCGCCATTCTTGCCAAATTCAGTTGGGACACTAGATCCCATTTTCTTCAACGTGTCTTGTTTGTTCGCGGAAGTAGAAGCAGTTCCTGTGTCATCTTGATGCGCAGAGCTCTCGCTTTCGCTTTGTTCGTTCCCTTTTGGTCTCGGCGCCGCATTCTCGTTTGTGTCCACGTAGGGGTAGGAAACTACGGTTTGCATGTTGTCGCCGAACTTGTGCGGGCGGGCTTGGAACGCAGCGGGATGCCAGTAGCAGACGGTGCCAGCGCGCTCGGGATTCCGGCGCGTCCCCGGAAACACCACCACGCTGGCAGCCGACGACCTGCGCATCGCCGCCCTGCTGAAGATTGCATCGCGGACCGCTCGGTGGTCGGTAACGTGCACCAAATCGGAGAAGTGATGCACCTCTTCGTCTTGCCTGTTATGCGCACTCCCCGGAGGAATCCAGCAGGAGAACGGCGCTCCACAGATTGGCTCCCCGCCCGGCAACGTCGCCGAGGCCGAGCCTGCCTTGGACCGACCTGCTGCCCGGGCTCCGCTGCCCTCCGCCTCATTTGTCGGCGTCAAGGCTGCAACCAGCTGTTTTCCCAGCCGGTTCGAGTACAAGATGCGACCAAACGTCTTGCCTTCACCGTCGCTCCCTGCGTCGTCGGCGCAAACCATCTCACCGTCTTCGTTGCGTTTGCACTTCTCTACGATAGTCGGGTTCTCGCGCAGTTCGCTGCTCTGCTGCCAGGGCGGCGAGGACCGAGGCGCGCCGCTGGAAAGGTCGGCTATGTCCACCTTCTCGTTGTTGCTATTTTGGCTCAGCGTCGGCTCTTCGCGTATGATCAACTTCCGTTTGATTTCGTGCTCGGGCTCCCGCTCTAAGTCCAGTAGAAAGCAACTATTGTGTAGCATGTCAAAGTGCTCGCTGCGGTTCTTCGTGCGTGCGAGCGCCGCGGAAACGATGTCGGCGAAGTTGCACAGGAGCATGGCTTTTTCCTGCGTCATGTCCACGCGGGGGATGGTGTCCAGAATGCACAACGCCCCCAGGCGGACGCCCTCAACGATAATGGGGCAACCGCAATAGAACCTCAGCTTCGGGTCGTTACGCACCAGGGAGTTGTACATAAAACGCCGGTCCTATGGATTGCAAATATGTCTGGGTCTGGAAGAGTCGGGGCTTGTCATGCACATTTTGCATGACCCGTCAGGTCTGTGATGCTGGTGCTAGCATCACAGATTTTCTTCTATCTTGATTCTAATTACGCATGACAAATGCCCTCTCCGCGTGCCAAGAGCTGACTCCTCTTGTTGCTCATGCAACACAGATATTTTTAGAATCCGCAGACAGCATTACAAGTTCCACTCATCCAGACCCAGACATTTTTGCATTTGATAGGTCCTGCGTCGCGTCCGGGACGTAGAGAATCTCCGGACAATCCATCAGCAAACTGTGTGCGCAAAATGACACCTCTATTACAGTGAAAAATGCCCCCCACCTCTGAAACTGCAAAAATTTGTGACGCTAAAACAACCGCGCCGACATTGCCATTGTCCATCATCGCTGGGGAGGCAAGCCTCCGCAGGCGCTGGAACGGCATAGGGTCAGAACCGCGAAAAACATCGCGAGCATCTCAAAAATTTGTGATGCTAAAACAACGGCGCCGACATCTCAAAAATTTGTGATGCGAAGTTTTCAAATAAAAACTTTTTGTCATGCGTGAAAGGAGTGTGAGTCTTTATCTTTCTGATGCAGAGTCTAGGCGTGTATCGCATCGCTTGCATGACAAGCGCCGCTCTTGCTGGGACTGGGGTCTTTTGCAATACAAATTTTTGCTATTCATGATTGGAAACCTGCGATGCTGATGGATGCAAGAGGGCGAGTGGGAGTGTTTCATTTGGAAAGGTTTGCAATACAAATGCTCCCAAGTTCGGGGGTGGGGGCATTTTTCATTGTAATAACCTCCCGTGCGGTGTCGCTGCATCCGAATCCGATAGCTGATTTGAACCACTGCCGCTCCGATTCGACAATGCTGACCAGTACCATGGGAACGCGAAAAATTTCCTGACACACCTTGGTGATCTCTTCGATCTCTTGGTCCGGTAAGTCATCCAGCATCATGCTGCGGAGGTACTGCAGGCGGCCGGGTTCGGTGCTAGGGATTTCCACACCGTAGGTGAACTCTTGCTCGTCAACGTCCATTCCCGAGACCTGCGGATGCCCGTACTCATTCAATGGGGCGTCTGTGAGGGGAGAGACGGCGGTTTGGGAAGAGGAGGAGCCGGAGCCGGAGACCCCCTCCATCGTCCCAGAAGAAGTTATCAAATGCAAATTTGTCTCGATCCGGAAGAATGCAAGATCTGTCATGCCGGTTTTCCATGACCCATAAGATAAGATCTGGAATGCAGCACCTAGGATGATAAGTGCTGTGAGATCTCTTTCTCTATCAACGTCATGCCTATCCTGCATGAGAAACGCCCTCCCAACCTGATCAAAACTGGACAACTACAACTTTTGATAATCATACAACACAGATTTTCGCATGATCCAGACTTAGTATGACAAGCTGCAATATTCCAGACCCAGACATATTTGCAATGCATAGAAGTAGTAGCTCCATCTTCTTCCGCATCACTCTGCTTAGTGCTGCTCCGCTTCTTTCCCAGAAAGCTCGGAATTTTGGACAAGGGCGGACTTGTTCCTCCGGAGCTGCCGCTTCCTGCGCCAGCCGCGAATAAAAGGACGAGTTGGTGCGCAAACAGAACAACTTTCAAGATGCTGGAGAGCGCAAACAGTCTTGTTGGAGACGGGGCGCCACAAGCAGAACTAGTAGCCGAAGGGGTCTTACTACTAGTAGATCTGTGGTGATGTTGCAGGTCGTGCTGTCGTTTCACTGCACCACAGGTATCATTTGCAAACATGTTTGGGTCTGGAAGATTGCAAAACTTGGCTGGTTGGTTGGATAGCGCCTGTCGCCGGAGCAGGTCCCCCTCTGCATCGATCCACGCTGCATGAGTCTGAGTCTCTCTCATGCACATTTTACATGATGTCTGAGTCTGGGACGCATGCGCTAGCAACACAGATTCTGTGAGGGTTTCCTGGTGGTCGTGGTGCCCCTACCGCATGACAAAAGCCCCTTCCGCGTGGCAAAAGCTGGACAGGACTCCTCTTGCACTTGCTGCGCATGCATTACAATTTTTCGTAGAATTATCCAAAGGCAGCATCTCAAGCTGTGTAATGCGCCAAACCCTGACATATTTGCAATGAATAGCGGGGACCTGTCGATAAGCGGCGCAGGTACGTGTTGCGATTTTCACTGCACTTCATTCCTTTCGGAGGCGTTGTTCTTTGAATGTTCGCTTTAGAGCCAGCACTGCGGCGGCATTGAGGACGTCGTGAAGATGGTTCTCCGAGCTTCATCGCTTTTGCCATTGATGATGAAGAAAAAGAATTGCGTGTGCGCTTCTCAAGGTGGCCGGAAAAAAGTCTCCCGCATATTGCTGTTATGTAAGTCCTAGAAGATGATGAACAAAAAGAAATGTTGAATTCATAAGCAAAATCATGCTCCTGAGGACTGGTTGCAGCTGAGGAAGTGTTTCCTGGTTCTGCCGGGCCTTTTCTCTCCAACGTCATGGGCAAGCTCGCGGTGGTCACCCTTCCTCGTAGCTGCGACTGCTAATGCTGTTGGCGATTATTGTGGTTTGCAGAATGAAATAAAAGAGATCAGATGACAACATTACATCGATTATTAAGAGGCTTGTAATTTTTTCACGGAACCAAGTTTCCTGTAAAAATACTCATACTCACACTATTTTGATTTTCAGCAGCTCTCAATGCAATCCAGTGCAGAAAACGTAAGTACCTTCAGGAAAGTGCAGCAAAACGCGGGCAACTTCTGGTTCCTCTTGGAAGCTAATGCAGTGAGTCGAAAATGTTGCCACCTAATCCGCTGCGCGTCGTCGTCAATTTTGCCTACGTCCATGCTACTTACCCGCTTCCTATTTTACACTTACACAGCGAGTTTCTTAACAGGGTGGCAAGCTTTAAGCGCTAGGGCTAGATTGATTTTCAGCAGCAAAAAAAAATACGAACGAAAAACTAAAACATTCCTCGAAAGAAAGTACACCCCCGAGAAAAAAAAACTGTCTAAAGTGTTTCTTAGTGTATAGTACGGATTGTCATTTATAGTTTTTTCATGCATTGACACTTTCCAAATTCCGTTTGATAGTAAATGGAATGGCTGCGGCTTTTTTTCAGACACGTGACTGAGGCTCTTTTTGGAACTTAGATAGAAGCTCTTTTTGGAACTTAAAGAGATTCTCCAACCCCCTCCAACTTATCCATGCATGTTTGAACCTCCGCGCGGTGAAAGGGTCGAGCATGCGTGCTTCAAGTTGGAACACCTACAAGTCCCCGCTTTTGGCCTGGGGGCGGTTTTGCGACTCCAAGGGGATTCCGCATTTTCCGGTCAAGTCCATTGACCTCCAGGAGTTCGTGGCACTCGCGCAGAACGAGCAGACCGCGCGCTCATACAAGTCCGCGATCACAAAGGCGCCCAAGTTTTTGGGCTTGCCCGCCGACTTTCCCGGTGATGAGTTTCGCGACATCTACACCGGGATTAGACGTAAGCAGGCCCCGTCCCGCAAGAAGGACGCAGTGATGCCGGCCACCCTCTCGCGCATGATCGAGAGTAATGACTGCAGAGAGCTGCAGATCATCTTGGCGACCTGCTTCATCTTTCTGCTGCGCTTGAAAGACGAGGCACTGCCGTTGCGGAGAGGCTTGCCGACGGACGGCCCCAGCCTGTGCATGTGGTCGGGGCCTTCGTTCGGTCGAAGAAGCATGGGGAGGCCCTCTTCCCATCGATCACCTACAAGTTCATCCTCGACAAGATGAAGGAAGCCGGCCGGGCCGAGGCGGCCCCGGCAAACTTTGGCACGCAATCACTGCGGCGGGGTGCCGCGCAGAGCATTGTCGCGAGCGGCGGCAACCTTCGCGACATTTTAGTCGCGGGGGAGTGGAGTAGCAAGGCACTCAGAGAATACCTGGGCCGCGAGGAGATTTTCAAGGCTGGGATCCTTGAGCAGGCCAAGGGGAAGGCCAGGGACGTCCTTGGCTCTTCAGATGATGACTCTGAGTGAGCAGGTTTGTGGCCTGTCGTTTTCACATTAGATACAGCCTCGCACTTCTTCGTGCGAGTTTGCTCGCGCGGGTCAATGGCAACGCGCCCGGGACCTTTTCACGCACGCAGCCCTCTGCCCTCACAAGGACTTGGCAGCGTTGGGAGAATCCTCGCTCGGGCCTCGGTGGGATAGCCTCACGCGGATTCTTTCCGCTTCGCAGCCGCCCAACGCGGGCGCGCACGACGAAAACTGTTCCCGTTCGCCCGATCGATTCTCGCGCTCTCCCATCGCTGAGCCCGAGCGACTAATCAATAGCCGGAGATCAGATGCGTATGTCAATTAAAGAGATTCTCCAACCCCCTCCAACTTATCCATGCATGTTTGAAGCAGTCACTATGCGTCTGCGAAACCAAAAGCGTTGTGGTTGTGTGGGCGGCAAGTGGTAAGGTTGTGCGTCGCTCCAGCCCCCAGGGTTTTGCGTTGCAGCTGATTTTTCGCCGACGCGGTCCATGAAGATTTTTCGCCGCTTGCCTTTTCCGGTCCATGAAGAAACAGCAGCATCAAGCGGGGGCCTTTTCCTTTAATTTCCGAGCTCCTCCGGTGGTATTCTGGCTACTTCAAGTCCCGGAAAGGGGTCCACCCGTCCTTTTTTGCGAATCACGAGGGGAAAAAAAGAGAGCCTGGCGACCAAGTCCCAAAGAGAGCCTCTCAAGTCCCAAAAAAACAAAAAGCCTCATCCAAAAAGAATTATAATATAATTATTCTTGGCAGTGGAAACGAACATATTGAGACATTGAATTTCTCTTCATCTTGCTAGAGCAGAAGTAGCACCTTTGTGACAAGCATTACGTTTGTACAAATGTTGGTCTGTCAAGGCTCTTTTTTCACCTGTGTGCTCTGGAGGATGTTTTTCACCTTATTTGTTTTTGACTTATCCCTATGCGGAAAGAAAATCACAAATGCGAATGAAAAAAAGAAATTGGCTGCCGCTGCGCGAAAAAGATCTCTTAGCATTACGTGGCTCTGAGACGCAAAAAGTTGACAACTATGCTAAAATCGATAAAGTCACTTCACCGATTTTAGCCTGGTTTGTTCTTAGATTCATATCTATTTCTCTATATTCTTGAGTTTCGTATCAATGCGCTGATCCGGCGGTAAGCAGCGGCCGATACCAAACAGGAAAAGAAGCGGATCCCAGGTACCCCCCTTCTTCACACTGTAAAACATAAGCCAAAAAATTCGCACTTGCAAAGCGCGTGGGATGTTAAGTCCAGTCGTAATACGCGCTGAGGACGTGAATTCCGCATGGAAGGCGGATGCATGAGGAATACGCGCTGAGGATCATTGATAGGTTTTGTGCAAGAAGCGATGATATTCGGACTGCTGATAGGACGCGTGAAGGAACACGCTTTATCGCTTATCGGTGCTCGCTTGCTTGTTGCTTGGCCAAAGAGGACACCAGGAATATTAGTAACAATCGCGCGACGATTCGAGCGCAATCGATCACATCAACCATGATGCTTGTTTATTCTTTTTTCATTGTCGTCTGCTCATTATATTTTTCTGCGTAGTTCCAGTAGTTTTCTATCTATCGTCTGACGTCTACTCTCCGTCATCTAGTTCTAAGAGAGGCCCAGCATGTCTCTTTCTTTCCTGCTCTGTTCGCATCGGGTTCGGTGCGAGCCCTGCTGCTCTTGCGTTGTTGATTAAATTATCGATCGTATGATTTGAAAAATAAAACCGCATATTCTCACCTGGAAACTAACTGCTCAACCTGCAGTAGAAGTATGATCTCAAAAATTTCTAGTAGTTACGTTGCATCATCTTCAATATCAATTAGTCGTCGAAGTCCTTATATGTAGTATTGCGGCCTCGTCTGTATTTAGTCGCTGTCCGGATTACCCCAAGCGCCGAGATTATCCAAGAAAAAAACTGTGTTAGTGTAAGTCGTTTGGGAAAACTGCAACGAAAGTTTGTCTGCTATGACAGGAAAAACTTGTTATGCGCAGATAGAAAGGGAAAACACAGAGGAAGCGAGCCGATCATGCATGTCGAGCATGACAAGTGTAACTGTTTTGCATTTTCTGCATCACAGATTTACACTTACGCAGTTTTTTTCTTGCATAGAGATCTTCCTTTGTGATTCTATTGGTGTTTGGTCGGACGTTCGCTTTTGGCACGGAAGCGGGCGGTGCGTTGGAGGCCGACGTCGATATCAAATGCAAAAATGTCTGGGTCTGGAAGAGCCAAACTTGTTATGCTGCATTTGGATGCTCAGAAAATCTGTATTGCATGAGCAGCAAGATGAGTCAAATTTGCCTACGCGTAGAGGGCATTTGTCATGCAGGATGTGCATCGATAGGCGCTCAAAAAATCTGTTATGCTATGGTATACGTCACAGACATCATGGATCATGGAAAATGTGCACGACAAATTTCTCTTCTTCCAGACCCAGACATTTTTAAGTACTTTTGATAGTCGAAGTTTTACTGCTAGTCGTGGTTGTCTTGCTTCTTGACATCTTCAGTCGGTCGGCATACGTCATAGCCACTGGGGATAATTCCTTTGGTCTACTACAACTTGAGCGTGCTGTATTTGGAGGCCCTCCTCCGTCGTGCTGTAGCGAGTCACAAGGCGCAACATCTCCGTTTGCAGTTGCTCCGGCGTTCTTTCCGTTTGATGTTCTTGCGGGTAAAGTAATTTCTTCTGCGTCGATGTTGACCACAGTGCTTTGATGTTGCAGCTTCTGACTCGTAGTATTTGTGATATCCTCTTCTGCAGAGGTAATAGTATCTTCTTCTTCCTCGTCCTCTTCCTCATCAGAAGTGTCGTCCTGCTCGTCCTCCTCGTCGCTCTCCGGCTCGTACCCCGCGGGATAGCGACTGCGATCGTCGCGTAGCCCTATTTCCGTATGCCACCGCTGCTCGCCGTCGGGGATCCCCATGCCCATGCGACTGGCGATGGTCGAAGCAGAGGACTTCTTCCCTTTTCCCTTTGAGCCCCCCGCCTCCATGCAGGCGCCGTCGGCAATCTGCTCCCGCCACGCGTTCAGGACGCGGAGCGCTTCGTCAAGCTGGGCAAGTATCAAATGCAAATATGTCTGGGTCTGGAACATTCTAAACTTGTGATGCTGTCGCTGGATTGAATTGAATTGAAGTAGCGACGCCCCCTGACGTGCCTCGGTAGCCGATCGCTCTACCAACCGGAAGTGCTAATGTCGCTGGATTCTGAAAAAAATTGTATTGCATGACCAGGGAAGAGGACTCCAGTTTGTGCTACGCGGAGAGGGCGTTTCTCATGCGGTAGAGGTATCACAAAGCGCTCTACAAATCTGTCACGCTACGGCATGCATCACAGACGTCATGGGGCATGGAAAACATGCATGACAAGTCTAGATAATTTCCAGACCCAGACATTTTTGCATTTGATAGCGAGCTGCTCTTTGCGGAACTCCTCCTGCTCCTGCGGGTTCCGCAGATATCAAAAGGAAAAATCCCCCCTCCCCATATCGAAACGGCACGCCTCCGAAAATTTGTAATGCGGATTTGTGACCATAAGTCGCGTCTGTATTGCAAGAAGGCAACTCTACAGGCTCCGCCGCATTATGCCTGCGGTCTGTGATGCTGGTGGGCCTACAGCATGGACGTTTCTCATGCTAAACGCCTAGGCTAGCCCCTCTCTACTCAGGTCTGATATGGGCCTGCAGTCCTTCACTGCAAGACACACCTGATTTGTGTACGCAAATCCAGCATCAGAAACTTCGTTTCGATATGGGGAGGGGGGATTTTTCCTTCTGATAGCAGAATCGGCTTTCCCTGTCCCGCCCGCAGGACGTCCAGCATGGTATTCTGCCAGAACGGCTTGCCCTCCGCGGGAATCACGTCCAACTCAATGTAGGAGGACGACCCCGGGACCCTTGGGTCATCATCTGCACCTTTACTAATATTTCCGCATTTATTGTTGGTCGATAAGTAGGAGGAGCTGCTACTGCTTGATGAACTTGCAGCTCCAGCAGTCACAGCGGCGGAACTTGCACTTCCAGTTGCTGTACCTTCTCCAACACCGGCATCAAAATTCTCTCCCTGCACGCGTACGGTCTTCGCACTGACTACGTTCCACGTGGGGCGGGTAGGGTCAAAATTAAAGATACTGCGGAGAATATCGCAGGAAAAAACTGTTTCACTGTGATGATTTTGCAAGATGTGCATCACAAGTTTGTCACACATGGCACAGAAAATTTGCCATGCGCACTTCCCAAGGGGAAACACCCTTAAAAATCCAATGTCTTGCACGTGTAGCAAGACAAATAGAAATAGCTTTGTGTTCCATTCCATGCATCACAAGTTCACAGTGAAACAGTTTTTTCGTGGGATAGAAAAGCTCGCGTGTGCACTTGTTCATGTGAGGCACGTTCAACGAGTTCATCTTGTTTCGGTCGATCACCTCGGAGTTGTTTGCATCTTCAGAGCCGTTGTCTTGTTCGTTCTCCCCTAGCAGATCGTTCTTTATTACAGTGAAAAGTGCCCCCCACCGCTGAAATTTGTGATGCGAAGTTCGCAAATGAAAACTTTTTGTCATGCATGAAAGGAGTATGAATCTTTCTGATGCAGAATCTCGGCGTGTATCGCATCGCTTGCATGACAAGCGCCGCTCTTGCTGGGGTCTTTTGCAATACAAATTTTTGCTATTCATCACGATTGGAAACCTGTGATGCTGATACATAGATGCAAGAGGGCGAATGTTTCATTTGGAAAGGTTTGCAATACAAATGCTCCCAAGTTCGGGGGTGCGGGCATTTTTCATTGTAATATTCTTGTGGTTGTATTTCGTGTCCGCTAGCGTCTGGGCGAGGTCGTAGCTCTCGTACGCGTGCCGCTGGCTGGATATGGCGTTCTCAAATGTTACATTCTCAACTGTTACATGATTTGTCATGCAAAATGGGCATCGACGTCCACGTCGACGTCCACACAGTGAAGCTACCTCGCATGACAAATTTTGGAAGGGCTAAACAGCATGGGAGTTTGTGCCTAACTTGTAATGCCAGAGTTGCAAGATCCGCCCTTTCCCTGTTGCCATTCTTGCATCAGAAATTCATGTAACACTGTTAAATTAACAGTTGAGAATGTAACAATTGAGAATCCCATACTGGAGGTGATTTTCTTTTTGTCTGCGTCCGCGGCGGTCGTTCCGGCGCCTGCTGTTCCGTCGTTGATGGGAAACCGGACGACCTTCTTCTTTTCCAGCTGCTCCCTGGTCAGAACTATCAAATGCAAATATGTCTGGGTCTGGAAGGATGCAAGGTTTGTCATGCGCAGTTTGCATGACTCCTGACGTCTGTGATGCATGCCGTAGCATCACAGATTTTGTGAGGGTTTCCTCATGTCTATACCGCATGAGAAATGCCCTCTCGCCGTGGCATAAACTGGACCTCTTTTGCTGTTCATGCAATACAGATTTTTGTAGTATCCACATGCAGCATCACAAGTTGCAACCTTCCAGATCCAGACCCAGACATATTTGCAATGCATAAGAACCAGCGGTTTGCCGTTCGCGTCTTTCATGTTCGGAATTTCGAACAGCGGATTGCTGCTGTCGTGCATTGCCTCATTTGCGTTGCTTGCCGTTCGCCGCGGCTGATCCAGTGCTTCGTCGTGGTCTACTTTATTGAGATCTTTCTTGTTGCCACTGGTCGTGTTCTGCTCCTTGCTGTTTGCGTTATTGGCTCCGGTGGGGATCCGCGAGGACGAGGAGGCTTGCTCCTGCGGTCCGACCGGAAACTCGTCATCGTAGTCATCGTCGTCCCAGCACGGCGGAACCTCGGGCGGGTAATTATCGTCGTCCTCGTTGTAGTACATGTCGTATTGTGAGGAAAGATCCCCCCTCCCCATATCGAGAAGGTACGTAGCAGAAAATTTGCAATGCTGATTTGCGACCACAAATCATCTCTGTCTTGCAAGAAGGCACCTCCACAGACAACCGCCGCTCTAGGCAGGCGATTTGTGATGCTGTTGGGCCTACAGCGCAGACGTTTCTCATGCTAAGAGCCTAGCCCAAAACCTCTATGCTCAGGCTTGGTATGGGCCTGCAGTCCTCTCCAGCAAGACAAATCTGATTGGTGTACGCAAATCCAGCATCACAAACTTCGATTTGACATGGGGTGGGGGGATTTTTCATTTTGATATGTCGTTTTGAAGATCCTGGTCGTCCTTGTCCAGGTCCTGCTCCTTCAACAGATATCCTATGTAAAAACGTCTCCACCCCATAGTTGTAATGCAAAAACGCATGCTCAAAATGTTTCTAATGCGGAGCCCCATGAGAAGCAACTTCTAGTCGTGTTTTGGAATTTGTACTGCTCCAATCAGCACGGTGGGCCAGATTTGTGATGCTTCCGAACGAGCTCAACAGCATTACAATATGAGGCCAAGCCTGTCATGCGCAACAACCTAAGCTCGTAGATTTGTCTAGCAGTTTTCCCATCTTGACTATGGGGTGTTTATGTACTGGAAAAGACCAAATTTAAAGCACAGAGAAATTCCTTGACTATGGGGTGGGGACGTTTTTACTCAGAATAACAGATCCTGCATCGTTTGTATTTGCACGGTGGTCTGAATCCCGAGTCCCTGGCACAACTGCGACAGCCCGGTGTGCATCAGGCACTTCTTCTCCTCCTTGCTCATGTACCACCGTAGGCGGCCGCACTCGATTTCCACCTGGTTCACCATCTCCTGCCAAAACATCTGGTAGCTGGGGACCGTGTATGAATTGCAAATATGTCTGGGTCTGGAAGGTTGCAACTTATGATGCGCATTTTACGTGATAGAAAAATCTGCCATGCATGGGCAGAAACAGTACCCCTTTTTCGTGTCACCGACAAAGGGGATTTGTCATGCGGATTAGGCATTGAGGAACCTGCTCCAAACCTGTGATGCTGAGGCTTGCATGCTAGTTCTTCTGGGTTACTTACGCAGACTCTGCATCACAAACATCTGCAATCTTCCAGACCCAGACATATTTGCAGTTCATACCGTGTGCACGGCGGACGACTGCTGCTGGTGCTGCGCCCCTACGAATTTCTGGTTGAACTCCGCGATGTAATCGTCCTCCCGCCCGTTCGCGTTGCTGGTGTTGATCGTCAGGCAGAAGTGTATGGGGTTCTCAAGCGTTACATTCTCACCTGTTACATGATTTGTCATGCAAAATGACCATGACCCGCCAGACGATCAAGCTGCTTCGCATGACAAATTCTCGGAAGGCTAAATAGCACTGTAATCCGGATCAAACCTGTAATGCAAGACGCGCAAGGTTCTCCCTCTCACCTGTGCTAGTCTTGCATTACAAATTCATGTGACAGTTGAGAATGTAACGTTTGAGAACGCCATAAAGTGGGCGGTCGTGTTCGGGTCGAACATGCTGCACACGTCGATTTTCACCTCCTTCTGTATGCAAAGAAAAAAATGTTACAGTTGCACACTGTGCTGTTGCAGACGAAGCAACAGAGACACTCTCTGTCATGCGCAAAATGCTTTCGAGCCTCATTTCGTACGTCTTCTTGGCCACCTTTATGGTCTCTGCATTGCAAGTTTTCTCTCTCATGGTGCAGAGAAAATTTGTGTTGCTGAACTGACAACAAATGTGTAACTATACATAGACCACTTTTTTCGTGGGATATTCTGCCCTCGCTGATTACTGTTTGAAATGGAATTCAGCTCACCCCCGGCGCCGCCATTATTTGCTGTTCCGAAATTATAAACCCCACCACCGCCTTGCTGCTTTCCCTTCCCCTTCGCATTGTTGCCCTTGAAAGTGTTACCGACGGGGGCCGTGTTCTCGATCCACCCATTGGTGTCTTTGCTGTGCCAGATATCGAAGAGTGCAAAAGAACTCGTGTGGTCCTAAGCCGTCGCGGCCCCTCATCGATCGATGCTTATGGCATGAGCAGCAAGACGACCAGCAGCTGTAACCAAAACAAACCAGAAACGACAGAAAATGAATCTGCGCACGGAAGATTGGAGAAGTTGTACTGTTCTTTGCCCAACAGACAGTGCCTATAGTAAAGTTAATTATGATTTGGTTTTTTGCATTTGCAAATTAATGAGGGGGACCCACACGAGTTGGAACCAAAAGCTGCACTTGTACACAATCATAGCAGAATCCCATGATGCACGAAGCCAGCGGGCGGGAATCGCGGAAGTTTCCCAGCCGGCTGAACTTGTTCGCGTAGTTCAGGTGCCACTTACCGTAGTCATTGTACAAAAAGTGTTGTTCGTTGTGGACGTAGGTGTGGCTCATGGTCGTGCCGGCAGCATTGCCCTGCGGGTTCACGGGAAACTTCTGTTTCGTGTTATCAAAGTGAAAAATGCCCCCACCCCCGAACTTAGGAGCATTTGTATTGCAAACCTTTCCAAATGAAACATTCGCCCTCTTGCATCTATCAGCATCACAGGTTTCCAATCGTGAATAGCAAAAATTTGTATTGCAAAAGACCCCAGAAAGAGTGGCGCTTGTCATGCAAGCGATGCAATACACGCCTAGAATCTGCATCAGAAAGATTCGCACTTCTTTCATGCATGACAAAAAGTTTTCATTTGGAAACTTCGCATCGCAAATCTTTGCGACTTGTTTGGGAGTGGGGGCATTTTTTACTGTAATACGTGTACGGATTCGTGATCTGCCACGCGGTGAAAACATTGTTCATTACCTGGTTCTTATGCAAGAAAAAAACTGTGTAAGTGTAACTCTGTAATGCAGAACATGCAACAACGTTACAACTGTCATGCCAGACAACCATGAAGTCCTCTTTTCATGTGTGTTTTCCCTTACAAGCCACGCATGACAGATTTTCTCTGTCATGTAGAGCAAATTTGTGATGCAGTTACACTAACACATTTTTTTTTCTTGCATAGTTCTCGCGCACCTCATACACACCGTCGAGTCGCTCCCCCCGGGTCGGAAACCCGCTCAGCGAAAAGTAGTTCAACGAGTCACCGCTCAGGCTCGCCACCTCGCTGCGGCACTCCCGATTCCGGCTGTGGACCACTTTCACGGTCAGATTCACCGGGCTGAAAGCAGCCGATGTTGCGGGGCCGCCACCCCACATGGAGGAGGAAGCAGATGTTGTTGAGCCGGAAGAACTGTTAATACCACCGCCACCCTGCAGCTTCATCCCGACGCCCCTGACGCGGACGCTTTTCGCAACATCTGGGGGCATCTTCACGTTCCAGGCATGCTTCGCCTCCTCGATGCGTTTTCGAAAAAACTCCCCGAACAGCCCGGTCGCTATGTCCTTTATCATCTTGCCGCTTTGGGACACGTCCTCGCTCTCCTGTTCTAGCAGGACTGCGCGCTTGGATAACCACTCCTGCTCCAGGTCGGGGAGAAAGGAGGCCAGCATGTTGCACAAAGAAGAGTGAAATTGCACCGGATTGTATCCACACCGTTTGATCAACCTATTTAGGTAGCAGCAGTTATTTATTTTTGTTGCAGGTTTCTTGTTTTTGATTTTGAGAAAATTCACATTTTGTATGTCGAGAACTGCATCTGTCTCCAGTACAAGAACTCTCCAGTACGCTTTATGCAACATCTGTCTCCAGTACGCTTTATGCAACAACGTTGCGCATCCATCAGACCCAAACAGCACGGGCCACGCGTGCTGCAGCCGTGTCTAGCTACCTTCTTCTAAACATAAGTTCAGCTTTATTCTGAAGTACTTTTTCCTGCTGTCGTTTCCGTGGGCAACGGGCATCCCCGGCGCCGCGCATCTTTTCGGATCCTGGTAGTAGCTCTTGAAGTACTCCCACATTTTTTGGCGGATCTCGTTTCCATACCGGTCGGGGCAGCTGCCGATCACGCTGCACTCAAAGCACTCCGGCGCGCGTTCGAACGCGCGGAACAGCACCCGGGCGCGCTCCTCGTGCTCCCGCTGGCTCCGTTCGCTCTTGTCCACGTACGCCTTGCACAGCACCTCGTGCCAGGCGTGCACGATGGCGTGGCGTTCCTGGCTCATGTCGATACTGTTTTCCCGGTCGCGGCTTTTCATGTCAAACTCGAGCAGGTTGTACCCGAAGTACTTGTCTGTTTTGCTCAAGGCAATGCGCGCGGAGTATGGGATTCTCAAATGTTATTTACATTGTCTTCTGTCGCACGATTTGCCATGCAAAATTGCGATCAGCCCGAGACTCCACAAAACCAAGCGACTTCGCGTGACAAGTGCTCGACGTATTTACTAGCACGGCAGAAGTCAGGAGTTTTTAATGCAAGAAGGGGCGCAAGCTTTATCGCCCTTGTTTTGCTTTGCACTTTTGCCTTACTTGCATCACGAATTCATGTGACAGAGGTGACAAAGTAAAACGTTTGAAAACACCCCCATACACCGTGGTCGTCCAAATGCGGCTGCTGCACCAGCATGCCCTTGACGTAGATCCGATTCCGCAGACAGGGACCCCGGAGGATCTCGTACTTGTTGGGCATTTCCTTTTGGCGCAGAAATGGGCGAAAGCACCGGTCTTTCATGTCCTCGGGATTCAGAAAGAGGTACCGCTGCCGATCGAAGTTGGCGCCCCGGAGCCGCACGCGCGTGTCGGTTGCCGAGTTGAAGTCGTCCCCGCAATCGAGGCCAAACCCATCGCCGCCACCCGCGGTGCACACTTCGCTGGTCCCGGACAACTTGTAATGCAGCGTGTAAACCTGGTTTTTTTTTTGGTGACGAAGTAAAGCTTCTCTGTTTCCTTCTACGAGATCAACGTGGTATACGTAGGTATGTAATACGCAAACGCAGGCTGCTCCGAAAAATACTTTCGTTGAAATACAATCAGCTAGCCTTTGCTGGACTCAGTGTTTGTACAACTCACAAACACGAGGTGCGAGTGCCCACATAAAAACGACGAAAACGAAATGAAAACAAAAATGCACCACCAAAAAAATTCATCAAAGTGAATACGCTATCGAGGCCGGCCTGCAGTTGATACTGAAAGGTGTACTGGTATCCAGGTGCGCTGTCGATCCGGATGTGTTTTCCTTTCCGGGCAAAAACGGAGCACGCCGACTGCAAGCCATCGCCAAACTTGCCCTTGGCGCGTTTCTGGTGCTGGCCGAGTTTCTCGTTCCCCGTGTGCCCCGCCGCAAAGGCCCGCGGGGGGAGCACGGACGAGTAGTTGATCAGGGTGAGCTCTTTTTCTTGCGGATCGAAGTCGAGCAGGCTCAGCTTGTGTGACACACGCTCGTCCTGCCAGTCGTCCGCCAGAAACACCGCACGAAAGCGTTGCGGTGTACTAGCGTTGTCTTGGTAAGGCGCACAATTATGGGGTGCGCCTGCGCCACCAGCACCACTACGGTTATTCCAGCAGGTACTTGAGGACGCCCCCGGCCCGACACCTCCTCCTCCCTGCTGGTCGCCGCTCCACTCGGCGCTGCCCCACTCGTATCCAGGGGAAAAATCCCCCCTCCCCATATCGAAAAGGCACGTCGCAGAAAGTTTGCAATGCTGATTTGCGATCACAAACGGCCTCTGTCTTGCAAGAAGGCAATTACACAGGCTCCGCCGCATTATGCAGGCGGTTTGTGATGCTGTTTGGCCTACAGCGCAGACGTTTCTCATGCTAAGCGCCTAGGCCAAAACCTCTCTACTCAGGCTTGATGTAGGCCTGCAGTCCTCTTCAGCAAGACAAATCTGATTTGTGTTCTCAAATCCAGCATCACAAATTTCGCTTTCGATATGGGGAGGGGGGATTTTTCCTTTTGATAACTCGTTGTGCTGATCCATGCCCCCCCTGTTGTTCATCGGCATCAAATCGCGGTTCCGCGCGTCGCCCTTGAGCACCTGCAGGCGAATGCTATCCACGTCGATATCGCAAGAAAAAAGTGCTACAGTTACACATTGTGTTGCAGGCCAAGCAAGACAGACAAGCTCTTTCATGCCGGATATGCATAGGAGCCTCGTTTCATAGGTGTTTTCCCGTAGGATTTCTGCATTACAAGTTTTCTCTCTTATGCAGAGAAATTTGTGTTGCTAAATTGACAACAAATGTGTAACTGTAACACTTTTTTCGCGGGATAGTCGACGCGGCTGCGGTAGTAGTGCGAGTTTTGGATCATCAAAATGGTCTGGTCGTGCCAATTCTGCACGAACTCGTCGGTGGCGTTCACTTCCGTCCACCGGGCGACGGCCCGTTCCGTGATGTTCAGGTCGCGCCCGGTGCCGTAGAGATTTTCGTTCTGGAGTTTCATCACCCCCGAAAACTCGCGGCAAAAGTCGTTGTACTCACTCGACGTTTCCTGGAATTTCCGCACCTGCGACCGCTGCGCTTGATGCATCAATTGTTTATTCGGGGGCATGTTGCTCTGGTGATATTGCTGTTGCTGTTGGTTTTGATGTTGCTGCTGCCCGATGTAACTATTACCACTGGTGCCGGATCCGGAACAATTATGTTGCATCTGCATGCTCGACGACGAAGCGCTGGGACCAGGACCAGCTGGGTGATAGGAACTACTAGTACTGTGCGAAGACGCGGTGTTCATCCCCGCGGTACTAGTACCAGTCGCCGCTGCCCCGCCAGCGAGGTGCGGTCGCTGCTGCTGCTGGTGCTGGTATATGGCTTGCGCATTAAAGTTGGTGAAGGTCGCAGGTCGTGTATCCTGATGCTGCTGTTGCGTCTTCATTTCCCCGGTCCGATGACCGGGCGCCGGGGGCGGTGGCGGCATGGAGTGTTCGTTGCCGAAAGAGGTTGAGGACACAGCCCCTGCCACGAGTTGTGGTCTTCGCTGTGGAGACGTAGAAGAAAGCTTGGAACCGGAAGACTGGCTACTTGCGGCATTGCTTGAGCCTGCGGTACTAGCACCGGTAACTGAGGTTTGCGACGAACTCTTGTTGTCGTTCTTCTGCTTGCTAGAGCTCGTGGTCGGGCCTCCACCGGGGCTGCACTGAGGACGTAGTGCGGGTTGGACGAATTTTTTGATTTCTCCGGTCGATATCTTCAAGGCAAGCGGCTGCGGGTGATTGCTGTTCTCCTGCTGCGAAGACGTAGATACAACGTTTTGATTGCTTGATGAAGCTTCCGAGCCGATTATCATAGAACCCAGGGTCGGTTGCGCTGTTGGCATATCTTTAGGTATTCCCTTCAGATCATCGCGGTTTGTTCCGTAATTTAGGGTCGTCGTGCTGTTAAGATTACTCACGATTGTCGTGTTGGCAGCTGGAGGCAGGACCGGTGGGTATGTAATCTGGTGAGGAATAAACTCGACCGCAGTCGGACGGAAGGAGCACGAGGACGTGCTGCTGTCGTTTTGCTGCCCATGCCCTAGAAGAGGAGCCTTATCCACATCCGCTGCGCCGATAGGTCCGTTACTAGGAGGCGGTGCTGTAGGGGCGGCTGGAAATAACGATCCACCGGCCGCTTGCGGCTGAAATATCGCGGGAGGCATGCCACACGGCGGAGTAGGGAAGTACGGAATCGCTGCATTGGATATTGATGTAGAAGATGTTCCCCCGTTTGGTGCACCAATTATGATTCCTGTAGAAGTCCTACTTGGACCGCCCCCAGAGGAAGTGGGCATTCCCATGGTGCTTAGCATGCCCGGAGGTGGTCCACCTCCTATGTGTGAGGGAAACATCGACGGGTGCGGGGAAATAACGGAGGCGTTCGCGCCTCCGGTTGTTGTCGTACTACTCGCGCCACCTCCGCCCATTGCACCGATTGGGGGCGGGGCTGCAAACATACTGGCCACGGAAGCCGTTGGCGGGGATGGACCCGTCGGCTGCATCGAGTTATTTGAAGGTGGTCTTGGCGCCATCGGCGGGACAAGATGCTGGTGGTCCCCGAAAGGTGGAAACGCCGGTGCTGCGGGTAGCTGCGGCGCACCACCAAAATTCGCACTGCCGACGGCTGGTCCGCGCACGACCCCGGCGGCGGCCTGCTGCAAAAACAGTTGATGGTGCGACTGCTGCGGTGCGAACATCTGCTGCTGTTGAGACTGCTGGTGGTGCTGCTGCGCGAGAAATTGCTGTTGCATGATTTGTTGCTGGTGCTGCTGCACGACCTGTTGGGCAAAGTACTGCTGGTGCGCGCTTTGAACCACGGACGAAACCAGGCTGTGCTGCTGCAAAGCAGGGGCAACTTGCTGGAGGTGCGAACTACCCGGTAGTACGTTCGTGGCCGCACTGTTTGCGACGTTTCCACCAACAAGTGTAGTCATATTTTGGACGTTGTGCTGCATGGCTCCGGGAATAAACGGGGGTGCGGTCACAGCCACAACAGGGGGAGGTGCGCTTGGGGGTCGCTGCTGTTGTCCTCGTGCCACATCCGTCGACGTCATGATTGCCCCTCCGGTCGCGTTACTAGTAGAGGACGTAGCTGTTGTGCTCGTCGTTGTTCCACCTCCCCCTGGTGCAACTACGGATGGGGCCTGTAGTTCATCGTTTACCGACGCGCCAGGAGCCTCAGCATTCGTAGACCTTCTTGTTGTGCTCCCAGCAGCGGCAGATGAGTTGTTTTGTGCTATTTCAACATGATCGTGCCCCTGCGCCTGCTGCGGCTGCTCCGGAGGCCCCGAGCTGCTCGACGTTGTGCTTTTCGAATTCGAGTCACCAGTAGCGGTCCTCTCATCTGCAGACGATGTTGAGCTGCTGGGTATACGTGGAACCTCGATGTCCGGCGGGCCGGGACAACTATTTGTTCTCCGTGCAACTGTTTCCTGGGATGCAGCGGCCATGATCGGACGAGTGCTGAAAGACTTTAATTTAGTAGCAGGAAGGGCGAGAAATCTTCGTCAGGTTTTTGCTTCTTGTCGTCGTCGCACATCCACCTGCAGCCGATTGGTTCCTCCAATCTAGGTAGTTATTGTTCCGCCCTTCTATCGCTCGCCCTGCTGCTTGAAGCGGCCAATTACCGGTTCGGAGCCGAAGCCGCGCCAGTTTCTGATTACTACAGCCGATATAGGCAAATCAGAACTTTCGGCCGGTTTACTTCTCTGAATTCGTATTCGAGGATCATATTCATATTCGAGTGCATAATTTTTCCGTATCATACAAAGTCAAAGACAAAGGCGTAATGTACATTTTTCAGTGAAATAAAATCATAGGTTTTTATCGATGGATACAACTAAGCGTTAAAATAAATCAACTTCGTCCCTAAGACCACTGCACAGCTTGTCGATATTCGAGCTCTCGTCTTGTGTTGTTACCAGTCTCATCCGCTACTGCAATAACATAGCAGGCATCGCTTCACCTTCACGATTCGTCGAGTGTCGATACCAACAGGTCCTAGTAAGTATAGTTCAAGTTCTGCCATTGCCAAGCTCCATGTGGTCTATAGCAGCAGAAAGTCGTTTCTTTCAAAATCAGTGCTTTGCTCAAAACTCAAAAAAAAGCTGGATCACACGTATTTTATTCCGTGAACGGCCTTGATGTTCACCCTTCCTTGCCTTTCTGAATGATACTACAGGGAATCAACTTTATTTCAAGCCACACATGGAAAGATCAATATCTGTGTCGGGCTTCGCTTTGCAACAGGAATGCACTACTCTCACGATAGTACCGGCCTGTAGCTAATATTTTTTCAAATAACCACGTCGAAAAAACACCATATCTAGTACAAACCACGCGCAAATCAAATTGAATACCACGCTTGTTGCGCTGCGAATGGAAATGCTGCTTGCAGCACGACTTAAATTTTCAATAGGAAAAGGAATACGAAAAAATTGGAATAATAGGAACGACAGATGACGCTCTCGTTCTGAGTGTCGTCAAGATCACCGCGACGATGACCCTTGGATACTAGTTGGTATATGCAAGTGCCTTACGATAGATACATCGTTGATCATCCTGAAAAAAATCGTGGGGAAGAAAAATGCAAAATTCCAAAACAAAAAGAGCGTGACCGTTTGTGGTCAAAACATTTTGTCTCACAACCTTTAGCACACCTTCAACAAATCTCCGTTCTCTAATTTAATACTACTTTCAAAATATTTTGGATCAGCGGCATACTGATCTCAAAGTGGAATGGGGATCGATCCAATCGGGGCCGGGTTCCTGCTGCATCTGTAAAGAATGGCGGTCCACTTCTCGATATCTGTTCTTGACTTACGTAGAATGAAGAAAAAAACTTGAGTATCGTCAAGAAAGATCCATCATCGTCAAACATGAAGCATCCTTGCTGGAAGACCTTACAGAAGGAGATCTTGGTGTCAACCGAAACCGACGTCATCAAGTCGCTTGGCTGCTGTTGCATCGCTATCGCACAGAGTAAGAAAAAGTATCGGTCGTCGCAGGTCGCGAGCAGGTTTCCGATTCATAATTGCATTCTTGGGTGAGGCTTTTGACGCATCTTTTTGCTACAGAAATGGAAAAATCCAACTTTTGACTCAACATTTCATTCCGTCCCGAGTTTTTTACTTTCGCTGTTTCGCATCAAGACATAACGTCGATCCATTGCAGAAATCTATTCCGAGAAACAAGCACGGAAGCTAAATTGTGAAGTACGCTTCTCCTCTTCTGAGTACCATCTTCAGGAGCGCCGTCAATTCGAAAAGTTTTCCAGATTCTTTCGCAAGCTGCAGTCGCAAAATAAGCTATGAAAAGACATAAACGGAGGGCCTTACAGTATGAGTCCGATTGGAGCCCATCAAGGTAATAGTAGTTCTTGTGGTTGTTCATCCACCCGTACTTATAACACACTGCTAAAATTGTCCCCCCTCTCTAGAAATCGAAAGAAGGTCCTATGTCGCCTGTATTCTCATCAAATAATCGCATGCAAAGCAAAGCATAAAGCGATCTAGATTAACTGAAAGTTTCTCTTGTTTGTTACGAAAGCATCCTGGAGGTTCATCTTCCTCGTGATACAACTACATACACCAAGCATTCCGTAGTTACTACAACCCCCATTCGCACGACTTCGGAATCAAGAAGTCGTAGAGCCCGTCCGCTGCCCGGTCGGCGTGCAGTTTTTTGTTGTAGGCATCCACTTGCTCAGTCGTGTGGTAGATACTTGTCGGAGTTTCGGGTACAGGTACGTCCACTTCGGGCGCCGCTTGCTCAGTTCGCCTTGCTCCAGCTTCCTCGTCCTCCACTGCCATTACGCGGTTTGTCACAGCTGCCTGCTGATGTTGTGCGGTTGTTCTGCTGCTCGTCCTGGTATTGTCTTTGGAAGTGCTGGTGTCCTTATCTTGATGTGGTAGCACGACTACGCCTCCTGGTCTTGTCCTACGCAGTTCCATCGCAAGAGCGGCATGCTGGCTCCTTATGCATTGCAAAAATGTCTGAGTCTGGATCTGGAAGAATACAAACTTGTGATGCGCATTTCAGAACACAGAAAAATCTCTGATGCATAGTTAGCAAAAGCTGCCCACTTTCTGTCACCAAAATGGGGGACTTGTCATGCGGATTCGGCATGGCGGAAGCTTCTCGAAACCTGTGATGCTAGAGCTTCCATGCCAGACCTCCTGTGTCATGCAAAAACAGCATGACTCTTCCAGACCCAGACACTTTTACATTTGATACTCCTGTAGCAGTGACAATACGCCCGGACCGTCCAGCAGAGGAGGGAGATCCAGCCCCAGCCTTATTGTAGTGAAAAATACCCCCTCACCCAGAGTTGGAACAATTTGTGATGCGAAGTTTCCAAATGAAAACTTTTTGTCATGCATGAAAAGATTATGAATCTTTCTGATGCAGAGTCTAGGCGTCTGTAGCATCGCTTGCATGACAAGCGCCGCTCTTCCTGGGCCCTTCTGCAATACAAGTTTTTGCTATTCTCGACTGGAACCCTGTGATGCTGATAGATGCACAAGGGCGAGTGTTTCATTGGGAAAGGTTTGCAATACAAATGCTCCCAAGTTCGGGGGTGGGGGCATTTTTCATTGTAATAAGCCCAGACCCGCGACCAGACCGATGTTGGTAAACTCCGGCACGAAAGACGCCGGGGCATACTTGCGAATGAGCGCGAGCACGAGAATGCACAGCAAAATGAAGATTAAGAGGCACCACGACACGATCAGTCGCCGTTTGCTCCCGTAGTAAAACCCGCCGACCAGCAAGGGCGCGAGGACGAGGTCGAGGAAGGGGCTTTGGAACTTGTTGAAGTAAATGTAGGGCGGGAGCAGGCTTGGTGTTGTTTTCTCTAAAGTTGTTTCTTCGTCATCCCGACTCTTCAGGCAGCTGCCATACTCGACCTGGGCTGTTCGGTTTTTCTGCGACACCTGGATTGTTGTTTCAAGATTTTTTATCAAAATATATTGTTCCCGCCTCTTTGTGCGGGTTGTCAAATGGTTCCATTTCCGAAACCGAAGCAGGATCGGTGTAGAAGAACCACACTAAACGACAGAACAGGATGGTGAAAAAAAATTCTTTTGCACAGAAAGAGACGTACGCGGTGTATGAAAAGGCATGAATCAGCAGAAGCAAAAGCATTTTAAATGTACATCAAAAGTGATCGCCGCATCGTCCACCAGAAGAGCGGCGGAGGAGGACTCGGCCGTCGTGTCTTTCGAATCGCCCGACGTTTCCCGAACTGTCACAGCATCGGGACCTTTCTCCAAATCAGGCACAGCAGCAGTTTCTGTACTCTCTTCGACGGTATGCGCAATCGGGAAGTCATCTTCTCTAGTTATCCCGTTGTTCTCCACAATTGTTCTACTCCCCGTCGTGTCACAAGAAGTACTAGCTCGGTCGACGTATAAATCCGCGTACTCCAAACTGCGCTTGATCAGCATCGGGGAGAACATTTTCTGGAATCCGCGATAGCCCTCGCAGACGCAGAAGAAGGCAACAATCAAGAGCAAAATGCCGTGATCCCACCACTGGTATGGCCCCTTGAACATCTCCGGACTTCGCGCCTGCGGGTGGCAATTGATCTTGTCCCGCATGTACCGGTACACTTCTTCCTCACTGTTGGCGCAGTCGTACGTGGACCCCGCCGCGCCGTCCTGTATGCACTGCTGCTTGTACTCGTCTTTTCTTGATTGACAGGACAACTGGTAACCGAACCACACCGGCCCCTTAAGCGTCAACCCATGCAATCCACCGCCGATCATAACCAGCCAAAAACCGATGGCGTACAGCCGGTAGGTCAGAGCGTAGCAGGAACTACCGGTAGTGGCCATTCTCGAAAATTATCTTTTTTCAACTCACTTTTTGTGTTGAACTTCGCTATTATACCTTGAAGAAGCTGAAAGCGAAACTTCCGCACGCGTGTTGAAACTTGGTCTTTTTTCCTTTTGTTGAAACAGTAGCTCTATTCGAAACGAGACACACGTGAATGTAGTATCGATGCGCAGGCAGAAACGCACGCACGTTGGTTTTTAATTTGTATTCGGTTTCGGTAGTTGCCCTCGCCCATCATACACGTCGAGATTGAGTCACATTTGAAGACTAAAATGTTGACAAAACTTGAAAGACGTCCTCTTTCTTGTGAAACGCTGACAAAATTGGGGCATGATTTGAAGTATCATTTTTGACGCTATCTGTATGTCGTTTTGCAGTGGCAGCCTCATGTGTGTGTGAGAAACGAAAAAAAAGTTCGTTTCGTGATCTGCAGATTCTTTTGATCAGTGGCGAGAGGGATCGTCCGCTCCAACAAGGTATGTCCCTACTTATTGTTATTTGCCACTTCCTTCTCGGAACACATGCGGAAAAACAGAACAAGAGGCTTTTTCTTCTACAAAATGACAGCTGTCGCGATTCATCCAAGCCATCGTTTTGAAGGGTTATTGCCTCGGGATACGAGGGGGCGATGGTCATACTACTTAAAATCAGTAGTCCTCGTCGCGTCAGTCGTGGTTTTGTCGCTAGTGAACGCATGTAGGTGGCCTTGGAAATGTAAAAATGATAGATGTACGCAGAAAAACAGCCTCTCTACCCCGCGCACACCGAGACAAGCTCCAATCCAACCGGATCACAGGACGGTGTACTAGGAACAAGAAAAAAAACCACAAAACCTTTCCTACAGTTCCTCCCTGCTGGAGCTAATTTTTGCTGCAGTAAGCGGTTTGTGTATCCTATCTGGGAGCTGCGCACCCTCGAAGGCAGCCGTATCCACGAATTCCTTTAGACGAGCCTGCAGTCCGGCTATCTCCACCTGCGCGGAATCGAAAACCTTGAACTTGTCTCGCTTTGGGCGGTAGAGCACAAAAGCAAGTCCGTTCGCTGGCGGGGCTTTAAGCCCGAAGGCCTCAGCGATTCCGGGGTTTTGCGCTGCGGCCACCCATCGAAGCTTCACAGGGTCCGTTTTGTATCTGTAGAGTTTTTGCTTTGGCATATAGGGGACAACGTTGACATCAATTGCAAAATTTCCAAGTTCAACAAGCGGACGGACGATGATCTCATCAAGAAAAGTAGCGGCAAAAAAATACGAATCTGCCAGCTCCTGCATTGCGGCCGTGATCGCCTCACTGTGGTCCTTTCCGTAGCGCAGCCAAAGCAGACAGAAGTTCGAGTCGCTCTTGTCCACGCAGTCTTCGCCGTCAAGCTGCTTGAAACTTCCCTGCGGCCCCGCTTTGCGGAAGACCGCAATGTGTTTCTGCGACCAAAGGGCGAGCTTGTCTTTGGTAAATTCCTTGCCGTTGTAAAATTCGGAAAGTTTCAGCTTGTTGTCCAGAACGGCAACGAACTATTACAATGAAAAACGCCCCAACCCCGAACTTGGGAGCATTTGTATTGCAAACCTTTCCAAATGAAACATTCGCCCTCTTGCATCTATCAGCATCACAGGTTTCCAATCGTGAGTAGCAAAAATTTGTACTGCAAAAGACCCCAGCAACAGCGGCGCTTGTCATGCAAGCGATGCGATACACGCCTAGACTCTGCATCAGAAAGATTCATACTCCTTTCATGCATGACAAAAAGTTTTCATTTGGAAACTTCGCATCACAAATTTTTGCAACGCTGGGGCTGGGGGCATTTTTCACTGTAATACGGACGGTATGCGATTCAGGTCGACGCCAAAGTGCTGCTGGATCTCGTTTTTGAACAAGCCCTGTTTGTCGCATCGCAGCACCACGCCGATCTCTGCCCGGTTTTGAAATTCCCGCGATACCGCCCGCCAAATCACGGGTACCTGAGATTATGCATCATGAGCATGGGATACAGAGTATCAGTTGAACCGCAGCCGACGCACTGACACTGAGGGGGGTCCTCGTGCATGAGGTCTGGTCCAAAAACTTGGCTGTGGTTCATGACTCTTGCATTTTGACTTTGTCGGCAAGAACGCACATCCAAATTATTTGTTCTTGGTGATAAAGAAGCACATTGCAGCATCAACGTGACAGCACTCGCTGAATATGTTCAAAAATACTTCCTTCTTGTCCGTGAAGAGAACTATAGGCGGGCGGTTTTTTTCCACGGCCTTGTCGACGAACTCCCGCAGGTTCCGCTTGGTGACCAACTCTGCGGCGTGGTTGGGTATGTTTTTGCTCATCCAGTTCTGGATCATCTTGCTGCTGAACTCGCCCTCATACGGCTCGGTTCCCGAGTTCTTCTGCTCCGGAAGCCAGCGGAGTTCGGGCTCTGTTTTCCCGTTCTGGGTGATCCCGAAATGAACGCACAGCTGCTGGTATCAAATGCAAAAGTGTCTGGGTCTGGAAGAGTTGGAACTTGTGATGCAAACTCTGGAATCCGCAGAAACTTGTGTTGCATGAGCGCCAAAAGCTGTCCATTTCTTGGTCCGCAAGTAGGAAGTTTCTCATGCGGGACAGGCATCATAAGGCGTGCTGAAAACCTGTGATGCTTTTGCCTGCATCAGACGCCATATGCGTGATCCGAAACATGCATGACAAATCTCGTAATCTTCCAGACCCAGACATTTTTACATTTGATAGCTGGTTCTTGAAGCAGTTCACCGCCGCTATTTTGGTGAAGGAACCGAAAACCTTCGCAACCGCCTTGTACTCCTTGGCCTTGTCACGGCACTCCTTCTTGATGCACTTCGGGGAGTAGAAAAATACCTGAGGAGGGGAAGATCGATAATTTAGCATGGCAAAACCGTATAGAAAGGCGAAGTTGTATATCAAATCTTCAATAGACGAGCCACCCAGGAGAAGACCAAATGCTCCTGCGTGTGGTTGTCCGACACTTGATCATCATTCCTCGATTATTTTCAATCCATTGATACCGCCCATGGCTCGTCTCGGTCTGTGAGCACCGTGCTGCCGCCATGCGCTGCTACTTCGTAGATTTGGTCCTTGCTCTCATCGAAGAGATTTTCCTCTGGACCTGCCTCCGGCTCCTCGAAGAATTGAAACCTGAAAAGACATCAACTTTGCTTCGTGTCATCCACCAAAATACCTTCAAATTTCGTTTCGAAACTACAACTTGCTGCTGAGATGATACGCAAAATGAAAATCACCAACGTACTTTACTAACTTACTGTTGCTGCCCATTCGGAAACTGCATAACTCTGACGTGGACTTTTCCGTTTGGTTCTCGTCCAAAGTGCTGGCGAAACATGGCGGCGGCGTCGAATTCGCCCTGTCCACTTTCCTTCAGAGCCTCCTCCCCCCCTTGGTCGTAGAGTTTCCGCTTTTTCTCGTCCAACAAAACTTCATTTGCCTGCGATATCTCGATGAACTTCGACTGGCACTCGGCGGACTTTTCCTCGGGACACTTGTCCGGATGGTACTCCTTCGATTTTTCCCGGTACGCCTTTTTGATTTCCGAGTCGGAGTATCAAATGTAAAAATGTCTGGGTCTGGAAACTTGTGATGCTAAAATGTGCATGATGAAAACACTTCCGAATGCTGTCCGGCATGACAACTTCCCAAAACGCTTTCTCATAGGCAATCCGCATGAGAAGCTGCGTTTTTGCATGACAAAAGAGGCTGCGACTTTTGTTGGTTATGCAATACAGATTTTCTAGGTATGGAAAGCTAGCACTACAAGTCCCAACCTTCCAGACCCAGACATTTTTACAATCCATACGGAGGCGTTTTCACTGATATCCAGAACCTCGTAGTACGGCCGCCTCTTCTTCTTCGCCGCGCGGATGGACTGCGCCTGGGTGGTCAAGAAAATGCCCGAATACAGCCAGAAATGGTTGCGGGCGTTGGCGAAAATGTTAGTATTACCGGGTTGCAAACTATTTGTTCCCGCATAGGCAGCGGCTGTGGTTGCAGCTCCAAGAAGTAAACATATCGACGAAGTGGCGGTCGCGGTCGCTGCCGCAGCAAGGGTCGCAAAAGTTGTTCGAACAAAGAAGGAACTGCGGTGTGGACGAGCTCGGCCTTTCTGTTTTGATCTTGATGCGGGTAGTTCTTGTGTCGGCATTTTTGCTGATGTTCCCAAGCAAGAGGGCGTATTCATCGTGGCATCGTCCTCTTTCCGTTCTTGGAACATCAACACCCTCTGCGGATTATAGCAGTAACCGTTCTCGTCGGCAACAACATCCATATTGTATGCACACAGAACAGAAATCAAGTGGTCGTAAAACTGATCTAGTACCCCTCCGTTTCGAAAGTCGAAACAAAACGTCACATACTCTTCAAAACCATCTTATCAATAGATTATCTACTTCAGTGGCCGACACAACTACTTCACAAAATGAAATTGGCTACACGGAGCAAAATATTCCGGCCAGAGACCAGTTATGGTCACAACAAAAATGCAACTTATCTAGCAGGAACAGGATACTCCTGTACAAAGTGGAAACACATGCAAAACGAAAAGCGCTTGTTTGTATGAGTAGTAGACTAGAAAAAAACATGCAACCGCACAAAGCGCCGTCAATGTAGTTCTATTGTATGGCATTAGAGATCCCATCAGGAAGAAACAGCTCTCCCACTTCCACTTAAATGGCCACTATATCGGGATCTTCCAAATAAAATCCGATCCTGAAGATTCCTATGTATCACCCCGTCAAAGGCGATCGATGCACTACCAAAACTAGGACAGAGATCCGTAGAGAACAAACTCTGGTGTAGCAACATCGGGTGGTCTCCCGTACAATGCGAACACCCATGTGGGGAACAACACCCATGTTTCGCGTATAAAGCGGTCGGATTCTACAATCAAAATCACGCTTTCTTCACGTATTCATCGTGCAGCGAAAACAGTTGAAAACGGAATCGGCTTCCAGAGGGGCGGCACACACATAAGCGCATTCATTTTCATTCGGTTTATCTTTATATGCAGCCTCCTGCTGCCACTTGTCAGCATCATGAATTTACTTCATTCGCTTTTTTCGCGGCCGCGACTTCGTTGACATGGGACACCACCTCCTGGAAGAGCAAATTATAGTCCCAGATGTCGTCAGATTCCGTTACCATCTGATAGGGACTCATCACGCTCATCAGGCTCGACAGATCGATCCCCTGTTGCCCCGCGGAAGCCGTTTGCTGTTGATGCATCATGTGTGCAGGTACATTAGCGAAAGTTGCATCTTCAGGACAAGTACTTCTCTTTCTCATCTTTGTAAAGATCTATTATTTGTGCGTGATGGGTCCTGGCGCTAGGACTAGGGGGGTGTAAATCCGACAAAAATGATGTGCAACGCATAGTACATGACATTACCAGGAGCTTTTTCTCTGCGTTATCCGGCTCGAGTTCGCGGAGTGACCTGAAATCCTGGTCCATGCTGGTTGGTGGTGGCGCTGCCACCTGCTTCGAAAGATCCTCATCTTGGTCGTCCTCCAAATCGGGGATCACCGGGATCGCGTCCCCAACATCGTCATCCTTATCGTCAATGTGCTGCCGTATCTGCTCCGTGGCAGGCTCTGTTTTGAGAACTTTCTGAATTTTTGCAACGGAGAATTATCGAAGTCAGCACTGATCAACGAAGTGAGGACTTCCATGTTCGACATGACGACTTGGGGCGCCACTGCAAGAACGATTGTACTCGCTATGTGCACTACAAGAATCAATACTTGGATCCGTCATGGTCGGCGGGTACGTCTTGTGTATATATTTTCTTGATCGAAGTGCTGAAGATTCACAACTTACTGGCAAAGTGTCAGCATCGAGAAGTTTTTTAGTGAATCCGCACTGGAAAGCTTTCGCGAAAGCAAACCTCGGTGCAAGGAGACACGTCTAAATTTTTCTCATCATGATTCACGGTACTTCTAGAGTAAAGAAACGTCATTTTTTTTCCGAAGCTACTACAGCAACCGCGAACGATTTTACTATTACTTTTGTTCCGCTTAACAAGAACCCAGAGCGACAGGTAGAATTTTGCGAGGGTTGCGGAGGCGATCAAGTTATTTCAACTCGTTTATATCTACTTCTACAAAAAGGATCTAAAAGCGGGGGCAGAAGCAGGCGGGCAACGACACTCCGTCCCGAAAAATAGTTGTGGCACGAGCATGATATTGTTTTATTTCATCTCCTTCTCCTTATCATCAAAAATACAAGCAATGGGCCAAGTGAAAAATCTAAATCAATAGTTCGTGATATGATCCTTACGTGGCGTCTCCATTTTTCTTGTGCTGCCGCTTGACGAGTCCCCAAAGCCCCACCCGGATTTGGCCTTGTCATTTCCCTCCGGCCGCGGACGGCGGTTTTTGTTTTGCGACCGGGACTCGCCCAAGGTGGCGGTTTCTCCGAGCAGGTCGTCCAGGCTCTCCATAATGCAGGATCTTTTGGTGCTTCAGAGGTTCTAAATGCACTTACCCGCAGACGCCTGAATCCGTGTCGCGCACATTGGACTGGAAGCTGCGGAATAGTCTAAGGCTGTCAAGGGTGGACTACAACTACCTAGGCGCCCATGAGTACCAGTGCGGGAGCTCAAGCGACTACACTCTCGCTATGCGCAGCTCTCGTTGAAATTTGCAGACCTCTCCGCTTCTGAAGCTTCCCTCAGACGTGCACTTTTGTCAGCGCGGTGAAACAAGTTCGCCTTTGCTCGTCGTAATAAATGTGAATGCGAAAGCGAAGCGGCCAACAAGTAGTACGCAAAAAAATACTTACTTGGTTCCCTTCTCGAGAACCGCCTCTCGCAACGAGCCGGCGAAAAGAAAAAGACCGGGAATGACGCATGGCGATCGCCGACATCATGGCTTTGCTCGGAACCAAATCGCAGCAGGTACAGTATTTCCGTTTGGCAAGCTAGCTTTTTCTAGACGTGGCGTTGTCGTGTTCTCCGGGAAGACAATTTATATTCCCTAGTGCATTTTCCTACATACAAGTTCATCTCTTGAGAATTATTTTCATTCATTGTTTTACCATGCAAAACTACTACCAAATCATCCTTTCACTGAATGTGTTTCCATCCGAGGTCGAAATAATCAAGATGTGAATCTTCCGGGATCACAACAGAAAAACGAAAGAGGAATTCAGCATTGTCATTGGCTGAAAATCCGATGCTTAGAGCTTTCCTGGCTACTTCGATCCAAGAAAAGCAAGAAAGTTACATCATTTTTATCTAACCATTTCCAAAATTGAACGTACGAAGTGCTAAAATGCAAGCAAGCAACGTGTAGAATTTACTGTATTCCCTCAAAAAATAGTGCATACAACGCCACACCATAAGGAGACATCAAACTTGTGTCAAAGATTAGTGACAATTGGAAAATTTGACGTGGTGGCACTATGTATCTTCACCCTTGCCCTTCGCGGAGGTGGTACGCAATCATATTGTCATCTTTGTTGTATTCTCTAAAACTTCCTACTACGTATGCGTATGGGCGCGCACGCTACATCGCAAAGGAGAAAAAATCTGGACTCACTTTTGTCAAACAGAATCAATGGAAAAGGTCTCAAGCAGGAAAAATATCTTTCTACCATGAGAAAGTATGTGTCTCAGAACTACGCCTCACACTTGTGGATACTTGCATGATGTGGTTCCCATTCCATCACATCTCGTCATGACTACAGTCTCTCTGCTTACTATTACGCGCAATTTTCTAACCCATGGAATCGTCCGGCTCCCCGTTGATGACCATGGCATGGGACACACCAACCGGAAAGAGCGCGGACTCGTGTTCTTCCTGTGCGGCCAGGAGGTAGAGGTTGCTAATAGCAAAATTTAACGCCCAGTGCGCAATCTGAACGGCGCCAGGTGCGGCGGCCTCCGGGTCCGCGCCGAGCTCGTGCGAGTCCAATTCCCGTAGAATCCGGTCGCGAATGTGGGGGTATTTTGTCTCGCGGAAGACATCCTCTGTTGTGTGATTTTCAGCAGGTCTTCATAAATGCGTTTCTTTCACTCTCCGTCAGAACGGCCCGATGAAAAACTAGGAGAGGCCGCGAGGACGACGACGAGGAGAAATACAAGTAGAGCTACCTTTAATAAAAGCGAAAGCATTCTTCTTGACACAACAAGGACAAGCAGAAAGTGATCTATCAGTACCCAGCTGACTTCTGTAGGTATCGCGGTGCAATCGGACATCCGTTCCTGCGGCCGCTTGTCGCTCCAGGTCCCCGAGCTGCAGCATACGCAGAAACAACGGCCCGACGTGGGAATTGTGGGGCCTGGTTCGCCTCTTCGCCAAGAAATCGGGGCGCTTGACTAAAGCCGCGTTCGTTGCGCGGCCACCCAAGGTGAAGAGAAGTTTGGATACGGCGTCAAGGTCTTGCTCCGCTGGGTCCTCCTCTGGCGCTGGGGCTGCCCTCCCCCCCGTTACGTTCTTGCGGCCCACCATCCCGAACACCTGGTGCTCGGAGGCTTTTGGATCAACATTTCGTGTACCGTTCTTGGGAGATGAAGCACCACCAGCGTTATTTCCTTTGATTCCGCCAGTTGTATTACCGTGGTTGCGAGGAATAGAAGTTGCACTCGGCGTCGGCCCGCTCGGACGTATTGCGCCTTGCTGCGGTAACGCTTTTGATTGTTCCGGATGAATTGCACGCCTTGCTTGTGCAGTTGAAATCGTAGTCGTACTATCACCGCCGTAGTACAGCCTGGTGACCAGTTCCGGCGGAAGCTGCAAAAACGGGTGCACCCCGATGCTGCGCAGCGCTTGCAAAACGTTCTCGGCGAGCTCATGGATCCGGTTTTCTGCTATTTGTGCCGCGACTCGCTCCGTCTCCTCGTATTCCGCCTTCATGCGCATCACGGCGTGCTTTTCCTCGTCCGTGGCGCACTTCACCCGCACGGTCGGTCCCTTGGCCCCCATACCCGCGGTTTTGTAGTGGAGCTTCACCGTCTCCAAGTCGAAAAACGGAAAAAACCACTTTGCCACCGCGTTCGTGGACAGTTGCAGGGAGCTGATCCACGCGTTACAGGACTCTTTATTCCCGGATTCGTCCACCGAGGCGCTGCTGAATTTGATCGTGTCGTCAACGAGTTCCTCGACGTCAATAGGTTGCCGTTGCTCCGCAGAAAAAAATCGATGGACCCGCACGACCCGGAACTCGGTGCTCACGGCGAATTTCGGTAGGTGTTGCATCAAAAAGTTTGCCAACGAGGTCGGTGCCGTGGTGGCGGCGGTGTTTATTTCGCCTGTAGTCGGCTGTAGCTCCTGCGCGGTGGTCGTGGCTATATTTCTGTTCGCTTGAGATGGCGAGGAACTTCCGGCGACTGCCATGGGCACTTTCAAGACGGTGATGTCCAGAGCGTCGACTTCAGAGAAACTGGTGGTGAAGTGGCTGTCCGCCACGAGAAATCTGAAACGCATACCCTCGGCGCGTGCTGTGCCGAGGTCTTCTTTCTCAGACCTCCCGGATTTTTTGGACAAAAACTTCTTGGACGTCGAAGATCGTCCTGTGGGAGACGACTTAGAGTTGTGCTGGACCTCCTCTGTGTTCTGAGTCAGGTTGCTCACCACGACTGGTTTTAGCAAGTAGGCCTGATACCGCACTGTCTGGTCGAATCCCACGTCTCTTTCCACTTCTACCAAAGGAAAAAACAGCTCCCCGTTTGCAACGACCGTGATTCTTCTGGGGTCGATTTGCGTCTGGATGCCGGTCTGCAGAAACCGCACTTCCGTGTACGGGCGCGGGAAGAGCTCGTGTCGAATCACGATGGCGTCGCCAACGTGACTATCGGTTTTCTCTCCATGAAGATCCTCTTGTACTTCCGGATTCACGCGAACGATACACAGCCCTTCTAGATGGTTCGGATCGAGCTGGACTTTCAGTGGCAGGTGTTGTGCATCTGCTGTGTTTAGAGAACCAGTAGGTTCGATCGCGACAGGTAGAGCACTGGCGGTGCCCGTCTTCACAGGCTCTTTTATTTCAACGCTACCTGTTGCCGGCGTTCCGTGGCTGTTCTGCACATGCTGGCCACCCTCTACTTCGTGATGATCTAGTGCACCTAGATCCACTTCCATATCATTTGCAGTATCGCTTCGAGCACCCTGTTCGGCCGCACCGCCTCCTTGTCCAGAGGATGTTGATGATGCCAGAGACCCGGATGACCCAGCTGAGGACATCATAGGGGAGAGCCGGTACAAGAGCAGCGTCGGCGGGGCGCTCGTAGTTCCGTTCGTAGTAGCAGCACCGCCATTTCCTTGCTCCCCTTGAAGACGATTATATTCTCGCGCAGTCTCGCTAGCCGCGTGAAGCTCCTGGGACTCATCTTTTGCGAGGAACTCCTCACTGAAGTCCAGGTCATTCTCGTGCAAGCCGTCAATGATCCTGCAGTCCGTTCGGTCCGGCGCAAAAAGCTGCTCGACCAGCTCGTCGCACGTGCCGACGGACGCTGCAGAGGAAGAACTAACCTGCCGATGGAGCCCTTGACAGTCCTGCTCCACGATGTCGCCAGGTTTTGAACTAGGCAGGCTCGAGGCCTGGTGCTCGTCTACCATTTCGCCGTCCTCACCCCCAAGCGCATGATCCTCTTGGAGAGGCACTGCGGCACTGCCGCGCGGCGTAACCGGAGGAGTCGATCCGGCCTGTGTGGATTCCACGTCTGTGCCAGCCGTCCCGGCTTCAACATCATCGTCGATAACATCGTCCAGATCTCCCGGGGGCGCATTCGTCTGCTCCTCATCCACGTCCATATCGTCGCTATTTACCATGCTATTGCTACTGCTACCCCCCTCGTGTAGTTCCTGGTCCACTTCCATGCCGTAGGTAGTAGCACCTTCGCCACGGCCAGTGGGATCCTGGCGCTTCGAAGAAGATTTCCTGGAATGAGCGACTTTATGGGCAGCTTGTACTCGGGTCTTTTCGTTTGCGGACGGTCCCCGAGAACAACGGCCCTCGCTTGTCGAGGCTGTTGATGCACTCGCGCTCCTAACGTGCTGCTCGTCCCGGAACTGGTGCAGCCCGGACCCAAGAATGGGCTCCAGCAGTGCGCGGGGGCTGAGCGGCCGCACGCCAGCCTCGTCTGTTTTTTGGGCTAGCCACAGCCACCACACACCGGCTTTCGCGAGTTGAATGAAATCAGTTTGCAGGTAACGCTCCCGACTGTGCACCAGCTCCGCTACCAACCCGAAGTTTTGCAGGAAATCCAGCAAAGCTTCCCGCAAATCCTGCTGTACCTCCTGTCTCGCGTTTGGATTCATCTTCAAAACCGGATTCATAGTACTGTAGTCAGGATTAGCAGTGCACGAGGAGCCCGGGGGTAGTGCAGATGACAAAGTAGAAACGGCCGCGGGGCCTCCAGTATTTTGAACAGTTGTTGGTCCGGTCGTCGTGCCGCTGTCAACCTCGTCGATCGTTTGCAGCAACTCGCCCATGGTGCGCAAGGAAAACCTGCCAAACGCGTTCCCCGCCTTCCGCTCCCATTGCAAGTTGATCAGCCGTAAACTGTTCGCCAACAGTGTCGTTGACGCATCGTCTTCAGAATTATACGCAGAGCTCTTAGAGCTGCACCTACTACTAGGTTGCTCCTGCAGGAGCTTTCCAACGATCTCTGCCTGCTCCGCCTCCAGCTGCTGCTGCCGCTTCGGGCTCTGCGCATTTGTCACGTACTTGCACAGCTCAACGCGGTGATGGAAGAAGTTGCGTTTCCGTAGGGATTTCAAAAACAAAGACGTCGTTATATGCGAAAAGTCCCGCGGGCGTTGCGGAGTGCCGACGACAAACTTGGCGAGTTGCTTGTTCGTGTTCCGGTTTTGTATTACCGCCTCACGCAACTGGTGTTCCTTGCTCGTCGTCCCGCTCGTCAGCAGCGCTCTCCTATTCAAGCTGCAGATCTGATCCAACTCGTACCAAGCCAGCACTTCCTCCTGGTGGTTGGTCACTGCGGAGCCGAACAAGAAGGAGACCGCATTGACGTGCACGCGCGACAGCGTGGTCAGCTCCCGCGCGAATTTTGGCTGTCCGGGCAACCCGTCGGCGTCCGACGGGAACGAGCCGCCGCCGGACAGGAGCTGGCGCCCGGAGAAATCAAAATGCGATGTAGTTTGCCTGCCCAAAGAAGCGGACATAGTATTACCGGCCCGGGCCTGCTGCGCGCTGTACACCAAATCGGGGCGATTTTCGAAGAAATTGGCCTCCGCGGCGGCGGACTCGACCAACTTACGGACGTACTCCCTCCGGATTTCCAAATGCGTAGCCAGCCGGCGGAGATGAAGCGCCTCCCGGTCGTGTTGCGCTTGCGCCGGTTTCGCAAACTGCCCCGGGCCGACCCACCGCGCCGCCAGCGTCTCGAACCCGGGAATCGCTGCCCACGCAAGGATGTTTTGCACTCGGTCCTCCGAAACGACGCGCTTCGCGTGCGTCTCGCCGTCTTCGATCTCGAGGACGCGATTTTTCATGGCGATCTCGGTCTCAAAGAAGAAGCTGACCAGCGTTTCCACCGCCTCTGCGTCCCGCATGTTGGCGGGACATTTGTTCAGACCGTCGCTTGATGCAACATTGATCGATGGTCCACTCGAGGACACGCCTCCTGCTCCGTGTAGCTGCGCATAGCCAAAAGCCGGTCCGCTTGTTCCTGATGTCCTATTTCCAGATCCAATGGCAGACGCACGCGACAGGGATCCGGCCAGCAAGCCTGTTGCGGCTTCCTTCTGTGGGGGACTACCTGACGAAGCGGTCGGTGTGGTGCTTCTGCTCATCCCGGGGACTCTGACCTTCTTTGCGTTTAGCAGACTGTGGAGGTCGCTAAAGGAGTTGATGCTGGCACTGCTGGTACGGATAAAATTTATCATTGCGTGCGCCCGGATGCCGTTCTTGTCCATGATTGGCTGCGAAGGTGGCTCCTCTTCGTCATCTGTCTGCTGCTTTTTCTCTTCTGGTACCGCGTCAGCTCCTTCTCCTGTGCCCGTTTTTGTCGTAGCGCATTTAATATTGTCCTCCGCGGAAGCTTGCCGCTCCAACAAGGTCATGCCCTGCGCAGCCTGCATTCTGGCCTTGCTGCAAGGCGACAGATTTTGCTGCTCGATTTCGTACAGTCGCGTCACAAGCAACGCTAGCTCTTGGGAAGATGCGGTGCTAGCACTATCTTCGCGAAAGTCTGCATCTTCGTCCTCCTCGAAGTCCCACAGAAAATTGGGAAATTTCACGTGTTGTTTCATCAACTGCAGTGTCTTCTGAAACATCCAGTGGCGCAATTCCTCTACGACAGCGATATACTTCGCGAACAAGTCCAGTTTCATGGCCACTAAATTCGCCAGACTCGGAAACAACGCAAACGTGCGCAACATCTGCTTCCCGGCAAAGGTCGGATTTTCCTCGATGACCAAGTTGGATTGGGTTTCGTGCGCTCCACAGTGGGGAAAGGGATTCAAGATGTGCCAGTTATTCCGCGAATCACCACCGAAATTGTCTCGCCAACTTTCACCCAACTCTTCCGGTTGCCAATCACACGCGACGTAAGAAACGCGGGGGTTCGGTATTGTGCCTGGTTGGAGATTATACATGAAGCAGTAGCAGGACTGACGCCGTTAAATAAGTCAACACGAAATCAAAGCCAGCGCCCCCAGTCTCTCATATTCCATAAAGTCTATTAATTGCTAGAAGCGCGACGTACTTTGCAACACATGACTGGGTATGCTTTTGAATCGAGGTGGGGACGACAAACCCAAAATCCTAAAAGTAAAACACCTGTTGATCCTCTTGAGTTCAAGAAAAAGAATTGCAAAAATCCGATTCTTTTTTCTACCTCCGGGATTTGCGAGTTTCCGCAGGCGATTGGCCTCGTCGACGACCATGGCAGCGTCTTCCGGGAGAACGTAGAGCAAGACGCTGCTGGGGTCGAAGTCCGGGAGTTCGCCGCTGTACACCGGTTTTCCGGAAAGCCAGTGTGGAACGGTGCTCACGTCCGGAGTGGTTGCTTGGTACAAAGTGCTGGGAGAAATATTTCCGCCAGGAGACGACTTCTTCTTGGAGGACATCTTCTTCGCTTGTTCTGTAGTTGTAGAAGAAGCACCACGACCTCCAGGAGCAGCACAGGTCGGTGAAGTAGTAGGATCATCCTCTCCACCCCCGCCACTTTCTGTGCCTGCACGTGAAACGCCAAACTTCTTGGAAAGCCCGGCGTACCACTGAGTACTGTTCCTCATGACATTCTGCTTGATAGGGTCCGTCGTCAGGTCGTCATCGAATTCTTCCTTCTCCAGGGTCCACTGGGACGCGAATTCTAAGAGCGCCGAGCGCACCTCTTCCTTCAGTGCAGACTCCAAGGAGAAAATTTCCTGCAGCTTCGGGTAGTCCTCCCACGGGATCAGGTCAACTGGTGTCTTCGAAGAAGAAGAGGGCGCGAAAAAGGCAGCAGACCGGGGATTGTTTTTCTTACCAGGAACAGCGGCACCTGCAGCCGTGCTAGATGGAAGTGTAACTGATTTCGGCGTCCCTGCTGGAAGAGCTGGAGCTTGGAACAATGTCGGAAAGCTACTCGCACCCAAGAACGTGTACAGCAAATCTGAGCGGCCCGCGCCTAGAAGATTCGCGACGCGCAAACGTCGATCTGCGTATGGGGCGCGGAAAGACTCAGCTTGTTCCGCTGGTGGTTTTGCGCCCATCTCTTTCGTGCCTGACAGACGAGGCGAAGTCACCACAAGAGTGCAGAGATATGTATTCTGTGATACGTCTTCTCCATCCCGGTTCTCTTCGGGGGACCGTGGAAGTTGTGATCCGACGAAAGCTGGTTGTGCATCTCCTGTCGCCGACGCCAGTCTATCGACGCCCTTTGCAACACAAACCTGTGGATCTAGCCCGACACTGCCGTCTTGGGCGATGCCATTGGTTTTGAACCATCTCTCGATGTGGTGACCAACTGAACCTGCAGGATTATTTGCATCATTTCCCACTGGTACTGCTTTCATGTCTATACACGAGGATGCGGATGTTGACATCGCTGTCTCTGCCCCACCCGCAGCACCCGCTGCGGATGTGCCCGCTTTACTATTCGCTTTTGCTTGCTTGCCTTTCTTCTTCTTTCCGCCTGATGCAGATGCTCCTGGTGCTACTTCCGGCTGCTCACCTGTTACCAGCGCTCCTGGGTCATTTGCAAGACCGCCTGCTTTTGCGCTGTCCTCCCACGAACTCACGTCCACATCCGGCGGAGCCAGCTGTGCCTGGACGACGACACGCTCCGCCGTTCCGTCGCTCTCCACTCCCAACCGCAGGAGCAGCGGAACCCGCACCGACGGCGCAGCAGCCCCCACCTCTTGCTGGACGAGCATGTTCGGTCTGAACCCGCCTTCGAGAAAGAAGTAGGCCTTTTGCTGCGGGGACCCCAAATGGAAGGCCTTGGCCATCTCCAAGGAGGCGTGGAAAAACAGTTTGCAGCCCGATCCGCTCAGATACGCCCCGCCCATCGGTATCCTATGTAAAAACGTTCCGTTCCCACCCCATAGGTGCGATGCAAATCTGCATGCTGAAAATATTTCTCATATGAAGGGACAAAATACCCAAACCTCACTCATAAACCACCTTATTACTTTTTCAAAAAAAGCATTACCGAAACATTGCATTTTCAGAATTCAAACATTGCATTTTTGCAAAAATGCAATGTTCTTTTGCATTTTTGGGTAGGACCGAAAAACTCACATCCGGGATCGAAAAAACCGAAGGTCGAACTGCAAAGCCTCGATCTCGAACTTCAAAGCCTCGACCTGCGAATTTCAAAAGCCGATCTGCGAATTTCTATTCCGATCTGCGAAGTTTCAACCTCCTTCGCAACCGTCCGCAGTTTCACTTTTTTACCGAAATAGCAAAATCGAAAACCTGTGATCTAATAAAAAACCACAACTCTGCGCCCCTTCACCCCAGTGACAGACTTTCCCGCCTGCGCGCAGCGCGCGCGGGTATTCTCTCGAAGCCCAGCGGACAAAATCCTCCATGCGGGAGATAAAATCCGCCATCCCGGAGAAAAAATCCGCTGTCTCGGAGAAAAAATCTGCCTCCTTGGGGGCCCAGAAAATCGGCGACTGCCGGACAAAGTCAGCAAACCCGTCACTTTCGCCACTTTTCGCCAAAAAATCCGGAATTCGGGCCACAATTTCCGGATATTTTGGGAGTTTTGGCCCAAAATGACAGGCTTTCAGATTTTATCCGCCGTTGCCAGATTTTTGGCGTCCTGAGCCAGCCGATTTTTTCTCCTAGCCGGCGATGTTTTTTCTCCGGGATGGCGGATTTTATCTCCCGCATGGAGGATTTTGTCCGCTGGGCTTCGAGAGAATACCCGCGCGCGCTGCGCGCAGGCGGGAAAGTCTGTCACTGGGGAGAAGGGGCGCAGAGTTGTGGTTTTTTATTAGACCACAGGTTTTCGATTTTGCTATTTCGGTAAAAAAGTGAAACTGCGGACGGTTGCGAAGGAGGTTGAAACTTCGCAGATCGGAATAGAAATTCGCAGATCGGCTTTTGAAATTCGCAGATCGAGGCTTTGAAGTTCGAGATCGAGGCTTTGCAGTTCGACCTTCGGTTTTTTCGATCCCGGATGTGAGTTTTTCGGTCCTACCCAAAAATGCAAAAGAGCATTTCATTTTTGCAAAAGTGCAATGTTTGAATTCTGAAAATGCAATGTTTCGGTAATGCTTTTTTTGAAAAAGTAATAAGGTGGTTTATGAGTGAGGTTTGGGTATTTTGTCCCTTCATAATTTCTCATGCGGAGCCCCATAAGAGGAGATTTCTCGTCGTGTCTCGGAATTTGCCATGCTCCAATCAGCGCGATGCGCTAGATCTGTGATGCTGCTGAACTAGCTGAACAGGATTACATTAGGAGGACAAACTTGTCATGCGAAACAACCAGAGCTGGTTGATTTGTATAGCAAATTTCCCATCTTGATTCTGGTCGTGTGGGGACGTTTTTGCTCAGGATAATCGCCGCTTTTTCCATGCTCAGCCACTTGTCCACGAGCCGCGGAAAGGGCGTTTCTCGCATGAACCCATCCGGGTCCCGCAGAAACACGCGACGCAGAAACCCCGCCACCTGCACGTCGATGTTGTATGACAGTGCACAACTCCCCCTCCCCCTCATTTGTATAGCATGAACGGCAATACAAGCATCAGCAAGAGAAAGAGTGCCGGTTTTGCATGACAAATTTGCACTGGAGTGCAGTGCTATTTGGGCTACGAGAACTTGTCATGCAAACATTGCCAAGAGGCAAAGAATGGATTGGGTATTTTGCATCACAAATGAGGGGGAGGGGGAGTTGTGCACTGTCATATGTTGCGCATCTTTTCCTGAATCAGGTGGCGAAACACCTGCGTGGCCATGTTCCCCGGACTCAGGTTCGGCACCCACAAGGCTTGCGGCACGTCGCTGGGGAGCTCCAGGCCCGACACCGCGTGAAACGTCATTTGCTGCTCCTTCCCCCAGTGCTGCAAGTACTCCGGCAACCCCAGGGTGCCCAGGACGCGGGCAAAAATGTCGGCGCGCAGCTGGGCCATGTCGTCTTTGGTTAACAAGTGGTCGACGTGGTCCCCGAGATCGAAAATCTCCATCAGTTTCTTCATGGCTGGATTCTTCTTGCTACGTTCGCCTGTATGATCAAAAGATTCCTCGCTTGTTCTACTTGCAGGATTCGGCTGCCGAGATGAATCTGAATCAGGGGTGGCTTCATTCCTTTCCGTTCTTTTCGCGGCTCCAATTCCATTCTGGCCAGCTTCCTCTTGCTTGTCTGCCCCACGACCTGCAGATGACGTCTCAACACCTGTTGTACCAGTACCAGTCCAAACGACGTTGCTGCCCTTCCCGAAGGCCGCCGGGGAGGCCAGAAAGTAGTCCGACTCCACGCCTTCTGCGGACGGGAGGGAAGAAGGCGAATCACTGCTGTCCGCGGTGCTGTACCTCATGTGAGTTCTCTCCATCGCCTCGCACTTGTGGTATGCTGGTGTCGTCATATCAACCACATCTTCGAACTCCACGAGAATGTTGCCGGTCCGACGCTTGTAGTCCTTGTCAATGACGAGATTACCGGTAGAATTTTTACCGGTCGCAGCGTAGTTTTCTCCTGGTTCTTGCATCTCCTCATCCTCTTCGACGATTGTTCTCTGCGGAGCTGCTGCTCTGCCATTCCTCCCCTTGCGCAGCAGCGGATTCTTTTTGTCCGCGGCGACGGAGGCCTGAAACAGGGGGTCCCCGATGGCCATCGCAACGGCATCGTTGATCACGTTCTGCATTTGCGGCGTGTACATCCGGCCCGCGTGCATCTATCCTATGTAAAAACGTCCCCACACCATAGTCAAGATGGGGAATCGGCTAGACAAATCCACAAGCTAAGCTTGTGGCTGTTTTGCATGACAAATTCGGACTCGTAGTGTAGTGCTGTTTGCGGTAGTTCAGCAGCATCACAAGTCTAGGATATCATGCTGATTGGAGCATGACAAATTTCAAAACGCGAATAGCAAATGCTTCTCATGGGGATCCGTATGAGAAACATTTTCAGCATGCCGATTTGCATTTACAACTCTGGGGTGCGGACGTTTTTAAATACGATAGCATCTCCAGTGTGGTTTCCGCGGAAAAATCGTGCTTGTACGTGTTCCCCCGCACCTCCACCGCTAAACGCTTCACGCCCGCGTCCGCCAGGCTCGTGATAAAGTCCCCCTGGTGGTCCGAAAACACTTGCCGGTACCCGGAGATCGTGTTGAAAAACCCGGTGGTGGAAAAGGAGCTGTGCAGTTTCTGCAGCAGAAACCCAAAAGTCTTGTAGCTCCACTGGTTGAAGTGCAAAACCTGCAGAATCACGCTCGACCTCGGCTGCAGGTAAGAGCCGGGAAGTCCCGCAGCTCCGGCAGGAGAAGCGAGAGGGGAAAAAGGCTGCTCCCGTTGTTGATGTAGGTGTTGTCCCCCTGATTCTTGTTTCCTAGAAGTTGTTTTCGGCCCCTTCAGCGTGCAGCAGTAGGCTAGGCTTTCCGGTGCCTGCTGCGGACTTTGCTTCTGCAACGACTTTTCAATGGCCTTTTCGAAGGCCTCTGCGTCAAATTTCGTGGACAAATGGCGAACTATTACGCTGGCCCGCCGCGGCGGCGCGCTTCTTTCGGACTCAACCTGAAGGAGATAATTAAGTAAGTATTTGTTCATGAACGTGCATGTTGAGGAGGGTGCCGTCATCATCATCAAACTTGCCCACATAGAAGTACTGCTCTCCAGGTCCGATAGAAAGAGATTTGACAAGGACTGCGACGTTTAAGAAGACCAAGTCCCAGACTCGAGTAAGTTGTACTTAAGTGGATCATATCCACCTAAATCCTGAAACCTAAACTAAACGCATCCGGAAGTTGTACTTCAGCATCATCATCATCATCATTTATCCTGCACTAGGGGGGGGCGTGCGGAGGTTTGGGCTCGAGTTCGTTCAAGCTGCAAAACAAAAAGCTCTATTGCTTCTCTACTTGTGCTGCATCCGCCCCTGCCCCTTCGCTGCCCTGCTGTCTCGCTGCCTGCGCAGCACCGGATGGTGGTGTTGCGCCGCTATTTCCCACCTTTTGCTGGCTCCTTTTGCGCCGCAGGACGTGCTGCAAAAAGTCCGACACCAGATCGAGAGACATGGGAAAAGCCGCGTGCTGTTGGTTGGCCAGCCCCGCACTGAGCAGAAAGTAGCGCAACCCATACTCCATGTACTGCAGCCAATCAACGCGGAAGAAGGCTTTTATGAAACTGCGAATTGCGCCAACCCCGGACGAACTCAACTCGGTACTGAAACAGTTTGTGCTCGCAAAACTTTCCCATGGACGAATAAACAAACGCGCAACAATGCTCATGTGCTCACAACACAAATTTTCGATGCAGAAACAGAAACGGTGGTCTTAGTCCTACCGTACAGCACAAAACGTTTACATGATTTGGATTTGGAATGAATCTCGAACAGAACAACATCAAACAAAAGTATAGGTATTCCATCCCGGGGCGTTCTCGACGGGGCAGCATTAGACTTTGCCATTGCATAGCCTTGTCGGGATACTCTTCCAGGAGAATTTTCCAGACGACAAAATCCGCCGTGTCGCTTGGCAGGTGGGACGAGATTTTGTCGTTCAAAATGCCGCGAATCTGCTTCAAATCGCTGTCCGTCTTGCAGTACTGCAGGAAGAAGTCGCGCCGCTGCTCGATCGACTGCAGCCATCGCTGTAGGTGCGCGCTGCTGTCGGGGCGCTGCAGACACGCCTTCTTGATCTTGCACTTCACAGCCGAGTACGTGTCGATCGCATCTTGCAGTCCATCAAGCACGTCCTGACACCCCGGACTCTTTAAGTCGCCTTGAAAATCTGCCAGGATCTCGTCAAAAGCTTCGTCTGTCTGTTGTTCCACCTGTTGCTTATTTTTAGTACCTTTATTCTTGTTCTTCCCACCTTTATTCCCTTTACTCTTGTTTCCCGCAGGTGGTCGGGACGAGCCGGGGGGGTCATCGGCTTCTGTAGCCGGTAGCACTTCGCTTCTTGTTCTTTCCTTAACGGAAGTTTGGGCTGCTCCTTTCGAAACTGGCACGAGATCTTCTTCTCCGGGCTCGTTAGTTCTTTCTGGACCAAGATCCACTGGTACAACTTCGCTTACAGCGACCGCACCGGGAGCGGAACCTTTATTTTCGTGCGGATCGTTTGTCGTTTCCGCCTCTGCTGCTCCTGTAGTGGTGATCTCGGGCAATTCCTTTGTGCTGTCCATTTTTTTTCCGTTCTTGTCATTGTCTTCCTCCTGCGCGGCTTCGAACTCTTTGGCACGACGCTTCGCAGCAGCCATTTTTTTCTGCCTCTTCGATAAAGCTTTGGCTGGCGGTGGCGTCCCTGCCACCGCGGGCGCGACGTCACTAGCAGCATGAAGATCTTCCCCCGCAAGCGGCGCTGCGGCTGGGGCTGCCCCCATGGAAATGAAATTACTTTTGCTTTCCTCCGGCTTGGTGTGTCCCTCTTGCCTCTCGCTGCCATGATCTTCATCTTCCACATCTCCAGCACCATCGGCACTACGCCTTTGGTGCGCTGATCCTCCATCCGATTCTTGGGAAGAAGAAGAAGAAGCTGGAGCTTCCTTCTCGGCATTTTTAGGCCTTGCAGGACTATCTTCTCCGGCATTCTTGGGTCCGCTTTCATCATCTTCCGGAGGAATCCCTGGATCACCGGTAGTGCCATCTACTTCTTCGCCACTGCTATTCCGCACCTGTGGTCCTTCCAATTCATCGCCGGCAAGGAATGCTGGTTTCTTTTCGTGCGCCGTAACGAGCATTTTTCTCCTCTGCACTTTATTCCAGCCAGATGACAGCAACGCGGCGGCAACATCATCTTCATCATTAGTCTCCGGATCGTGATCGTGCGCTCGAGTCTCCTGAAGACTCTCCTTTTCTTCATATCTCTTGCCACTCGGTTGTACAACTGCTTCAGCGGCATCGGATGACGGTAACCGCAGAACCGCGACGGCGGGATTATTTCCGACCGGCTTGTTTTCACGGACTGTTCGTTCGCGTGGTCCTTGATCAACGGGCAGGAGTGGGGGATTTGGGTCGTTCACTATTTCGCTCCAGTTTGTTCCGGAGCTGCTTTGTGTTTCACGACTCGGAGCCCTGCTTGAGTTGTGTGAAGATCCTGCTAGATGACGCTCTTGGTCGTTGTCCAGGTCGACGAACTCATGATGTGTCGTGAAGACGTCGCTTCTTTTAGGACTACTTCCAACTTGCCGAGTGGTTTTCGTCCCAGGAGGCGTCACAAGATCACTACCAGCGCCGCGGGGTATGCAAGAAAAAAACTGTGTAAGTGTAACTTTGTCTGGCAGATGTTGCAATACAGTTACACTTGTCATGCCGGATATGCATCAGAGGCGATTTTAATACGTGTTTTCGCGTACTAGCTACGCATGACAGGTCTTCTGTCATGCAAAACAAATCTGTGATGCTGTTCCTGCAAAAAAGTTACAGTTACACAGTTTTTTTCTCTCCATACGGGGCCAGGACACTACACTACGGTTCGTCCCGAAGATCCATTCGCTGCTGTTCCACCTGGGAATTGGAATCGGTGGGCTCGGGCCAAGGCTGCCTGCGGATGGCTTGTAGTTGCCTTTAGGACCACGAGTTGCCGGGAGATGCAGCATAGTTCTATTTTTGTCGCTACGATTCTGCTGCAGATCCCTGGTGTTAATATCGTCCTCCAGCGGTGCAGGCGACGCTCTTGCGGCTTGAAGATCACGATCCGGATCATTTTTTGTTGGCACAAATGTTGACATCAAACCTGGAGCTAGTTCCCGTAGCTGGTTCTCGGATACTGGAATCGGTTGCAGCCCCAAGAAGCCCGGCCGACCGATCTGTTGTGAGGAAGTAGGGTGCTGATGTGCCTGCTGTTCTACTTGCTGCGATGCGAAAGGGTCGGCTGGGGGTGCGCGAGTGTTGGGCGACGTCGTGAAAGGACTAGCATTTTTATCCTGGCTTGTGGTGCCATCACCTAGAGGATTGGGATTTCTCACGGTCTGCTGCTGTGCTGTCACCTGTGATTGAGCAGGAGCAGATTGCAGGGGCGGTAAAATCGTGGTAGCTCCTACTTGACTGGGAGGGACAAAAGCACCACCTCCACAGGGCGACAGGAAAGGCGCACCCGCACTATGCGGGCCCCCGACCGGGGATATTCTTTGTTCTCCTGTGGGTGTGCTCGCGACCATGTAGTAGCAATATTCGCCGGTATAGCCCGGGGGTGAGTACACGTAGCAAGGATACTGTCCTGCCGCAGGTGTCGCAGAAGTGGTGGCTGCACCAGGCACAGCATGGCGTGTGTCGGAACTGGGAGAGCCTTGTTGCGGAGGTTGAATAAATCCGGGCCCGATTGCGTCGTAGCCAGTCTGTTGAAAGTTTGGAAAACGAAGATGTTCCTGCACAGCAGGGGTATAATTAAAACTGATGTTGTGGTGGGGTCCTATTTGATGTTGTAACAATGCCTGCTGTAATTCTATCGGAGAAGCGCCGGCGTACTCATAACAGGGCTGTGGACTCTCCCACCCGGCGGCGGCGTGCAGCTCCTGCAGTGGCGGCGGACGGCGTTGTTCTAGTGGTAGGAGCGGATCACCTTCCTCAAGCCCAGGACGATGGGCCGCTGCCGCTGCGCCGGTACTAGCGTCAACAGGAAACGGCTCGGCCTGTTGTGTCTGCAGTAACTGTAGCCCCTCTTCATCGTCGTCGTGTTGTTCTATCACATGCTCGTACGGAGGCCAACTCCGGCTTCGCAAAGACGCCCCAAGGCCAAAAATGCTGCGGCCGGAGGTTTCCACCAAGACGGCGAGAGACACACTCGAGAGTAGAAATCTGAAATTCATTTTCACATACTAGATTCTTTTACGGAGCAGGACCAGTCAAATGGGTTTAGGGTTACATTTTTTTTTACTGTCCATAGAGCGATTTCCCGAACTATAACCAAGCCGCAGCTAATACTACCTTTCTTTTAGAAGTTGAATGATGCAAGTTGAAGTTAGTAGCTAGAAGTTCATTTTTTGAATAGATACGTAGTCTTAGCCTCAAACTTACAAAGATCATGATCACTAAAGCAACTTTAAATCGGGCGAGTTAGTACGTTCTCATTTTTTTTTTTCTTATTGATGCAAGTTAGTAGGTCTTATTCATTGAAGATACTGCCCTAGAGACGTGCTCAATCAAGGCTCGTGACGTGAGTTCACGGTGAAAATGCAGAATTTCGTTTTCGTCACTTACTATTTCTGTAGTCACTGTCAAAGTTTCAATAATTGGTTCATCTTGATGCAAGTATTTTCATGCAGTACTTCTGATTTACGCTTGCTACGCTGCCAAGAGAGCCAGATCGGACGAAATCGCCATGGCCACGATCTGTAGATTGCAGTGGCGTTCGCTTGTACCAGACTATCGCACGATCAAGCTCGAAAAGAATTCGCTTATCAAACTAAGTCGCAGTTAAAAGTATCAAGATCGAAAAAGTTCGTTTTCAGGTTCACCAGAAGTGCGTCAGATCCTTGTTCGCTTGCGCAGAAAATTGAACTTAAGGGACACACAGCACGGGCCAACACGGAAAACAGGAAAATGGATCAGGAACATTCTCGCAAAAAGTACTACTTAAGTATCTATCAGCCCACGAGTGGCTGTTCGTCCGACATTTCTATTTTTTCAGTAAGCGGCATGAAGAATGGATACTTACATTACGATGACAGAAGATCCCAGCATCTTCGTCGGCGCGATTATTCACTCACTTCAATTTGTTTGCGGGCACAACTTACTACAGCGACTAGTTCCCGTCCGCTACTTCGAAGAGTCCAGTAAACCTTCTGCTTGCTTCTTGGAAGCTGGTGGGCGTGTGCAGGCCGTGTTGATCCAAGTAGCCCTGCCGGCGCCACCGCTTGAGTTGGTTCTTCAATGCCTGTCTCCAAACCCCGGTGCCTACTTTTTTCCGCGTTTCTAGGTCGATCATCTCGACCGAAACCAAATCCGGCGAAAACAGCAGCCCAAAGTGCTCGAACCGCACGGCTCCCGTGGGCTGGTTTCTAACCTCGCTGTCGGTCGGTTTCATCTTCCCGTCAACATCGTTGTCAACATCATCTTGCAGGGGGGACAGCCGCGAGGCCACCCAATGGACTTTGTGCTCCCGCGCGATCTTCCACCGGTCGGCGTGGCGTGCAATGCCGTTGAAGTACACCACTGACTGGTGCCCGTGGGACAGGTCGCTGTTGTACTCCCGGGTCCCGCCCATCAGCTCGTTGATGCTGCGCAACGGAAACAAAAAGTCCCGGCCGTCCGTGTGGCGGGCCACGTCGGTGAGGTCGTTGGGCCACAGGACCAAGCCCAGGTTGTCCGGGTCCGCGGTGGAAGTCTTCGGGTTGTGGTACACCAGGTACTCCATCGGCCAGAAGCTCGCAAGGAAGTGGAGTCGCAGCAAGCGGAAGTATCAAAGTGAAAAAAGCCCCCACCCCATATCGAAAACGAAATTTGTGATGCTGTATTTCAGTACACAAATCAAATCTGTGCTGCAGTAGAGCACTGCACGCAGCTCGCAAGCCTAGGTAGGGGCCTTTTGGTGTAGGCGCCTAGCATGGTAGACGGCTGCCCTGTAGGCCCTACAACATTACAAATCGCCCGCATAACGTGCCGGGCAGCCTGGACTTGCCTTCTTGCAAGACAGACGCGATTTGTGGTCACAAATCTGCATCACAAATTTTCAGATGGATGCGCTTTCAATATGGGGAGGGGGGATTTTTCCTCACGATAGGAAGTAGTCGTCGAACGACTGAATAAGCGAGGACTCCTCGTCACCGAAGGCTGGTGCAGTAGAAGTACTACTATGATCGTTCCCTGAAGTAGAACCTGACGACAGCTTGTTCAGCATCGGCGGTTCATTTCCCACGAAGGGACTGCCGTCGTGTCGGGTGGCCTCGTCGTCGAAAACCTCGACGAGCGACAGCCTTCTACCCAACTCTTTCCAATCTTTCTGCAGCAGCATATCCGATGGCTCGCAGATCACTGCTTCGTATTCACCGCCGTCGCAAATCGCCCCTATGCCCTTACAATTCAGCAGACCAAGGCCGACCTTCTTGGACCTCGACGTGCTGCCATTATGATTGGTCGTACTTCCATGTTCTTTATTTCCACCTTGCGGGGGGCCGCCCACCGTGGTCGTAGTTCTCTCGTCTAGCAATGCGTCAACGACTCGCTTGACTTCGGAACTTCCATGGAGGCAGTAGTCGTGGAAGATGACCAAGGGCTTTACTACCTGATCTTCACGTGGTGTCGAACCATTGGCGCTAGGAGTCGTTCTTGCGATCATCTCGAGCACGTTGATCGCGTCGCTCCACACCCACCGGGCGCCGTGGTTGGCGTCCACAAAAATGACGCCGTAGGGTCCGTTTTCGCGCACGCCCTCCCAGCCTTCCGGGTTTTCGTAAAGGTCCATCGGCATCCAGATCACGTGGTCGCTCCGTGGCGCCGATTTTTCCACCACTTTTTTGCACAATTGCAGCTGGTCCCGGAAGCCCTCGATCACGTACACGTGAGAGAAAAACTGGGTGGCCAGCCGCACGGACTCCCCAACGCCGCAGCCTAGTTCCAAATATTTCCGCCGGTGCTGCGGTCCCAGCCGGTCGAACAGGTCGAGGAACTGCCGGCGCAGCTCGGCGGAGGAACCTCCCACATTTTTTAGCTTCCCCGTGACCAGGTCCCGGGTGTTGACACTAGACGCGAATTCCTCCTCCTGCACCACTTTGTTCCACTGTGGTGAGCCCTCAAACCAAGCCTGGAACTGCGAGGCTCTCGGATCTTCTCGTCCGGCACCCTCGGTGTGCTGGTCTGTCGTTTTCTGCTGGTCGTGGTGCCCCGAAGCACGACACTGCCCCCAGGGGAGCACCGGCGGATTATGTCTGGCTTCATGTTCGTCATCTCCAGGGCCTGACGCCTCATCAACATGATCTTCCGCACGCTGACGACCATGTTGATCTTCTTCCTCAGTATGTTGTTCCTGAGAAGACGGAGGCAGCTGCTCACTCGCCCCTGCCGAAAACACAAATACAACACCTCGTCGCGAGACGATGCCGAGCAGCAGAAAATTCAGAAGAGCTAGGAGCTTCGCTGAACAAAAACAATTGATTCGTCCAGACATGCTCTTTTTTCCTCTTCCGGCCGTACACAAATCTACAAGAGCATACTTCTGAAGTTGTACGTCTACCATGTACCACAGTGACACGACGAGAAAAACTAACAGAAAGAAAAGTGAAAAAATACCGAAGACATCACAATGTCACCAGATGCAGCAGCGCGAAGAAAGCAGCAAGTCGACCAAAGTAATAAATTAGGTACTTACTTACTTGTTCAGACGGTGAGACTTTTGACCGAACACGCAGACCGCATTCAATATTCCGGACATGAACAGTGTAAAACCTACGCTCGGCCAGTGACGAGGGCTCAAGCTTTGCTGCCACTTGTTCATCCTGCGCTTGGTGCACCATCGGTGCGGGTGGGTCAGCCTCAGCACAACACTATTGCCACGCCTAGTCCAAATTTCTCTCCGCAGCCGTGAACAGCTTCTTCCAGAAGGACTTGGTGTTTGCCGCTGCATCTCTGTACCAGGTTTCCATCTGTTCTCGTATCCTCTCCAGAGGTGCTATCCTCCCCGTGCGCTTTTTCTCCTCCGCGAGCACGAAAGCAACCTCCGCGAGCTCGCGCACGCTGCGGTAGTATTGGAGGTGCGGACGCAGCGCGAATTCGGCGATCCGTGCGTAGAACCAGCCCGCGTAGGGATCCATGCGAAACCGGCCCTGCCACTCGAACGGGGTGAATGCGTACGGAAAGGCGCTTGTTCCTTCTAGCGTTTCTGAGACGTTATTTTTCTCGTTAATATCAGCAAAGGCGCTAGCTACCACGTCGGTGCCGGTCAGGGAAATATCAAACAGTGCAGCGTCCGTGCAGGATGATTTTCTCGAGTCTTCTTTTCCGAACAGTTCATCCGAGGAGGAAATCCGCAGTTCTAGACTCGCTTCTCGCTCTCGCTTGCAATTTGCGACCCTGTCTTCGAGTCTCGCATTCACCTCCGGCCGCGGGTCCACGCCTCCGGGGCCCAGCGCATGGCTTCCCCGCCGGGTGTATCGCCACAATTCCCGGTGTACAAAGATGGGCATATGGAAGCGTCAGGTTTGAAATCGACAAAGTTTGTCATGCATAAAATGGATACCAGCTGGACCCGCAGTGTCTAGTCGGTGCATGACAAATCTTGTCCGTACCGGAAGCCAGTTTGTCATGCTGTTCAGGGCAGGGGCTCCCCTCTGTGATGCTAGTCAGCAGCCCAATTCTCGACCCTTACCAGCACTACAATCTGCCTCCCTTGCGTCCTCTGCAATTCAATAGAGGCAATCTCTGCGTTGCATTTTCTGCATGACAAACTATTTCAACTTTGACGATTTCAATCCTGACACTGCCATAGGGCAAGCGCAGCGCGTAGTATTCCGAAAGCTTCATATTCGTTATGTCGTAGGGCCACAGGATAACGAAATCGAAAAACAACGTCTGGGCCATCATTTTTCGGAATCTCTTGGCTTGCGGACCGGAGGCGGGGACCTCCTTGTTCGTCGCGGCTGCGCCAAGTAGTTCCACAGCGTTCGTTCGAAACTCCTGCCAGTCCGGATCTTCTACGCAGGATACGGCAATCTCGGCGCAAGCCACCCTGGATCCCGGCCCATATCCTACGTAAAAACGAATCTGTTTAGATCCCATGATAAGTAAGTGGCACGGAAGTTCTGCTTGCCTACAACATCCAATTCTCAAAACCATAAAATCGAGACGTCGTTTCTACGCAGGATAGCACGCTCTCTTCGATCATCTTCCGCAGCATGATGGACGGTCCGTGCCAGTTCCCGCCTGTGGAGTCGAGCTCTATTATTTTCAAGTTTCTCGAAAACTGAAAATGCTCCCCTTGTCCGGATCGCCGTGCGACGGATAGACGAGTCGAGCCTGGATGAACCAGCACGACTTCGCGGTCTTTTTGATGCTCGTCCACTTCTTTTGCCATTTTTTTCGCGTAGTGCTCTCCGAGCGGCAGGGCCATGACGGCTTGCCAAGGTACGATCCCTGCGTCGGCTATGTAGTGCAGCTGAATGCTGGCGTAAGCGGTGTAACTGACGAAAAAGTAATTTCGGCGCCGAATTAGATCACGAAGCTCATGGCGCCACTGCTCGATTTGCCCTTGCGGCACGAGAAAGTGGAAGGGGTTATCGTAACTGGCCACCACCGAGATCTCCGACGCAGGATAGTCCGCAAACAGTTTGCACCAGAGCACTGGGTGTCCACACAGCACCACATCGAGATTTATGCTCCGACTAGTTCTTGATCGCGTTCTTTCTAGTGGTGAAGACTCCCCAGCAGCACTTGATGTCGGGAAGGTCCGCTCGAGCCACGCGCCAAACCAGGCCTGCAACGTCTCCCAGTCTTCATGCAACTTGGCCTTCGTTTTGTGGATCTGCCCGAGCATCTCGACCAGCTCGGCGTCGCCGGACTGCAGATGCGGAAAGTAGGCTTTGTGGTAGGAGAGCACCCCATGCAGGTGAAGCTTCCAGTCACCGAATTCCGTCTCAATGACGTGCATAGGGTCATACAAGTGACCAAAGTGCCCGCTCAGGTACAGCACTTGCATCTGCCGCTGCTCGTGCTCTGTAGTTGCGGCCCGTGCACCTCCTGCGAAGCTTTTGCTGCTTGTTCCAGGAGTTGCATCAAGTTGATGAAAAAGAATTTGTACGTGCGGCGACGTGAACTCAGGAAACGTTGCCTGTCGGACGAGGCAGGAAAACCCATGTCGATCCGACGCCGTGTGTGCGATAGCAAGCGAAACTTCTTCCATTTTATTCTCTTCGCTGCTGCGAATCCTACTCCTGATGTTGTTCTTGTTCTTCCCCACAACTCTGATTAGATCCGTAGGAGACTGCCACCAAGTCGTAGAAAAAGATGGTGACGACTCTGGGTCTGGGAGGTCTCGACCTGAATACGACGGAGAAGTGGAATCTTCACGACGGCACTCCTGCAGTGATGGACTGTTGAGGCACGCTCCTTCGTGTGAGTACTGCCGCATGCGCTGTTCTTCCTTCCTGTCCGGGGAAAGCAGAAACCGCAGCGGGGGGCGTTGCTCCAGCCGCCTATCGAATGCAAAAATGTCTGGGTCTGGAAGATTGTCATGCTAGTCTGGCATGACTCTGCACTCTGTATTGCGCGGCCACCAAGAGATCCTCTTGCCTGTCATGCAAAAGCGCAGTTTCTCATACGAAATACGCATCACAGAAGCACGAAAAAACTTGTCATGCTTGGCGGCGCATTACAGAGCACTTATTGTTCACGGACTTGCATCACAAGCTTCCAGACCCAGACATTTTCACATTTGATACCGCCACAGGTTCACCAACAGATCCCACGTGGTCACCGGAGAATCGAATTCCTCCAGGAAATCAAGCTGGCCCTATCCCAGGGAAAATATCAATCTCCCACCGTTGGCGGCATACATTTCATCAACTATACAATGTGTGACTTTCACCTACCCGAGAAACACCAGGACAAGAGATTGTATATGAAAAAGGCAAATGCTGCATCAGCTGAAGATTTCGCTATGTGGTAAACGAGGAGTAATTATCCTTGCGTGGCCGTCGCGGCACAGAGAAATTCTACATGGGATAGGTCCATCATCGTCATTTTGTTTACGTTTTCCAACAGCGCCACGGCCATCTCCCTCTCTGCCATACGCGACGACGAATTGTGCTGGTCTTCGACTTCGTCCATAATTGTACCACCCTCTACTTCCTGCGAACCGAGCGTCATCCAGGCGTACAAATACACGGCCGTGTGGTAGCCGTAAAAGCAGTATTCATAGTCCACGTTCAAGGTCACGGAAGGAAGTTCGGTGAAACTATTTCCTTCGTCGTCAGTAGCAGCCGATTCTTGCGCAGCACGCGTTGATCCGCCATCAAGAGTGGAGGTTTCGATGCGCCCCTCCGCCAGCGCGCCGAAGAACTTTTCCGAGATCGCGCGCATGTTTCCCTGATACTCCCGCACCAAAGCGACAAACTCCTGGGCAAAAGCTAAGGTGAGCTGCTTCACGGTATCGAGAACATCCTCGCCGTCTTTTTGCGTCTGCTGTATGGAATCGCCCTCTAATATTCCATCAGACGTAGAAGTCGTGGCCGTCTCAACACCGCCCACAAGGGCCGCCCACGGCCTTTGCGCGTGACTCCAGCGGCGCGTGGTTTCCAGATACCATCGCCATTCCGCGGACGATTCGCAAGCGGAAATGCGTAGACTTGGCTTGCCATGGCCTTCTCTGTCGCGGAAAATTCTTCGCCGAAGGCTGTTCTTGTTCGCAATGAAATCAGCATCCGCGGGAAGTGAGGCACCTTTCTCAGCATCAACGTGTTGACCAGAAACAGAAACAACGCAGGCCACCGCTGCAAAAAGAAACAACACTGCTTCCCTCCGGTGATGCATGATACACGGGACAAAGTTAAATGCGGAGCTCATGTTCTTTAAGTCTTCTTCTTTGGGAAAAAATCAATCGAACAAACTTTGCAAAAACTGATAGATCGGTATTGATCCATGCGCAGCGATTCTGACTAAAGAAGACTTATGAAAAAAACCAAAGTAGCACAGCGATGCAAAAATGACGATTCTGCTATACTGCTTTCAGTGCGCGGGAAAAAAAAGTGCGAGCAACTCTCACTACTTTCCAAGTCAGGGATGACCTCATGTTGACCATTTGATGTTACTCTTACTACTGTGCTGCTACTTACTTACTTATGTCGGCTAAGATCTCAGCGTCTTCACACGATATCTACACATCACGCACAGAGACCTGACTTGCTCCGGCTTTCCGATGCTATATAAGAGTGCACGAATAATGACAACATTGCAGAGTGGTAAACGACAGGGGGGATTAACGACACAATTGAACTCCAGGAGACCGCCAGGAGACAGATACGTTGTCGTGATCGTGCACGATTTCGATTTATGTACTTGATCCAGAAAGCTCTCGGTCTCGTCGCAGCGGGCCCGGAAAGAAAACTGAACAAAAAAGAACAGACAACAACGAGCAGGTGCGCTACTAACTAGTACGTTCATCATCATGTGCATAGTACCGTTTTCGCTTGATGCTGTAGAAAGTACTTACGTTCTTCTTCACCCCCGTCAATGTTGCAGCATTTCATCCCACCATGTGTCTTCTTCTTGGGAAGGAGAAAATGGATACTCTTTTTCCAAGAGGGTTCGCCAATATCTTCGCTTGCCAAAAACAAGATTGGCAGGAAAATATCTTCTATCCTGCTTGACCTGCTTCTCGTTCTTACGTCGACTCCTAGTACTACCTCCTGCTGAAGTGGTCTTGACTTTGCAAGGTCTACTTCCGTACCCCAGATCGCAATCAGGATCGGCCGCAAGGTCCTTCCAAAAAGTTCTTGCACTTAGCAAGTTCTGCCCTTCTGAGGACTCGCCGTTGTCAGCACTTTCGCCCGTCGCTGGTTCATCTTTTGGGGTTCGATGATGTACCCAAGCTGCAATGACAGTATTAAAAGTGGTCTCCAGCTGGAGCACCACCTGCATGGCTTCTCGCATAGATATGGCACGAATCAGCTGTATCGGGGTATCAAAAAGCACGCTGGTTGTCCGATTTTTATGGCGCTTTTTTTCTTCCGGTAAATCCTCATCTTGGCCGCCCTCCGAAGTGGTCTCTGTATCTGTTGTCCAAACACTGTAGTTTTCACGCCAGTCCTGTTGCAGCCAGGGGCGCAACCGGCGCGTCTCCGCACCGGTCGCGTACCAGGACTCGAAACGAAGGAGCTCCATGTTGGTGGGCAAATACGCCTTGCGGTATTGCATTTGTCCAATGAATCGATTCTCACCCTCGTCGATAACGTCGTGCACAGCAGCAGCAATCTTGGCCAGCCGATTGCGGACCTCTACTTTCATTTGTTCAGGAGCCACGTCTTTCGAGATGACTTGTTGAGTCGTCGTGGTGCCGCCAGATGAGCCCTCTAGTACTCCCATCAACATCTCTTCCTCTTCCGGTGGCGTGGTGTCGCAAAATCGTATGTAGACCAGATGCGGCCCGCGAGTTTCCTGGCTGGTCAGGAAGTCGAGCAGCGAGGGGGTGAATCTGCTATGACACCCATCCACCAACAGCACCAGCCGCACCACATTAGGGTAGAGGCGGTCGCGGTGGCGCTCGTGAAACGCCATGCCAAACCGGTACGTTCGCGCAAACTCGTCATCTAGCAGCTTCAAACTCGACAAAAACCGGCCCATGCGTTCGGCTCCACCCTTGATGGGGAGCGTAGCTGGGGAAAAACTCGCTGCCTTGTTGATGACCTCGCTGGTGCCGACGTCTACGACCCACTCCATCACCCCGTCCTGCTCCTGCTGCCGTGCATGCATGTCCAGCTCTGGCCAGACGCGGTCTTCCGGCGGCCGGCCAACGAATACGTCACCAGGAAACGGCGCTGGAAGCTTGATCATGCCCTTAATATTTCCCTGATCTTCTGCTCCGCCGCGCACAAGGGCGTCCGAGATCCCCAGCGCTTGCCAGCAGTGGAGGACACAGAAGTAGTTGGGCGGCACTTTTTCCGCAGCTATTTTTTCCCCATAGTAGCTGCTTTCGTCCTGTTGCATGCACAGTCTGCGGCTGCGCTGGAGTTTCTTGTTGTTTAAATCCTGCAGGCTCTGGCCGCCCTCCCCGCCGGAATCAGGGCGCCGCGCGAAATCCAGCTGCAAATTCATCTGCCCGGGCTTCGCCTTTTGAAAAGACAGCACCTGGCTCTCCATGGGTCGTGGCGGTTCATCTTCTTGCAGCAGTTCTTTATTGTAGTTGTGGCCCAACTTCTGCTGCGTATTTCTAGTTTTGAACCACTCGGAGTTCGTGATATGATCTTCGAACACAGAATGTTGTAATTTCGCTATCACTGCCGTCTCGATTTCGTTTAGCTCCGCCTCCAATTCTGTGTGCAGCTCAACGTACGGAACTGCGTTTGCACGCAAAAAAGACTGCACCAGCGCATCATCGCCGTTTGCTTTGCAACCCCTGATCACAGCCGCTTGGTTCTTCCACAGTTGTGTGGCGGTCCTCTCGACGCTGTGGCTCTCCTTTTTAGCGGCGTTACTAGTTCTTTCTCCCGCGGCACTGGAAGCACCAGAGGCACTTCCTCCGTCTACAACCACTCCCTTCGCTCGAAAGGGTAGGAGTCCGTCAACGTCGAAAAGCCGGTGATCTAAATGTCTGCGCTCATGGAGGCAGTAGTAGCCCGCAACGCATCCGTACCAGTAGGGGTGGTAGTACTGGTGGACTGCGTAGGTGGTGACGACCGCCCCGCTCGCCTGTGGGTGCAGGAGACTGACACGCAGCATCCGCTCGACCAGCCACGGGTGCACGATGGAATCGTCCATGGCGTGCAGAATTTTGGTCTGCGGGTCCTGCTCCTTGTCGGTCACGCACAGCACCGCCGTAGCGGCGAAAAACTCCTGGCAGAAGTGCACCAGCACTTGTTTATGCTCCTCCTGCAGCTCGTGGAGCCAGTCTGGAATGCGGTACCGCACGGCGTCCCGACCGAACCGGGTGGGGAGAAACAGGTACAGCTGATCGATGGGGTTATCAAATGTAAAACTGTCTGGGTCTGGAAGAATGCGCGATTTGTCATGCAGCTTTTGCATGACCCATGAGGTCTGGAATGCAGGACCTAGCATGACAGATTCTGTGCGATCTCTCTCATGCCTATCCTGCATGAGAAACTCCCTCGCGACTTGGTCAAAACTGGACGACTTTTGGTAATCATGCAACACAGATTTTTGCATGCTTCAGATATAGCATGACAAGTTGCATTCTGCCAGACCCAGACATTTTTACATTTGATAGGGGTAGGTCTGCCGTAACCACGAGATCAGGGCGGGCTTCACCTGCTCGTATCGTAAGGAAAAATCCCCCCTCCCCATATTGAAAGCGTATCGGTCTGAAAATTTGTGATGCGCATTTGTGACCTCAAATCCTGTCTGTCTTGCAAGGAGGCAAGTCCAGAGAGCGCCCCGCATCTTTCAGGCGGTTTGTGATGCTGTTGGACTTAAAGCACACACGTTTGGCATGCTAGGCGCCTACGTCAAAACCTCGCGGCTGAGGCTTGACACATGCCTGCAGTCCTCTACTGCAAGACAAATCTGATTTGTGTACGGAAATCCAGCATCAGAAACTTCGTTTCGATATGGGGAGGGGGGATTTTTCCTCACGATAGCTCGAGTCTCGTCGGCACTGTGGAAATGGTGACCACGATCCGAAGTCTCTTCTCGTAGATGCTCGGGGCAGTCGTACGTAGGAACAGCCGGTGTCGCACAATTTCGTTCTTTGACCACATGTTGACGACCGTTGGTGCTGACACTTTCACTTGTGAAGATGATGAGTCCTCCGCGCTCAGTTCTTGTGCAGCGTTAACGTTTCCATTTTTCTGTTCTACTTTGTGGCGGAAGCCTCGCCCAGAGGAAAGAACATCCATGTCTACTTTATTTCCGAAGTTTCCTATTGCTGTCAGCAACCGCTCTGTTTTCTCCGGAAAATCGAAACGGTTCGTGTTCTTTTCGAACATTCGATTCCAGAAGTTAATGTTGGACAGAATATCTTCCTGCGTAGTTCTACTTTCTGGTCCATGTTCAGATTGTTTATAGCCACTACTTCCCGTAATGGTTGTGTTGTTCTCCTTCTCTGGCAGAGTTTTTATCTCGTTTCCCACGACGAAAAAGGGCAATTTCGTGCGTTTCACCCGCCGGCAGCAGAAATCGTAGCTGAAAACGGCGGGCAGTCCGTGGGGATTCTTCCTTTCCAACGGGATTCGATCTGACGTCGACTTCAGCAGCTCTCGGAGGACGGAGTTCGCGGTCAGCTTAGGCTTTTTCTCGAACGGAAGTTCATCCGCGGTTCCCAACCGTTTTTCCAACCATTTCCAGTGATGTGCCAACTTCAAAAACTGGTCCTTGCGGAACACGCGCGCGGCGCTTGCTGGTGGGGTTTTCCCCCCGTTATTTTCGTTTTCATCGTCCCCTCCAGCGGGTTGGAAGATGGTCGACTGCGAGCCCACCTATCAAGTGCAAAAGTGCCTGGGTCTGGAATGTTGCCGGGGTTCTTTGCATATTTTGCATTGCCCGGGATGTCTGTAATGCACGACCTAGCATCACAGATTTTTAGAGGGCTTCCTGATGCCTACTCCGCATCACAAATGCCTTCCCAGCGTAGCACAAACTAGACTCCTCTTGCTGTTGCTGGTCATGCAATACATAAAGATTTTTTTAGCCGCGTCCAAAGTTAGCATTACATACAAGTTCCAACCTTCCAGACCCAGACATTTTTGCATTTGATACCACCAGTTCCTCTGCTATTGCCTCCACAGGCCGCTCCTGGTCATCGCCAAGGATCCAGGCTAGCTCTTCGGCCTCGATATCCAACGGCCCTCCTTTTGCTTTTTCTCCGTGATGGTGATGCTCTAGCTCTACTTCCACCCCGGCATTCAACGAAAACAAGTGATGAACCACAAAGATCCAATGAAGGTCACAACCAATCCGCCAGACAGTCTGTCGTGTTAACCATAACCGATGTGACAGGACATAAAATTAAAAACTTTTCGTCTTCATTTCAATGGCAGCATTAGGCCCGTTGAATGACGATGATGCCACTGGTAGTATTAATTAGCAATAGGAGCTAGGGCTAGCCCATGTATAATTAAAGCATTCTAATTTTTGTCTTTGTGGTCCCAGGAGCACGTTTTTCCGTGAATACTTGGCTTCCATTATTTCCTCCCCGTTCGTCCCATACACGTAGTTTTCGAACTTCCGCTTCAACGCGGCGTTCAGGTCGTCCCAGCACAAGGGTTCCCCGGTGTAGGAGCTGTAGTTGGTCAGGAAGATCTCGTCGTCTATGTCCGTGAAACTGCAACAGCGCTGGTAGTTGTGAAAGTTTGAGGAAGGTGCTGGAGTTGTAGTCGCATGATCTTCAGCATTTTGATGTTGTTCTTGTTGCAGATACACCAGGTTTCCGTTCTCGTCTTGCATCACCTGTGCGTCGATGTACTTTGCGAATTCCGAGTTCACCTCGAAGTCCCAACAGTCCGTATTCCCGGGCTCGAACATGATCTCGTCGTACACATTGACGAAGTTACCGGGGAAAAACGTTCTCTTGCGCTTCACCTCCCGCGGATTCAGTGGGGCCTTGTAGAGGCGGGGAAACCCAAGCGTCATGCCCTGCTCCATCGGAGTCCACTTGTCGTAGTACGCGCGGACATGGTAGGAGTGGGGGTGGAAAAGCAAGGTGAAACTTATTTTCACGAAGAGTGATGGCAGAATCGTCCTCATTTTGCAGCTCTTCAATTTCATTGGCTTTTTTTTTTAATACATTCCCAAAACGAGACAACGGCTATACAACAAGTCCACCTAGTGAGAACAGAATAAAGTCACACAACATAAAAAAAGGGTGATATATAAATTCATTCGAAAACTTTTGAAGAGAGCGATCCTACAGGGTTTTATGTTGTGCAAAGGCATTCATTCTCGACGTCAGTTCTGTTCCTTTACCGAGAGGAAAGCGAAAGGGACAGACAAATCGGAGGTTTAGCTGTCAACCGAATGTGACGTTGCTGCGCAACGACAGGATAATCTGGCGAGTTCGCCGTCGGAATCAATAAAATGATCGAATTTGAAGTCTGCCAGAGGCGGAAGAAAGAAGTGAGAGGGACCTCCGAAGAAAACGAAAACCACACAATGATCCTACCAATTTACAGGATTGTGCCACCACAGTGTGGAACCGATATATAATACGATGTCGCCTATACTTTTATGTTTCGTTTCGCTTTATTGCCTTTGGCTTTCGCACGTTAGAAAGAGAAAACAACATGCTGCCAGTTTCACCTTGTCGCGTCGCCGACCCGAATAGAAAACAACATAGGTAGAAGCTGACAAAAGCAAAATTCAAAAGGCGACGAACAAGATTTTTATCCCAGGATGAACTTTGCAATTACGCAGACCACGAGAATACACATACAGGACTTCTAGGTACTAGACAAGTACGCCTTATTACACAGCAATGTTGACTATGCCTGCATCGGTTGCAGTGCGCATTCCGATTTTTAAACATTGATTTGAAAAATTCCGTAGTGTGCACTCAGCCGTGTGGTTGTGTTAAAAAAATAGTGTAAAACGAGCTGCGGATCCGTACCGCATTCTAAATCTAAAAATAGTGTGTCTACGTAAAAATACAGCTGGTTGAACCTTTGTTTGACTTTGAGTTTTCCTATCTGCATGAACTATGGCTTTTATTCCTTTGTATTTGAGATCGCTTGACTTCCGATACCGAGGCCCGTTGAATGTCGCGCATCAACATGGTCAACGTCGTGGCGGGATGTTCTCAAAAGTCGAAGAGGTGCTGCGCGATAAGGAAAATGTCAGCGTCACACTAGTGTCGTCGATGAACTCAACAAATCGGTGGCTGCGCGGTACTACGCAAGCGCAAAACAGATTGATTATGATACGCAACAGTAACAAACTTTTTTGTGACATGCGCACTACACCTGCAAAAACAACTCAAACAACTCTAGAAAATGGAAACTTGTACCTGAGCGTAGTACTTCTTGTTGATTATTTTACCTTACTCGCCGTCGCTTTTGCGTGCAAAACGAGTACTATCCGAACTCGTGATCAACATCTGGTTTTGGTTACACGGTCAATCGTAGTAGTAGTTTGACCCTAAGTACAAAGCTCGATGGGAAGATTATGCTCACACAAAGACTTTGACTTTTTTATCTTCATCACAAACTTCTTAAGTCAGTGCCTCTCCTACAGCTTTCGAAATATAATTACCTCTCTACGTACAATTACACCAGCCTCGCGGCGACGTCTTGGGTAAACTTGAGCAGCTCCTCCTGCTGTTGCTGCCACGGAGGCGGAAAAGAATACTGCTGCTCCAACAGGTCACAGTCTGCTGGTCTGCGACCGCTTTGTTCGTCCGTCCCCCGTACCCTCCCGGGAGAGGACACCAGCGCGATCTCGTGCCGCAGTGCCCGAAATAGCTCCTTGAGCACGGGTCGAACGAAGTGGAGGCCGCAGTTTTCTGGATTCCGCAGAGCCTGCTCGGCGACCAGCGGCGATACTTTACTGTCCAGAAAGGGAAACAGGGGGCGTATCCGCTTCGCCAGGTGGAACGACTCCTGGTCGGGGGAAAACGACGAGTAAAGCAATTTCAGAATCAGTGCGCGGTGCAAAAGCACACGGATCTCGTGCGCTACCTGCTTCTCCTTCTCCATGCGGTAGTTGTCCCGGGCCGCAGCCACTTCTTCCATAATTTGCGCCGCATTTTTTGAGGGATCAGGTTCTTTTTCCCGCGCCAGCAGATCTTGATCTTCGTCTCTTTGGTCTTCAGAGAAATTATTCAGTGTTTTCGCTTTCTCCACGGCTTCCATCACCAAAAGCACCACGAGCATGGACTCGGAGAAGTGATTGCAGTTGTGCTGCAGAACATGGTAGGATTTCTCGTCGTTAAATGGAAACCAGACTGGGCTTGTCATCAGCACCGGAATTTGATACGTAGTTTTTTTCTGATGTCTAGAGCTAGAAGCTGTAGTATCTTTCAGTGGAGGACCATTTTCTCCTCCTGCTTCCGGCGAGGAGGCTGGTGATTGTTCTTTATCTACGGGTGCGACTTCTAGTACAGGTGGTTCGCTATGATCTTCTCCAGGACCCGACGGTGCGACGTGGTGACTGCTCGACGCGGACGCATCAGAGCACGGGCTAGGACACCGCGAGGAAGTTGGCCCGGATGAAACAGCGCCGGTCGGGTCGAGGTGAGGTACTGCTCGGATTCCTCCGCCTCCTCGTCCTGACAACAAATGCCCAAACTGCTCCCCAGCTGTCATCGCGTCGTCCACGGTCGCGTCGGAAGGGGTCGGAGAGGTGGGCAACGAAGACAAAAGAAGCGGTGGCGGAGGAGGTGACCTCCGTTTAGTATTTGTGTTTCCATCGAAAATAAACGGAAACGCCAATCCTCGCGCACCATTCGCTGACGACGGGGACGGAGGATCGTCACGAGGGGAAGACAACGGCGTGCCGGTAGACTGACTTTGAAACCGACGCCGCTCTGGATGAGGAGTGTTCAGGATCAGTTCGTCAACGACTGCATCGGGGAGCGTTTCGAGAAAGCTTTGTTCCGTCGCGAGACGAACGCCAGGGCTGCTTTTCTTACGTTCATCATTTCTTACCCCGGTGTTGTCAAGCAAGAAGTCCTCTGCTGTATTTCCATCAACTACACTCGCACTGGCTCCGGTCAAGAGCTCCGGCGGGCCACGACTCGTGCCACTCTCTGCAAGACTTTCCTCGGTTGATGGCATAGATGAAGGAGGTTGCTGTACTCCCGTCAAACCCACTACGCCTCCGAAATCGAATGGCGGAGGCGCGACGGCGAGCGGTTGGTAGTAGGGCTGAAAGTCTTGGCGCGCAAAGAAAGGCGATCGCGAACTGCACTCGTTGAACGTAGTGGTCACGTTGGTGAGCAAGGAACTGTTAGAAAACAACGAAGATACAGATCCACTTCCGCCCCCTCTCGCCCCGCGGCTCACGGAGCCCCCCGTTTCGAAAATTCTGCTTGGACAGCTCACGACTTGCCGCCTAATGGACGGCTTTTTCCGAAATAAAGTACTAGTGCCCGCCCCTCCGGATGTGGTCGTTCTTGGGCTCACTTGCGGGCTCTCTGACGACGCGCTTTGGTCGACAGGTTCTAAAGCAGGCACTTCGGCGGCCCTCAAGGAGATTGCGGCGTGGTCGTCCGGCATAATAGTTCTCGGACCAAGACCAGCATATCTTACAGTTTCTTCACTACGCGGCAGCACATCGTGCTCCTCCCAACTAAGATCAAACTCTATTCGTGCAGGCTCTACTGCCCGGGCGGGGAAGGGGCATTCGAGCGCAGGAGTGTTCATGTACTGCCCGTCTTCCATCCATCTTTGTTTTCGCTCAGGGGTCGTGGGATTGCACGCGGTGCTCTTTTCAGCAATCTTTTCGCTGGTGCTCTCGCCGCCGTCACTATCGCCTCTGTTCGACAACTGCTGGAGACGCAATAATCCCGACGGAGTACTATTTCGCTTGTCACCCCGTTCTGCTCCCTGCGAGGGACTAGTAGAACTACGCGGAGAAGAGGGGAAAGAGCCACCGCGACGCCCTTGTCCTTCTTGGGGGGAAGAAGTACTACGAACTTCTTGGCTACTTTGCAGGAGAGAGTCCGTGCTCCGCTCGGCGTACTCGCAAATTGGGGATAACACGCGGTCGAACGCCGCAGACTGCTGGAAACTTTCTTCCGAAGAGCCGCCACGGGGACTGGAATTCGTGCTCGAAGTACAACTAGACTGGTACAACTGTGCAGGAACAAGAGGAACCCCGCCAACTGGTGCTCCGGCAGTACTAGAACTTCTTGTTCCCCAGGGATTCTTGAGACTTGCGCCGACATCGTTGCTGATGTTTTTGTCCTCGTATAATCCTCGCGTGCTGGAAGCCAGACTTTCGGACGACAGTTGGCATGAACTTGGCGACGTCGGTCCGCGGTGCGAAGTACTAGACGCATGATACGTACCACGTGCAGCTCTCAAGTCGGGCACCGCCGCGAGCATCTCCGGCTCGAGCATCGCGCGCAGTTCCGGTGCGAACTCGTTGGAATTGTCTGCTTCTTCCGCAGTCTCTATCATGGGCACCTGCATTTTGAAGCCCTTCGTGAAGCTGCGGTCCAAGACCTTGACTACGCGCTTGAAATGCCAGCCGCCACAAGCGAAAAGTCCAAACGGGTTCACGGTGATGTACCCCGGGTTGGCGTAGGACCCCCGCAGATCGTTCTCGTCCTCGATCGGCGGAATAATGCCGTGGTACGCTTCCATGCAATGCATGTACGTGGGATCCTTGGTGTTGCTGTACTCTGAAGCAGGGGGGAGCTGGACTGTGGATCGTGAAACGTTGACCCGGGCGGGACCACGGGGCTCCTCGTCGGCTACGGCTTTTTGTCGTGTCCGTTCCACACGATTTTTGAGAGAAGTTGTGTCCGCAACAGCTGCCTCCTCGTCTGTTTCCGGCGACGGAGAGGCAGAAGGTGAGGCGGACGGTGAGGCACCAGGTTCTTGCAAAACGAAGGCGGACGGTGAGTCCGGTTCCTGAAGCGGATTAGTTTGGTTTCTGGGTACTGTCGTGCCGCGGCGAACTGCTCCTGTGGTGTTGAGTCTAGTAATCATGCTGCTGTTCTTCTCCGAGGGCCGCGACGTGGGCGACGTGAAAGAGGAGTGTGGAGAGCTGAAGGTGCTGCTCAACGTCGGACCTCCCGTGGTTGTTGACATGGAGGCGACAGAGGCCGCGTCGTCATGCTCCACTGTGTTCAACAGCACGCCTGCAGAAGTAGATGAACTCAGCGTCGGCTCGCTTTTGATCAACGGTGTCCCGCCGAACGTTGCAGCAGGCTCGAGGACGACACCAGCAGTGCCACTAGTAGTACACGGGGCGGGTGATTTACTTCCGAGGCGGCGCCCGAAAACGAGTACATCGTCAAGGTTTTCTTCCGGTTCGCTCACCAGACTACCGCACGAAGCGCTACTAGGCAGACTGCTCGCTACGCTGCTGCGGCTGTCAGTCCGGGGGATTCCAAAAGCCGGAGCATTCCTGTAAGTTGTGCTGGGGAGCAACGGAGAATTCAGTCGCAGTGCGGCTTCTTGCGGTGTCGTTGCCGTGCGCACGGTCATCCCCGTTTGCTGAAGATCTTTCGCCACTACAGGCTGCTGCGCCATCTCGTTGCTCATTTGCTGCCGCTGAAAGGAGGACCACCGGGGATCTAGTGCACCGTCGCGGCCATTGGTGGACTTACTGCCTAGTGACAGCGCCTCCATTTTATCGAGAAGAGATTCGTCTTCCTCGTGCGCACTCACGGTTCTATCCGTTTCTTCCGCGGACGTGCCGCGGCTAGCTCTGCACCGCCGCCCGCAGCTAAGAAACCGCGGCCAAGAAGTTCTTACGTTTTCCGCGCTGATACTAGCATGTACTCCTGGAAGAGGACTCGGCAACAACGATCCTTGTTCGTTCAGCCCAGCAGGCGGCTCTGGAGTGCGCGAGGCGTTGCCCAAAACTCCAGGAGCTCCTTCGCCTTCATTGTCGTCCTCATTGACCCGCGTCGTACGAACAGCATCTTGAAAAGGAAACGTCGCTTTCTTGATCTGTACAACTGGCACTTCTTGCACATTATCTGCCTGCGAATTAGTCGTCACAAAATCCTCCTGAGGTGTAATGGCCCGAACGCACTTCATTACGGCAGTGTGCTTCACTCCGACGCGCCCAAACTTCTTCGTCCACACGGGAAACATGCGGGGTAAAAAGATCCGCGAGGACTCATAGTCGCCGTATTCGATCAAGAAGTAGGTCCATCCGTTTTGCTTGTAAGCAGCGGATTCCTCCTCGACGATCCGCGTGTGCTCCAAGTTGAACAAGCTGCTCCACCGCTGCAATTCCGCTTGAAACCGCGGATTCAAGAAACCGAGGATTTTCTCTTCAAACCGCTGCCGCAGCTGCTTCAGCTCTTGCGGATGAAGATTGATGTGCTGTACTTTATTTCGAGCCTGTGCCTGATTCTGGGCGGCCGTAGCATGATCTTCGGAAAAAATGGTCGTGTCGCTAGAAGAAATTTTTCTAGTGCTCGTGGTTGATTTCTTGTTTCCCCCGGGACCAGAGCCTGTAGTTGCTTGTGCGACGAGATCATCATGCTGGTAACCTGTAGCTCCCAGTTGCGCCGAAGAAGATGAAGCACCTTTTTTGAACGGTAACTTCTTGGCCATCAAGCTCAGTTTGGATCGCAAAATTCCCTTGCGGGACTGTGAGAGCTTTCCGAAATCCTTCTCGTCCTCCTCGAGGTCATCATACAGGCTACCAGTGCGTAGATGCGCTTGCGCAGAAGCTGTAGGTTCAGCATGACGCGGAAGATCCTTCGCATGCAGGTGGTCAGAGTTGTCGTATGACGTCCTCGTACTGTCGAATCCCCCAGTCTCGTCTTCCACAGCGTCAATCTCGTCCTCGTCCGGGTTGTCCGTGATGTAATCAGGGACTAGACTTTCCATCTGTGACCTCATCTCGTCCTGCACAAAGAACGCAAAGTCTGCCTGCACGCTTCCCCAATGAAGCTCAATTTCATTCACAAAACCCGCGACCCGGGTCGTGTCGTCTCGGCCTCGGGCAGGAAAATCGTTTTCGTTCCGAACAAGATTCATTTTATCTACGACGGTCCTTTGCGACTGCTGGACAAAGTCATGACCGTGGGGTTTCATCGAGATATCGTAGACACTCTTTATCAGCCCGTCGAAAAAGCGCTGTTCGGATTCGGAACCAGCAGCGGCAACAGGTTTACTGGTTTGGCCTTGATGACGTTGACCCGGTTCTTCTTCTTCTTCTGAAAAATTCTTCGCGGAAGATTCTTCTCCGAAAAAACCTAGCCCAGACTGAAACGACATCGCAAATAAATCGAAGTTCTTTGTCGCCAGGGTCCAGAGATTCTGATAGCGCTGCAACACCTCCTGGTACCGCTCCTGGAAGGTCCAGTCGTTGAGCCGAAACTCCTGGAAATTCCACGGGATTTTTGCCTCTGGCGTCCCTTTGTGGATCAGCTTGGGGCCGGCGGGAAGCTCCTCTCGTTTGCTTCTGCGAAACTGCCTGGGAAGCTCGTGAAGGCTGCTGGGACAGCTCTGCGCACGCTTCATCGGATAGTTCATCGGAGACAACGATGACAGCATTGTTGTACTTGGACTATGATCGACCATCTTCACGGCCTCACTGTATCTCGCTTGCTTGGTTATTTTTGAAGAAGCTGCTGTACTTGTTAAGGCAGTAGCTCTACTACCGTGCCTCTTGCGAAGACTAGAGCCGGAGTTGAAGGGCGCGCCAGTATCGCTCGTCGCAGCCGACAAGAATCCTCCTCCGAGAAGTAAAGGATCCTGGTGCTGCGCCCGTGTTGTTGGTGGCGCATCATCCTCGTGTTTTGGACAAGCCGCTAGATTACTGCCGCTTCCGTGAGCAGTACTGGCAAAAATGCTGGGTGCATTACTCTTCGTAGACGGTTCGTCGACCCTGGTGTCGTCTCGACGATTACAACACTTCAACCGAGCCCGTTGTGGGCAGACAAGAACTCCAGCAGACTTCTGCTTCCAATCTGACAAAAACGGTGCCGACGCCGACTGCCAAAGGGACGAGTGCAGCCTGGAGCAGTAGTTCTCTGCCTCAGCAGGACCAGAAGTCGTGTGTTTATTACAAGTGTAGTTCACCTCGCTACTACTTGTTGCACAAGACAGCTTTTTTTGTCCGCCGGTGGTGGAAGCAGGATCTTCCTTTTCGTCTTCGCACTGAGCAGCACACAAGGCTGAAGTTTTCCCCAGCTCCTGCTCCTGGTCTATTTTTCGCGCGATTAATACTAGTCCTGTGTGGTCCACCTGTTCCGCTTTCTGCTGCAAAACGCGATCGATGACGGACACCAGGCCCATGCCGCGCACGACCATTCGCCAGTAGGATTTGACATGCTTCAAATACGTGACCGGAGAGAGCCCGACGTCTATCAAATGTAAAAATGTCTGGGTCTGGAAGATAGAATGCAACTTGTGATGCTGCGTTTGGATTCCAAAAACATCTGCATTGCATGAGTACCAAAGGGAGCGCAATTTTTGCTACGCTGAGAAGGCATTTGCCATGCGGAATAGGCATCAAGAAGCCCTCAAAAAATCTGTATTGCTAGGGTATGCATCACAGACGTCATGGCTTATGCAAAACGTGCATGACAAGTTTCAGAATCTTGCAGACCCAGACATTTTTACAGTTGATAACGTCTGCCCAGGTGTCAAACGCGTTGAGATCGGCCACGCCGATCGAGACAACGTATGGAATGCAAATATGTCTGGGTCTGGAAACTTGTGATGCTGTTCGGCGAATCATGTGGACGCCTTCATTGACAGCCAAGCATGGCAAGTTCTGGAGCTGCTAGAGTGTTGCCTATCTGCATGAGAAACTGCGTTTCTGCATGACAGAGAAATGTGGCTTTTGTGTGGCGCGCATGACAGACTTGGGAGCCATGCTAGCTGTGCATGACAAGCCCTGCATTCTTCCAGACCCAGACATTTTTGCATTTGATACAACCTTATGCATGACAATTTAGGTGCTGTTTGTGAATGAAACGAATTTCTTTGACGAAGAAGCAGCGGCAGGCACATTTTCTCATTCCCGATTCTGCTCGTGACAGCATCAAGTCCTTTGTCTTAAAAGTCACAAGAAAGAATGAGAAACTTCTCATATTCAACTGGTAGCAAACGACACTTGACGAAGAAAAAGCATAAAATTATATATATAAAACTCTTTTCATCGAATCGTAGGACTCGGCGGGGAACTAAGAAACTTGATGTAGTCACCTTCATCTCCACGATCTACTTTTCTTGAGAAACAGTTCGACTTTTTCGATGATTTCTAATCACGGAAGCAAATTTCAAGTTGTATTAAATGGCAGTATGCAAACAAAATTCCTGGTGCATGTGAAGCGGACTGTGAGATTATGTAATGCAATACCGTTGCGTACAACATCGTGACCCTTGGTTCCACACCGTTTCGCAGGGACTGCGTACGAGCACAACAAACGACAGTGACGATCTAGTAGCGGATCTTCATACTTTTCCGTCGCGGTCTGTTACTAAGGTGAGATCTTCCAGGACGGATGTTGAGCGATGTGGTGGAGGTACGAAGGAGGTGTTTTAGGAACATCAGAAACCAGCTTCCATCAAACTTTGTCTTCGTGTTCGTCTTGTTCGTGCTGAAGCTGATAGTGGCTGGTGATAGAGTTAGAGAGAGATCAAAAAATAAAACTTTAGGTTGTCAAACGCATCGGGTGGATTCGATATGCTGTGGGGGCAGATAAAGATATTTCGAAAGAAATGCTTTTGGCGAGGGGGTGAAAAAAAAAGGGTAGTAGTTATTGGCCTCGAATTGATGCTCCGTCAGGGAACGAAAATATATTTGAAATTGAATCTCATCAGTCGTTCATAGTCTGATTATGCAACTCTGTTTACCTTCCGAAAAAAAAAAACGAACTGACGGTCAAGAAAAATCATACAATATACTCCTCTGTAGTCTGCGGAAAAACGATGATCCAAAGAGCTTTTACTTCTACACTCCACGAAATCAAAGCTCTTACGAATCGAAATCGAACTGTAAAGACGAAGATAAATAAAAGTCAAAAATTCAAAATTTGCTTCGCTGCGAAGCCTGATGAATATCAAATCGAAAGCCACCATAAAAGCTAAGTATCTGTCTCTATTAGGCCGCAAACATGTGCGGGCGCAACGGGGTTTCCTCTTCCGTGACCTCCCAACGGTCGTCGGCGCTTATGTGCGGCGGATTCGGCGCCTCCAGAAAGCTCCACACCGGCCGACGCGTCGACGGCTTTATGGTGTGTGTTCCGAACGGCTGCACGGAATTACCGTAGAGGTCGACCCAGAAGGCGAGCGTGTACCTGTTTCGTGGTTTTTGATGAGCGATAAAGAAAACATCTGAAGTACTTAATCGTGAACTTACGTAGGAGAATTTTCAGAGGGAACAGCCTAGTACTATCAACGAAAAGGAAGATGCACCCATCCTTGCAGCTTCTCCGTAAGACAAAAGAGTTACTGGGCTGCCCGTAGTCGTCCCAAATATAAAAAAATGCATAGTTGAAGCAAGTGAAGCAACATAAGATACCCTCCATCCAAAATCGCCCCGAAGGTTGCAGCGGCGAGGTCTGCCGTCCTTTCCCGCGGGAACGGATTCCCGAGAACCCGCACCTGCGCATATCGGTCGCGGAGCTGGATGATCTGCGCCACCTTCCATCGCGGCCGCAATTCCACTAGATTTTCTTCCTCAAAGCTACAAATCTCGATGCCGGCCTGCAGATGAATACAATCCCCCTTTTCTAACACCGCTCCCTGTGGCAAGCCAGTCGGGGTGCGTCCCACCGGATTGGCTGTATTTGTTGTGGTGGACTGCTGATGTTGATGTCCTCTGGGACTACTGCTGGACAATAGAGAACCTGCCGCGGCTCCATTTACATCAGTCGAGGCTGATGTACTATTTTCCGCCACTGTCGGCAGGGCGGATCCTAAGGTCTGTTCTGTAGCGGCGATATTACTCTGGAGGTTGTTCCCCTCCGAAGTCGTCTGTTGCTGCTCTGCTGGTTGCGTAGAGGACGAGGATACAGCTCCGTGTGGTCCTTCTTGTCCCGCGGATGAACTACTAGTACAACTCATCTGCTGCAAAATGGGTAAAAATGCGTGCATCTCCAGTTTGCTTCCTAAGGTCTGTGCGAGCGGAATTTTGACATCCAGGCTATCTAAGCGCTTGAGCTTGCGCCGCCACTCCGGGACGACCCAGTTGCGCGGCTGTAGCCTCAACGCGTCCGCGGACTTCAAAAACACGTGCCGCCGCCACGTGGTGTTCCACCCCAGAAAGTGCACCAGACACGCGTCCTCGTTGATACTCACGATGTAGGACTCGTACCAGGCGGCCTGCTCGGTGTCCATGGCGTCCACGTGCGTGCCGGGCCGCAGCGCCGCCTGCCACTCCTTCCGCTTCTTCAACTGTCCCCGGTCTTGCAGTGCGGGTCGGTAGCCGCTGTAGGCCAGCCGGTCCAAAATCTGGCTTGCGTGAAAGTGCCGGATGCGCTGCCCCGAATTCAGCTTTGGTGGGGCAGGAGCAGTGGTTGTCTTGCTCCTGCGACTAGTATTAGTTGTTGGATCCTGCTCCAAGCCCGTGGATTTATTGACCATTGCGACGACGTCAGAGGACCCTGAATTCGACCAGGAACTAGACGAACCCGCTCGTGTGGTCGCCGTCCGCGCAGCTTGGTCGAGGAGACTGAACACGGCGGAATTGTCTTCATTTTCGTTGCTCTCCTGGTCGTGACTGCTCGACGAAGAAGAACTACTGGAAGACGAAGAAGAACTGTTGCTCGAAGAGGACGTAGAATTACCATACGCAGAATTGTTTCCTCCGGAACTGCTGCTTGATGTTGTGTACGACCCGTCGGTTAAGAACGGAAAGATGTCCGCAAACGCGCCCGACTCCATTTGACGCACGTACTCCTGACTCGTGACCGCGTGAGACCTGTGATCAATCGCCGGCGGCCGCGGCTGACGCCGGTGCGAGCCGAACAAACCGAACGAGGCGGGTGTGATTCTTCCAGCGGTGATGTTGTTCGCATTTATTCCACCGGGAGGTGCATTCATCCCAGTGGGTGGCCCAGATGCGGTTGTTCCATTGCTTGCATTTGCCCCTCTCGGAGGTGCCAGCCCGCCGCCGCCCATGAAGGGATTTATTCCGTTCCTTTGCTGAAAAGCCGCACGCGCAGCCGCGGCAGTTCCACCATTCGCGTTTGCTTCGTTGCTGGCAGTTTGCGAAAAGGTATCCCAGTCGAGAATTCGCCTCGCCCGATTCGTGGGGTAGTTGTTCTGTCTCGTGTACGGATTCAAGCCAAACGGTGTTGGCCGGCCCAGAGCCTCGTCGTTGTTCACGTTCACTTCCGGCGTGTCCAGGACATAGCTGCGACTGGCCGCGGCCAACGCGAGACTGGTACTCGCAGAGGTGGACGTTCGCGCTCCGCTTGTCGCACTGGTCACGTTTGTGTTCCAGGACGGGAAAAGGCGCGACGCGACCTGGTCCGTGGCCGCACGAATTGTGTTCACGCTTCTGTTCACGCCACCAGCAACACTTGCTCGAGTTTGCTGGCCGGGAGAGGAAATTATGGTTGTTGGCGCATCGTCAGCCTCTTGATTTCCCCCAACAACTCCAGCAGAATCGCTCCCCGACTGCTGCAGCTGTGTGTTTCCCTGGGGCGGAATACTCGTATCGTCCGACGCGAAGTGGACGTTGTTACTGGCCTCGATGCGGCGCAGCTGCTGCGACGACCCGCCGGCATCGCTGTCCTGGTCGCTGGAGCTGGAAGTCAAGTGTACTGACTCCACCGCCGATGTGTCCGGCGCCGCCACGTAGCCACCACCCGACGCGGACAGGGTTTGCTGCGAGAGGTCGAAGACATGATCTTGGCCTACTCCGAGCTGGTGCTCCACCGCGCCGGCCTGGAGTTCGTGCGCCCGCCGGTGGTGGTTTGTACTGGAATTGTCGTTCCGCGAATTATTATTGCCAGTGGACGATGAACTACCAATCGCCTGGCCCCGGGCCCTCCACCAGTTCGTGCCGGCCGCCGCAGTCGAGGTGACCGGAGAAGCAGAGATGTTGATATTACCACTTCCAGCAGTTGCAGAAGTACTGTTGTTGTTCTGCTGTTGATTCGCCGCAGACGAGGAACTGGATCCGCGAATTCTCCGCCGCTCGCGGTGCAGCAGCGCTTGCTCCTCAGATTCCACGTCCTCTTCTTCTTGCATGATAATCTCGTCGTACAGACTGTAGGTGTTCTGCACCACATTCCGCACCTCCGGCGGCGGGACGCTGCGGGACTGCGCTCTCTCGTGCTGGTAGCCCACCTGCATCGCCGTACTGTACATGCGCCGAACGCGGTGACCAGTATCGAAGTCAAAATTGCTGTAGTCCGGATGTGCCGGCGCAACATTATTGGTGTTCAGCTGCTGCGGAGGTACTGCATTGTTCATTTCCGCCACTCCACCGGCAAACGAAGCTGCTGCATGATTACTCACCGCATTCAAAATCGCAGTCTCGCTCGCTGGGCCAGCCTGCGAGGCCACGGCAAACAACTCCCCGGTCGGCGGAGCCGCGCCTGGCATGTGCTGCTGCGGCGAATTGAGAACCGCAGGCGTGTTGGTCGGCGTCATGGGCACACTTTGTCCCCCGCTAGTGCTCCAGGCGGACGGGATGGGAGGAATAAACTGGCTCGCCGAAGCTCCTGCGTTGGCGGGTGTGTAAATCGTGCGTGGCGTTTCGTTTGCAGAGTCGACGTCTTCTTGCGGACTGGGCGTTCGCTGCCGCTGCTGTTGTTCCATGTTGCGCCCGATCCCAATGCTGTACCGGAACGGCGGGTACTCCAGCATGTGATCGTAGCGAAAAGGTTGTACGATTCGCGATGGTGGTGCTGGGGTGATGGTTCCGGACGAAGTAGGTCCCGCTGTTCTTGCAACAGCGTTACTGTTGTTGTTCCTATTCGGTTGATACGTGTGGTCCATAGACAAATCGACCACGCCCCCCACGTCGTCTGCGGCCTCCGGGTGGCTGGGCCGCAGCGCGTTCCGCCTCAGGGTGAGGCGCTGGTGGCTGGGACTGTTGTTAGTGAGCACCTCAATCTCGTTGTCACTGCTGGAACTGCTGGAATCGGAAAGCGAGGAGGTCGTCAAATGGAAGGAGAGTTGGTCTCCCCGGTCGACAATTCGACTGTCCATGACCCTGCTGATGTCATCCTCGTTCTCATCCGTGGGCGCTTCCGCCCCCGTATTAATCCGCGGCATCATCGGTGGAGAGGGAAGAGGAATCGTGAGATGGTTCAGGTTACTTCCCCCGTGATTTGTAGTAGACATCGTCGGGGTGCTCGATCCGCTCGCACTGGTTGCGTGCGACAAAGACAAACTCGACGTGGAGGTGTTGATGATGCCAAGGGAACCAACATGGGCTGGCTGTACTTCGTTGATATTATCCTCGTGATCTTCATCCACAGCGCGCAGGTCGTTTTCCTCCATGTCGTTCTCTTCGCGCAGCAGGTCCCGGGAGGCGGAAGAAGAAGAGAGTTGGTTGAATTCGTTGTCCTCGGACGCATTGTTCCTCGTAGGTCCAGCCTGTTGGTACTGCGGGACGCGAATAGTAGTGGTCGTTGTGGTCGACGTCGGCACTACTGTGGAAGACGTCGTCGGAAGTACAACAACTCCGTCGTTGGCAGCGACGGTTTGCGTAATTGCCAGGTCGTCGCCCGCAACCGTGGTCACATCTGAGGATGTCGTCAGAGGGGCGGTTGCGGGGTCGTTTTCGAGCTCCTGAGCGGTATTCGCAAGAACAACTGGTGGAGCAGCAGCCACTGTTGTAGTAGCTCCGCTGGAAATCGCTCCTTGCGGAGCTGGTGCAGTTGTCGTCGCTGGCTGTATTGGTTCTACTTCCGGAACTACGATCTCGACTGTGGCAGAAGCGGACTTGTCAACATTCGCCGCTGAGGATGGTGCAGACTCGTCTTCCGCAGAAGAAGAACTCTCGTCTGATGTTTTTGAGCAGTCCTTTTCCGCCTTACTTTCTGGTGTCTTTTTCAAAATCCCAGGACTTTTGACCACGGCCCCTTCTGCCGGCGATGTAGCGGAAGCGGCCTTTTTCGTACTACTGGCCCCGGCTTTTTGTTTCTCCTCTTCGTTCTCGCTGTTGGACAGGTCGCACGTGAAATAGGACCCCCCGGAGCTCGCGCACGAGGAGCTCTTCGAGCCCGGGGACGACAGGCCACGTTTCAATTTCATCCAGTTGGACATGGAGAACGTCCCGCGGTCCGCCAGCGCCAACTTCCGGCTGTCCAAGTGGTAGGGATCCCACTCTTCCCCGCCCGACTCGCTTGTGGGAAGCTCAAGCGCAGTCACGGCGGAGTTCGTGGTTTCTGCTCCCGTACTACTGCGCAACGCCGTTGTCGTGCGTGGAGAGATGGCTGTAGTGGTTCCATTGTTTCTACCAGAAAGTGAGGTGTGCGCCGTTCTAGACGAGCTGTTGTTATTCCCTCTATCGTCCACTTCCATCAGACCACTCGCGCCATTCCTCGCCACGCGTAGTGGCTCGATTTCAACCGTGGCGTCAAGAATAATAGCGGCAGTAGATGCGGCGGCTGCTGTACTATGTGGTCCCGCGGAAGCCCTTGGGGACGGCAGAAGCTGCAACGTGGTCGCACTCCCGCTGATGTTGCCTGCTCCGTGTAAATCCACTGTGGAATTGGACATAAACCGGGACGTCGATTGGTCCACTCCAATAATGCCCGGTTGATGATGTTCCTGTTGATTTATCATGTTGTTCACTCCTACAACCGAAGCAGTAGATGGACCACGCCCCCGCTTGCTCGACGAAGAGGATGCCGAGACACGCACGATGCGCTTCGCGGCGTCGAACGCCGCCCGCTTGGATGTTTCCGTCCAGTTGGTGCAGGTGGTCAAATACGCCACGAGATCCACGACGCACAAAGCCTGGTCCGACGTTTCGTCGTCCGGGGGTAGCAGAATGGGGATCAGGTTCGGCACCTCCGCGACCAACTGCCGCATGGCCCGCTCCGCCTTGCTTTGCTGCAATAAAGACCGGCGCAGGATCACGAGAATCGAGTGGCAGCAGAACCGGCGCACCTCGTGCAACGCCTGTTTCAGTCGTTCCGAGCTTAGACTGGCACAGAAGCTGCTCTGCATCAGCGTCGTGACGAACACCGAGGGCTGACTCAGTTGCCCCAGTAGCCGAAGATTCTGTGTCGCCGCCAGGTTCACCGCCTCCAGTGCGACCAAGACCGCCTTGCAAGCATGCACCAACAGCGTCGACGGGGGATCAAAGCAGTACGGGCTGGACAAGACGCTACCAATTGCCCAAGAGATCAGGGCAACGCGCTCCGCGACGGCTTGCAGCGCGTCGTGCGGATCCTGAGGACCGTTTTGATGTCGCTTGTTGGTGCGCGTCGTGGTGGGTTTATTTATTTCCGCTTGATGTTGGGCTTGCGGGGTTCCTGAAGGGAAACCGCGGACGGAAACTACGGTCGTTGACGGACTGTCACCGAGAAGGTGGACGTCTTGCTGCGAAGAGGAAGATGTGGTTGTAACACCACTAGCGACGTCAGAAGTCGACTTACTTTTATTTTTGCCATTCGCAGAAGTTCCTGTCGCAATGCCACAAGCGGCGCAAGTTGCGGAGGAGACCAGCTGTGACGACGACTTTTTCAATTTCAGGCAGAGTTCTTCCAAGCTGTCGCACAAATTCTCGATCAGTGCGGTCACTTCGGCCGGCCGCGGCGGGCGGCGCCGCGAGCCCATAGAGGAAACAGCCCATCCGAAAACCCCATCCTTTTCAATCAAGGGAGGGAAACAGTTCCGGACGTGATCCGAGGCGCAGTTGATGATTGCCGTCAGCAAAAGCCTTGTGAACTTGTAATTGTGGTGACTGTTCTTCAGCGTTTCAATCACTCGCCCGAACTCGAGTCCCAGGCAGTCCAGCTTTTGTGCGGAAAAGAATTTTGCGCGCGATGCGCCCGCCAGGAATCGCCATCTGCGGAAGCGCGGATCAGCAACTGCGACAGTTGCAGCGTTATTTTCTACCACCGAGAGCTGGTCATCAACTTCTGCTGCCAGCTGGTCTTGCGGTAGAAGTTCCGCGGTGAGTGATGCGGGAGACACTGCTGCAACAGGCGATGCGACTGTTCCATTGTCGTTTTCCACCTCTTGCTGGTCTTTGCTAACGAAATCCTTTTCGAACGCATCCAGGATCGCCTGCAAGCCTGCTCCGGCAGGTTTCTTTTTCTGGATGGCCTGCTGCACTTGGTTTTTTACCGCCTGCAACTTCTCTTTCTCGTCATCTACCGGACTTTGCGTTGGACTTGTTGCATCAAATCTTGGATTTTCGTCCGCAATAGCCAAGTTCATCTTGCACGACTTCTTCTTTCCTTTATTCGACTTCGGGCTCAGCTCGAATTCCAGCAGCATTTGCCCTGGCGTCGCGATGGACAAACTGTCTACCGCAGAAGAACTTTTCATCCGAGAACCTCTTAACGTGCGTTCGCTCCGTGCCGTTTTGATCTGAACGTGGTCCTGCTGCACCGATGTTGTGCTAGTAGTTGTCCCCTCTGCGCCGCCCTGCAGTCTTCCGTCGCGCAAATCTAGGAGCGGGCTCGTCGTGGTCCTTGTTGTCGTACTGGCCGTCTGTTGTTCGCGATCGCGACGTTCTTCATCCGCCTGCTGGTTCTCATCATCCATCACACTGTAGTTGGCTTCGACGTCGAGATCCGCAATGGCTGTTCTCGGCGAGAAGGTCGACGCCTGCATATTCGGGCCGGGAGAATTCTCGCGGATCGTGCTGATCTGCATCCGCGACAATGAGGAGCCGGTCGTCGGACCAGCGCTTGGAAGATAATTACCACTGCAACTACTACTTCCTAATTTCAAGTCCCCCAAAACCACGGGCGCGACCAGGGTCCCGCCCCGGAGACAGAACACCTTCAAGTTTGCGAAGAGCGGCAACGTGACGTCGACGAGAACGTACCGCGGAACCTCGTAGAGCCGGAGCGTTTCTAAATTTGGAAACAAAAAGTCCAACTCCGTCAACTCCCCGGCGGCGGTATGGTAGGTGGGAAAACTCCGGCTGCTGTGCTGGGCCGAGCGACTGCCGGACGCCGTCGCGGATGCTTGGTAGTGCCGACAGTGGAAGCTGCTGCGCTCGAGCTCCTGGTTCGCTTCGCCGTCCTCAATCTCGTGCCCAAGCGACGTCGCCAGCTCGCGAATGCGCCCGACGCTGCGCATGGTCAGGTAATCCCGCTGCGAAATGCGTCTGGCGCGGGTGGAGTTGCTACTGTTTGCCAAAAACGGGTTGCGCTCCAAATTGGGCAACGCAGCAGATCTGGTTGTTGTGTTCGTGCCGGTTGTAGTCCCTCCTGTCGTCAGTCCTCTTTGCGCGCTGGGCAAGTTCTGCTGACTAGCAGTGACGAGATTTCTCCAAGCAGAGGCTAAGCTATCTGGCCTTGATGTGAATGCTCCAATCGAGGTTTGTTGTTCTGTCGTGGCTGTCGTGCTGTCAGCAGCCGTGCTGTCGAAGCGCGGAGTGGTCGGATTGGTGTTTCCGCCGGCCGGCGATGTGGTCGTTCCGATGCTTCCTTGTGACTCGCCCAGGTCCGTCGTCGTGTCAGTCGCGCGGCGGTTCAGGATTCGGTCTAAATCCCGGCGAAAGTTACTGGTCTGCTGCCGGAACATCGAGCTATTGTTCAGGGCTGGTCCTGGTACAGTTGCCTGCCCTGCGGAAAATAACCGCCCAGTACTACCGCCGTGCATCTGCTCCGGATACGTGATGTCATACGCATCGGATTCGTCCTGTGTTGAAGCGCCGCCGTCGCGCGCTCCGGACGTCACCAGTTCCGCAGCCAGAGACCGCCGATTTTCCTCGTAGGCAGAGGAGGTGTTGGATCCTCGGTTATTGGTCGTGATAGTACCTGTAGTACTCCGGTCTACTGCGCCGACGAGGTTGCGGCGTCCCAGAATGCGCGCGATCGCTGCCGCGTGATCGGCGATTTGGATAGCGGAAGATCGGAGCGTGGGCACAGCGTCGCTTCCCACGCCCTGCTGCGTCGGCAATAGATCTTCCTGCTCTCCTCGCGTTAGCGCGGCCGAGGAACGGATTGTCCCGAGGTCGATCGCCGCAGCATCGGTCGTAGTTGAGGATGAAATAATTCCTTGAGACAGTACAGCATCGTCGTTCCCACGACTTTGAATGGGTTCTACTTGCGCTCCCGAAGGAGCTACAGGATTCAGTTCAAATGGAGCGATCGGAACTTCACCCGGCAAGTGCGGAATTGCGTCAGCAAAGCCGCGAAGGAAAGCATCATCCGAAACAAGCTGCGCCGGACCACGCTCTCTACGGGGCAGCGGCGGTCGGCTCGGGTTCGAATTGTTCCGGCTGTGATCACGCGACGTCCGAGTACTATGTTGAGCACGCAGATCTGCGGAAGTAGAGGACCGCTGCTCGGGCGGCAAGAGCGCAAGCATTTCCTGGCTGGTCTCTTGTCCGAACCGGGAAAGAAGCATAGACGTCTGCTGCGTCAGCAAGCGCGTACGATTGGTCAAATGCTGCAAGGCCGTGGACAAAGCTTCCGCGACAATCGCGCGTGCCGCGAGTGTGGCCGCCGCACTGGCGTGCGTCGCGGGCAGGGTGGATGTTGCCAAGAGCGCGTCTTCCTGTCGAGGAGTGAAGATCGTGCTCCCCTGCTGCTCGCCGGGACTTGTCGCAAGCTGTTGTCCTTGCCCGGTAGAAGTGCCATCATCTTCGTCCAATCGGTTCAGCAGTGGTGAACGCGCGCCTCCAGTCGGCGCTTCGATGCTGGCCGCGGTGGTCGGCGGGGGTGTCGGCTGCAGCTGAAGCAGCGCGCTCTCGTCCTCGTCGCCAGACGACGTCAGCGACGCGCGTACGAATGAGCGAGTGCGCGACATATCATTGCTCAACTGTTGTTCAATGGTCGTGGAGCTACTTGTGTTGAAAATATTTCCCACGACCCTTGAGGGGAGGTTGTAGTTCCGTGTCCTGTCCACTTCAGATTCATCATACGGCATGGGCGGAATCAGGTCCGAGAAATTGTAAACCGGAGTCGTTGTATTATGCTCCCCCGACGTACTAGTCGCTCCACTCTGCCCGGGCTGCACGGTACTATTTCTTTGCGAAAGCTGCAGCTGCTGTTCTCCCGCAGCCGGAACAAGCTGCTGCTGCGTGAGACCTCCTGCTCCACCTCCGAAAGCGGCACCTCCGGATCCTTGTTGGAAGTTCCAGATTCGGCCCGGAGTCATCACACTTTGGTCCTCCACCTCGACATCCCGTGAGGTGTAATTCGGGCTGGAGACCGGTTCCTCCTCCCGCGCTCTTGGAAAGCGCGAGGACGCGGGACTCCTTGCCGGTTCCCGGCGGTTGCGAAGGCGATACCGCTCGATTTCGGACTGCGCGGAGGAGTCGTCGTTGGAGGAGGAGCTCAGCCAAAGCGGAGCGGTGTTGGAGCTGGACAGGTCCAAATCCCCGCGAAGGCGGCCCACCTGGTTCCGCCGGTCCGACGCAGAGCTGTTGGAAGCAGAACTGGGCGGGCTCCGGATACCGTCGGAACTCGCAAACAGGTTGTTGCTCTGGGGCGGGAACAGCTGCTGGGACGACGAGGAGGACGCGATGATGCGCGGGGAAGTCGGTGTCGGCCACAGCACAGGCTGGTTTATTTGCTGGGAAGTTGTCAGGGGTCCGCCGGCGACGGCGCTATTTGCAGAACCTCCTGGTGAAAGAACTGATGTCACCCGACTGCTACTGGACGTCGACGACCCTGCGGCAGTTGTACTACTAGTTGTGCCGTTATACGACAATACGGAGTCTACTGCCCTTTCGTTACTCTCAGCAAATTTCGCCGCATCAAACGGTGGCAGTGGCGGCGGTGTGCGAAATTTCATGCGGCTAGAGCTCTTCCGGTTCCCCCGCCCATCGTCGTAGGCCAGAGTTCCCTTCGGTCCCGCGTAGACGGACACCTCTCTCACAAACCTGCCGTGGCCAAGGCCGAACAGCAGTGCGTGACTGAACTCTTTCACGTGCACTTTCTGGTACTGCACAAAGGCTCGTCCGCGAAAGTGCCTCAGCAAGCAGCGACTCACCTGCTCCAGACGCAAAATGTCGGGTAAGGACAAAAAATCCGAAAAGAAGTCCGCACAAAGCACGCTCAGCGACAAATCCTCCTTCGCGGAAAGGTCAGCGTTAGCCGCGGATGTTTTATGATCGGGCGTCGTGACTTGTTTATGGTGTAGTTCCAACTTCGGATTCGCGTTTCTATCCAAAATCGGTAAGTGTGCCGCGAAAGATGGTCTGAGCACAGATTCGGGTAGCTGTGCTACTAGCTGCTCCACAACCTGCGAAATGGCTTTACTGAAATGTTGCTGGTGGTGGGGCACAATCACGTTGTCGATTTGAGGCTCTGTGCCGACTTCCCGCTGTAGTACGGCCGACTCGTCATTGAGGTTATTTATTGGCTCTATCCTAGTACCCGACGTTCCTGCGGAACAACCAATGTCCTTGGTAGTAGGGCCTAAGATCGCATCTTCCATCATTGCCGCCGATTGCGCCGACGGCGGTGGAACCAGTGCCTGCAATACCTCGGCCTCCTTCTGCATTTTCTGAGTACCACCTGCGATTCCGCTTGTTCCCGGTTGCGACATCGTGATTTCCGAGATGGTCGTCTTAGTTTGCAGTAACGCGGTCGTGGTAGGACAAGCCGGAGCCGTCGTGGGGTTGTTGCTTTCTCTTTTCCTCGGATGCTCGGAAAGTGACCGGAAATTGCCGACCAGTGACCGCCTCACCCGGTCTGGGTACCGCCCCGTGGTGGAGATTTTTGGTACAAAGGGTTCAATCACGATCCGGCGCCGCCGGTTTGCGGGCGGGTTCAACGACACCGAGCCGCGGCCAACGGGGGAAGGCGATCCAGCAGCGCTCGACGGTGCTTCCTTCGGAGGACCCTCCTTCAGATGAGCAGACTGAACAAACTCTTTCTTGTTTTGTTCCGCAAGACTTTTATTTGCGGCCCTCGCAGCAGGCGAGAATGCCGGTAAACCTTTTTGATGTAGTTGTTCCAGCGTTGCTTCCGTCGTGGACGGAAGTTGCACGACGCGCTTGTTACCATTTTTTGTTCCTAGCAGCGGCGATAGAGAGAGATGACGATCCCCCGCGATTTTGTTTCGGCTCACCCGCGTCCTCGCCACTGGGCTGCAGCTGAGGCTGCTTGCTCGCTGCGGCACGCAAGAAGATTTGTTCGCTGCCATGGTACAACCTGTGCTAGCCACCGACTGTTCGCACACCGTCTGCAGTCCGAAAATGTCTTCGCCCCGAGAACTCCGGGCGAGCAGCACTGGGGAGAAGGGCAAGTTTTTCCGTTCTTTCTGAAACACGGACGCTGCTGTCGCGGTGCCGGAGGTTGTTGTAATACAGATGGCACTATTCATTTTGCAGTTCTCTTTGCTAGCATTGTCGTGATCCGCAGACACCGTGCGGTTAATCGGTCTCCGATTGAGGAAAGGGGTTCGTGAATATGAACGCTTGCTGCACGAATGTTCTGCACCACTAGTAGCCCCTGCAGAAGTGGTTGCAATCGCAGTTGCTCTTTGTAGTTCTTCAGACGCGTCCGACAGCCCTGCAGCCGGCTTGTTTTCTTTCTTGGTGATCACGTTGTTGTTCACAGGCTCATTTAGAAGTGCTGACCCTGAACAGTCTACAACTTGTCCAGCGCTTTCTGCATTTTGATCATGCTTTCCTTTTGGTTTTACCGGTTCCTCTTCAATGCGCGTGTCTGCGTCTGCCTTCTCGACTGTGTCTGCCTTCTCGACTGTGTCTGCTAGACCACACGGGCCGCGTGGACTCATTTCCGTTTCCCCACCTTCGATGACCGCTACAGTAGTAGACACAACTGCTGCAGTTGTAGCTACTCGATCCAGCATCGCGGGCGGCGGTTGCAAAGCAACCTGCAGGCGAACCCGGCTGCACATGCGGCGCAAAGCGTGGAAAAACTCGCGCCGAACCTCCGGATTTCGAACCAGAAACCGCCAAGACCGGGTTGTCGTTGGACTTCTGCTGGCTTCTTCCTTGTCTTCCATGCCAGGCGTGGTGCAAATGTCCTCGGCTTCTTCGATCAAAATCCAGTTGTCAGTGAAGGAGAATCTGGCTGGAGAACAAGAACTGCTCAGGGCAGAAGTGGATGGTGAAGAACAAGAAACCGCGATCGTTTTGGGCGAAAACGACACCGAGTTGGTGGAAGTTGTAGCTGGGCTACTGGTACTGCCAGCTTTAGCCGCCACTGCATTTGCGGTGGCAGCTTCGACAATGCTGTTTATGGCCAGCGACGCAGCCGTGGATGCGGCAGAGGATGGCGTTGCCGTTGCTGTGCTCAAAGTAGGCGTGGTCTCTTCGTCCTTTACCTCACGAACATTCTGTCGCTCCTCGCTCGGACTGTTGATGCCATTATTGGCACCTCCAGTTGAGATGAACGTAGAAGTTCCTGCTATTGCACTCGTCGGCGTCAGCGCCTTTTTATTTCCGCCGAAAATGTTACTGGAAATAAACGGCACGACCCCGCCAGCCGCACCGCTCTCCGCCGTGCCACTGGTTGAACTGTTTCCAGTGCTGCTGAATGGCGGCTGCAGCCAGGGCAACACCGCAGGCGCTTTAGAAGATGCTGTGCCTCCAGTCGTGCCGTTCCCATTGTTCGTCGCATTGCTTCTACTCGCAAGCCCGGGGTACGCGGCCCACTCCACTTTTCCTACTGCAATGCCCTCCAATTTGTGCAGGTTGGTACAGGGGACAAGGAGAAGAAGCTCCTCACCGTGGCGTACAATGTGCAGGACTATGGATGTCGACAGGGTTTCACCGGCGCTGGAAACCCAAGCGTCAGCCACCACTTGATACAGGACGGAGGAGCTACAAGTCGCGGTCGACGTAGCTTGAACTTGTTCTCGCTCTTGTTCCCCAAGAGCTGCACCCTTCCTTGCTCTGGAGGCGCTTTGGCCGTCGTCCCGAAGAGCGGCCTTATCGCTGTTGATTACCTGTTCCATGACCTGCGCAGAGCGAAAAAAGGAATCCATGGGGTGGTGTAAGTGCAAGAACCGGGAGAAAGGAGCAGACAGGGCAGAGTATGTTGAAGCAGGGGCGAAGGGGAAGGAAGTTATTGCAGCGCGGCTCCTGTGATGGCCGTGCTCAGTGACAAATCTAATTTTTAGTTAGTTTGCGCCTCGGTTCCACCTTCGGCAGGTATTGTTGTCCGAGGATGATTAATTTTACTGCTGTAAGAACCTGATAAGACTCAGGGTTGTCGCTGTAAAGGTCGCGCTCAAAAAATGGGTGAGGGTGGATCGTGGTCGAAATAAAATGTGTTTCTTTCCTAGGGTTGGTATTGATTGGATGCAGCGTTTAGGGCAGCTATTAAAACAAAAAGAACAAAAAAGAGAAAAAGGTCCTTAGGCTTACTTGACGGGGGTAAACTACAGGAGGAGTCACACACCCAGAATAAACAAATCAAAAGGAAAACATCTTCGCATACACTATTCAAAGCAGGAAAAATACGAAAAGAGACGACAGATTTATTGGGGTCTTCGGGTGGGGTAGGGTTGTGGAGCTGGGAAACAAAACGCAGACGCAGAAGATTGATACATTGACTCAATTATGATCACGTACGATTAGCCTGTACATGAAACGATACCAGAGAACGAAGAAACCACGAAAAACCATATTGAAACACCTCACCACGAGAAGGAGGATGAACGAACTATCTTGAAGATGCACGATCACGAAACAACATATCGTCAGATTGACAAAAGGAACGACTACAGCTAGACGAGCACGAATAGCAAAAGAGATTAAAGCATTCGCCAAACTCAACGAGCCATCGTCCGCGCCGATAATCAAAGTTGCAAAGATCCTCGGCTAACTGCTGCAACGCAACAAGACGGCGAGGAAAGCAACAGAGAACAGAACTCTAACTAGAGAGACATATACGAAAGAAACGCATCCAGCATCAGCATAACTTCTTGTTTATAAGTACTTCTGAAAGACACACTTTGTTGCACCGTCTACAACATCGGACGACATCGACAAGACTAAGCTTACAGATCATCAAGCTATCTCGACTTTCTCGATCGTCTCGACTGCCTGACGGCGCTGGAAGTAAGACCAGATGTTGATTTGGTCGTGGCTACACCAACAAAATTCACGGACTTGGGGCTTTGTGAGCTTCTTGACATTCGCCGACCGGACGCTGCTGGCGAAAACGATTTTGACGCTCTTCTACTCGCCGCGGCAGATTTTGAAGAAGCAGCTGCTGGTACTGGTGACGCGCCCCTACTAAAACTGAAGCCCGCGGTCGGTGCGTCCAAAACAGGACTTTCACTCCTTCCAAGACTTGTTGGCGAGCGAGGAAATAGTGTTGGCGACGTGGAATTTCGGCTCCTCGCTTGAGGCCAACGCACAGTCTGAGGGTCGTAAACTGCTGGGGGTTGAAACCGCTCCCGTGCGGCCGTAGTTGTGGACGAACTTTTCCGAGCAGCGGCTGGAGGTCGCGGGGAAGGTGTAGTACTAATTCCAGGTCCTCTAGCTCTAGATCTGTCTTCGGCGTTCTTTATGAAATCAGTGCGTGGACGAGCAGGAGTACTGCGAGCCTTTGGCGTAGTAGGTCCCGCGTTGTTGTTCAACAGCGAGTTTACAACATCATCTCGACCGGATAGCAGCGCGTGCATGATTTTCGCCGTCTTCACCTCGCCCCAAACTTGCATCCTCTTCTTCGTCAATAAGGAAGTACTTCTCGCGTCTTCCCTTGCACCACTTGCTCCTCCTGTACTATAATTCCCAAGCTTGGGAAAACGCTCGCAGAGCGCTTTTGCTTGTTCGTTTGCCTCCCTCTGCACCTGCTCCACTGCATCCGAAAGGAAGTGCGCCTGCTTGCCCTGGGCCTCGTAACACTGCTCGCGGAACCCGGACAGAAGCGGCTGCGCCGCCTGGTCCAACATTTTGGTCAACAGTGGCCGCTCCTGTAACAAACCTGGTGTTCCTGGTGCCGGTTTCGACAGCGCTGCTTCCACCTCGCGGTCGCGTTTCCGCTTCGCCACGACCGCGATACCCAGAAACCTCGTTTCGTCCACGAAAAACTTTTCTGGTTTCCAGTCTTGCAAGCCTTTTGGGGGCTGTACCGAACACGCCTCGTACTGTTTTTGCCTTAAATCTTCCTCCCGTTGCGCTGCGACTTCTCCCGGGGACGAGGGGGCGGAGTAGGGAGCAGGCGGGCACTGCGGGGGCGGCGGAGTAGAGCCGCCACCAACTAGCGGTGGTGCTTCAACATCGTCACTGCTCACAGCGTCGTCCTCATCTACTTCTTCTATTTCGTCCACCTTCACAGCGATTCCGCCAGCCTGTGAAAGTGACACAACTTGTTTATTCGTTTGCGAGGTGGGCTCTACGAGAAGTACACCTCCTTTCGCTTCTTGTCGTTTTCGTTCCTCACTTTTCAGGTCCGAAGCGGGGCTAGGTCCTGCTGCACCCTCATCGAGGGCTCTTGCAGGGGAAGAACTGTCTTGATCTGCTTGAAGCTGTGATGCGCTCAGTGCCAATTCTTGTTGCCCCGCACCAGCAGGCAAGGCTGTAGCCTGTTGTTCTTCTTGAACATTGTTCTCACTTATCCTCGTCTGCTCGGGGACAGCAATTCCGCCTGGCTCCAATTCCGATAATGCCGCTAGTTTCGCAGTTTGTGTTTGTGGCTCTTGTCGTATAACCGCATTTACTACAGGTACAGACGGATCTTCCGGGGGTGACGCGATAGCCACCGCGGCCTGTTGTTCCTTTTTATCCTGGTCGTGGTCCAATTGTTGCACCAGTTGACCCTGCCTCGCACCTTGTTGCTGCTGTGATGGTTCTTCTGGCGGAACTTGTTGTACTGGTTGTGATTGTGAATTCTCGGGAACAACTACGGCCGCGGGTGCGCCTTCTACAACCTGCGCCAGCTGCCTAGGCGCCGCACTCGATGCCTGTGCGGCCTCACTGCTCACAACAGCACGCGGCTGCGCTTGCTGCTTTGCGGGAAGAAGCGGCTGTTGTGCCTGTTTTGCTTGGGGCGGCTGCGGTTCTCCTGTCGGTACTGGTGGTCTTGTACTAGTTCCTGCCGTTTTACCAACGCCAGTTTGCGCCGGTCGTTGTGCCTGTTTTGCAGAAACGATCGAGGCTTGCGTTTGCTTCGCAGCGACTGGCTGTGCCTGTTTCGCAGCACCGGGCTGCGGCTGTTTCGGCTTTGTCGCAGCAGGTTGCGCTTGCTTCCCAGGCGCGGCCATTTTCCCAGCTGGTGGCGCCTTTGCGCCAGTTGTCGATGAGGATCGAAGCTTCGTCCCCTGAGTTACAGCTACCCCGGACGGCGCCGGTGGTTGCTTTGGCGAAGCAGCAGACGGCTGCGCTTGCTTCGACACCGGTGGCGTGGCGGCCGCCTTCTTTGACGACACTTGTAGTACTACCGGGGGCGAGGGTTTTTGTTGTCCCTGCTTTGCAGCTACAGCCACTGGCTTCGAGGAGGCGGCATTTTTCGGTGGCTGCGCGAGCTCTTTATTTCCGGGCTTCGAGGCCGCCGCGGTGGCACTGTTCTCAGGACCAACTACTTGTTGCTGTACGGTCGAAACAGCAGGTTGTAGGGTAGGAGCCGATGGTAGACTATTCGCCGCCGCTGCGGCTTTAGATTTCATCTCCTGCGGAGGTTCTTTTTTATAACCTGTCATGTCCAGGTCATCCTCACTGCTAGAGTCCTCTTCATCGGCCTCCGCGGCAGCGCCAGAAGGTCCCTGTGAACTGTTTCCTTTCGCAGCTGCCATATTTCCTGCACGACCAGGTGCTTCCGTCGCGTTCATGCGAGTCGTTGGCTGAGCATCTTTGTCATCACTGCTCGACGACTCACCATCTACGACCGCAACGGGGGTCGGGGCCGCACCCTGTTCCATAATTACTGTGCAAATCTGCACGGGGAACACACGCAGAAAAGCCTGTTCTTACGCCATCTGTTTTCTTCTTGATAACAACTTCTACGGTACATATATTGAAAAGTTGTAAAATCCCAGAGCCAGAGGGGAGATCGATAACAACTTCTACCGTACGTATATGCATGCACAACAAGAGCAATGAGAATAAACCATTATGTCGGGAGAGTAGAGCGACGTGGGGCAGAAGTGGAGATCTACTTCGTGCGGGAGTGCGTGAAAGAAAGTAATTCACCTTTCTTGGATTGGCAAAACAGCCTGCCTTTCGCCTTTTTTCAATTTCATACCCTTTGAGCACGATCAAGATCATGGACGTCGAAGAAGCCAACCACATTTCTGGGTCACAAAAGCTTCACTGAATGCGAACGCTTTGAGTCTGTTCTGGACGAAACTGAAACTGAACGAAGTTACGAATTCATCTGGAAGATCACGATGTTTCGAGTCATTAACCATGACGACGGAAGAAACAAACGAACTGCTGGAATCAAACTGAAATCCACATCATCAACAAACTCGACTCGGTGCATAAGAGGTGCACTTGCAGACTACGGACGAATGTACACCTCTCTACTTGGTTGCGAACGGAGAAAAAGACAACGACAAAAAGAACAAACAAAAACCACTACAACCAGGGCGCCCGCGCCAGTATCTTGTGCCATACGATCCAGATACCTCTAGTGGATAAATATTTTTGGGTTCGAGTGAGCCGGCAGAAGCGGTTGAGAATTGGTAGGCGATTGTGTCAATTCATTATGGCTGGTATTTGAAATTTTCATTTTGTGATGAAAGGCAAAAACTACACAAGCTTCGTTTAGGACTGATTTGTTGAAAATGGCAACTTCGCTCGCAGATTCGACAAAAAAAAAAAAGCTGTAAGCAAGAGATACAGTAAATCGGTTTGCGTTTAGACATGTGGAGTATAATAGAGTCGATGAATGCGATGCCTAGACGTGTTGCCACCAAACAACAGTCCCGTGGGAATGCTTCATCATAAGAAGTGGCGGGTCAAATTTAGCAGATCGGTGAAGTAGAAAAAGTGCTGCCAAGGTCAAGAATTACAGGAGCCGGAGTTCATTACTTTGTTCTCAAGAAATGATAATGCGAAACATACTAAAAGTCAACAAAGAAATGCAAAAATACATACGCCAAATCGATAGTAATGCGGGCACAAGGTGCAGCCCAGCTGTGATGCTAAATCAACAACATACTCCGTCCAATGAGTCATTTCTATACTTTATTCTCATTCTACCTTTCCATTTCCTTCATTCCTGCTGAGGTGGAGATTCACAAAGGGAACTAGGAAACACGTTCCTCTCAGATACAGCAGAGCGCGCAGGGTTAGAAATAGCATTAGGAACTGACGCATAGTACAGGACGATGGATAAATATGACTGTAATTTTGACAAACGAAATTGATAAACACTTCCATACCGGTTTTGCGTCCGGAACCGAATCCAATCGTTATCAAACGCAAGACAACCGCGTTCAATGGGGTTAAATTTTGATAAACAACTGATAAAACTTGTTTCATAAAATCTTTCGTAACGAATAATAAAACAGGACGAGACAGGAGAAACGCTGCTCGCAATCGCATTTTCCTGTCTACGAATCAACCGCTGACAGGGAAACGATAACAAAGTTGCCTGCTCCAACCGGGAACGAAATAAAGAAAAAAGCATACTTACACAACAAAAAGTTCATCACGCGGGAGACTTCTAGTCGAAAACACATTCTGTTTTTCGTCGTGTCCGAAACCTGGCACTCAGAAGTACTACAGTCAGGTACTTTCATTCTGAAAACAGGAACGTTGCTGATTCTTCTGGTTTAATACGGCGGGTAATCTTCAATCCATGACGTTGAAGGCTCTTCCTCTGCAGCTCTTGTCGAGAATCATAGCATCAAACACCACTACTAGCCAATGCAAACCATAACTACTTCGTTGTTCTTCCTCGGAATACTGAAATTGGAAGCAGTACATGGACATACGCATACCTTAGATTTCCTCTGCCACCTCGGGGAGTGTGTATAATTAATGTAGAAGTCACACGCACGCAAAAGGTGTCAGTTATGGCATGTCGATCGTTGCTCTGAAAAATCCTTAGTGCTGTAGCGGGTTTTGTAGAAATATTTTTGCCTGTACCACGTACAACAGCGAAAGGAAGAGGAAACTTTCCCTTCATCGGGATAAAGGGACGAGGGGGAACAGATAAAGGGAGGAACTTCTTCTTGGCGGGGGGCAACTTCCTAAAAAAGTTTGCACAGATTCCATTGATACTTCTGTGCGCTTTCCTATTTTTACTCTTACTGGGGTACTGTGCGGGGATGAAAGAAAAGTGACCCGGTACTGTAGTACCTGTAGAAGTGCGGCTGCAGGTGGCTTTGGCTTTGCTTGCTACTCCTCCGTCCGGGAGGCGGGATATGGATAAAGTTAAGAGGCTGTACGATTAATCGACCCCCTTTTCGATACCGAAAAGGGGGGCAGAAGCGCGAATCTGACCGAGCTTACCCCCCTACGCCCCCCTTTTCGAAATCCGGGGGCCGTTTATCGCGAAGCCTATCGCGACTCTGAATCCCGGCGGTACGGCGTGTCTCACGCCTTTCGCTGCTTTTCTGAAAAACACCGCCACAGGCGGCGCTTTCTTACACTTACAAGGCTCACGGCAGCAGGCGAAGCACACACCGCCAGTGCTGTGGTGTAAGTCTTCACTTGACTTTCGTTTTTTCTTAACAAGAGCGGCTCCAGGTAGTGTGTCGCTCGCCACAATGGAAGAAAGTGCAACAAATGCGCTCTATGTTTCGGAAAAGAATCCCACCGCCGTTTCTCAAAGTAAAGCCCAAAAAGAGAGCTATGTCGCAGTAGCTTGGGCACAGTACAGCTGCGACGTAGCTCTACTGCACAGAAGAACGCAGTTGTAGGTGCTGCGCAGTAGATCAGAAGCAGGGCGAAATATGTGACGCAGAACTGCGCGAGCCCTCGGGCTGTTGAAGCGGCCACCACCGCACTACTTCCTAAATGTGGAGGAGTTGAGATGGCCACTGCAACCACTGAGGCCGATATGTCCTCGGAGCCCAGTTCAGCGTGGCAAATTACTGCGAGGCAGATATCCTTTTCCTTTCTTGACGCGGCAAAGCGACTGCCTTTTCAAAATCAAACTCAGCCCGTGTGGCCTCCTCGGAAAAAGCGGAGGCGCGTTTTTTTCGCTATAATTGCTTTCGCCCTTTTTGTGCCGCGGCGGCTTCCGAAACGCTGCGGGCAGTTTTTACTGTTGTTGCGATTCCCCTTGGTTCTTTCTTTTCTTCTACTTCAGGGCGGCGCTTGGTTGTGCATTCGCTGCAAAGTAGCTCTACTGCACAAAAACAACGCAGGCGCGGAGTCGATGACGCCATCAATTCAAACGCGGCCTGCCCTCCTCGGAAAAAAGGGTGTGGGGGCGGGCCGTCTATTTTCTAAAGTTTGTCACTATCTCCTTCACTACTGCGGTTTCACGATCTAAACTTTGTATGTTTTGCTGCGACTTCTTCTTTCTTCATTCGTTACAGCTCGCTTGCAGATGTTTTGTTGCAACGCGCCGGCATGTAGCCACATAAGCAGCATGTGCTCCGCTGCGCGGCACGTAGCGCGCGCCGCGATTTTTTTCTTCAGTTTGCGCTGGGGCATCGCGCGCCCCGCGAAGCTTTTTTTGCTGCCATACGCATATGCCGACCCGCGCGCGCGCAGCGCGCGCCCTACAAAAATTGCGTTGTGTACTAGGTCCTGTTCTAACCACACCGCAGAAACCGCAACCAACAGAGGAGATGAAAGCTGAGAAAGAACCGCAGTCAGCAAATAAAACAAAAATTTATTTCGGGGTGGGGGAGCTACGGAGCCACATTTTGGCTTTTGAAGTCCGAAAATTGGTCGGGTCCGGAGGGAAGCGGCCATGTTTGGACACGGCCAGATGACCGATCGCACCTACCCCCCCCTTTTCGGTATCGAAAAGGGGGCCCATTAATCGTATGGCCTCTAAAGAGCCAACGAAAAATAAAGCATGCATAAGCAGGTGATTTGTTCACCCAAGGACACACGTCGTTTTAGAGAAAAGCGTTTGCGATTTCTTTTCGGCGTTTTTTGCGTGATGGTCAGCATTTTTGGTTTTGCATCAAATTTGCATTGACGATACTGATTCCATATCTAGTTTATTTAGGCCTATTGAAATCTGGTGTCATTATTTTTTACTTTTGTTGCAAACGAATTTATCTTTGTTTAAGTTGCAGTTTTGTTGGCAGAGTGGATTTTTTTGCTCGAGGAATCAGAGCTACGATCGTCGCGTGGACTTCATCCGGAACCAACGTGGATTGCAAGCCTGAGCGCCTTGATGACAAGGCGGTTTACATCAAACCATGTTGCCGGGGAGGTAACTAAATGTACGAGATAAAATTTCTTTTTTACAACGGGGGAAGTCGGAGATCACAGAATCAGGGTGTAACTATCATGGAAACAGTTTGTGCTCCGTTTCTAGGGAAGAAACTGACAGTAGAACTGAGCACAGGTTTTTTTTTACAATGAAAATGTTGCAACATGCGAATTTTCCCGGTTTGTTTCATATCCCAAAATGAAAGTAGCAACTCGTGCTGCACATCGACTACAAGATTCCTACCAGAGCGTTTGCACGTCGGTGACTGTCGAGTGTAAGTTCAACAATCTTACATTCGCAGTAGGCTTCAAATTTGCCAAGCATTTGCCGGTGTCCACCTGTGGGGAGAGAGGCACCTGCAGTTGCAAGTACTACTAGCACATGCTGATATTATTCATGTGCTGTCTATGGTTGCGTTTCATGCTTCGAAACCTGAACAGATGCTCTTTCAACATCTGATGGTCCCCATGCAAAATTTGTTCGAAGTTGTCTCCGTTTGCTACTTCTCCAAATCGAGATGAATACCTTTCCAAGTAAAGCAGGACCAATCTTGGGGGTGAATCTAGTATCTTGGAATCCACTTCATCGGCTCGATATGGGGTAAAGATCTGCTTCAGGTTCAGATCGCACAGCGCATGGTGCCGTAGCCGTACGTAAGTAGAGAGATCATGATGCCGTGCCGATGATATCATGGAGGCAAGGACCCACTATCCATTGTCCCCAGTTTGATGTTGAGCGCCGCTTTCTAATCTAGAGTACTGTGTTCCTTATAGATGTAGTGACCCAGAAGAAATATTGCTCTTTCTCAAGGACATAATTCCAAGAACAAATTTATCATTCAGGAATATGTGAATATAAGATGACGAGAAACATAGTTTAGCAGCAAATTCTGCGTCGTGGCCACTATTACGCCAGCACAGTTTTCAAGAAATAGAGCTACGAGCGGGTGGCTGTCACGCTTGGGTGAAGCAGCACGCACCGCCGGCTTTCTACTTCTATCGTGCTTGCGGAGGTGATAGCTTATTTCTAGACTCAGTTAGGGACACAGCAACATCATCACGGTAGGACCTCCACAAAACATTCAATCTAGCACAAATCAGGCCTCAGATCTCACTCTGGCGTGATCCAAAGCAGCATGACATCATCGTTTCCATCTGAACGAGAGAAGCTCCAAAATCCTATCAGGCCATTGCACTGTCCAGCTCGCTTTGCAGCTGATCGAAGTACCCGCCGGAAGTTTCTGTGCTGTCGCTTTGGCGAGCCAACCCAGCATGCGACGTATCAACACTGCTCTGACGCAGCTCATCGCCGATCGACAACGGTGCAGCTTTTGTGAAGGCTAGCTGCAGCCCGGAAGCAACCACAGCTCCATATGCCTCAGCAGTCGGCGGTGGCTTGATGCTGCTCACCGGTTGCTGCGCCTGCAGCTTGCAAAACTTTGCGCCCGAAGAAGAAGAACCACTAGCGGGAAGTTGTACACCAACACTTTCTGCTACTGTCGCAGAGGGCGACGTACGGACAACAGCAGCGGCGCTCTTGTGCAAAGCCGCATTGTTTTCCGCCACTAAAGCCTTTGCCTGCTGCTGCTCTTGCAGAGCAGCCATAAAACCAGCAGCCATCGTCCCTGGTTTTATCTCACCGGCCGAAAGAGAAGACGAGACGGCGCCGCCCGGCGGACCTCCATGCGAAGAGCTACCGCTGCTGGTCCGGGGAACTGCCTGGCTAGTAGTGCCACTTCCGCGCCAGTTCGTGTTGTTATCAAAGCTCTTTCGGCTCCAGTCGCGGTCGATCCACGAGCGGAGACTGCTTGGCTCCCGTGTAGTCGTGGGCCCGACCACACCAGCCGGGTAGTTTGTAACGGAAGAGTTGGTAGTACACATCAAAGCCCCCGAGGAAGAAGACGGCTGGTGCGCGGCCACAGTCGAGGGGGTGCGCCCCGTCGTGCTGTCCGTCGCGCTCACGCCCGTACCGACGCCAGTGCTGCTGTAGGAGTGCCCGCGGTTCCTTGTGTCCGTGTCATGGTCTACTGGAGATGAAGACCTAGCGCCAGTCGACATGATCTTGAAAGCCTCCAGCTGTTCAGAGGTAGCAGGGAGATGAGGAGGCGATTCAAACTTTTGCTGAGACGTCGTTGGGGGACCACGCTGTTCCACTGTGTTCTTGGAAAAAGTTTTGTTTGTCGTCGCGAATTCTTCGCAAGAACCCGATCCATCGGGACGTAGCGGCGGAGACCCGTGAGAGGATCCCCCACGTGCCAGATTTAGCTTGGTCATCAACTGCCGCAGGGCTGCTGCGCTCGGGGTTGCCAGGCAGCTTTCGTTTTCCTCTATTTTCGTTGCAGAATGGTCTTCACCTGGTGACAGTAGAACATTTACCTTTTTATCGGCTCCTTGTGACGATAAACGCCCTGACGGAACAGCCTGCTGTTGATGTTGTTGCATTGGGCGTTGTTCAACCGAAATTGCGGCGGTCGTGCTGCGATTGTTCTTCCCACTGCTCTTATTCTCCAGTTGCGAATAGTCTTGCAGTAAGTCGTCCACTTGTTGCCTCAGTTGGGAGAGGCTGTAGGAAACATTTTCCGGATCTTCGTAGGGCTTGCGGCCCAATGATGCCAGATCATTATACTGTTGGTGTTGCTGTGATGTTGCAAATTGTTCAGGCACATTGACACCGCGACCAGGACCACCCTGAGCAAGCTTTACTGGTTGGTGCTGCTCCTGACGAGATACCACCGAGCTCATCTGCTTGGATTGAATCTGTTTTCCGAAAGCACCTCCTGCTGCGGAACCTGAAATGCGATTGAATTTTCCAATTCCAGTTTTCAAAAGTCAAACACCAGCAAGCTATGGCGCGCGCAAAGTTGCGTTTTTAAAAGTACTAGAATTTCTTTTTTAATGTTTGCATGGTACGTCGGCAACTAGCTATATTAGACTAGATAGAGTTAGCTAATTATACTAGATGGAGTTTTGCATGCATAGCAAGGTGTCTAATTCAGAGGTAGTAAAGTCGTCTTCCACGAAGGGGGGCTGGTCCACGGATCTGTCCTGAACGCTATCGGGACGTCGTGGGGAGCGCGGACATGTTTCTGGTTGCGCGCAAAGTCATCTACTCGGGTTGAAACAGTAGAGCGGCCATCTCATGATGTTCGGCGTCTAGTACGAGTTTGCGAATGACTTCGCAATACGCAAGTGCGGAGACCACCTGTTGTGGACCGCAGCGAAAAGAGCAACCGGCACGCAGGCCTTCCCCAACACGAGGCCCCCCAAAGGGGCTTCGAAGTTGCCGGCAAAATGGCCTACGAAACACCCCCCCAAAAAATCGCCAATCCCGATGTAACTACCCCTCCCGAAGAGGCCGATCAGTTGGCATCTGCGGAGGGGTGCAAACTCGGGCGAAGTTTCACAATAGATTCGCAGAGGTTTTTTTCCCATGTGCGACAGCTAATGCGCCGTCGCAGTGTAGGTAGCGCCATCGTGCGCCAGAGTCAAGATCTGGCTGGATGTTCGGAACCAGGTATCGGAGGTTGGTAAGCTCCCCGCGGTTTTCGTCGTTTTGGGACCGTACACCTAGCCACAGCTCCGAGTAGAAGACCCTCAGCAAGGCTTGGCGACGGGACCGCCCTGGACAGATCCGTGGGCCAGAGCCTCGAAGAGTACCAGCCTACTTACCTCTCGGCGCCGACGTGCTTTTGCACTTATTCGCGCTGAACTTCTCATGCATATTTAGAATTAGCTAGTGATATTAGCTAGGCTTGAGCACTGAAGCGCTTGCAAAAAAAAAATTCTAGTACTTTTCAAAAAGCAACTTTGCGCGCGCCATACAAGCAAAGATTGATTCATCTTGCAGAAGATAGAAACAAACGTCATCGGGAGGACATGATGAAACTCAAAAATACCGTGCAAGCCGTTCCTTCCGCCCTGGTGTGCAGCAGTGGGAGGACTCCCCTTCGGTCTCTGATTGGGTGACGGTACTGGAAACTGTTTAGAAGTATTCCCCTGCCTGGACGGAGCCGGGTCGACATAATTCATTCCCCTACTGCTTTTTGCCTGGGTCGACGTAACGGGGGGACGGTAGTGGGTGAAAAAGCCAGTCGTCGCCGCACTGTCTTCGCCTCGCGGGGAAAAGCACTGGTAGATGTTTGTCGGGCTTGGCCGCGGTGGCGCTCTGCCATTTGCTCCTCCGCGTGCGTCGCCGGAACCACCCGCACCAGACTCGGCTGCTGCAGAAGTCACGCTCGCATTATTGACAGGAGCCTTTGATGAATTATACGAGGCACGCGGCTGCTGGCCGCTCCGTGCGCCGCCGGGCAGCGCTGCTCCACGCTGCTGCGCCACCGCGCCGACCGCGCCTCTGGCTACAGCTGGTGCTCTATTTCCGTGCTGGTTGCCAACGGCCCCCCGCTGCTGTGCCTCGACCGCCTGGTATTGATGTTGCTGACCCGCGTTGTACTGCTGTCCAGTCCGCTGCTGTCCGTAAAATTGTAAATGTATTGAGAGGAAAAATCCCCCCTCCCCATATTGAAAAGGCATGTTTCCGAAAATTTGCGTTGCTGATTTGAGGTCACAAATCACATTTGTTTTGCAAGAAGGCAAGGGCAGAAGCTTTCGCCCCATTATGGAGGCGATTTGTCATGCTGTTGGGCCTAAAGGGGAGCCGCTTGCCAAGCTGAACAACTAGACGCATACGCCCCTACCTAGCCTGGGGACCTGACTGCAATGCTTTCCTGCAATACAAAGCTGATTTGTGTACTCAAATCCAGCATCAGAAATTTCGTTTTGATATGGGGAGGGGGGATTTTTCCTTTTGATAAAATGGTCGGGGTAGTTGTGTCGGTACGTCTGACGACCGTGGTCGGCGCGCGGATCGGTGATAGACGTGTTGCTGAAGTTCTCGTCGTAGAAGTCTCGATCTTCGTCGTCATGATCGTACTCGTGCCCGCCCCGCTCGTTCCCTACGTAGTGTCCCCACGAGGCCCCGCCCATTCGTTTGTCGTACGGCATACTCACGTGCTGCCTCGTCCCCGCACCAGCAGGAGCGGCCCCAGTATGGTGATTGCCGCGATAATTGTGTTGCTGCTGGAGCTGCTGTTGCCCTTGAGCTTGACCACCCTCTACTGCTCCTACCGGCCTTCTTTGTGGCGATGCGCGAGGTGGATGCTGCATGTTGGTCCTGCTCACGGCAGAAGCTTTCGCAGTTTTCCGCTGCTGCTGCTGCGGAACTGCAGGCATCAGGCTGCTGTCTGCCGCGACTTCCTCGTCCAGATCGTGCCAGCCGTTGGGGGCGCGTGCAGCGGCCAGCTCGTGCAAAGAGCTAAGCCCAGACGAACAGTGCGACCCGCGTGGCTCTTCAGATGTGCTACTGAGCGGACGACCGAAGCAACGACCACCCTGATCGCCATACAGAGCCCGAGTTAGCTCATCCCTTATTGATTCCTCCGTCGGATGACTTTTATGTGCGTTGTGAGCAGTGGTCCTGGCGGCCGCCTGGGCGACATTGCCGCGACTAGGATGAAGCTGTTCATCCGCAGAAGCACTCGGGCCTGCTGCAGTCGCAGTGCCGTGGTACACATCGCTCGTCGCGGAACTACCGTTATTGATGGCGCTGCTGTAGTTGTACCCTTCTTTTCTCCGACCCCCGGTAGAAATAGCAGCCTCCGGGTACTCGAAACTATCCTTGTAGTGCAGAAAACTGGCAGCTGCAGCAGGAGGACCAGCGAGCGCAGTAGAGCTACCACGACCCGTTTTGCTACTTCTCGTCCCGCCCACATAGGATCCATTTTCCTGCTCGTAGGCCATTTTTATCTCGTCGAATTCAATAGCTGACCCTTTGATGTTCATCCGGTTGTTCGAAGTTGTACTAGCGGTCTTCGTATTTGCCGAAGCGCTGCTGGCTCCCTTCCCCGTTTGCGACATGTATTCGCGCAACACGTGAGACTGCGGCGAGGCCACCAGGTGACCACCAGACCCTCGGGTGTGCTGCGAACCGGTCCCGGACCTCCCGGAGGAGCCCGCGTTGCTCATCCCACGCACGCTGCTCGCCGAGCCGCCATGGGCGGAAGCGGCCCGGGCAATCTCTTGTTTCGTCGCTTCGTGCTGCATCAGCTGGCGCAAGTAATACTGGTGCTCCTGTTCCGCCCGGCTCATGGCGGCCCGAGAAGTGCTATGATCTTGCTGTTGCAGTTGTGGAAGAACGTCCTGGACTGCTGGACCCTTTCTTTTCGACCCTTTGGTTGTGGGGCGCAGCGCCGGCGAACCCTTCGGAGACTGTTTCCGCGTGGCTTTTTTCTTTCCGGCTGCAGTGCCAGCACAACTCGCAGCGGTCTTAATATTCGACTGCTGCTGCTGCTGCTGCTGCTGCTGCTGTCCCGTAGTCGGCTGCTCTAGAATTTCACGTTTCTGCCCCGAAGCTGCGCTGGTTGCAACTTTATTTTCTTGCGTCGAAGCCAGACCAGGGGCTCCTGCGGCTCCCGCGTTTTCGGCGAAAGCGCCGTAATTAGTTTTGGATGACACGGAGCGCAAGATGGGCAGGACATCGCTGCCGCCGTTCAGGTAATCGCTCACGCTCATCTTGTACTCCTCCTGGTTGCATTTCTTCTCCACCTCAACAACCGGCTTGGCAATCGTTCTCGAGCCACTTGATGCCTGCACCTTTGAAGACACTTGGGCTTGGCCGCCGCGGGTGGTGGACACCTTAATACTACTACCCGGTTGATATTGTTGCTGCGGCACGACAGCAGTTTTGCGGCCTTGCGTAGCACCAGCACCTCCAGAAGGTTGCTGCAACGACGAAGACGACGACCCTGGTGGCAGTTGAATCATTTTGTCCAAAGACAACAACCGCTGGTTGCCCCCCCGAGAACCTGAACCTCCACCGCGATGAACTGCAGCCATTCCCTGGTGACCACTCGAAGACAGGGAGGACTGTAGGGCCGCCAAGCCGGACGGGTAGGTTTGCGAATCTAGGGGTAGCTCTTCCGCGAGGCCGGATAAGGGTCCGGAGGTGGAGGAAAACTGTCCCGCTGTTCGCTTTCGCAAGGACAACGAAGCCTTGCGGTCCGCGCCTGTATCCAAGCCCGACATGTCCAGACTCTGCACCAAACTCAGCTTCCGAGGCTCGTTTACAGAACAAGTAGTACCAGCAGCGCCGCCCTTGGCTTTATTCGCCTTGTTGATCATCGTCGGTCCGCTGTGCGGCTGATGGGCATGGGTACTGGGGCCTGACGAATTAGTAGAGGAACCCAGTGCGCTACTCAAGGACAAGGTCTTCTGCATGATCGTACTGCCCAGCTGCGAGGAGGACTGTTGACCACCAGACCCCGACTGCGGCGTGGCTGTCTGCTTGGTCGAGCTGACAGGCGTGACTACGCCCAATCCCGGCACGAATTCCGGCATTTCCGAAAACCGCGCCGGTGTCGCGACACCAGCTTCTCTTGCGGAGGTGGTCTTTTGGTCGTGGCTTATTTTCAATGAGGATCCTTCTTTGTCGTGCTTGTCCGTTGAAGTGAAGGTCTTTGCCTCACTTTCCTTTCTTCCATCAGCCCTGGAGGTTGTGCGTTGCTTCGCGTCACTGTTCCTGTTCGGCTTCCGTTTATTTCGGCCTCTTTTACCAGAGGAACGACAGCTGCTACTGGAAGATGCAGAGCTTTTGATGTGGTCTACTTCTCCGGTTGTAATGTGAAGATTCTCCTCAATTTCGTCCTCCGAAGCCTGAAGTAGATGCAAGATTGAGGTTCCCGTGCTCGTTGCCCGGCTGGGTGTGTGTGTCAAGACCGAACGGTCTTTCATCGGCTCCAACATGTTACTATTCTGTTGCTGGTTCATCTCACGACCCTCGGCGCTCACGACGACCTGCTTCTGCTGCTCCTGGCCGACGTTGTTTACCACCAGAACCTCTTTGACGTGGGCGACGTCGATATGCTTGTCGGCAACGGCCGACCCCGGGGCCTGGTGGTCCAGGAAATCGAATGCGGCGTGGTGGTGCTCCACAGCTTGTTGCCTGCTATTACTCTGTTCTACGGAACAATTATCCGATTGTTGCTGTTTACTTTGTTGCGGAGCATTGTAGTTCTCATCCACCATCATCTTCAAATGCTTCTGTTTATTCGTGTTCTCAACAGCACCGTCGTGCTGAGGCACTGCAGATGTTGAAGCCCCCTCCCTCGGAGTGTTTCCAACCCCGCCGGGGGTACTGTTTCGTGGGGTGCTATCGTCCGCCCAGATGGGCGTCACGTCCACTTCCGTTTTCTTCGAACCAAGCGGCAGAACCAAACGAGGACCCTGTTTACATGCAGCTTGCGACGCTGCTGTGAACGAAAGATCTTCACTATCACCGTTTTTGGCCGCATGATCTCCGGGTGGAACTGCCTGATGTCCTCCCTTACTACAACCTTGAGTACTGTCCGCCCCCAAAACAGGCGCAGCAGGTGGCAAAACAGCGGGCGGTGGCGGTGGCGGGGCCACAGGTGGGGGCTTAATTGGGGCAAGCGCGCTGTTAACCTGCTGACCAACGGAACAAGTCGGCGCAGGAGAAAGTTTCGCGGTGGCTGCGCTCCGCACAACTGCCGAGGATTGTTCAACACCTAGCGACTGACTTCCCTCGTCTTCGACGCCGTCGAGCGGCAAGACGCACGGTGTAGCATCCATCCGCTGCGTGGACGCGACCGGGGAGGGGGTGCTGGCTGCGGCGGGCCGATCGATCGAGCAGTCTGCGTCCCGGTCCGTGGTGCTGGTCGGCGAGAAAACATCCGTTGCACTCTTCTTCCTCTGATGCTCCACGTGGAGCAGGTCCCCACCTCCGGTGGTCGACTGCGAAAGCAGCTGCAGATGAGAGCAGTGCTCGTCGACACCCGCGTCGGAATCCAGGCGCGGGATCACGTAGCTCTCGTCGAAAGAGGCTTTGGGCGGCGGAAAAAGCATAGGTGGTGGCCCTGCTGGTTGATGCTCCTCGCCAGCGCACAACACCTCTTGGTCGGCGTCAGCGTCCCACGGGCCAGGGGGCGCGGGATACGGCGGCAAAGGCACGACGTGAAGCGGGGTCAGGATCGGATCCTGAACTTCTACAGAAACCTGGTCGACGACAATCTTCGTCTTGTTCTCAGCGCGATTTTTCGGCGCAGTAGTTCTAGTTTCGATTATTGTTCCCCCGTGATCTACTTGCGAGAAACTACTCGTCTTCCTTCTCTCCTGAAATGAAGTGGACGTCAAGGTAGGTGCTGCAGTCTCAAGCTGATCGACGCCGTCTTCATCGTGTAATTCATTCTCCTGGATCCCGGACATTTTCGAAACGAGACTAGACAGTCCCGTCATCGCAAAGTCGACTGTCGAAGCGGTGGCGATCCTATCTCGGGACTGTTTTCGTTCGTCGACGCGTGGAGGTTCTGCCTGCTCTTTCACATCAGCTTTCTGTCGATGTTGAATAGCGGTTGTCGTGGTACTGGTGGGGCCCCCACTATTGACTCCCTTTATTTCCGACGTGTTGGCCTGCGTCGTCGAGGAGCGTTTCTTCTTATTTTTCTTGTGCGAAACGGGGCACCAGTTGTCTTCCGACCCGTTCTATCAAATGCAAAAATGTCTGGGTCTGGAAGATTGCAAGGTTTGTCATGCACATTTTGCATGACCCGTGATGTCTACGATGTATGCCCCAGCATCACAAATTTTTTGCAGGTATCTTGATGCCTATCCCGCATGACAAATGCCTTCTCCGCGGAGCAAAAACTGGACGCCTCTTGCTCCTCATGCAATACAGATTTTTTTAGATTCCAAAAATAGCATCACACGTTTCATTCTTCCAGACCCGGACATTTTTGCAATCCATACGTTCCGAGACGCGGCCTTGGTGCTATTGCCTGACACGAGGGTGGACTGCGCCTCTTTCGCAGATTCATCATTCACCTCCTTTGCCGATGCTTTATTCCGGCTACCGGGTTCTGCTGAACGACCAGACGCCGAAGGTTGGACCTCAACCTGAGAAAGTGAATATTGTGTACAAAATAACAGGGGGAAGTTGTGTCAAAACTTCATTCACAAATTCAAAACTCCTGGACATTCATATTAGGTCGTGTATAATGCAAGGGCTTCGCACTGAAGAGCAGTAGCCTACTTTCAGTTTAAAAACAAATACAGTTCCTTCAACCGCCCTCGCTTCTTGCGCAAATTTCTCCTGCAGAAGCATGTCCCTTTGCTGCCGAATTCTTTCCATTTCCTCGCGCATAAGCCGCAACTCTTCCAGAGCTTTATTTTCGCGATCATTCTCTTCGTCCTCCTGTTATTTTTGCCATTTTGAAGAAGTCGCATAATATTTCGATTTCGTTGAGCCTCCCGAGAGCAGTAAGTACGTACACAAGTTGACCACTGTAGAACTCAGCCGAATCTTTCCCCCATCTGTCTTCAGTGGGGGCCATTTCATACAGATACTTACAACACGACAGAACAAGAAAGCACATGCAAAAGTCAAGTATAATACCTCTTCTGTCTTCCTCCCGAGGGTCGATGTGGTCACGGAAGACATCATACTAGTAATGAGCGGTTGCACGCTGCGTATTTCATCTTGATCCATTTCTACTGGTTGGTCCTCCGGCTCCGCTCGGACAACAACCGTCTGACCGTCCTCAAGAACGACCAGGCCGTCGTCTTGCACACCTCCAGTAATTGAATCTTGCACGACGTCATTGTAGTACCGCAGGTGTAGTACATCCTCCGCAAAATTGACCGGAATCATCTTCGAAGTAGCCTGTTTCATCTCGGCGTGATCCTGCGGCCTCGGTGCTGGTGCACCATTAATATCTTGAACATAGCCACTCTGTTCGTCATCTTCACCTTCTTCCCCGGCTTCTTTCTGGTCCGGCGCGCCGCAGGAATTATCGCGAGCGGCTTTAACATTCTTGCCGGTTGGAGCGGGAGGAGAAGCAGGTGCGACGTTGGACGCAGTGTTGTTGACCTCGCTTTTGTTCCGGTCTTGATCGGCAGATTTCGTAGAAAAGCTCGTGTCGGTGCTGTAGCACCAGCCGAAAGAGAAGAAATACACGATGGCGCAGATTTTCTGGTAGCAGGACTTCCAGAAATTGTCCCGCACCCGCCGAAGGTGTGCCATGAAACACTGGAAAGAGTACATGTACCTGTGGTCGTAGTTTCATTCAGCTAGAAGAACTTCACTCGTTTATTTCGTCCGGGCGAAAAAATTATTCCCATGCATTCACATCAACAACTACACTGCAGCTTGTTCTGCGATAGTACTGCAAGACAACTACTACTAGTATGATCCCTTGAACACTTACTATCAGGCTCACGCTCAACATCTACTAATATTAAATACCGGTGCATGATAGAGGGGCTGAGATCCCGCATGCTGCGGCGCGGCCGGTACGGTGGCGGCAGGTGCACGCCGGAAGCGGGGGGCTGCTGCCTAATCGCCGCATTGGCCCCTTGCGGCTGAATCAAGTTCGAACTCGGACGACGCGCCATGCTCCTTTCGACTGTCGCTGATGACACGACGGAGCTTTACAGCAGACGCGAAAAGTTGCGGTCGAGGAAGGCAGGAGCAGCGAGAAAACTTTTTAATATCCCGGAACTGCGAAACAGGCGAAATAAACGCAAAGGGTGTAGTATGCTTCTACCTGTCAAATAAATCCCGGAGGAACGAACCAACTCTGAAAAGTGCACTTCTACTCTAGCTGATGGTTTGATTATCTTCAAACCGGTATTCAAGCTTCCTCCAGCGATTTATCTTTTGGTGTGTTCTGTGAACGATTCGTTCAATGCCAACCAAAGTAAGCGAAGAAGTTTGAAAAATTTTTTCCACGTTAAGCCTACATGTATCTATAACACTACACAATTTCTTCTTGGTTCTACATTTTTCTATCCCGACTCGCGCTCGAAAGAACGCGAGCGACGGAGTGAGAGAAAAAAATTCTAGCACTAATAAAGGCCGAGGTTTTCAATATGCTTTATATCTGCTGCATGTAGTGGTCGGCCCAAAGAAACGGCTAGCTCTGTTGTTCTTGGCTTGTACTTGTTTCACACGCGTTGTCGTCTAGTAAAACACCTAGAACTTTTGAAAATCTACACAAGAAGGAATCGCGGGCGCCAGCACTAGAAATCGTTTTTGTAAGTAGCTCTTTTGATCGAACCTTAATTCGGTTCTACTTTGATTGGGGTCAAAACTGCGAATTCTAGTGTTTTGAATTACTTTCTCGAATCATCACTCAGAAGATCACTCTTCTGGATGATGAAATGAAAACGGGTACTAGACAAGAGATTCTTTGATAAAACGGGTTGCTACAACCAAATCTTTTAAGAGGCATATGGTGTTTTGTAGTTCGCTTTCAAATTACAATTCGCGGTCTTGTTGAGGGGCTCGTGCTTTATTATTGACTCGACGAAAATAAAGTTGAGATCTGTAGCAACCAACTTGAGTTGAGAGAAGTGAGTGTCTAAAGACATCGGTCAAATTTATTACACGAGACCAAAAGGGTGGAGCAGCCACTTCGTTCTCTTTTTGTAGTTATCCACATAAGATAACCTTAAAGTTAAAACTTAGAGCCGTTATAGAAAACGTGAATATCATCTTCAAAAAATAAGTCAGCGAGAGCTGGCGATCGAGATCTAACGCCTCTGTTGATGTTGGATGGGAGTTCGAAACTATAGGCAAATCCTTCAAACATGATCTGATTTCGCCGACCTCAATTTGAATTTTTCGATAAACGATACAATCACAATGAATCTCAGGTCTTTTCGCGTTCCAATTCTTTCCATCGTGGGATCCTTTACATTTCATTTGGCCGCAAGTCAGAACATATTTGATTCATTCAAAATTTCTGGCAGTGGCGGGATTTTCTGATCTTGATGCCGGTTTCAGGAACGAAGCAAGTGAGGAAAGGTATTTCGCGGCGCGTCAAGAAATTTTCACCCTACGCTTGTATCCGATCAGTGTTCTCTCACTCGTTTTTTGAAAGATCTGTCGTGTTGTGATGTGATGTGAAGTGATCTCATGAGCAGCGCATGATTCTAAATTCTACTCGATTTCATTTTGGAAGATCCTCTTTTCCAACAACACCAGCAACCAGCAGGCGATACTGATTTAAATGCGCAGACCCAGACAAAATAAAGACCAGCAGGGGGAATAAAACCTGTTACAACTACAGCTCGTCCTTTTTCGGTTCTAGCTTCACTTTCTCCAGAATTGCGTCAAGCAACTTCGCCGCGCTCTCCTCGACTGTCTCCAGATCCGTTCTCAATTCCGTATCCGGAGCCTCGGGTACGTCATACGGTGCGGACACGCCGGTGAACCCCGGGATAATGCCGGCGCGCGCCTTTTTGTACAAGCCCTTCGGATCCCGCCTCTCTGCTTCCTGCAGCGGGGCGTTCACGAACACCTCCAGAAAGGGAATGCCGGTCCGCTCGTGGCTCTTGCGTACTCTCGCACGGTCTTCCTTGTTCGGCGCGATCAGCGCGCACAACACGACCGCGCCCGCGTCCGCGAGAATTTGCGCAACTTCGGAGACTATCAAATGCAAATATGTCTGAGTTAATGCTGAATGGTCATGATTGCTCACGCCTTTAAATGCCGTGAAAAATGAAAAATTTTTCAAACCCTTTCTCATGCGCAGCATGCGCTACAAACTGCGAACTTGCATGGCGAAAATGTGTTGCTTTTGCTGCTTATGCAATACAGATTTTTTACGAATACGCGACACGCAATACAGGTTCAGCCTTTCCAGACCAAGGCATATTTGCATTTGATAGAGACCCGCCGGACGTTCTCCGTCCGGTCCGCTTCGGAAAACCCCAAATCGGAATTCAGCCCGAAACGCAGGTTATCACCGTCCAGTCGGTAGGCAAGGACATCTGCCCAACATGTTTTATTCACTTTATCAGCATCAGGTTCATCCTGTGTTCAACTTGTTTTCCGACTTTTATAATTGCAAATGCAAAACTATCCAGATTATAACCAGAAACGATATTTAACGCACAGCTGTTCTCCTTCCAAGCAAGGTATAGCTGTGCCGTACCTTTCTCAAAGAGCATCTTCTCGACCGTTCGCGAAATGGTGCTTTTTCCCGACCCAGAAAGGCCCGTCATCCAGACGGTGAGCCCGCTGCGGCCTTGTGCTCCCCACCGGTGTTCCCGCGTGACCGCGCTGCTGGCATCGTAGACGATGTTCGTGCTCTTTGGAACGGTGGTGACGCTACTAGCATCAACATCATCCTCCACGGCAGCCGCGGCGGCGAAAACAGAGGTCGCAGCGAAGAGGAAATAACCCAAGTTTCTTGTCAAACAAAGAACCTTGCTTCGCGGAAGCAGCCGGCCCAGGACTTCCGGGCTCCTGTCGACGTACTTCGCCTCCCTTCCTGTCATCGCCACCCGCAGGAGCAGACGAGTGCAACGAGGACCACGTGGTCAACGGAACATGTGGATAGAAGCAAGTACTTACAACTGGGCCATTGTGGAAAGATGATTAATCGATTCCGTAGCAGCTCCTGCTCCTCCTACTCATGCACACGACTCAAACATATCCATTTCGGCTCATGCATTTCATTTCAAGATGGTACGCCCGAGCGCGCAAGTTCCGCACTTCTGATGGTGCAGCACGAGCACTCCCGCCAGTTCCGCACTTCTGATGGTGCGCGTCTGGTGAAGCTGCACAGTGCAGCGAAGACTTATGCTCTTAGTCCTTATGCTCCTAACGGTGATTGCAGCACCAGGAGCCCGGACCAGCTGAAAGAGCTGACGCCCAGTAAAAGCTTCTCTCACCGGACCAGCTGAAAGAGCTGGCAACCAGAGGGAAATGAAAACAGAACCACTCACAAGAAGCGGCAGCTACTTACTGCCGAGGATATCGAACAGGAACTTTTTGCAGATGATTTGCACTAGGCAGTGAGTATTGGGACCTCGCAAGGACACTTGCTGTGCCGCGATTCGATGCCTTTACCGTCAACTGCTCCACCAGACGAAAATGAAAGACAGATGCACAACCGCAACTGCGTAGGCGTTCGAGTTCGCATTTTTGTGCTCTGTTCCGCATGATCACCTCGCTACATCAGTAAACTCCTTTCCAGTTTGATGCACAAGGAAGTCGTGCTTGATGAAGGCTCAGCACCACGCTTCCATCATTTCTAGTCCCAAGGCTGGTAGATCGGGCGATCCGGGAAGAGAAATGGATCGTATTGCCTGACTGGCTGGTCGACCACGACAGGGTATTCGATCCCGAATCAAATGCAAAAATGTTTGGCTCTGGAAAACTTGTGATGTTGCTGAGTTGTGAGTAATAAATTCTCTGTAATGCACAGCCAAGCATGAGAAATATTTGCGCTGCTTAGTGTTACGCATTCCGCATGACAAGCTGCGTTTTGCATGACAGGCAGCGGGGTCTCTTCTTGGACACGCATCACAAACTCTTCAGGCATGCCAGACAAGCATGACAAATCTTGCATTCTTCCAGACCCAGACATATTTGCAATGCATATCCCGGTCTGGGGCACAAAAGTCGGGTACGGCAACCGGATGTGCGCATTCTTGAATCTCGTCTTTCCCCGCGCGTCCGAAATCTTGATCACATATTACAATGAAAAATGCCCCCTCCCCATATCAAAACGGAAATCTGTGATGCAGATTTGTGGTTACAAATCAGCTTTGTGATGCTAGAAGGCAAAAGATGCGGACTGTAGTGCTGTCTAGCGTGGGAAAGCCTTGCAGCTCCAGGATGACAGGAGGCAGCTGGAAGCGGGAAACAGCATGACAGATTATCTGCAATTTAGGCCGCAGCTTCGTCTGTTGGCCTTCTAGCAATACAAGTCGATTTGTGTACTCAAATACAGCATCACAAATTCGCGCGTCTTCCACTTCCGATATGGGGTGGGGGCTTTTTTCACTTTGATATCACAGATCCAATCTTTCCAGGCGCGTTGCCCTTCAGAAACAATAAGTTCCGCCTGAAGGGAATGTTGTGTGGTTTAAAGACATTGTTTATTCGTTTATCACGCCGGCGATTACTTAAAGATCTGATGTGCAGGTACCGAAGTAGAGTTTTGCAAAGTATAACTGGTAGTTCTCTTAGTCTTGAAAAGTTGTAGACTCATATGTAAAAACTCAACCGCAGAAGTATTCATCTTAGAATTTACCTTGCGTCGATCCGGAAGATTTTGACATTCATGACCCTTGGGTCCGGTCCCATGTGACCTGCCTTTTTCTTTCCCTTCCAAATTTTTCCGTCGCCCTGCGCCCCCACCGAACCCGCTGCACGGTGCTGTTTCTCGTGGTTCGCGCGCATCTGCCCGGAAAAGTTCCACCGCCGCATTACGCCCTGCCACCCACGCGAGCGGCTTATGCCGGACAAAAAACACCACTGCCCGGGAACGAAATGCCGCACCGAAAGTGCATGCCCCACGGGGAGGACGCAGTCGGGCGAAACGCGGAACTCGTGCAGCTCGTCCTTTGGGCCCACGCCCGCTTTCATGAACTGCCCCAGCTCCGTTTTGCGTTGTCTTTCCACCGGTTTGTACCCCAGCCCAATTTGCACCGCGGAATACCCGTGCGATTGGATGGTCTTGCTCTGTACCACCCGAAGTCGGTCGCACTTCGCCACGGTAATCACGTGGCGCTGGCCCCACTCATCGTACAGATTCATCATCCCCATTTTGTACGCCAGCAGCCCGGTGCGCTGGCTCTGAAGCAACGGATGTATCGTTCGGACGTGCTTGCTACTGTCATCGGGTCGGTGTTCAAGGAAGAAAAATGAGTTGGAGTTGATGTTGTCTACGCTGCAGCCTGTGTCTCGTAATTAGTGTACTGCAAAATGGTAAAAGTGGATATCCTAAACCCTGTAACCTAACCTAAACCCTTTCCGGATCGAACTTGTGCAGCAGGAGAAGGCGAAGATCGAACGTGAGACGGTCGCGACGACAGCCATCCCGTGCCGGCGGCGGTGGCGGCCTACCTAAGCCTAAACCGAGGGGAAAAAAAACTGCTTGGTGCCAGTTGGGCCCGGGGAACAAGAGGCAGAGCAAAGAAGGAGGATTTGTAAAGCGATCGTCAAAAAGATAAAAGGCAGAGCAGACTGAAGGCCAGGGCGTGCACGCCCCTTTCTTCTTAAGCTTCAGCAGTGCTGAGAACGTTCCGACCCTAAACCTCGAAGCGCCGAAGCACCAGGAGATCTACGTACGTACTGCAAAATGGTAAAAAGAATAATATCTAACTCTATCGTTTTTGCAGCTGCGCTACGTCGACACCAACCCATTTTCCCCTTCAATACGGGTAGCACTCCTCCTCCGTGAAAACATCCACCTGCTTCAATCGGTCGATGTGCTTCTCTTGGTTCTGCGCGCCGGCGGATTTCGCTGGATCGTCCGAGAAGTGGTCAATCTTCGTGCTGCTCGGCTGCCGTAGCTTCTCGCTGAGCAAGAGCAGTCGCTTGACCCATCGTGGCGTGGTGGAGCGCGGGGGCTTCGAAAAACTTTTGTAGTAGCGGCGCGACAACTTCGATACCGCCGCAGAAGGTGCAGCCAGCAGGCTGCGGTCGGCGTCAAGCGCGGTTCTGGGGGTGGGGGTGGCATTGGAATATAAGCCTTTGTTCGCTGCACTTCTAGAACAACGGGAGCTGCTGGACGAGGAGGCTGAAGAGCGAGAGGGGCTGCGTGATGGGCCTTCACACGCGCTTGCCTCTCGTGTAGCACTACACCAAGGAACCACGACCGTGTCGCCCACTGGAGGTGCACCGTATCGACCACGACATAGCGCAGTTGTCGTCACCATCTGCGGGGCAGGTCGCCCCGCCAGAGAACCTCGAATAGTAATCATAGTTCGCTGTTGTTGAAACACCAGCTCCAGAACCCCGATAGAACTCTCTCAAACACCTGATCCTCAAAAAAGTTGTGGATACCGCTTTTTGTTTCTTACCCCACTGTCATCTCTCGAGCTCGATATCAAGAAAAAAGTTTGCTTTTCGGATCGGTGTCTCCTTCACTTTTATTTTGGGCACGAAATCAAGAACAACCTTCACCGTGCAAACGCCCGATCTATGCAAGCATGATCCAAAAGAAAAAAAGACAAGCCACGGCAGAAGAAAAGATCCACGTATGCCAATGCTTCACAGCGAAGAGCTAGCAGATCAGGATCACGGGCATCATTTGGATGCTGGAACACACTGGACTACTCGACCTTCATACATTATCATCATGGATGTGCGCGAGAACCAAAAGTAGCTAAGATGTTGTTCAGATCTAGCGGGGGTTCTTGTAGAAAGAATTTATTCAGATTCGCAGTCGGGATGCGATCACTTCCAATGAACAGGAGGAATGTCACGGGGGTTTGCTCTCGCATTACAAAGATAATGCGGGCGAAAAATGAAAATTTAAATCTTGTGGGGAGCAAAGTGAGTGCGCGAGTAGTTCAAGGGGGCGCCTTTTGTGGACGCACCACAAACAACTGTTGGGGAATGTGAAACAAGCAGTAGCAATTTTGGGGTACAAACAATGCAATGCTCGGAATGACTCGAAAACGTCCTTTACGAGGATACAATAACGCAGAAAACCATGCGAAAAATGAATGTAAGTATAGTACACCACCCTGTCACTCAGGAACTGAAGTGGCTGCTTGTAAAGTTATTGTAAATGTGTTTTGTGATAATGAGAAAAAAAATTTTGTATGTCATTTTCAAAATCATAATCAAAGAAATTCAAATCCCTAACCGTATACGTAAATTGCTGAACAAAAAAAATAATGTAAAATTCCAAATTCCTCCCGAATACAACACGCAGGCCTCGTTAAGCCGCGCCGGCCTTCGCTTCCGCTTCCACGCGATCGCGCTCCGCTTGCATCATGCGCTTCGAGTGCTGCAGGCTGGAGGCCGTGGGCGCGCCGAAGGATCGCCAGTACCAGAGCAGGAACTCGCCGAAGTTGACGCTACCCGATCGGTCTTCGTCCAGTTGCATCCAATATTCTTGCCTTTTCTTGTCCGTCATCTCCGCGCCCGCAGTGAGGACATGTAGTAATTGAAAAAACTCCTCCGCCTCCATCTCCCCGGAGCCGTCCTCGTCGTAAAAGTCAAAGACCACCTGGATTTTGTCCACGTCGTTGATCGCCATGTTGTGCTATCAAATGTAAAAATGTCTGGGTCTGGAAGAGTCATGCTGTTTCTGCATGACACAGAAGCTCTGGCATGGAAGCTCTACCATCACAGGTTTCGAGAAGCTTCCGCAATGCCGAATCCGCATGACAAATCCGCCATTTTGGTGACAGAAAGTGAGCAGCTTTTGCTGCCTATGCATCAGAGATTTTCGTGTGTTCTGAAATGCAGCATCACAAGTTGCATCATTCCAGACCCAGACATTTTTGCAATGCATATGTGCTCCGCGGCCAGCTCTCGAATCTCGATCTCCTTCTCGGAAACCAGACGGTCGCGCTCAAAAAAGTGCGGCAGCTCCTCTGGCCCGGGCCGCCCCTGCCGCAGCATCGTCGTGTTATCCACGGCGTACCTGAGTGAATCGTTTTGCGAAAGTGAAATTTTTGTTTTATCCCTCCTCATGAAATGTAAAAAACAGATTTCCGTTTACTATCTTTGGCACAGGCACAGTCTGAATCAAAACCATAAAGCGTCATTACACAGAACTACACTCACAGTCTGTCTCTGTCAACATTTTCATTTATACCGTTGCTTGAGTCCCTCGATTTTGACGTCGATCGACACGGTTTTCTGTTCCTTCCGCGGCCGCCTCTTTTGCTCGATTGGTTTGCCGTCCTCCTTTTGCTCCTCCTCTTCCTCTTCCTCGTGCACCACCTTCAGCAGCGCCTCGCGACTAATACCCAGCTGGCGGTCGTTGGCCGTCATGTGCTATCAAATGTAAAAATGTCTGGGTCTGGAAGAATCCGAAACTTGTTATGCTGTTTTTGCATGACACAGAATGTCTGTCATGGAAGCCCTAGCATCGCAGATCTTTCGAGGCCTTCCTGGTACCTATTCCGCATGACAAATGCCCTACACGCGTAGCACAAACCGGACTCCTTTTGCTGGTCATGCAATACCGAATTTTTTAGAGTCCAAAGTTGGCATCACAAGTTCCAACCTTCCAGACCCAGACACTTTTGCAATCCATATGTGCTTCAGGGCGGTCTCGACCTTCCTCTGGTTCTCCTTCAGCCGGTTCATATCATCCTTCTTGTGCCGCAACTTGTGGTACGCCAATTCCTCCGGAGCGTCTGTAGAGGAATAGGTTTCAGCAATCTTTTGGTTTCTGCAAATAAACTAATTAGCATGCACATACAGATACACCCCGACCAAAAGCACAACTTGACGTCGTGGTCGTTCAGAGGGCACCTATTGAACGGCGCCGGGGGAACATTGTTACTTATCATGAACATGAACGATGCCAGTACTACAATACTTAAATCGACGAACCAAATACAACCTCCACAGGTGCAAATCTATTTTTCACATCCGAAAAACAATCGATGAATAGCAAAAATTATACCGAGCAGCTTGACTTCCGCGATTTCCTTGCCCTTGAGGCCCTTGCGGAAGAAGGAGGCGAGTTTGAACGTGTTGCGTTCGCCCAAACGGAACAGCTCGCGGATGCGTTTTTTGGAGACGTCGCGGCGGTCCTCGGCCGCGTTCCGCGCCATCACCCGGTCGACCACGTCCGCGCGCTTTTTCGCCGCGCGCTCCCCGAACCCGCCCTGGTTCTCCCAGCCGGTATCAAACAAAAAAAGTTCGTCACGATCACTCATGCGCATTTTTACAATACAAAATTTTCTGTCATGCGTAAACATGCATCACAGCCAAACTTCATGAGGGATTTCCCTAGTGCTTATGCAATACAAAGAAAAGCTGTGATGCTGAAAAAATTTGTAATGCAAAACCTGCAAGGTAGTGACTGTGACAAACTTTTTTCTCTCCATAGCCGGCGGTCTTGCTGCAGTAGAGCTTCCACTTCTGCATCACGGACAAGCTCTCCCACTATGCACTGCAAAAATGTCTGGGTCTGGAGGGTTGGAACTTGTAATGCTAGCTCTACATTCCTGGGAAATCTGTATTGCATAACCAACAAAAGTCGCAGCCTCTTTTGTCATGCAAAAACGCAGCTTCTCACGCAGATTGCCTATGAGAAAGCGCTTTGGGAAATTGTCATGCTGGACTGAATTCGGAAGTGTTTTCATCATGCACATTTCAGCATCACAAGTTTCCAGACCCAGACATTTTTGCATTTGATACCCACTCGGCCTGCACAATGTCCGTGGACTTGAACGCCACCAGTTCCATCGTGTCGATCGTGCCGTCGCCGGACTCGTCGAAGAGGGCGAAAATGCGCTTCAGGGACAGTTGCGGGACACCGGCGAGCAGCAGAAACGTGTCCATCTCCTGCTGAGATAAAGTTTTTTTCGTGGCCGCCTCGAACTCGGTGTAGGAAACGTCGCCGTTTCCGTTGCTGTCGTAGGCTTTGATGATGTTCTCGATACTGCCCACCTTGGCGATCAAAATTTTCCGGAAGAGTGATTTTTTGTCCTTCGGATCCTTGATCAAAGCCTCATTCAACGACCGGATGGCCCGGCAGGTCAGTTCCGACTGCACGTCCTCCAATAAAGTGGCGATCTTCTTGCTCAAGTCCGCGCGCGCCAGCACGACCGGGTCGTTCAACGCTTCGGCTTCGCGATTTTTCCTCCGCTCCTCCTCCAGCATCTGGGAAATCATCTGCACGCCCCCGCCCTCGTTCGACAACGCGGAGTTCAACACGCCGAGGTGCGCCTGCGTCTCCAGCGCCGCCTCCCGGATTTTCCCGTGGTTCTGCATGCTCAGAATGTTCGGCTTCCTCTGCGCTGCGCCCATGGAGGTCAGCTTCGACACCGCCTTGAACCGGCTCCCCGCGGCCTTCGCCATGTTCCGTAACCGGTGCGCCTCCACGCGCCTCCGCTCGCGGTCCGCGATCTCGGGATCCAAATTCTCGTCCTTGGGCGGGCCGCCGATCGGGGTGCGCGGCGTGGCGAATTTGTAGCGCTCGTCGACCAAAGACGCGATGTCGGAATACAGAATGGTGCCGCCCATCAGCCGGAGCTTTTCCTTCGCTTTGAAACTCCGCTCGCTGCTGCCCATGCTGGTCGCGTTACTCTTCTGCGACTTCTATGCATTGCAAATATGTCGGGGTCTGGACGATTGCGAGATTTGTCATGCTTGTCTGGCATGACCAAAAAGTTTGTGATGCGTGTCCAAGAAGAGACCCTTTTGCCTGTCGTGCTGTCATGCGAAAAACGCAACACAAACAAGCGCAGACATTTTTCATGCTTGGCTGTGCATTACAGCGCATTCATTATTCCCAACGCAGCATTACAAGTTCTTTCCAGACCCAGACATTTTTGCAATCCATAACTTCGGGCGGTCGGACCCGGAGAAGGGCGTCTGCGGCGTCTTCGGGGGGGTCTTCTGCGGCGGCGTCAGCTCCGCCTCGGTTCGCTGCGCCTCCTCGCGGGACTCCTGCAACGTTTCGTCGTTCGAGGGTTTGATGTGGTCTTTCATCAGTTCGTCGATCTCCTCCTCCGCTTTCTTCATTCTTTCCTCCTCCCCGGCGGTTTTGCGCTGCGAAAAACTCACCAACGCGGGGTTGATCATCACCGGCTCGTCCTCTAACCGTTCCTCCTCCTGCTTCCGTCGGGCGAACGAAGCTAAAGCTGGATTGATCGGGCCCGGCGGCGGCAGCATCATCTCCGAGGAGTGAGCAGAGCCTTCTTGTTCACTGGGTTGCTCTTGGTTCTCACTTTTTTCCTCCTGTTCGGACCCTGGTTCGGCTTGTCGGCGCGCGAAGGCGGCCAGCGCAGGGTTCAGTGGAATCTCCTCCTCCTCTAACCGTTCCTCCTCCTGTTTGCGCCGCGCAAAGCCCGCGAGAGCCGCGTTCATCGGAACGACCGGAATCTCTTCGCTGTCCTCCGCAGCGTCTTCGTCCTCGTCCGCTGCAGGCGCCGGCTTTTGTTCCTCTTCCGCTGCAGGTGTAATTTCTTCGGCAGCGGCAGGCGCAGGAGTTTCCTCGGCAGCGACGGGCGTTGTTTCATCCGGAGCCGTGGTTTGTTCCGGAGTGGTCTCTTGTTCCGGGGCGGCGGGGGTTTGTTCCTCCTGCACCGCAGCATCACCAGCAGCTGGCTGTGCTTCAGCTTCAGCAGCCGGCTCTACAACTTCACCAGCCGCTTCTTCAACGGTTGCAGCAGGCTCCTCGGTTGCAGCGGGCTCCTCGTCAGCAGCAGCAGCAGCAGCACTCGGTGCTGTTTCCTCTACTGCGGGAGACTCCTCCGCAGCAACTGCAGTGGTTCCTTCCTCCGCATCTGGTGCAGCAGTGGCTTCGACTTCTGGTTCTGCGGGAGCGGCGTCGCCTTCCGCAGCTGGTTCCTCCGCGGCCGGAGCTACTACCTCTTCTTCAGGAGCGGCAACCGCTGGCGTCTCTGTTACTGGTGATTCAGCCGCAGGAGTGGCACTCTCTTCCGCGGCAGCGGGACTGCTCTCTTCCGCTGCAGCGGGACTGCTCTCTTCAGCAGCCGGCGCTTCTTCGACGGCAGCGGGCTCCTCTGCAGCCACGGCAGGTTCTTCCGCAACTGGCGGTTCGTCCGCAGCTTGCGGTTCTTCGGCAGCAGCGCCCTCTTCTACGGGAGCTGCAGTCTCTGCAGCCTCTGTTTCCGCAGCGGGAGCAGTAGACTCCTCAACCGCGGCTTCGACGACTGGCGCCTCCTCTGTCGCTGGTTCAACTATGTCTGCTTCTGCAACAGGTGCAGCTTCAACTTCTACGTTTTCATCCGCTGCCGGAGAAGCGGAAACTTCCTCCTTGGTCTCGGGAGCTGCAGCAGTGGCTTCTTCAGCAGCAGGAGGCAGTTCCTCTGCGACCGCTGCTGCCTCGGCTGCTGGCGCTTCCTCCGCCGCGGCAGCCGCCTCTTCAGGCGCTGTTGGGGCCTCTTCTACGGCTGCTTCTGCTTCTGGAACGGCCTCGGCCTCCTCCGCAGGTGCGGGGGCGACCTCTGCCTCAGCTTCTGCCTCGCCCACTTCCGCGGCCGGTGCAGCGTCCGCAGCTGTGGTTTCTTCCGCCGCGGGCTCAGCCGCTTCGACCGCGGGTGCTGCAGCAGCCTCCTCTACGGTTTCCGCAGCAGGCGCTGGGGCTTGTTCTTCGACGACAGCAGTATTTTCCTCTGTTTCGGCCATCTTGAAGAAGACTTAGTTTTCTACAAGTGAAGCGCAAGTGGTTGGAAATGTAAATGGATACAAACAGATCCTGGATAAAGTGTCGTCAAACACGAAATCGCAAAGAATTTAAATTTAGCGAATTGAAAGTAGCACGGGGTACGTGACGATCAATCAAAGTCCACTAGTTCAGACTGAGCTGAGACCTGAGAAGGTTGTGAAGCTCACTGCAAGGTAAATCTTCACGAAAGAATTCGCCATACACACGATGGCGCTACGGCTGGTGCGCTGTGTTGTTGCTCTTGCAGAAACACACGGACATGGACGGTTGTTCGATGTTGAGTTCTTGAGCACGAATTCTGGACGACATCTGGTTCTGGACGAAAGACGCGACACAAAAAAGTACGACACACGACTATAAGCAGAACGCACCACGATGAACGTACAAAAGATACGGACAAAAGAGACTCCAAGAACTTCTGTGGAAATTTAACGAAAGCTTCAACGACACACACTGACTTAACACAAAAAATCAGGCGCGGTCTGTTCCCGCAGTTTTCTCTTCATCATCTTCAGTTACTTACTACACATCTAAAAGCGACGTTTCTATTCGTTTTGCAGGCTTGATGCTTTTCGTTCTTTTCGGGATAATAGCACATCACGTAGATATCGTTGCTCTAGCAGGCTGCAGAGGATGTTCGCGCATCATCGAGCTTCTGCTGTGAGTAAAATTCATGCAATGCTTCTTCTGAAACTAGAGTTTGCCTCCACGAAGTTTCAGTTTCTTTCTAGCGGAGTTAATAGCGGTAAAAAGTAAAGACACTAAATCAATGAATACCTTCTACGCCACTTGTCAACTTATTCGTGTATGAGATTAAGACTTCCATCTGAGAAATAGTTTTGGTTCAATCATAAATTGAGGTTGAGGATGGACTGCTCTGCTTCGTGGCAAAGTTACAGCCACCACGACTACCAGGCTTTCTTCTTCTATTTCCTAGAAGTCGAATTGCATATGACAAAGAAAAATCCAAAAGTGAGACAGCTTGTTTTACGCTTTAGACCACGCTAATGTCAACTGAATCATAAGAACTCCATCTTTTGCAGACGTTTCTAAAATTGATTTGCAAATTGATTGGAAGATACTGTACCACGGTGAAACTTTGTATTAAAACTGAAGCCATTTATTTTCGATGGGACAGAATCTCGTCGTGGCTTTTTTGCCTCTGGGCCTCGACGACCGTATTCCTTTGACAAGCACAGTGATTGAAAAGCTGAACCTGAAACTCAAACGTTGAAAGGTACTCCGCTGAAGTTTCACTTGAACATTTTTTGCATTTTTTTCTTCATCTGAGATTTACCACAACCTATTTAGGTGGTGTTCGCGGTGGCGTTCTGGAGCCAGATCGGTTGACAGCGGACCCGCCTGGAACCGGAGACCCACGGGGGAAGGCGGGCGGGGTTGTCGACCTCGGGCTCGTCGAACTAGACGGAACCGGTGGCGGTCTGAGATGTGTTGATGTTGATGTTGCACTTAAAATGCGAATGCATGAATACGAATAGACGAAAGAAAAACACGATGAACTTTACCTAGCTGACTAGATGACGAACAGTTAAGAACTCGATCTCAATCTATCTGAGGACTTTTACTTGGGGAATCCACCCCCCGGAGCAGTTTGCGATGCGTTGGTCGTGCTGTGTCCCATGGCCCTTCGCTCCTGGAGCGTCTGGCTGAAGTTGGAGCCCGCGGGGGAGACGTCTCCGGCCTGCTTGCGTGTCATCGGAGAGGCTTGCCCGAACGGCACATTGGGCCCCCGGCCGCCCGGTGGCGTTCTGCGCCCGGGAGTTCCGGGCGGCGGCGTCCGTGCACCCGGTGGCGGCGGTGTGCGGTTCCCGTATGGAAGCGCCAAGAACTGGAAAATCGCTAAGTAGTGTGAAATTTCTACTTACTCGCACTGTTTCTTCCTCACAAAAAATGCAACTGGTTGGTGCAAATAAACCTGCCAACGCTTGTATTACTTAGTCTGCAGATCAGATCACATGCAAGAACACAAAACTTCTTTGAGATTCAAGTCTCTTCACGTTTTACGCTTTCCCACATGTTGACACTCGCTTATCCCAGGAGGCGGCATTATCGGAGGGGGAGGCGGGGACCCACCACCGGTCGTGCGAAAAGAAGAATCTGTTGTAAAATGGTACGGTTTCTTAATTTTTTCAAGTTACAATTGCATGCGAGCGCAACGATCATTGTTCCTCACTTAAGTAGACTAGAGCTGCATCCAACTTGAAGCAACAGGCAACCCGAGCAGATGAACGAGACCGTACATATTCATCGCTTTTACCATAAGTCCCTCCCATCATGGGCGCCCCTCCTGGTGGCTCTGGTAAAAATCGTGGTCGTTCCATATTGGCGAATTTTGGTGCCACTTTCGGGGCCGCCGGCGTTGCGGATGCCTTGTGCTTTGGTTTCGGCTTCAAGATACCGGGTAAACTGTCGTGGTCGTCCTGCTTCTGCACCCTGCGCACGACAAACTCCCCTGCTTTTGACCGCTTACGAATCTCGAACTTGCGGAGTTCCACCACAGTAATTACGGCCGCGCGAATCACGTCGAGGAGAAACACCACCATGAAAAACCCAATGATGCACGCGTAATACCTTTTGATAGTCGTGTCGTTTCATCAAAGATTCTCTGAAAAGAAGGCCGGTACGGACTTCACAAGATTGTAGTCGTGAAGTAGATTTCTATCAACGATGGTCTGGCGCACATCCACATGAGCATGACACAACGAAAATCGCTCGCGGTATGTTCTTTATCTTTTTGAAAATAGCTGTAAGTACCAGTGCTCCTCCTGCCACGAATCGAACTTGATGGCGTAAATCATGATGACGCAGATGCAGCCGAGGACGAAGACTGCGGAGGTCATGTAGGGCATTATGGTGGAAAGCTGGAACACCCAATTTGGTATGGGCCTGCCCACCGCGTCCAATTCCAGGAGCTCCTGCTTCTGGTGCTCGCGCATGACCCGGTCCATGTAGATCAGCCGTACCCTCCGGACGAACGCGGAATCGTCCTCCCGGGGTGGCGGCGGCGGAAGGGGCACACCGGTCACGCTTGGAGCAGCTCCAGCACCAGGTGGGGGTGCTCCTGGTGGAAATCCTAGAGTCATTTTGTACGTAGTGTGGCGCGTTTCTTTTCGCTGATCTCATCATCTTCTACATAATCTTCAGCTGCGCGAGCATTTTTTCGGCATTGTACCGTACTTTCAGGCATGCGAAATCGAAACAACAAATCTTTATCTTACCTGAACCCGGCGGCGCTCCAGGCGGACCAGGAAGCGCCAACTCATATCCGGTCAAAGCCCCCGGTCCGGCCGGCGGAGGCGGTCGACCCATGCCGCCCATGCCTGGTGGCGGCGGCATTCTGAAGGGCGCGGGGTGGAAGGCGGGTGGCTGCCCGCGCTGAATCAGCGTGTCCGGCCGCATCGTACCGAACGGGATAATGGGCGGCAGGCCTTTTGGAGTTGCCGGTAAGAATCCCCGGGCGGATGGTGGGGGCATCGACGGCGTTTTGGGCTCGAAGGAGGATCCGTACGTTGGCATCGCTGGCATATTACCCGACAGGTTCAAATTTGGCGGGCGCGGAGGTGGCGGCGGGCGCTGCGCACCCGGTGGACCTGATAGGTTATTTTCGAATGGGTTTCAACATAGTTTCGTGCGGAAACTGGTGCACTTTTCGGCGGTAATCAGAATTTCAGAAATCTCCGAAAGGGAAATAAATCAAACGCAAAAGATGAATGTACCACCAGGTGGCGGGGGTGGTGGCGGCGCCATTTCGTGTTGCCCTTCCTGAAAATGCCGACGCCGGCTCCTGGATGAAGAGGAACTTCTCTCCTCCGCATCTTCCCGATCGATCACAGACGCAGCTTCGCTGTGCGCTGAGGACTCACCACGCCTTATTCTCCCAGTCGTTGAGGAGAATGAATTCCCTCGCTCTTCACTACCGGAGAAATTCGAAATCTCGTCCTCCGAGAAGAGATAAGGCACCGCTCCCTCTGGATTGCGATAGTTCTCGCCGTTCTCTTCACTGTCGCTGCTGAACGAAGACTCGTCTGCGGAGAAGTCCTCTGGAGCGTTGTGCGCCCCTTCCGCCGCGGGCGGCGGCCCGGGGGGAACCGCTGGACTACCGGCACCGGGCGGCAACAGCGCCGGCGGGGGCGGCTTGGCCTGCCGCGGCGAGATCGCCCGCATTCCGCCCAGCGGTGTGCCACCTCCGCCTCCCACGCCCGGCGGTGCCGGGGGCGTCGCGGCCTTCGCCTGCGGCTCAAACGAGGGGAGCGCGGGGAGTTGCGGCATGCCTGCCTTGTTGAAGTAGATGGGCGGCAGCAACTCCTGGGGCGGCGGCAACGCCTTTGCGTACCCCGGGGGTGGCGGGTACTTGGGCGCCGGCGGGTTTCCCCCGGGGCCCGGACCGGGCAGCGCCAGTTGTCCCGACCGCCCGACCACGCTGGGCGACGCGATCGGGGGCGGTAGCGCTAAAAGTGACATGTTCTCGTTGTGCGCCGCGAGATTTCCGATCGGCAACGCCTGGCCCCGACCGCCGGACAGCTGCGTCAGAGCGGACGCCGGTAGCATACTGGATTGGGCGATCAACTTCTCCTTCTCGGCGTTGATCAGGTCCAAATCCCGGTTCATGGCCCGCCGCTTGATCATCCGTCGCTTCACCGGGGTGGGCCTTTGCGAGAAGAGGAGTAAAAAGACGCAGTAGACGGGGAACATCAACAGTGCGGACAGAATCCCGCTAATCACGTACTGGTCCGCACTCGCCAGCGCGTTGGGATTCCCGTACACCGCGGCGTTCAACGCCAACAGCCCCTGGATCAGCGTCATGGTACAGAGCAGCCGCTGCGGGCGCGTGAAAGTCTCGTGGTAAAACAGCGGGCCAATCGCCAAATGCTCGCGCTTCATCACGTTCCAGAACGTTTTGACGAATAATTGATTTCTGTCCTCCGCGAATTTGTAGGCGATCGGGTCCTCGCACGTGAGCGGCGTGTGGATGCCATCGCCGTCGAGATGATAACTGACGTACGGCCGAACCCCCTGTCGTTGCTCGCTGCGCACCTTCTCGTCCTGCTTGTACCCTAAAAAAACCAGCATCCAATTCAACAAAAGCAGGATGATCAGCGTCGCGAACGTGCTCAGCTTTGTCCGGGACACCAGCCGGCTTAAAGGGAAAATGCTGGCCTCGGTTAAAGAGTAGATGTGCGACGGGCGCCCGTCCACGAAGAACCCGATGTCGCCGAGCGTGAGAGTCAAGCACCCGTTCCCGTCGTTTATAATGTCGCGGCCATTCCACGCCCCGCCCGCCGTGTCGGGGAAGAATCGGTCCCAAATCAAGCACACTCCGGAACTGTAGACCTGGTAGTCCGCGAAAACGCGGATGAATTCGTTGCCCTCGTTGCACCCACTGCCGGCAACGCACACCGGATACTCCCGGGCGTCCGCGTAAAACATCAGGAGCGTGATCACCGCCGACTCCTGGCTCTTCGGGTTCGAAGGGCTCCAGTAGTAAATGTTGTTTTTGTAGCGTATGAACTGATACGCCAGCGCGGTCACGTTGTTGGTCGCCGTCCTCTCGGGCGGGGAATCGTTGGGCACGATGAACTCGGAAGGGAAGACGAAAGCCGAACTGACCGCGCTCATGTTGGTCTGCCGTCCGACGTCCATCGTGAACGAGGTGGTGTCGAAACTCAGCGGCTGTCGCGCGTTCACGACGAGCGTGGGGATTAAGGCGCGGACAAGCTTGTCCCGGTACAGACTCTATCAAATGCAAATATGTCTGGGTCTGGAAGATTCTGAGACTTGTCACGCATGTTTTGCATGACCCAGGATGTCTGTAATGCACGGCCTAGCATCACAGATCTTTTCCTGATGCCTATTCCGCATGACAAATGCCCTCTCCACGTAGCACAATCTGCGCTCCTCTTCCTGGTCATGCAATACAGATTTTTTTAGAGTCCAAAGATAGCATGACAAGTTTGGATCCTTCCAGACCCAGACATTTTTGCATTTGATAGACTCAATCGCGTCATCGCTTGCGAGATGTTCCGCCGCGTGTCCATTTGGTTCCGCCGCTCCGCGAGCAGTTTGCTCGCGTCGTCCGCTCGGAAGGCCGCGGCCGAAGCCGGGTCCAGCGAATTGTACTCGATCTCGCTCTTCGCGTCGACCAGCGTGGCCGTCTGCAACCCGATCTGCTCTTGCAGGTTCATGCGCTTCGCGTCCCGCAGGAGCGGGAGTTCGTACTTTTCGACGAAAGAGATCTGGCCGTATTGGTCAATCGTCGTTTGGTCCAGCATCAAAGCGCCCGCCATCTGCAGTTGCCTCTGCGGACTGCTGTGGTAGAGTTCGTAGGCGCGAGCCCGGTCGGCAAAGGAGATCGGCGCGTTGTCGATGGTCCAATTGAACTTCTTCCACATCCGCCCCACCGTCGTGTTCCTGCTGGCCTCGTCGCACATCCACCGGTCGAACCACGTTTCGCGGTCGCCGCGGCTGTACTCCTGCGCCTGGTACTCCTGCGTGAAAATCGCTTCCTCCAACCGACGCCGCCGCTCGTCCCGGGCCTGCAGTTTTCGCGACATACTGGTGTTCTCGAGCGGAGATGAACTAGAGGAGGTGGAAGATGCTGAAGACGCAGCTTTATTCGCCCTGGTGTTTTCCGCGTTTCTACGACTTGTAGGTGCTCCTGCCAATAGGTCCGTCAACGAGCCCTCGCGTGAGCTCGCCGTTCGGCTGCGGTGTTGCAAAACCTCGGCCCGCAGCTGGCGGAGCTGCGTGCGCTGCTTTTTCTCGAACTCCTTCTTTACCTCTTCTTTCGGGCGGGGACACTTCTGAGCGAACCAGCAAGGCGGTTGATTGCACAGCGTCTCCGGGTTTTTCTCGCCGCAGCACTGCCACCGCATGTGCTCCTTTCCCCAGACCGGGCCGCCGACCCGCTGGGCACGAAAGGATCCCGTGAAGCAAAGTAGGCCGACATCGTCGCAGAAACTCGACGGACATTCGTGGATTACCGCCGGCACAGCACGCAGTTTCACGAATGCCGGAGCCCACTCCAGTGCCTCTGGGTGCCGGAGAAGCAAGGGCCCACCGAGCGTGCTGTCCGCTTCGCGCGCCGGGGAGGAGACAAGCGCTCGTCTGCTTGCAGCAACTGCTGTGGGATCGTCTTCCACGTCTTCTGTAGAACTGGTTGCGCCGAAGATGGACCAAAAAGTACTAGAGGATTGTTCTTGCGAAGAAGTCGAAGATCTACTCGTGCTATTTCTACTGCTTCTAGCACTCATCAAATCGTCCGCACTGAGAAGGCGAACTCGCTTTCCGTCCCGCGTCGCCAGCGTGTTTGTCGTCTGCGCCACAATCCTCCTGCGCCGCGCGTCCACGATCTGGTAGACCGAATGGGTGCGGTTCCACGTCAGCGTGAACGCGGAGTCCCTAACCTCCCCGGTGTAATCGTCCACCACCAACGGCTTTTCCATCAGAAATTTCATGTCGCGCTCGCCGTACGCAGCGTACGGCTCGTACTTCCCGGTAACCGCATCCGTCAGCGGAAACGGGGTGTGGTACACGCCGCAAAAGTCGCAGCCGCTACTTGACAGACCCTTCTGCACGAACAGCTGCCGGGGCGGTGGGTGCTCGTGGTTCAACCCGGCTCGTTTCCTCGGTCGGTGCGTTACCAGAGGGGACCCAAATTCTCCCGACTTGGTCTCTGCCCGCTCCAACGCACGCATGGCCGTGTCGGAGATCAAGTAGCTTCCCGGGGAGATCTATGGATTGCAAATATGTCTGGGTCTGGAAGAGTCATGCTGCTTTTGCATGACAGGGAAGGTCTGGCATGCAAGCTCTAGCATCACAGGTTTCGAGAAGCTTCCGCAATGCCGAATCCGCATGACAAATGCCCCATTTTGGTGACAGAAAGCGGGGAGCTTTTGCTGCCTGATATGCATGAGAGATTTTTCCGTGTTGTGAAATGCGCATCACAAGTTGCTTTGTTCCAGACCCAGACATTTTTGCAGTTGATAAGATCCGGGGCGTCGCGTGCCGGAACTTCTCCCACGCCTGCCGCCCGAACACCGCCCCGTCGGCGACCGAGGCCGGGATGTAGTAGTGCAGTTCGTCGAGCCGTTTCAGAATGCGCAGGCGCTTCTCGAACTCTTTCCGCGAGTACCTCCGGCCGTACTTCTCGGCGATCCGCCAGTCCTGCTCCTTGGTGCCCGCGTTCCCGACGCTCGGCCCCCGCTCGACGGTGGCGCTCTGGTACCAGTTCGTCGCAGAAGTTGTTCTGCTGCTAGTACCCGAGGAGACTGTGGAAGTAGCATGATCAGCAGGAATAGTACTTCCCGGTGTATGAGCCCCTTGCAGCTGCTGTCGTCCCCCGGAAGATGGAGTTAGGTGTCTCCCACTGAAAAGATCGGCGATTTCCGTGGGAGTTAACACGTTCGCGACATCTGCGTGCAGCTCGCGAATCTCCGTCTCTGAGGCTTGCGACAGGTCGTAGTCCTTGCTGGTCCTGTAGGTCAGCTTTTCATCCCGCGTTTCCTTTTCATCTAGGTTGTGGTCCTCTTCGTCGGACGACGAACTTCCTTTCTGCAAGCCGAGGCGCCGCCTTGCGTCTGCCTCCTCCCGTCTCACCGCATCTTCAAGAGTTTCCAGCAAGTCCTCGCCTATTACATTGAAAAATGCCCCCACCCCCGAACTTGAAAGCATTTGTATTGCAAACCTTTCCAAATGAAACATTCGCCCTCTTGCATGTATCAGCATCACAGATTTCCGATCGTGAATAGCAAAAATTTGTATTGCAAAAGATCCCAGCAAGAGCGGTGCTTGTCATGCAAGCGATGCGAAACACGACTAGAATCTGCATCAGAAAGATTCATACTCCTTTCATGCATGACAAAAAGTTTTCATTTGAAAACTTCGCATCACAAAGTTTCGCAACTTTGGTGGTGGGGAGCACTTTTCACGTTGATATCGCCAAATTCATCTTCATACTCACTGAGTAACTTGACAACGCCAAGCTGTCGCCTAGGGCTCACGCCGCTCGCATCGCCTTGGCCGCCCGTTGCCGAGAGAATGTTGGAGAACACGTCGATCAGCGCGCGAGCGCCGTCCGCGGAGATCGGCCCCGCTAGGAAGGAATCCTGTAAATGAACATCAGAAACATTCCCCAAGAACTGTAGCGCATGGATGCGTGTTCGAGATGCTGATGCCTACCTAGCAAGAAATCCAAAAAAATTCAAAAAATATGATCACATCTACCACTCTTTACCATCGCAGACCCTGTGGTGTCGAGCAAATCCGAGATCTGGGCGTTTTTCTCGCTTTGGTCCTCAATGCCGGCGACGCTGCCCGTCGCCGAGCTGGTGGCTTGCAGTGCCGACCCGAGTTCCGCCGTGTCCATCCCGCCAAAGTCAAACCTCTTCACGCTGTCGCGGAAGTCGCCCTGCAACTCATCGTACTGGTCCGGGGTCAGGCGTCCCTGGATGCCGTCCGCCGTGATTTGCGCGGCCACGACCTTCTGCGGGTCCACGGCGGACAGGCCGTCGCCGAGCAGCGCAAACTTGATCTCCTCGTAGGTCGCCTGGTCGTTGTAGTTCATGGCCATGGTGACCTCGCCCGTGGCGCACACCTTGTACACCGTGCACACCTTCAGGTTGGCGATCAGCGTGTCCTGCCCGTCGTACGCCACCTGGTGCGCGTTCACCTCGAAGTACGTGCTGCTCTGGTCCTCCACCTGCCAGATTGTGGCCGCCGCGGTCCCGTCCTTTTGGACCGGCGTGAACCCGAAACTGTAGCTCAGGTCCGCGTCCATGTTGCTCCCCGTGCTGTCCGCGCGCCACTGCGGCGCGTCGAACTCGTAGGTGATCGGGCTGCTGTGCGGGATCCGGCCGAAGTCCGCGTTCGTCAGCAGGTCGTCGGGGAACGTGTAGGCCTGCGGTTTCACGGTGAAGCCGCCGCGAATCGGCGGCCCGGGCGCGGTGTGCACGACGCGCTGCGCCTTGCCGAAGTACGTGCCCTGGTACTGCCCGCCTGGCACTCTCGCGGTGACGTGAAAAATCATCTTGTAGCTGGTGGATTTTTGCAGCTGCGTCGACAGCGGCCGCTCGTTGCTGTTGGGATCCAAATGGAAGGTGATGCGGCTGGTGCGGCTCGCGTCCCACTCAATAATCGACTGGTCGTCCCAGGTGAAGGTGTCCGTCTCGTTTTTCCACTCGGTCACGTACACATTGCCCCCCGACTGCTTCTTGTAAATTTCCCAGCGGTACTCGTAGATCGCGCCGTCCAAATTCGGGTCCCGGGTGATGGACTATCAAATGTAAAAATGTGGTCTGGGTCTGGAAACTTGTGATGCTGGGTGGCGTCTCATGACGAGGCTACAAATGCTGGCTCAGCATGACAAGATTCTGAGTTCCTAGGTGTTGCCTATTCTGCATGACAAACTGCGCTTCTGCATCACAAAAAAACGGAGCTCTGGGGTAACGTGCATGACAGACTTAAGAGTCATGCCAGACAAGCATGACAAACATGAATTCTTCCAGACCCAGACATTTTTACAGTTGATATGGACCCCTCCAGCACCACATCCTGATACACGGAGGTCAGCGGTAGCAAAGCCAGATCCGGGTCCAGCTTCACTTCCTTCAAAAACACCTGCAAAACGATCCGGTCCACGATGTTCACGTCCACCGTGTCCGTGCCGCGCCGCCCGTCCTCGTGGACCGCGGTGATATGACATTGCACAAGTCCCCCTCTCCCTCATTTGTAATGCGAAATCCCAAATCCAGTTGCTGCCTTGTAGCACTTTTTGCATGACAAATTCTGGAACAAGTCCAAACAGTACGACAGTCGGCGCATAAACTTGTCATGTTGCTCAGGCTCCACGAATCTATGTGTTTCTGTTTGTATTGCTGCTCAGGCCATAGAAATGAGGGAGAGGGGGAGTTGTGCACTTGCATAGGTGACGTGGAAGGTGTAGAACTCCTCGCCCATGGACAAGGTCATCTTGTTCGTCTCCACCAGCAGCAGCCCCTCGTTGTAGTAGCAGTAGCACTATGCATTGCAAATATGTCTGGGTCTGGGAACTTGTGATGCAAGGAAGGGAATAGGGAGCGCACTGCAATGCGCTGCCAAGCATGACAAGTTTTTCCATGGTTCTGAGTTGCCTGCTGCGCATGGGACACTGCGTTTTTGCATGACAGGCAAGAGAACCTCATTGCGGCCACGCAATACAACAGAGTTGAGTCCTGCCAAGCTAGCATGGCAAACCTGCCAATCTTCCAGACCCAGACATATTTGCATTTGATAAGCACTCCGGCAGGACCGGCGGGATCGCCTCCGGGTCGCCCCCCTTGAACGTGACCTGGTTGATATCGTATTTAAAAACGTCCCCACCCCATACTTGTATATGCAAATCTGCATGCTGAAAATGTTTCTGATGCGGAGCCCCATGAGAAGCATTATCTAGTCGCGTTTTGGTATTTGTTGTGCTCCAATCAGCAAGATAGGCTAGATCTGTGATACTGCTGAACTACCTCAAACAGTACTAGGCTACGAATTCAAACTTATCATGCAAAACAGCCAAAACTTGCGGATTTGTCTAGCCGATTCCCCATCTTGACTCGACTCTGGGGTGGAGACGTTTTTACATAGGATAGTTGATCGTCACGCTGTACCCGATCTCCAGCCCAGGCACGTTCTCCCCGCCTTTCTGGGTGCACACGTCGCTCTGCGTGTAGTCGCGCAACTTCCAGTCGTATCACGGGAAAAAAGTGTCACAGTTACACATTTGTAGTGAATTCAGCATCACAAATTTGCCTCGCATGACGGAGAAAACTTGCGTTGCAGAGATCATAAGGCAAAACACACACGAAACGAGACTCGCAAGCTTTTTGCGCATGACAGAGGTCGCCTGTCTTGCATGTTTTGCAACGCAATGTGTAACTGTAACACTTTTTTCTTTGCATAAGTCGTCGATGTTCCCGTTCGTCAGCGTTTGGTACACCCCGTTCGGGTATCAAATGCAAATATGTCTGGGTCTGGAAGAAGGTCATGCTCTTTTTGCATGACACAGAAGGTCTGTCGTGGCTGCCCTAGCAGCACAGATTTCGAGAACCTTCCGCAATGCGCAATCCGCATGACAAATCCTCCTTTTTGGCGACAGGAAGTGGGCACCTTTTGCTGCCTATGCATGAGAGATTTGTGTGTGTTGTGAAATGCGCAGCAGAAATTCGCATCCTTCCAGACCCAGTCATTTTTGCATTTGATATCGGGCTCGCCCCGGGGCCCAGGTTCAGCGTGAAGCAGGGGCTCATCGTCGTGCCGCTCGCCGTCACCTCCGTCGTGCCCGCGGGGGTGGTGGTCACCACTTCGGCGGTCGGCAGGTGCCAGCAGATCGGGCGCCGGTCCGCCATGCCGTCCTCAATGGTGCGGACCGCGAACCCGTTGTACTGCACGTCGTTCTCGTTGGTGCGGAAGAAGCACCCGCCCAGCTCCCCCGGGTTGTCGGGATTCACCGGGTTCCACGTGTAGGGGCCGCACTCGTTGGCCGCGGTCTCGCACATCACCGCGTCCAGAATCTCGCTGCCCTCGGCGCAAACCGTGTTCACATCCTTCACCACGTAGTTGTTCCCCGGGCACACGGTGTCCCCCGCCTCGATCTCCGCCCCCTGGTTCTGCACCGCCGGGGTCACCTTCCAGCACCGAAACGTGAAGTCACCGCTGTACCCGAAGTCGGGCAGCGTGCTGCAGGCGAGACTGCCGGGGTCGAGCAGGCACGGGTAGACCTCCTCCAAGTCCGGGTCCATGGTGAACCGCGCGTTCAGCGCCATCGTGGTCCCCTTCTGCGGGAACTCCGTGCCACTGGGGAACAGCAGCACCTTCAGCGGCGCGCGCTCCACGCGGATCACCACCACCTCGGCCGCGTTCTTATCGTAAGGAAAAATCCCCCTTCCCCATATCGAAAACGTATCCGTCTCAAAATTTGCGATGCGCATTTGCGACCTCAAATCCTGTCTGTCTTGCAAGAAGGCAAGTCCAGAAAGCGCTCCGCATTTTGCAGGCGGTTTGTGATGCTGTTTGGCTTAGAGCATACACGTTTGCCATGCGAGGCGCCTACGTCAAAACCTCTCGACTGAGGCTTGACATATGCATGCATTCCTCTACTGCAAGACAAATCTGATTTGTGTATTGAAATCCAGCATCAGAAACTTCGTTTCGATATGGGGAGGGGGGATTTTTCCTTTTGATAGTTCTGGCCCTGCTGCGTCTCCGTGTTGGCGACGACGTCGGTGGCGGACTGCACCACGACGCACACGATGCGAAACCGGTACTCGTGGAATTTTTGCAGTCCGGCGGCCATGTCGTCCGCGGAGTAGGTCGGCGGGGCGAACGTGTACCGCGGGATCCCGATATGGGAGTGTCAGGATCGAAATTGACAAAATCGAAAAACTTGTGATGCATCGAATGCATGACGCGAAATACGTGTGTTGCAGAGCAGGCAAGTGAGGCCGATTGTAAGCCTGTCTGGGGTCATATCTCGAGCTGCTAGAGCAGCATGAGAGAATCAGCCTTCTTTGCCCAAACAGCAGCACAAACTGGATTTAGGCACCGCCAGAATTTGTCATGCGCCACTTAGAAACTGGGTTCGCACTGGAATCCAATGTGAATGTGAATGTGAATGTGAAAGTTGAATGTCCGATCCCGGGTGGTGAGTTCCCGGGCAATTTTAAGACTGGAACCTAATGTAGCGGGAGCGTACGATTCTGAAACCTGGTGCGTTTAGGAGACAAGTCATCCGCCGCAGGAGTAGAAGGCACGTCCAAGACCCGGGGGGGGCACTACCGGTGAACCAGGGTAAGGGATCCAGGGGCCGAGGAGGAGGAATGCAAATGGAACCAATGCAAATAGCAATGGGTTTGGACAGACAAAATTCAGACAGACTTTCGATATTTTTTTGGGTTCGCGATAAGTAGCTCGGCTGATCCCCACCAAGGCGGAACCAACACCATTTTGGCACGAAAGAAGACCGAGGGAGACGGGGGGTAGGCGCCGCTTTTATTTGAGATTGAAGGAAAGCGATAAGCAATGCAAAGAGAGCGATCATGGCCGTAGCTGTCGTTCCTCAAATGCAGAAGCAAAAATCATGACCGCAGGGCAACCGTCTCAGGCGCCCGGAGGCGCAGGAAACCGAGGGCGCCAGGCGGGTGGGAGCCTGCGGGCGGGAGCCTTTGCGCCAAATGCAAAATCTCATCTACTTCCTTCGCATGTCCTATCGCTTAATCTATTGGGTGAGATGTCTAAAGTCAGACCGAGGGCACCAGACGACAGGCCAAGAGAAACCTGAAAGAAAACCGAGCAACGTTCGATGCGTGTCGCATTCGTGTGCCATGCAAAAGACAATGGAGCGGGCAACGAAAAAAAGGAAAAAGGACGACGAAGCCAGGCCGCTCTCGTCGTAGAAAAAATTTTAAGTAGCTATCTCATAATCAGGCACGCCCCAGAGGATGGACAGGTTGGGAAAAGAGGAAAGAAAGACAAAAAAAAACTCCGAGCCATCTCTTGGAATGGGCGAAGGAACGCACAGAAGAAAGGCGACGAGAGGGGGGCGCGAGTCCGCATAATTACGATAGTCAGCCCGTGGCGCATTTCTTTGGTGCCTGCTGTCGCCATGCTCATGACCTGAATGCGTAGGCCCTTCGTTGCTGTCTGTGCTCATGACCTGCGGCCACTGCCGGGCCTGTTATCGCTTTCCTTTTTCCATTTAACGAAAACGAGCGCCGTGGCGTTTCTCTGCAAAGTGTCTGACTTGCGGCACGCAATTGCCCCCCCGAAAGCGTGCGCGATCCTTCACATTCGGAGAAACAACGGGAACACCTAGCCCTGGTGCGCGGCTATTATGGGTTGCAGACCTTACGAACGACAACACGGGGGCCACTAATATATAAAGGGGAAACAGACAGGGGTTGGAAAGAACTGCCGGGTGGCAGAACCGACCACGAAGGGAACAAATGCTAACCCCTGGAACCGGGATGCGGTTCCGACACAACTGGTATGCTTAGCTAGGCCGCAAACACATCACGAAACGCATATCTAAGGGGGGAAGCGGGGTCCGGTATTGGGGGGCTTACTTGCTTGACTGGTAGACTTTGGACGTGCTATGAGAAAATCTCTTCCACCCTCATGCAAAAGAACCGGTGGTGGCGGAGCCGTGCTAAGTAAAGGTATTCGGCCAGGAAAATTAGCTAGACGAAACCACAACGACGAGGACGCACACGGGGGACGACGGAAGGGCGGGTAGAAATGTGATTCATGGGGGAGAATCGCTGGGCAGGGTGGGGAATAGCTACTTAAGTGAAACAGTGCTGGAGTTCCTCAGCTGTTCATGAGTCAAAGGATCTTCTGTGAAAACGAGCAGAAACTAAGGGGACCGCGCTACGGGATGGATCTTGTTTCTGTAATAGGAAAAGACGACGATCATGAAAGATGGGCCTCCCTTCCTCGTGTACCGATTTCGAACGTATTTTAGTTAGTTAAACCGAGATCAATGGGAAGAAAACGAGGAAGAGAGAACACGCGAAGGTTGCCTCCTGGGGGAGTTCGCATGCTATCCTAGTCGTGGGCACCTCAGCGCGGAACTGAGACGACTAGTGGACCTTGGTGACCCGGCTTCGCCCCCGGGGGCACTGGAATCCAATAATTTATGCATGACAAATCATTTCGATTGTGTCAATTTCGATTCTGACACTTCCATACCCGAGGGTCTGTCCGTAGACCGGGAACTGCAGTTTCTCCGGTTCGAACAGACTGTTGTCGCACTCCATGGTGTATCAAATGTAAAAGTGTCTGGGTCTGGAAGGTTGGAACTTGTGATGCTGTCTCTGGATTCTAAGTACACAGAATCTGTATTGCATGATCAGCAAAAGAGGTCCATTTCTTGCTTCGCGGAGAGGGCGTCTCTCATGCAGTATAGGCATCAGAAAGCCGTCAAAAAATCTGTGATGCTAGGGCATGCATCACAGATATCATGGGTCATGCAAAATGTGCATGACAAGTCCTGCACTCTTCCAGACCCAGACATTTTTGCATTTGATATGGTGGTACTTACTCCGTTCGGCGTCCAGTCCGGGTTGTGCGACTCGCACTCCCAGTTGCAGGACAGCTGCTGGTCCCCCACCGCGCACTCGCTCTGCCGGATCTCCGTGTCGATCCGGATCGCCTGCGACGTCAACCGGTTCGTCGGACTGCTCCAGCTCCCGGTCCGGATGGTCGGCGCGGGGTAGTCCGCCTTCTCGATCACGAACGCCAACGTGCTCGTCATGCCCCACTCGCTGGTCACGGACACCTTCATGTTGTAGCGGAACCCTTGGGGCATGCACTCCACGCAGATCTCCAGCGTGCCGGTCGTGGTTTCGGCCATGCGCTGCTGCAGTATCCCACGAAAAAAGTGTTACAGTTACACATTTGTAGTCAATTCAGCAACACAAATTCCTCTGCATGAGAGAGAAAACTTGTAATGCGGAAATCCTACGGGAAAACACCTATTAAGCGAGGCCGCTATGCATATCCGGCATGACAGAGCTTGTCTGTCTTGCTTGGCCTGCAACACAATGTGTAACTGTAACACTTTTTTCTTGCGATATGCAGGATGGCGTACCTGGTTTGATTCATTGCGGAGGAGACCGTGTTCAGGCTCACGTACGGGACCCCGTCACTGTCGTCCAGCTCCCACAGGTACACCGCGGAGCGGCCCGTCCGCTTGGTCTCGTCGGCTTTCAGCGTGATGCTGCCGCAACTGTCGATCGAAAACGTGCCGTCCTTTGGCACCACGGAAACCACGGGCGCGAGTAAGGGGTGGGGAAGGGACACGACGGCACCCTCGCCGACCGCGGCCGGGGAAAACTCGCACGTGGAAAAATCGCCGGGGGTCTGACGATGTGTGGAAATTCTTTTTGGGAAAAAGTTTCTTTGCTGGAATAAGACATGTTAATCTATTATCGTGCGATTGATGGAAGATAGTATGACAATCTCAGTAGATGTTGTTGCACCAGGGTGAAGAACATGCGAAAAGAAAAGAACCATCGGCCTGACCCCATGATCAACAAAACGTATGGTAAGTAGTACAAAACACGGATACTATCATACCCTGCACTCTGGCTTTGCAAACACTCGGTCAGCGAGCAGTTCGATTTCGTCCCCGAGCTTCAAGTCCGCCATGGTCCCGAACTCAACTTCCAACGTCTCGCCGCCCCCCTCGCTCACGTCGTCCTTCCACACACAGCTGGTTTCCGGATACGTCCCAATCAAGGCAATGGTCTCGGGCACCAACACCTCCGCGCAGTCGAACTTCGCCCCGCCGGACCGGTGCTATTACAATGAAAAATGCCTCCTCCCCAGCACTTGGCAGCATTTGTATTGCAAATCTTTCCAATGGAAACATTCGCCGTCTTGCATATATCAGCATCACAAATTTGCCATGCTGAATAGCTCAAATTTGTATTGCAAAGGAGTCCAACAGCAGGCAGATCTGTTATGCAAAAGATACCTTGCACACCTAGACTCTGCATCAGAAAGGCTCGTAGTCCTTTCATGCAAGACAAAAAGCTTTCATTTGGAAGCTTTGCATCAGAAACTTTTGCAAATTTCCGGGGTGGGGGCATTTTTCGCTGTAATAGGTCCTTCGTTTGATCCAGTCGATCCGGGAGCCGATTCCCGTCCGTGTCGATCGGAATGGCCCCGCGCGTGGTCTCCATATTGAACACGATCCGCAGAAAGAGCCCCTCGATGGTGAACCGCGCGTGCTCAATTTTCGGCGCGGACAGGACCAAGGGAAATCCGGCCTCCGCGTTGAACAGGTTTGCGTAGGGCACGTCGGGGTCGATGGAGCGGTGCAGGTCGCCGGTCTCGCACGCTTCCACTTGGCACCATTTGTCGGTGGACCCACTGTAGGCGTTGATCTGCAACACGCTGTACGCCGTCTCCAACCTCGGCCGGTCCCGCGCAACGGACTCCGGGTAGTTTCGGTAGGAGAGAAAGGTACTGTTCCGGGGCCCCGAGGCGCCACCACCAGGGTACACGTGAAATCCACTGATGATCTGCTGCCCGAAATACCTGTGTCAGAAGGAGAACAGATGACAGGGAGGTGAAGTGGAACAAAATAGTGTGAGTGATAGATGATAACAAAAGCATGAATAATCTGCTGCAAGCAAAGTTTTCCACAAGACTGAATTCTTTTTTCGCATCATTGATAACAGACGTCATATTAGTTACCGTCCAGTGGCCTTGTTGCTCTCGTCGTAGTAGGAGGTCCACCGGGTTTGCTTGTTGTTTGGATCGCGATCGTCTTCGAACAGATAGTATCAAATGCAAAAGTGTCTGGGTCTGGAAGATTCTGAGACTTGTCGTTGTCATGCACGTTTTGCATGAGCCATGAGGTCTGGAATGCGAGACCTAGCATGGCAGATTCTGTGAGATCCGTATCATGCCTATCCTGCATGAGAAACTTCCTCTCAACTTGGTCAAAAGTGGACAGCTTTTGGCATTCATGCAACACAGATTTTTGCACGATCCAGAATTAGCATTACAAGTTGCAACCTTCCAGAGCCAGACATTTTTACAATACATAGATAGCCCAACACCACATACATCATGTCCCCGTTCATCGGCCCCACACAGGAAATCGTCCCGTACCTCGTGTTTCCGTAGAGCTGTAGTGCCTTGAACCCAAGCGGCTGCTGGTGGATCAGCTTCACCCTGGCTAAGCCGCCGGTGCCCGCGTCTTCCTGCATGGAAAAGAGAAAAAACCGATCGTTCCGCTTGTCATTCTTGTCCACCTGCGTGATCGCGTAGCTCCGAATGTAACCAGAAATGATGCAGGAAACGCCCGTGAAAACCTGAAGATTTTTTGGTTTTTATATCAGATAGCTGTAGATCTTGAATTTTTTTCCTCATCTGCGGATAAGGCATCGAAAAAGCAAGAGACCATGAGCATTCTTTGGGTACAAGAAAGCTATCACACACGACAACGTGCGTTCTTGTACCAGGTTATCTTGCGCCTGCGAGTTCGCCCGATACAGGTACTGCAAGGACTGCAAGTTTTCGTCGTTCAATTCGTGCTCGACCTGCGTCAGCTTGGGATACATGCGATATGAAATGCAAAAATGTCTGGGTCTGGAAGATTGCAACTTGTCATGCTGTCTTTGGATTCCAAGAAAATCTGTATTGCGTGACCAGCAACAGGAGTCCAGTTTGTGTTACGCGGAGAGGGCATTTCTCATGCAGAATGGGCATCAGAAAGCCCTCTAAAAATCTGTGATGCTAGATCATGCATTACAAGCATCATGGGTCATACAAAATATGCATCACAAATCCCGGAATCTTCCAGACCCAGACATATTTGCAATCCATATGCGATCCGTCTCGTCGATTTCGACCGTGGTCAGCCGGTACCGCCATTTGTCATCCGTGTTCTGCGTCACCACGGGTGTGCGCCCGACGTTGTTCGGCAGGGCGAGAGCAACCAGCCGCGATCCCGTGGTGTCGTATTCCAACCCGTACAGCATCACGTTCCTGATCTGGATCTGGTTCTGGAACACCTGATCAGTTTTGTCATGAAAAGATAGAGATAGATGAATTTCGCAGTAGATGTAGTAAGTGCGACGATCAGAAGCATGACATTTTCCTCTGTCGCACTGATGAAAGAGTCGCCTTTTATTTTCCATCCGTCGCTCAAAAAACTACAATCAGATGTTGATATCATTCATCGTATAGATACCGCCGCTCCCTGTTCGTTTGCGCAGTGCAAGTAGTATCTTTCCGGCACGACTTGCTGTGCGCCAATCTGCAGTAGTTGGCCATTGGCGTCGATGGTGCTGTCTTTGATCACGACAACCGTGTACCACATGTACCGCCACACATCATACGCTCCCGACGAGCCAAAGGACTGGAATTCGTACTCCATGAACAGCCCCCAGTAGTCGGTCTGCGCGTCGCCGTCGCCGCCGCAGAGTGGGTTCGAAAAGCTGGGCAAGCAGGGCTGCGTGCACATCGTGTGAAACTTGTCCTCGGTGAAGAGCTGCATGGACTCGACGACGCAGGCGCACGAGAGCTTGGAGATGCCGATGGTGACCTGCTTCTGCTGCTCGTAGTACTCGTTGTACTTCATTCCGCCCGGCCCCGTGCAAAACTCGATGCACGCGTTCGGGTCGTAGGCCTGTGCGGGCGGGTTCGCGCGGTGGTCCGCCGTCACGTCCTGGGCGGAAAAGCAGCCGATGTAGGTCCAGCGGGAGTACTCAATGCGGTTCTTCTGTGTGGTTTCGATTCCGTAGGAGTCCAGCACCGGCGCCGTTTCGTACCGGAACTGAGATAAACGGGACCTTTCCAACAGCTGTTTCGGCACCAGTTGCTGCTGCTGGTTTTCCGACACCAGTTTCACCTCGATGCAGTCCAGCAGCGTGCCGCACCGGAGCAGCACCTGCCCGTTCGCAGCGGCCGAGGCAATCTCCGACACGGTGAAAATGGGGGCCTTGCACTGCACCTCCCCCTCGGCGGCGGACGCGTCATAGCACGGCAGTTCCTCCGACTCGCAGGGGCAGGTGGCGGCAATGTCGATCTTCACGACCTGGGCGCGGTGGCTGATCGTGACCACGTCGAAGGCAGCGACGAATATAACGCTTGAGTAGGCTAGGAGGAGGAGCAGGAAGGAACGGAGGAAAAGGAACATGTTCATGTCTTTGTGGTGGCGTTTGATGTTCTCTAGCCGTGCAATAACTGCCCCCGGTTTCCTTCTGTTCTTTTGCTTCTCTATCTTTATTCCGTTCTTCTCTCGGCTGGACTGCGGTTGCGCTGTATCGCCCTCTAGATGTGTAGTTTGTTCTTTTCGACGGCTAACAGGCGGAATCCTCCAACGCCGAACGTGACTTCTTGTTTCTGCTGGCCGTGCCTCGTCGGTTTCTAAGTGGCGGTCAAATGTCGTCGATGAGACACGGACAACACTGCTATAGTAGTTGCCTAAAGAAGTAGAATTCGCCTCGTGATGTCCGCCGTCGTCTTTATTCCTGGAGCGTACACGCCGAGCGCCTTCCTTTCTCGTATTTTCTCCTCGCGCCTTTTTTTGCGGACAACATTGACATTCAGCAGCAAATAGTTTCTGTTTCTGGACTATCTTTCTGTCGGAATAACTATCTCGGCTTGTTTCTCTTCCATGAACCGTTGCAACCGCGGCTCTGCACCGAGCATCGCTCGTTACTGTCTCGACCCCTCGCTTCGTCATCTTCGTCGCCTTCACTGCCTGCTCTGACCGCTCGACGAAAAACCTATGCAGAACCGGTTGGCCTCCGCTTGTCGAGTTCCGCCTCCTCTTCCAGCAGCTGAACCGCAATTTTTGGGAGATGGTAGTGCAAGAGGATGACGCCCCACTGTGTTCTTCACCCGGTTTTGAATTCACATGCGCTTCGAGGCTACAGTCGTGACGCTGCAAATTATCTGCGCTATTAACTATTTCTCCGTCTTCACTCATGCCCGATGTTGTTGCAGCCTGTCGTCTTTCCAAATCTTCATGACAAGCGCATCCGCTTTCCAAGTAGATCGTGTCGTTCTGCGAAGCGCTCGCATTCTTGACAGACCCGACTAAGTCCCTTGGCATTGCTTCGTCCCGATTCGTAACGCACTGCGTCGGACTGTCCTGTTCGGCCCCGCCGGGAAGATGCTGGCAGTTGCTGCGACTTCTTCCATGATGATCGTCCTCACGAGCCGGTACTTTTCTTCTCTTTATTTCAGCGGGGGATTTCTGATAATCCTGAGTGCGCAAGTTGTAGAAACAAATCTCTGGCGGCTTTTTCCCGAGGGAACGGCAAACCATGTCTTGTCCTGTTCTCCCTGCATGACAAGACGCATTTGCGCGCACGCACTCGCGTTGTTCTTTGACCTCTTGCAGAAAACATTGCTCCTCTTGTTTTCTTGTGGTATTCCTGTCTTCCGCACAGGCGCTGCGTACAAACGAGGTCCTGCTCGGGAATACAAAATTCTGCGAAGTGGAAGATGAAAAGCTTCTGCTTTTTTCTTCTGGTAGCCGAACGCCCACGACCGGTAGTTTTCCCCTTTGCTCTTCTTTTTGCAACTTGAGCGTGGTGCAGAAGCGTCCCGGGGGCCATTTTGCAGTTGAGCTCGAACTGCCACCCCTGCTCTCCATGGCATCAAATTTCTGACGCCTGGAATGAAAAAGTTTGGTCGATTTATTATTACGATTAGAGAAAAAGAAAAACAATGCACGATAAAACACAAAATGAAAATGGTTGATTGCAGTAGTTATTGAAAGCAATGATAAGGGGAGAGACAGAGATCTTGATTTTCTTCGAAACTTGGACTCCGGCGGAAAAAACTCGAAATAAAGTAGTAACGAATGGAATACGGAAAAGGAGCAGTAAAATGTAAATGACCAAAGGAAAGAATAGAACTGTAGTAGTTTAAGACGAAACAAATGTAAGATTTATTGGCAAAAATAGAGTAGCACATTCATCAGTACTGCAGGTGCACGCCCTGATTGCCCGAATCCCACGGGAGGGACTCCAGAGCAAAAGGGTACTTCTTTTCGCCCCCTGGTGGTTGTTTGAACTGAACCGTCTCCACACGACGCAGAGCCAACAAAAAAGACCTCGCTCAATGCGACACGCTATCTCTTTTGACCACCAAGCACCGGTAAACAAAGAAACGCACTCCGTTTCCGTCACTCTCGGATGATATTGACGCGCTCACGTATCCCTCCAAGAATGAAAAAAAAAACACGAGAAAAAAACAGAATTACGACACGCGGTCGCGGACATTTCTTCTAGACTGGCACGACAGAAAAAAAACCGACTTCGAGTACAGAATCTTTTACACCGGTCGTGAACAAGAGCGACAAATTTGCGCTTCTGAGACGAAGAAATGCTCCAGGCACAAATTTGCTCTTCTACCTGGTAGAAGAGACTTCTTTGGCGAATAATCTGTTCTGAGTGCATACAGGGGTAGTCAGCGGAGGCCGCAGGGAGTCTTCACCAAGATTCACGATATAGTAGGTTTCATGTAAAAAAATCATGGTCGCCGCGTGTTGTAGCTATCTCGTGACTCTTCACGTTCATTGCTTTTTAAATTGATTCAAGCAAGGCCCCGAACGGTAAACGGATGACTTCTCACGCAAATGAAACTACACACAAGTATGCTAAGGCGAACGGAAAATGATGCATGGACATCACATACGTTGACGCTGTTTTCGTTTTGTCCGTCCCCTAGAAAATGGCAAACACCGAAGCTTGCTGCAGCGGCCTGAAGTTAAGCTACAAGTACAGACTATACACGACGACAGGGCGACGCTACGTCTTGTTTCTCTGCTCCGCACGATCCCCTGCGCCTCCATTTCGTCACTTCGCCAATTACCCGCTTCCCCCGCCACCGCCGCCCGGAGGCGGTCCGAACCCAGGTAGGGGACCTCCGCCCCGGATAGCTTCGCGCAGCTCCCGAAGTTTGAGTTGCTGCTCCGCGGTCATGGTCTGCTTTTGCTGTCGCGAAATCTGCTTGCCCACCTGGCCCTCGGCAATCTGATCGGCGTACTGGTTCCACTTGCGTAAAAAGTCCTTGAATTGCTCCGGCAGGACGGGGTTCGTCTGCATCGACGGTGGGCCGCAGTGGATTCGGAACTCCTTCTTTACGTAGACATCTCCGATCGCCCGCATCATCGGGTGCGGCAAATTTCTGTGCAGTCGCAGTATCCGCCGGTACAGCGACTTGCCCGCTTGGTCGAACCCAACGCGGGCTGCAGCAGCTCCTGCGCCCGACATCGTAGAACCTCCTTTCAATTGGCTTTTCTTGTAGCGAAGATGAAGATCTTGACTACAGAATCACCTCACGCGTGGTTCCTGCTCCCTCTGGAAGATCTTTGCTGCTCGTACTTCGCGGGTAAAAAAAAGCTTCTTCACAAACTCTCCGCGGTGCGCATGGAGAGCATATCTGAGGAGGTAGCTGCACTGTCCTTCGAGAAAAAGCGACCGGTAGTGCTCAAGTTTTCGATTTCTTCGAACTCACTACTAGTGGACGTGGTGCAAGACGTGCTCGAGGAGGTAGTATGGTGCGCTGCACCAGCTGCGCTGTGCTTACCGGGAGTGGTGCTGGTGTGCGCTACGGTGTTTTTGTGTCGGATCACAGTCACGGGGGTCTGCGTGGGACGTCCAGTCAGTCGAGAATACAAGTGCTCTATACCGCCCTCGACCTTCGCTACCACGCGAGAAAAAAACGACGAAGAGCCGGTGGGCTGCATAAGCATAGTACTGGTGCACAAAAAAAAATCGTGTTCTTACATCATCCGCTCTTCTTCACAGGACCATCTTACTGGCGCACTTTTTTATTCCCCGCCTGTCACGACAAATGCTGCTCTCTACGTCGTCGCTCTAGCGAATGTAATCGAGGGCGAAACTGTGTGTAGCAATCGCGTTTACTGCTCTCTTGTGATAGCTACCAACAACTTGCGAAACTTTTGTTTCCTCAATCAAGGACTCATGCTTCGAAAATACTATTCGGCGTCGAAGCTTGAGCTCGCTGCAAACCTAGAAATGAAAAGAGGTGTGGCAGGTGGATACTCTTTCTAAAGTAAAACATTGATTCTCAGGGGGCGAGCAACTTCATCTCCTGAACTAGACGATTGAATCGTCGACAATACCCTAATCTTTCTTTGAAGTCGGGTCATTCTTGTACATATTCACATTTTCATTCTCTTGCACCGAGTTCGAGTATTATTTACTGGCCACTTTGACGATTTCTCCCTTAATGAATCTACTGAGCACGTCTATGCTTCTCGCGGCGGTCGCGCACGGGTTTGAGTCAGTTTTTCTTCGTGAGAAAAACGCATTTAGACCCATACTTCAATCACACTCATGCAGTCATTTATTCCCCAACGAGATGAAACCGAAACTTGCACCGAAAAACTCACCGTGACCGAATATTGAAGGGCGCACTGTTGAGCTCTCTGAACATCTTCGCTTATTCTTCTCGCATCGCTGCGACTCAGGTCACCTAGCTACGGTTAATCTGTGGAAGTCTGACATTGGGGCACATTTTTCTCGATTTTGAATTATAGTGCTCTAGATTTCAAAAAAGCGCCTACACGGCGGACGGATCCAAATCTGGCTTCGTCTTTCTCTCACCTCGCTGGCAGACGAGCGGCGCTCACGCTCCGTACGCTGAAAGCGATCCACTCTCGCGGGACGTTTCGGCCGAATCAAAAAGGTCTGAAAGGTCCATTGGCGCGGCGGTGTCGGGTGTTCCAGATTGTTGTGCAGCAGCCAACGGGTTGGGTCTCCCATACGCGGAGGCAATGTCCTCGCGCAGCTTATCCCCCGGCTCGTCTTCGAGGTCGGTCTCGGTGTCGGGTCTGCCTCTGCTATGGCTGTTGTAAACGGCATACTCTGCGTACCATTCGTCCAGGCATTTCTTGTTGTCCCCGTGAAAGCAAACGTCTACAGCACGCTGGTAAATTGCCGGCCAATCCGCATACGTGGTATTCCTTGATCTCTCCTCGCCGGCGATGGCGACCGCATCTACGCGCCAGATGATGACTCTCTCGCGCCGAAACCGTTCCCGGAACTCACTGGCGGGGAGCTTCTGAACCAACCGAAGATAGAACAGGTAGTCGATGCATCCCAACCCGCCGCGAAACTCGTTCGGTATCCAGTTTTCAATTCTCTGCAGCGAAAACCTGGAAGATTATCATCATTCTGATAAATTGGTACTCCTCTGAGGTCATCAGATTGGTTCATCTACGTACTGGACAAGAAGAACATTGCGTACGAAAGGACAATTCAGATCGGAAAACCTTCGCAAAAAATCGTCCCGCCGGGTTGGATGCATCCGCTCGAGGATGCGCCGCCTGGTCAAGATGCCGATACACTTCTCGCTGAGAACTGCGCGCAAAGTTTCGTCTTCCGGAAGCACACACGGGAGGCCGAGTTGGTAATGCTTCGCGTCAAGACGCACGATGGACGATACAGGGTTGGGGCCATTTCGGAAATTGACAATGCGCAGCGTCGACTTGCCCACGTCACCGGTCGTGAGGCCCTGCAGCCAAGTTCGGAAATCCGGCGTCATGTAGGTCTCGTGCAATTCAGGCACGCACGTCAACGTCGTCCCTCGTGCAGCTGCTGCGCTGGGTGGTTCGCCACCGGCCACGCTCTGCGATTGTGCCACCACATGCTTGGGCCGAACACGGAACCCGACCCTTATAGCATTGATGTCAAATCCCTCCACCAGGGTTTCGAGGTGGCTGTGATTGCACCTGGATTTGTCATAGAGGGCACAGGCACGATTTGGAGTTCGCTGTGGTTATGACTCTCAACGCCAGCGTGGCGCTTCCAAAAGAGCTATCGCACGCAGTTCCATCACGTCAAAATCAAACAGATGCTCGCATCTTATAGCGCGCGAGCCGTTTCAACATCAACGAAAGTAAGCACTTACCTGATAAAGTTGACGTCGATAAGGCCCTCCCCCAGTTTTTCGGTGGATGCTCCCAGGATTTTGAGTCGCCATTTGTCAGCTGTGTCGGGCCTGCTCCCCTTTGCACGCTCGCCCCCGCAGTCATACTCAAGGTCAAGACCACAGTAAAACACATCTATGTCGTTGTACGGGAGCAGCCGGCCGCTGGCGGCATACGCTTCCAAGGCGGCCGGATAACTCCCCGCGATGACGAACGACAAGAAACGGCCCTCCTTCTGCCACAGCGCGTCGGCCACTGCCTGGATGACGGCCAGGCGCTCCGCAGGCCTGCGCAGACCCCCAAAAAGCTGGCGCTCTGTATCAATTTTCTGTATCCAAGCCGGCACTGCGGAACTCAAAGCTTGCGCGTCAATGCGTCGGGCCTCGGCAAGCACCGGGTCGGGATCTGGCTCTGCCAGCGGCTCTACTGAGGCCGAGCGCTGTCTATCATTCATCTTTGGTTCTATACGTGTTTCTTGCGGGCACTAAAATATGTCGGACTTCTTTCTACTCATTTTCTTCTCTTCCTTGTTCCTTGTTTTTAATCTAGGACATGAGCTGGAAAAGTCACAAGCGGTAGGCAAGGTCGCACAGTCAGACGACCGCTCCAAGCCTGACTCCGTGACTAGGATCTTCCTTACTTTGTACTGCATCATCATCATCATCATCACTATAATTCATCCTCCACTTGGACGCGCGGAAGTGCGGCGGGGTTGGGGTTCGAGTTCATGTTCGAGGTTTCAAGCATCGCTTAGAGCATCGCACTTTCGCAGAAGATCATCGCTTATTCACTGCCTTCCCGAATATCGAAGCAAGTGCTCAACTCTCCTCAACATCACAACTGCACGCATTCTCATCTTCTTCACATTCACCCCACGAAAAAGACAACGAAAACAAAGGATGCCCGAGGCAGCTTTTTTTCTCTTGGATCGTCTTTTGATCATACGCACCCTCGTTAGCTGCGACATCATGGATCAATGCTCAACATCGCCGATCGTTTTCTTTCCACCAGTAATGAAAGTAAGCCATCAATCACGAAAAAGAACGACCTCGTGTGAACACGACAAACGACCGGAATCCGTGGCGCAACGACTGTATCGAGGACCAAGAACACAGCGGACCGGTCTCCCTTCGTCGCGCCCACACCGCGGCGCGCGCGCCTACAACTTTTTGATAGCTAACACCTCAATGGAGCCCAAATAAAAGGTCCACGGATTTGGATTTGGCAGGCATGCAGGTACACAAAAAGGTTTCAAAACCTTCTTCACAATGCACCGAGGCGAGTAAAGAAAGCTCAAGATGTAGTGCTAGAACTGCTACATTTATGCAATCAATTCCTAACTATGACTATCCAGAGTAGAGTAGAACTGCATAGTACAGTGAATACAGTATCGAAAACCACTATCTTTGTGCGGCATGATAAGTAGCTATGTTAGCGCTAACGCCGACGCAGAGCCCCCAACTGGACAGCCCGCACCTCTTGTTATGTCTCGGTGACTATTTGATAGCAAGAGGGAGCCTTCCAGGCGGAAGCGACAGAAGCGCTTCGTAGTTTCATACACGCACAACTGCAGAGATCTTAGTGAAGCAAATTGATAAACTGGAAACGAAGCGAGTCAATTTGGTTGTATTAGAAACTATTATTAATTCTGAAACGTTGCTTCCACTGAGCACGCTGAAACCGTGTAGCAGTGACACTAGTACCACAACAAAGCTACTGCATCCACCTGAATACGGGAACCAGTAGTAGTTGAAGCGGTCTTCTGTGTGATGTAAGAGTAGTGTTTTTGAAACGTGTCTACTGCTTTAGTACAGCTATTTATGGGTCCTATTCTTACATTTTCGCGGTCCTTCGTCGAGGAGTAGTGCTCATCTTTGAAGCCATATTGTCACATTCCTAAGTGTACCGAGAGAGTCTTTCTTTCTTCCCTTTCGAGAGTCTAGGCTTTTCGAGAGATTCTGATTCTGTTTCAATCTACCTTGCTTTCTGCTAGTATCTATGAATCAAATAACAGTGTCTGTGGTTTCTTGGAACTTTTGTAAGTAAGTAGTAGAAGATTTCCTGATGAACTTGTGCATATTGTATTGTAGAAGAACTGTAGTGGATACTTTGAACGCTTAGTCTTTCAACCGCATATTGGACTTTTGACGTTTATCAGACGCTTGCTATTGTCAATTTCAGTTTCTTTACGGTGCGTAGACCACTTCTATTGTGCTATATCATTCTAGGAATTTTTTGAAGCTGGATCTTTTAGGTGGGTAGACTAATTTTTTCCCCAATCGCGACTGCGCTGCGGCTCAGCCCGCTGGTGGGGGCGCAGGTGGTCGCGGCGGTCCGCCACCCATCGGTGGTGGCGGAGGAGGCCGGGGCCCGCCGGGCGGTGTTACCGCGCCGTCCCTCCTGGCCGCTAGACTCTGGCTGAGGCTCTGACTTATGTTGGACGTGTGCGATCCCGCCGGCGAAGTGTCCCCTCTTATGTTCCCCGGTGACCGGCCGTCCATCGCGAACGGAATCTTCGGCGGCGTTTTCGCCCCGGGCGGTGGAGTTCGCGCACCCGGAGGCGTCCTATTTCCCGGCGCACTACTTCCCATACCCGGGGGACCGCCACTTGCCGCCATTTCTGTTTTGATTTTCAAGAAAAACGGTTTCCGAAAAAGGTTTTATCTCGATGGCATCTTCATGCGGCCAAAGAACAAAACAAGGCATCGCACCGTCATAGTAGGTTCTATCAAGTCCTGAATTCTTTACATCAGCAGAGACTACACGCTCATACATTCTGAACAAGACATGAAGCTTTCTGTACCTGGCTCTGGCAAGAATCTTGGTCTTTCCATATTGGAGAACTTCGGGGCGACCTTCGGCACCGCTGCAGTTGGCTTTGCCTTGGTCTTTGGCTTCGGCTTGAGAATGGCCGGAATGCCCTCCTTGTCGTCCTGCTTTTGCACCTTGCGCACCACAAAGTCGCCTGCCCGCGAGCGCTTGCGGATTTCGTACTTGCGCAGCTCCACGATGGTGATCACCGCACTGCGGATCACATCCAAAAGAAACACGACCACGCAGAAACCGATGATATTCGCATAGTACCTGTTTCCATTTTTTGTTGATTTCCTCATTCGATTTTCATTGATGCAACCTTTCTTTTTCTTATGCGACGACCGACTACTGCACAAAAAAGCGAAGAAGACGCCCTTTGCACAATGATCCATGGTACTAAAAAGTACTATACCAGTATTCCTCCTGCCAGGAGTCAAACTTCAAGGCGTAGACAAGGATGATGATGATCGATGCGAGAATGAAGGTCGCACAGGTGACGTAGGGCATGACGGCCGACAAGTTGAAGATCCAGTTGGGAATTGGTCTACCCACCGCGTCTAGTTCCAACAGCTCCTGCTTCTGGTGTTCGCGCATCACCCGGTCCATGTAGATCAGCCGCACCCTGCGGACGAACGCGGAATCGTCCTCCCGGGGCGGCGGCGGCGGTAGCGGTACGCCGGGTGATATGGGTCCGGGCGTCGGCAGCATGGATCCCGGCGTCGGGAGTCCGCCCGCGGGAGAGAGTGCCAACTCCATTGCCATTCCCGGACCCGCCATGCCGGGGCCCCGGGGCATGCCGGGCGGCGGCGGCATCTTGAACGGGGGCTGGTGGAAGGCTGGCGGCTGACCTCGCTGAATCATGGTGTCCGGACGCATTGTACCGAAAGGTATCACTGGCGGCATCCCTTTCGGCGTCCCGGGCATGAACCCTCGCGTTGACGGCGGTGGCAACGTCGGCGTTTTCGGCTCAAACATTGCTGTAGTGGGATATTGTGAAAAATCATACGAGTAAATCGCTTAGAAAAATGGTTCATTTTCGTCGAGAAACAGCAGCATTCTTCTACTTGTTGCTTTTGATTTTGTTCGCTCTTAGTACTAAAAACGCATAATGTAAAAAATCAATTTACCTCCATTTGGATTGTGACTCGGCATGCCACTCAGCGCTGGCGGTTTCGGGGGCGGTGGGGGCCTCCCGGCTCCTCCCGGTGGTGGCGGCATCATTTCATGGTCCCCCTCGAACCAGTTCACGGGAATGCTTTCCTCGGCCTCGAACTCGTCGCCGGAGTGCGCGGCTTCCCGTGCACTCATGGCGGGTGAGGCGACCCGTGGGCTTTCCGAGGCTTCGGACGAAGCAGAGGACGAACTACTGGATCTGTTCTCAACATCATTTCCCTGTCTTATCCTCTCATCATTCGGGTGGTACCGGAATCCGCCGGACCGCACGGGGCTCCAGAACGACTCTGGCTGTTGCACGCCTGGATATTGCTGCACCGTAAGAGGGTCGACACTCGTGTTCTGTTGTTCCTCTCGGTATGTTAAGTTGTTTTGATTTATTCTCCTGCTCGAAGAGGACGACGAACTAGATGAACTTGAACTACCGCCACTCAACAAACCTCGAGAAGACGAACTGCTGCTGCTGGACGAGGCCGGCACCATGAAGTGCATGCCTTCCCTTGGTGCGTGCAGGGGTGACGGCGTGCTGAATCCGCTGTTTGGCGTCAGGTTATGCGCGCCTTCCGCGGCCATGGGTGTGCCGGGTCCTTCCCCCGGCGGCCCGATGGCCGGTGGCGGCAGCGGCGCCCTCCCCCGTGGCGTGATGGCCCGCATGCCGCCTAGTGCGGCCGCGGTCTGCGGCGGGGTGGAGGTTTTCGGCTGCGGCGTGAACGACGGCAGCGCGGGCAGTTGCGGCATGCCGGCGCGTCCGAAGTAGATGGGTGGCAGCAGCTCCTGCGGTGGCGGCAGCGCCTTCGCGTACCCCGGCGGCGGCGGGTACTTTGGCGCCGGAGGTTGGGAGAACCCGCCCGGCCCGGGCAGCGCGAGCATTGCGCCCGGACCCGGCCCCGCAATGGGCGGCGGCAGCGCCAACAGCGCCATCGACTCCTGTTGCTGGGCCAGACCGCCGATCGGCAGCATGGGTGCGGCGTCCTTCGGAAGCAACTGCGACTGCGCGATCAACTTCTCCTTTTCGGCGTTGATCAAGTCCAACTCGCGAGCCACCTGGCGCTTCTTGATCATGCGTCGCTTCGCGGGCATGGGTCGCGAAGTGAACATCATCAGGAACACGCAGTACACCGGGAACATCAGCAGGGAGGATAAAATCCCGCTGATCACGAACTGCTCGCTGGACGCAAACTTGTTCGGGATGCCGTACACCATCGCGTTGATCGCCATCAGCCCCTGGATCAGCCCCATGGTACACAGCAGCCGCTGCGGCCGCGTAAAAGTCTCGTGGTAGAAGATCGGGGCGATCGCCAAGTGCTCCCGCTTCAGCACGTTCCAGTACGTCTTCAGGAAGAGTTGGTTCCGGCTATCCGCGAACTTGTAGGCGATCGGGTCGTTGGCGTTCTGGGGCGTGTGGATCCCGTCGCCGTCGTAGTGGAACGCAGTGTACGGAATGATGCCCGCACGCTGGTCGCTGCGCACCTTCTCGTCGTGCTTGTATCCCCAGAAAACCAGGAACCAATTCAAAAGGAGGATCATCACCTGAGGAGATGGGAGAATGATTGATTTTAGATTTACGTGTACAAATCACATTGAACTAGCGGCGAATGTTAAGTCACTCGCGTGGAGAGCGTTCTTGCTTCGAGTTCGACTTCGATTGATTTTGTGTTCGAAATCAATAATTCATTAGAATTATGCAGAAAAAAATCAATTTAGCACAAGCTTCTTCGGCACTGTACGAGCTGCCAAGGCGAGCCAGAAACTGCAGAAAAAAAACAAAAATTCGTCTTTGTACCAGCGTCGCCAGGGTAGACAGTTTCGTCCTGGATACCAGCCTGGAGAGCGGGAACGTGCTGGCCTCGGTCAACGAGAAGATATACGAGGGGCGTCCGTCCACGAAGAAGCCGAGATCGCCTAGTGTGAGGGTCAAGCACCCGTTGCCGTCGTTGACAATGTCGCGGCCGTTCCACGCGCCGCCCGCGGTGTCCGGGAAGAAGCGATCCCAGATCATGCAGATCCCCGAGGAGTAGACGGAGTAGTCCGCGAACACGCGGATGAACTCGTTCTTCACGTTGCAGCCCGGGCCCTCCACGCACACGGGGTACTGCTTATGGAAGCGTCAGGTTTGAAATCGTCAAAGTTGAAATGATTTGTCATGTTGGGATTTGTCATGCTTAACAGACTGCGCGACTAAAGCCCGGGGGGGTGCGGGGTCCGAGGGGTGCACTAAGCACTGCCCGGAACACCCGAACATGCCCCGCGACTGGCACAGGACCAGCAACACAACTAGAATCGCCGATCTCAGTTTGTCGATCACGACGTAGCTGCGAAGCCGTCCATACGCCTGGCGCCCCAAGCCCAACCCCACCTCCGAGGAAAGGCCTCGACCCAAGAGGAATTGCTGGTGAGCTTGCGGCACGACGAGCTGGGAGCGCCTGTTACTGAGAAGGAAGATACTTGAAGCTTATCCCCACCGCAACACTGGAACTGGCTGGAGAGCGCCGGAATGCGGGAAACTGACGGATTGATACACAGAAGAACGTCAGCATATGAAACGGGAGGATGGTGGTCCAGCAGCACGCGAGACGCAGGTACCGGCGCGGCGCAGTCGGAGGGACGGGTGGCCCTGCAGGAGCGACGTGAGGCACTCGCCGGGCGGAGGGGCATCGAGCTGTCGGTTTTGCCATAGAACCGCGGAGATGAAAGACAGCTGCGAATTGCCGGTCGTAGGCTGGTGAGGCGGGTTTGGTGGCGTGGACAGTCCTCCACTACCTACTGATCGGGCGGCTACCGTTAGTGTGCGCGTACACCTTGGAGTTGTGGGCCGCAGCGGTATGTCACGGAGATCGGACCCAGAGAGACGTGTACGACCCTGGGCATCTCGCGATAGTCGTCGGCACAGTGCGAGCGGGTTGTGAGGCGGACTGATTGAGCGGCACCGCAGCGGACGGCTTAGAATCTATCTTCATGGCGAGCTGGTGGCTGACGCTGGCTCTGTGCGTATGCTGAGGAAGAAACACGGAGGTGGGCTCTTCGAGACACGTTCAGCTACGTGGCTGGTAGCACCGAGGCAGGCGTCATAGATAGAAGAGAGATAACTGAGGCGAAAACAACGGGGACTATCTTGCCCTACATCTGCGAGAAGCCATACATACTCGCACTGACATGCATAGTCTACCGACGTTGACTGACAGATCTCAGCCCACTTCCGGCTCTTGGATGCACAGTCCGTGGACTCGGCTTGCTGGCTCACCGATTCGTCGCGCGGCTCCGCAGCGCGTTCCGCTGGCTCGAGTCTCCTGCGGCTCCTGACTTAGTGATTTTGTTATTGGAAGAGGACACAGAGAGACTATTTCATGAGGCTTCTACTTCGTCATGCGTGGGCTCCATCAACAACACAGGCCCGCGGTCCTCTCTTAGGCCGCAACTATGCGGCAACCACGCCTTCGTCCCTATTATGTACTTTTAGATGTCATGCAAGGGGCCGGAGCAGAAAACCAAAAAAAACAGACGCAGACCAGAACTACGAAGTAAACGAAAGTAAGACGAGAAGTGACAGTCGTACGCTTTTAGCATTGCCATGGTCGTGCGATTACAGCCTGCTTTCCGAAAGCCACATGTTTGCCGGCTGGGCCCTAGCAGGCCAGGTACGAAAAGGACGATGACAGACGACGACGATGATAAAGTTAGTTTTTGCGGTGACGGGCGACAGTAGCTTTCTTTTGACTTTGTTCTAACCTGGTGCTATTTAGTGCGTCGGCGTCGAGCGCACTTTTGCCGAAGCAGCACGCTATGGCGCCAAAAGCCTATCTTAATGTTGTTGCGGGATTATGCTCGTGTGCGGGGCTCCTTTTCTCTCAGCTTCGAGCTCATGTCGCTTCTACGTTGAAGCCTGCCCTTAGCTGCTTATTTTTGTTAGACGTGCCGCCCGCTTTCGAGGTCTTGCGAGGCGTCCTCGCTGAGCTCCCCCAGCGGATCCCAGAATACTGGGTCAGAAGGACCGATGGGGAGCCCTGTCACCGGGTCCAGGCGTATCTCTACTTTCGGCGGGATCTCAATCAGCGGCTGCCCGGGAAGGCGGGAATCTTCAGCGGCAGCTGCGGTGCCCATCGACTCGTCGTCGCTCCACTCCGCGACCTGCATTTGCATCGTCTGGGCACGAAGGCACAGCTCCGGGGCCTCGACTGGAGGTGAGAAGCTGCGTGCTGCAGCGCAGGATGATGCGCTGTGGATGGGCGTAGGAAGGCGGTATCTCAGGCGAGGGCTCCTACTGCGTGTGATGGCTGGGGACTGGGGAGCGGGGGGCGGCCGACGCAGGTGGGACCAGGGATCGTGGCGAAAGGGGGTCTGGTCACGAAAGAATCCCGATAGCAGCACCGGCGGCTTTTGTGGAGGGGCCGGGGCGGGGCCCGGGGCGCCCGGTTTCGGGGCCGGGCGGTCCGGCTGAACTATCTCTAGGGCCCTAATTGCTGCCGCGGCTCCGTCCGCTATTTCCGGTTGAGTGGCGTCCGGGGCGGCAGTGTAGAAGCGGTGCGCTTCGTCCGGGACGAAGTCGCGCGGGCGGGGGTCGGGAGACGGGTCCTGAGTAGCAGAGGCTGGGGGCGGCGGGTTCATTGCCTTTGCTTCCACCATCAGGTGGTACGCTCGTGCTGCTCGCTCGATGTTCTTCTGCACTGCTGGAGGGGGGGGCTTGTCGTCGCGCTTCTCTCTCTGGGCCGCCTCTATTGGCCACTCTCCCGCTGGGGGCGGGGGGGGCCCGACGCAGGACAAGAAGGCCCGGATCGCGTTGGCCGGTTTTCGAAGGGCCTTGTGGCTTGGTGTCGCTTCGATGTCGTTGTCTGCCAGAAATTCTTTTATCGCGGAACACTCCTGGGAGAGGACATGGACTGCGTAACCGCTGAACAACACATGGCGATCGGACGCACTACGGCTTTCCCGTGCTGCGTCATCCTCCGTAACGTCTCCCGGCGCGTCATTGCTTTGATCTTGTTCTAGTTCCGGGCCGGGAGCAGCCGTTTCTGCCACGGGAGGCGTCGCGGCGTTGGCGTAGTCCGCAGGGGCGCGGTCCTGCTGCGCTTTTAGTTCCGCGGATGCTATGTCTATCGCGCCGAATTCTGTGTCGTCTTGCTGAAGCACTACTTCCGGGTCTTGTTGGGAGAAGGCAGGATCGCCCTGGGACGCCGGTAGAGCTGTTGTCGCTGACACCTTTTTGCTGCACAGGCCGCAGCGAATCCACGACGATCCGGCACTGCTGCCCGCCTCCTTGGCTGCGAGTCGGCCATCGCCGCTGCAGATTGACCACGCTATCCATTGCTGTTTGGAGCTGAGGCCGCGGAGCCAGGGCCGGGCGTTCCCTAGTTCTGCGGAGATGAGGCCGCGGCTAGCTCCTGTTTGCGACACTTCGCCCCGCGCACGCACCGCATCTACTATTTCCTTTCGAAGAGAGGCGCGGATGAAGTTGCGAACTTGGCGGAGGGGGATACGGAGCTCGATGTACCGCTCGAGCCTGTCGGACGGGAGTTGGGACGCCTTTTGTAAGGTGTCCGCCTCCGTGTGCGGGGAGATTGAGCTGTGGCCCGGAGTCCAGTGCAGGACAAACTTGATGTGCGGGAGCGCCCTGCTTAATTGGACGAGGGCAGTGCGTAGCGCCACCCATGTCTCTTCCGTTCTCGATGACGCCAGGTTGTCTAGGCAAGGACTGGAATCGCATTGGAAGACGACGACTTTTATGCGCGGGTCGTTGATGGCCGCCAGCGGGACGTCGAGGGAATCGAACAGCAGGAGGACTGCGACGCCGAGGGCGCCCGCTTCGCCCCAGAACGTGGCCAGGGTATGTCGCAGCCGCAGAGCTAGACTGTTCTCGCCTTTCTCGTCTCCCCCCCGGCGCATCACTATTGTTGCCATCCGCTCTTTCGGGCTCCGCAGCGGCTCGCCCGGCGTCGGTGGGGCGTCCCCACTATCGGTCGCGACCCATAGGAGGCCCGGACCCAGTGTCCGCTCCAGGGCCTCGAAGTCGGCCCGCAGCATTTTTGCGACCTCCGGCGTGTTGGCCTTCGCGTGGGGAAGGCCGTACTTCTCGAAAGTGGCAGCCGCGTTTGTTATTTGCACCGCGTCCGGCAGGTGTTCGGAAGGGTGTCTTTCGTGGCTGATGTTTAAATGGGTCCACCCCGGCCGCCGGAGGTCGAACAGCTCCCCCACCGTCATGTCGCGCGCGAAGTTCTTGTCGTCCAACCCTATGGCCTGGGCGCACAACGCGGTCCGCTCCGCTAGAGCTGCGCTTGACGGGACGACTGCGCCCGCCGAAAGGAAAGTAGAGTATGCCGGTGCTGTGGGGCTGATCTTCATGATTCGGCGGAGAGCCTTCTCGGCCATGTCGTCCAGAGTTACCAAGGCCGATGGGCACAGCATGGACTTCACGGACGACATATACTGGAGGACATTATAGATTTTCTGGTGGAAATGGTCGACCCCCTCGAGGGGGGAGAAGTCGTCTGTTGAGCTGGTGTCCGTGGAGGAGGCGAAAACGCGGCGCTGGAGATCGCCGAAATGGCTGCGCCAGGCTTCGCCGCTGGTTGTTAGTGGCACACCCAGCACCGCCGCGTAGGCCGCTTTGTTGTAGCGCTTCCCTTGGCCCCGGACCCGTACCGCGGTGGAGGCGTCACTGTCTAGGACGACTTCGATCTCTGGGGGTTGGAGGCGCAGGCCGTTCTCCAGCGTGACGGAGAAGCCGCGCAAGAAGGAGGCCAGGGCCTTCTCGTCTCCGCTCGCATGAGCCGGGGACCTCAGGACGGCTATCCGGAAGTCTGCCACCGGCCAAGGCATCCGCAGCAGCTTGTTCCCGCGGTCTCGTAGCTTCTCCTTGATTTCCGCCTCCGTTTCGCCCGTGCAGAATATCGCTATGTCGTCGCAATAGCCTGTGACCACTTCCAGGAAGTTTGAGCGGAGGCCGAGCTGGTTCAGGTACGACTCCACGACAATACGGAAATATCCCGGGCTCAATAGCGTGCCTTGCCCCAGGCCTTCTCCCAGGGCTATCGTGGCAGACATGCAACCGTCCACCAGGAGCCGGATGGTTCTGCCCGTCATCCAATGCACCACCGCCGTAAGCAGTTGCTTGCTTGCCCCCCTGCTTGCTAAAACTTCTACGATCTCTTTCATGGAGCAGTTTTCGAAGCCGCCCTGAATGTCGCCTATTATGCACGCGGCATATTTGGACGAAGACTGCATGGCGATGAGTAGGGCGCGGAGAATGCCGACGGCAGGAGATAACGATTTGTGGAAGGCTGTGTTGTCATGGAATTCGCTGAGTAGCGGTAGGCCGATTTCGTAGATTATTGCTTCGCAAAATTTGTCCTGCACGTTCAGAAGAGAGATAGGCCGCCAGAAACGGCTTAGGAATTTCGTAGTTCCCTGCTTGCTGCTTTTCCACAGCCAGGCGATAAGGTATTGCTTGCTCCATGGCGGCTCGGAGAAGTTGTTTAGCGCCGCGCATACGGCTGCGCAGATGGCCCAACAGAGGGAGAAACTTGCGAGCAGCAAACCCGCAGGCACGCCGTCTTGTCCCGCCGCGGCGGATTTGTTTCGTCTCCGCTGGGCCTTCGCTGCGAGGTCTCGCGTGCATTCTATCGGGCAATCTGGGGCGCGGTCGATGATGGCGCGGATCTCAGCCTCCAATAATTGCTGCTCTTCTGGAGGGCGACGCAGGCCGGCTGGTTTGCCCTCTAGGAGTCTGCACCGGAACTCCTCCATGGATTCTGCAGTTGATTGTGAGAGGGTTCCGTCCCCGCGAAGGAGAGTCAGGTGCGCGGCGGGGATCGGGGCTTTCCGTTTCGGCGCGTTTTCGGCGCGGAGGATCCGGCCCAGAGATGCGCTCGTGAACTCCTCGTCCGGATCCGGATCGGCAAGGGCCTTGCGGGCTCGGGCAAGTACCCGGTCGAGCAGGTCCTGTGGAAAGCTTGCCCATTGGTAGACAAATCGGCGGACGAGGCCGGGCTGAAGCTGCTTCTGGGGCTGGGCGGCTCGCGCCTCCTCTTCCCGGCTGCCTGCGGGACGCAGCTCGCAGTCTATTCGTTCGTGGGAGTTGGCGTTTGCCGGCAGGAATTTGGGGGTCTGGATGGTGGTGACGATTTTCGTGGAGGCGGCCCTGGGGCGGAGCAGGACTAGGTCGGGCTGTCTGTCTGCAGCGAGGAAGGTAACGTCCCCCGGATCCAGGCAAGGGCGAAGCCCGGCCGGCTCTGCAGCGGCTGTAATCTGGTCCCGGAAGGCGTTGCGCTTCGGGCGCTCCGCGAGTACTGCCCCGGTGCTGACGTTGAGATCCCCCGCTAGGGCGCAGACGCTGGGCCCCGCTTCTTCCAAGTACTTCACTACGGCCTGCTGCTGCTCTCGCAATGAGACCCGGTCGCCGGTTGATGCTGGCGGCAAGTACCCGGCCACCAGCTCTCCTGCGATGTCGTCGTGGGCTAGCTGCATCGCCACTAGGGTCGGCGCGCCAGGTAGCGCTTGCACCTTGGCGTGTGCTGCAGGGCGGAGGCTGTGCGCAACCAGCACGAGCGACCTTTCCGACTGCCAGATGAAATACCGACCGCGGAGCGTTATGTTGAGCAGGTCCAGGACCTTTGGGCGGATATCCGGTGTCAAGATATCGGCCTCGGAGACGACGACCGCGAGCGCCTGCGACGCTTGGATTTCGTGTACGAGGCATGGCCATTGCGTGGCAAGGCCCCGAGATGCGTTGAGAACAAGCAGGATGAACGGCCGGCTCTTTGACCATTCGCGGTCCTCCGGGGGTATTGCGTGGCACAGATTCAGACGAAGAGCAGCAAGGTCGTAACTGGTAGTTGTCGTCGGTTCCATCAGGCGACCATGTCGGATCAGGCCGGATCGCTCCCCTCTGGCCCAGCCCGTAAGCTTCGCTAGTGCCGTGTCCGACAGCCGCCCTAGCCGCCCTATGCGGCAGAGCACGACGTGCGCCAGCATCATGCTTGCGTGCCCGGATGCCTCGCCACACTGCGTGCACCTCCACATCTTGGTCGGCCACGTTTCCGGAGAGAAGAGACTTTCCGCCTCGGCCGGAACCCACAGAAATACCGGCGCTGCTGGATCCGGTGGATCGGCGGCTTGTGGCCTTGCGCCTCGGTCTCCTGCCTTCGGGAACCACTTGCCGGCGGGCTTGCCGGATTTTGGGACGCTTTCGACAGATAGAAACGACGCGAAGTAGGGATGGACTATGTCGTTGTGCGGCCGGGAGACCGGAAGAAGGGCGCGTCCCTCGGCTACACAGTCGGCGCATCTGCCGTGCCTGCAGCCCGAGTTGATTGCTATGTTCCTCGTCGAGATTTGGCGCTCCGGCGCGCAGATCATGTCCTCCTCTGTTGGTTCGTCCGCTGCTTTCCTCCCGTCCGCTGCTGTCCAGAAATGCGACTGCTTCGCCGTCGCTTCGAGGCGTCGCGCGAACGCCTTCGTGGCGTTTGCTTTTGCGAAGTCCATGTCGACGCGGTTACCGGTGTGTCGTATGCCGGCGCTGGCTAGAGAGGCACTTGGGGACGAGGGCCAGTCTGCAGCGATGTACCCACCGCCGGGGAAGGCAGCGCGTTTTAACCCGTCTGGCAGTCCGTTGCGCGGGTCGACTATGAACGCGTGGTCTGTTCTCCGGAGGGCGACTCCGTCGTCGGCCGCTGCGCACATCGGCCACGCGCCCGTGTACGCTGGGAAGGAGGTTGGACAGGTAGCCAGCGGGCCGGTTTTTGCCGAACATGCTCGCCACACCGCCATCGCGATCTCGTCGTGGTAGGACATTGGGCTCCCGGGAATGCACAACCCTGCTCTGATGATCCTCTCCGTTTCCTCCACTTCACCCCGCTGCGCCCGGCTCTGCTCGTCTCTGCTCCTGCTCGCGGCTTTGTTCATGAGTTCTCGGTGACAATGTGGCCCCATTTCCAGGAGCAGCTGGTGCTCTTTTGCTGCCCGCAGCCCGGCTGCGAGTCTTTTCGATGCTGCCCGGACGACTTTAACTAGTTTCATCCTTGTGCCGGCTGGCTCCAGAGCCGCTCTGAGGATGAACGCGTGCTTCGGCTGTACTGTCGCCGCGTCTTCGGCTGGGACCGGCTCCCGCGCTGGCCCTGGAAGCGGTGGTGCTGGAGGCTGATCAGGTTGGGCATTAGGAGCAGGGACGGCCGGGTGCTCCAGGATCGGCGCGAGGTCCTCTAGCCTTGCCACCATTCGGCCGCGAACAGTAGCCATCTGCGATCGCCCGGGCACGGATTCCTTGTCGTGGAATTTAGGTCACCGTGATTAAGCCTGGCAGGCGGGTTCTTCTCACTACACGAAAGCGGCGCTGCTTCGCGTGTAGATGCTTCGCGTGATGTGGCGGGCGGCTGCTAGCAGGAGGCCGGTCGTCTCGTCGCCCTGTTTCTTAACCCTCTCCGCCGGGAAGGGCCGGGGCCGCAGTTTAGATCATTCCGGAGCCCGGGGTCTGTCGCTGGCGCGCTACCCGTAGTTCCCGCCTGTTCGTCTCCAGGGACGACCTGAAATTGGATTTTTCCCTCTGTTCTAGAAGAATTTTTCCTGTTTGGACCCGCGTGCCGTCGTGTCTGAAGACAAACACGACCTTCGCCGCAGCTTTTACCGTCTTATGGACGCTCAGGGGAACGGTAGATAGCTCCAGCGCTCGAGAACACGTCGGTCCGGTTTTGCCGCGTTGCAGTACTAGTGAGCGACACTACCCTTGGCCTTAGCTTGGCACGAGCTGGCTTTCCGCGTTGCAATAGTAATGAGCGATACTACCCTTAGCATGACACGAGCTGGCACTTCAACTACGCATGACAAGCTCGGGCTTGCGACTTACTGAGTTCCTCTTCCCTGTGTCTGTATTTATTTCAGGCATGCGAAGTATCGGGAAGGATGCTGCCCCTTGGAGCTCTTCTTCCGTGTCTGAGCACATTTATTCCTCGAGTATAATGAACGGCAGCTTATCGCAGCTCGATGCATTCCGCGGAATATGCTCTTCATTTGGCAGAACTTTCAGCATTTGATTACTCTGTTGCAAGGATCATATTCCGAGATGACGACCGTATCATTCTGTTAAGAGGTTCACTTTTCGAGATGACGACCGCGCATTTTCCGAGAGCGATTCGGGTCGCTCATTGTAGAGGAAGCAGATCCTCTTCATTTGGCGATCGTAGTGCTTGCAGTTTCATCAACCGATTTTGATTTCCTTCGGACACTACTTTGATTTGCAGCAGAGAGATTGATTTTTGTGTCCGAGGAAAACTTGAAGCTCTAATGCGATCTGCTTCTTTCGGTGGCACTTCGGCCTCATCATCCGGCAACACTTCGGTAGCTTCACTTCGGCTCTATCATTCCCCTGTCCGCTGGGCCGCTTACTTCTCTCGCCTTCCCGGGCGTCGGCGACTGTCTGCTCTCGCACTGGAGGTTCTCGGGGACTGGGTGCGCCTCCGGCGCCCTGCATTGCTGCGGCCCCGGCGGTGGGACCGGGATCTGGAAGAGCGGTGGCGACGACGCGGCTTTGACTCCCGGCGGCGGGCAGTCGGGGAGCGGTTGCCCGGACGACGTGGTCTCGACTCCGGTCGGCCGCGCGACGCCTTGATGCTGCAACGTCGGCGGGGAGATCGGCTGTCGGGGCGGCGGCGGCCGCGCCCTTGGTTGCTTGTGCGGCGGCGCCGATCATGGGAGCCCCGTCGCTGGTCGTCTACCTGGGTGCGCGCTCCCTCTTTATCATCGAGGCCGCCAACCTGGGTGCGGGCGCGGGACGGCGGGGCTTGGTACCCTGCAGCCCGGCGGAGCGACGTATACGGGCTGGCGGCGCCACTGGTTTGGGTTGGTGCGGCGGCCTCCTGCATCTCCTTGCGGCGAGACGCTATGTACTCCTCCGGGGCCATCTTGACGATCCGAAGCCCCGGCTTCTGGGCGGCTTCGGTTTTGCGCACGCTAGCCTCGTCGGTTATGTATCTCCAGATTTGGTTACTGTGGTCGAACACCGCAACCGTTTTGGTGATTCTCCCTTCGAGTTCGGAATTCTCTATGAACAGATACTCCGCCTGCACGTCCAGTTCCGCCGCTCGGGGGCTTTCCCGTTTCTCCGCCGCTGGCCCGGCGCTTCGACGCCCTTTTTGCTCGTCGGTCGGATTTTCTGCGAGGTCCGCTTCGGGTTTCAGGCGCGTTTCCTCCGATGCAGCCGGAGATTCTTTCGCGCCAGCAGCTGCTTCGGCGCCGGTGGGCACTGCTTGCGACGAAGAGTCCGTGCATTCCGAGGAGGATTCCTCCTCGCTTGTGGTCGGCAACACGATAACGGGCGACACCGCTGCAGGGCCTTCGGCGGCGGCCTGAATGTCGCTTGCGCCTCCGCTTGATGTGGTAGCTTGTTTTGCGGCTTCGCTCGACGCGGAATTGTTCTCGCCCGAGACGGCTTGATGCTGGCCTGTCTCCTTAGCGGCCGGGGGAATCTCGCGTCGGGGCGGCGGGAACCGCGGCGGAGGCATTATCAGCTGTGACGGGGTGGGGGCGTGGCTTGGAGGGGCGGCTCCGTAACTTTTGATTGCTTGTTCTACGCATTTCCTCAGGACCTGTCTCTCGGCTGCAGTTCTGGGCTTCTGGGGCTGGTTCGCGTCGCCACCGTCGACCTCTGTCGCGTAGTGCTGCAGGGCTTCGCAAAGCGCCGGCGACTTACTCTGGTCTGCTTTGCTAAATAAGTTCCGCACGTTGGTCGCCAGTTTTTCGTCGGCCAGGCCTGCATTGTCCAGGGCTGATTGTAGCTCGGCTAATGTGATTGCGGTACCGGGGCCGCCGTTCTCGGCTCCAGTTTGCGGTAGGGATTTTCTGCCGCCGACGTCCCCTTCCTCTTCTTGGACGCCGGACTCGCCGCGCGGCGACTTGTGGACCCTCTGCTTTTTTGCTGCCCCCGCTCCTTCTCCATGTGATCGAGACGCGCTTGCGACCCGCTTATTCTGATGCTGATCTTGTGCCCGGGCTTCCCCGCCGTTGGCTGAGCTGCGCTCCTTGTTGCGCTCCTTGTCCTGCAAGACTCTGTCGTCTGACTGCTTGTTTGCTGAAGAAGATTTGCGACCGCGGCTGCCGGAGCGACGGCTGTGGCGGTGGGCATGCCGGATGCGCGACTTCCGGCGGCTGCGAGACTCCCGACGTCTGCTGCGCGACTGGCGGCGCCTAGACCTCATCCCCGATCTTGCTGCAACTTCGCTGCGGCTCGTTAGCACCACTGCTCCTGCTCCTTTGATCCCTCCAACTGGCAGATGGTTTGGGTTGTCGCTGCTGTTGGAGATTTTTCCCTTTCCCTTGCCCTTGCCGTTCTTGGTCGGCGCCCTAGGCATTCTGATGTGAATTTCTGGACTGTTGAACTTGCCAGTTACGTTGAGGGACTCTATGATGGCGTAATCAAGCAGGTTCTGCAGGGCGGAAGTCGGTGCCATCTGGATTTCGCCCCAATTGTTCCCTGTCATGCGGATGTGCTGCACGGTCATCGGCGCCTGCGCGATTTCGGTGAACAACTCCGCCACGGCTTCCGTCTGGGTTCGGAAGAAGTCGGTCTGCTCTCGCGACCACGAGCCACCATCTTGGCACTTGCCCATTGATGCGCGACCCATTACTGTAGACAGCTGCCTTAGGATTTCTGCCTTGTTTGTGACGTTGGTGTTTCTCTGCATTTGCCCCTCGTGGAACACGTCGGGGCACCTTATCGCTACGCGGGTCCGTTTTTGTAAGTGCGCGACATCGTTGCGGAGAGCCTCCAGGGCGGCTCCTACGCGAGTGGTGTCCTCGTTGGCACCGGGCGCGACCGACCACATTATTTTGTTTTCTGCTTTGGGTCAGAGTTCTTATTTTGACTATAGACAGATGCTAGCTTCTTGAGCCAAAATGGCTACGGATTTGTCATGCATAAAATGCAAGGCATGAAGTGCCTGTCTTGCCGGGATGGCAAGTGAGGCCGCGTGTCAGCCTGTTTAGGGTTTGAAGTAGAGCTGCTAAAGGAGCATGACAAAAGCAGTCGTCTGTGTCCAAACAGCATGACAAATTGGATTTCGGTGCTCGGAAAATTTGTCATGCGCCGCTTAGAAATTGGGTTTCCAACTGGTATGCATTTTATGCATGACAAATCATTTCAACTTTGTCGATTTCAAACCTGACGCTCCCATACTGCTGCGCGTTCGCGTAGAACATCAGCAGTGTGATCACCGCGGACTGCTGGTTGCTCGGGTTGGAGGGACTCCAGTAGTAGATGTTCTCCTTGTACTGCACGAACTGGAAGGCGAGCGCCGTCTGGTTGTTCGTCGACGTGGGTTCGTCCGGCGCGTCCGAGGGCACGATGAACTCGGAGGGGAACACGAACGCGGTGGTCACGTCGCTCATGTTCGTCACCTTCCCCACGTCCATCATGAACATCGGCGTGTCGAACTGCAGCGGCGTTCGCGCGTTGGTGACCAAACCCGGGATCATGGCCCGGACCAGGCGGTCGCGGTAAATCGACAGCCGCGTGAGCGCCTGGGAGATGTTCCGCCGCGTGTCCATGTTGACCCGCCGCTCGGCCTCGATCCGCTGGATGTCGTTCTCCCGCATGCTGGCGGCCTGCGTGGGTTCGAGCGAGTTGTACTCGATCTCCTGCTTCGCGTCGATCAGCGACGCGGACTGCATGGAGATGTCCCGCGACAGCTTCTGTCTCCTGGCTTCGGCGAGGAGCGGCAGCTCCAACTTCTCCACGAAGGCGATGGTCTGCAGCTGGCTCATGGTCATGTCCGCCTGCAGGTTGGTCGCCATCTGCAGGCGCCGCGACTCACTCTCGCTGTACAGCTCGTAGGCGCGCGCGCGGTCCGCGAAAGAGAACGGGGAGTTGGCTTCGGTGAAGTTGAGCCGCTTCCACATGCGTCCGACCGTGGTGTTCCGGCGGTGTTCGTCCTCCATCCAGCGCGTGAACCAGTTTGTGCTTTTTGCGACTGCGCTGTCGTCCAAAACCTCCTGCTGCTCCTTCAGCATCGCCTCCTCCAGCCGCCGCATGCGCTTTTCCTTGGCGCGGTGCTTCTCGGCGGAGCTGGTGGCGCCGAGGGAGCCGGCGAACATGTCCGAAATGCTGTTCCCGGTGGAGCGCCGGGAGCGCGCCGCCGCCATCTCGCCCCGGAGATTGCGCAGGTCGCGCTTCTGCTTCAGCTCCAGCTCCCGCCGCATCTCCTCGGAGGAGCGCGGACACCGCTGCTCGTGCCAGCAGGGCGGCTTGTTGCACAGTGTATGCGGGTTCTTCTCCGCACAGCACTGCCACCGCGTGCGTTCCCGGCCCCAGACCGGCCCGCCTACCATGCGAGCGCGGAGGGAGCGGGTCAGGCACAGCAGACCGAGGTTATCGCAGAAGGAAGACTCGCAGTCGTGGATCACTTGCGGCACCGGCCGGACCTTCAGACTCTCCGGATTCCACTGCAGGGCCTCTGGGTTGCGCAACAGAAGTGGACCGCCGACTGCCATGGACAGCTTTCGTCGGTTTTCCTCGTCCGCCTTGTGGCCGAACAGCGACACGGCCGTGCCGGTTGGTTGCTCGCCCGTCTCTCCGAGTCTTCGCGATGAAGGTGCCCCACCGGTCTGGTAGGAGGTGCCCGCCAGAGCTTCCGTCATCATGCCCGTGTTGACTGTCTGTGCGATGATCCTGCGCCGCCTCACCTCCACGACCTGGTACACGCTCGCGGTGCGGTTCCAGACCAGCGTGAAAGGCCGCTTGGAACCGTCAGGATTGTCTCGCTCGAGCAGGTATTTCATGTCGCTTTCCTCGTATTTCCCGTACGGCTCGAACTTGCCGTCGTCGTCCTTCAGCGGCAGCGGCGTTCGATAGACGCCACAGAAGTCGCACTTCTTGCCCCGCGGCATGTGGAGGTACAGGTCGCGCGGACCCGGCTGCTCGTGGTTGTGCCCCGGCGCCCGCCGCGGCCGGTGCTGCACCAGCGAGGAGCCGAACTCGCCCCGCACCTGCTCCTTGGCCTCGAGCGCCCGCATCTGCGCCGTAGACACGAGGTACTTGGGCAGGCCACGGTCGTCCAACACTGTGGGGACGGGGTTCCGGAACTTCTTCCAGATGTCGCTCTTGGTGGACACGCCGTCGGACACCTGCACCGGAATGTGGTAGCCGAGGGAATCCAGTTCCCGCAGAATGCGCAACCTCTTCTCGAACTCGCGCCGCGAGAACCGCCGCCCGTACTGCTCGCTGATGCGCTTCACGATGTCGTGCCCCTGCGCGGAGAGTGCCCGTCGCGTGCTGGACCCGACCGAGGGACCGTGCTCCACGCGGCTCTCCAGCGAGCTGCCCGGGTGCATCTTGAACTCGTTCGCCTGCAGCGCGTCGTGCCCGATCTGGCGCAGCTCCTCGCCGTCGCTGCTGAAGCCAATCTGGACGCCCCGGTCGTTCTGCGTGCCTGCGAACACCATGGTGAGCTCCTCCGGAGTGAGGACCTGCGCCAACTCCTCGTGCAGTTTGCGCAAGGCTTCCGGCGACGCCTTCTTCAAGTCCTCGGTCGCCTCCAGCAGCTTCTGCTTGCCGAGATCCTTCTCCGCCGAGGCGACGTGCGGAAAGGACTCGTGCTTCTCGAGTGTCTCAAGTAAGTCCTCACCATATTCGTCCTCGTATTCCGACAGCATTTCGATAACCTCGAGCCTGTGTTGTGATGTGATGAAAAGACTTTGAATTTTATTCTCTGTCCTGCACAAACACGTAAACGCTGCAAATCTTAAATTCAGGAGACCATGTAAAATACATGCAGCAATGAAACCGCGTGCAAGAAAACTACAGGTCGCAGGGATGTGCAAATGCAATATTTACCTTCGCCCCACCCCGGCGGCCGCGCCCTGACCGCCGGTCGCCGCGTACATGTTGGACATGGTGTTGACGAGCGCGTTGGCCATATCCGGCGACGGGTTTCCGACGAAACTGTCCAGCGCCGCGCCCGTGGCGTCCAACAGGTCCGAATTCTCGGAGTTCTTCGCCGTGGGGTCCGCCAGGTCCGAAATGGACGAGGTGGCCGAAGCCAAAGCCTGCAGCGCCGACCCCAGGTCCGCGGTGTCCATCTCGGCGTAGTTGAACAGTTTCACCGAGTTCCGGAAGTCACTCTGCAGCGAGTCGTACTGCTGCGTGGTGAGCCGGGTGCGGATCCCCTCCACGGTGGTCTGCGCCGCGATCATCTGCTGCGGGTCCGTCTCTTCCGGGAGCAGAGCCGTGCGGATCTCCTCGTAGGTCGCCTGCTCGTTGAAGTTCATGTTCATGGTGACGTCCGTGGACGCGCAAACCTTGTAGACAGTGCAGACCTTCAGGTTGGCGATCAGCGTCTCCTGCCCGTCGTACGTGATCTTGTTCGCGGGGATCTCGAAGTGCGTGGACGACTGCCCCTCGACTTGCCACACCGTGGCCGACGCCTGTCCGGTGGCCGACACCGGCGTGAACCCGAAGGAATAGGTCAGCTCCGAGTCCGCCGTGCCCCCCGATAACGACGAGTCCGCGCGCCACTGCGGCGCGTCGAACGCGAAATTGGTCTGTGGATTCGCTAGTAGGTCGTCGGGAAACGTGTAGAAGTCCGGTTTTATCACGAACCCACCACGAATCGGGGGCCCGGGAGCGGTGCGCACGATCTTTTGCGCCTTGCCAAAGTACGTGCCCTCGTACTGCCCGGAAAGCACGATCGCCGTCACGTGCAGCATGATCTTGTACTCGGTGGACCGCTGCAGCTGGGTGGACAGTGGCACCTCGAACGAGTTGGGATCCAAGTGAAACGTAATGCGCGACGTTTTCTCGACATCCCACTCAATGATGGCCTTGTCCGTCCAGGTGAAACTATCCGTCTCGTTCTTCCACTCCGTCACAAACCTGATACGAAAGAAAAACAGAAAAATTGAGTGATTGAATTCGAACTGACTGCAACAGCAAATGCAAATCACGCGGCAGAACGTGCATCTGCATATCACAAGTACCATGTAGCATCAAATCGATCCATGATAGATCAAACTTCAATACTCATTCCCGCCACTCTGCTTCTTGTAGATCTCCCAGCGGTAGTAGTAGTTTGCGCCGTCGAAGTTCGGGTCCTTGGAGATACTACCCTCCAGCGTGACATCCTGGTAGACCGAGGTCAAGGGCAACTGCGCTAGATCCGGGTCGTTGCGGATCTCTTTCAGGAAGACCTGCAAGACCAACCGATCCACGATGTAGACGTCGGCACTGTCCGTGGCCGTGCGTCCGTCGTCGTGCCGCGCTTCGACCTGGAAGGTGTAGAACTGCTCGTTGCGCGAGAGCTCCATCTTGTTGGTTTCTACCAGCAGCAACCCCTCCTCGTAGTAGCAGTAACTCTGCGGCAACACGGGCGGTGTCGCCGTGGGGTCGCCCTGCGTGAAGGACACCTGGTCTATCTGAACGTTGTACCCGATGTCCAGCGGCGGGATGTCCTCCCCGCCGCGACGCGTACACACCTCAGTTGGGTCGTAGTTTCGCAGCTTCCAGTTGTCGATTTCGCCGCTGGTCAGCACCTGGTAGAGAAAGTTCGGGTTGCCCCCCGGCCCGAGTCCCAACGTGAAGCATGGGGACATCATAGTTCCGGTGGAAGTGGACTCGGTGGTACCCAGCATCGTCGTGGTCGCGGTTGCAGAGGTCAAGACAGCATCTGAAGTTTTTAATTGCCAGCATAAACATAATGTTCTTGCTAAGGTGGTCCACCCTGGGTATACAATCACTAAATCAGAATACCAATTCGCGCTTCAGAGGACTTTCCCCAAACCATTTAACGATCAAAAATCGTGCGCAAACAACCAATATAATCAAAATTTGAATTAATACCATTCAGACAGATTGGCTTTCTGTCTGCCGCCCCGTCGACGAGCGCGTTCGGCGTGAAGGAGTTGAACTGCACATCATTTTCCACGGTGCGCTGGAAGCAGCCCGTCAACTCTGCGGGCGAGTTGGCGTCGAAGCCGTTCCAGCTCGATCCGCACTGCGTGGCTGCCTCCTCGCAACCCTGCGCGTCCGGCACTTCGAAGCCGGCCGGGCAGACGGAGTTCACGTCCCGCAGCACGTAGACCCCGCCGGCGCACTCGACCACGCCCGCGGCCTCGTCGCCAGCGCCCTGCACCACCGGCGTCACCTTCCAGCACCGGAAGGTGAAGTCGCCCTCGAACATGGGGATGGTGGTATCCTGATTAAAAGCGTCCCTACACCAGAGTCAAGATGGGGAATCTGCTACACAAATCAACCAGCTTTTGTTGTTTCGCATGACAAATTTGTCCTCGTAGTGTGGTCCTGTATAGCTTGTTCAGCAGCATTACAGATCTAGCCTACCATGCGGATTGGAGCATTACAAATTCCAAAATACGACTAGAAAACGCTTGTCATGGGGCTCCGCATGAGAAACATTCCGAGCATGCAGATTTGCATGACAACTATGGGGTGGGGACGTTTTTACATAGGATAGGTGTCGCAAGCCAGGGAACCGGGGTTCAGCAGACAGGCGTACACCTCCTCCATGTCCGGGTCCATGGTGAACCGCGCGTTCAACGCCATCGTGGTCGCCTTCTGCGGGAACTCCGTGCCCGCCGGGAACAGAATCGCCTTCACGTTGGACCGCTCCACGCGGATGATCACGTTCTCGGCGGCGTTCTGCGCGCTGGCCTGGGCCGCGTCGCCGGCTTGGATCACGTCCGTCGCGGACTGGACCACCACGCACAGGATCTGGAACGTGTACTCGTGGTATTTCGTAATCCCCGCCGCCATGTCGTCCGCCGAATAGACCGGCGGGGTTAAAGTGTACCTGGGGATCACCAACACCTGGCCCTGCACCGGGAACTGCAGCTTCTCCGCGTTGAAGAGGCTGTTGTCGCAGGGCAGGGACGCCGTGGGGCCGGAGGTCGTAAAGTCCGGGTTGTGGGTCGCGCAGCTCCACTCGCACGCGAGTTGCTGGTTCCCCACGGCGCAACTACTCTGCCGGATCTCGGTCTCGATGCGCAGCGCCTGCGACGTGGTGCGGATGGTCGGCGAGGACCACGACCCGGTCCGGATGGTGGGCGCGGGGTAGTCCGCCTTCTCCACCACGAAGGACAGCGTGGACGAGTAGCCCCACCGGGACGTCACGGTCACCTTCATCTTGTACCGAAACCCCTGCGGCATGCACTCCACGCAAATGAACAGCTTACCCGTCTGCTCGTTCGCCAGCGTGGACTGCAAAATCGAGTACTGTGTCTGGTTCATCGCCGTCGAAACCTGGTGTTTTTCGATTCATGGTTGCGGTGATGTTTTCTTGGAGCTGTTGCAACAGGAAAGAGAAACAACCGGTACTCGAACTCGAACCACAGAGGATACAATTTCTAATTGTAATTGCGGCCTGTCGTGACTATAGCAAAATCAAAAACTATTTGCGCTACTTGTACGAAAAAAGTACCGTGTTCAAACTCGTGTATGGAACGCCGTCACTTGCGTCGAGCTCCCACAAGTACTCCGCTGTACCACCTGTTCGCTTGGTCTCATCTGCTCGCAGTTCGATGGAACTACACTCATCGATGGAGAACGTACCGTCGGTGGGCTCCACCACCACGATGGGCGGCAGCAGCGGGTCGGGCAGCGACACGATGGCACCCTCACCGACCGCGGCCGGGGAGAACTCGCAGGTGCTGTAGTCACCCGGAGTGCTGCAAATGGGCTTGGCAAATACCTTGTTGGCAAGCACGGAGATCTCGTCCCCCAGTTTCAGTGTGTACTCCGTACCGAACTCGACCTCCAGCGTTTCGCCCGCGCTCGTGTCATCCTTCCAGGTGCAAGAGGTGGAGGGGTATTCGCCGATCAGAGCGACGGTCTCCTGCGACAACAGCTCCGCGCAATCAAACTTTGCACCACCTGTTTTCAAAGTTTTTGTGGAACATACATCATCACATGTGCGTTTCTTTTCTAGTCACACGTGGCACGAGCAAAAACTTAGCTAGCATCCATCAACACATCAAAAAAAGACTACGCATGCAAAATTTTCCTATCCAAAACGAATTTGTTGAATGATGCCCAGTTGTTCTAGCACGCTGTCCAAAACACGACATCTGTACCGCTGCGGTCCTTGCTCTGTTCGATTCGGTCGGGCAGGCGATCTCCGTCCGTGTCGATCGGAATCCCACCCCGCGTGGTCTCCATGTTCCACACGATTTTCAGGAACAGACCCTCGATGGTGAACCGCGCGTGCACCACCTTCGGCGCCGACAGACTGAGCGGGAACCCGGCCTCCGCGTTGAACAGGTTTGCGTAGGGCACGTCCGGATCGATGGAACGGTGCGTGTCGCCGATCTCGCAGGACTCCACCTGACACCACTTCTCCGTGTACCCGTTGGCCATGTTGATCTGCATGACCGAGTAGGCCGTCTCCAGCCGCGGTCGCGGCGCCGCCACTGACTCCGGGTAGTTCCGGTAGGAGATGAAGGTGGTGTTCCGCGGCGCACTGGTCCCGCCGCCGGGGTAGACGTGGAAGGTGGCGATCTCCTGCTGCGCCCAGTAGCGGCCCGTGGCTGGGTTGGACTCGTCGTAGTAGCTGTGCCACTGCGCGTTGCCCCGGGGGTCCTTGAACAGGTACCCCAGCACCACGTACATCATGGCCCCGTTGATCGGGCCCAGCGCGGAGATCGTGCCCTGGCGGGTGTCCCCGAAGATCTGCAGCGCCTTGAACCCCAGGTTCTGTTGGTGGATCAGCTTCACGCGGGACAACTCCTTGTAGGTCAGCCCGTCCCGGATCACCTCCTCGTCCAGCAGGTGAAAGAGGAAAAACCGGTCCACGCGAGTGTCCGACTTCTCCACGGCGGTCACCGCGAAGGAACGGAAGTCGGACTTCGAGATGATGGTGCTGGCGCCCGTGAAAACCCAGTTGTCCTGCGCCACGGAGGAAGACTTATAGAGCCCGGGAATGGACTGCAAGTCCTCGTCGTTCAGATCCTTCACGTTCAGCGTCAGCTTCGGGTACATGGGGTCGCGCTCATCGATCTCGATGGCCATCACCTTGTACGCCCACTTGTCGTCGGCGTTCTGCGTCACCACCGGCGTGCGCCCCGTTGACGCATCCACCGCCAGGGCTGTAAAGGTTTGGATTCATGTCGTACAAATTTTTCGTATGTTTTCGCAAAAAAACGGACGATCAGCAACATTTTCGTGTACGTGTTCTAATCAATTTTACAAACCAAACGAAGAACATGATCAATCTCAATGGCATTAGCAAAAGAAGCAAACTATACAGATGAGCCTGGAGCCGGTGATGTCGTAGGAGAGGCCGTAGAGCAGGTACTCGTCGCGGTTGGTGTCCACGATTTCCAGTTGATTCTGGAAGACCGCGAGCCCCTCCTCGTTGGTGCAGTGCAGGTAGTAGCGCTCCGGGTTGATGACGACCGCGGAACTGATGGCTTGGCCGCCCCCGGTGGCCAGCGTGGAGTCCTTGATGACCACGACGGTGTACCAGAGGTAGCGCCACACGTCGTAGGCGCCGCTGGAGCCGTAGGACTGGTACTCGTACTCCATGAACAGCCCCCAGTAGTCCGAGGTGGTGTCGCCCTCGCCGCCGCACAGCGGGTTGCTGAAGGAGGGCAGACAGGGAATGTCGCACTGCCCGGGGGCCGCGATGAACTGCCGCAAATTGTCCATCACGCAGGCGCAGCTGAGCCCGGAGATGCCGATGATCACGGTGCGCTGCTGCTCGTAGTACTCGGACCGCTTGAGTCCCCCGGGACCGGTGCACACGTCGATGCACGCGTTGGGATCGTAGGCCTGCGCGGGCGGGGTGCCCCGCGCGTCCGCGGTCACGTCCTGCGCGGAGAAGCAGCCGATGTAGGTCCACCGACTGTAGACAATGGTGTTTTTCTGTGTGGTGGGGATGCCGTACGCGTCGTTCACCGGCGCGGTCTCGTCCTTGAACTGCGACAGCCGCGACCGCTCCAGCAGCTGTCGGGGCACCAACTGTTGCTGCTGCGTTTCGGTGACCAGCTTCACCTCGATGCAGTCCACCAGGGTCCCGCACCGGAGCAGCGTCTGTCCGTTCGCGGCCGCCTGCGCCACCTCGGTGGCCGTGAAGATCGGCGCCTTACACTGTTGCTCGCCCTCCAGTGCGGTGGCATCGAAACAGGGAAGCTCCTCGGTGTCGCAGGGACACGTGGCCTGCAGGTTAATTATGATCTCCTGTTTCTTGTGCGACACCGTCACGATATCGAAGGCGTGAACGACGGGGATCGACAGGTGAGGACCCAGCGAGGAAAAGACGAACCCGAGGTAGTATATCACGCAGCACAGCACTTCCAGCAACCGCAACGGCGACATATTCGAGCCGTACCTCGCACTGGAAACTACTCTTGCTGTTGACATGGTTCCTGTTTTACGCCTCCTGAAACACTGTTGGACAGGCCGCAGACTGGCTTCTGCTATTATTCCTGCGCGCTGAGGGAGCGAGCTTTTTGTACTACGGCTGTGCCGTGTGCCCTGATCGAATGTTGTTTGATGCTCTTCCTTCATCGTCTGCTCTGGTGCACTTGGCCTTAATATTTTCTCCGTCCTTATAGATTTCATCATGTTCTTGCACTCTTCTACTGCTCTGCTTTCTGCAGTACTGCAGGCTGGCCGCTGTTTGCCATCGCTTCTTCCCAGGGGCACGGGCCCGCTAGGCGTAGACCCGACGCCGCACCTGGTAACGAAGCGTGGCTTGACAAGCTGCCCATGCTGGCTGCTGGCAGTACGAGATGACAAGGCACCTGCTTGGTTTACTAGTCCTTCATGTGCAACATTCTTTTCTTGATCAAGCTCCTGATCAGGGCCTGCTGCTTCTTCTATCCTGGTATTCCTGCGTTCTATCACATCTCTACTGCTGCTACTGGCGGACGGGGACATTCTACTTGCTACGCGCCGGCAACAAGTAGAAACTGACCCTCGGTCCGACTACAGCAAGTTGGTGGACAGCTAGAAATAAGGAAAATTCGGATTTCAAAAGTTTGGGCTTCAAAAAAAAACACCGCAAAAAAGTAGACGTGCCTTTGTTACAGCTTCAAATAACGGGCTCCAAACCAATGATCGTGATGTATAAACACTATTCAGCTTAATAATGAAAACCTCACACAAATCAACGTGGTATGTATGACAAGAAAATAAAATCGAAGCAAATCGAAAACAGCAACAGCGAAAGCTCTGTATCTCTCTCACAACTCTGATATTTCCTCAAAACTACCGTGCTTCAGGACTGGCAACCTATCTCTCGAACCAATGCTCTCTAGTCGGGATTCTGGAATGTGAACAGAAAGTAGGGGAGGTATTGCCTAAGGAGTGCCGCTGTGATTGTTGAAGTTAAGGTGTCCAATTTCTTTTTCTAGCGAAGGGAAAGGCAAAGGACGGATAAATGCTTTTTCTGCGCAGCGTTGGACGGACGAAATGGACGATTGGTTTCGTTTCGTACGGTACGACCGAGGAGAACGAATAGGGATTTCTACGGAAATTCGCTTTCTGTTTGTCGCTACGGATGCGCTCTTCATGCAGCTGCAGTTTAGTAATACGTATGCACGTGACCGATCGTTTTTTCCACGTAGTATAATTCTCTCTCCACTGGTGCACGAGCTTCATAGACGGTGTGTAGTAGCTAGATATCTTCGTGTTGCAGCGACCGAGCTGATAATCAGGGAAGTTCCTCTTTCATCTCTCTTTTCATTCATTTTGCTACCATCACCGATGCCTTCATTCTTGTAAGTACTTATAGACATTGACTACCAGTGCCATAGATCAAAATGCGAGTGCCAGTTTGAGTTCGGGTTTGAGAGTCAGCTTTTTAGTCTTTAGATAGGTGGCGATTGGCGTTGCCTCTTACTCAATTCCTCGATAGACAGGAGCGGGTTTACATCAGTTCGCAGCCTGGCACACGACTAGGAGGGGGAAGTATGGTCGCCTCTCCGACGTGAGAACACGCCATTACCCTACACCCGGCGAAAGTTTGAGACTTATACACGAGCACCGCTGTTGTGGCAAGGGTTAACACGACGGAGGGCGGCATTCTAGTCCCTCTACGGTCATTGACGTTGCGGTATCCTGATTCCCTGACGTTGCGGTATCCTGATCATCGACGTTGCGGTATCCTGTACGGTCATTCCCTGACGGCGTCACGAACACGATGCGGTATCCTGATTCTCACATTGTACAAGAAACCTGTAGACGACTGATTCCAATGTGCGCAATCAAATCCTTCATGCTCATGCTGACACCCAAAAATGTAAAAGTGATGAAGTTCTCGTGTATCTTCGACTTTTTTTAGTACACATTTTTGTTGCCGAAGCTAGGAGTGAAAAAGTCCTGCTGTGTGAATGTACTTCGGTTTTTTTTTTGTTTTGGTTTTTTATAATAAGGGAAAATGAATGTTGAAACAAATGTTTTGACCTCCAAGCGACGTATCGTACAGAAATCCGATGAACTAAACTGTTTCCGTGTTTTACTATTCTCTGCGTGTGATCAAAGGGGCAGGTCCACAGAACCTGAGTGCCTATTTACTGTTTTGTTCTAGACATTAGTGCCGATTAGTTTTATAGATTGTGTTTGTGACCACTTGTACAAGGAGCATGAAACAGTTTTTTACGCAACGAACTATAAATAAATCCGTGCCCGTGGATTCGCCAGGAATCCACAACGTGTGAACAAATACAGAAGAAGAAGAACTAGATCTAGAACTACGAGCAAAAATAAGTTGAAGAAGGGAAGCAGAGAGGGCCCATGACTTTTTTGGATTGCACTTCACCTGATTTATTCCCAAGAATGGAAAACAAGAAGATGAGTAGACTTCTCAACTTGAACCAAGAAATACAGCTTAGAACCAAGCAGCGTCCACCTCCAGTGGTCATCTTTTATTTTATCTGCCGGTTGTAATTCTAGCAGTCTTCCGTGGCATTCTTTTACCTTTCGCAGGTCAACCATTCCCTTCCGACTCCGTCGTTCCACCGCCATAATAGCGGCGGCTCACATATTCATATCCGAGAGGAAACTTTTTTGGATGATGTTCGGGGGCAGGAAGTTTTGCAGCCGGTGCATCTTCGAGTACATCTCCTGCTGCATGGCGATCCTGCGCTCCTGTTCCAGGTACTTGAGCTCAACTTCCCGGGTCTTCTTCACCACGTCCTCCTGCAGCAACTCGAGGCAGCGCTGCATCTCGCTGGCCTTCAGCTCCTCGGTTCTCTTCTCGTGTTCCGCCTTCGCGCACCGCGACTCCGCCACCTGGACCTTGTGGTCCTTGTACTCGCTTTCCAGCTCCGCCTCCTCGCGCCGCGTGATCTCCGCGCCCAGCTCCTGGCGCAGCTGCGCCAGATCCCCTATCAAACAAAAAAAGTTCGTCACGATCACTCATGCGCATTTTTGCAATACAAAACTGTTTGTCATGCGTAAAAATGCATCACAGCCAAACTTTATTAGGGATTTCCCTAGTGTTTCTGCAATACAAGGAAAATTTGTGATGCTAATGCAAACCCTGCAAATTAGTGACTGTGATAAACTTTTTTCTCTCCATATCCCCCCGCATCTTGTCGATCTCCTTCGCAAACGCCTCCTGCTGCTCCCGCTGCTTCTGCTCACTCTCGGCCTTCGCCTGCTGTTCTCGCTGCTCGCCGGAGTTCTGCAGCTTGTTGCTCTCCGCGGACCCGGAGAGCGCCGCGGCCCCGCCCGTTGCGGCCGCCGGCGTCTTGCTAGTGTTGCCTGTTTAATGATAGAATAGGATTTTATTGTAGAGGACAGGATGTCTAGAAGTGTATCTATACCTCGTCCTTCATCGCTTGGGGACAACATCACCCGACGTCGACGTGCCTTTCTGGTGGAAAAAAACCCGCAGACCAGCACTAGCCGCGAAAGATAAGGGACTAGGGCCAGAGGTGGATTTTATGCAGTCACCGCGGAAGGATCACCCGATGGATGATCGCTCGATGGGAGCATCTCCCACTGCGTCGCACGAGGAGGCGCCCTGGAAGCACCTACCCCCGCCGTGGGAGATATCTTGCGACCTCTGTCCTACCCCAACACAGATTGGAGCGGCGCGAGGCCCAGCGACCCATCCGAAGTAACTACCGACCCAGACCACTGGCTCATCTCGTAAAACTAACCGGGAGGGCGGGTGGGCAAATAAACTTCAACCCAGAACGGGAAGAGGCTCGCCCTCACAGTCATCAGGTCCCGGCTACCGGAAAAGGGCGAGGCTCGGACAGACATAAAATATCGCCCGTCCAGCCTCAGCCTAGGCTCACAGGCTCGCTAGCCTGCTACTGCCCGGGCATGCATTTATTCTATTTATGAATTATTTCTATACGCTCTGCGGACGTGGAGAGTTTGTCTCGGGAGTTCAACTGCGTTATGTCGGTCCGCGCACTGGTCATGGTCCCGCTCATGGGATCTTTGCTGTTGCTAACCCCCAATTGCGGTTGCTCCCGGGGAGTCGTCTGCTTGTTTGCGGCTGTAATATTACCACCTCCCGCCAGGTCGAGCCAAGGTCGAGCCAAACGCGCTCGAAGAGCTGCGGCGTGAAAATCTCTTCGTTTGCGCCGAACTGCCGGATAAGCGCTTGCGAAAAGTTTAGCACTGCTTTTTCTTCCTCCTCACTGAGTGGCGAAGTAGAAGTTCCTGGAAGAACAATGGACGTGGCTGATCCTGCCGGTTGTGATGTCCCTGCCTTGTTACCCCGTGACGCGGATGGACCACCCGCCTTTACCCCTCCCGCGGGACTGTTGGCTCCCTTCTTCGCCGTTGCCTTTCCCCGCGGGGTGGTTTTTGGAGCGGCGGCAGAAGAACTACCGCGCACCGGCCGGTTCATTGTCGAGGATGGTGTGATGGTTCCAGGCAACTACAGCGACGGGGCAACTCAATGCCAATTCATTTTGCTACCATCACCGATGCCTTCACTTCTGTATCGATTGATCACAAGGTAGAGGCCATGATGTGAATACACCCCAGCTGAACTGGTGCCGCTTCTTCATCATTGGCAGCAGGTGAAATCATTTTCGTCCTACGCTAGCACAGCGAACACACCTGATTTTTATCTCCCAGGGTTCTACACTCCCTGAGACGAAACTGAACTGCTGTCAGTGCAGCTCGTATGCTACCTTTCAGTAGCGATTTTTTTTTCATAGGGGGTGGAAACGGAAAGAGGAGTAGCGGTTTATGATCTGTGTCAAGGTTATGTTGCAGTGCTTCTATCAAATTGGTGCACGCTTGATTGGAATCTTCTACAACTTTTTATTTCCGCTACTTTACAGCGTGCCTACTATGTTCGCGTTCCGATTTCTATGGTGTGACCAAAATTCTTTTGCGGAACTAGTAAAGACTACGCAGCTTCGGTCTTGGCGCGGAGTTTATTGCCGTATCTCAATCCATGTAGTGCTAGTAGAGCAACCGTGCGCCGAAAATATTGCTGTAAAAAGTGAGCTCAAAAGCGATACCAAACGATAGAAGTATTCAGGGTGTTGTAGCAGCGCATTGTACTGCAAACTGTACTTGACACAAATCACGTGTGCGGTGGCTGGCAAATAGCGAGGAGGTTTATCGGGGAACTAGTACGAAGCGAACTAGCTGGGGCTTTTGAAAAATACTCCGTTTCAAAAGATAAATTTCCGGGGGTTGTACATAAGTACATCAAGTGCAACTTTGCCGCTGCGCTCGTCGTGGGCCTTGCTTCACTCGTCCATGTTTAGTTAGGTATGATTTGCAACAGCTGCAGACGTGGGAAAATCACCGCTTTTTCATCAAAAAAGCGACTTCCTCCGTCTGACAGGGTTAACACACCTTTGAATGGATTGAATGCACCGAGAGGGCTGGAGACAGATAGAAGTAGTCCACAACGTAGCAGAAACGTGTGCGTTTTTTCTTCGTCATAGCTGTGAAGCAATCGGGCTGAGTGAGCCTGTCGTGGCAATGTCGCGTAACATTTCCTTCAGCTTCACCCACCGCCGGCGTAAAAATCGAGCAGGCTTAGACAACCAAGAGCAATAACAGGACACGAGGACTAAGAAAGATTTTACTGCGATACATGCGGAAGAATCTTGCTCGTCCTTGTCGCGCCACCAATCTTGAAATCTAAATTGTTGATGTTGTTCAGCCGGAAGTAGGGCAACGAAAAAAATGTTTTCTCAACTACGGACTTCCTCTATCACCTCGAAGCTTGAAGTTGTTGTAGTTCTGGGGGCGATTTCCAATATAGATACAACTGCAAAAATAAACTACTTCATAGTGTACTTGAGTTCTTTGGGTCCAAAATTGTGGGGTTCGACCAGACGGGTCAATTGTCCGGGCTGGGATCCAACGCGGTCGGTAATTGTGCCTCCTACAGTTGCTTTTTGCCAAATTTACCACACGGACAAAACTGCGTCTCCTCTTCCACGCTCCAAAGAAGCCGTTGAAGATGCATGGGGATCCTCGAAAAGAAAAAAGTTGGGTACCTAGGCTCCTGCAGTTTCTTCGAAATGGGGGATTAAGAATGATGGGATTTTCTAAACTCTTGGTTTATTCGTCGTGCGCCTGACGCTTACTTGAAAAAAAGGCCGCTGGGAGGAACTTGCTGTGAAAAGGTTCTTACTTACTTTTTGAAGTCGAAACTGGGGTGTGATTGTGAATGATGAAATAAATAAACAAGCAAAATACTGTACAACGATTCCAACAAAATATAATACAAAAACAAAAACGTATAGGTGATGATGTGTTAAGAAAAACATTGAAGAAATTTTAAAAGTCGTTGTGAAGCAACGACCTCGTCAACCGTTGCTACAAACCTACGAACTTGCGACTTTTACGATGAAAGGAAAAAAACACTCCGCTGGATTTATTCTCTAGGAATGATAAACGTTTTCAGGAAGTGTGTTCCTGTTACCTGCAATTCAGACCTTAAAACGGGATTTTTCGATGCGAAAATGATGTATTTTGTTGCAATATCTAGCAAATTTAAATGGATGATGACTTTGCCTGCGAAACTTGATTCATGTAGTAAAACATAGACGACGTAAGACAATTCTTGAAGCGGTGTATTTCGATTTTAGAAAATGTAGAAAATCAGATACGCCGATAGCATGATGGCATTTCTGATTGTTCGTTTTGTGTAATTTTCGATTGAAACTTGGATATGATATTTTGCCACTAGTATTTTCCGATTGAACTTTTCCATCAATCCTTTTTCCTTGCTGCCGGTCTCAGCACCTCGTTCGTCGCTAGCAGCAACCTTCTGCTGTATCAGGGGAAAACAAACTACCGTAGCCTCACATCATGCGTGCCAATTTCGAAAACATGGCAGCGTGCAGCGATGTTCGTCATGCAAACCTTTTATTTCAACATGATATCTGTCACATTTTTTGCGTGAGCCAAGTTCACGCTTCAGTAGTAGTTGCACGACGAGTCTGGTGCATGACCCATAAAATAGATGTATTATCGCGTTATCCCAAGGAGGATAATGAAATTTCTTCTGCAGATGAACATCTGAAAAAAATTGAACGAGGCTTGAGTACTTAGTTGATTGTCATTGCATTTCGTATGGTCCAAAATTCGTTTACTCGTCTTCGTCCTCGTCGTCGTCATCATCATCATCACCCTGGTCCCGTTTGAGGTCCGCCAAGTGTTTCGGTCCTTCATCCTCCGCGGGCTTCTCCTCCGCGGGCTTCGCATCCTCCGGCGCCGCAGCCGCGGCCTCCTTCGGCGCTTCGGCGTCCGCCTTCGCCTCCTCCGCTTTCGGTGCTTCTCCTGCGACGCTTGCCTTCCCGGCCGCACCGCCCTGGCTCTTCTTCTCCGCTGGCGCCGCGGCCGTGGCGGCCGCAGCCGCCGATTTCCGGGCCGAAGTGCGCGCGGCCGCGGCTCCACCACCCGCCGGGGCCTTCGCCGCCGGTGCTGCCCCACCTGCGGATTTTTACATAGTACGCGGTTTCGAGTTTTGGCATTGGTGAATGTTACAGCTTTTTTTCTCTTTCCGAAAGATATTTTTACCAAGTACTTGCGCCAACAGTAATCTCCGCTAAGAACGCTCAGAGCACTGCTGCCGAGCGAACAAATCCCGCTCATGACCAATACTACGAAAAACGGACTCTACGGGTATCACTCTAAACTGTAGTACGCACCAGTAACCTATCTTTCTGCCAAAACATGAATTCGGTTACCTGGCTTTCCACCGCCACGGCACAGGAAGAATGCAGCCAAACCGCCAACCACTGCCACAACCGCAACGAGTTATCGAAAGGAAACGTGCCCAAAGGAAGCCCGAATACATAATACAGGGTCAATGCTCAAATGTAGTCGCTTCAGCTAGGTATTGCCAACCAAATTGTAGGTAATCACAGATACCAACGATGCTGCGCGACCTAAGAGACGTTCTTGTACGGCTGAAGTCCAAGTCGAAGTCGGATCGATTTGGCAAATCGAAATCAAATAGAAATACACCGTCGTGATCGAGCTGCACCATATAAATATATTCCATTTTCTCTGCCCAACTACAACTTGGCTGAGTGCGGCTGCTACATATCTGGCATTCGACTACTGCCATATCATACTGCAGCTCGAGCTCCTCCACTATGCATACAATGTTTTCAGATTTTCATTTTTGTTTTCTTCTTGTCGTGTTTTTTGTAAATAACAATGCTCGTGTTTATTGTGACAATATCGTGTGTTCGGCGATGAAACAGCCAGCGCGCTTGGTATCAAATATGCATCCGGGCTTCCGGGAAGACACGCTTTTTCACTGTGGTAAGACCACAATGATAACGATCAGCATGCTGTTGCCGCTTTCGGTTTTTTCGCCACTCCCCTCGCCGTCGGCGGTCTGTCGAAAATTTAGTTTTTGACAATCAAAAATATCTTCATGCTTGCGTATTTTGGCCACTATTCAAATTCGTCATCTGGATCATTCTCCTTTGCATTTCAACTCCCATAGATACTCGCACAAAAACTGTCTGGAGATGAAACCATCAGGAACAACGGAGGCATCCTTGTTCAAGCAAACATTGCCTTAAATACTCTGATTATCGGTTTCACACTCGGTCTCACTCTGAATAAATCCGTGAGGAGGAAAGAACAAAATCATGATCATACCTCCGGGTCTGTCGGCTTTGGTGTTGTGGAAGATGAAGTAGCCGGTTCAAATGCGCACTTCGTCTCCTCGCAGGCATCCTGGGTCGTGGCACTTTCGCAAGCGCTCTTCAGTTTCACCGCAGCGTACAGGTCGTCCACGCTGAATTGGTTCTTGATGTCCTCGGCCAAATTGTCGTAGATCGTGTTGATCGAAGTCTTCACGGTTTCGGACAGATCCTTCATCTGGAGAAAGCTGGTTCCTCCAGTTGAAGCAGTAACAGCAGCGGTCACCGCATTAAGGAACGCTTGGAGTTTTGACAGCAGGCTGGCATCATCAGATACGTCCAAGTAGTCAGCAGCGAGTGTATCGGCTGCGGCAATCAGAGTTTGCACGTCAGCGGAAGGGGGTGTAGTAAAGCGATCAACAGACGAGGGAACTGCAGTCAACAATGTATTTTTGACATCCTCCAGTGCAGGAGTAGGTACCTCATCTCCAGCGACCCCGACGGCGTCCTGGATACCAGCTCTCACGTCCGCCGAACTAGCCGCAAGGTTAAGTTTAACGAGTGTGTCCATCTGGTGCATCTTGGCAGATTCTGCGAGAGCAGCACTCCAATCTGGGGTACTTTCGTAGAATTGAGTAGCAATCGCTTCTCCGAAAGCGACCGCCGACGCCGGAAACGCTAGATCGGTGGCGTTCGCATTCGGAAATGCAAGTTGAAGCGCGTCAATTAGAGCCGTTTTGATTTCTCCCTTCTTGACATCATCCGATTCTGTGCCTTGCGCAATATTTGCACCGGCGAAAACCGCTGTGAGGTCGCTGACCGCATCGGTTCCATGGATAGCTTGCATGACGCCCCCCACAAGTAGCCCTGCTGCCATTTCTGGAGTGGGGTTCGCCATCTGAAGATGCCTGTACACCGGCTCCAAGCTAGCCTGAAAAGCTTGTCCTTGTGCAAGTGGATCCGCAGCTGCAATTGGGCCAGCGACTGCATCAACGCCGTTCATGCCCGCAGCACTCAAAAGTGGTTTCAAAATTGCCTCCTTCGCTGCCACATCCTGGCCCGCGTTCTTCAGCATTGCAATCCAAATTGTAGCAGGAAGCGCCACAATAGCGGGTGGCTGTGCATTATCCGCATCCGTCGCCTGCATCCACAACATCTCTGCGATCATGTCGGAATGTGCATCATCCAATTGGACCGACGCCCACACTGCCTTCATCGCTTGTTTGAATGCGCCTTCTGCTGGATTACCAGGAGCCAAGACAGTGACCATTGCTTGTTCCAGGTCGCGAGCAATCTCGCTGTAGTTCACGGAAGGAGAGGGTTGCTCGGACGGAAGTTTCGCGACGGCGTCAGCGATGGCTGTATCAATAGCATTTTGGTCTGGGGAGGCGGCTTGAACGGCGGCAAGAATTGCAGTGGCCGCAGTTTCAGCATCTCCAGTCGCAATGCCTTTTGCCTCCAGCAGAGTCTGGAATGACGCAACTGTAAGAGCAGCCACGGTGTTGGCGGCAACTGCCACATCAATCACATTGTTGATCTCCGCCGTCAGCTCGCTGGCCGGGTTCACGACAGGTGGGGCTGTTGTAGTCGCAGCTTGAGTGAACGTCCCATAAGCGGCAACAACCGCATTAGAATCGCTGGAGTCAGCAAGAAGTGCGTCGGCAAGATCTTTCGCGGCGTCTTCCAGTTGCTGTGTAGACGGGAGGCCTGTGGCGGCAACGAAGGCCGCTTTGAGGACTTCAGAATCCGCTGCACCAGCGACACCAAGAACGGTCTCGAGGTAGGTTTTGAGCGCCGCGACAACGTCCGCACCTCCCGACGTTGCAGTCTGGTAGGCGCTCTCCAGGTCTACGAGATCGATCACCCCGGTCGCGGTTCCATTCCCTGCCCCCCCGTTGTCGCCAGTGCCAATGTCCTTCATCACATCGGTGAGATCGATCGTCGAGTTAGCAATTAGCGCAAAGATCGTCTTCATGTTGTCGGTCACGGTCGCCTTGGTCACGTCAACGGTACAGGTTCCCTGCGCGCCGGTGGCCGGGCTGGTGGTATTCGTTTGCTCACCGGACGAATCGGCTGCGGCGGTGAAAGCACAGCTGGTGGCGCTGGTGCAGGTGGTATCATCCTCCGCCGCCTCGCAGTCACGCTTGATTTTCAGCACGTCGTGGAGTTCTTGCGCAGAATTGTTCGCCGTCGCCTTCTGGTTGGTGTCCAGGGCGTCGAACAATGCGGTGAATTCAGTGCTAACGGTATCCCCCACCGCAGCGGTGAAATTCGCCACGTTCGGCAACGCAGAAGCCAACGCATAGATGGGCTCCTGGTCTGCCGTCAACTTTGTCGCGTCCACAGCACAGGTCCCGTCGACTGCCTTCCAGAACCGCTTCCGCTTCTCCCTTCCCCGTGCCAGCAGCGACATCGAATTGCTATGCATTGCAAATATGTCTGAGTCTGGAAGGACGCAAGGTTTGTCATGCTTGTCTGGCATGACTGAAGACTTTGTGATGCGTGTCCAAGATGAGACCGCTTTGCTTGTCATGCAGAAGCACAGTTTGTCATTCGAAACCGAAACGCGCAACACCAAGCAGCGCAGATATTTCTCATGCTTGGCTGTGCACTACAGAGCATTCACTATTCCCAACTCAGCAGTACAAGTTTCCAGACCCAGACACATTTGCAATGGATAATTGTGAATCTCGACCAACCCCACGTCCTTCTCGATGTCGGCCAGGAATTCATCTGTTATTTGAAAAAAAGGTTCACAATTACAGTTTGTTTCGCGGCATGATCAAAATTGTCGCGAGAAGGAGAACTCATCGTACCTGATCTACATTCAAATCAACATGCTGTCAGTCTGAAAAAAGTTGTTTCATAGTAGCGCTGGACTTGTTCTGCGATGAAAAGTAAAAGCATGCGCACCTGCCCCACGAAGCCGCTTCAGCGCCAGCAGATTGTGGTCGACCGCGTGCCCAAGTACCACCAGACCTGGCAGCGTGCGTCTCCCGGCTAGCGTAAGTACCATTTTTTCTCCTTACAGTCTTTTTGATGAAAGATTTTTTTGCAAAAAGTTGTAAAAATGAAAATTATTCTGTTTTTGTTCCAAACACTGATGCTGTGTGCTCGGAAAAAAAAAGACAACACCTGTCTTTCTTGGTTGATGTAAGACTTATTTCGACTTCCACTTTAGTCACGTTGCTTCCAGTTGTATTTTTACACGTTTTATTGTTGCTGCGTCTTCCCAGGCGTCTCCCTAGTGCCAAAAGTTGTTAGTGAATGTAGTATGGTAAATTAATTGGGTTGTGAGCAATCTTCGCTACATAAGCGAAAATTCTGGTTGATACCTTGACAAATCCGCAAAGGGACAAGCAAGAAAACCTGCGAAATGAAGGGTCAGGGGAAATTATGCGGAGATCGGTACGAACGAAGAACCGAGGTAAGACGAAAATCTTTTGATGAAATAAATTCAGTCGTTCGCGGGAACGAGTTCAGGAACGAAGAAGACGACAACTTGGAACGAATTTGCAGTGCGCAAACGCACGCAAGGCTACCAAACACGAATCACGATTCATTGCACGGAGAACGATGCTGGCTGCAATCTAGGACTCTTCTGGCAACAGGCAACTGTGATCTGTCCGACACGTCTTCAAATTCAATCCTTAGGTTTGTTGCAAGCACCATGACACGTTGTTGTGGACGATTGATTCTATACGAACTCATGCATGGACGATCAACGTAAGGTGTAGTTTTACGTAAATGCGTACGTACTCAATGACGACCCAGATTAGTGAACTAGTTGATCCCCACGGTACGAAAACTTGAAATACCGTGAAAACACACTGGCACTGCTTTTCCATATGCAACAGACTGAGTCGCTGTTACTGCGGCTCACTCTTCAAAACGGAACAACATCGTTCGTGCGACACAAAGAAGAGCCGATTCGCAGTAGAGACTGCGCGAATGTGCTGAAAATTAGCATAGTAAGTCACTGACTCAGAGCCGTTCCTTCACCTCAAAAAAACTGAAAATGGGTTGCAGTCCAAGAATCTCGCTTTTGTATCATTTACATATTCGCGCCAAACAATTTCATCCACGAAGGCACAGTCTGCTGGCGCAATAATTTTGCTCCGAAAAATGTTGTGCGACAAGGTCCCATGTTGTGCGACAATGTCCTCTACTTCTGCAACTCTGTCTTAACTGGTCCTCCCCTAGTGTACGTTATGTTTTCAGTTCTTGTAAATAACCCCCACGACCACGAGAGCAGTGTATGAAGAAGATGTTGAAGATTCTTGTCTAGTAGAGAGAAAAAACCTATAAATATCTAGATTTCTGTCCGATTGCTATGCCTCCGTCCCAGGTGGGGGCTCGTTTTCGTCCCGGGTGGGCAGTCGGCTATCTACGACCGGATTGGAGGTACTAGTTCCAACGGTCTGTATCTGACTAAGCGCTTCCCGCAACCGCAGCGGTCGGTCGCCTTCGACCGGGAACACTTCCTCCACGAGCTGGACCACGGTGGTACCGTGGTCGTTGCGAATCTGTGTGAACGCCGCCTGCAGACTGCCGGCGTTGCGCCAGGCCTCCAGCACGCGCTCGATCGCCGCCGGACTCCGCCGCCGCACGACGAGGTGCAGCAGCGTGTCGCCCGGCTGTATCCCTAAGTTGACCTGCGCAACGGCCGACGCCGAGCTGACCGATTCTTTGCTGCTCGTCACCGAAGAGTCTTTACTGGTCGACAGGCTCCCACGACTTAGCGGGCTTGCTCCGCCTATGATCGCCGACGGCGACGCGTCGGCCCCAGCCTGCTCGGACGGAGGGAACAAGTTATTTGGTGCGGAAACAAGTTCCGTCGCTGTGGTTGTCGCGGAGTAGCCCTTCTCAAGGTAGTTGCGCGAGAGCTGCCGTGGGTCCGCGAAGGCCAGGAAGTAGCCGATGTCGTCCTTCTGGATACTTTCCTCCAGCGGGTTCTCGCCGATACTGCTCTGCACCGCGACGCAGGCGTCCCAGCCGGCGTGGCGCAGCAGCATCGCGCACCCATTCAGCAGATCCTTCTTCATGAAGAGCGAGAGCAGGGACTCCCCGCACTGGTCCCGGATCCAGGGCAAGTCTAGCGTGTTCTCCCCGCCCAGCAGCGCCTGGTGCACGCCCCGCACGTCGCCGGCGCTCGCGAGCCGGTAGAACTTGAGTCCCGTCTGGCGGTGCGCGAAGGCCCGCGCGCGCGCGGACGACCGCAGCAGGATGCGCTGGGCCGGCGTGAACTTCTTGAGGAACTGGCGTCGCTGCTCCGCGGCCATCCGCGCCTCCGCGCTGCTGCCGCCGATGGCCGTGCCGCTGGCGCTCGGACTGCCGCCCTTGGACGTCGTGGCGGCCGGCGACACCGCCTGATCCGCCTGGTTGCGCGCGAACGGGGCCCGCACAGCGGACATCAGCATGGCGAGCGGACTGGCGCTCGCGGACGACGACTCCTGGGCCTCCACCCCCAGAAACAGCATCTGCACCGTGGCGTCCAGGTTGCGCGTGCCGCTGTTGTTGCTGCCGCTGGTCCCGTTCGACATGCTGGACTCGATGCTCAGCGTGCTCCGCGTGCTCGTGGACGAAAAGATTTTCCGCGCCTGCGAGGAGGAGGGCTGCATGGGCGCGATCTTGCTGGTCGTGCTCGTGACCGGCTCGCCGTGCTTGCTGTTGCTCTGCTCCTCGGCGGCGCGCACCTGGTCCTGGGTCTCCTTCAGCATCTTCTTGTTCACCATGCCCGCCAGCCCGTGCTCGAACAGCTTGCCCACGTCCAGCCCGTCCATCAGCTCCACGCGCTCCTGCATCTCGCAGGGCTCCAGCCGCGTGGACACCAGGAAGGAGACCAGGGAGGTGAGCATCAGCGGGAACAGCGTGTGGTCCACCACCCCGCGCTTGCCCAGGCCGGTCAGCTCGTAGGTGATGAACACCCCCGTTAAAGGCACCCGGAACACCGAGGTGAACAGCCCGCAGATCGCCAGGTAGATGACCACGCGGTGCAGCCCCGCGTTCTCCGGCGCGTCGAACGCCTGCAGCACGCACATCACGGCGCCCCCGAACGCTCCGCCCAGCAGCAGCACTGGGTAGAAGGCGCCGCCCGGGCCGCCGCTGGAAGCCGCCAGAATCACGGCCGCCAGCTTCAGCACGAAAAAACCGGCGTAGTAGTGGAACCCCAGGCTCTCCACGTCCTTCAGCGGCTTCAGGTTCTGGTCGTAGGGAAGAGTCACGTCCTTCCGGATATTCTGGTCGTATTCAAACGTGCTTGGAATGAGTAGCATCTTCTGAAAAGCGGTGCGCCCCGGGCCCCACACGCTATCATCATCCAGCACCACGTAGCAAACACCTGTGGAAGAGATTGATTATGTGCGGACAAAGCTGTAGTATGGTACGCTCAAGAATCTGTTGTGCTGCGATAGCAATTATCTCAGTCAGATTTTGATTTTCTTGGGAAAATCATATGTATTTCTCGACTGCGAGCTGCAACAGTGTGTCTTTTGTGAAACTGAAACGCAGATGAGGTCCACTAAATTAAATGTTTGTCAAAAAAAAAATTCCTGTACTGCCGAGAATGCCGATGATGACGCTGAGGAGCACGACAAATTTCGGCGGCGAGCAAAGGGTTTGTCTACGCACTCGTCGACGCACGGTCAGCAAGATCCGAGCGAAAGCCTCCCCCGCGAAGCCGGTGAGCAGGCCCATGAGCATGGAGTGGAACCACATGCGGCCGAAATGCACTTCCTCCCCGTCCCCGCCGGACGAGGGCAGCAGCAAGTAGGGGTGCGCCGGGTCGATGTGCATCAGTTTGTTGAAGAACCCCACCTTGGCCTCCGCGTTCAAATAGGTGGCCACGGACGCCGCGCCCCCAATCAGGCACACGGCCAGCTCAATCTTCCGTAGGGCCATCACCTCCTCGACGGCGTAGGTAATCCCCGCTAGCGGGGCGTCAAACGCAGTTGACAGGCCGCTCGCAATTCCCACCAGCACCCAGGTGGGCAAGTGCTCGTAGGTGGCAAACTTCGGGAAATTGACGGCCGCGAACCCGACGACCGAGCTCGTCACGCACGCGCACACGTGCAGAATCGGTGCTTCCATCCCGAGCCTGTAGCGTATGGGGTATGGTGATGAAGGGCAAGACTTTTGTGTAACAAGTTGCGGGAATTTATATTCTCAATTACCTATCTGAAACACGTAAACGATGAATCTACACTGATGCTTGCAGTAACTCTCCCATGCAGAAAAAAAAAACGAATACGGGTTTCCCATCCCTAAATAGAGCGACGAGACGGTGATCCGGTAGAAGGCGATGCGCAGCGCGATGGGCGACCCGATCGCCATGGCAATCCTGGCCGCGTCCGTGCCGGCCCCGCTGCACTCGGGAATGTAGTTGCGCACAAAGTAGGAGGTGAAGGCGACGGAGACCGCGCAGCCGAAGATCATGTGGAGGCACATGTACCATTTTCCCAGCCCGCCCGCCGCGTCGTCGACGGTCGTCGGGAGCCACTTCCGGTAGAACGCCTCCACCCAGTGCTCGATCGCGTCGAACAGCAGCGTCATGACGGAGCAGCACAGCCCGACGGCTAGCAGCAGAAAGAACACGAACAAGACAAACCGCACCCGGTCGTCGTCGGAAGCTTTTGCCTTGAGAAAGTCGAAGGTCTTGCTGTCGGTCTCCCGGCGCGCGGTCTTCTCGGCCTCGGCCTGCTGCCAGTTGTAGGCACGCTGCTGCTTCAGAAATTTGTCCTGCGCCGACACGCCGTCCCGCTTGCAGCAGGCCGCGAGCATGGCGAAGGGGTTGCGCGACTTCTTCTTCTCCTCTTCCTCCTCTTCCATCATGTCTTCGAGCCGCATGCCGCCCCGCACGAATTTGCCGCCCCCGCCCCCAGCGCCGCCAAAGGAGCCTCCGCCGCCCCCGAATCCGCCTGGGCCACCCCCGCTCTTCTGCAACAGCCCGCCACGGCCGCCCGGGGATTTCCCGAACGCGCCGCCGGGTGTCCCGGATAGGGGGGACAGCGACGGCGTGGACAGCCCTCCGTCATGCCGCCCGTCGTCGAGGTCCATGGTCCTCCGAGATGCAACTTCCTTGTTGTCCTGATGTGGTCCTTGGTGCTGCGACAGGTTCTTATTTACGCGGCGATCTCAGGTGGTCGACGTGCGTGGCTACTTATTCAGGGTCTTGTGCCGATTCAGCAAACGGGCGACGCCGACCGCTGCAAAGATGAAACCACAGTGACAACGACAGAAGCTTCGAATTGCGCATGACGCCCGCACCCCACCGACTGTGCAAGGCGCACGGAGCGATTCGTAAGGTTACTCTCTAACATAGCTTTTCTGAAATGAAATAATTGGGGTATAATTCATGTACGGATGTATTGTAGAAAAATTGTAAAATTGTGGCACGAATAGATCATCGAGGATGTATGACTATTGAAGGGTTGTAATGTAAATAAGGGGTCAATGAGGTCCTGGGTCGGTTTGTCAAAATCAAATTGATATGGACTACTGCCGCAAAATCCGACAAGGCCGATAACTGAGAAGTACAGGTGCACGAGGAAGTAGAACGAGAGCCGACTTTGTGAACGAGTGGACGTTTTTATTGGACGTTAGCACCGATAGCTCCGCTTCTTTTACAGCGAATCTTTCTGAGTATGCACGATGAGACAGGTTCGACGAAATTACCGCATATAGTTCAACCGATTATGTTTTTTTTTCTTTAGGTGACAGAAGGCGTGTCAAGGACCGATATACGTCAACGTCGAGATGAATTTCCAAAATTTGACATTGACGCATGTTGGCTGGTACTGGTCAAGTCAAAAAAACACTTGCGGGCTTTGAAACCAGACTGCATATTTCATCAAATCGCATGCAGCCTTCTAGAAGATCTACAAAATCTACTTCGATGTTGCAGCTTGTCTGACTGTATTCTCAACGTCCTCTAACATCACTACTACACAAGGTTTGCTTACCATATGCCTTCTGATATTCTCGGAATTTCAATACGGACGAGGTCGCATCAGGAAAAAAAAACTCTCCTGTTCATAGTAGTTTGCCGCCGCTTTTCAAATCCTCCTTGTGGTAGAGAAATGCGGCCGTGAAGAAGAGCAGGGAAACCGGCACCAGGAGGCAGGTCGCGTAGTAGGGGCTCGCGCACCAAATGAAGCGCTCGTAGTCATTGTGCTTGAAGTTGCGCACGGGCGCTAGGTCCTCCACGTGCAAGCGGTTGTAGCCGATTCGCGCGTAGTCGATCTTGAATTTAAACACTCCGTACACATCCGGCGACTTGAACGTCTTCGAGTAGGTGATGCTGCTCCCGTCTTTCGCCGGCGGATCGAGGAACATCCGCAGATAGGGGTCGAGCATCACAAACTCCAGCTGGATATCGCTGCGCCGAAACGGGCGCCAGGTGCCTGGTGTCAGAAAGATTCTTTCAGATTTTAGGCCACGACTTACGAAGAAAATCATCATCTCACCGCAAGAGTAAAATGCAACGCAAGCGAAGGAATAGAGAGCCGACTCTCAGGCAATATTGCCTACAACCCAAATCTTCATTCGCAGCTTGTTTTTATTTTGGACCTTTCATCTTGCGTAGTTGTAAGTACATTGAGTAATTCATGATGCGCAGTTGTGAAGAACGAAACGAGTCGTATACCGTCCCGGTACTCCTCAATGTCGATGTTGAAAGTGATTTCGTCCAGCACTCGATACATGTACGGCTGCACGTTTTCGCCAACCTTGTGGCTGTGCAAGTTTCCCATGCGCAGCACGCCCCGCTCACGAAACGTCCACTTTACCAACTCCCGGCAAAAATTCGCGTTCTCCTCGCTGTCGTCAGCACACAGGGAATCGGAACCCGCAAACACTACGCGAGCCTGTTTGCAGGAGTCGATAGTTTATACATGGCACATACACGACGCACTGCGGCTCAAAGACGTCTAGAAGGTTCCGTTCTACTTCAACATCGATTTTTGCGCATCAAGACTACGACTCGACATCATCGCCCGACAGCATCTTTTTTTGCCCGCAATAGAAATCAATAGATCGTCGCACTAGTATTGTAAATACGGAATTCCTAGCTTGCATCGCGGACACGAGGGACACGGCCTCCCCGACAACGATCGGCTCTTTCTTGCCCCCGGCGTCGGGCGTAACAAATGCGGAGCCGCTTCCGGAGACGATGTTGAAGGTCAACTGGGAGGAGGCCACGGAATGGCTCAGCCCCTCGAAGGAAACCGTGTCCTCTGTCAAATAGGGTGTTGCAATGCATTTGCGAAAAGTACAGGTTCACACTCAAACAAGCAGTACTTCTGCTTTGTACAGGGTACGAACAGACTTCGTGATTTAGTTACAAGTCGTCGCCCGGAAAAAACGAATTACACTGGAAGAATGGATCTCATGTACCTCCCGCCTGCAACTGCGGATTTCCGTCGGCGTCAAACTGTCCAACCACCGCGCTCGCCTCGGGGCGGATGCGACCCTGAATGGTGTTGCCGCTCTCTGAGAAAAAGTCCCACACCGCAGTGCTGCCCTATCAAATGTAAAAGTGTCTGGGTCTGGAAGAATGCAAGTTTGTCATGCTTGTCTGGCATGACTCGAGAATCTGTGTTGCATAGGCACGAAAGAGCCCTCTTAACTTTCATGCGAAAAGGCAGTTTGCCATGCGGAATACGTAAGACATGGCAGCCGCAAAATTTGTCATGCATAGCTGCGTATTGTGGCGCGTCTATCATTCAGTTTGAGCATTACAAGTTTCCAGACCCAGACATATTTGCAATCCATATGCCCTTGTGGAAGTCGACGCCGCACTCGTTCGCGAACTTTCGCATGTCCGGACTGGGTATCAAATGCAAAAATGTCTGGGTCTGGAAACTTGTGATGCTGGTTGGCGTCTCATGAGGCGGCCACAAGTACTGGCTCAGCATGACAAGTTTCTGAGCTTCGGGGTATTGCCTATTCTGCATGACAAACTGCGTTTCTGCATGACAAAAAAACGGGGCTCTTGGGTAACGTGCATGACAGACTTTGGGGTCATGCTGGCAGAGCATGACAGACCTTCCATTCTTCCAGACCCAGACATTTTTACAATCCATACTGGGCTTGCTGCCGAAAAACAACACGTTGCCGCCAGCGTCTATAAATTTCAGCATCTCTGTGACCGACAAATTTGCCGTCGGGTTCGCCTTGCCTCTCTGCTGCCCCTGGATCTCCAGTTCCTTTTGCGTGGACCGGTAGCCGGGCTGGATTAGTATAATGAAATATTTTTTTGCTTTCGATTGTTCACCATCAATGCTAGTCCCCTTCATCGTGACACATAGTACACTGGCGGATTTCGTTTTGGAAAAGAACGACTAGAAGAACCCGTTCAATCAAGAAAGCGATGTACTACAATCACTTTACCGGCTTCACCGCGCTGCTGGGGAACGACGCGGTTCCTGGTATCAGCAGAACGTGCTCGTAAATGCGCTCCCCGTATGCGAAAAGCGGCGTGTTCTTCATGTTGAGCGGAGCATACGCGATCTTGTGATTGCGGTCCAGCAGCTCTGTGAGGAGCAAGGAGTACTGGCCCCTCGCTGCATCTGGATCCTCGGCGAGCACCAGGGTGCGCGGCTCGCTGTACACTGGCGGCAGCTCCTTGAAAAAAACATGCTTGTCGACCACTGCGCTGACACGACCACATATTGACGCGACTGCCAACAAGTTCCTCACGTGCCGCTTTAAAACGGCAGGTCTGCGATCCGATTTCCTTGTCAAGGAATATCGACACCTTCGTATGTCGTGGGACCCGCCCGTGGTAGAGGAAGTCGACGCCGACTCCAGCAACGGGATCGGCAACATCTTCTTTCCAAGTGTGGCGCTGGTGGGAAACGTACTTCACATGTACACTTTTTACTTAGTTGTAAGGGCAGAGTGATCAATTTTTTTGAAATGGCCAGTTGAACATTCGCCAAAAGATATCAAGAGGAAATTTCAACGGCACACCAGGCTGTCGGAAAGCAACGATGGGCGGTAAAAGATCATGATATTTGTTGTCGTGATCAAGCTGCACAAAGATCCAAATTCCAAACACATAGGCATCGTCAACGTGTTTGCAAAAAAATTGGAAATAGAAAACAAGAAAAATCGGATCGTACCGAAGCAGGATCTGAAGCTGATCTGTCACGCACGTGAAACAAACAGACTCGGCAGAAAAGACGATATTGGGGGCATATTGAAAAAAGCCGCACGAAAACAACACGCGCCAGAAGATCGCGCGCCGCAGTGAAGATCGAAAATAAATCAATCAATACCAGAAAAGGCACCAGGCGCCCGCAGTGCTCGCTAGTGAATTCTCGATGGTAAAAACAATAGCCATCAGAAGCTGCAACCAACGATAACAAGTGTGCACTCTTTATATCTTTATTTCACTCAACCCTCTTGCAGACCGGGCCTCGCGAGTTTTGCGCAACCAATTGCCTTGGTAGCGTGCAATCCATTCGTCCCGGAGCTTGTAGAAGTCAAGCTGCTTGGTGGCGTCTAGGTACTTCAGCCGCTTGCGGTGCAGCCAGCGACTGGTACTCGTCAAATACGGCGACCAGTGGCGATGCATTTCGGGCCCGCACCGCCCCTCAAACAGAGCTAGTCGCATGTCCCAGGTGAGTGTCGTGGGCACTTTGCCGACCACGTAGACCTTCTGAAAAAATTCTTCCAGGGACATTTCGCGCACGCCGACGAGAATGTGGTTCCGGGGGTGGCGGCAGATCCCCACCTTGTTCATGGCCTTGTACTTTATGCTTTTCACGTACCGCCCGCGCAAGCACTGGAAGGTTTGCACCACCAGCCGCGCGGGGTCCTTGCCGTGGAAAACCGTCAGGTTCTCGCGCGCGTTCCGCAGACACTCAATGATCGGCTCGGCGTGCGGGCGGCCCATGGATTCCAGGAAATCAATGCCATCCTGCAGGTTCCGGTTGGTCACCAGCCGCCCGTAGTCCTGCAGCCGCTTCAGACTCACCCGAATCTGCCGCTGGCGGAACCGGTAAATGTAGCTCCCCTTCTCGCTGTTAACCACCTGCTCGCGTTGCTTCGCCTTGTCCATGTACCGCGGTTGCAGGTTGCGCGCATTCTTCGACTGCCGCTTCCGCGCATACACCTGCTTTCTCCGTCCGTACCCCCAGTCCTTTCGCGGAAAGTAGGAGAAGTTGCGACTTTGTGGTCGAAAGACCGTGGACGTCGCGCTGAACCTGTTGCGAATTGTTGAGCAAGTAGAAGGACTGCCGAAGCTCGACGTCGCCGTGCACAAAAATCCGGGAACCTGCACCTGCTGGTGACCCTGACCTGCATGATTACTGCTCTTGTGGGCGGTCACTACTGCTCGACCAATACACAATATTTTTTCGTGTAAAGTGCCACTGCCAGCGCCAGTTCTGCTTTCAGCAGTAGACGCAGAGGAAGATAAAAAGAGACGCGTCTGCAGCTGTAGCATACAAACCTTTCGCGCTTGACGACGGATCGCCTGTATCGGTTCGCTGCTCGCGAATTTCTTGGCCACGGACATGCCCACCAACATAATACCTTTCGATGTCTTTCTGTCCAAGCGACCAACTAGTTTTCTGATACTCGTCATGGATCGACGTACTTGATCATCCAAGCAGAAGAATTTACGCCGGGTAAGTTAGGTCACAGCAAGAACGTATAATTCGCTTTTTTTCCTCCAAAAAGGAAAAAGTCATTGAGAACCAAAATAAACGGCCAGTGAGAAAAAAACACGGCGCAACATCAAACAAACGAGTATCCGGCTTTGATGAGGCAACTCTCTGTCCCCCGGAACAAAACTGTGTGTCGCTTTTGCGAAATTTTGTTGCTCGAATTGCTGTTTTGCAACAGTCGGCACCTTGGCATTTTGTCGTTCAATTCGATTGTGCTAAAAAGTGAAGGTTCGATTATGCAGATCGTTTGTCTCCTTCTAGATTGTTCGCTTTCGCATTTAACATCCCTTATCTTAAATGCAGTTTTATACAAAGAAGTCGAATTAGTGCTGTCGTGGTATCTCGATACAGTAAAGTAGGTGCCTTTTACACGACAAGAGGCACAGCTAGCTCTTTAATATCACTCCGCTTTCGAAGCTAGCTTATCGGAGTGTGAAAATTGAATCATTCAAGAATTATATCGCTGTAGTTTGTTTTCTATGCTCTTCTGCCTGTCAGACTTTCAACAGCGTTACGTCGAGTAGAACTACAAAGACAAGGTAATTTAGAGTTGTGATGGCCCGTCCCGCCGGAGCCCCCGTCCGGCTGACCGGCTTCATCCGGTCTCGTCACGAGCAAGGAATCAATACATGCACATTCTCTGGATGTCACCCGTCTACTGTGGGTGATTCTTCACAGCGGGGGTGCGGTGACGGACGAGCATGAGCTTTTTTATTTTGCTTCGCGACAACGAAATTATTCCAGTTTGTTCGTGCAGCGCAGATAGTACCATCGTCCCTGTCTAAGCCGCTTAAGCAAGAGCTTGACGAGGATCATGGTCGTCGTGGCAAAATAAATACCCAACTCGACATGTGAAAGAGCAGAGGACCAGACTTGAATTGTACAGTGCTCGCCTGATCCAGTGCCTTCGCAAGACAGGCTGAGCTGCAACGATTGAAAGGGAAAGGGTAGTTTCTTCAAGAATATCTGGGGGGCGGTACTACATCAGAGTCTTGAGCAAAAGAAAGGGAAACGCAAACGAACGGTGCCAGCAAGTAACATTCACATGAGAAATTTACTCTTTGCTGCTCCTACTCTGTTTCGTTTGCAAAATCGCTGCCAAGATGTATTTTGATGATGTGTATACTTGTATCTACAGGGTTTTGTATCAATATGACTTCAGTGGTGTCGCTGTTCTTCCCGGTCGTGTAGTCCTGCTCGTCCTATAGTTTTAAAAACTTTCTAAAACACGATTTCGTCCAGATGAGTCCTCTGTTATTTGCGTTCACGACTACATTTCCTCGTTGTACACCGGGTTGCTCTCCCCCTTGACCGGTTTCTTGTTGCGTATGCCCACGAAGAGCTTTGGGCGAAACCGGTTGTTGCGCGTGCTGTTGTCGTCGAAGTTGTAGCCCGGTCCCACGGGGACGTCGCGATCCTCCCGAATCACGAAGTACTTGCGGCATTGCGAGGAAAAATCACCCCTCCCCATATCGAAAGAGACATCTGTGATGCTGGATTGGCGTACACAAATTATAGCCTTGTATTGCTAGAAGGCCAAGAAGCGCAGTCTTGGCCTGGACTGCAGGAAGTTTGTCATGCTGTTTCCCACTTCCAGTTGCCTCCTGGCATGCTGAAGATGAAAGGCTTTCCCACGCCAGCCAGCACTACAGTCCGCATCTTTTGCCTTCTAGCATGACAACATGATTTGTGGTCACAAATCACGCTACACAAATCTCCGTTTTAGTATGGCGAGGGGGGATTTTTCATTAAGATATGCGGACCGCGAGCATAAGTTCGTGGTACGACACCTCGATCGAGTGCTGCTCCGGCATATCAAATGCAAAAATGTCTGGGTCTGGAAGATTGCCAGGTTTGTCATGCACATTTCGCATGACTCCTGATGTCTGTGATGCATGCCCTAGCGTCACAGATTTTGTGAGGGCTTCCTGATGCCTATACCGCATGACAAATGCTCTTTCCGTGTAGCAAAACTTGGACTCTCTTTGCTGCTCATGCAATACAGATTTTTTTAGAATCCAAAATCAGCATGACAAGTTGCATTCTTCCAGAGCCAGACACTTTTACATTTGATACGGCGTCTCCGCGAAGTGCCACAACAGCGGCCCCAGGTTCGCCCACACGCCGCCGGACCGCAGCATCTTCGCGATGGTGCGAATGTAGAGAAAGATGTTGCGCGCGGTGTCCACGAAGTAGCAGGTCAGGACCGCGTCCCACTGTCCCACCTGCGACTCGCGCCCGTAAATCTCAGTGAAGTCCCCGGACGCCATCCCGAAGCCGACCACGGGTAGGGTGCGCTTCGGGTTGGTCAGTTCCCGGAGCACTGACACATCCGGAATCCGGATGCCTTTCAGCCGACCCCTGGTAAAAGAACGTATGGCAATGGATTTAAAGAGGCCCTTTAGACACTGCTACATGCACTTCCACTTCTATGATCTATGGCGCTACTATACCTACAATACATGACGACCAGATAATTATACACGGATAGGAGGGAGCTCCGTGAGTACACTGCGTGCGACCTTAATCGAAAAAAAACTACTCTATGTTATATTTATTTACTCGTCCGTGATCTTTTCCTTGTATGACGTCGCCCATGGGTATATGGTGTACATATTCGGTTCGTCGCAGCAATTTAGGATGAAGTCGCCCATCATCATCATGTGCCAAGAAAACTCGTTTCCCTCACCACAATACCCTCGGTTCACAACCTGCAGCGATTCATTGTGATTCTTGATAATGATCAGCAGAGAGCGGCTGAGTGGTATAATTCTCAAAAATGTGCGACATGATACTGCATGCTGCATGACATTCAACATGATGAGAACAGAAAATTATTTGCTACCTCAAACAAAAGCCTGGCGAGCCCGCATCCAGGAACGCTGACGCGGTAGTGGTCGCGTGGATCCGCCACCCCGCTCTTCATCTCTTCGGTAAGCGGTAAATATTTCTCCAGTGCGTCAAGCAACGGTTTGTAGGCCAGGTCGCGCTCAGAAATCACCATGAAAACACTCAACCTCAATACAAAACACGTTGTACCGCTGCGAGAGAGTCATAGATAAAAAAAGATGGTGATACAAAAACATACGGTATACTTACAAAGCACAACGAAATGCAACTGGCCGCAGCCTATTGAACTTTACTTCCGCAGTAAAGCTGCTAGGCGCACATTTCACTGTCTTGGTCGAATGTTTTCAATTAGGTATCTTCTTTGCCTTCTTCTGACCAGTCCCTGACCAACTGCTTCAGGGTCGCTCCAGTCTGTATTGCGTTCATTATTTTCGTCCCAAAAATTTCGTACATGTAGAATCGCTTCCGCACATCCTCAAAAGATATCGGCTAAACATATTGAGCAGACGAAAAATCCGCGCAAACTTATGCAATCAAAATCCTGCGCAAATTTGCAAAAATGAAACTCCAAAGTTCCGATAGAAGTAGTACCCGGCCGTCGTTGTCTTGGTCGACCTTGAACGAGTTTGGTACTCCGGAGGTGATGAACCTGGCACTGTCCAGGTCTTCCTGCAGTTCGAGCATGGTCCGAATCACGCACCAATTCGCAGCCACAGCGCCCCTCTCGCGGTTCGTCAGGTCGTCAAAACGCTTTTTCATGGCGTCCGCGTCCACGGAAGCGCCAAAGAGGGAGCCCTCCTCGAGCTCCGCCGGTGGAATTGAATTTATTTTGTTGGCCCCACAACTGGCATTGCCGTCGCTCTTGACGCTTGCAGAAGTTCCAGTGGACGAAGGAGCCCGCGCATCGACTGTTGACGTTGGTGGCGTATACTGAATCATCTTGAGCAAACGCGAGCGCTGACGTTGGCGGTCCATGATCTCTTCCGTGCGCGCACTGAAGTAGTTCAGGTAGCTGTAGGCGATTCCTAAGTAGTGAATCCTCTCTGACTATGACAGTGCACAACATCCCCTCCCCCTCATTTGTATAGCATGAACGGCAATACAAGTGCCAGCAAGAATGCAGGTTTTGCATGACAACTTTGCGGAGGAGTGTAGTGCTATTTGGGCTTCCAGAACTTGTCATGCAAAACGTGCCAGGAGGCACAGGATGAGCGTGAGCGTGAGTTGGGAATTTTGCATTACAAATGAGGGGGAGGGGGAGTTGTGCACTATCATACTGACACGTCGCCGAAGCTGCTGTACTTCCAAAAGTCCTCCGTGGGGTACTCCGGAAGGTAGCGGGGCCACTTTTTCCCGTGCTTGCCGCCCGCTCCCTTCGTGGACCCGGTGTTACCCGTGGCCAACACGCCACCCTGGCCGATCGGGGGCACAAAGTTCGCATTCGCGACGGCCGTGCTGCTGGGCGGCTGGGGTTTATTTGGCGCCGGCGAGGCCGAGCTGCTGTTCGAAGAGGACGCGGAAGGGGAGAAGGAGGTCTTTCCGTAGGCCCCCTGCTTCCCAAGATGTTGGTCGTGCTTGCTCGAGGCATTATGCGCCCCGCCCGCCGGACCCTTCATGTTGTGTCCGTTCTTGCCGCCGTGCGAAGAAAAAGCTGCTGCACCTCCTCCGAATCCGCCCTGCTTTCCGCCTTTGTGGTGCTTTCCCGAAGAAGAGGCTTTGGATGCGCTCGTGGTCTTGCCGCTGTTTTTCAGCCCGGCCGCTAGTGCGGCAGCGTTCGCTGCTGCAGCTCCACCCGCGAAAAGCCCCGGCGATGGGACCAAGGACCCGCTCGGCGGTGGAGCAAAGCCGGTGGCGTAAAACGTAGCCGGGTCGAGGTGCTCCGCAGCCGCAAGTTGCGCGGCCTGGTGCTGGGAAGATGCAGCACGCAGAAAGCTACCGTACAGCGCTGCCTGCTTCAGGTGGTACGCTGCCGCAGCCGCGGAAGCGACGGACTCAGCGGAGGTTGAAGATGATTCGGGAGGTGGAAGATATCCCGCACTGTACTCCTCTTCCATATACTTGTAGTCGGAACAAGGTCCCGCCGGCGACGCTTCTAACGCCGCCGTTAAGCTCGGCACCAAATCCCCCGCAGGGCTGTGGCTCAACGTGGGATGGAACTCCTTGATTTGCGAAGGGTCCGTAACTTTGCTGAAGCTGCCGGAGGAAGTGGCTGCGCTCCCGCTCGCGCTTGCTGACGAGGAGGAGGACGATCCCGCAGAAGAAGTCCCAACGGAAATAAGCGAAATCCTGCTTGCAGCAGAACCTTGTAGTGCTGCAGAAGTGGTCTCCCCTTTAATATTTTCGCTAGTCCGCGCAGAAGTGCTGGTGTCTGTTACTCCCAGCTCTACTCCCCCGTGATCCGCCCAAATCGGTTGCGAATCTTCCGGTTCGAAGCCCGGCGGGACCGACACCGTGGACGAAAGTTGCTGGTAGTACGCGGCGTGCTGTTGCTGTTCCGCTGCAGCAGCTCCTGTTGAGTTGTACAGGTAGGAGGAGTAATCTGGGTACCCCACCGCACCGGCCGCGGCCACTGCCTGTTCCGCCTGGTGTTGCAGGAGTTCCGGCGACGCGCTGTACAACGAGTGCTCACCAGCCTGTTGCTCTACTCCGTATTGCTCGGCCGCCGCGTGATTGTACTGCTGAATTTGCAGCTCCGCCAGCAGTTCTGCGTGGCTCTGCGCCTGCCACGAGCCCACGCTCGTCCCACTCGACCCACTATCCGGAATGTACGAAGACGTTGGCCCAGCAGCACCGAGGTAGGAACCGCTGATGTGCGCCGGCTGGTGATAATTATACCCACCGGCGGCCCAGGCCGTGGACCCGCTGTGCTGCTGCTGCGCGCTGGCGAGGTGGTAAGCCTGCTGGTAGCTACTTGCCGCCGCCCCGCCTTTGCCGGTCTTCCCGTAAGTACTACTCCCGCCCTTGGACGCGCTCTTCGACCCTGGGTATGAGAAGGAGGAATACATGATCTGCGGCACGGCCTAGGAGAAGAACGACAAATGCCGGTCGTGCACAGTGGCTGTTCTATCTAGGCCCAGGTCTACTTTTACAAATTAGGGCTCCTGGCCGGCTTGTCCCCGCTGACTCTCCCGAAGTAGAGCAGCTGCAAAATCTTTCACTAAACAAATCCGGAATAGGTTGTATTTTTCGGTGGGATTTTCGACGAGTGCTGACGAGTCCCCATTCTTCTAGCGCTAGGGTGTCAGACATTAGCGCGTAGTTCACCAGCACAGCGACAGTGGTTCCTACAAGAACATCATATTACGGCAAAGAGTTCTAATCTCGATACAAAAAATGCTCCTGAAGGATTAGACATCTACTTCGTTCGATTCGGCCTGTTCGATGAAAGAAATGACAAACAAAAACTAAAACATAACAGTAGCGTATTAAAAATGATGAGCGAGTAGGCGTTTTGAAGGGAATAGACTATGTCGACCGCGTACGTCCTTTTGTTAGAAGATTCTATGAATTTCGCTTGAAATTGTCCGCGCCACGCAGATCTTCAAGGACACTGCTCTAGCTGAAGGGCAACGGCGGCAGATCGAGTATGTGCCATTACACCTTCCTAGTAAATTGTGTAATTCGTATCGTACAAGAGTGACAAATATCAGTATTTATATTTCGTTTACGTGCTGTTTCTGTTCGTAAAACCGTGTAACATCATCATGGTAATCGTGAAATAGAAATTCCTGCGCCTGCCAAGACTTAATAAAGAATTTCATTTTTCTTTTTCTTTCGTGTGCCGCCTCCAAACGATCACCACGGTGTCCAAAGCCACACGCAAAAAGGGAACGGAGGCGCGCCGCTGCTTGTAGATTTGGCCACCACAGAAACAATTGTTTGATCCACGCTGCGCGCACGCTGCACAAACGGAACGCATCTGTGACTGATTGACGTTCTCAACAGCGGAGCTCCGTTTATAAAACTTTTTCGTTTTTCGGGAACAGCATTCCAAGCATTCTCTGCGCGTTCGAACGAGCAGCCGACCACTACGGGGTCAGGCAGCGACTTGAATTTCGTTCTTTTTTTTACGGTCTTTGCGTTTCTTTTTTTTGCGTTGAAAATCGATCACAGTGAGCGTTTCGCTTCGCCATGGCAAGCGAATTCGCTCAGGTGAAATACTTCGAAGCAGCAAACACGACGCGCGAAAGGAAAGAGAAAAACCGCAATAAATGCAGCTTCAAATTCAGTATGTACTTGTTTCGGGGGACACTGTACTATTATTTTCAGAGGATAGAAGTACAAATGTCCATCACAAGTTTTTCAACTCTTCGATGGGTACGTCCTTCTGCTTTTTGTCCACGTCCTCCTCGCGCAGGTCCTTAATCCTGACCAAGCCGTTTTGGTACTCGTCCGGAGCCACAAGCGCGACGTACCGCGCCCCAATGCGGTCGGCGTAGTTGAACGCATTCGCGATCTTTTTCGCGACCTGCTGGTAGAACACCACGGTTTTGTCGGTTTTTCGCAGCTCACGGGCCACCTTCATCGCGGGACCTAGCATGTCCTTGTTGAAGGCGCAGACCTGTTTGTAGTGATAAAATGAATGACGTGTGCGCTTCTTAAGGTGAGCGGTAAAAGCCTCCCACATACTGTAGTGCAATTCTCAGAAGGTAAATGCTTCTGCAGAAGTGGTTAGACCACTTCTGCACCCCCAGTGACGTTTCACCGCCCGTTTTAGCAGTGCCCGGCCACCGGGGGGGAGTTTGCCATTGGTAGTGATAAAACGAAAAATTTTAGTACTAGATGCGTGGATTTCATCACCACTTCGGAACTTTGACTCGCAATAAATCTTGCTTTCGCTTATTTCCCTGCAGTGTCATCGCAAATCGTTCCTCCCGCATGCAAAAAATGAAGCTCCTGAGCCTGAACTACACAAAATGCGTAAGGGGCATGACCAACCCAAAAAACCCTACCAAGTAGTCGGCGTTCTGCTTAAATTCCGGCAGCAGCTTTTTCTCCTTCAAAAGCTCCATGATCACGCAGTCCCCAAAGCCGAAACCGCACATGGAGATCGGCTTACTCGCCCCGTACAGGGAAAGCAGCTTGTCGTACCTGCCGCCGCCGCAGATTGCGCGGAACTCCCCCTTGCGGTCGTTGGCTTCGAAAACGATACCCGTGTAATACGCCAGACCCCGGACAACAGAAGCGTCGAATACCAGCCTGTTGTAGGGGTGATTCGATGGAACAATCTAAAATTATACTTTTCATCAGCAACGTCAATTTTCGTTTCTCACGACGGCTCACTTGTCTTTCTTCAAGTTCAATGTTCAAAAAACTATAGAATGTTGACAAAGTTTTAAACATGCAACTCTGCTGCTATTTTGCCGCATCATCCTTAAGACACTATACCAGTCCCCGTAGCCGTAGTCCTTCGCGAGATCGAAGAGCTGCTGCAGTTCTTGTACTTCCTCACTGTCCGTTGCCTCGGCGACTTCCGCGAACTTCTGCAGGGTCTCCGCGGCCGTTGCGTCCACGATCTTGTTACATGTGTCCATGGGAAGATTCAGCTGTTCGTTCAGCTGCTTCTTGCACTCCTCCGCGCCAATTTTGTCCTGCTTGTCGATAATCACCGTGGCCGCGGCGAACTGCTCGTCCGACACGCCGGCCTTGGCCAGGACGAAACCCAAAACCTTCCGGCTGTTCACCTTGATCTTGATGTCGGCGGCGGTGAGACCAACAGACTCAAAGAAATCCACCACGGACGCGAGCAGCTCGGCTTCAGAGGTAATATTGTCCACGCCGATCATCTGTTTATTGTTCAGTGAAGGGATTCAAAAACTCAAAGGCGTTTCGATTCATTCTGATGACCCAGATTACGGCTGTTAGGATTAAATAACCGAAGTGTGTATTAAGCATTTAGTACCTTTGGACAAAGTTGTCTCTACGAGGACTCTTGATGTTCTAGCCATGACAACTACTATGTTAGCATAAAATGCAGAAGTCTTATACGTCCATGTTCCACTGGTAGTGTTCTCTTTTCCTGCCCCTCTGCGTGGTTTCAAAGCGCCAGCACTGGGGGATGCTGTACCACTTGAGCGGCAGCATGGTGGCCATCTGGCCCGTCTCCTCGCGCATCAGGTTGAGCACCATCCGGGCCAAACTGGGCGTCATCTCGGGTCGCAGGGTCACGCTCGCGCCGTCCTTGTCGATGAAATTGTACATCTGCTCCGTGATCTCCTCCCCGGCTTTTCTTTCGTACAGTGCAACGTTCTCCAGGACCGGTGCGTCGTATTTCTCAAAACCAAACCGTCTCGCGGTGCCAGAAAACTTGTCGAACAACCTGGGAAATGTGGTTATACATATTGACGATCACATCCTTTCACCAAAACCAGCAAAGCAAAACTAACTTCTGCATCTGATCAAGCAGACGATGACTTGCGTCAGCTGCAGTGCGTTGTTCGACTAAAGTCAGTACTACAAGTATTTTTATGTTCATTCAATATTACGTCAATACCATTGTTCTGCTCTCATTTCTTCGGGGAAAAAGTCTCTTGTGCCATGCGGGGGTGCGAGGTCGATCATTTGTTTTTTCTCGTTTTTCTTTCCCTTTTTCTTGGCGCCCGCTTCACCCGACCCCGTTGCGGGTTTGTTGACCGGCGCGGCGGCGGCCGCGGTTCCGTTGCTCACTCCGTTCTCCGGCATGGCGACAGCTAGTCCAATTTGACGCAGGTAATCCACGTTCAGACGCAGCGCGTTGCTCATGCTACGACGTACTGCAGGACGACGGCGGATCAAAAAGCTAGTCAAGCGAATGGCTGAATAAGGAAGTCGTATAGGTTAGTACTTTGGGGACAAAAATCTGTGACGAAAAGAGAGACGCGTCGTAAAGTGATAGTATACGAGGTGTGGGTTTGAAAATCGGGTGAAGCTAAAAATGGAGAGTACAGGTCTAAGAGAAAAGTGTCGCTAGTACTTATGTGGTCTGTGTTGAATGTAAGAGCAAAATACAGAGCCGTATGAAAACAATTGACTGACCCTCGGAGAGACGACCGATGGAACGAACTTTCGTCTTCAAGCAGAACTTTTCTGAACAGGTGAAATAAAGGTAAAATCTGATCCGCATTTGTTCTTGATCGCGCATTTTTATCAGCATAAAACCCTCGTCGTTGATCTCACCGTATAATGTGGGTACGACACGAAATCGTGGATCAAAAGTGATTTGAGCGATGTTCAAGTAGGATCATCCGAGAGCGCTGCTGCACGGCCGAGAGATCTTCGAAGTTCGACGGGTAGTAGTGAATTATAGATAGATCGTCTTGGAGCCAATCCTTTTTTGAGCAGCTTCTGTAACGGCGAGAAGATATGCTCTCTGAAACTGAAAGATGCAACATCACCTCGTCCATCACAAACTCTTGTCGAGTTTTTGCAAATGTCGACGTTGCGATGTGGAAAGCGCATGGGGCTTCTTGGAAGCCGCAAAGAAATGCTTCTTCTTCTCTTTCTCAACATTGGTGTTCATTCTTATGTCAGTTCGACCTATAATAAAGTCGTTATCTTTTCTTTTTCGATGTGGTGCCACCCGTGTTTACGGTTTGTCTGGCGTTGCTCTCATTTGCGTTCTTTCCCCCTTCTTCCCCTTTGTTCTCTCCAGGCACTAATGGCGCGTTGGCCTTGCTCGTTTCTACAAATGCCTGCCATCGGATGAGTAGTCGGGTGACGCAGGACAAGACGAAGACCCAGGCGCAGATCATCTGCTGCTGATTCCAGGGCCACAGCGGCTCGGCCTGGCCGTCGTGGTTGTGGTCTCGCCAAATTTCTATTACAATGAAAAATGCCCCCGGCAAAAGTTTCTCATGCAAAGTTTCCAAATGAAAGATTTTCGTCTTGCATGAAAGGACTACGAGCATTCATTGCTGATGCAGAATTTAGGTGCGCAAGGTATCTTTTGCATAACAGATGCGGCTGCTGTTGTGCTCCTTTGCAACACAAATCTGAGCTATTCAGCATGGAGGATTTGTGATGCTGATATGTGCAAGACGGGGAGTGTTTCCATTGGAAAGGTTCGCAATACAAATGCTGCCAAGTTCTGGGGTGGGGGCATTTTTCATTGTAATAATTTCCGTGATAAACCTCGTGACGCTGGTCAGGAGGAACATCAGCGTCGTTTGGTCCCTATGAATTGCAAAAATGTCTGGGTCTGGAAGAAGACAAACTTGTGATGCGCATTTCACAACACATAAAAATCTCTCATGCATAGTTAGCAAAAGTTGCCCACTTTCTGTCACCAGAGTGCGGCATTTGTCATGCGGATTCGGCATTGCGGAAGCTTCTCGAGACGTGTGATGCTAGAGCTTCCATGCCAGACCTTCTGTGTCATGCAAAAACAGCATGAGTCTTCCAGACCCAGACACTTTTACATTTGATAGTCCCCCTTGAACCACAGCGCGACGTGCCGTCGCGTCCACAGGTAGTGGAAAACCAGCCCGGAAAGGATCATTTCGTAGATGGGAGTCGGGTGCACCGGCCTTTTCGTCGGCAGCCGACCGTGCGGGAAGCTCATCGCGAAGTAGTAGCTGCTGTGGGGGCCGTAGCAACCGTCGCCCGAGACAAAGCAGCCGATTTTTCCGATCGCGTGCCCGAGCGGGAGCAAGGGCGCGGACACGTCTAATACGCGGTGAACGATCTCAGTGGAGAAGGACTGTCGATGAGAATTTTCATGGTTCTGTGGACGAGACTTTGTGCCGGTTTTTTTTGATGTAATACTAGTCATGCACAATTGATAGATTATGCGTCAAGCAGATGAAGAACCCGCAGTTGACAAAATTCGCTAGTACCTTCACGTACGCAATAACGCAGGCAGCCCCCATGAGTGCTCCGCCTTGCCACACCAAGCCTGGGGCAAAAAACGCGGCGTCGTCTATGTGGGCATTCAAGATTACGTAGTGCACCTTTGCACCGAAAAGGCCCCCGACCGTCGCTGCAACCAAAAGCGGACCCGCGGCACATTCTATCTGAAATGGGTGATATGTTTGTGAAATCAATGATGACGTAGGGAACAAGGAACAATCAAAATTTCATCCGGTGTCGCACATCCGGAAAAATATAATTCTATACCTTATTCACTGAGAACTCCCGTTCTGCGAGTTCGTGGCACACCAGAAACGCCGCGGCCATGCAGATCCCGAAGCTCTGTATTGGTATTCCAAACACCGTGAACGCCACCGGACGGACCCAGTTGACCTCAAAGTTACTACTCGGGTGCAGGATGGAATCCGAGTGTTTTATCAGAAACGCGACCGAAAGGCAAGCGAGGAGTACCACGTCCACGCCGATGCTCTTTTGCAGATCCGCAGCCAGCAGCATGCCGTAGATAAGAAACAGACACGCCAAGGTGTAATACGCCTCGTCCGACCCCGGCGCGGACCATCCGAAGTAGCCGCAGCACTTGGCCACGAATATACCGAGAATCAACCCGGTTATCACCGTGCCGGTCCAGTCGTTCTGAAACAGGCGGACTCCGAAAAGATAAACCTTGCCGCGCGCCGTCTGTATTCGCATAGTATTCCCGGTGAGGTCGCTGTTTTTCTGCTCCTTCTCGCGCGCCCCACCGCCCGACGCCGCAGCGCCGGGCTTGTTCCCGGGCTGGAGTCGAACCATGTTTTTGAAACGTGTGTTTTTCGTATGGGGTGTTGGTGAGACGAATACAAAAGTTTAGAAATAAGAAAAAAATCGCAAGAATCGGGGGCAAGCGTATTTCACATTGTTCTTTCAATGTTTGTTAAATACCGCTAGTACAGACCAGAAGATTGCTGCAAAACTGATGAGGACACGACCAGAAGCTGAGGCACAACGAACTATCTACAAGTAAGTAGAAGTACGATACTGCCGAGACGACAAAAATACCTTTCAAGCAAACGACAGAAAGATCGCTTTTCAAGAATTTCAGTTCGCTTTGATCCGGGGCGCTCTTTGCAACCATATCATGTGCGGGTGGAAGAGGAACATCCTCGAAGCGTCCACTGACAAAAACTTATCGGCTGTACCACGTAGCGCGGCCTTCTGGTTACTCGCTTCTCCGGTAAAAGTCTTCGCACGCGGTTCGGATCAGTGGAGGGGTCCGAGTCTGAGTACCGTCTTCATCGATCAAAGGAGACGAAAAGATATTTCGGGTCGCGCGCGGAAAAGAAAGTTCGCTAAAAAGATGAGAAAAGAGTTCTCGAGTTCTCGTAGATAGGGTGAAACCAGCACGCCGCTGAAAAACTGTGCTAGCTCCAAACAAAGTAGGAAGTTCCGGAAATATTTTGCTCTGGACACGGATAGGGTAAGTTCTAGGTGGTCGAGAATCTATTTTACTGCTCATCTAAATAAACAGTCTACCTTTTACTGTACTGCATTTTTCGCGCTCGGTCTGAGAAACCAGGACCGTCAAAGTAAAGTTCGCCCAAATTGTCGTCAAAATTGATGATATTCCAATGATATCAAAGTATCATATAAAATTTGATAATTCCAAGAAAATTCATACTTGCATACTTGGTATTTCGGTTCAGGTGGGAAAACGAAAAGTCGCCGTTGAAGGATATTCTTATGCGAACAAAAGGTATAATCAATCTACTGGTTTACTACTTTCTGTTCTAGGAACGTAAAAAAACTTCATCTGCGGGGCACAAGGGGTGCAAAAGCGTTCGTCGAGAGATGTTCTCGCAGCTTCCGAAGATTCGAGGAAAATTTACTTGTCGCTTGCTGGATGAAGAAGAAGTCGTGTAAGAGTAAGTAGTCGCAATAATCAAAAGTTGCTGCGTAAGCCTGCTGAAGTTTGGACCCAAGAAGTCGGGTCTTTCCTCACTGCCGACTGGCCTGTCGGCTTGGTGGATTCGAAGTTTCGGACCGGAACATGTTGAGCATCCTTGCGGTAACCGCGAACCCGCCGACGATGTTGACGGAGGAGAAAAAGATCGCCAGCATCGCCGAAGCCACCTTTGCGGACAGCAGCGGGCCGCCGAGCTGCAGCATCCCGCCGATGACGATGATGCCGGAAATCGCGTTCGTGACGGAGATCAGGGGCGTGTGCAACGCCGGGGTAACGGAGGCGACGGTGAAGTTCCCGATCATCAGACTGAGCACGAAGTACCCCAGGTGCGTGATTTCCTCCGGCGGGATGTTGGTCCCCAACCCGACCGCGAGGAGGAAGCCAGTGCCGAGGAACATGGCCAGCTCCTCACTGTGCTCGCCGATCCAGTCCAACACCGTCATCAGCATGCCCGGCGGGAGGGTCTCGGCCGCATTGTTCATCTCCGCGTTGGCCAACTCGCTCGCATTGTTCATCACCGCCGCGGCCGCCTTCGGCTGGACCGGCTCGGGCTGCTTCGGCGGCGGGTACATCAAAGCGCCCTCGTAGACGACGACGGAGTCACGGATGACCTGGTCCTCCATATTCAACCTCTTCAATTGGTGGGTCGGGTCGCTGTTGCACAACACATCCAAGAAAGCGTAGAAGTTGCGCGCCAGAAAGTCGCTGGCCTGCGGCGCCATCTCCGAAGGGTAGTTGGTCTTGCCGATGATGGTCACACCATTCTCAGAAACAACCTCTTCGTCCTTCTGGGTCAGCTCGCAGTTACCACCTGGGGTTGGGGAACGAAAAGATTACAAGAGATTTTTACGCTCTTGAGATTTCTGCTGAAACAGAAGCACATGCTTGACAGCTTGTCACACACAACTATTTGTGAAAACGAGAGCCAGATGCTTCTATCCGGTTAGGAGAATTAATGAAAAAATGGAACGTCATCGTCCAGTCACATAATAGTAAGTACCGTTCAACGCAGCCAGGTCGACGATGACACTTCCCCGTTTCATCGACAGCACCATTTCCTCTGTCACCACCACTGGCGCCGCGCGGCCGGGGATCAAGGCGGTCGTGACCACAATGTCGCACTCCTTGCACATCTTGGCGTACAGCTGTTTCTGCCGTTCCTTAAACTCCTCCCCCATATCGCGCGCGTAGCCGCCAGCACCCTCGCCCTGGATCATGCCCTGCACCTCGACGAACTCCGCGCCCATGGACTCCACCTGCTCCTTCGCAGCGGATCGGACGTCGGAAGCGAACACCTTGGCGCCCAAGCCGTGCGCGGTGGCGATAGCGGACAACCCCGCGACGCCGGCACCCACGATGAACACCTTCGCCGGCGGGGTGTTCCCGCTCGCGGTCGTGGAGGGCTTCGCGAACTTCGGGAAGAACCGGAACGCGTCCAGCACCGCACGATAGCCGGCGATGTTGGCCATGGACGTGAGCACGTCGAGCGCCTGCGCCCGGGAAATCCGCGGAATCAACGCCATGTTGAACAGCGTCGGGCGCGTGGGGTTCGCCCGGGTCTGCTCGATGATGGACTCCTTGCCGTACATTCCCCAAATAGACACGCAAATTTGGGACTTCGACAACTTCTGCAGGTCCTCGGGGAGCGGCTCGGAAACCTGGGGATGATAAAACGCGAGACAAGAATCGCAACCCTAGTTCTTACATGAAGATAAAAAGGCGGGTGGAGATTTGTTCAACCAAAAATGAAAATCGCTAAATCAAAACACAAAACATAAGAAGATATGATCTCATACATCTGTACCTGCAGAACCACATTGGCCTGCTTGAACACCTCGTCGCGACTTTGGAGGACTTCCACTCCTTTTTCCACGTAACTGGAATTCGGGTAGTTGGACTGCTCGCCCGCACCGGACTCCATGACCAACTTGAAGCCCAGTTTCCGCAGCTTCGGGATCACGTTCGGGGTAACGCTGACGCGCTTTTCCTTGCCGTCCGCGGCGTTCTCCTTGAGAATGCCCAGGACCTTGTTGGGTTCCGGAAAGTTCTTTTCCTCGTCGCGGTTCAAAAACTCGAGCGTTTCCTCCTCGCTCTCCGGCTCCGGCTGCGTCTTGCTGCCCTGGTGGTTCTGCTTCTTCTCGTTGACCATGGTGACCAGCTGCTCCGTGCTGGCGCGGGCATCGCCAAACAGCATGCGCACGTTGTCCAGATAGAACAGCGGGTTTTCCACGCCGGAGTAGCCCGTGGCCATCGACCGCTTGAGCACGATGCAACGCGGGATTTTCCAAATCTCGATCGCCGGCATGCCGTAAATAGGGGAACTCGTGTCGGAAACGGTAGCTGGGTTAACCTGTGGTCGAGATGCAAATAAAATTGTTCATACATGATCGACCAGAATGTCAAAGAATCAAAACCACTAAAACGCGTTCTTGTAGCAAAAAAATACAATGTCATTCGCCCCGATCACGATCGCCACATCGTAACTGGTGATCACGTCGTTAATTTCGTCCATCTCGCGCACGATTTCGTAGGGCACGTTCGCCTCCGCGAGCAACACATTCATGTGTCCCGGCAACCGGCCAGCCACCGGGTGGATCGCGAAGTGCACCGTCTTCTTCATCGCACGGAGGGTAGAGACCAACTCTTGCAATTTCTGCTGCGCGCGCGCGACCGCGAGTCCGTACCCCGGCACGATGACGATGCGCTTCGCCTCACACAGCGCCTGCGCGCACGCGTCGTGCGACATTTCGCGGTGCTGGCCCTGCGGACCACCGGACCCGCTGGCGCCGCCCGAGGGCACACTGCTGCCGTCCGTGCCAAAGCCGCCGAGCAGGACGTTCGCGAGACTCCGATTGATCCCCTTGCACATAATGCTGGACAACAGCGCACCGGAGGAAGCGACGAGCGCACCCGTGATGGTGAGCAAGTCGTTTCGGAGCATGAAGCCCGCGGCGGACGTGGCAATACCGGAAAAGGAATTCAACAGGGAGACCACCACCGGCATGTCCGCCCCACCGACCGGCATCACCATGTTGACCCCCAAGCCCGCCCAGGCCAGCGCGTTCAACACCAGGTACGTCGTGTGGCCGCCGCCCTGGATGTACAGCAGGCCCATCAGCGCGGACGCGGCGAATGCCATCCCGTTCAACGTCCACCTCTGGTCCAAAATCACCGGTGCGCCGCTGATTGATCCGTGCAACTTGTATCAAATGTAAAAATGTCTGGGTCTGGAAGAATGCAACTTGTGATGCTACATTGAGATTCCAAAAAAATCTGTATTGCATGAGTACCAAAGGGAATGCAATTTTTGCTACGCTGAGAAGGCATTTGTCATGCGGAATAGGCATCAAGAAGCCTTCAAAAAATCTCTATTGCTAGGGTATATCCATCACAGACATCATGGCTCATGCAAAACGTGCATGACAAATCTCGCATTCTTCCAGACCCAGACATTTTTACATTTGATAGCTTGCCCGCCGCGACAACCGACCCGGTGAAGGTCAGGGCCCCGATGCCCACGCCCAGGTACTCTTCCAGCAGTTGCAAGCCGGTGATCGCGCCGCCGTCGAAGTGGTTTGCGAAGCCGACGAGCGCGGCCGCGAGGCCGACGAAGGAGTGGAAGCCCGCGACTAGCTGCGGCATCTCCTCCATGGCGACGGACTCCGCGACGGTGTAGCCCACGCCGCCCGCCGCGAGGAAGCAGGCGAGGAAGCGGCCGTAGTGCGCGCCGAATCCGGGACTGGCGAGGACGGAGAGGATCCCCATCGCGGTAGCCGCCATGCCCATGTAGTTGCCCTGCTTCGCGGTTTTCATGTTGTTCAAGCCGCGCAGGGAACCGATAAACCCGACGGAGGAGGCGAGGGAGAGTAGCCCGACGTGCGTCTGCAACTCGTGCCCGACCACCGTGGCGTCGAAATCCGTGGGCGAAAAGCCGGAGACCTTCATCGGCAACTGGTTGATGGCGGTCAACGCGGGCGCCGGCAGCGAACTGGCGAGCGATTTCACCGCGGTGCCGATGTAGGCCGCGAACACCGGGAGCAAGGAGGGGGTTAAGGTAAGGTTTTCTAATCGCATGCTCGCATTGGCGTCGCGTGATGCGATGGCGCTTGTTGTGCCGCCGTCGTCGTTGTTCTCTGCGGCAGAAGAGCGGGCGCATACCTATGGTATAGGGATCATTTTTATTGGTCTTCTGGTTTTACTGTTTTCATCTCAAACACGAACATGATGTTTTCTTCCAATTATTTCTTTCAGTCACTGCCCGAAAGCGACACGAACCGCCTGCTAAAAATGACATTCATAAAGTACGTACTTAAATGCAAAATCCTATACCGTTGTTCCCGCGGCAGCGACGGTGACGTACCGGGAGGATCTTTGTCCGATCTCCTCCTCGTCTTCACTTTCGGAGCCGCACTCATCATCTTCCAACAACGCCGTCCTGTACCGCACGTCCAACGACTCGCTGACGGTTGTGGACACGACGCTGTTCCGCCTGCTGCTGACGTGCAGCCGAACCCGGCTGACAGAGGAGGACGCTTTGCTGGTACCCACTGTGACTTGACTCACGCGGTCGAGAGACACGTCGATACTGTCGGCGTTCAGTAACTCCTCTTCGCAGGACGCGAGGAAGTCCCCGTAGTTGAAATTTGACATGTTATTCTGCATCTTTATTTTACTAATTTCTAAATCAAATCTAGCGAAGAGCTTCTCTGTCTAAGTCATATCTCACCCTTTCTAAGATCGCAAGTTGTATACTTTGGAATTCATGGAATTCTTCCCTCGTGAAATGGGTTTTCCTTTTCCTTTTTTCTTTCAAAAGAAGTGCTTTCGGAGGTGGCTCAGGAACTCTCTAGGGTATGATGTCCACTACTTGGGCGTGTTTGTCGTTTGGATTCAGGTCCGATTGCGTGCGGCGGTAAGTAGGTCGTCTCTCGTATTCATGCGCTTGCGCAACTAGGAATAGGATGAAAAAACACTACTAAACGCGGCGTCAACGCGCAACTTCATATTTATCAAAAAAGAAACAGAAGGGCCAATTTTGCGTTTCTCATCAGAATAGCTTTGCATCTTTCTCTCGTTGCAAACGACGAGGGCGGTTTGCGACTGCGACGGAAAAAAAGTTTCTGAGTTGCGATGATTTTCACTCGAACAGCTTTGCAGGCACTCGTATGCTTTCAAGCTCAAAGAAGCAGGTGCTTTTTTCCTATATTCTTTCATGCTGTTTGTTGTACCAGGCCAGCTAACGGCACAGGCCGCAGAGAAAATGGAACTGGGTTCATGTGTCTTAATGCGTATGTTCTAGGTGAACTTTTGAGTGGAGGTTCTCGTGTGCACTATGATATGGAATTGTTCTTACCTTAAGTAGCAGTGAATTTCGACATCCCTCGTCAACTAAAATACAGTTAGATGTGCATCAGCATGGATTAGAAAATCTATGAGGACCACAAGCGTATCTATCTGAGCTTTGTATTCTGTATCGTTGTTCAATCACGGTAACTACCCTACTATAAATATTACGTCTAAAAATTTCAGAGCGGTTTCATCTACTCGCGAACGTAGGCTCCAAGTTCTATGTCGTTTGCTTCTTGGGAGGCGACTTTTTTGAAATGAAAGTCGGACCACATGGAGGGTATCTTTATTGTCTGCACACTAGGTCCACAATTGAAAACTCGGTGAAGGAAACCACATGTTAGCAAGAAGCAATTGCGACAAAATATTCCCGCTATACGTGGGAAACAAAAACAGACTGCAGCGCTGTCCTGCGCGGAAGGTCGTCCCTGCACGTACGCAATGGATACGATACCTTTCTGATTGTTCACCGAAGCTGCGCCGTCTTCCTCAGGAACTTCATCCCTATCGTTGATATTGCTCTCGATGTCCGCATCTAGACCGCTTTCATCGAGATCTGTTGTTATCGGCAGACACGCACAGATCATTAGCCGTCGACACGCGAAAACGACCGTGAATGGCACGGTGAGAACGATCGCGTTGACGGTTAAAATCAAGGCCATGGTCGAGAAAAAAGCTCGCAAATCGTTCTCCACTGGCGACACCCCGAAATACAGCGCGACGTGCTTTCTCAATCTCGGCACCACCCGCTCCCGGTAGAAGGCCCGAAAGAACGTGTCCGCCGTGGCTAACAGCTTCGGACAGGCGACCGCGTTTCGCCAGCAGATGCCGGCGCCGAGATTTCCCTCCAGCACCACGAAACCGCCGCGACTCGCGTCGAAGAGCAGGTCCCAGCCGATAGAGGGGGCTTGGGGAAAGTACGCACTGTGGAGCCGGACCACCTGGTCGCGAGTGGTCTCGTAGGACAGCTCCTTCTTCGAGCCGTCGAACGCAGTAGACGGATCCAAAACCTCGATTTCACCGCGATTCGACACCTGCTTGCTAGCCTTATCCGCAACCTGCAAAAGCCCCACGGCAGTGGCCCGGGGTAATGAAGTCGCAGGAGTTCTACTTGCGTCGCTGTTCTCTAGCATTTCGGTGTTCTTCATTTCGTAAAAATTGCCTTCCTGTTCATCAACGTCCTGTACTGATTTCGTGTCTCCTGTCACGGCTTGCTTTCCCTCCCCGCGCCGATGGTCCATCATCGTGGTTAGCCGGTAGGTCCGTGCCAGTGAACTGTCCTCGGCGTCGTGCAAAAGTTCTTCAATGATGTAGGTTTCGCGCGACGTGACCACCAGACTAGTTTCTGCAGTTGTACCAGCAGCGGCAAGAACACCGTCCACCTGGGGAGGACACGCCAACTTCTCCAATGTTCCCGCAACGCCGCTCTTCTCGATGTTCTCCTCAAAAGACACGCCTTTTTGCAGTAACCGCGCGTGTATCAAATGTAAAAGTGTCTGGGTCTGGAAAAATTCATGTTTGTCATGCTTGTCTGGCATGACTCTTAAATCTGTCACGCACGTTGCCCAAGAGCTCCGTTTTTCTGTGATGCAGAAGCGCAGTTTGTCATGCAGAATAGGCAACACCTAGGAGCTCAGAAACTTGTCATGCTGAGCCAGCATTTGCAGCCTCATCATGAGACGCCACCCAGCATCACAAGTTTCCAGACCCAGACATTTTTACTTTTGGTAGCGTGCAGAAAGTTTCGCAAACTTTCGACCTGCACACCGATGCCAAACGTCCCGACGTCCGGCTTGATCACGAGTTGCTTTTCAAGGTCAATCATTTTCAGCCCCTCATCTGCCGGGTGATGTGGCGCACCAGCTGCTCCTGCGATTTCCTTCTTTTCCGTTGCTTCTGTTTGACCTTTCTGCTTTTCACGATCTACTCCTTCGCTACCACTTCTGCTATTTTTTCGCCATGCGTGCGCGTCCTGAAACCGCACACAGGTTAAGTACTTTCCGCTAGCGTGGTCAAACACGTCGTGGTGGTCGTGGCTTCCGTAGAGACCCAGGTAAGAGTGGTGGTCCGAAGAGTCGTCCATTTCGTCGTCCTCTCGTTCATCCTCGTTTAATATTCCGGCAGCACTACTGGCGTCGTTGTCTTCCGTCGTCTCAGAAGATCTAAAGTCGACACCAGTAGTTCTCCGGATTTCTATTTGCAGGACTCCCACCAAGTCTGGCATGGGAACTCGTTCTGCCTCCAGCGCTTTTCTCCACGCGAGCTTGTGATCCAACCTTTCCGCGAGGTCTGGGTGGAAGTAAATCACCGGAAGCTGCGCCGGCGCCGCGCCCTCGAAAAGGATGGCCGCGTCCCATTCCGGGTGGAGTAAAGCAAACATGGGAAAGAGGAGAATCAACAGCGGTACCGTGCCGAGAATATGGATCCAAAACCACACATGGGTGGTTATCAGCGGGATGAGGTTGAAAAGCAGCAAGAGGTAGAAGCTCTGCTCCAGCGGTGGGACGAGGAAGTAGAACGGGAGGAGGACAAACAGGGTGGAGTAGACCAAACATAGCTTCAGGTAAAACCGAAAACCGGCAAAAGGGGCTCGGGGTGGGACTGCAGCCGTAGTTCCTTTCATGTTCTTTTGTGGGTCACAAAAAATCTTCACTCGCCGACATCTAGAGCTCGAAAAAGAGGCGGCGCAGCACGGAGTCTTCTCACAAGGAAACAAAAGGTGAAGGTCTATAAGTACTTAACATTCAAGCAAAGCTCGGGAAAGAATCACTGGTAAGTGCGGGAAGAGTATGCACCATATGTGAGTAAACTGCGACAAGGAAGTTCTTGTACTTACGACGGGGCAATGCGTCTGGGTAGGAAAAACGAATGGAAATAGGGGACGATCTTTCTGTAACTACAAAGTTGCCTGGTGTCAATGTCATGTAGGGACTCATCAATCGCGATGAAGTACACTTGCCGCAAAAGGACGCGATGCTATTCCCCAGAACCTTCGTCTTGGAACAGAGGCACAACAATTCGAATTTATCTATGACGTCCGAAAAAAGTAACCGATGAGCATCCAGATGCTCTTTGCTCGCTTAAGAAATTCACATGCCGAAGTCTCCAATTACCGATGCACCACGATACCGCAGTTTTCAAATCTACACTTTCTGCCTTTGGCTTTCCGATATTGACCACTCGTGCATCAATCTGGTTGGATTATTTTGCCATGTACTAGAACAAAAACAGCACCTGCTCTGCTAGGTTTATGGAGCATACTTATGAGGTTTTTCGTGTCGCCCCACCACACACAACAGCAGCAGCACCTCGTCGCTGCTGGTATTCGTATTTCATTTGCGATTCCTGATCGGAAATAAAGATGGAAAAGAAAACAATGTCTACTCCATATGACCGAGAGTCTTCCCCTTTTACCTGGCCTGAATGGGCGTCGCGACCTGGGACACGTCCGTGACTACTGCCGCCGTCGGGGCGGCAGCGGGCGCTGCCGCGGCAGCCGGACTGGACCCGGTTGTTGGATCCACCGGCGTGGATGCGCGCAGTTTGTCGTCGAGGGTTTTCACGTATTCCTTCGCTGCCTTCGCCTCCTCCATCGCCTCCTTCGCCCACATCAGTGCCTGGTACTCGCGCTGCGACTGCTTTTCCCCCTCCGACTGCGACCCACTTGCGGACATGCTGGCGGGCGGCTGCGCGGCCGGTGGGTTTTCCTGCACGGCGGTGCGGAGCGCCACCGGTCGCCCGTTCAGAGGCATCGGCTGTCGGTTGTTACCCTGCCCGTTCGTCATCTGCATGATCGCGTATTACAATGAAAAACGCCCCCACCCCCGAACTTGAAAGCATTTGTATTGCAAACCTTTCCAAATGAAACATTCGCCCTCTTGCATGTATCAGCATCACAGATTTCCGATCGTGAATAGCAAAAATTTGCATTGCAAAAGATCCCAGCGAGAGCGGTGCTTGTCATGCAAGCGATGCTAAACACCACTAGAATCTGCATCAGAAATATTCATATTTCTTTCATGCATGACAAAAAGGTTTCATTTGGAAACTTCGCATCACAAATTTTTGCCACTTTGGGGGTGGGGGGCACTTTTCACTGTAATATCGCGGTCGCGAACTTTGGTACGTCCGCTTCGGCGCCTGGGATATTCTTGAGGTGGTGGTAAATTTTACCAGAGTCATTCGTGGTTCTTCACGCCGGACAGGTGAGTAGAATTATGATAATGAATGTAAATCACGATTTTTACGTAGGCGCATCTTCACATAGAAGTTGCAGACCGCACAAACTTCTACAGTTTTACCTGCAACCGGCTCTTTACGAACGAACCACGTTGCGGTCTCTGCACAGGGAGGCGCGGTCAAGCTGCCGCCGTACTCGACAAACTCCCCGCCTTCACCATAAAACTGCGCAAAATCCACGGGTGGCGCCGCGAACATGGTCTGGCCGACGTTGGCCGGAATGCCTAACCCAAACGAAGCGAGCAGGGACCCCGCCGACTGCTTTCTTCTCGCAGTGGATGAAGTTGACAACTCTTCTTCCAAAAAGTTGTCCTTGTTCGCGTGAGCGACAACCTCTCGTCTTTTTTCCAGAAACGCCGTTGCACTTCCCGCCGCACCTCCTCCCGCGCTACTGCCTGACGACCCGGCGCTGCCTGACTCCCCGCTGAAGGGAACGGCAACGATGACTAAGTGGTCGCTGTCCGACCGTTTGTGAACCAAATGCGCCTCCAGCGGGAAGTGCTGCCCGTCGTACACGTGTTCGCTGGGGCTGTGGAAGTTTACGGACAGAAGATTGTATATCCACAGAAAAAAAGAAAAACCCATCCAAATCCATTTATTGCATGACAAACACGTGACTTGATACGTGTTTTGCATGACAAATTGGATGTGGATGGGTTTATATTTTCCTGTGCATATTGTACCACCCGTTGTTATACGCCAGACCCCCTACGCCGAGGCCCATGAAGTCCGCGGTGATGGTATGTCCGTTATTCAGCATCGGGAACCCGTGCTCCATGTCCGATATGTAATTGTACACGAGATTGCCCGTCGGGGCCAGCCCGGCGGTCGTGAGCGCGACGGGGCTCTGCCGCTCGGTAGAGGAGCACATGCCCGCGACCCAGTCGGCCCCATGTCTGCTGTAGTCGTAGGAGAACCCGGTATCGCTAGCAGCATTTGTGATGCGGAAGACAAGCGGTATAAAAAGACCGAACCGCATCGTCGAAAACGGCGACCGCGGGAATGGTACAGTGCCGGGCGCCATCCTGGTAGGGTTGATGTCCTGGTCCGCAAGTCCTCGCAGACTTCAGGACAAGGAACCTCGATCACCAGAACATTTTGACCTTTCTACGGAATTCACGACTCGCCATCAAGTTAGAACGGGGTCACAAAATGTCCGACTAAGTCCTCGGGGGACCTGCGAACCACCCAGCTGGGTGGGCCTTAGGTCCCCTGTCCCAATGTAGAATTAAGTTACGAATCCGCCACAGCTCGCGTCCGCCCGCTCCAGTTTTCTCGCCGTTCTTTCTCGTGGGTGTCAATCTGTGACGCAGTAGCTTATGTATTATTGTATTTGCGCACTGCGACTGCACTTATCCAAGAAAAAACACTTGTGCACTGCACTGATCCAAGAAAAAAGCTTTGTTGTGGGTTAAATCTGTGATGCAGAAAATGCAAAGCCGTTTTTACGCAAAAGGGACCTGTGATGCGGAAAATGCAAAAGTGTTTCTGCAGTTTCCTGTGAAACAGTTTTGCATTTTCTGCATCACAGATTTACACCCACCAAATAAGCTCTTTTCTTGGATAAATAGCGACAAAAGGAGGCACAAGTGCAATAGTGCAAAACTCTAATACAAATACAGATTTACACCCACAAAAACGAACGGCGAGAAAACAATATGGGCGGACGCGAGCTGTGGCGGAGTCATAGATAACTTAATTATTGGGACAGGGGACCTAAGGCCCACCCGGCTGGGTGGGTCGCAGGTCCCCCGAGGACTTAGTCGGACATTTTGTGACCCCGTTCTTATATGTCCAAGAAGAAGTCCTGCATGGTGTTTAAGCTGTACTACTACACGTGACTACTTCTGTATCTCTCACCATCGCGCTCCTTCGAGATGAACTACGCAAAGCCCTCAGTAATGGCGGGAACAAAGCTTCAAAATCGCTACGCCTGCAGTTACCCGGTGCTGTGGCTCCTCACGTGATCATATTTTGAAAAACTGATGGAACTTCCTGTGCCTTGCGTCTGCAAGTCGAAAGTCGTTGGGAACTGCGAGTAGATTTTATTGGAATACATGTCCAGATTTGGGTGGGGTATCGCGTCTTGTCAGGGTTCGGGAATACGAACCGACGTAGTGTACAGTTCTAGTTGGGTCTTGAGGTGAGGTAAACCTAGTCACACGAGGGCGAGAGATGCTGCTTCTATCCGTGGAAGTTCTGACATTTCTATTGTACTTGTAAAAGTGGAGTAGAATAATGGAATTCTTGGGTAGGCAATGGTAAGGAAGGTGTAAAGCAAAAATCATGGGTAAAAAATTTATCCCAAGAGTTCGCGGAGCGGGTTCGAAGGCTTCTGGCTTGCGGCTTCGAGCAGACTCGGACTTCTTCACTAGGAAAAAAAAAAGCTTTCTGTGTGAGAGTTGTGAGTATGCTCGATGATACACAAAATGAAACTCCACACTGCTTACAGCTCGTCGTCCTCATCCTCGTCGTCCTCGTCGTCGTCGTCGTCCTCGTCGCCCATAGGTGAATCTTCCAGTTCCAGCAAACCCTCCCGGTCGCCCAGCATCAACGCATCCGAGCCGTCCGTCGTGGCGCGATTCTTGAGAAATTCAAAGCTGGCTAAAACATCCGCGAACTTGTGCACGTCCTTCTCCGCCTCTTGCCGCTCGATCTCCGCGCTCTCCACGTTCTTGGGATGCGTTTTTCGCCGCTTTTCATTCTCCTTGGTTTCTTCCTTGTTGCGCTTCAAATTGTCGTCCACCGTCTGGAGCAGCTCCCGGGCGGTCTGCGTGTTCGCCTTGCACTGCTGTAGCTCGTCCTCCGCATGCTTCACCTGATGATGATGTGCAAACACAGAGATATCATATCTATAACACGCGGAATGCGTCCCCCCTCCTCATTCTAGTGGTATTTGAAGTATGAGAACAGCTGCACCAGCAAAACTTTTCTTTATTCTCTTGACGATGATCATGAAGCCAGTATTCTACTAAAATTAAAAATCCAAAACCAGAAAGAGCAGCTCCAGCTCCTCCCATCAGACCAGTAAAAACAAGTACCTTCGCGTCCGCGTCCAGTTCCCGGTTGCTCTGGTTGCCAATTTTGAACTCCGTGTCCAGAATCCAATTTCGCAGCTGCTTCTTCGTTTCCTGCAGCGTCATGTCGTCGAAGGGGCCCCGGTTGGCCGGCAGCTTCTATCAAAATGAAAAATCCCCCCTCTCCCTATCAAAATGGACATTTCTGATGCTGATTTGCGTACACAAATCCGACTTGTCTTGCGGTAAGGCACTGCGGCCAGATCCGCAGCCTAGGTTGGAGCGCTCAGGTCTAGTTGTTCAGAATTGCAAACGGCTACCCTCTAGGACCAACAGCATGCCAAATCGCTTCCACAATTGGGCGGATGCCTCTGCACTTTTCTTCTTGCAAGACAAACCTGATTTGTGGTCACAAATCAGCAACACAAATTTTCGAAAACATACCTTTTCAATATGGGGAGGGGGGATTTTTCCTCTCAATAGCTTCTGCAGGGCGGCGGGCAGAGCGACCAGCACCGCCTCGTCGAGCTCCACGACCTTCTCAAACAGGTTGCTGATTTGCTTCATCTCTTTTTGAAATTTCGCGCCCTGCGGCGGGTGGTCCAGCATCTTTTGAAACTGGTTCTTCTCCACCTCGCGGACTTGCTGCAGCTGCTTGGACAGAATCGGCGTGGCGTTGAACCTGTTTTGTATTTTGTGTAAAAAAACATCGCTTTCATTCAAGCTTGATATTCTCCTTACAGAATTTCTCTGTCTTATGTCATAACTTTGGCAATTGAAACCGCACGGTGTAACGATTTGGCAAAAATCAAAATTTCCACTTCACTCATGAGCGGATTTAGGTTTACGAAAAAACAATAACAGCGAGCAAGTATGTAATACACGTCCTCCCGGAACTTGTTTGCGTCCTGCACGGCCTGTTTCGCGTCTTGCTCGAAGCTCTCCTCCTGGTTGAGCCGGGCTTTCAAGCCGTCGTGCTGGTCGTTGAGGTTGTGCAACTGTTGCGCCAGGTGGTCCGCGGTCTTCACAATGTCCGCCTGAATCAGGGGGGCGTTGTGGATGAAGTCCCGCTTTTCGTGGTACTTTTTGGTCAACACGTTGGAGATGTGATGCACCTGCGCGGAGAGCATCTCCACGCCCTTTTTCTGCAGCGGCTGCCGTCCGGAGTCGCAGACGGCAAGGCAGGGCCGCAGCATTTTTTCCAGGACCGGGTGTCGCGGGCACCCGTAACCGAAAATCAACGCGGCCTCCACGCGGTTCAGATGGTCTTCGATGCGGTTCTTCTTGCTTTTCTTCGCATTCGCGTTGTTCTTCTTCCCTTTGGTGTTCCCCGCCGCGGAGGACTTCTTTGCGGTTTTCTTCTTCGCGGCGGGCGACTGTTTCTTCATTGCGTTCTTCTTCGCGGCCGGCGGCATGTTAGGCAAGGAGGTTTATCTTTATACGTATTGCTAACTCGAGTCGGCGAAGTAGATGTTGTAGAAAAGGAGGATTTAGCGAAAAGCAAAAGTTTGATCGAGAAGATGAGCGTTATTTGGCTTTGCTGCTATCCGATAGTTACACTTGTTAAAAAGTAAATTTCAGAGTGTTGCTCACGAAAGGGTCGTGGTTCCTGCTGTCATTGGATTGAGAAAAAAACGCGTGATGATAACTACAGAGACGAAAAATACGAAATTTCAGCTAAACTTAGCTCCAATCATAGAGGCTCGGAGGACGGTGTCTCGAAATAAGGGTGGACGTCACGGCGTGTACGTTTTCCAAAAACCTTGTGTGTACGAAAACCGATATTTGATTTCAACGGGAACAAGTAATAGACTGGTTCTCTTCCGAATGCGATGCGAACGACCGACTCGACATGAAATGGAGGCACGATGACAAGAACGTCGCGCTTTATTCACCGATACCGTGTCATTGGGAAAAATATTTTGCGACACATGAATCGTCGCATGCGTCGCACAGATTCGCATGAACACACTTTCACGATGGAGCCGCTCTGCAGGTGACAACTGGTAGGACCTGCTAGCAAAGCCCGACCTCGAGCGACGTCGCCTCAAGGAGAAGTAGGAAGATAGAGGGAAAGAAAAAGAAGAAGTAAGAATGCATTTACCGTTTTGTCTGTCCATCATGACGGGTGAAGGGCATGCTACAACAAAGCAACTGGAATGACTACAAGCCGAGTTGTGAGGAAACTTATGCGCTGAAAAATCTATGCAAAAATTGCGGCCGCAATCACAAACCGACTCTAGGAGTAGCTTCCACAAAGTTTTGTATGCTCCTTTAATTTAAGAACTCTACCGACGGTGATAAAATGCTTTTACTTCCATATGCGCCTGTGAAAATTTTGCAACTCGAGGGGGGAAAATACGGGAAAAAACTCGGTTAACAAGCATACTGCTCTCGGGTTCTTGTCACTTAATTGTGATAGAATCGCTTGAATTCTACTTGTGTTGCCATAAGAGTTAAAAAAACATGTACGTAGTGTATGTGAACTAAAGTGCAAACTTGTGTGAATAAGATGATGTTATAAAGTGTAAACTTGTGTGAATAAGATGATGTTATAAAGTGTAAACTTGTGTGAATAAGATGATGTTATAAAGTGTAAACTTCTCGTGCTGAATTGCACTGCTTTTAATTTCTTAGCCTTTGTTAAAATTTCACTCAAACCTTTTCGTACACAGCAACAAACCACATAAGACACGCGACTACTAGTCGGTCTGCACGATGTCGCCCGAGTTGACGCCCGCATTGGCAAAGTAGATCTGCTCCACCATGCGGGTGAGCTCGTACACCTGCGTGCGCACCACTTGTGTGTCGTGCGTCATCTTGTGCAGATCGTGCAGCGTGGCTGGGCTCTCGGGGTCGCGGCCCCCGTACTGCCGCCGCTCCTCCTGCTTCGCCATCTCCATGAACAGGTCCGCGCGGCTGCGCTCGAGCGCCGTCTTCTTGCCCTTGCCCAGAATGGTTTGTGCGGCGAGTTTGTGTACCTTGTTGAAGGCTCGCTTCATCTTCGCCCCCGTTCGCCGCTTCTTCACCTCCCTCCAGGCCTCCTGGATGTGCGCCGCGGCCAGGGACTCGTAGGACCACGTCTTCGTGTGCCTCTTGAACCGCCAGTTTCGGCGCTCCTCCCGTCGCCGCGCGTGCCCCCGCAGGTTTTCTAGTATCACCGGGAAGGCGTAGCACAGAATGATGAAGTCCGACCGCGTCAGCAAAAGCACCTCGCACTCGTTCTCCGCGCGTAGAATGCTTTTCCTCTATCAAATGCAAATATGTCTGGGTCTGGAAGATTCTAAACTTGTAATGCTGTCTCTGGATTCTAAAAAAATTTGCGTTGCATGCCCAGCAAGAGGACTCCAGTTTGTGCTACACGGAGAGGGCATTTCTCATGCAGTAGAGGCATCGCAAAGCCCTCTAAAAATCTGTGATGCTAGGTCATGCATAACAGACATCATGGGCCATTCAAAATATGCATGACAAACTTAGCAGTCGTCCAGACCCAGACATTTTTGCAGTTGATATCCTCGCCCCGGGCACGATCAACTCGTACTCGCCCACGTAGGAATCTCGCCCATGCAGCGTGTAGGGGTAACGCCGCACCTGGTATTATTTTTCAGTGCAAATAGTTTTCTTTTATGCGATAGGCGTCGACCGGCTAAATGGAAGTAAGTGCGTAGGACGAGTTCTACTTTGATGCGCGACATGCAAAGCAGTTTGCTCTACAAGATGGTAGCTTCATCTCATACATCATGCAGTTTTTCTATATTCTTATTCTTTTTCATTTCATCATATTACTTTATCACCCTTTGCGAATTGAGACAGAAACCCCTTTCAGTCATTAATATCATGAGTTTTACCAGTCCGCTGTTGACGTCCAGCTCCACGAGGTTTTCCACCATTCGGATGTTTGCGATCCCCCCCATGTCACTGGGCACCGCGCAGTAGCTCAAACTCCCCTTGACGATTAGGTACAGGCCCTGCGCCTGCTCCCCGTTGCGGTAGAAGACAAACCCCTTCTGGCAAATTCTCTTCTGCAGAAAGACGGCAAGCATGAGTGATATGCCCTCAAATTTGAGCTTGCTGTGCTTCACAAACTGCGACCTCCAGACGGCCCCCGCGTGCGCCCGCTTCGCGACCGCCCGCTGCAAAGGCGTCGACATAGAGGTGCAAATTTCCCAAAACGATTTCCAGTCGTCCTCCCTGCCTGAGGAAATCTCCGCGTACTTTTCCCGCGTTTGGTACTCCGCGACCTGTCGTGGTTATTCAAAGAAGCTCTGTTCTTCCGAAACGAAAAGGAACGAACTTTTTTGCCTTGAGAATGAGAAAACAACCCGACACACTCGTCGCATAAGTATACCACGACCTACAAGTTTTTTTTCTTCACGGATTGAAACCAAGAGCGGGCTTTTCATTCGCCAAAAATCAGCATTCGTATACAAAAGCACGTCTCGGACTCTACCGATTATATCGAAAAAGAACATGGAAAATGAAATGAGTTGTACCAGTCTTATCTTCGATTCGATTTTGTTGTCCTTGATGCAGCTCTTCTTGAAGAAGTTTGTGATCGAAGAGGTTTTCCTGTTGAGCTCCTGGTTGCTCTGGTCCACCCGGGTGAGCACCGCGATCACCTCAGACACTATGACCGAGTTGATCACCGCGCCGAACAGCATCAGCATGGTGGTAAAGATGAGTTCCGCCTCGGTGAACGGGGTGATGTCCCCGAACCCGACCGTGGTGCAGACGGTGAGGATAAAGTATATGCAGGTCAGCCACTGGTAGCTCGGGGTTTGCTCGATCATGTACATTGTCGTCCCGTCCGGCCGGTTTAGGCTCCGGTTACCCACCCAGGTGTCCAGCGGATTCTCGTGCATGGCCGCGAGCAAGTACCAGAAGCACCCGAAGATGTGAGACACGAATAACAGGACGATCAGGAACTTGGAAACGTTGGCCAGACGACTCTTGCCCAGGGTGGAGGATATGTAAAACATGATACTGTTTTGGTTCAGCCTTTGCAGAAACGTGCGCATCACCTGGCTCGCCTTCCCGATCTTCGACAGCCGGGCCAACCGCCCGATCCGGTACAGTTGAGGAAGCCGCGTTATCTGTTATTTGAAATAATTTTGAAAATACTTTTGTGATGTTTAGAGGGAAGAAATCATTGCTGTTTCCCTTGTACTTACAGAAACTACACAGTCGTTGATTTTTAGACTGTAAGAACAATTCATTAGTCATACACATACTTTCTCAAACAATAACTCGTGGTCGGTTGATGTGAAAACTTTTATCGTTGATCTTCGTACGAAAGAATTCTTTTACCTTGTTCGCGTTTGAGTCGGCCGATACGGATACCAGACTTGACCAGAAGGCCGCGGGTAAACACGCCAGTAGGTCTAGCGTGAACCACCCGCCCAAGTAGTTTTTCCATATGCTATGTGGGTGGCTGTGTAGCCTGCCGCCCAGGTCAAAGTAGGCCACGAAGAAGTTGAAGAACAGATCCGCCCAGAAGAAGATGTCCAACAGGGTGTCGGTGATCTCCCACCCGTTCCCGTCCTCGATTATCGGCACTTTGAACTGCGCTTCCTGTTCGCTCAGGGGGTAGATCCGGAAGTCTATGAAGGCGAGTCGGTAGGGCACCACGGTGCCCATGTACATCAGGGGGAATACCATCAGCACTTGCCAGATCGTCCTGGTCGTGCAGTCGGGGTGGAAGATCGGCAGGTACCCGAGCTTGCCGCCCCGGGCCTCGCGCCACCGCTGGTTCCACAGCTGCCACTCGTCGTTCCCGAGCAGCTCTGCCTCCTCGCGCTCCTTGTCCCGCTCGCTGGTCTCCTTCTCGGCCTCCAGAATATGGTTTTTCGAGGTGCCGTCGCTGGCCCGGGACATGTACACCCGGCGCTCCTCCACCTTGTTGCCTTCCTCCTCCTGCTGCTGCTTCTCCTTGTTTTGCACTTCCTCAAGGTCAATCTGCGTGCTGCCCTGGCGGATGCCGTGCATCCCGAGCGCCTTCACGCTGCTCTGCGCCGACGGCTTTCGCTTTTCTGGTTCCTCCGCGGCTATCGCCTTCTTCCCGCCGAACGCTCCGAGCAACCCGCTGATCCCCATCCCGGCCGCGGGTGGACCGGGGTGTTGATGTTGTGGACCACCCCCCGGTGCAGCAGCTCCTGGTGCACCATCATTCGCGGCCCCTGGTCCCGGTGGGGGGTCTAGAGTGATCACCTCGGGCTCGCCGTCCTCCAAAGTCGGAGGCATGTCATCATACTCGCCCAGCGACGACGTGGAGGATGTTTGTTTTCTCTTCGCCGCCGCGCCCGCGCCGATCGGGAACTTTTGCCCGGAGCTGAGCCGCCGCTCCCGGGCCTCCTGTTCTAGTCTCGCGTCTATGATGCGCCGCTTCTCCTCCGCGCTGGCCTCGGGGGAGATCCGCTTTCCCCCGCCATCGCCGTCCTCCGGGGAGGAGGCCGCGGCGTCCGCCTCGGTACGCTGCTGCCCGGTGAGCAGCGCGATGGCGTCGTACTTGCGCTTCCGCGCCTCCGGCTCCTCGTCCGACTCCTCCATGTTCTTCTGGAGCATGTCCCGTCGGACGTGGTTCAGCACGCTGCCGAACGACGCCATCGCGCGATCGGAGATGAACTTATACTGCTTTTCTGGTGTAGTGCCCCTGCGGCTACTCAAATAAAAAATAGACCAGGTTCACAGATGATTGAAAAAGAAAATAAAATTGGAACGGAAAATAAAAACAATGAACTGTGTGCCGTCGCTTTTCCGAACCAGAACAAAAATGTGAGAGAAAAACTTGCTCGATTTTCTAGAAAACTTCAATAACTACCACAGGGGTGCATCTGGTGCAAAAACCTTAACCACCGCTGGACAGCGAGGCCCAGTCACGCACTACCATCGGCACCATCTGTTATATGTTCCTTCCTCCTCAGTCCGGCATCCTTGCAAAAGGAGACTGACTATTGGAAATCACTCTACTGCTGGGTAGTATCTAATTGAAGCCTTAACAGAAAAGCTGCGTTGAGAATAGTGTAAGTTGGGGTCCTGTGGAGAAAAGAAGAATAAGCAAGCGCTTTCCTTTTGAAAATTCGTCCTCAACTTGTAGTACTGGAGGCTGCACGAAGAAGGAATACCAAAGTGCTGCTCCAGCATAAGAAATGCAGTAGCACACCAGTGCAGAACAAGATGAACGAAGATATGCCATCTTCAGACGGGTGTACGTTGTGAAAATCAAAATCACCGAAACACTTTGTTTTGTACGGCAGCAAGAGCAACGGGACAAACGGTATCTATACCGATTTTCAATCTATTCGGAACTTCGCATTGCACGATTTATTACCGAGAGTTCTGGCCTTGCCAGTCTGCGCTTCTGGTGCTCTATCTTCTTCTATCTTCGTGCACGAGGAAGTCAAAATGATGTCGCACGATGTTGCTGTCTTTTTGTTGCACGAACCGATTTTTTCACTTTTGACTCTGATAGCAGATCACAGCACTAGAGTGCAACCGTTTCTATTTGGGACGAAATACAAACTTCCGAGGCTGCAGATGTGCTGGTAAAGCAGACCGACAGTGATTTCGATTTCGAATTCTAGTAGAAAACATTGTTTATTGTTGTCGTGAGCACGGAGAAAATCTGATCTCGCTGGTGCGACAGCAGTGCTAAATTCTTCAAACAGCGACCGCACAGAGAGATAACTGCTTGGTGTTGCTGCAAGTGTGATGCAGCTATTTTTTTTTTCTCGGAGCCCTCGTCCACCTCGTCTCCTAAACTACTTACACTGCAACGAATCAATAGGCTGGTCACCTCCTCGTGCTGAAGATGATGTACACAAGCTTCTAAGTGGTCCGCATGGATAAGAAAAAATGTCGCAAGAAGATGTTGAAATGAATATCGATCAATACGATCTATCACAATCAGAAAGATAGGGCCCTCGCGGCGCCAGCAATCGTTTATCCAATTCGCTTTCGCTTTTTCGCTCGGTCTTTTGCCACGCCAGACTCTTGTCTGATTTCTGCTTCTTCGATTTCGAAATCGGGGTTGCTGAACATTTTGGCAAACCGGTCGTCTTCCAGCAATTTCTTCCCGGCGTTGGCCACCTGGTCCTTTTTCCTTCGTAATTCCGTCTGCCGGGAGTCCACCCGGTCCTGCAGCTTGTCGAACAGCTTCTGGTTCGCCTGCACGCGCGTCTTCGCCAGCTTCGCGGCGTCCGGAACGCGCATCGGGCGGTTCTGCTCCATCTGCTTCTTGCGGGACTGCTCCAGCTTCTGCTCGTAGTCGAACAGGTCCGCCCCGCCCCTCTCCTCCTGCTGAATCCGCTTCATCTTCTCGAACGTCCGCACGTCCATCAGAAACCCGTGCTGGTAGGGGAGCAGGTACTTTGTGCCGAGCAGGTCCGCGGCCCCGAGGTCGTGCACCTGCTCCTTGGACAGGAAAGTGTGGTCCTCGTATAAGTGCTGTCGCTGGGTCTCCTATCGTAAGGAAAAATCCCCCCTCCCCATATTGAAAACGCATCCTTCTGAAAATTTGTGAGGCAGCGCACTTGTTGCCTCAAATCCTGTCTGTCTTGCAAGAAGGCAAGTCCAGAGAGCGCCCCGCTTTTGATGCAGGTTTGTGATGCTATTGGGCTTAGAGCATACACGTTTGCCATGCTAGGCGCCTACGTCAAAACCTCTCGACTGGGGCTTGACATATGCCTGCAGTCCTCTACTGGAAGACAAATCTGATTTGTGTACGGAAATCCAGCATCAGAAACTTCGTTTCGATATGGGGAAGGGGGATTTTTCCTTTTGATATCTCCGCCAGCTCCTCCGTCATGTGGTCCAGGAAGCTGCACCACTGCGGCGCCGCGCCCAGCGAGGGCAGGAAGTAGCACCCGACGCGCTGCTCGTCGGTGGCGGCGAACAACAGGGAGGAAGATGGGTAGAAACTGATGTCGTTCAGCACCGCGCCGCCCGGGGACTCGATGGCGGCGAGAATCCGGCTGTTGCTCTGCGTGGAATCGTTTTTTATTTCCGATTGTTGTTCGTCCGCAGTTGATCTACTCCTAGAATTGTCGAAAGAAGTGGAACTGCTTGAATTTGAACTTCCGTACTCCCACAGCTTGATGCAGCGCGCGTCGCAGCTGGCGATAATATTGCTGGAGGAGGAGGAAGCTCTTGCCGTCGTGCCGGTTAGCAAAGATGTTGCTGATTCTGTAGTTATTCCCCCGGCGTCGAAATATTTCACGGCCTTGATTGGGAGCTCATTCCGGTGGTCCCGGGTGCTCAAGGGCTTAGCCGAGCGTATATCGAACACGCGCACCACTCCCCTTTCGTCGCCGAAGCAGAAGTGCATGCCGCTGGGAGCAAAGTCCACGGCGGTGATGCCCGCGTCCTCCTGGCGCAAAAAGCTGACCGCGCGCCCGGCGTCCCGCAGGTCCCAGAACTCCACCAGCCCGGTGGTTTCGTCGCCCGTGGCCGTGCCCGCGCAGGCCAACAGGGGCATGCGGGGATTCAGGCAGGCCTGGTTCACCTGGTCGCACTTTGCCGAGTGGAGCGGCGTGAGGAAAGTCCCCTGCTCCAAGTCCAAGCGGTAGACCTCGTCCCCGTCGCCCGCGGCAAACAACACACAGCTGTCCGGGTGGTACACCAAAGACCGGCAAAACTTCGGCACGCGAAGCTTGTGGTGGAGCCCATACTGCGCGTGGAATTCCAGTGTGCGGTCGCCTGTCGTGTGATGGAGAATACTCAGAAGTGACACAATTCATTTACATTTTCGGTGCAATTCTTCTCATGTTGAAATCGAGGCTAACGACTGCTCTTTGACCTAAGAGTGCTGAACAAATGCAAATAAAACGACCAAAGCGGTTCTTTCCATTGAAATATCCGCATCGTTACTTCTACGCATTCTTGCACCACAATGGCGAAACTAGACCTGGCACGTCGTGTAAACACAACTATTAAAAAACACACGAAAGCACTATACTTTGCAGAAACGCCAACTTTCGGTAGTCGTCCGAGAGAAAGCAGAAGTCCACGATTTCATGGTCCACCCTTCGGCAGAACTTCATGCCCAAGTCTTCGGTGTCAAACATCCGCATTTCCCAGGGGTACCCGCCCGTGGCACAAATGTATCTGCCGTCCCGGCTCGCTTTCACGCGTGAGCTGGTTGCGGGGAACTCGAAGTCCTGCAGCAGTTCAACGCGGTTCCTAAATTCCTCATTGTACCTGTAGAGTCGTTCGATACAGTGTCATTCGATTCAGATTTCAATTGTACACCCTGCCGGCACAGGGAAAATCTTTACGGAGGTCTCAATGGAAGATTGCAAGCAACTCGCTGGAACTACGAGGAGCTGCTGCACGCAGTACCTTTTTTATGCAGCGAAGAACCTCTTGTGGCAGAAGCAAATACTATTATCAAAGCGTAAATATTTGTTCCCCTGTTGTAGTAGGTACCTGAGCGACTTGTTGTTCTTCGCCGCCTCTTCGATGAACTGAGGTGTGGACCGCCCAGCAGTCAGGTTGTACACCGGGGTGTCGTTGAAGTAGCTCACTGCCAGCGCCATGTCGTTCAAGCGGTAGAAAACCGTTCTTTCCAGCTGAGTGATAAAGCAAAGCGCTAAAGCGCGGTGGTCCTGATTCTACGCTCTAGTTGCACGAATAGCTTCGCAGAAAGTAAATGTATTCTTAAAAATCTAGGAAACTACGCAAAGGCAACTGTAAAGATGAGTTGATTCGCAGTAGCGGCAACATTATACCTAGAATTCAACTACTTCCATCAACGTAATCATTCGTTCACTACCTAGTTGCAGTTCGGTCGCTGGAGGAAGTAAGTAAGTATCGAGGCTGAGCAGCATGTCTTGTTCGAATACAGTCGGGGAAGCGACTGCGCGGGCAAGGATTCTCAACATTTTTTTATGGTTGAACTACACGACCGAGCATATTCAGATTCCACATCACGAAATGCCTACTTATGCGGATCTGGAATCAAATGTGCGGGTTTTCGTTTTGGTTTTGTCAACTCTGGAAATAATTTTCAATTGATCACTTGTCGAGTCTTGTCCTTTTCGATCGTGGAGCTTCTTGGCTCTGGTTAAAGCTTGAGTGTTGATCACCTGATCGTGATCTTTTAACGAAGGACTGATCCTCTTATATTCACATTTCTTCTAGCACCAAGAACGTTGATCATGCTTCTCGGAAGAACTTTCGTCCGTTTTCCACTACGATCGGATCCCGAGCTACGGATCCGAAATGGACTCCTCAATGAATGAAGTAGAACTTGATGCAGAGTAGTTTTCAAATAGTCCATACCTTCATTTCTACACAAAAACCCGACACTGGATTGTCCGGCAATCGCGGTCTGCATCCTCATGTATATGTGACTGCCTTGCGGGCGAACTCGGTTCGTGTAGGTTCAGGTTGCCAGTGTTCACAGTTTTTGACCTAAGTAATCACATAGAACATGTCGGCATTAGGAAAGCCAAAAAAATTTCATGTATTAATGGTCGTGAAGCAGAAAGTGTAGAAAAAGTATGGCCCGCAGATGATACGGTACCAACACTCACTTCAGCATTCATCTCCCGTAAACTGCTACAACTGTAGTGCACTTTTCTGTGAATTTGCTTGCTATCATACACGTCGCGCTATCATCCACGTATCTGTTTACTCAAATAAACGGGCCCACCTGGTGCCCTAGTACCCTTACCTACGTACATTATTATGCAATGTCTAAAATTGTTCTATCATTTTTCTATTCAAAACTTCCAAAACAATGTTTATCGCCTGCAGAGACTTCTCCTCCGAGGCTGTCATAAGAAGCATACTTCAGCAGCAAGCGACAGCCTAACTCCGTCTCATTAGGTATGGAGGATCCGCAAGCATTGAAAAAGACCTCGATGTTTGCGGCAAAAATCTGAAATGTCTTATGTCATGATCCGGTATGGCTTACACTTGTGTTTTTCTTGGGTGCTTTATATATTTCTACAACCGAGATCTTCGTTCAGTAGAAGTAGTTCCTGCAGTTAGACTTAGGTGTAAAACCACTGCAGTGATTTGTTCGTTTTCACTGGTTGCGACTACCCGATATAGAAGTATGGCGCCCGCTTGCACTTCTACTTTCGGTCTGCAAACTTATTACAGGTCGTCGCGGCCCGACCGGAGTTGCATGAGCCGCTGGTTTATGAATTGCAAAAATGTTGTCCGGGTCTGGAAGGTTGCAACTTGTGATGCTGTGTTTGGATTCATTCTAAAGATTTGTGTTGCATGATCAGCAAAAGGACTTCAGTTTGTGCTACGTGGAGAGGGCATTTCTCATGCGGTAGAGGCATCACAAAGGCCTCGAAAAATCTGTCATGCTAGAGCATGCATCACAGACATCAAAAGTATTCCAAAATATGCATCACAAACCTGGCAAGCTTCCAGACCCAGACATTTTTACATTTGATATGGTTCAGCGAACTGGACACCTTGGCTTGGCGCTCCAGCGGTAGCAGCGCCTTCACCTCTTTGCTCGTCTGCAGCATGTCGCGGTCGAGTTCCAGTTGCGCGTCCTGGTCCGGCTTGGCCAGCACGGAGGCGAGCAGCAGGGCCAGGCGGCGATCGCGCACGTCCAGGTCGTCCCACGGCGTCGTCCGCACCGGACGCTGATTGCGGTTGCCGCCCGTAGTTGCTACACCCGGGCGAGGCGAGCCAGGAGCACCCGCCCCGTCGGTCGCTCCGCCTCCGCCTCCGCCGGCGCGGTCTTCTGCTTCCTCCTCCTCGTCCGCGCCGAGCAGGTTGTCGATGTACACATTTTTCACGGCTTGCTTTTCCTGGTGCGAGGAGGTTTTCAGTCCCGGAACGTCGTAATAACGCGGGCGCGGCGAGCCGTCTCTCGTCAGGGACAGCAGGTAGTTGCGCGCCGCGGTCTGATCCGGCCGCTCCACGTTCGGCAGGAACCGTGCCACCAGCCGCTTGCGTGCCTCCTGCTGCGGCGAGGCAGCCGCGCCCTGCAGCGACTCCGGAAGCAGGGCGTGAACCGCCTGCAGCGGCGCGCCGACCACAAGCTTGAACCGCGTCTGCTGACCGTCGTTGCGCGCGTTGATTTCGTCCCGCACGAGTTGCTGTACCCCTTGGACCGTGGTCTCTTCATCGAACAAAATCACGCGACGCCGGCGACCGACCTCCTTGTAGCCGTACAAACAGGTGGCAGTTTCCGCAATCAGAGGGTGGGTCGGCGCCAACGGTTGGAATATTGTTTCTCCTTGTCTAATTCTCATCATAGGGGGCACAGACGAAGTTCGCCCTTGACCACTTCCCGATGCGGACGCAGCTGCTAGACCTCCACCATGCGGAGCACCCCCTGCTGGTGGCTGCGATGAGGCTCGTCCCCTAGGTGCGGCCGACTCTGGTGTTGCTGCCGGCTCTGGTGTTGCGCCCTGCAGCGGGCCAGCGGTTGGAACAACCGGCGACGATCGAGCACCTGGAACTCCTGCCGCGGGGTCTGCTCCAGCCCCCTGCTGCGGCGCAACAGTCTGTTGGCTACCTGCTTGTGGCGGCAAAGATGCAGTTCGTCCTCGACGCTCTGTCGCGGGATCTTCTTCTGGCGCAGCGTCTTCACCCTGTTGTGGCGGCAAAGATGAAGCTTGTCCTTGACTACCTGCTGGACGCGGCGCGAGGAAGCCGCCTGATGAAACCGGGGCGGACGGAGCCTGGACCGGAATGGGCACCAACTCGGTGCGGATGCGGACCGGACAGAACTCTCTGCCGGCGTTTGGGTTCGGCTCGTTCAAGACGATCACCCGCTCGCCCTCTTGCAGCGTTTTCGACTCCGGCAGCTGCTGTCGTGTATTGACCAACTTCAACTCGCGCATGTGCTGCAACAGATTTTGAATGCCGCGCTTCAGGAAGATGCTTTGTGCTAGCAACTTCCCGCGCGCCCGGTCGTGCACGATGTTCAGCAGCTCCAGCTTGCTGCCCTGCAGGATGTCGCGGGCGTCGGCCTTGCCCGCCACTCCTGGTTCCTGCTGTGCCCCCGCTGGACCAGCGGCAACATTGCGGAAAGAGAACATGACATTCTCGGCCTGAAGGCGTTTGTCGTCCGGGGAGTTTTCTAGCAGAACCCGCTCCGCCGTTTCCTTCGCGGCGGGGAAGACTTCGCGGAAGTGCCTTTGCAGCTGCAGGGTCGGCGTTTGCAAACTCGGGCGCCAACAAGCAGTTCCGGCCACGGCGCCCATGTGGTCCACGACCCAAACGCTGCGCAAGCTGCTGCGCTGGAACGCCTGACTCGCCGAGTCGCACTCCTGCCCGGGGCGCAACCGCTGCGCTTCCGGAACCCCGCCGTTTTGCAAGGTTCGCAGCAGCGTGACGAATCGTGTGGTTTCGATGTTCGTCAGGAACACCATGCGGTGTCGCAGCACGGCTAGTTCGTTCGCCTGCGCTTCGGTCACCTCGTCCGTGCCCGTCAGGAAGTCGGGGCTCATGTTCCGCGTGTACAACGACAGCTCCTTCCCCACGGCGAACCGTGCGACGAGACTCTTGGAGGGCGAGGGGCTATCCGCGTAGAAAAACTTGTGCAGTGCGGTTTGCAGTTGAATTAACTTCTCGGGGGCCGCCAGCTGCAGTGGCACCTCGAAGTCCTGCGCGGCGTCCTCAAGCGCAACGCCGTCCTGGAACCAGCCACGGGTCGTGTCCGGTTCAAGGTTGCGGGCCGCCCCATCCTCCGGTGGTTCTGGTGAAGAATCCGAGCTCGCACCATCGGAAGGGGACGCCGGGGCCGGTTGTGCGGTCGCGGGATCTCGTCCTGTTGCTCCGTCTTGCGAGGTACCCGCCGGAGCGGCCGCATCGCCCGCAGCGCCCGGCGACAGCGGCTGCTGATCCGCGGTCGCCGGCACAGCAGGAGTTCTAACGCCAATCACCGCGCCTTGTGCCTGCTGCTGCTCAGCAGTAGCTGCGGGAGAAACAACTCGGTGTCCATCCGCCACGCTCTGTGGCTGCTGCGGAACGGCCGTCGGTTTCGGCGCAGGCTTAAGTTCCTTGAGGGTGAGGATTCCCCGGTTGTTTTCGGTGGTGACAGCGTCCTGAACGAGAGACCGCAGCGCGTTCAACGCGGCACGCAGTTTCACGCCGCCCGGGCTGGTGACCGGATGCTCGCCCTCCCCCGCGTTGAAGAACGAGTCTTTGACTGACAGAGAGAAAGTCAGCGTAAGCGTGCGGTCCTCCCGGCGCAAAGCGCTCGGCGACGGTTGCGTAGCTGCGTCGCTCGCTTCCCCGCCAGAATGATCAACAAAGTCACTGTCTTCGCCGCTGGAATGCACCCAGAGCGCTCTGTTAGCATCTGCATCCCTGACATCTTCCTGCGAGCGTGGCGAGAATTTTGCCGATAAGAGCGAAAGGTCGATGGCATCGAAAGCATTGTGCGCCGCACCGCGTGCAGCTTGCTTCGCGGCCGGGCGTGCTTTGGGCCGTGGAGCCGTAGTGGATGCAGCGGGCTGTCCGGCCGCTGGCGGTGCGGGTACTCCGGCTGACGGCTGTGCGGGTTCTACGGCTGCCGGCTGCACGGGTACTCCGGCTGGCGGCTGTGCGGGTTCTCCGGCCGCTGGTGGCACTGGTACTCCGGCTGACGGCTGTGCGGGTTCTACGGCTGCCGGCTGCGCAGGTTCTACGGCTGCCGGCGGTGAGCGTGCTCCGGCCGCGGGCGGCACTGGTACTCCGGCTGCCGGCAGTGCGGGTTCTACGGGTGCCGGCTGCGCGGGTTCTCCGGCTGCCGGATCCACAACCGCCACGGCAGCAGGTACTGCAGAGACGGGCTCTTGTACTTCCTCGTTGGCCACAAATGACAGCAGCTGGTTGGAATCCCCAAATAGAATCCTCTTCAACTCGGCCTCCAATTCCCTCTTGCTGGCATCGTCCAAACTGCGCGCCAGCCGCTTGCCCTGCTCCCGCTCGAACTTGCGCAGGTTCGGCTGCGCCACCTCGTCCAGAGGGTTCTGCAGTAACAGGCTGTATTTCTTCTCGATCGGGTTCCGCACCATGGCCTCCAGTAACCGCGATTTCTCCAACTGCGCCAGGACCTTCTCGAATAGCGCCCGCCGCGCGCGCGTGGCCGCAGGTTTCGGTTCCGGCGGAGTCCCAGGCGCCCGCGGCCACAAGCCCAGCGCGGTGATAGCAAGTTGGCTGGGGCGCGACAGGTCGGTGATCGCCCCGTTCCCGCGGCGGACCGGCCTCCCGACCTCCTGCTCCAGATTGCCGTTCCGCTTCAGCACCGCCCACTCGCGCACGGCGATCCTCTCTTGCTCGGACAAGTTCGGTACCTCGAAAAAGGTGTTGACTTCGAGCTGGAAGGTCATGCTACGCACCCGCTTGTCCTCCACCAGCAACGCCTTCTGTAGGTACCGCTCCATCGGCCGCAGGAAGGTTTTCCAGGACTGCAGCCCCTCCCAGGGCTGCGCGGCATCGCTGGACAAGTACAGGTCTGGAGACACCAGGTTCGGGTCGTCCGTCAGCACACGCCAGGACGGGGCCGCGTGTCTCTGCATCTCGCCCAGGATGGTGCGCGCGCGCACGGTTCCCCGGAACAGCTCGCTGTCGTTTTTCAGGAAGTCGAGCACCCTAGCGCGCTCTTCGCCCGCGCGTTGTGCCTGGTCCGCGAGCGGCAAAGCCAGCGGCGCGGCTCGCGCGACGAGATTCGCGGTCGCGCGGATTGCGACGGCGGTGAAGCTGGACCAGCGGTAGAAGGAGGGCAAACTGGCGTCCGCCGCGTAGAATGCGGGAAGGAGACTGTAGCCCCCCCGGATCGGAATCCGCCCTTGGTCCGAACGACCGACCCAGTCCTCCACTCTGTCACGGTTCATCCCAGGGAGCCGCAGTGCAACGTGTTGCCGAACCCAACGGTCGCCGAAGGTGTTGATGTTTTCGTTGTCGGCGACCACCAAAGGCGCCACCAATCCGTACTTATTGGTCGCTTTCGCTCGAAGGTCGCGCGCCAGGGGCGCCTCGTCCAGCTGGAGGCCGACTTCGAGCTGCAGGTCCTGCTCCAGCTCCAGCTGCACCTCCGTCTGTACCTCCGCCCCGTTCGGGTCCGAGTGGGTGTCCTTCGACCCCAGTACGCGGGTGGGCAGCTTGTCCAGGTGCAGGTTCGCGCGCTCCACCCACAGGTAGGTGGCGCGCTCCCACGCTCGCAGCATCTGTGCGGGGACCAGCGCCCCCACGTTCCACCGGAGGCTGCGGGCCATGCCCACCACCGAGCCCTTCACGTTGTCCAGCGGATTCACCATGTACTTGACCGGACTGTAGGTCTGCCACACCCACTCCGGGTTCTCGTACGAGACCAGCATGAAGTCCTTGATACGGTCGTGCACACCCAACGCGATCTGGAAGGCACGCAGCGTGTCCTCGGCGGACGGGGCCGCGACCTCAGTCTGCCGCCAGTACTCGTACTCGGTGTCTGTGCGCAGCATTTGGCCCAGCGCGCTCTCGTCGTCCGGGATGTTGCCGAGGTACGGCCGAAAAAACGCCACGCCCCGAAGCGTGCCAAGCAGCGCACGCGTCATAGCCGTCAGCTGCATCGGAATCGACATTGCGAAGTTGCGCTTCTCGCCCTGTTTCATGTTATTTTCATGTACAACTTTTACTATACGGAAGTAACAAGAATCGAAAACCAATATTAAAAACTTTTGGGTCAATACCTTCTAGTTCAGTGCCTCTGCCTTCTTCTAAACGTGCATGATGAAATGCTAAAAACAAGTATCTTCGCAACCACAATATCATGATCTTGTCTATCATGTGACTACATCAGGAACGCATACTGCACAACTCAAAGGGTACAACTAGTACCTCGTCCTGCAGGTGCCAGGCGTAGGCAGCCAAATCCCGCACGCGAAGATCTCCCTCGTCGCTGAACCTTGCGTCCGCTTCCGCTACAAGGGCCTGCGGCACTGCTGCGTCGTCCTCGTCCTCCTCCTCACTCCCGTCGGCGGAGCCGCCTGGTTCGGTCGGTGTGCCCGGCTGGCTTGCGGGAGCCACAACAGCTTCTTCCTGCACCCCGATTTCGCCACTTGTGCGATCCAGACTGATCTGAAACTCACGACCGGCGTGATTCAGTTGTTGCACCGCGGCCGCGACGGATCGCGCACCGCTTGCAGAAGAACCACTGGCACCAGAGCCGTCCGCGGCGGCGGGCGGTGCGGCTCCAGCTGCCGCCTGTTCTGCCACCGTTCGTTCCATCTCGGTCAGGAAGTAGCGCACGCGTGTGTGGTTGCGACGCCGGGTTTCCTTGTTGTGCGCGAGGACCCGTTGTTGCCGCTCGGCCTCTGGAAGGGCACGGAAAGCTGCCTCGTCTTCGTCCAGTGCGGGAAGCGCCTTTGCGTCCGCTCGGAACCGCTTGATGACCTCGGAAACGCGGCGCTCAATCACGAACGTGATGAACTGGTACTGGGGAAGCGGAGGTTTGAACAGCCCGCGCGCGCGCATCGCACCCTGGGCCGCCGCGTCGCGCCCGGTCTTGTCGGACAGGGACATCAGCGCGCGGTTCTTCCACTTCACGTCGGCCCCGATAACGTGCGCCTGGTCGTAGTACATCACCAAGTGCCACTCGAGCTCCTGCACGGACGCAAAGCCCGCTGCCTCGGCGATGCTCTCGTACTGACTCCCGATCACTTCCAGCGGGGCCGGCAGCACCGCGGCGTCGCACTGGCTCTGCACGTATTGTTCCTCGTCATCCGACGGGCACCAGTAGTCCCGGTCTTCCTCCCCGGTCGTGTACACTGCGTGCGCTTCGTCCTCCCGGTGCCATCGCTTCGCACACACCCCGTCCAGCCAACCGTTGTCCTCACGTCCCCGCCGGTCGGCCACGGCAGCCGACGCGCCGGGGAAACGCCCGGAGGGGAAAAGGGTCTGGTACCGGTACAACATCAACGTGGACTGGCCCGGCGTCTTGTCCTCGTAGAACGCGATAACGTCCTTGTCCGCGTTCAGCGTGTTCCACGCGTACAGCAGCCGGCACGCGACCTCCTTCCGCGGCATTTTGTTCATGCTGAAGTAGGCCCCCGCGTCGATGAAGGCCGAAAACTCGTGGAACTTCACCGCCGCCGGCCGGTTCTCAGGCTGGAGCTCTCTGGGCTGCAACGTTCCTCCCACGTAGTCCCGGTAGTGGTAGCCGGGGTAACTGCCCTCCGTCCGGTGCTGGTCGTCCACGTTCGACCGGCGCGCGACCTCGAAGAGGAACCGGTCCGGGCGTTGCAGCAACTTCTCGTCCAGGTTGTCCAGAACGGAGGTGTGGCCGTTCAGGAGGACGTGCCGCACCTCTTCGGCCGTGTCGAACTCGTCCGTGTACGTGACCGCCAACTCGCCGCGACCCCGCCGGTCGACGCGCGTCATGGCCTTCTGCGTGTTCAGCGCCTGGGTCATCTCGTCCGCCGTGGTGCCGGAGAAGCCCTGGCTCTGGTGGGTCAGCGTGGCCAGCTCCACCGACCCGGCGTTGGCCTGGACCGCGTACAGCGACAGCTGGTGCTTGTCCGGGAACACCATGCGGCTCAGGTACCACATCAGCAGCGCCGGCACGACCAGCGTGTTGGTCCGGTTCCGCTCCAGCAGGTGGCGGAACCGCACCACGGTGGCGAACGTGGGCAGCCCCTCCTCGTCGCCCTCCTCCCAAAGTGCCTTCTCCAGCGGCGCCCACTTCGGTTCCGGCGCCTCGGTGGCGGTTGTCGACGTCGCACCAGGAGCACCCTCGTGGGACGCAGCTGCTGGGGTGGAACGACCCGCAGTTGCCGCAGGAGGTAGCGCAGCTGCTCCTGCCGGCGCTCTGGCAGAACTTCTACCGGGGTTGTTGATGTTGATCCGGGGTGGAGGACCATGAGCTTGCTCTGGACCACCTTCTAGGTTGTTGACGTGTACATGCTCTTCGGCCAGGATCCGGCTCAGCTCCTCGGAAAATTTTTCGACACCAAGGAAGAAGTTGTCCGGCGGCTTGAGCGCGTGGTCCGTGTCACTCCGGCCGAAATTCTCGCGGCACTCGCGGCGGATCAGCTTGATCAGGCGGCGCGTCTGGTAGTGCAGCTCGCTGATCTTCTGCGGGACGCGGCGACTCTTTTGCGCGAGCGGTCCGGCCTGCTGGGCTTGTTGCGCCAGTCGCTGGCTGATGCTCTCGGTGGAGGTCGCAAACCCGGGCAGTACGAACACGTCCTTCGTCGCCATCTCCGCGTCCCACGGTTCGGACAGGTAGGTCAGTATGGTCTTGCTCATGGCTTCGTACACGTCCTTGTAGAGCGACATCTCCGTTTTGGAAGACTCGCTCGGGGTCTCCGCGGCCTTGTAGGGCATGGCCCCCTCGAAGTCGTGCACAATCTGGCTGCGCCCGTAGTGCACGTTGGTTTGCTTGGACAGCGACTCGCGCGCGATGTTCCCGAGCACGTGCTTGGCCGCGGATCCGCTCTCGCGGACCTGGTCGTACAGCGGGACGGTTCGCGGGAGTGTGTTGATGAAGCTCCATGCGTCCAGCGCCATTCCCTTGTTGTCCCTGGAAAAGTGGTGCAGCGAAGTGGACAGCAGAAAGCCCTTGCAGTTGTCCTGCTGCCGCTGCAACTGGCCCTCCCCGAACCGAACCTTGGCCACGTCGTCCCCCGGCCGCTTCTGTGGTTTTCCCAGCGTCTCCTTGACCAGCCGGCGGCAAACATCGTCGGCCAGTTTCGGCAGAATCGACTCGTCGTAGAAGGACTGCGGCATCTTGCTGTGCGCGTTCCGCACGACCAAATCCAGAACCCGTTTGTACCGCGGCGCAGGAGTGGTCCTCGTCCGGGCCAGGCCGGCGGCAGCAGTCGTTGCTTGCGCAGCAGTAGCCGGCGCGGCCGGTGCGCCATCTGGGCCACGAAGAGGTGAAGGACTCGCGGCCGCAGGTGGTTGGACTGCAGCGGGGCCAGCGCTTCCCGAGCCTACTACTTCCTCCGCGAGTTCGTGGCTGTCGCACATCAGCAACTCCCACCAGATCTTCATGACCTCATTGATAGAGGTGGCCGGAACCGGCATGCGGTCGCCCGCCGGAAGATTCAGCTGCTTGTTCCAGGCCAGCAAGGAATCCACTTCGTCGAACAGCGTGTGGCCGTCGCTGGACAGAATGTCGAGCACCTCGAACAGCAGCAACAGCACCCGCATGGTCTCCCCGGCCTGGTACGCCCTTTCTTGCAGGGGCGCCAGGGCCGACTCGCCGTTGGCGCACTCCGGCTCCGGGCGCTCCTTTCGCGCGAGGCGTCCCTCGTCCATGCCCAGAACCTTGACGACGCAGTTGCGATACTCCTGATTCATACCCTCCAGGACATCATTGGCTTGCACATTGCGACGCATGCTGCCGAGCCACTGCGCGTAGAGCCGCTGTTCCATCTCGTCGTCGTCCTCCTCCGCACCGACTGCATCCGGTTGGGCGCGGCGTTCGCGCTCGATCCACATCTGCGAGTCGTGCACCTGGCGCATCAACGTGCGCAGCTTCTCGAACTTCAGGTTAACGGCCGCCACCAGGCCCTGCAGATCCTTCGCCTTCGCTGTGAAAATCACTTGGCCCGTGCGCTTCGCTTCCAGGAGCTTGTTCTTTAGCCAGGACAGGTAGCCCACTGTGCCGTTCGCGTGCACCGCGAAGGACAAAACCTCGACGTCCTTGCCCTGCGTGCGTACGGTGCTGCGGATGTCCTGCGTGTTGGACGCGTGCAGGGCGTCGGTGAACACCAAGACCGGGATGCGGTGCGTGCTGCCCACGGTCGCGAGGGTCCGGCCCTATCCTGTGCAAAAGTATCGTACTCGTATGAATTGCAGTCATGCATGACAAACCGACCTTTTTACCTGAATTAGCATTACAAATTCCATTTTTCTTTCTGATAAAATTTGTAATGCAATTTATACTAGTACGATACTTTTGCAATGCATAGGCCCGACAACACTTTGGTTTTCCCGGCGCCCATGCGCAGCTGCTCGGACACGCTGGTGAACGAGGTGAGCTGCGTGCTGCCCGGCGAGGACGAGGACTCCGCTTCATCTTCCACGCGCTCCAACGCCGCGTACGCGGTTGGGTAGTCCAGCTTCACCGTGACCGGGGTGTACGGAGGCTGCTGCGCGGCTCCGGGCTGCTCCTCCAGCTCCAGCACCAGGAACGCGTCCGCGGTCTGCACGCCCTCGCTGCTGTTCGCGACGTACCGCACCCGCGCGAAACTGCCGTTCCGCACGACGGACTGATCTCCTCCCGCCGGCAGCGAGCGGAAGCGCACGCGCTCGCCCGGAAGGAAGACGGAGTCCGGAACTTGCAAGTCCGTGTACCACACAAATCCGGTGGTCGTGCTGGTGGGGCCACCGGCCTCAAGACCAGCACCTGCTGGGTGCGTCACCTCGACCCAGCGCTTGTCCTCGCCGAACCCGGTCACGCGCCACAAAACGCCGGACGAGGCTGCACTGCTGATTTCATTTGGTAGGGCCACCAGCGGACTGCTGAACAAGGGCTGCCGGAGGAGCCGCGGCGAGAAGCCCGAGGTCTTCACGATTTGACCCGTTTCCAGGAGGTGTACTTCGCGCTGCACGAGCTTTTTCAGGGTCTCCACCTGCGCCGGCCACATCATCAAGCCCTGGGTGGCGTCAAACGCGAGGTACATCGGGTACACCGCCGGGTCGTACCGCATGCACTGGGACAGGCCTAGGTCCCACAAGTTCCGCGCCGCCGTCTCCGTCAGTTCGTGTGGTGGCTGCACACCCGCAACATGGTCGGGCTGCTGGGCCGCGGCCAACTCTCGCAAAACTGCGCGGGTTTGCGTGAGGCGCGACTGCAGCAAGAGGTACGCCACGCAGTAGAGTCGGACCTTCTCTACGAGCGCGAATGTGACCGCGGTCTCGGCGCGGAGCTTCTCCCGCCACCAGACCAGATCCATCCCCAAGTAGGGGTCCTCGGCGACGAGGCGCACCAGGTCATGCATGCGCCACACGCTGCGGGACCGGTGCAGGTAGGTCAGCACCGCCTCCTCTGCGTCGCCGGTCGTGCCGGTCGGGGTGAGAAACAGGACGCTCTCCAGCGCTGCGCGCTCCAAAACGCGGGCCGTGTCCCGGTCTCTTTCGTAGCGGTGTAGCAGCTCCTCGAGAATCGGGCCCGCTTGCTGCTGGTTCGCCTCGGGTGAAACGGCGTCGAGAAGGTCCCGAAAGAACAACTTGCCTCGACCTAGCTCTCGCACCACAGCGCGGGCTTTCCCAAGAGGCTCGTCGTCCGCTACGAGTCGCACGGAGGCGTCTGGTTCTCGGCGGCCGCGCAGCCATTCCAAAGCAGTCTGGGACCTGGCAGGTTCGGGCAAAGTCAGCCGGGCGGGCCGCTGTCCGGGGCGCAGTGCCCGGACCTGGGCGCGTGTCGGTCCGCCGAAAACCGACGCTAATCGATCAGCGCGTCGCGGAGGGAACTGGTCTAAATTCGACGTCGTCGCGACGTCTGCTGCTGCTCCGGTGAAACGAATATCGTCCAAGTGTTGCTGAAAAGGGGCAATCACGTCATTCTGCACTTGCATGAGCCAGGGCTCCAACGCACGAGCTTTCCACTCCATTTTAATCCACTGCGAGCGAACTCGCATCCAGTGGTTCTTGCGATTCGTTTTCAGTCCTTCGATCTGCCTCGTGAGATCTCTTTGCTGTCCCTCGAGAGTTTGTACCTGATCGCGCGGCCGGGTCTCTCGGTTCTGTGCGTCAAAATAAAGACCCCATACTCTGTCTCGCTCCCCTTGGGGAAGCGTACGAAATGTCCACCGATCATTTATTTGGTCCCGCAAGTTTTGCGTCGCTTGCACGCTCGCTCGTAACTGTGCACGCGCACCCGGAAGACTGGCTTCTGTGTGTGCAAGCTCCCGCTCCTTCCTGTGCTGCTCCTCCCGCAAACTACGGTACTGAGGATCGTCCTCCGTCGCCGTTACCCCGGCCGTCGCTCGTCTGACCACCAGCCTCTCCGACCTGTTTTGGGTGTTCACGACGTGGTAATGCCGAGAACCGTTTCCACTGTCCAAGAAAACGTTTGTGTCGAGCTCCGTCCGAAGGTTTAGCGAATCAATGTCTACCCAATTGCCGTCGCCAGGTGCGCTTGCCTCCGCCTGGTGCGCTTGCCTCGCTCTGTTGCCTTGGCCAGGTGCGTTTTGATTTCTTTCCCACGGAAACTGAGGCGGGTCGGGAAGGGGGACTCTTCTGGCACGCGTCCACAGCAATGCTCGCATCAGAAAATAAGTGGAAGAACACGTCAGCAGTAAGTGCCTCCGACGTTCTCTCGCAAATTCGGTTTCATGGTCGGGTCGTGGTGGCCGCCACTGCTGCAAATCCAGAGATTCCGAACCAAGCATCCAGACAAGCTTTCTTTCCAGGCGGACTCGGACCTCTGTTGCTTCAGCACTATCTACGCCCTTGACCCAGCCGTAAAAGCCACGCAGGCGAAGGAGAGCCTTATCACCAGGCCGGTGACGAGTCCCCGAATTATGGAGCCGATTGATCTCTGCACAATGATCTCTCAGATTCCGCCGCTGCAAAACTCCGCCGGCCAAGGCTTCGCGCCGGTTTCTCTTGTCGCGGTCGGAAAGCCCTTGCTCGCTGTAAACGTACTGAGACATGAACTCCTGTAGTTCTTGCTCCCCGCTCCTGTGTTGCGACAAGTTATCTCGTTGCCCCGGGGGCATCAACAGAAACCCGGCTGTTGCGGCCCCACCACTGTTCGCGTAGTTTGCAATGCGCCACGCAGCCGGCACTGTGTCATCCATTCGCTCCAGCGTTCCGAGCTTGACGAGCAGGTTTGGCTGTACTGCGGTACTTGCCTCGGCTTTCGCGAAGGCTTCGATCGCTTTGCGTGGACTATCACGATGAAAAAATCAATATACCCCCCCGCGGCCTGGGGCACGCTATGGAACAAATGCAACTCGACCTAGTAATACAACAACTGTGATTTCATTTATAGTGGCTGTTTTGCTACTGTGCCAACGTTCCTGCGCGTGGTCGTCTGCGCCAGACCTCTCTGCCTAAATAACGAAAACCTCCCCGGAATGCCTATCATCAATGAACATGAAAAAAATTTCGCGCAAGCATCTTGGACGACCCTTGTCAACAGGCGAGCCGGCAAGAACAGGACCTGATATATCAACAAATAAATACATAAGTACTCATATACAGTGTTCCCACGGCATGCGGCTGCGAAGAACAGGGAAGTATTTACACGAGCAGCCCGCATGCAGAGTTTGGTCTGAATCTGACGTGCGCAAAAATTGATCACCAAGCGCACGACTTTCCAAGCCACGCGGGGTTGAAAATTTAGAGTTCTTGTAATCGCGATAAATTACATCCGCGGTTGCCGCCTCGCCGCAGTGGTTTAAAACCCAATCGAGGACAGCTGCTTCGTCGTGTTCACCCAAGAAATTCGTCTGAGCGCGAGTATTCAGCCGCAGCGACCGCAGCGCTACTCCGCCGCGAACCAGCTGCTCAATCTCGCCCGCGATTTCCTTGGCCATTTCGGCAGCTTCCGCAGGCGCCTCCCCTGCTCCGTTGGCGCTGTGGCGGAGCTCGTTGCGCAGCAGCCGCGCCAGCGCCACCAAGCGGGCCCGCAGCGCGTCCGGGTGCGACCGGTCTTGTTTCGTTGCCGCGGCCGCGGCCTTCGACCGCACCATGTTCCGCAAAATGCCTTTGGACTCAGCCGAGTAGGTGGTCAACGGGTTCACCATGTGTCGCAGCATCTCCATCGCCTGCGTGGGACGAGCCTCCGGGAGCACAAGGGAGGTATGGAAGCACCAGGTGGGAAAATCCTCAATGTAAGATTTAATGAGAATATACCTTTCAGTTTTCACTCGCAAACAATACAAAAAGTTGTACTAGGACTAGCCTCACCCGGCCTCGCGCGCGAAAAACATGAGACGAAGCCGGAAATGGTGTGGCTACGGGGACCACTGGCCGAGAATGGTGGAGACAGAGAGGACTCACACTAAACTACAAACACGCGGCGTCCTTTGCCTTCCTACTGGCCATAGGGCGTAGATGAAGGGCGTCGCGCACGGAGAATGAGTACGACACGGGCAACCGAGAAGTGCCACGGCCATCATTCTCGGGCCACCACCATAACGACTCGCATGAGCCTGGTTGTAGAAATGGCGGGGGGTGCATCTGCATTCAAATTGTTCCAATATAGATCGAATTCGAGGATTCCCCGCATGGCACTTCCATACGACAGGTAGGCGAGGTACAGCTCCGCCTGCGTCTGCGCCTCCGCGTCGCCGAGGAAAGGCGCATTCAACTCTGCACGCTCGACGTCGGGTCGGGCAACCTGTACCTCCTCGGACGGGCCTCTCCAGCTTGCGTCTTCGCGCCGCGGTACTACAGAAAAGAAATCCACCTCCTGTGCAGCTCCCGCCGCCGCAGGAGCTCCCGCCGCCGCATTCCTGGCTGGCGGGTACCGGCTGCCCATGTTTGGACCAGCATTGGCAATCCTAAACCCCCCTGCTTCTCTGCACAATGGGCACCGCGCCTCTGAGTTTTCCCTGGCGTGATCCCCGCTGCATGCCTTGTGGAAATAGTGGTTAAGTCTTCGACCTCCCGCGCAGTAAACGTACTCTTGGCTGTTCATATCAATGTCGTCCAGACATATCGGGCACTGACCTGGCTCTTCGACTTGAACTGCCGCGCCAGCACCTGGCTCCTGCGGAGCTTGTTCCTGTAGTTGTGTGTCGCCCTCGCCTTCTGCTTGGATTATGAATTCCTCGTAAGGTTGTTGATCCTGCGTTTTCGCATCGATCACAACGTATTGCGGCAGTGGCGCTCCTGCAGCCTGGATGCCACGAAGCTCCGGGACCGTGACGGCGTAGTCCCGAATCAGGTCGATATTCCGGGCTTGCTGCAGCGGCAGTGCGGTGCGCAGGACCAGAAGCCGCAACGAACGCAGCTGCGTCCACGTGTTCTCCGTCCGCTGGACCTCGTCCATGTTGCGATGCGCTTGTGCAGCTGCTCCTGCTCCTTGTACTACGTGGTTGTAATAATCGTCAACATCATCCTCCGGCCGTGCGGGGCGTTCGCGCAAGGCAATCGCGTGGCGCAAGCTCGGCCATCCGGGAACGACGGCCCTTCGCGCGAGGACGTACGTCGGGTCCTCGGCTGCGTGCCAATAGCGGTGCCACGGGCTGAGTTCCCCCGGCCGCACAAACGTCAACCAGGTGGCGGAGTCCCCGCGCCCCGCAGCCAGCAACGGAAATTGCACTGCGTTCGCGATCAGCCTCTCGGCGGACCCGTCCTCGCGTACTGGTACTTCATGCGCCTCCCAACTCAGTTGCGCCTCCACCGAAATTATGCATTGCAAATATCGATCTGGGTCTGGAAGCGTGCAAACTCGTCGTGCGCACATGAAACCGCACAAAAATCTGTCATGCATGGACAGCAAAAGTTGATGCCCACTTTACTGACACGCCGGAAGTAGACGAACCTTGTCAACATGCGGCTTAGTCATTGAGTTTGAGACACCTACTTCTGCAACCCTGTAAAATATCAGGGCTTGCATGCTAGACCTTTCATCGGGTCATGGAACAATAGCATGGGAAACTCGTCCTGCGGTCTTCCGGAGGACCCAGACAACATACTTGCACTTCATAGAAATGCCCATCTGCGTGATTCCCTTGCCCTCTCGCACCCGTCCGACCATGTCGCGGACATACTGTGGGTTCAGGTCTAGGCCGGTCACATCCCTGCCACCGCTGCGAAGCAACTGCCGCACTAAGGCTTGTTGGTCCAAATCCCCGCCAACGATATTTCCCTGCGCCAGCAGGCGCCACGAGATCGTCCGGCCCTCGCCGCCCACGCCGCGTTCTTGAGCTGCATGTTGATACGCCTGCACTGTGCCAAACAGGTTTGCGTAGTCTTTCGGCAAGCCCGTGGAGTCACTGCGGTGGGGCGTCAGGTACCCCGCCTCCGTGAGTGTGAACATCGCCTGCGGGTGACTGACTACGCCCGAGGGGATATCCTGAGTAAAAACGTAGCCACACCAGAGTCAGGATGGGGATTTTGCAACACAAACCTAGGAGTTTTGTGAGTCACGCATGACAAGTTGCACTCTGCAGTGTAGTGCAGGTTAGCAAGTGCAGCCGCATCACAGATTCATCTGCTCATCCTGTTCAGAGCATCACAAATTCCAAAACACGATTGGAAATGGCTCTCATGGGGATGCGTATTACGAGTCTTCCTGTCTTTGCAAATCTGCATTACATCTCTGGTGTGGGGACGTTTTTACTCAGGATAGGGGATGAGCGGCTCTGGTTCCCCCCGTGCTCTCTCCCGCTTCACAGCCAGTAAGACCGCCGGCGCTAACGCGGCGGCTGTCCCCCGTTCGTCCGGGTTCTGCTTCACCCAAAAGTCAAACTTGTCCCGCAGTGTCGTCTATACATTGAAGAAATGTCTGGGTCAGGAAGAGTGTAGCTTGTCATGCTACATCTGGATCGTGGAAAAATTTCTGTTGCGTGATTCATTCGACCCCTCAACCTTTAATGCACTAGCCTTTGTCTATCACGAGTGGAAGATTGCTCTAAAACCAAAGTCACCCCCTTTACGAACAAAGCCTACGGGCTTGATCTCGGGGAGATTGGGTCAAGCTCTAAAGTGTTGCATGATTACCAAAAGAGGTCCACTTTTAAACAAGTTTTTTAGAGACAGTCTCTCACGCAGGAACAAAGGCATAATAGAGATCTCACAGAACCTGTCGCGCTAGGCCGTGCATGCAAGACCGCGTGGGTCATGGAAGACCTGCATCACAAATCTAGCAATCTTCCAGACCCAGACATTTTTGCATTTGATATCGTCCACACCGTCCGCGTTTTGCCCAGCTGGGGTGCGCTCCGCTCGACCTCCCGCGCTAGGTCCTCCACTTCTTCCGCACGGGACAACTCGAACAGCTCAGAGGTGCCCGGCCTTCGCCAGTACACCCGCGGACTGGAATTCTCGGGCAGTCCGTCCCCGCCTGCTGTGGACTCCGGGCGAAAGAGTAAGTCTCGTACCCGAGAATTGCGAATCTGGAAGTACCGCTGCCCGTAAACGCTCACCTCCCGTACCAGGCACTGCACAAAGTCTGACGGCTGAGAGAACAGGCGCTGAAACAAGGGGCTTCGGGCCCAGCCGCGCGGGATCTTTGGGAAGTTTTCGAACTGCGCTTGCCCCTCCACCAGCATCGCGGCCCCCGTCATGGGGTTGATCGCCTTTTCTACGCCTCCATCCGTAACTTTCACGAACAAATCTTCCTGTCCCCACGTGCCCCAAGCTCCCAGGCGAGTCTCAGGCGTCTCCTCACGACCGGCATCCGGTGGCCAGAACACATCCACGACACACCACGCGACTCCATGCCTGGTACTTGCACTCGCGAAGCTCCGGGGGTTGCCAGCCACAGCCCGCTGCTCGGCGTAGTCGGCCTGGCGAATCCACAACCGCGCCCGGGCGAGATCGTGCTTCTCCTATGCAGGAAAAAAACATTGTTAGTGTAAGTTTGTCGTGATGCGCAACACGTAAGATGATTGCGTCTGTCATGCTGGACATATGCATTGCAGGGTGGTCCATTCAAGCGCGTTTTGACATGCTATCTGCGCATGACAGGTTTCTGCTGTCCTGCCATAATGCTGATCAGCCAAAAAAGTTACACCTACAATCTTTTTTTCTTGGATATCTCCATCTGATCGATCACTAGCCGTCCCGCGTGCTCAGACTCGAGGTAATATCGGCGCGAGAGGCAGTTCAGAAAAATGGCGTTAGACAGACACAGGTTCGTCCGGGGTGATGGTGACGTGTTGATGGTGCCGTCTTCGCTATCGGTACCAAGGCCCCCGCGGCACCGGGCGTGATACACGTAGGACGCTTCCCGGGCGGATCCGAAGAAAAGGGCCTCCACAACCAGCGCATCCTGACTCACGCGGTGCACGTGGTAGATCGCCTCCTCTCTGAGTTGGTTCCAGGCGCGGTCCTGCTCCCCGTCCGCTTCGCCCGCCTCTGCACGGTCGGCAGCAGGAGCCCGTCGCGCGCGATCGGCCGCGGCCAGGTCACCCACCACGAGCTGGTGCAGCTCCAGCAGATACCCTTCCAGCAGCACCCGCAGCCCCTGCACGTCGTCACCGCCCGCCGGGGGGTTGTATCCACTGTAAACACGTCTAGGTCTGGATCATGCGCATATTTCAACCTACACCAAGAAATAAATCTCTCCCACATAGAGGACAGCAAAAGTTAATAGTTGTACCCATGTCTTGCTACCGAGACAGGGGATTTTTTTCATGCATACGACCGGACTGCACCAAATCGAATAAAGAACTTTGCTCCGTTGCCGCAAGGAGCTTCGGACGCAGGAGATTTTCTAGGGGCAGAGCTGCGAAAACATCGCAACGTGCTGCCGGATGTTGATATGTTCCGTCCTTGAATTTACTACTCCACAAAAGTTGTATTTCTTCATGCCCATGCTGAGCGGAAGTGCAGCAGCGCACTTGTCATGCCGTCTCAAAACTACCTGTAAGTGATGCTAGAGCCTGCATGCCTTCTGAGTCACGGAAAAACAGCACGACCACAAGCATGTGCACTGATGATCCAGACTCCGACCTAGTTGCATTTGATAGCGAGGGGGCTGCTGCGTCCGGCGCCTCCAGATCGGGGAAGAACGCCCGTAGGAACTGGCACAGCTTGAACAACAGCCGGTAGAACACCCGGAGGCGTAGCACGTCTCCGTGGCCCGCGGCGCGCGCAGACTCCAGTCTCGCGGCCCGGTGCGAGGCGCCTTGCGTCACGGCCTCCATCAACGTTGCGAGCGGCTTGCTGGCCTTCAAGTGGTCGAGCACCTGCGTGCGGAAGAACCGCGCGAACCGCTCCCGGTCCAGCCCCGCCTGATCGAGGAAGCCCCAAGGGTCGGAGAGCGCCACCATGTAGAACAGTAGCAGAGGCCCCTGCTCCTGCAGAAACTGCGGGGTCCGCTCGAACCCGTGCAGCAGCAGCGACAGCTGGAGCTCGTGCCGCACCTGCAGTCGGTACTCGCTCTGCTGGTCTTTCTCGACCACCAGCGGCGCGGCCAGGATGCTCCGCAGGGTCCACCACCGCTGCTGCCGCATTTCCGTTGCGCTGCGCTCCCACTCGCTGGGGGGATTAACCCCCGTGGTGCTCACTCGTCGATACCCGTCCGCCAGCAGCTTCTGCTCCACATCCGCCCCGGCACCACCCCCAGGAAGGAGTACGGCACCTGCGCTGCGCCGTCCCGAAACCGAGGACACGGCTATGGTGGCTCGGTGCGACGTGTAGTAAAGCCCGCGCACCAGCAGCTCGTGCAGTCTTTTGCGCAACTCGAGTTCCGTAGCCGCCGCGCCGTCCGCGGGCGTGGCAGCCGAGATCGTCGTGGAGCCCACGTACGAGTTCAGCAGGAAGTGGCGGAAGACGGGAGAGGTGGAAACTGTGCCCTCCCCTAAACTCTGCACCACCACTATTGTCAGGAAAAATGCCCTCACCCCAGACAGAACTTGGGAGCATTTGTAATTACAAACCTTTTCATTTTCAATGGAAACACTCGCCCTCTTGCATATATCAGATTTGCAGTCGTGAATAGCAAAAATTTGTTATTGCAGAATACCCCAGCAAGCGCGGCGATTGTCATGCAGGCGATGCTGTATACGACCAGACTCTGCATCAGAAAGATTCATAGTCCTTTCATGCATGACACAAAGTTTTCATTTGGAAACTTCGCACTCTCAAGTATTGCAACTTTTGGGGTGGGTGCATTTTTCCCTGTAATAACCACCTGAGGTCGAAATGGCGCCGGGTACCGAGGTCCGGTACCCGGCACCGGCCGTCGCGGAATTTGCCATTCGTCCTCGTACTCCTCCCTACTCGTACTCTCGAGCTGGTTGTTGACATCTCTGGTCGTGTGTTGTTGCCTTCTTCGGGAGCCGCGGGCGAAATAACCGTTTTCAAGGGCCCAGGGCACCCCCGTTATGTGCTGTTGTAGCGCAGCGCCGTAGGCCGCACGGTGATTCTGACCTTCCGCATCCAGCTCTTGCGAATCAAAACCTCCAGCATTATCTACGGGTCTGTAGCGGTAGCTGTACTCGCCGGACGTATTCTTGGCTTCAGCTGGGGCTTCAGACCACACCGCCTCACGGTTTGGTTTCGGCGTCGCCTTGTAGATCCGGGCTCCTGCGTCCCAGGCGTACAGGTGAAGTAGCGCAAAAGATATCAACTGCAAAGATCTATCGCGCTGGCCCTCTCCATCAGGGGGACACGGTAATTATGTTGTAAGTACCGTACAAGCAAGTACAGTGGGTGTCTGTTTTAACTGTTTCGAAAGTGCACGACCCCTGAGGCGGTTCGGAAGATTTTCCCTGAACAAGGGTCGCCAGTACGTACGTACGACATGATTTTCACATACATACTTCACAACGAACCACTGGACGGAGCAGATGATCAATGAAGCGCGTCTGCGCAATATTTCTTTGCAGAGGATAGGAAAATTTTCGAGGTTCCACGGATCGGTTTGGCCGCTCCCCTGCCGGAAGCTTGCATCGTCCTCGGCGCCGGTTTCGCGCACCACAGCATGGAACTGGTAGTCGAGCCATCTTCCATTCCAGTTGCCTTGCCAATCCATCCACGGTGTGCTCGTCCCGAAAAAGCTGTCGTGCGGCATCACGGCCCCCGTCATGGACTCATGAAACTTGGCACCGCCGTACCAGAGCCACCGCTGTCGCAGCGTCAGCTTCGCCGAAGTTTTCAGTTTCCCCGCCCACAGCTTCCGGGTAGCAAAACGCGTCCGCTCACTTTCACTGTACGCGGACGTCACGAAGCCGTCCAGACGAGCCGGCGTGGCGTGCCGAATGAGAGTACGTTCTGCCTTTGTCACGCGGAAAAGCAAAGGCGAGCCCGGGCCGTCCATTTTCATGCGTGACTGAAGCCCTTCATGCAAAGCTGCAAATCTGCGCCGCTCCTAAAACCAGTCAAAACGCACACGCAACCCTCAAGAAAGATGTGACTGGATAGACTAGCTTGGGCGTCTGCAAAAAGGTGTGCTTCATGCAACAGCAGCGGAGCGGCCATGCATATAGTCGAACGACTTCGCGCATTGCGAATTTCAATTCTGACCGACCAGCTCCTTCAAGGGGCATTTACGCCAGGTGGGTCAGCACGCAAGAACGGGGTAGGAACAGCACGGGCACACGGGAAGTTTTCCTTGCGATAGATTGACGGATGCGAGCGCTCAGCTTCTCTTTCATGTCCTCCTCCAAGGCTCTCTTTCGTCGCTGTCCGTCGTCGTATAGCCACCGGTCGTGTGCGCTCGCAGCGCGACGATCGTACCACTGTCCCACACGCTCTAGTTGATGGCGCGTGTTGTTTTCCCCTCCGGCCGGATCGTCATGGGCGGCGTGGGAAGGCGTCGACGACTCGCGCCACGCAGACTGGGGAGCCATGTTGTGCTCCGTATTGCGGGAAAAAATCCCCCCTCCCCACATTGCGAACGCATCCGTCTCGAGATTTCCGACACAGATTCGTGGCCAAATCCTGTCTGTCTTGCAACCATGCAAATCCAGAGAGTCCGCCGCGCTCTACAGGCGATTTGTAATGCTGTAAGGCCTACAGGGCAGACATCTGCCATGCTAAGGGCCTACACCAGAAGACCCCGGCCCAGCCTTAGGGTCTGCGCGCAGTGCTCTACTGCAAGACAGATCCGATTTGTGTACACAAATCCCATCATAGATTTCCCTTTTGATATGGGGGAGGGGGGATTTTTCATTTTGATACTCCGCTTCGTATTCCGATTGTCCGTTGCTTCTGGGGTCTAAGCCCACGACATAGTCACCCGGACCCAGTAGGTACCAGGTTCTTTGGGAACTGCCTCCGAAGTAGGTAGTCTGGATACCGTCGAAACGCTGTCTCGGAATCTTTCCCTTTTGTACGAACGTCTGCCCCTTCTTCTCGACGTCACGCTGGTCTTTGTCCCATTTCTGAAATACACTTTTATGACACAGAAAAAATACCTTGTTTGCCATGATTGATAAAGGCTCTGTGATGACGCAATCGATACAAAATTCTGTTACGGGCCGCCGCCACCCCACTTATGTCACCGACATGCAACAAAGCGAGACAGACGTTATTCACGTACTATCTCGAAAAGTCTACGCCGTCGCATGCTGTGCTACAGGTTTCTTTTTTTCTGAGTGATACACTTTCATCCTCACACAATAATTGTTGTTCTCGTGAAAGACCTTGGAATTGTTTGCATCGGAGCTTCTCCCGCATGTGGCCTCCACTTCGAAGTCGCGACTGTCCGACAAGTCGCTAACGTTTGACTCCCCTCCTGGGTATGTTATGGACACATCTGCTCTTGCCGCACCTGCGCGATGCTCGTAAACTGTGTCGATGTGGTCCGCCACGTGCGAAAGGAGGAAGATGGCCTGGGCCTGCCTCGTTTTCTGCTGCGGTGTCCAGTCCTGCTCCGTCCGTTTGTCCAGCGTGGCCTGCGATCGATGCTCGTCGAAAAGGTCTGTTTCGTGAGCGGTGTCCCCCACTTCCGCTGCGAAGTGTCGCCGATACGCCGCTCGGGCTGCTTGTTCATCCGGTTGCTGCGTATGCACCTCCGTCCACTTGTTCTGCCATTCATTTTGGATGAGTGTCGTCTCCGCCGAAAAAAGCGCTCGCAAGGCTCTCCAGTACCCGCTGGGGTGGGAGTCCCGTAAGTCCGGTTTCGCGCGGGGAACGAACTCCCGCGGGTCGGGATTCGGCGCGCTTGTTTGCGCTGCGCCACCCGCTGCGGAGGGAGTCCGGTTCACCTTGGTGTGCAAAAAAGCATGCATCTGCATCAAGTCTCGCCCCGCTTCGGCGTCCAGACTCATTACCTGACTTATCCGGTAGAAAAAAGCTAGCTTGATTCAAATAGAAATTATACATAAACATCAAATACAAACGAAAAAAAACCTCGCTGGTGGTGCGTCTTCACCAGGACCAGCAATGGAAGCAAGTCGCCCCGGTTCTTTCAGGTATGAAGGTCGCGCCCGGAGGGCGATATTGGTAACCAAATGCGTGCGCGAAATTCTAACCAGCGCGAAAGCCTAACCAGCCGCGCGGCGAAAGCGCGGCCCTGCGGGCCGCGCTTTGGCGCTATTTATTTTTGATTACAGTCCCACTCCTTCTTCTGCAAGCCCCCTGCATGAGAAACTGGCCCCCTGGCCAGGAAGGTATCTGGGTCATCGGGGGCTTCCGGATTCGCATTCAAAGCTTAT